TTTGTGGTCGAACTTCCCAAGTCCGAAGGCTTCGACGCAATTGCCGTGTTCGTCGACAGGCTCACGAAGATGGCCCACTTCCGGGCTTGCAGTACCTCCATCACGGCCGAAGAAACGGCAACGCTGTTCATGGACAGCATCTTCAGGATCCACGGGGCTCCCAAGTCCATCGTGACGGACAGGGGTCCGCAGTTCAAGTCCACCTTCTGGCGACGATTCCATGAGCTTCTGGGCACTTCGACTGACCTGTCCAGCGCCTACCACCCCGAGTCGGATGGGCAGTCGGAAAGAGTCAACAGCGTCCTCGAAACCTTCATCCGATGTTACTGCGATTACCAACAGGACGATTGGGTCTCGCTTTTGCCGTTAGCTGAGTTCGCATACAATAACTCGGCCCACTCGAGCACCAAGAGCACACCGTTCTATGCGAACTACGGATTCCACCCTGCCTGTGACTTCAAGCTGTCGACCCAGTCCGAGGTGCCTGCAGCCGAGGAGCGCATCGAAAAAATCAAGCAGCACCTCGAACAACTCAAGACTCACCTCGCGGACGCACAGTCCAGACAGAAGGCCAACGCCGACAGGCACCGTAAGTCTTTTGACATTGCCGTCGGATCCAAGGTCTGGTTGTCTCGTCGCAACATAAGGACGCAGCGCCCAAGCGACAAGCTGGATTGGAAGCGCCTTGGACCCTTCGAAGTCGTTAGGGCGATCAACGAGGTGGCCTTCGAACTCAAGCTGCCGAAGTCGATGGCCCGGATCCATCCGGTGTTCCATGCGTCTCTGCTGGAACCGGTCAAGCCCAATGAGCTCCCAGGACGACAGGCACCTCCTCCACCGCCGATCGAAATTGACGGCCACGAAGAATATGAGGTGCAGGAGATACTGGACTCAAGGGTAAGGGGTAATAAGTTGGAATACCTGATCCGATGGAGGGGCTACGGACCAGACGAAGACTCGTGGGAATCCGAAGAGAATTGCAGGAGCGCACCTCAAGTAGTCCAAGAATTCCATCAACGGTACCCCTTGAAGCCTCGAACGCCGACCAAGACCAAGTCCGCAAGACACCCCAGACATAGGAAGGGGGCTTAGGAAGAGGGTGATGTAATGGGCACGCGGACAGGGAGCTCCGGGACGACCCGGAAGGCATCCTGAGGGGGCTTAGCCCGCGCCAAGGAGCGCAGGCAAGCCGGTCCGCTACCCCCCAGGGATGTAAATGCAAGGCGTCGCCCGCCGAAAATAAACCGGCGAGACGACAACACCGTCCTTCGCCTAGTAAACCAGTCGTTACCCGCTCACTCCAGTCCGTCCGCTCTCGTCCAGTCCCCAGTCCTGTTACAGAAATCACACCCAGTGAATTATCTTATCACCTTTATGAATATAAGATCATCACTCTCTCGTACCTTGCCCTTGCTCCCTGCCCTGCTCCTCGTTCTTGCCCTCGTTCCGATTCCCACGCCTTGTCTGCACCGTCAAGAACCCACTCGGTCTGCTGACACCTGTTTCCCACGCCTCGTTCCTGACAATTCTGAAGGGGGTGGCGACCTTGGGAACGATCCATTTGCCGTCGTCTGGGTTTCGGCCTCTGAGCACCGTTCCAATGGCACTGATTCTCTTCTCAGTATCGTTTTCCAGGGTGACCTTCTCCAGGGCCTCGAGCCGGTTGGCGGTGACGGTCCTGGCGCTGGCGTGTGTAACCTTGCGGGCACCACGCGCGGCGGCGGCAGCAAAGGTGTCCGGTGGGGGAGCGCGTTTCTCCTCAGACGCGTGATTGGTGTAGCACACGAGTGCCTCTACCGCCTCAGTGGCGATGGCCTTGAGCTTGTTGACTCCTTCAGGGCTGGAGAGGTCAAGCTGCTGGATCAGCTGCTTCATTTCTTGTGCTCTCTTGGCGCTTGTCAGTGGCTGGCGCCGCGTCTTGTGGCTACGGCCATCACAGACTCGGGCCCCGACCGTGTTGGCGTCGCCGAGGAACACCCGTTGGTTGAAGGCTTGAATGTTGTCCGCAGTGCGGGTCATTAGTCCCCAAAAGGCGAGGACGGGGAAGCGCTGGCCGCACTCCTTAATCTTGGCCGGGTTGTCAGGGCTCATCATGTTGTTCTTGCACACGATGTCGTGGTCGTCTTGGTCGAGGTGCCATGAGGCCTGCTTCCTGTCTGCACAGCGTGAGCAGCGGACCCTGTGGCCTCGGAGTGCAAAGACCAAGCGGAATCGACGATAAGTGATCTCGTCAAAGGTGAGTGACATGTAGTCGGCCTCACAGGCTTCGCCCCTTTCTTCCTTGGCTGCAATTTCGATGGCCCAGTTCTTCTCGGCCTCGACATCGGGAGGGTTGGGGTACATTTCGGAGTCTCCATAGAGCTCCTCGATCGTTGTTTCGATCGGCTTCTGGCCACTGGGGACTATGGGCTGGGAGACTTCTTGGCCATCGCCTCTGCGTTTCTTGGGCGTGGGCTGATCCGTGAGATCGATTGTTTCGGCCTGAGCTTGGGCCTCGGGGGGTGCTCTGGAGGGTCCAGGGACACTGTCATGGACGTCTACGGCCATTTCGGGGGCAGGCGAGTCGTCGGGGGGCATGGTTGGTACCGGGTTGGTTAGGTTGGGAGGCAATGAGAGGGTAGTAATTCAAAACGTGCGTCCGCGGAACACTCGATAACGAGATCGGGGCAAACCTGGGGGAATTAGCTCAGATGGTAGAGCGCTCGCTTAGCATGCGAGAGGCACGGGGATCGATACCCCGATTCTCCACTTTCACTGCCCGGCTAGCTCAATCGGTAGAGCGTGAGACTCTTAATCTCAAGGTTGTGGGTTCGACCCCCACGTTGGGCGATTGGCTCCTATGGCGCAATTGGCTAGCGCGTTCGGCTGTTAACCGGAAGGTTGGTGGTTCGAGCCCACCTAGGAGCGTTTTCTTTTTCTTTGAACCTCATTTATTCAGCCCTGCCGCTCAGACTTGACATTCCTTTTCATTTCCATTTCCATGGTGCCTCTCCATATCTATGATCTTCTGTTTTATTATCTTGGTCGACTGTGTTCTAAACTATTTAGGTCAGAGGCTATCGCTTCGCCATATGCATCTCTTACCTTCACCCGGTTACCCGTTTATCATTGTCATCCAGGATAGTCAGGATAGGCGGACTGTCTTCAGACGTGAGTTCCCTCTCCTTTGGGCTTTCAATTGCGGGATCCTGGGCCTATTTTTTTGGCGATAGCTCGAAGGATTCGGAAATCGTTTGAAGAAATGGTAGAGATTCATGGGAGCCTTACATACGCGGCCAGCCGGCTCTTGCACCAAATTTGCTCTTCTTTACTTGAAGACACAAGCCAATTGATGCGATAGTGAATTACATGTCAATATGATCAGATATGAGACACCAAATAGTCATCTCAGATGGGCTTCTCTAGAATCTAGATCTTCCAGGAACAGTGGCTAGCAATACATAAATCCACAAGACCGTAGATTGTCCATAGCTTGCTTCGCTTTAGATACTTCTCGATTGAAATTCAAGTTTGTCCGGAGTTGTGGTTGTATGAGCACCACGATATTTTTGGTTGACTATCTGGTGGCGAGCAGCCCTTCAGCGTGCCAACAAATGAACTATCAAAGCACCGTGGCTCTATAAACCGAATAAAGTTGCAAGTATTGACCATATTCTCGCTACTGTCAATGCAATTCACTTGACGACGGCGTGATGATGGAGTTGAGTTAGTGAATGCTATCTCACCTTTCGTATTACGTCACCTCACCTTTCGTATTATGCCACCCCATTATGCTGCTGACTTTTATGGGATCTGCATATCACTTATTACTCAAGACGCACCGATCGTCTTTGGTGAAACCCACGGCATGTGTATAACAGTGCGTCTTCTGTTGTGGTCGGTTGCTCAGTTGTCGGTTGAAAGCAGCATATGAAGTACTCACGGTAATGGCACTGCTATGTCCGGTATCGATATTGATTGAAGAAACTTTCAATCGGTTCACTCGAAAATAAAATTATGTTCACACCAATTCTTTTTTTTTTTCGACACTCTTATATATTTTTCTATTTCTATTGGGAAGGGGTAAGGTCCTCGGTAGCGAGCCTGCCCCATGAATACCAAGCCGCGCCATCAACGGCCACTATTGGCCATGGCTCGGCCACGTCTGCCTCTCTTTGCCCAACCTCATCTTCTCGACAAACCTTGGCTCTGTCATTGCGTCCTTACATCCCTGCATCCTTACAACTCTGAAATTCGGCTGCTGCGTCGATTTTTCACCTCAAGATGGACCTTAAAAACCGAATCTTGGCTCGGTTCAAAAACTGGAAGACTGCTTTTCCTGCTGGTGGACCGATCCGCGGCGCTCTCGCCTCGGCAGCTCCGGCTTCCCTGGCGTCCCTATCGAGGCTCCCGGATATTTTCGGAAATCACTTGCGACCAGAGCGGCCCGAGTCCGCTCAAAACTCCCTCGATTCAAGCCGGTTCGTCAGTGGTATCCTGGCATCGGCCAGCGAAAGTCGCTGGGCGACTTGCCCGTGCCCCGTTGGCGAAGGGACCCACCCCAAGCATCGCCAAACAGCTCACTTGAAGCGGCTTCGGCCCTGAAGCAACAAGAGACCGTAGATCACCACAGGCCTATGGCGAAGCACCCAGGTACGTCTGGTTCAATGCGGTCGCTGCTCGTGATACTTTACCCCGACCGCTGCTCGATGCAACTCTGACGCCCAGCCTCGCCAATATCTGCTCCCCGACCGAATCTGCGTATGGATTGTCCCTCGTAACAGTTCCACTTTCTTCAACAATGTGTTTCCCATGGGAGAGTCCTCTCGCTTTGATCCTGCACTCTGATCCCCCTTGTTGGCCCTTGTTCTTTTCCATTCTGTGTATATTCTGGGGTTACATACGAAATGCAGTTATCATTTTATCCCTATCGTGGTCCATTCTCTCCCGTCACTTGTCGGCCTCTATTCTGCTGTTCGTCTGTGACCGTTATGGCATTTTGATAAGCCGTTCTTGACAACTGTGGGCTGACAATGGCACTCCTCTGGTGCTTGTTCTTCACAATTGGTTGACATATCGAGAATCAACAGTTTCGATAGTCCGGATGATATAATCAACTCACAAAACTGAAACATGTCGAGGGGCGTGTTACATATCAGTTATAGTGTTTATGAATTGTTTATAGAATCACAATTCAGTACCCTTTTCCCATTTCCTTCACATCAGCCGCAATATTCTACTTACGCTGATGAGCTGTGGGGTCACTCCATCGACTAGGAGGGCTATATACTTGGTCCTCTGTGAGAGGATTCGGATATTCGTCATGAAGTTCGATTGAGGCTCGTGGTACAGATCCAGATGGAACGAATAGTGGATATGCCCTTCCGCAAACCTATTTTTGAAAGTAGCAGCCATCGTTTCGAAATGTGCCCGTCAATTGATGTGGGTCGCTCAGCATCTTCTCAGCTGGTCTTCTCCAGCTGATTCCGATTGATCAATTCGCTCATTCTTCCATCGAGCACATCCGATATGTATATCCACATGCAAGTCACCACTCTCCCTCAATACATTTCCCAGATTGCAATGCCATCCTCCCCCCGTCTGTGGCCACATCTCTTTGCCATATGGCCCGACTTGTACCACCCCGAGAACTTGTCGATTTCCCATTGCGCCAGCTCGCCCAACGCCGTCACGATTACAATCTGGCATGCTCCCCAGATCTGATACTCACGAGTCACGTGTATCCAAGATTAAGGATATGCTCTTGATTTGCGAAAAGTCCTTCACCGATATCCATGGCAGCTCTGCATGGCTATCTCCCTTGTGTTTGCCGATCTTATTTTATATGTTGTTTCGCGGACTTGTTAGCCCAAAGTTCCCAAAGCTCGATCTATTTCTGTTCAAGTATCGGCTGCTGGTGGTAATTTACCTCAGACTTTCTTGGCTGACTTCGGAGGTTGTCATAGAAAGAGGGAGGTGTTGTTTTGAATGTAAAGTTGGCATCGGAAATTGCTGCCTCGATTTCGATGTTGGGCAGTTCCGAAAGCAGGACCATGCACTGAAACACGGTTGATCAAGGGAGAGGGCCGTTAATATCACCGATCGTATCGTTGAAAGTCGTTTTCAATATCCCCTTGGGGTGTTGAATCGATGTGCAGTCGGTTCAATAGAATTCACCGATGTTGCCCTACCTGGTTGAAGTCGTGATGAATGATCTGATCCCGCAGTTGCGTCAAGATCGCAAGACCGAAGTGTAGACCCACATAGTCTCCGCCAACCAAAAGGTTATCCCATAGAGGATATATCTTATCCAGTGGGAAGATATCTGGGTTTAAGAGGAGCTCACATGAGTCTTCATTACGTCCACAACCAGTGTTCAATCTGGATCCCCGTATCTTTTCATTGACTGTAGCTAACTGATACGGCTGTCTTGTCAATGTACCCAGAGCATCGCAAGCTTTCACTTCTTTGCGATCATTCCATCGAAATGAACTCTAACTCCCACTCATGGCATCGCCTCGCTTCAATTAAGAACTTACGTGCATACATGGTCATGAACCTAGACAGAATTATGTTATAGGAGCAGTTCAGAATGAGACATGCGTCAAATAAGAAGCCACACTGGTTTGTAGCTCTTGTCTTACCAAGGAATTGCATACAAGCTCGGCTGCAGGCCAAGTGTAAGCATATGCAGTGCCAACTCCGGATCGTGAAACGCAATCAACTTGGAAAACACAGTCATGTACCTATATCGATGAGGAGCTTAGGCTGGTGTATCTCATCACAAGCTATATGGTTCAAAGTCCAGCTGACGGCTCGAAAGCTTTGTACTCACTTGTTGATTGTGATGGTGTTATCCACAACGAAGAAATCGGACAGAAATCGCGATACGAATTCCTTCAAGCAGCTATACGCCAGAGCCTGTGCGTCGTTTTTGCAACTGAGTCGTCATCCTCTGAATGATCCTCGTGGAACCAGTTCTGTACGCCCTTCCGTAATATGTAATTCGTGCGATCTTGTTTATTTGTAAGAACCTACCTCATCGTGCAAATTCAGGCACAAAAACGGAGCACAAACAGAGTCGAGTCCTGGATATTCCGGTACAAGCGCATATCAGACGACCCTTCAGAAGTGAACACACTGCTGTATTCTCTCCCTCCAGCTCAGCGACCGGTCATCGGTATTCCCGAGTTGACCGGGAGTATTACGATCAAAACCTCGCATGTTTGGGCATGGGTGACACTCAGACCACTATACCTTGCCAATAAACCATCCGGTGCTCTTCACTCGCCACCCATGCCTTGAGGATGCGCTTGAGTTTTTGGTGGCCAAACGGCGACGCCAATACCTCGTTGTACTATTAGCGTATGAAGTTGCTATCAGCGATATGGCGGGGGGATAGCAGGTTTCCCTGCAGAGCCTCATACCTGGTGGCATCGTGGAATATCTAGCTCGAGCTGCATCAAAACAGCCCAAAAAAACGCGGAGGTCAATCCAGAGGCACTCATGGCAACTCGTTCTTGGGTCGTCGATGTTTCTGAGTCGAGGCTTTTCAATAATCACTCACTTGTCGATCCATTAGCCCTTCACTATCCTTGTCGATCATATCGTATTCGATTTGAGGATTTCCGCTGATGCCCAGGATGGCAGCCCAAACTCGGTTTCGTACAAGCTTTGTAGAACGCTGTGATCAGATAGCGTTGCGAGCCAGTAGGAATCGACTTTCCGATTGTCGCGTCGTACTGAGCGCCATTAACTCGCCAGATTGCTGCTCCACGCACCACCCACCACATACCGCCGGGATTCCGATTGTGGCTTCCTCAATGATTCGTCTTTGAGAATGGGGATATTCGGCGAGATGGCGATTAAACATCACAATGAGTCTCGCTTGGTGGCTTGGATCACGCTGCTTCTCCGTCAACTGACTGCTTCGTTTTGTCCAGTAATCTGGAGCCTCCAGAAGAGACTGGGCCCATCGCTGAACATTTCTTCCCTCGATACTCTTGTAATAGAGGCCCAGGTCATCCATGGCGGCGAGTCCCTTTGGTAGAGAAGGCTGGGTAGTTGTGGCCAACTTTTCGGCCAGAGGCTCAAGCGGGAAAATGCAGATTGAGTCGGAAAACAGCGGGGCGACATCTGTGAGCGATAATATGTCCTCGACGTCGTCTTTGATTCTAATGACTTGTGGAAGGCGATTGATAGCGCTCGTCGAGATGCCATTTCTCTTCACCACTGGGATATCGAGGATTCCCCCGGCCAAGATCCAGAGATGAAAAATCTGATAGAGACTGAAACTGGACAAGAGCCTTTCCGTGTCCGAGAGAACGGCGTTCGAATTGCCAGAAGCATCACTGTCTTCCTGGAGCAAAGGCAAGTGCGGGTGCAGATGCCAGCCCGTCAACGAGGGTGTCGGTGGCACTTGAGGCAGACCAATAAACACTGGGTGGCCCAGTAGCTGTCGGAAATCGGGTCTATCCTCGACCGAAACGACAAGACAGCTCTGGATAAAATGAAGCAACTCGGGATGCTCTGAAACAGTGACGCTTGCTTGTCTTGGCAAAGCCTCTGTAGCAATCTCGGAGTCGAGTTTCCACTGCGAGATATAATCGACCCAGTCCTTGAGCTGGCCCGATGTCAAACCGAGCTGCTCTGGTGCTGTTACCACGTTCATACTCAGCATCTCAAGGGCGAGGATGCCAAGCGACCAAACATCTGCCTATAAAAGTGAAGTCGAAAGAGAGGGAGGAGCGGTCAGCAGAATCATGATGCTCACAATTTCTGTGCTGCTTGCATAGATTTCGTCGGTTTTGCAGCACAATCCCATGCGTGGTTTGAGTGAAGGACACGTTGAGTGACTCTCTCGGAAACCATCACTGGAGTTGGGAAATAGGGCCAGATTGCCTCGCATGGAGCCTGTTGTATTTCTCGCGTATGGCACTGATGGCGGAAAGCCAGTGAAACCGCCCGCGAGACCACAACAACAGTAATCGTTTCTTCCACTCATCAACCGACTTAGTTCCTCCGACCATACCTTGGCAGACGATCGATACAAAGATTCTTGGTCACCGATGAGCACTTCCGGGGGTAGATAAGGGGGATACCTTTGCGACAGAGCCACGGCGCAAGCGATTATGGGTATTAAGGATACCCGCCGGGTTATCGAACAGGATTCGCAAATGTGATTGCGTGCGTTCAAGTGCGACCGGCAGAGATCCTCACCCAATCGGAAAGGATGCATCTCTTCCACAGTCCGTCATGCAATATAGACCGTAGTTGAATAGTCGAACAGAGTCCTGTGGTGGCGTGGGTTCAGCAATTACATGGAAGATATGCCAAGGCACTCCTTGCACAAACTGTGGACGCAAGAAGTGTTTCAGAAGAGTGGATGATAGACGATGATACTGACATGCTCATCGAGAAGCACATTTTTCAAGCACAGATTGCGGTGGACAATGCCCCGCTCAGCCAAGAAGCAGAGGGCCTCAAGTATTTGTCTGATCCATGTGATAACTTTCTTGATGTCAACTTGGGGGCTGTAGATTCAAGTGATGCCAGAGAATGTATACGAATATCATTGTTAATCAACGACCCACACTGGCAAAGCCAAAAGTTGCGTCGAAACAGAGACAAGCAGCGGTGTTTGTAGCGAGACTGGGATAGCGATCGATGGAGGGACACACCTCTCCGTGAGGCGGCGATGAACCGAGTTTTTATGGAAGGAGCTGACGACGTAGATCTGCCCTTGAGGGATCAGTGTTGACCAGAGCGTTGACATGAGCGAAATATTCGTCAGCCTGGCGGCTGATCGGCACAAGTCTCATCGGCATCGTCGGCACTCAATACGACCGATACACGCGGAACCATCACTCAGACGAAAGCATAGCAGCGTCATGTGAATCAGGTGGGATGCAAAACCTCGGTGTTTCTTCACAATGTCGACGTATTCGCAGAGAAAGGGCCCGTTGGCTGACGCTCGCTTCAGGGCTTGGAACTGGCCAAAGATTTTCGCAAGGGGGGTATACGTCGAGACTGGCGTGGGAGCAGGGGGGCTGGGATTTCCGGGGCCACTGGTGTCATCAGAAGGATCGGCCGATCCCCTCGGAGCAGACTGGGACTTGTCGGCAGGGAAAAAGGATATGGCAGCCAGGACCGAGGTGGGCGGCTGCTGGCTCTGGAATGTAGCGGCTCGGAGTCCAAACATGGCTCTTGGTGGGAGCAAAGCAAAGCGAAGCGACGGGTTCGGGAAACGACGCAGTGGATTGAGGCTGGATGGCAAGGGGCGGATGTGGGCAGATTTGTTTGGAGATGGCGAGGCGGATCAGCAGAAGCCAGGGTTGGGTTGGGCGTGGGTGAGTTGGAGTGGGGTCAAACCAAACACAACCGCTGCGCCAGAGTGATGGAGCGAGAGAGAGCGAACCGCAATGGTGCGCAGAGAAACCAACGGAGATTCGTCCTGGTCGCCTCACCACGTGGATAGCAGACTGGAATCGACCTGGCTGAACGACTTCGATCGGCGCTTGCGGTGCTGTGAGAGGTTGCGGTGCTACTCTCTGCTTCCTCTCTCATCCCAGGCACGCCTTCTCGCCCCGGCTTGCAGCGACAGCATCTGCAGCGACTCGCTGGTGCCTGTCCTGCCCACTCACTTCATGCATCTCCATGCATCTTCTGCTGACGCTGGACACCCCGGGGAAATGCCTCGCACCACTCGGCCATTGCTGGCCGAGCGCATGATACCGTATGAAATGATATCAGATCATATGTGATCCAACTGCAGCGTGCGTGTCGGAAAGAGGCGGTGTGTCCCATTGGCTGTTCAACCCGCCGGGCCAGCGTCGCCAGCCGCAGACCGCGTAGAGTTGCCGTCCCAACTCACCCAAGCCGCACCAACCCAACACCACACCCAATTCCACACCCAGCACCACCGCTTCCTCCTTCCTCCATCAGCTTATCCTCATTCTGTCCCGCCCAAGTGTCCTCTATGATGCTCCGTGCCCGTTCTGCCCTTTCGGCCTCATCCCTCCGTCCTGCTCTGCGACAGACGCCTGTTGCCTGGCTCGTCTACACCCCCGCTTGCCGCTCCTTCCATGCCTCTCGGGCTCGGGTTGCCACCCTTGCCTCGCCTCGCATGTGGGCTGCTGGGGCAGTGGCCTTGGGCGCCGCCGCCCTGCTATCGCTCAACTCGGTCGCCAGCGATTCGCCCTCCCAATCGCCTGCCTTGCTGGGGACCGAGAGCACCGGACCTGATGGCATCCCCATCGCTACGAATTGGATCCAAGATCCGCAAAAGCCTCTGCTCGTTGTCCTGGGCTCGGGATGGGGCGCTACCTCCCTGCTCAAGGTGTGTTCTCCCGGATCTGTGTCATGCAGACTTTTCCCGCTCCTATGCTCTTGATGTGGATGCCGGTTTGGGCGGTTGACCAGGGCTGGGAAGGGAGTCCGTCGACGTCGATGGAGGATGTCGACCCCCGCCGCAATTTCTCTCTGCGTTGGTCAAGCACTGGCCATTCAATCCCATCTCTGCGACTGCTCATCCTCTACGCTCGCATGCACTGACGGCCCCTGCCAACGCACAGGAGCTCGAGCCTGGTGCTTACAACACCCTGGTGATCTCTCCAACCAACTGTGAGTTCCGTTCCTGCATGATCTTCCGTTGCCATCAAACTCATCTGCAGCTGCTGGTCCACGCATACCATCTGACACTATTGATTGTCCATGTCTTTGTCAGATTTCCTGTTCACTCCCTTGCTCCCCGAGGTGAGTCAGGGGCTCTTTCCCAAGCACTTACAGCTCAACCGCTACCTGACACATGTCACCCAGGCCTTCCCAGCCCGAGCTCTAATACCATCATCATCATCATCATCGTCGTCGTCGTCGTTGTCGTCTTTGATAGGCAACTACAGGAACAGTCGAGACTCGCAGCCTGATGGAAAGCATCCGTCGCATCTGCCAACGAGTCCGCGCGACATACTTTGAAGCACACGCTTATGACGTTGATGTCCAGCGGAAACTTGTTCTCGTCGAAGTCGATGATTCCATCGCGGTATGCATCGCGTGCACTCCGCCACCATCACATCGTCATCGCGTTGCCGTGAAGCTGTCATCCCATTGCCGCGGGATTGCCATCGCCATGAGGCATGTGAATCCTCCATCGACTAATATTCTCCTCTCTCATCAACCATGACAATGCCCCTGTGCCCTGTTGGTTGGATGTTGCCTCCATGTCGACAGGACCAAGCTGTCAAGCGGAGGTTCTATGTCCCCTATGATCGTTTGGTGGTTGCCGTTGGTGCCCAAAACAACACCTTTGGCATCCCTGGTGTCTCTGAGAACTGCAACTTTCTCAAATCCATCAAGGATGCCCGCGCGATCCGAGCCAAAATGATGGATTTGTTTGAACACGCTGCTCTTCCAACCACGACCGAGGCTGAACGAAAGGCATGTGCATTCTTGGCATGTCCCTTTCGTGTGGACCTGCTTCTGCCATCCATCACGATATCCTCATACCACCTAGCCCCTAAAACACAGAGGTATCCGTGCTGGACTGTAGAGCCCCCAGCATGTTGTTAACTGTCTGACACGTCTTCGTATCCCTTCACTCTCTCAGAAATTCTTGAGCTTTGTCGTCGCCGGAGGTGGTCCGACCGGCGTCGAGTATGCAGCCGGTGGGTGCATACATCCGGCATGGTGTAGACGCAGTCGATTGTGCTATGGCACTACAGATTACGAAGGCATTGGGATCCTCGCCCTCGCCCGCTTACTCGCTTTTTGGGGCCACTCACACGAGTTACTGTTTCTGCATCCAATATCCAGAGCTCTCGGACTTCCTGCACGAAGATCTCATCAAGTTTTTCCCCGATCTCGTCCGCAACGATGTCAGCATCACCGTCATCCAAAGTGCCGACCACATCCTCAACACTTACTCGAAAGGTAACGGGAGTGCAGCCCTTGATCCAGTCGCCATCGGTGTTTCTGAGGTTGGCCTGGTGCGCATATCCTTTGCTGCGACCCGATTTCGGCAACAAGTCTCCGCCCTTAACCTGTCGATCGAATAGCCATTTCAGAGTTTGCCGAGCAAAAGTTTAAGCGCCAGAGCATCAATGTTGTTACCAATGCTCGCGTGACCCGAGTCAACAGCGACACCATCGAATACAAGCTCAAGAAGCCCCAGGCCGGAGGCCCGGAATCCATCGAGTAGGTGACACTGGCCGGTCCATATTGACGTCCCGTTCGTAGCCTTGGAACGATACAAATCATCCTGGGCAGAGCCATAATATTATCGGCACAGCAGGCCAGACTCGATACGCCACTCTGCTCGTATCTGTGGGCGCCGTCCGAGTTTTTACCCAATTAGCGGTCGCTCGACCAACTGACCATCCCTTCTGCGCCACTCCCGCTTCCCAGGCTACCCTACGGCATGTGCGTCTGGAGCACTGGAATTGGAATGAAGCCTATCACCAAAAGACTCACTTCGTCCATTTCAGAGCAAAAGAACTCCAAGGCTCTGCTTGTGGATACGCGACTCAGGCTCTTGGGTGGTGCGGGTGTCTATGCGTAAGTGTGCGCAGTTTCGAGCAATTACTGCTTGTCCTTGCCTCACCGGCGCCGGACTGTTGGCACCTGTCGGCAACGCCGCGCTCTTCGCATCGCTTCACGAGAGTCATGACCATGCTATCCTATCCCATCAACAGTCTAGGTGATTGTGCCACAATTGAAACTCCGCAAATGCTCAAGCTTGTCAATGAACACTACCAAAAAACTGGCCGCGATCTCTGGAGCTACGGCGAGTTTAAAGAGGTATTTCAACTCTCCCCCCCCCTCTTCTGAAACGGATCGCGTCTCGTCTCAGAGTTGACTCGGTGGTCGTCACTGTCTGTGCTCTGTTTGCATCGATCGATCAACGCCGATAGACCTGGCATTTGCTGAGAATCGAATACCGGTGCATTGCTCGTGTCTGTAAATGTACTTTTAGGTCGCCGACGAGCTCGTTGAGCGATATCCACAAACCGCCGTTCACTTGGGCCAGTGCACTCCTGAAGATTTTGAGAAGCTTGATCTGGACCACAACGGTCGTCTGGATCGCGATGAGATCAAGGTTCGTTGACGACTTGCGTTCTCCTTGCGGGTGGCCCTCGGAGTGTGTATTCGGTTGGCTCAGCGATACGCTCGACAAGGCAAAGAAGCCATACGGTTAGGGAATCGCCCCCTCCCCACCCCGTTTGGCTGGAGCAGTGGGCACGATTGCAGCGTCCCGGTTGCCAGAGGGCACAGACTATGGATTGCTTAGAATTGAAACATCAGAAGCAACCATGTCGGGCTTATTTATCAACGACCTTTTGATGAGGCTCCGAGGGATTTTCTGACCCGTGTCGTTCTCGCTCCGAAACAGAAATGGCTCGATGACGTCAACAACCACCTGACGTCGCTCGCGCCAACCGCCCAGGTGGCGTCGCAGCAGGGCGCCTATCTGGCACATCAGCTGAACCAGCTCTCCCTCATCCCGCGTGAAACCTGGGATCACTACGAAAACACAAAGCTCAAGCCTTTCCGATACCGCCATTTTGGCAGCTTCTCCTACGTGGGACATGGTAAGAAAGCATCCGCTACTTTCGCAAGGGACTCTGGCCCATGCCCGATTTCTGTCGATACCGGCACCATGCAGGTTCCCTTCTGATATGGGCAGCAAAGGGGCCGAAGCGCTGTTGAGCCCCATGCGCACATCCATGCAGGCCTCGTCTTCTCACATGATTGATTGTGATGTCCGCTCACTCTCACTCTCACTCTCACTCTCACTCTCACTCTCACTCTCACTCTCACTCTCACTCTCACTCTCACTCGCAATTCATCGTAGACAATGCTGTGCTGGACCTTCAAAATGTGTGGTCGTCCGTTGGCCACATCAATGGCGTGGGCGCCTACTTCCTGTGGCGCGGTGCTTACTTGAGCGAGCAAGTGTCGCTTCGAACCCGAGCCCTTATCGGTTTTGACTGGGTCAAGAAGCAGCTCTTTGGAAGGTATGATCAGATATATCTGTTGCTCAAGGGAATGGTTGGTGGGGCCAAGGACAGTTCGCCCGGCCCTTTTGACCAGGGAAGTAGAGGGGATCCGGTTGACTTTGTCTCTGTCTTTGCCGGTGCAACTTTTTAACAAACCAGTATTTCGTTGCATCACACGCAGAGATATCACCCGATCCTGAGCGGATCATGTGCTTCTCAAGGGGCTTTGTAGATGTACAAACAAGTGCGCTGTCGTTCCTGTCTTCATGTGGTCAATGTGGGGTCTTGTGTCGGTAACTGGGGGGGGGGAGTCAACCAGCGTCGATACGGCTGTTATCCCAGAGCTCTTCTCCGACTGTGGCGGTCTATTTCCTTCGTCTTTGCACAAAGTCTTCGATTTTCAAATCCTCAAGTCTCATTTTCTGCAAACGGCTGTCTGTCTGTGGGGCTCAGCCGCCTCGCACTCTTGCACATTCTCGCAGTCTCTTTCCTTCTCTCTCTCGATCTCTCATTCAGTATTCGATCTGCTTCAAAGAGCATCCGCATTATTTCTGGGGCAGGCGCCCTGATCCGTTGTGCATTTGCAATCTTTCTCGCGCAAGTTTCTGGCATCATATCTGGACCGCAATATACATGTGCCGCCCCCCTTCCGTTCTGAGCCCTTCCCTTTTCTCCCCAGACCAGAACCATATTCTTTTCGTTGGCAGCTGTTGTTCTATATTGGGTTACGGATGGGATCCCACAGAGCCAACAAAAGAGCATATTCGAGAGAGAGAAAATAGATGGCAAGAGAAGAGAGAAAAAAGGCAAGGGAGCACGCAATGCAGGATGATTTCCATGGATATCAACGACAGTATTGCCGCCGCGAGTGCGGTTGTGAAATGAAGAAAAGGCTAGGTTTGTCCGCCATTTTCGGGTGCGATGCGAGCAGGTAGGTATGCAAGAGGATTCTCCCCTCACAGGAACGGGATATTTTGGTTGGTAGCAACCGGATATGAAGTTGTCCAAGACAAAAAGTGGCCTTCAGTCCGAGCAGCGGGACATGCGCGGGACCAAAGCATCGACCGAGAGAGAGAGATAGATGGAGAAGGAAGGAACCAAAACACAGGAGGAGTATATAGAGGGAGAGAGAGAGCGAGCGAGAGAGAGAGAAAAAGGGTGGTATTTTGAACATACATACAGGGCAGAGAAAAACACATGGGCATGGAGTAAACTCCGTATTGGGATGATATCAACAAATGATGGGATGGTCGCAATGGATGATGGTCGCAATGGATGATGGTCGCAATGGATGATGTCGATGGATGAGCGGTGAGAGAGCGGCGAGCTGTAGGATGTGTAGTTCTAGCAGAGATGGGAGAGAGATCAATAGAAGCGGAAAGGCAAGCGATAAACAATAAATAGGATGGAAAAAGGTGCGGTTCGATAGAGCATAAATAGAGGCGTTTGGGTCGGGGCGAGTGCGCTATAGATCATGGGTAGCAAGGCACAACTTGTTGATTGAGGGGTCCGTTTTGACGAGATCGTTGTCTGGCCCACATGATTCACATACGAAGGACAGCTTCGTCTCCTTCAAGGCTCGTAGATACCACCCCAGGGCATGGCGATATGTTCGTTCGCGTGCACGGCTGTGGTCGTAGGGGTAACGCGGCCGTCGAGCAGACCAGATCCTCTGTTGCCGAGGCCAAAGATGCCAGGAGCGGGGTGGTGGTGATGGGGAGGGCCGACAGGAGCGCCGACAGGGGCCCAGCCAACCATGCCGCCGTTGATCTCCTGGGGACCAGCGTGCATCCAGGGCTGGGGAGCAGCAAAGCCCTGGTTGTTGATGGGAGACAGAAGCGACTGCGACTTTTGAGGGAGAGCCTGGTTCCACATCTGAGCGCTGAAGATACCGTTGGCAAGTCCCTTGTGCATGGGAGGGGCATGCAGATCGTAAGGATCCTTGGCGACAAACTGCTCGGACCAGCCGCTGAACGACTTGCTGGGGCGACGGTTACGCGGAGGGAGCTCGGGCATAGACGGGTAGCCGCCAGAGACGCCCCCCCATTCGGGGGCCATCGAGGGCTGTGCTTGGCCGATGACGCCCCAGTCGGCTTCGGGGCTGCTTCTTGGGGGAAGCGAGTCCAGCACAAGCGAGTGGCGAGGGGAATGTCCTCCGGGAGTCTTGGAGAATCCACCGGCGGCAGGGAGCCAGTCGGCCGAGGGGGTGCTTGGAGGATTGATCAGGGACGAGCTCGAGGTGCTCTTGCGAAGAACCTTGTCTCCCCAAATGGGGTACTCTTCGCGAGGGGCGCTCCAGAGCGTAGTGCTGGGGGTGAGGGCGCTGGTGACAAGCTGGAGCGGATGGTGGTTCCACTCGGGAGCATCAGTCAGGCGGATGTTGGCAACCCGGTCCCACTCGGAGCCGAGCACATCGTCGTCTGCAGGACCGCTGGCGTTCGTAGCCCAGGCCGGGGGCGAGGCAAGGCCGGCGGCGGCTGTACCAGGCAGGACAGTGGCTGAGGGGCCAAGGTAGTCTGCGCGGTGATCGGTCGAGCGCTCGGGGAGGGTCAAGAAGTCATTTTCAAAGTCATCCAGCCAGGGAGCGAACTGGGATGCGCTTGCAGCCGGCAGAACGTCCGAGTTGGAGCGCATGGTCTCCAGCGAGCGAGCTGGGACGGGAGGGTGATGCGCAAAGGCAGAGTTGATGCCAGAGACAACATTAGACTCACTCCAGTGAGCGCCGGCATTCCAGGCGGCTCTGTTGTGGCGCAATTCGGGCGCAGAGTGCTTGTGAGGGAGCCTGATGATAGCAGCGATGTGCCAGACGATGGCTGGTTAGCGGCCGCGGCCAACACCGACAGAAAGCTCATCGAAGCTGTTTAAGCACGCAAGCTGGGGGCTCGGGCTTGGGCCTGAGCTTGGTCGAGACACCCAGACCAAAAGCTGCTGCCAATCCAGAATCAAGACCATTCATTCCCAAGCGAGCAAGAAGATACTTACTTGCTGCGAGCCAAGACGTCCTGGGCCGCAGCAGAAGCGCGAGGGGTAGCCCAGGACGGGGTGTAGCCGGACACATCACGGCTCTGATCCAGCTCAAAGGAAACCTTCTTCTTCATGACCGCAGGGTCGCCCTTGGGAGCGGGCCAGGCGGCTGCGCCAGAGGCAGCATTTGCCGGGCCGAAGGACGGTGGCTCGCCCCAGCCGCTGGCCTCGCTGGGCGGGAAGCCACCGGATCGAGAGAGGGAGCGCTGGCGGCCAGTCTCCTCCTGGGGCATCTCGGTAGTATCGCCGTAGAGCGGCTGGGCGGGGAAAGCGGTTGTTGCGGGCTTGGAGGGCGAAGACTTCCAGCCAGCAGGGAGGCCCGAGGACACAGGCTTGGGCGGAGAACTCCACTGGGCTGAAGGGGCCGGGGCCGCCTGTCGAGAAACGGATGCGCTTGAGCCCTTGTTGGCCTGAAGGTTTTGGGATGCCCAGCCACCAAGAGCCGAAGGGGCAACAGCAGGGGCGCCGGTGGAGGGTCGGTCCCAGTTGGCGCCGCTGCAGAAGCTGGCGGTGTCCTTTCGAGGAGGCGAATTCCAGGTCGGAGCTGAGATGGCCCACTGCGAGGGAGACTTGGGTGCAGGAATCTGGGTGGGCTCGGAGCGCTCAATTTGAGGGGTGCTATCTGTGACCTTGGATCCACTCCAGGCCGCGGTGCAGGCTGGGTTTGGTCCGGATACGGGAACGGCAGGCTGAGAGCTAGTGTCTGAGCCCTGAGAACCGGCACGGACAACTTGAGGTTGGCTCGGGCCGGACGAATTGGACACGGTGGGGACTTGGGCAGAGTGGCTCTGGGCTTGCGCAGATGCATCGGTCTTCCATGTGGACGGAACCTCGAGTCTAGTGGAGATGCGGGTGGAGGAGGACGGGTATAGGGGTGAGAAATGAACCAGGATACACAAGCGCAGATCTGGGGGGGGGTTGCGCAAGCTGGCGGACGGGGACTGAAGCAGCAGCGAGAGCAAGAGCGAGACACTCCTGCTTACTTGGAATTAACGTCCGGTCGAGAAATGATGATCTTGAGGGTCTGTTTGGATTTGATCTTCTTGATACGGCCTGGACGAACATGATGACGCGGCGAGGTGAGCAAGGGGAGCGAAGATCAGGATGGGGGGCTGAGGACGAAGCGCACAGGCAAGCTGTGATCATGAACATGGCAGACAAGCTATGACGATCATGGCAGACAAGCTGTGATGATCATTCATGACAGGCATCCCTGTGAAAACGCCAGCACTTCTCGGAGCCACCAGTCACACCAACGAGCGACAAGACCTACATGGGTCGTATTCAATCTTGAGACGAGTGCCGTGGAGCCTCTGCGGATACAAAAGATAAAGGCTTGTTTGTTAGGTTGGCGACTTTGGTGAGTCGATGGATGCCAAATACCGAGAGAATCAAGCAGCCGAGGACTCACCTCGCCGCTGAGTCTCAAAACCTTTTCGAGAGCGCTCTGGTCGGGAACGTCGACATAGGCACAGGGTCGGGTATCCGGGTTGTTGGAGAGACGGATTCTCAGAATCTGCAGGAGAGGAGAGAAGCACAGAAATGGGCGGGGGAGCGATGAGCCGTTATGCAGGGTTCGTCGGGTTGACGGGAAGGAGTACGATGATACTCGATTGATGTCGCTCGCCGGAGGGGGGATCGCGGTGCTGAAGCGAGCCTTGTCGTCGCCAGAGAGATGCAGGGTCAGGGACGAGCGAGACGCACCGGCGAGTTCTTGAAAAAGTCAATCAGGTCCTGTTCGGTGACGGACTCGTGCAGGTTGCCGACCCAGAGGGTCTTGACTTCGGGGGTCTGCGGAAAGCGGAGCGAGGGTCAGCGCAAGCCCAAGCCTAAGACGACGCGTGACCGTGTCCGAACGAGGCGGATGGATGAAGATGGGTGGTGGGCAAGCACAAGCTGGGTGGATGCGGGCGGGGCAGCACAGAGGACCCAGGAGCGAGCACCGAAGCGGTACAAACGATCTGCGTCGCGCTGCTCGAGGATCCGCCAAGGGCCCGAGGAAACCATGGGAGCTGTTTGGCGTGTAGCCAACGAAGGGGGACGAGATCATCACGAGAGCGGCCCAGAAGCAGAAGAACAGCGATCGCACCTTTTCGAGGGTTGAAGAAGAGCTTTCGAGCTGCTGCTGGTGCTGGTGATGGTGGTGATGGTGGTGGTCGGCGGCGTGGGCAGGTTGTGAAGGGCTGTCCTTAAGCGAGATGCGCGAGTCGATCCGGTGAAGGGCACGGCGGGGATCAGGGCGAGTAAGGTCGTCGCTATGGGACGAGTGATGGCCGGCGCGAGCAGAGGGCTGCGACCACAGCGAGGACTGCGAGGCAGCCGAGACGGCAGCCCAGGAGTGCGCCGGAGCAAAGCCGGACGACGATGACGATGACGACGACGACGATGGGGTGGTGGTGGTGCTGGAGAAGGACATGCCCGGAACCAAGGATCGGTCCTTGGGCGCCGGGTCGACGGCATAGTACGAAGATCGCTTGCTAGTCAAAGTCATGGCTGGAGCGACTGGATGGATGGTCGCGAAAGAACAAGGTATAGAGTGGAAGTATAGAATGGAGGCGAGGGCGCTTCGATAGAATGGGGGAGAGGTAGTGCCGAAGAAAAGGCAGAAGCGAGGGGACTTGATGACCAGAAGAGGGGAAAGCGGATCAGGAAGTCAAAAAGAGCCGAGCAGCGGCGGTTGGTTGGGCGCAAAAAAAGTAAGGGTGTGGAGGGCGAGAGCAAGGACAGCGGATGGGTCAACGGACGACGGCCGTGGCTTCGGACCTGCACGAGCGGGGACAGCCGGACGGGCGGTATTGGCGAGGGCAAAGAAGAATAGAGTGAGCGAGAGGAGCAGTGTGCGATCGCAGAGACGCCGTTGCATATATGCGGGGGGTTGAGTTCTTGCCGATGGCGCTTGCAGCGCGATGTGCAATGCAGTGCAATGCGATGGGCGTAATGCAGTGGGTAATGCAGTGGGTGTAATGCAGTGGGTGTAATGCGAATGCAATGCTATCACCAACGAGAACTATACGCCAACGAGATAATTCACAATTCCAAACGAGTAAACCAAATCGGGCCCGTACCAGATGGCAAAGCGATAGAGCGGAGGACAGGCGCAGGGACGATGGCAAGAGCAAAGGTGCCGCCCGAGAGCCAAAGGCAAAGAGCGAATTTCCAGAGAGATGATGGGTCCGGACGAGCGGCGTGGGGAGAGCGAGCGCAAACGAGCGAGAGAGAGAGTGAGAGAGAAAGAGAGAGATGATGGAGGGAAGAAGTAAGACCACAAAGGGCGGGAAGCGGCGAGGCTGAAGAACCAAACCGAAAACCGGCTCAGGGCAGGGCGGGACGGCGGTTATAAGAACGGCGCAAGGAGCGCGGGGGGGGGCGAGCAGGATCGCCGCAGATCGACGCAGATCACAGCAGCGAGAGCCCATTGGCGGGGGACGGGACAGAACGGGCCGGGATGGGCCAGGAAGGGCGACGAGCGAAACGCTTTGAGCCGGCGGCATTGCATTGGGCGAATAGCATTGGGCGAATAGCACTGGTGAATAGCACTGGTGGATAGAATTGGGCGAATTGCATTAGTGTACGAAGTGGGTGTGAGGACTCGCAGAGACACAGTGCCCGCAGAGACTGTGCTCGTGGGAACGCTTGCAAGCACTCGCAGAACACAATCCTCGTGCGGGAACAAGACCCGGGCTGGAGCGAGGCGTGGCCGACGGGGGCGTGGGCGGCCGCTGGCGGGTGTGGGGACGGCGCTGTTCATGTCGCCGATACGATCGCTGTCGCCGATACCATCGTTGCCATTGGTACTATCACCGTCGTTAATGTCATCACATCATTAATACCATCGCATCATTAATGCCATCGCATCGCCAGCGTCGCGGCTGCTCCTGCCAATGATTACTGCACCGCCCGCCCGCGAAATGCGCTCCCGTCCCAGGGTGCCCGTCCGTTGCTGCATCCGTGGATCCCGATGCCGCTGGAATCGCCTGCCGCATGGCGCTCGCAACCGACGCTCGCTCAGCTCCCTTCGCGCAAGCACATTCGCTGGGCATGTCCAATCGTCGCTGGCCTCCAGAGCAGCCCAGCCCAGCCCAACAGCAGCAGCAACAGCAGCAGCAGCACCTTCCCCCCCCTTCCTCCCGAAACAAACGTGGCTGCCCGATAGCGCCATATGGCCGGTGGGTGCCGGCGTCCCATCCAGACCAGAGCCCCCGCGACAGGGCACCTGCACGCCGGCCGGTGGGGAGCCCCGCTGGATGAGAACGTGCTCGTTGGTGGCGCTTGCCGTTGTGCTCTGCGAGGGACGGTCGCATGCTCGCTGGCCTGCCACTGGCCGGCAACAATCGTTGCCATCCACAAGAGACAGTCACAACCGCTCTGCTCAACTTGCAATTCGCCATCACCTATCCATTCACGCTCCTTCACCTATTCACTCCATCACGTATCCACTCTATCACCTATGCATTCACGCTCCATCACCTATTCACTGCATCGCTCCTTTCTCCCCTTCCCCCCTGCCTCCCACGTTTTGCCATCCAGCCTCCTTCGCTCTGGAACCCGTTCCTCGTTTCGCCTGCAGCGGCCATCCTCCACCACGTGGCCGCCGCTGCTGCTCTCTCGCACACGCCTCACCGGATCTGGACCAAGCGGACCACGAGGCGTTTTGCTCAGGTGCGTTCTTCATCGCCCGCGGGCCATGCGAGCCCTCACACCATGTGCTTGGCGATCGGCGGGCGGTGCACCGCTCCTGTCAGCGGGACTCATCTCGCCATGGCCGACCAACCGGATTCGAGGCACCTCCCCTCGGCCACGCCTGCTGGCTCAGCGACCCCGATCTGCTCTGCCTGCTCAGCCGCACCAGGCCGTCACCGCACCTCCACCACGCCGACTGCTTTGTCTCCTCTGGTCTGGACTGGTCTCGTCTCGTCTGATCTGGTCTGGCCTGGCTCGGCTGAAAGTGGGTCGATACAGCTCGTTGTTGACTCCGGGATGCAGGCAGCACATATGGACCCGGACTGCCTCGGACAACGTGGCCCCCCATGCCCTCGTTCTCGTCCCTCACTGGATGTTGAGGTGCTTTTTCAGCTTGACCACCAGTGCCCAGTCGTCTTTGCTCAGATCGTTGCGGAAGGTGGTCTTCAGGATGTCGATCGAGCCGCGGTTGATCTGTGTCCGAGGAGAAACCAGCATGCCCCTCTCTTGTCAGCCACTCGTTCTGCATCGACCTCGCCATCGGCCAAAGCCTGCCCCATCGTCACCGCAAGGATACTCACATGGCTGTAGAGCTCGTTTTGCTCGTTAAAGTGGCGACCAAACATCTTGGGGGTGTCGTAGCCCGGCGACTCGACACGGATCGAGACTGAGGGCTCGCCGCGCTTGACAACGTCACGCGGCTTGCGATTCATTTCGATACCAACGACCTTGCCAATGTTGATCACCGTCTTTTTCTGCACGGCGTGAGCACAAAGATGCCGAGTCGCAAGGGATCAGTTCCAGAGTCCAATCGTGACGTGCAACCCCGCAGGCGATACTTTCCTCTCCCCACTCTGCGACCCTGTCGAGTTATGCCTGCTCATTCGATTCATCGGCCACATCACCAACTTGTCCGCCTGGCAGACATGACATGGTCCACCCACAAAATGTGCCGCGCATCGCATCGCATCGCATCGCATCGTATCGTATCGTATCGTATCGTATCGTATCGTATCGTATCGCGATCCCTACCTCGGGCTCGACAACGGCCAGTGGAGTGCCAATCTTGAGTATACCCTCCACAACGTCCACGCCCAGGATGATCGGGTCGCGCTTGTTGAAGATGGCGCCGGGCACGATCTTGAGCAGGCACGGGAAGATGGCCTTGGGGGCTTCGTCGCGCCGCTTCTGCTCCTCGAGCTCCTTCATGTACGCCGTGAACTGGTCAAACAGGTGGTAGATGATGTTGGCCTTGAAAATCTTGACGCCGCACTCGTCGGCGAGCTGCTGGGCGTCCTTGTCGATGGGGACATCAAAGGCCAGCAGCTGCGCGTACTCGCGCGCACGGTCGAGCATGATCGACGCTCGAATCACATCCTTTTTGTAGACCGGTCCAATGTTGATGCCAGACACCGGGATGTTGGACGTCTTGAGGAAAGCCAGCAGCGCCTCGAGCGAACCCAGAGTCGACGCCTGGACACAGACACCCTTGCCCGACTTGTCGATGGCGGACAGCAGCGAGGTCAGGTCCTGCATCACCTCATCCTTGATGTCGTCCTCGTCGTCGTCGGGACCAATCACCATCAGGCGCGAGCCGGCAATGGCCTTGTCGAGACCAGGGGCACTGATCTTGATACCCTGGGCGGCCTTGACGGAAGCGTGGTGAACATAGGCCGACTTGACACGCAGCTCGCGCATGGGTTGCGGCGTCAGCAGCGCACGGACCTGGGTAATGATCGGTCCGTCCAGACCGCACACGCAGATTCGGTCACCTTCGTTCAGGACACCGTTCGAGAGAATGACATCGATGGTGGTGCCGTGACCTTCGATCACCTTGACCTCCAGCACCGTACACTCGAGCTCCGAGATATACATCAGGCGCTCCGTCATTCGCGTCTGCGTCAGGTCCACCAGCAGGTTGATGAGATCGGGGATACCCTCGCCCGTGTGTGCCGAGGTCGGCACCAGCGAGACGTATTTGGCAAAGTTGCGGTTCTCGTAGTACAGGCAGGCGTTCAGGCCCTGCTCGGCAAAGGCCAGGATCGTCTTTTGCACACGGTCATTGTACTCCTTGATGACAAAGTCGGGTTGCTGGGCAAGCGACTCCTCGACAGGGTGGTCCGGCAGCGCCTTCCAGCCAAAGAGACGGTCGATCTTGTTCAGCGCAACAATGAAGGGCGTCTTGCGGTCGCGCAGCAGGCCAAGCGACTCGATCGTCTGGGGCTCGAGCCCGTGCATGATATCGACAACGAGCACGGCGATGTTGCAGAGCGACGAGCCTCTGGAACGCAGGTTCGAGAAGGACTCGTGGCCGGGGGTGTCGATGATGAGGAGACCGGGGATCTTGTACTCGACGTGGTTCTTGAGCAGGGCGGTCTTCTTTGCGATGGCCTCGGCGGGCATGTACGTGGCACCGATCTGCTGAGTGATACCGCCGGCTTCGCCCTCCTGGACGTTGGTCTGACGGATCTTGTCCAGCAGCTTGGTTTTGCCAGTGTCGACGTGGCCGAGGATACAGCCGATGGGCGAGCGGAGGTTATCCTTGGACCGCGCAGCCATGGCCGCAGCGACGCGGGCCTGGCGATCGGACTGGGCCTTCATCTTGCGCTCCCAGGCCTGCTTCTCGGCGACCGTCATCTCGTCGTCGCTATAATCGTCCTCGTCATCATCGTCGCTGTCATCGTCGTCGTCATCGTCCTCGTCCTCGTCGTCGTCGTCATCCTCATCCTCATCGTCCTCATCTTCATCTTCATCGTCCTCATCCTCTTCTTCGTCCTCCTCGTCCTCATCCTCTTCATCTTCTTCGACAGGCTTTTTGGCGCTGGACTTGGCGGCGCTAACAGGGGCCGCCGGCTTGGGCTCGGTCTTGGCAGGGGCTACAGATTTTTCAACCTTGGCTGAAAACAGCGGGGAAGCAAGACGAGCAGCTATTAGAGAAACGCATGGCACGACGAAGGCACCAAGGCATCAGCCAACCGGCCAGCCAACCGACCAGCATATCAAATCGTGCCAAGTGGCCCAGGACGGACCGTGTCCGAGGAGATGCTGCAGTATTGAGGGGGGGGGCGCTGCTTCCAAAGACACACAATACAGCACTAGCACCCCCCTTTAGCCTCAAATGCAGCGATATGGAAATGCACATACCGGGCTTTTCATCCTCGCTTTCCTGCTCCCAGTCGTCCTTCACGTCATCGTCCGAGTCCTCCCAGTCTTCCTTGACGGCTTGGCTGGCCTTGGGGACTGGTGACGCGGCGACGACGCTGGGGGTAGCAGCAGCCACGATCGCGGCGATGCGGCGGGCCTCTTCGTCCTCAAACTCGTCCTCCTTCTTGGTCTCTTCGATCTCAGCGGCCTTCTGGACGGGGGTGGAGCTTCCACTATCGGCCTCAGCGGTCTTGGTCGAGGTCTTCTTCTTCTTGCCGTAGACGACGCGCTTGGGCTTGGCGATCTCCTCGCCCTCGTTCTTGGCAAGGGCAGGGACGACAATGCCCTGGTTGTCAATCATCTGCTGCAAGCGGCGCTGCTGCTGCTGTTGAGCCGCCTTCTGGGAAGGAGTGAGATACTTGCCGCTCTTCCTGAGCTCATCCTTCTTCTGCTTCTCCTTCTCCTTCTTGCGTAGACGAGCCTCTTCCTTCTTCCTCTCCTCCTCCTCAACGCGCCGCCGCTCTTCCTCTACACGTCGGGCCTCTTCCTCTTCCTGGCGCCGCTGCTCGGCCTCCTGGGCCTCACGCTGGGCTTGCTGCTGTCTCAGGAGCGTCAGGAGGGCATTGTTGCGCTTGGGGCCCTTGGCTGTGGCAGGAGGCTCCTCTTCTTTCTTGGCAGCGGCAGCCTTCTTCTTCTTCTTCTTCTTTTTGTCCTTGTCGCCGCCGGTTTCTTGGTCATCATCGTCCTCATCCTCGGCCTGCTCGGTCGGGGCCGCAGACTCGGCAATCGGAGCTGGAGTCGGTGCTGCGGCACTGGTGCCTGTAGTGGCCTTCTTGTTCTGCTTCTGGCGCTCCTTGCGCTCACGCTCCTTTTCCTTCTTGGACTTGAGACGCACCTCGCCCGTCTCTTGTTCGTCGTCTTCAGCATCGGCAGCTGCCACCGGGGCAGGAGCAGGAGCAGGAGCAGCAGCCGCAGCAGGGGCCGGAGCAGGGACTGGGGTCTCTTGTTGAGCGGGAGGAGCATTGCCCTCCAGCTCGGCCATGATACGCGCAACCTCGTCGTCTTCATCCGCGTTCTGCTTCTTTCCCTTCTTTCCCTTCTTGCCGCCCTTCTGAGCAGCAGGAGCAGGAGCAGGAGAGGAGACAGGGGCTTCGTCCGCCACGGCATCAGCGGCAGCAGGCTCGGGAGCACGGCCCTCCAGTTCAGCCATGATGCGTGCCACCTCGTCGTCTTCTTCGGCCGACTTTTTGCCCTTCTTGCCCTTCTTGCCACCTTTCTGGGCCGGCGCCGGGGCAGCCGCCGGAATGGGCTGCGACTCCTCGTCGGGTTGGTCTGCCAGATCATCAACGTCGGCATCAAGATCTTCAAGAGCGGCAAAGTCGGCGGCGGCAGCCTTGGCCTTTCCCTTCTTCTGCTTGTTCTTCTTGACCGGCGCAGCGTCGACCATGGGCTCTTCGTCGTCGAGGGGCTCTCCAGCATCGTCGCCATCATCGAGTAGCGAGAAGTCGGCAGCAGCGGCAGCGGCCTTGCCCTTCTTTTGGTTCTTCTTGTTCTTCTTTGCGGGAGCAATGTCCTCTTCCGGCTCCTCCTCGATGTTCATGGCATCAAGCTTGGCCAGAATCTCGGCAGCATCTTCGTCGCTGTCGATGGCGCGGTTCTTCTTGGGCTTCTTGCCGCCCTTCTTCCTGCTTGCAGACGAGGCCAAGGCAGCCATCAGACCACCAAGGTCGTTTCCTTCCTCATCGGCATTGAACTTGACGCTATCATCGGCTGCGGGCTCTTCAGCGGGCTGCTCGGCGGGCAGAGGCTGTGGGGCCTCATCAAAGGCAATTTCGATATCCGAATCGTCGTTTCGGCGACTGTTCAGTTTGATACATCCCCACCACGATGTACCAGAAATATGTCCATATGTCCGGCGGGTTGTCGAGGTGCGTGATCCCGAGGGTCGATTGGGGTGTGCAGCCAAGAGATATCCGCAGTGGCGCCGCCGCGATCGGCAAATCAGTATACATGATGTAAGATGGAGGTAGATTGATTAGGCGAGGTGCTAGGCTGCACGCCGGGAGATGAGCATCGCCTCTGGGCCTTACGATGGCGCTGGCAAAGTGCATTTCCAAGCCAGGTCCGGCTCGCATGGTCACAGGCCCAGCCCCGACATCGATGGCGAGCCGGCATTGCTCCCCTGGTGCACAGAACAGCGGGCCTGGATTGCGGTGTCTTGGGACGAGTACTGACCCTTTGTTTCCTCCCTTTGCGTTCTTCTTTTTCGGCGGCATGATGGCGGCAGATATGGATCCGACAGGACTGTCCTGGAATCGGCAAGGGACGATGGTCAGATACGACTCGAGCAAGAGGTGCCCGACGAACAGCAGAGCAATTTAAGGACCGTGCTGCAGAGCGGCAAGTGGGACAGTCGATGTGGCAGTCTCGGCCAGCAATGAGACTCGGTCCGAGGCAGCACAGCGACGCAATCTCAGGCGGGACAGCGGATCGCCGCAGGCCCGCATATCCGACACCCCAGGCCCGACATGCATCGTAGCAGCGGTGGCAGATGCATGCGCCACATCATTGCAGCAGCCTCCACCACGACGAGGGAACAGCCGCACAGGATGGTGACAGGCAAACAGACTCACTTTTCTCGATGGAGCAGACGAGGGTGTCGCAGGATCGCTGGATCGCTGGATCGATGGATCGATGGTGGGTGTGGGAGAAACGGCCAGCCGGACGCCGCCCCCAAGACAGAGGGCCGAAAAAAAAGAGCAGCCAGGCTCGATCCAGGCTCGACCCAGCGACAGCCACACACACACACACACCTCCGCCCCCGACCTGCTGCGCACACACATGTTTTTCTGCGCGCAGCACGCGACCGCCGCCGCCGCTGATTCGCCGGAGCGGCCTCCGCTGCCCGAATCGTCGCCCGATGCAGCACCGGCCACCCCCCAAGAAGCACTGCTTGCAAATCGCAATTCGCAAACTGCAGTTCGCAATTCGCAGCGCCGGACGATATAAACCGCACTCTGGCCGTCTCCTGCCGCTCTCCCCAGCCATCTCTTCCCTGCAGCCATGTCCCAGGATAAGAAAATCAAGATTGGTGTCCTCGGTATGCCCTGGACAGATGCGCTGCCCTCTCCCGACAACACCGACTTGCCATCGCCATCGCCATTGCCGACCTGGGCCCTCTGACCGTCCCGCTGCTCTCTGTCCTGCTCTCTGTCCTGCTCCGCCTCGATTCCAGCTCTTCAGGGTGCCTTTGTCGAGCACATCCACGTCCTCAAGCGGCTGCCCCAGGTCTCGGACGCCGTCCCTATCCGAACCCCGGAGGAATTCCAGGGTTCGCAGATCGATGCCCTTGTCATTCCCGGCGGCGAGTCGACCTCCATTGCGCTGGTTGCCGAGCGGTCTGGACTGCTGGATCACCTCCGAAACTGGGTCAAATCCGGCAAGCCAACATGGGTAAGTCGCCGGGGCGAGATCACTGACACACCAGCGCCAGCGATCGATGTGGGCCCTCGGAGCCAAGACCCGGAGAATGAATCGCATGGCGCACAGGCTGCTCACTATCGCTTACGACCATTGCATCGTATCGACACTCTCTTCATTCGCCACTTCGCCCCCTCCCAACTTCCAACATCCAACGCCCGAATGACTCGTGTTGCAGGGCACCTGCGCTGGCATGATCCTGCTCTCCAACCACGCCACCCATACCAAGCTCGGCGGCCAGAAGCTGATCGGCGGCCTCGATGTCGTCGTCCAGCGCAATGCGTTTGGCGCCCAGGTCGATTCGTTCAGCGCACCTTTGACCATCGACGGTGTCGCTGGCGAGCCCTTTCCGGCAGTGTTTATCCGGGCCCCGATCATCGAAAGCGTGGGCTCGGACGTCGAGGTCATTGCTCGCCTCGATGCCAGCCGTGATGAGCGCATTGTTGCTGTCAAGCAAGGCCATCTGCTCGCTACCGCATTCCATCCCGAACTCACCAGCGACGACCGCTTCCATCGTCTCTTTGTCGAGCACGCTCTGGCACACCTGTCGTCTTGAGACCGGCTCCCACAATACACTCAAGCCCTATGCACCATGACCACTCACTCACACCCATGGCTCCAAGTCCAAGCTCCGCCCAACCAAATCACGACGTCGTCAGTGGCAACGGAGCACTGTCGCTGATGGTCGTCCCACGGCTCGGGCGGTGATTCCATCTTGTTTTCACTCTGGACGGCAATATCTACAAATACATAACGATGAGAAAACGAAGTGATGCTGGCGGGCGGAAGGTACAGCGTGTTGGAAGAAAAGCAATGGAACATATCGTCTGTCTCGGACAAAAGCATGCCGCAGTTGGATCGTATCGTGCACTCGGCCGAGATCCACCAAATGGGTAAGATCGCTTCCTCGGGTGCTCGTCCCATGGAGCCCGTCCAAGACCGTGGCATCTCCGCGGTCGATATCTCATCGGCCGAGTCCATCACAATCGTGCGAGCGCCAATCGATGTCATCCAGCCTGGAGATCGATCAACATCAACATCAACATCATTCAGCCAGGAGATCAACCAGCATTCACGTATGTACTGTATCCCATTTCAATTTTGGGTGGAATGCAAGGCGCGCGAAAGCGCTCCTGACGCTGGTATGGCCAGTAACACTTGTACGAACAAACGAGTGGTCATAGAAGTGCTGCTGAAGGATTCGAGGTTTGACTCGAGCACGCAATCGCGACGCTGCTACTTGACGAAGCGCAGATAACCTGCGGTGTGGAGCAGTGAATGTCAGTGGAGCTGGCGTCGCTTTACCCAACGAGGAGGGGGGCAATCGCACGGACTCGCTGATCCTGCGGTCGGTCCAATCAGCACGACTGTGCATATGAGCGAGGATACTTACTGAAGAAGAGGGCTCCGCCGGCACAAAACAGAGCTGCAGCCAACAGGACAAAGTTTGCGTCGTTAGCAGCCGCGATGCACAGCTGGACTTTGGCCAGTTGAGCAGAGTGCTTCCCCCTCCCCGATGGAAAGCGATCGCAGGATCGGCATGGCCCCCGTGTCCACAAGGCACTCTCTCCAGGTAGCGACAACGTACGAAAGAGGGTCTTGAACAGGTCCCACTGGATTGTCTCCATCTGGCCCTTCATCTGAGACACCTCCGAGTCGATCTTGGTGTCGGCCTCCTTGATCTTAAGCTCCTGATTGCTCTGTTCGTCGCGAATTCGGCCCTTTTCAAGCGAAAGCTCCAGCCGAACGCTGGACTGCAGCTGGCGATACTCCTCTGATATTTTCTGGCGCAGCTTCTCCAGCTCAGCTTGCAGCCGAAGCGTGTCGGATTTGATCAAGGCAAAGTCGTTCTTTTCGAGAAGCGACATCTCGTTGCGGACGTGGGCAAAGTCGACCTTGTTCATGTAGGCCACCTTTGCGCATTGGATGATTGTATGAGTAAAAATGCGGGGGAGGGATGTTGCAGAGTCGTCACGGTGGCATTAACACTTTTGCAGCAAGCGTCGTGTTGGGCAGGGCCGTCATATCGGCTGCTGGACTGGAATATCGCTGGCGGAACACACCTTTTCAAACTCGCTCGTTTGCACTGAGGTCTCCGAGATGCTCTTGATGCTGCTTCGATCGCGCGGAACGCACGGGATTCACGGAGCAGAAGCAGAAGCAGAAGCAGAATCGAGAGCGAGGCGGGAGTCAACATCCGCCTGGGACGCCGGAAGGCTGGCCGTTGGGTGTATGTCGATATCCAAGAGCCCCGCGGTGCCGAGTGCGAGAGCCGCTCAGAGGACGGGGCGACACGGCAGCCAAGACCCACCTTTCTTCCAGCACCTGCGAAAGCGAGTCCATGAGGGCCTCTGACTGCTCGCGCTGAAACCCTTCGGCCTCGAGCCTCTGCACGAACTTGTACGTGTCGAAGCTGTGTACCAAAGTCTGGTTCAGGCGCACCGGGACGAGGGCTGCTGGGATTTGGCGGCGCAGATGGGCGCTCAGTGTCGCCGATCTGAGGGAAGGAAGCATGGCAGCAGCGGATGCAAGCGCAAGTGAGAATGCCAGTGCAAGTGCAAGTGCAAGTGCAAGTGCAAGTGCAAGTGCAAGTGAGAATGCGGGCGAGAGGCTGGTGTTGCCGTTGCAGACAAGCCAGGCAGGTGCGCAGCAGTGTGGCTGTGGCGATGCATGTGGCGGCGGAGTGATTGTTTGGCTTTGCCAAAGCTGCTTTGGAGCCCGAGGCATACAAAAGGAATCCACCACCAGCGACACCCATCCGCCGCATTCACCAGCACTCATCAGCACCGCATCTCCTCTTTGCCTCGCTCCGCTGCGTCCGACATGTCTGCTCCTGCCGTGCCCTGCAAGTACGGCGCCAGCTGCTACCGACAAAAGAACCCTGCCCACTCGCAGCAGTACAGCCATCCGTCCCCTGCAGCCCCTGTCTCGACCCCGCCGTTGCCGCAAGCCCAAGATTCGGCTCCCTCGGCCGCTCCGTCGGCTTCTCTGTCAGCGGCGACTGCTGTGACTACTGCGACCGCTGCGACTGCTGCGACCCCCAAGCCCCCGGCTGCACTTGTCCCTGACAGTACGCTTGTCGATGACAACGACCCTGACACCGATAAGGATTCCAGCGACGCCGAGGACGGCTCTCCCGATGTCAACCGCCCGTCGACACAAACCTCGATCAACGACGACCCCGACACAGGCGGGGCTGCTGCTGCCTCGGTCAATTCCACCGCCTCCCACGCCCCGGATACTGGCGCTGCACCTGTGTCCGCTGGTGCTCCGGCACTGCCGCCGTGCATATACGGCACAACTTGCTATCGGCAATCCAACCCTCGCCACACGGCACAGTACTCGCACTCGGCTGGACCAACTCCACCTGTGGCTCCGCTGAAGCACAAGCAACTTTCATCGACCTCCAAGTCTGGCTCAGGCGCCAGCAGCGACGACAACGACGACAACAAGGGCACCAGGAGGAGCAGCAGGAAACGGCCTGCAAACGACACCGATAACGACGACGACGACGACGATAAAGACGAGGACGCCGACGCCGACGCCGACGATGATGACGAGGCTCAGATTATCGTCACAACCAAAAAGTCCAAGAAGCCCCGGATCGTCCAGCTCGGCTCCTTCGACGACATCTTTGACCCGGCAACTTCAACTGCCAGCTCGTCCTCAACACGCAGCTCCCACCTCATCAACCCATCCATGTCTGCAGCGATCGTCGGCGAGAAGAGTGTCCCCGGCTTTCTCCTTGCCAAGAGCTGGAATCCTGAAAGCGACGACCCCAAGGACTGGTTTATCTCGGAGAAGCTTGATGGTGTCCGGGCCATGTGGAACCCCGTGAAGAAATCCTTCTACACACGACTCGGCAACCCGCTCTCGGCCCCGCGCTGGTTCACCAAGGATCTGCCCAACTTTTTCCTGGACGGCGAGCTGTTCTCGGGCCGCAGCCAGTTTGCCCAAACGGTCTCCATTGTGCGGTCCCAGGACTCGCCGCACTGGGATAAGATTGTGTACCATTGCTTCGATGCCCCCAACCTCAGCGACAAGGTCTTTGAAGATCGCCTCGCCGAGGCCCAGAAGTACTTTGCCGCCAAGCCCGTTTCCCATGTCAAGATTGTCCGCCATGAGCCGTGCAAGTCTGTGCAGCAGCTCAAGGACATGCTGGACCAGGTGCTCGACCGCGGCGGCGAGGGACTGATGCTCCGCCAGCCCCAGTCGATGTACGAGGGCCGCCGTTCGCCGACGCTGCTCAAAGTCAAGGCCTTTTACGAAGCCGAGGCCCGCGTCACTGGCCACCAGCGGGGCACCGGTCGCAACTCCTCCGTCATGGGTGCGCTGATGTGCGTGATGGCTTCGGGTGCGACTTTCAAGGTCGGCACGGGCTTTACGGACGCCCAGCGCCGAAACCCGCCCAAGATCGGCTCGATCATCACCTATCGGTTCCAGGAGCTGAGCAAGAGTGGAAACCCACGCTTTCCGTCGTATGTTGGTGTGCGCATTGACATGACCCAGCCTAAGGATGCCGTCATTCGGCTCACTCGCAAGGACCGTGCGAATGCCGCTGCCGACGACAAGGACAAGGACAAGGACAAGGACGATGAAGACGGCAAGGATGACAGCAGCTAGAGAGCGCGCATGGCACATCGAGTGTGCGTCAATTGTCAGGGGTACAGGCCGTGCTGACTATGGCCAATCCAATAAAAACGGGACATTCCGGATTTTGGTCGTTGATCAAATATGTTACTGCCTCAGAACATCGTGTGCTGGCCATGACCACTCAGCGATGCCAGAGAGTGACTGTCCCGTTTCTCCATGAATTGACTGTATACCATGACGTCGACTGCCGCAGCCATCCCCAGCGATTCGCACGCCTGGGCGTCTGTTTGGGCGGCCAGCGACCCAGGTGTCGGTGGCACTCGAGCGAGGCGCCCGAGATGGACTCGCCACGCCGAGGCCGTCCTCGCGAGAGCGCACCCCTCGGCAACCAGGGCCTCTCGCCTGCATCAGGCGCTCTCCCACCCCATCTGCCAGACTCGCAGCCGGCTATTCCCAAGAAACGAGAGCGCCATCCACAAATTCGCATCCTTCCGTGTCCTGTTGCCCGGCTCCTCGGTAGCCCGACTGCGTTTCTCTCGGTAATGGCTGTTGTCTTGATCGCAGCTGGCCAGACCTTGCCCGTCCATCTTTGTGCTCATCCTCGTCTGTTGCTGCTGCTGCTGCTGCTGCTCCTGCAGGCCTCCAGCCCATCCTCACAGCCCGGGCCACACGGCCAGCTCAGAGACACCGCACCATGAACTGGATCAAGAAAAACGTCTCGTCGCTGCAGGTGCATCTGCGCCGTGCTTCAACCGACTCGCAAGCCATGGCCTCGAGCCCCCTCCCGACCGAAAACGAAAAGATTCGGCTCTGCTGCATGCTCCACGGTCAGGAGCCCGACCAGCAGCAGCCTCATGATCACTCCGCAGCCACCCGTAGCTCTGAGGGTCAAGAATCGTCTGAGCCGACCAAGCGACTGTGGACATCATGGGCCGCGTACAAAAAAATCGTCGACCAGGATGCTGAGAGCCACGACGCCGACGACAGTGTCATGCAACAGAGCTCCAAACATGCTCGCTCGGACGCTCTCTTCATCTTTATCGATGCCCTCGTTTCGCATCCGGCCACGGCATCCGTGGTACTGTATCGGTCTTGTCGTTGGATGCTCTGGCTCGGAGTGGCATCGTCCGCGTTTGGATGGGGCAGTGTCTTCAATGCCGCTTGCACTATTGGTGCTGCAGAAGCGGCCAGTCATCCGTCCTCGTGCGGCAGCAACAGCAGCAGCAGCCGACTTTGTCCACTAACGCACTGTCGTCCACGACCTTTCGGGGCTCTGTTTTTGGCACCCTTCCACCACAATGCCTCAATCAAACTTGTAATGGCAACGCGGGATATGCAATTGTCGGGCATGCTGAACCATTCCCGAACTGCACCCGTCGTCTCAATGGCGCATCTGCTCGGGAATCACGGGCCCTGTGGCAATCTTCTCTCAACCTCAATCGCAACACCCAAATTGCATCCCTCTCATCCCGGCCATTGTGAACCGATATCTGCCTTGTCTCGCCGGATCCTCGGGACACCAGATCGACCCTGCCTCGGCCACTGATGTGCCAAATCCTTTCGATTCGCTGCAGTCTGTCGAGGACCTGCCTTCGATCATCCAGTCGCCACCACCGACAGTAATCCAGCCTGTGCCGCTGGCATCAAGCCCCAAGCGGCCCCGCAAGCTCACCATCGAGACCAACACAGCAACCCTGGTTCCTCCAGAGATTCGCAAGAAACGCGTTTCCAAAGCCCCACCAGCTGTCCCCCCGCTTCCCCAGCCGCATGGCACCCTGATTGCTGTTCTGCAGGAGCTGGACATTCTCGTCGAAGCCTTCGATGAGCTCGTCAAGATGGGCAACCCGATGTGGCCATCCAAGCTGCCGCGCATCAAAGCGGTTGCGCGATGTCTGTCGTTGCTCAGCCGGCCCTTGGCATTCCAGGACTCCCTTTTGCGACATAACGGAATATCGTACATCGCCAGCTTAGCCGAGTCAATCATATTTCTTCTACTCTCTCGTATCAACCCGGCTGCACCCAACCATCAAAAACTCTGTCGAGTCGAGACCATCAAAGTTCCTCAGAACGGCGAAATCGTCCTGGCCAACATCAACCTCCTGCTCGAAGAAATCGCGATGGATCTCTTTGCCACCATCCAGCGCTGTGTGGACTCGGAGCACCGGTGGCGCCGATACCTCGAGACAGCCAATATCTTCGAGTCGATCAAGGGTGTCTACAGAGGGTCCAAGCACGCGCTCGACTCGGCCTCGGCCACGAAGCTTGCGACAGTATGCTTCCGTGTCCTGAGCCCCGAGACCAGGGAGTGCTTCCGACAGAGACCTATCGGATATGCTCTGAGCATACACGCCCTCAACATCGTCGCCAGCATCATGGTTGGCCGCACGCGTTCGGGGAGGAAGATATTCATGGATCAGGATGGCTGTCAGAAGGTATTGGGGCTCATCGGCTGGCCAAGCTTTATCCTGCCCATGCTTTTGCCCAATCCAAGCGCCGGGCCGTCACCATCGTCACCATCGTCACCACCGTCACCACCGTCACCACTGTCGCCCCCCTCCACCCCGGCCACGCCTCGGCCACACGCTGGCGCCAGTACACCGCCTGTCATTGATTCGCAGGTCCTTCGATCGGAATTCAAGCTGCAGCTTCTCGCTCTCTATGTTTATAACTGCTGGATCCACTTGTCTGGATACACACTGGAAGAGATCCATCTCGACGATCGCTACCTGACCGTCATTTCGCAGCTGTTCCAGTGGACCAGCCTTGTTGCCCATGGCGTTGCCGCGCTCCAGGCCTTTGCCTCCGATGAAACATCCTACGACTGGTTTGCCCAACCCCCTGTCCGTCCGCTTCAGACGGCGCTGCCGTCCTCACAGACCTGGCCCGAAGCCCACAAGCACACCTTCACCAGCCTGGAGGAGGCCTACTTGAAAGAAGCGGCTGCCATGCCAGTGGAGCCTCCTGCGCGTCCGCTGTGGGAGCAGGCCCCGCCTCACATCCACCGAGATCTGCCGCAGATTCAATCGATCGAAGTCGATCTGCTCTTCCACACCGTCTATTCTTTCTGTGTCTGCGATAACGAGCCTATTGTCCTGTCCGTTGCCAGTCCCATCGGCCCAACGGCCAGTGACTCGGAAGGCAAGGTCACCAAACGCTATCCGGCCATCGAGGTCTTCTTTGCAGCCTTTGCAGCGTGCTTCTCGAATGCTTCCACGACATTCGGCCTCCCAGCACAAAGTCAACTCGAGCAGCTGCGTTTGGTGTCCCTGAGCATGCAATCCCTTGGCTCCTTGAAGGTCGTGCCCCGCATCCAGATCAAGTTCATTGAGTTCGTCGCCAAGCTGATGTCGTCCGAGCAGCGCAGCGACGACGTGGATGAGACCCTTCAGAGCATCACGACCCGTCGCCAGGTCTGCCTCAACGTCATCGAGTCAAACCGCCTCTGGGACTCGCTCTTCTCGGCGCTGTTTTATCGATGGCAGCCGCCGGCATCCGCAGATGGTAGCATCAAGGGCGAGGATATCTTTAGCCGCGAGCTGCGCTACCTCGTCACCAAGATTGTCCTCTTTGCTGCCACGATCCCGGGCATCCCCAACGTCAACCTGTGCAGGGTTGTGCTGCGGGTCATATCAGAGCTCCATGCCGCCAGCCTCGATAGCGCGGTGGATATTATTGATCTGCAGCGACAAATCATCAAGGAGCAGCGGCTTGCCACCCAATCGGCCCTGAAGGAGATACAGTGCCTCGAAATCCTGACGCCGATCCTGCAGTCAAGCCTGTCAACCGATAGCGCAACGATGTGGCCGCTGTTTGCGCTATACCAATGGATTCTGGTGGCCAACAACGACCAGTGTCTCGCTGTCTACGATGACAAGCCCACGCTCAAGGCCATTGTCATGGCCCTCAAGCGCGAGCACGAGGGCATCTCCCGCTTCGGCCTCGAGGCAACACTCTACATTATTCGCGCCCTGGCGTCGGTACCACCTGCTCGGCATCCCGAAGAGCATCCAACCGCACCGACAGCACACAAATCCCCTCTTGTCGACATGCTCTCCATGTTTTTCGAGTGCTTTCCTGCCGAGATCCAGACAGAAGCTTGCTACAGACTGCAGATGGCGCTTCTGCGGGGCTTGATGCGCATCGTATCGCTCTTCCCACCAGCCTCCACTCGGAGGCGTCGCATCCTCAGGGCGCTCCTGAAAGCACGGGCATTCGAGTATCTCCTTGGCGTCCTGAGTGTCGTCAATCGGATCGATAGCCCAGCCGTGAACGAGCACAGCGCAATCACTCTGGACCAGCGCTACGACGCCTGCGTGGTTGTGGTCCAGACCCTCACCAACTTCATGAACTCAAGCGATGACTGCAAGAAGGCGTTCCGTGATATTCTGGGCTATGACGAGCTGCGGGCACGGATTTTTGTGAAGGGAGTGTGCTGCGACTGCGATCGCCTGATTGACTCGTTCATCGCGATGATGATGGACGACGTCGCTCCGGGAAGCACCTCTCCCCGTCTGAAGGTCATGCAAAACCGAGACGTTGTGGACTTTCTCCTGGGTCTCTTTCCAATCATGGGCGAGTTCAGCCGTACTCGAATGCTGGAGCAGTTCATTTTCCTGACCGAGTCTCATGAGATGAACCAGGTCTTGTTCACTCAGCTCGCCCTCGTCCGAAAGCTTCTCGAGGACGAGACGTTTTTGGCATCCAGCCCTGAACATATGAAGAAGGTCGTCAGGCTCATCGAGAAAGTCGCGCTCCACAGCATCAGCATCACCGACACCCGCTTGATCCTGGGTAGTCTACGCCACCACGAACTCCTGGATCTGACTGAGAGCGAAACCAATGCCGGCACGCTCCCGCGGAAGAAGCCGGCCACCTGGGCGATCGCCTTGGATCGCAAATCGGCCGACGAGCGAACGCACACACTGCCCTCGTGGTACGACGACATGACCCAGGCTTTCCTAAACGTGGCCCTCAAGAAGGAGGCCGATCTGGACTTTTTCTACTTTGAGGGCCGCGAGAGCGGGATCATTCTGCCCGTGCTGGAGCGGTGGCCCTACAACACCGGATATGCTGGGGGCTACACCATCTGCACCTGGTTCAAGATGGATCCGTCGCTTGATACCGAACGAGCCGGCCGGGCTGAGCAGGGCTCTGCTGCACCGCCTGCCCCCCTCGAGGACGTCGATGCCAAAGTCGAGCCCCGCATCTTCTCGATCCTGAACACCCACGGTAACGGCGTCGAAATCTTTGTCCGGGACAAGGCTCTCTACCTCTCCCTGAAGCGTGGCGCCGTCCACACCGTGATTGCCATCCCCGACGTCAAGATTATCACACAAAAGTGGTACTTTGTCGCCATTTCGCACGCAAGCCCGAAGCTGCTCTGGACCTCGCAAACAGATCTGGTCCTGCTCGTCAATGGCGTCGTGCGCCTCAAAATCAAAGTCGACTTCCCGGATGTCGACAGCTACTCGATGTGTCGCATAGGAGCCTCGGCGATGACTTCGGCTGAAGATTTGGCCGCTACCGAGGCGGGTGCTTCAGGCAAGGACAAGAACAAATCCATAAACTCGTCTCTCGACAGTGTCGCGAGCAACGGACCCCATCTCGATATCAAGGAGTTGATTGACTACACCGGGGCACTCTTTCCTGACAGCTCGCTCGCCCGCAACCCCAGGAAGGGAAACGCGGGATCCGACGACTGCTACAACTCCTTCCAGGGCCAGATGACGTCCTTCTATCTCTTTGACGACGCCCTGACGGTACCGCAGCTGAACTCGATCTATGGCCTTGGTGTGGGTCACTCGTCCCAGTTCCGAGTCGACGACGCCATGTACTACCCGTCGCTTGAAGCGCCGCTGTTTGACGGGACGGTGCACGCCAAGTTGTGTCTGCAGTACCATCCGATGGCATCGCAAAGCCAGGCCGTCTGCACGAACGTTGCCCCCAAGGAGCTCTACCGAGACATGGATGCACGGCTGCACCGGACGCTTACGTGCTCGACAAAGTGCCTGCGCACGGCCATCCATGTCTTGGGCGGCATCGAGATCCTGCTGCCCCTGATCTTCCACTTTGACATGTCCACACTGGAGCAGCGTCAGGGTGAGAGTGACTCGACAACGTCCTTTAGCGCCCAGCGCGTGTCCACGTTCTTCCGCCTGCTCAGCGTCTTACTCGCCGACGATGCGCTCCATCAAGCGCATTTTCTGTCAATCAAGGGGTCGCAGATCACGTCGATGCTGCTCCAGCAGGTCGACCCCAAGCATCTCACCATGTCGACCCTGGATGGAATCATGGATCTCGTCAACTCAGTCTCGGAGAACGAGCAGCTGGCACAGTCGCTGCACGAGTCGTTCGTATTTGAGTTCCGGTTGTGGGCCTGTGCCTCGTTTTCGGTGCAGCAAGAGTACTTTGAGTTCCTGTTTCAGTACCTATCTGTGCACGCCGATTTCCGCGCAAAGTACGGCGTGGCCTTCTTCGTGGATGTGCTCGAAAGCTTTTACTGGTATTTACTGCCGGACGTGATCAACACGGACCTCACAAAGCTCCTCAAGGCGCGCTCGACCACAACCAACCTCAAGAGTCTCCGGAGCGGCGCCATCCGCATTCTGAAGCACTTTATTGCACAGGGCATCAGCGAAGACGAGGCCTCGCGCATCGTGCGGTCCATCTGGACCTGTACCGACGAAGACCATCTCCTGGAGCTGATGGGCGTGGCCATGGAGTTTATGCTCGTGCCGACCAGCGGTCTCTTGGAGAATTTCCTGACTCACAACGGCCTCGACTCGCTGCTGCGGCTCTGGATCTCGTGCAAAAAGGAGGCCACGCGGGTGGCCGTCCTGCATCTCCTGTTCGTGATCATCCGCAGCCCGAACACGGCCGAAAGGTGGAGACGCAAGGCCCGCTTTGATGATCTGGCTCTCACAGGCGCAAGTCTCCACGCCGTTTCCTCCCTCTTCCAGGCGCCAACGTTCACAACGCCCATGTACCACGCCCTCTTGCAGCTTGCTTTGGAAGAGCCCGTCATCGACTGCAGCAGCGGCGAGTTGATCATGCTCCCGACGGATCTGCCCGGCAAAGTCCTCAGGAACTCGTTCTATCTGCACACCATCTTCCACCTGCTCGTGAATGCTGAGGCGACTGTTGATCTGCGCAGAGCCGTTCTGGGTGATCTGCTGCTGTTGTGCAGCAGCCTGCCATCCAACTCGGAGCGAATTGCGCTTCTCTACGGCTGGCAAAGGTACTTCTTGAACCTGATTCCGGAGTGTCCGCGACGGGTGCTGACGCTCAAGCGCACCCCCAGCCAGTCGCGCGTCTGGCTCGAAACCTCCGAGAGCACTCAGAGCATCCGCATTTCGCTGGAAGACTCGGGCTTGACGAAGCTGGCCGAGTCGCCGGAGCAGCTCCAAGCGTATGCATCGCAGCTCACTGACGATCCAGACCAGATGCTCGACATGTCTACTTCGAGCGCCGCCGTCTCGGCCAGTGCGGTAGGCATGGACGCCGACGAACCCACGACCAACCTGGTGATGCAGCTCATCAGCACCGTCATCAATGATGTTTTTGCAACCGACAGACGCTCCTGGAAGATGATCGAAGACATCCTTGTCATCATCTGGTCCACCTCCACCAGCATCGACAGCGGCATCTTTGTTGTCCGCCAGTTTTTCCTGTCGTTTTTCCAGCGTATCCGCAAAGACGTCCATCTTGCTGCATCCTTCAACCTGACCAAGATTGTAAGTTTAGTCGTGCGGGAGGCGGTCGAGTTGACGGATCCACGAGTGAGAGCCGCGAGTATCGACAAAACCGGGCCCAGCCACCGCCTGCGCTAACCCGTGTCTGTCTCCAAGGAAAATCTCATCCACACCGTGATGCTGTCGGAGGAGATCATGTTCAACCATCAGGACCTCCGCGAGGCTGTCTTGAAGGAGCTGGATGCAATGAGCGCCGACATGACGACACCGTCGGGTAAGCGCCTGGACGGAATTCGAATTGCACCTGCATAGAATGAGGCCCTTGCTGATAGCAGACCCTGCTATGGATATGCTGTGATCGTCCCCTGGCATCAGAGCGCTACCAGCCGTCAAACCCAACCGAGGTCATTGTTCGGATGTCGTATCCGCTGGTGGAGTCCAAGCAGCTTGCAAGCGAGTGTCTTTCGCTGTTATCGACCATGATCGATCTTCGATTCACGCTGACAGACTTGTCAGAGAAGGTAAGTGCTTTGTAACAAGCATTGCATATGGCCGAATGCGCGTAGGCTGACCAAAGTACGGGATCGGTGGATTTGTTACAGTCACATTCGCGTAAAAACGGACTCGTGCTGCTCGCCCTCCGGCTGCTCCTCAACGCCCTCAATGTCGCCGACGAAGATGTTTGGCAGATGGTGATCCATTACATAGTCCCCATCATCGACATGGATACCGTTTTTGCGGACATGGACGACAAACTCAAGCACCGCTGGGTGTTCCAAATCATCGGTCACATATATGATGCGTTTCAGAGGTGGGTTTGGTTTCCCGAGAAAGCCCCGGGATATTGCCTCGCTTGAACAGCTGTCTGATCGGCCGTGCATTGTCCGCCACAGAATCCAGGACCCGCCCGCCCAGCGGAGCGATGAACCCGCGGCTCTGCCGTGTGGAGAGACAGAGAAGCTGGACGAAGTTATTCTCCCGCTGTATATGCTCATTGTGGGACAGTTCCGCGATGCCATCCTCGCGCTCAACAACGCCAAGGGCGAGCGAATCATTACCGAGGAGGCTCTCGACCAGGCCGAGTCGAGCCAAGAGCGCTTCCTGTCGTTCATAGCATCCCCAGAATGGACGCAGGTCTATGATCTCTACTGCTTCCCGGCAATGAAGACGATTCAGTCCGAGGACATGGAGATGATCCCACACATGACCCGGCGGATTGCCAAGTCGGTGCGAGTGTTTTTCACCAAGGTGCTCAAGGACGAGAACAGCGGTGCCAAGACGTACCAGTCCATGGAGAGCTTTTTGTATTCGATCTCCAAGAAGCGCAAAGACGAAGAGACATCGCGGCTGTCGCTGCAGAAGGCCACAGCCGATGCCGAGCGTCGAGCCTATTCTCGCTCCTGGGCGTTGATTCACCGCGAGCTGACGCAGGAACGCGCCATATGGTATGTGGACGAGGGAAGCTCTGCGCCGCCACAGCGATGGAAGCTCGATACTCGCGAGGGCTTTGGCCGGATGCGTCGACGACTTGTGCCCAACTTTGAGTTCGACGACCATCGACTGGCATCGGCCAAACGGGACAAATCCACAGTTCTTGATCGGGCGAGCCCCTCGCCGCGCATGTCCCGTATCGGCTCGACAACGCCTGGCCGGAAGAAGCAGCAGCAGCTCGAGAAGATCAAGAGCCAGCTCGAATCAGGGTATTTGTCCGAAGACATTCTCAAGGAACTCGCTGCATCATCGGCCGAAGCCATGGATGACGAAAGCGAGGACGACGAGGAGTGGAACGTTTTGAAGGACGAAGATCTGACAATTCAGATGTCGACCTCGACTGCAGACTCGGAGCGCTTCCTGTGCTCGGTGGAGTGCGAAATGATTCTGCTGATGACGGCAGTCAAGGGCCGGCTCGAGCTCACGACCAAGAGTCTCGTCTTTTACGCCGACTTCCATAGCACCACTGCTGAGCTGACCGACTACGAAAAAACCGTGCTGATGCTGGTTGAATCCGAAGTGATTCGGGAGCGGCGCTGGCCTGTCCAGAACTTGCGCGAGATGTACCTCCGCCGATATATGCTCCGTCGGTCGGCGCTGGAGATCTTCTTTGTCGATCAGACGAGCTACCTGTTCAACTTTCCCCAGCTCAAGGACCGGACGCGGCTCTTTTCGAAGATTGTGAGCATGAGGCTCCCCAAGCTCATAAGCGCCGACGTGCGTAATCCTGCCGAAGCGTTCCGCAAGAGCGACATGACCGAGCGCTGGAGGCGACGCGAGATCTCCAACTTTGAGTATCTCATGTATTTGAACACTGTGTCAGGTAAGCGATCAGCGAACGACTGCAGCTGGCTCGGCGCCGATCGGGTTGAATCTGCTGCCGGACTTGATCTAATGCCGGATTCGGTCTCGACGTCCCCTCCAATCTTGAAGGACGCACGTACAACGATTTGACCCAGTACCCGGTGTTCCCGTGGTAAGATATGCTCAGACGCCGCTCCGATCTCGGGACGGAAAACAGCCACTCCCCTGCTGGACCAGTTCTGATCACTTCTTTCGCAACTCTGTGGCGGGCGGCACATAGGATTCTGCGCGACTATACATCGGACACCATTGACCTCAACGACCCCAACGTCTATCGAGACCTGTCCAAGCCGATTGGCGCCTTGGATCCCACACGCCTTCAGCAGTATCTCGAGCGTTACTCGTCTTTCGAGGATCCGTCCGGCAAGATCAAAAAGTTCATGTACGGCACACACTACAGTTCCGCGGCAACGACGCTGTACTATTTACTGCGAATGGAGCCGTTTACAAGCTTGCACGTCGCCCTCCAAGGCGGAAAGTTTGACCATCCCGACAGGTCAGTAACCTGTGCTGTTTGGGGGCATCTTGTCTTTGCAGCCAACTTGGCGGGTACACGATAGAGGCGCATTGGTGAGAAGCAGCTCTCCAAAGCTTGGCCAGGCCACTAACGAGTCCAGTGACTGCGGCGACTTGCCTGGAATAGGCAGTTCCACTCGCTGGAGCGGTGTTGGAAATTTGTCCTGACAGGCAACGGCGATGTCAAGGAGCTGATTCCGGAATTCTTCTACCTGCCCGAGTTCCTGATCAACGAGGTAGGTCGGGCCTGGCATCTGGATATCCGGCATACTCAGCTGATCTTCCTTGGTCTTCCCTGATCTTCCCTGGTCTTACCTGGTCTTACTTGCTCCGCTGACCCCCACCGCCGGGACCTGTGATTGCTTCTCAGAATAAGTTTGACCTGGGTCGCCGCCAGAGCGGCGAGCATGTCGATGACGTCATTCTCCCACCGTGGGCGTCGTCGGCTGAGGAGTTCATCCGCATCCACCGCGAGGCCCTCGAAGGCGACTACGTCTCCGACAATCTGCATCTCTGGATTGACCTTATCTGGGGCTATCGCCAGACGGGCGAAGAGGCAGTTAAGGCGCACAATGTATTCTATTACCTCACTTACGAAGGGGCCATCAACATCGATTTGGTCAAGGACCCAATCGAGCGAAAGTCAATCGAGGACCAGATCAACAACTTTGGACAGACGCCGTCGCAGCTACTCAAGAAACCCCACCCTCCTCGAATGAAGGTCAAGGCTGGGCTACCGCGAGTCAATCTCTACGGAACACTGCAAGGGCATCAGAGCTACCTGATCCAGCTGCGTGGGCTTCAGCCGCTCCAGTTCGTGCGCATCACGGCAGAGGCTGGATCGAATGCAAACCAAAGTATGTCGATCTCTCCATTCAGCGGCCTTGGCGGTGCAAACCAAGAGCGCATCATCACGGTCTCCTCGGACTATGTCATCGGAGCACACAAATGGTCTTCGCAGTCGTATGAAAGCTCCGAGTCGCTTACGTTCCCGTTCGAGCCCGATGGAACGCCTATCGCCAAGCGGTAAGTTGAGCATGTCCAGCAGACATCCTGCCGGACGACTACTCTTGGACCGGTGTTCTCGTGAAATTCGTTCCGCTGAACGGCTTGCCCAGCATTAAGTCCTCCTTTATCATCGGCATCGCCATGTGCACCGGCGCATCTTTGGCAGACGCCTGCCGTCACAGTTCGCCTCCAATCTACCCCTGGCGACCAAGAAGCTTACGGCAACGGCGTCTGGCAAGTTCATTTTCTCAGCGGGACACTGGGACTCGTCGTTCCACATCACAGCCGTCGACAGCTTCAAGACTGTGGCGATCGTATATGGGCACCACGACGTTGTCACCTGCCTGGCGCTCTCGGAAGACGAAAGCATGCTAGCGACCGGCTCGCGGGACACGACAGTGATCATATGGGATCTGCAGCACTCGCCCGGCGACGGTCTCATCGTCCATCAAGAGAGCCGACGGATCATGTTTGGCCACGAGCAGGAAATAACTGCGGTCGCGATGAGCATGGAGCACGACCTCGTTGTGAGTGGCTCCAAGGACGGCTCGTGCATCCTTCACACAATCTACGAAAGCCGATACTTGCGCACGCTGCGTCCGGCAACAGAGCTGCCCGGCGACGCTCTCACGATCCAGAACGTACTTGTTCCCAGCAGGCAGGGCTTCATTGTTGTGATCACGACGATTCAGCCCGGCAAGCGGACAGGCGTTTCCCCAGGCATGGCCGTCGAGACGAGCAAAATCGCCGGCAACCACAATTCGTCTGGTGTGGAGCTGTACCTGCCCCCGACACCTGTAACAACAACACACCCGCAGCTCAAGAACCCCGGCGACTCGGCGGCTGGCGGCACCACAGGCAGCTCCTTGGACGATGCGGCCTCTGTGCTTGGACACGATCGCATCCGCGCGGCAGCAACAGCGTCGTCTGGGATCCATCTTTACACCGTCAACGGCAAATGCATCCGAAACCGGTACTTCAACAAGCAACTGTTTGACTTCCAAGTGTCGACGGATGGGGCATCGATCGTCATGGCTGACAGCCTTGGCCGGATTTCTGTTATGAAGACCCATAGGTAGGTGGCGAGTCCCATTCATTGGCACGCTATGGCTGCTGAAGCTCAGAGTTGCACTCATGCTGGTTCTCCAGCGCAAACTGCCCATGATCCAGCCGGATACATCGACTAACGGCACCGAATGATGGTCACTTTCCGCTTTGTATCTCCAGCTTGCAGACTGTCCACCACTTTGACATTGGAGTCCCGGCTCTGTCGCTCTCTGTGGCACGCAACGAACAGTACATGTTTGTGGGCCGCACGGATGGCAAGATGATGATGATCACTGTCGAGTCCGGAAAAGTGATGTTTGTCTGATGGCACACAGAGCACTGCGGACGCGGATGCCGAGTGTGCAGGTCCGGTCTGGACGGAAGCGGGGCGGACGAATCTCACCCGCCCGCAAGTCAATCTCGAGTGCCGGCTTGGAGACCGAAACGGTCCGGCCGGCACTGTCCCTGTCGATTTCTTTGTTTCTTTGTTTCACTCTTTCTCTCTTTTGGCTGTGCAGCAAGAATATACAGACTTTTCAAACATATAGCGCTGGGTCACATCCATCTTGAGAGCCAGGTGCATCCACGGCCTCGATGGCCAAATGCGCCGGGCAAGTCCGTCGCTGCCGCCCAGATCGCCACGAGTGACTCGCGGGCACAGCGACCACGTTTGGGCGCACATTGAACTTGCACTCTTCGGCATGCTGGATGACGATGTGTATATTCAGGATCCAGAAAACAGCATCAATGCCAATTGAAACGGAGCATTTTGCGAGCGGTAAACGGATCATTCCCTCGGATGATGAAATGCCTTCGCCCCGCCGAGCTCGTGGGTCGGGACATCGACAGGTTCGAGAGAGACGAATCTATAACCATGGGGCTGCATCCTCGGCAACAAGTGCAGGGTGATGCTGTCCAAAAGTCATGCATGTGCCTCGGTCCAGAGCCAAAAACAGGATCAATATCGCGGCACGGAACCAAGATGGCCCTCCGAGAAGTTGTGGGCGAGCCAAGGTGGCCGACCAACAGCGGGATGGGCGGCGAGCAAGGAGACGACGGTGACAAGTTCAATCTCGGCGGCGATCGTCCCGGCGGCCGCTGCTTCGTCCTGAGTGGTAGCCGCGTCGGCCTCCCTGTTGACCGCCTTTGCCTCCGCTCGGCCCACGCACAAAGCAAAAGTCCGAATGAATGGTCTGGCCGAGGAATTCGATGTTGTTGGTATCCTCGATAGCGGCTTTGGCTTCCTTCAGCGTCTCGTACTCGACAAGCGCGTATCCCTGATGTGCCAGAGCAGCGATGGGGGGGGTGAAAGTCAGGCATATGATGGTGAGATTGGCGTTGGTCCGGCTGCGGTGCTCGCTCGATTGTATCCGTGGCTGTAGAGACAGCAACGCTACCTTGACATATCCCGTTCGGCGATCCAGGTTCAGGTGGAGGTTCTTGACGTCGCCGTACTCTGAAAACTTTTCCGAGACGTCGTCCTCGGTGGCTTCCTCGTGGATTCCGGTGACGAGCACGATCCAGCCCTCGACGGCTGTGGCAGCGACAGACGCCCGGGTCAGAAAGGGGACACACCAGGGTATAGGACAAAGCATAAACCAAGCAACAGACTCGGGGTCGAGCAGCAAGCCCGCGGGTAAGCCTGCGAGCAGGACCACTGGGATATCGTTGCAGGAGAGAGAGTGGATAGGTATGCTTACATCGCTGGGCCATGCCGCTGGCGCCTCCCTCCTCGACGGTATCGAAGGCTTGCGTGTTGAAGACCTGGCGGCCTGTTGGTCGATGAGCCAGATGGGTTGGCGCATGATCGCTTCCACAGCTGCACTGGGCAGCAAAACCCTAACGACGGCGTGGTCGTACCTGATCGGTCGTTGTCGAAGCCTCGGCCCTTTCGCTTGGTCGCCTGAGCCATGATGCGGGTAGTCGAATCTGGATCATGCGGGGTCGGAGCCGGGTAAGGCGATGAACAGGACCACACGAGCGAGCAGAGCACCGTATAAGACGGACATGAGCGACTCAGCCTGAAGGCGGACCCAAAAGTTCGAGATCTCGAGGCGGAGGGACACGAGATTCTGCTTTTGGACTGAGCCAGGCCGAATCTTTGGTCGGGTTGCAGCAGGATCGGCTGCGCTCAGGCAAGTCGATCTGGACAGAGATCGAGTATGGAAGTACCTTCGTCCACGGCCATATCATCGGCCGGGCCGATGTCGACCTCGGGGTCGAGATCGATGTTGACGTCCTGGGGCATGGCTGGTGGTGATGGGGGTGGATGGCAGAGAGACGCCGAGGCCGAGACCAAAGAGCGAGTGAAAGGCGTTGTGGCCGTGTGTGTGTGGCATTGGATCGAGCCAATACGATGGCTGGATCCACCCCGGATAACATGGCGAGCCAGGCCGACGACCGAAATGCAGCATCACCAAATGCAGCATCACGAAGCACAATGCAGTGAGCCACGAACTGAGGGCACTTGACTCAGCGCTGGGCCTATGCGAGCCCATCGCCATGTATTTCTTGGCTGAGCCCATCCGTTGCGCTGGACAGCTGGAGGGGCACGACGAAGTAATCCAGCTGCACGACAAGGATCGAGGCATTGAGGCGAGGGGAGGAGGCGTGCGATCCCAACGGATATTTGCTCCGTTTCAGTGATATCGTCGCAACGGACGTATATTGAGCCGCGACACAGCGCGGCCAGAGTCGGCCCAGTGGCAGCAAACGTTATGCGTCATCGATGATATCCGAGGCAGTGAACTGGAGCATGGCCGCACTCTGGAGGCAATTCGACAGCGAGGCAGGGAGCTGGAAATGGAAGCGTTGAGGGAGATGGACATCAGTGTCTCGACGATGTGACGGGAGTGGTGAACACATGTCATGGAGATCCCATGGCAGCGGATAGCAGGATGCAGGTTTAGGAATGCAGACATACTCGGCTGGCACAGGCTGCTGTGGAGGAGGAAGGGAAGGTACAGCCCGGCTGTGGTGATGTGCTGGGCCGTGAGCCAGCGGATGCAGTCTGAGAAGTGCAGGGAGATGGTGACGGCGACGACGATGGCGACGGGCGGGATGCGCTGGCAGCAAAAAACGAGCGTGCTGTTGAGCTGGGTGCGGCAAAGGTTTTTGGTGCTGCCGAGCGGCGAGCTGATGTGAAGATCCGGCGAGATGCAGATGCGCTCATGCTGGCAAAGCGAGAGGATCCGACAGGGATGGCCCAGGTTAGTCGAGACTGGTACTGGCGGCTGGGACTGCAGAACGGAAGTGGGGTGTGGAATCGCGTGCTCTCTCGGTGATGCCGAGGGAGGGCTGGGCTGCCTGTGGGACCTCCGCACCTGACAGACGGGACGAGCGATCGCAGGATGAATCGGTAGATGAATCGGTGGATGGACAAAATGTGGTCAGTGGATCGACGAAATGGATCTACGGATCGACAGCAAGCGAGTCGGCAGTTGCGGTTGCAATCGGAACGAATGACACGGCAAAAAAAGCGAGAGAGCCATGAACAGCCGAGAGCGAGCGAGAGCAGGCGAGAGCAGGCGAGAGCGGGCGAGAGCAACCAGGCGAGAGGGACGGGCAAGACGCAAGAAAGACGCAAGACGGACTCGGGGAAGCAGGGGAAAGACAGCCTCTTGCGTCTTCCCGCGGACCAATCGGCGCGCGCGGACGCGAGTCACGATGAGCAACACGCATTCGAACCGCAAACCGGGGCGGCTGTCGCGGACCCCCATGAGCTCGGGCACGGGCGGCTGTCTTGCTGGTCTGCCCACTCTCACCCCGCCGTCGGCTCGATCGTTCCACACCCCCAGCCCGCCTGTTCATCCCGCCTGCCCATCTTCCCGACGCCTGGTGCCCTCTGAAGCTGCTCCTGTATCCGAGGTAGGTCGCCAACGAATCCTTGGGAGCCAATATACGCCCATCTGTGTCTGGCAGACTCGGGACGACGGCTGCACACCGCCTGTCCAGCAGCCGGTCTTGTCCTGGCTTAGTTTATGCTTGCTTGGGGTCGTCCTGTCTTGCCACGAACCTCACCCGGCTGCCTCTGCCACTCTCTGCAGCATTTGCAAGTTTCAGCCTTCTCCATCCCACACACACTCACTTCACTGGAACGCCATGAACCCTGCTCTGGTCGGCCCTCGAGACAGCGGCTTCGAGTCGCACGGTCCTCTGAGCCCCGAGAGTCCGCCTGTCCGATATGTTGTGCCAGCAACCATCGACAGCCTGATTGAATACATCACGTCGCCCAACACCCATGATATGGAGCTCACCAAGGTGATTCTGATGCTCTACCGCAAGTTCATGAGTCCCTGTGATCTTCTGGACAAGCTCGTGGACCGCTTCGACGTCGTCGACCTCAGCTACGACAGAGGAGTGGAGGATCCAGCGTCGCCCATCGACCCGGTTCAGCTGAGGTGAGTCGGTCCTCGCCAGAGCATAGCCTCTTGGTACCGCGTGGGGGCGCTCATGAGAAGAGCCGCGCCGGCACACTGTATCAGCGTGCGATCAAACTTGGAGGCGACCACTGGCCCTGCCTCGGGAGTGCGTCGGGAGGGGTCGATAGAGGCGGCGGGCTCGTTGGGAGACAGCCACGATGTGCCTAACGCTTACGCGAGGCCAGGCTCGTTCGAGCCATGGCAAGATCCGCTATGGTGGCCGGGCTGGACCGCGGCCGGGGTACTGCGCTGCCAATATTCGCTGGAGAGCGTTCGCTGGATGCCCAGGCATGGGAATACTCGCGGGACTGGTTTGCTAACTCGATTGCAACCCCTCCGGAACAGGGTTTGCAACATCATCATCCACTGGTGCGAAACGTACTGGTGCGACTTTCGTCCGGCCAAGATGCGGCTTACTCTGCACATCTTCCTGAGCCGGTGCCGCGGCCGTCAAGAGTACACTGCGATTGTCAAGAAGCTCGACGATTTCCTGCGCAACGACGTGCATTTCCACGAGAACGAGCCCGATTGGGGCATTGGCTACTGTGCTGAAGACGAGGACGAAGACCTGCCCGATGACGCCTCCTCGAGCCTGAATCGAGACAGTCTGGCCGAAAAGGTAGCGTCGCATTCACATCATACTGCAGCACCATCTCCCGACGATGAGGACGCCCCCTCGACAGCTACTCCCCGCTCGATCAAGCACCGTCTCAGCACGCTATCCCTACTGCCGCTCCCTTCTCACAAGACCTATGATTTGTTGAAGAGGATGACTTCGGGGAGCGCCGATAGGTCATCGGCGCACTCGGCTGTCTATTCCGAAGAAGAATACAACGCCCGGTGCAAAGCACTGCTGAAAATCGATGCCGACCAGATCGCGCAGCAGCTCAACCTGATTGACTTTGACTATTTCCAAAAGATTCAGGTATGCCGCTGTCAGCTTGACGAGTGGCTGTAGTGGTGTCAGGGATCCAATTGCTGTTTCAAGCGATGATGCCTTTGCACTTGAGCGACGCTGTACTGATGCATTTCTTTCGCCTGCCCGCCTGCTCCTTGGTCACCATCCTGTCGCATTGGCTCGCCTCCACTGTCACAACCACTTGTACCAACGATTGCTCTGGCTCATTTTCGTCGGTCGATCCTGTTCGTTGGCTATCCGTTACAACTGCGACGGCCTGCGACGGTCTGCAAACCTATCTCGCCAATCCGACAATGGCATGATATACCGCTGCCGCCCTGTCTGCGGATGATAGCCCCGAGATCTTGTCGAGCACATCTGGAACAAAAAGAGCAACTCGCAATACTCCAACTCGGTCGCTGCGAGTATCGCTCACTTCAACTTTATTGCATCATGGTGGGTAATCGAGGTCGAGTGGCACATGTCCTCGTCCTGGCGTGCTTGCAAGATGGTGGATCGCCATTGGAACAGACTATGCGCATATTATCGATCGTTTCCCCGCGGCTGATGTGATCAACTTGTGTCCTGGTGGCTCCGTACAGGGCAAAGTCGCTTGTTTTGTCACAGAAGAAGCCCAAAGCCCGTGCTGTGATTATGCTGAAGCTGATGCGGGTCGCTCTGGTGAGACGCCAAGACCGGGGAGCATCGACTATGGCACTGTACAATCGGAATCATTCATCTGACCTTTTGTCTGCCCCTTGCACCCTTGTCCTCGCTTCCACGCTGTTGCAACTGCGACAGTACCTGAGAAACTTCAACAACTTCAACTCGGCCATGGCCCTCGTGGCTGCGCTTTCAAGCGGCCCCATCCAGCGCCTCAGGCTGACGCAGCACTACTATTACGATCAGCCGACGCACCAGAACTTCCGCAAGCTCGAAATGATGTTCACGTCGGAGCGGTCATTTGGCATCTATCGGGCCGTCTTTCGTATGAGCCCGCTGCCGGCAATACCGTATCTGTACGTACCTGGCATGCGCGTGAAGCAGCACACTCGCGGCTGTATCGACTGAGCGGCGCCGAGGGGCGGTCTGGATGCCGGCGTATAGAAGAAAGCGTCACCCGCAACATGCGCCATCGTCACCGATGGACTGAAGGATTGACTGCTGACGGATTGCTGACGGACTGCGGAACCATGGCCCCTCCTAGCGGTGTGTTTCTACGCGATCTTGTGTATCTCGAGGAGTGCTACCGGGACTTTAAGGAAGACGGGACCCTCAACCTCGGCAAGTTTATTGCCATTGGCGACGTCATTCTCATGTTGATGAGTATCAAGGCAAGGTATGTGCACAACACAGGGACAGACATTGTTGAGATCGAGACCTTGCCGAATCGATCAATGGGAGAGTAGATCATGTGTCCCCCATCCGATTTCGAGCTAGATCCAAAGATGCGTCGGTGGTTGGTGCAGAGGGGCTGTAATCTGAATGCGGGGATGCGATGCCACTTCTGGTTCGACTTCTGGGTCAACTCACGTCCCGAGTCCGTCTTTTGTTTCTGTAAGGCCCTACACCGAAAAGGTCAACCCCGAAATCGTGAGCCTGATCCTCGGAAAGGCCGTCCTCTCTGACGAGGTTTGTTCCATGACCATACACGCATTCCTGTGCGGATGGGGGGGGTGTATGTGTATGGAGCATCCCGCATTCGCCCACGCAACCAGCACTTGACTGATGAATTCGTGCCGTCGTTCGGTAGGATTGTTATACCATATCCCAGCAACTCGAGCCCCGGACCGAGTCCTGATCCCCGAGCCCCCCAAGCTGCTGTTGGAGAGCCGGCACGATGGGCCATACTGTCCCTCGGGCTCTAATAGCAATATCGTCATGACGATGCTGTGCACCCGAGCGACGTTTCACTTGGGTGCTCTGACAGGGCAGCACACCGAATCCGTTCTCCCTCCCGCCGTGTGATCTGCTGAAAAGTCAGTCATATGTATCAGAATATATTCTCAATACCGTTTCCTTGAGGCCAAATCGGAGGGTGTGATGTCGATGGCCGATGGGCTCCATCATGTTTGGAATGCGTGCATCGACCGAGCTGGGATGCCCGCCAATTACTCCACAGGCATGCTACCCGTCGTTGCATTCGCTGACCGTCAATGGCCAGCTCATATCCGGATACGATAGATGAAGGAGCGAGGGCACATGTGTATATTCAGGATCCAGAGGAGATGTAAGCTTGACAGAGGTCGATCAAAATCAAGTGTTCCGTTACAATCGGTGGGGCGCAGTGAATGAGACGGGGACGAGGGGCCGGCATGCTGTTAGCGCTTCTCGAGGGCCCGGATCTGCTTCTTCTTCATGCGTTTGACTTTGCTGGCCGAGACCTGGATGTGGGGAAGAGACGGAGACAGTGAACACTGGTCAGGATTGGCAAATCGGACGACCGAGTCTGTCCACAGGAAGCCAGACCATCGGTATTGCTGGTCAGGCCGACCCGAGCAGGTTGCCAGATGGGCAATTATCAGGTGCCATCGTGCTGACCTTTTGGACCACCTCGGACATCTTTTCGTTCTCGAGGCGGCGCTTTCGGCGCTCTTCTTCCTGCAGCCGTTTGGACTTTGAGGGATTCCACCGAATCATGGTCATTGAGGTTGGGCATTGCATTCCAAGTTGTCGTCGGTAGAAAGGCCGTGGTGCGGACGAATGTACGTTATGTGAGTGGGATCTCTCGGCATGATATGTGTCGCCGGTGTCGACGACGGTAGCTCTGGTAGCTCCGGGAGCGACGGTATTGACGGTCCCCCATATTTGTGGTATCCAGGATAGCCCACGAACAGCTGAATCGCTTGCCAGAGGACAAGGCGCAGTTGCATCCTGATGAGGGCGAGTTGCGAAGATGAGAGCGGCAAATGATCAGTACCTCCTTTTCCTTCTTGACCTGTTCCTTCATTTCGTTCTCGGCAGCCTTCATCAGGGACTTGCGCCTCCGCTCGGCCTGCTGGATTTCCCAGCCTGTCGCACCCATCCATGGCCGACCGCAAAGGGCAGTAAACCGGTCAAATTGAGTCAGTTGAAGGCTATGGCCCAAGGCACCGATGAGAGACATCGCAGCGTCGGCTATGGCTGTTGGGGAAGAGGGCGGGTGATGGTGGCATTGACGGTACCTGGGCGGACAGAGACATTGCGCTTTGCCGACGATCGCTTGGTTTGCACCGACTTCCAGACACGGCCTGGCTCAGCAGAGAGGGAAAAGACACAATCGAATGAAGCGTCAGCGGCGTGCATGCTCCAGCCAGGCAGGATGAGGTTCAGAGGCGCCTCGCCCCATGTGTGTCGATGCTGGCCACGGCGGAAGTGGAGGAGATTGAAAGGACATGCACACCATTGACGGGGACTTTGCGGGGGATTGCCAGTCGCGACGAGGTTTCAGTGGCATCGTCGGCAACAGTGGTGGCCAGGCTGGGCTGGGTGGTGTCGGCCATGGTGGTGGTTGATCGTTTGGTATGGGTTGGTCTGGCTGGTTGGGATCGGACGGAAGGCACTGGCTGGCTCGGTTGGGACGGCGTGGGAGACAGTAGGATGTGGTGCTTGCTGGCTGTGGTGCTTGCTGGCTGTGGTGGCAGGGGCCGATTTGCTGACGACGATGGATGTGGTGCCGACGATGGATGTGGTGACGACGATGGATGTGGTGACGATGCCGATTGTGCGCTTGTTGGCTGTTCGGTCGGTCAGTCGGTTGGCCGTTTGGTTGGCTGGGAGGTCAAAAAGGCCGCAACAAAAAATCATATGAAGTGCAATAATGAAGGCCATTTGCGCCTGGCGGCCAATCAGCGGGCGGAGAGCGCGACAAATGAAATGGGTCACGCGAAATCATGTGACTCGGCGGAGGTGGCTTGTGGCCGCCCTGGAGCGGCGACCCTGGGGAACGCGAGGGCGCAAAATGGAAAATGGGCAGGCCAGAGCGGCAACGAAGAACAGCGGGGGCAACAGGCTCAGGAGCAGAGCGAGAAAGGCTCGATGCTCGATGCGGATGCGAATGCGGACGCAGAGGTCCATGTTGCCTGGATGGCGATGGAGCGGAATGATGGGCAGACCCCATTGGAACCATCCAAGCCATGGAAAGAGCTGCAGAACACCGGAGATAAAGGGCTGAATTCCGGTTGTCCCCTGGACAAAGGCAGAGATGGTCATCGAGAGAGGCGGTGAAAGGACGAGGATGCCGGGGCTCTTATTTTTTCGAAACGTGCTGTATTCTTCACTCCTTACAGTTGACGAAGAACGAATCGCCCCGCAAACCGTTATATACAGTATGCAACAAGTCGACAGCAGCTTCCAGAAAAAAAAGGTCTAGCAAAAATGGTGGTAGGTAAAGGGAAAAGAATATAACAAGTAGAACTATGTGAACATCTCGGACATATCAATCAAGTTTATATTCAAGGATTTACTTCGACATCTGTGAGCAACGGACGGGAGCGGGAGTCAGTGGGATGAACGTGCCAACAAGGACATGCGTGCGCGCGGCGACTGTTGAAGCTTGCGATTGCGTTGCCAGCGGTGCTCGCACAGAGCGGGAGGAATGCAACACGCAGACAACATGCAAAAGTCAACTTTACCATCATCTTGACGAATTCTTCGTAGTTGATCTGGCCGTCTCCATCAACATCAGCTTCGCGGATCATTTCGTCAACCTCGTCGTCGGTGAGCTTCTCTCCGAGGTTGGTCATGACGTGTCGGAGCTCAGCAGCAGAGATGAAGCCGTTGCCGTCCTTGTCAAAGACCTTGAAGGCCTCCTTGATCTCCTCCTCGGAGTCGGTGTCCTTCATCTTGCGGGCCATCATGGTCAGGAACTCGGGGAAATCGATGGTGCCGTTTCCGTCGGCATCGACCTCGTTGATCATGTCCTGGAGCTCGGCCTCGGTGGGGTTCTGGCCAAGGGAGCGCATGACGGTACCCAACTCCTTGGTGGTGATGGTTCCATCGCCGTCCTTATCGAAGAGGGAGAAGGCCTCCTTGAATTCAGCGATTTGCTCCTCAGTGAGTTGGTCAGCCTGAAGGAAAAACCGGGACATGGATGTCAGACGGGTTGGGGCACGATCGGTCGCATGAGGATGCCATCGATCCACGAGACGGAGTCAAGATGGGATGAGCAGAGTCCAAATTGCCAGGGGGAGAGGGCCTTGATTGGTGGCAAAACAGCCAAAGGACGCGGATGAACGAAAGAAAAAACATTGAAAATGGACAATGCGAAGAAGCATTGAATGAAAGCGGTGGCCGAACACACAGCTATAGCATAGGGGAGAGCGGGATGGGGGGAGGTTGGGACAGCTGCTGGTCGATCAGCTTCGTCCACACGAGGCAGGACAGGATGTGCCAAGAGCGAGCATCAGCTGCCTCGGCCGGACCTGCCAGTAGATGATGGCAAGCCCGGCGCGACATTGGCCGTCTGTCGAGCAAGCAATGGCAGCCAGCCGGCCAGCCAGCCACGCGGCTTGTCGACCAGGGCGAGGGTCTACACCATTGATGCCGCAGCCGGGGTAGCAGAATGAAGGAACAATACAAAAAATGCAAGGAGCCACCAGGCAGCAACAGCGCGAGGGGCCTGAAAAGGGTGGATAATGCCTGCCGAGGAGGGGAGGGTCGACGCCCCACACAACACGACCGGAGGCGGATGGGGGGAGGAAGGACGGCAACAGCCGAAAAAGCGAACACGCCGCCGGCGGACAGATCACCCCGACGACGCCAATGCAGACAACAGATGGCCGACGCGGCGGCGGGAGGACGGGGCCGAGCCATGCCGGTGGTGAGAAGGGTGGTGGGGTCGGAGGCAGGAGGGCTGGAGACGAGCAGGTACGCACCATTTCGAAAGAACAGAGATTTCAGCGTCGAGAAACGAGATGCCGAGAGAGCGACGGAAGGGAGGCTGCTTTTTCTACCCTCGGCGCGGCGAGAGGGCGAAAAAAAGGGGAGCAGGGCGGATGGGGGAGGGGCGCTGGCTGGAGCCGGCTCGAGTGCAGCGACAATACCCAGGCAGGCGAGCGCCGAGTGGGCGGGCGCGCGACCAATCGGGGCGGGCGGGGGTGCGGCGGCCCATTGTGGGTGCGCGAGGGCGGCATTATTTGTTGGAGCGACGCGAGCGCGACGAGAGGATTTTGGAGGTGTCGACAGAGACTGCGCGGCCGGGGCTTTGCCTGTGGGAACCACGGGCTGTGTCGGGCCAGGCCGCGAGCCCGATCAGAGAGAGAGAAGGAGAGAGGGAGAGAGAGAGGGAGAGAGAGAGGGAGAGCAGCCCTGGATCGGCTCGCGCGACTGTGGGCCGGCCGGGACACCGCTGCCTGTTTGGGCCGCCTTTGCCGCCGCCTGGCGCGCACTCTCTGTCGACATCGGTTCGGGGAGAGTACTTTTGCGCGGCGCGTGCGGGATCGGCTCGCCGCGACAAGGTTTGCAGACCGGGCATTTGTGTTGGTGCGTGCGACTGCGCGGGCGGGGCAAGCGATTGGGTGCGGGGGGGCAAGAAGGCTGCATTTGCTGAAGCATTTGCAATGGCACCTGCAAGAGCGTCGGCGATAGCACTTGCGTTTGAATTAGAATTTGCTGCTGAGCATCTCCGTTGGCGCCGCCAGGACGACCGCGGCTGTCTCTAGCATCGGCCCCGACACTGCCATTGGCGGCATTGCAAATGTGCGCGCTGGTCTCGTCCCGGCCCTTCTCTCTCGGTCTCTCCCGTCCCTCCCGGTCCTTCTCGCTGTGGCGCGTTGCCCGTGGCGCAATCTCCCCACGTGCCCATCCATCCGCGCCCGCCCTGCCCCATTGGCCCGAATTGTCGCGTCGCGCTCCTGCGCAGCCGCGCCGCTGTTCTCCCGTTTCTCCCTGGCTGCAGCACTGATCCTCTCGGCTGCCATGGAGCGTCCTCCTTGCCTGCCGTCCCGCAACATCGCCTGCGCGGCCCGTATCTGTCCCGTGTGCCTGTCGCTGGCCGTTTGTTCTAGAACTCGTTGTTGCGAGCATATGCTTGCGCCAGTTTGCGCTTGCGCTTGCCCGCTTGGCTGTCTGCCTGGACGCCGTCTTCCGACTGGGACGTTGCAGACGCAATCGCCACCACCAGACCCGCCACCTGCAATTCGCCAGAAATCCCGTGCTCCCCCCCCCGATTTCGCCCTCCATCCGCCCAGAGCGCAACCTTGTGTCTGACAAAGATGCTGGCCCCCCACCCCCGATTCGCGCAGGATCGTCGAGTGGTGCTGCCGCTGCAAATCGCGCTGCGTATCTTGCAGATGCTGCAGCAGCCGCACCGAGTGCGCACCATCCCCTCGACTCCGTCTGCTGCATCTGCCATCCCAGCATACCGCCCCTGTCCTTCGGCCTGCATCGGTCCTCCATCTGTCCTCCATCTGTCCTGGCCTGCCTGGCATTGCGCGAACAACAAGCAGCCCTATCTCGATGCGCCAGCCAATCGCATTTGTGCTGGAGCGTCACGACCGACCAATTGGGCTCGGGCGCAGTCAGCCGCTGCGCAATCCGACGCGCGCTCGCGGCCCCATGTCGGTCACGAGCCGCACAGCCCTTCAAAACTCTATTTTTTCCATTTCTGTGGCACATTCCATTTTTGCACCGCTCCCGGCTCCTTGTGGCTCTGCTCCCGAACTGGTTTCGTGGCCTTGGGGTTTGCTTGCGCGTTTGCCTTCCCGCCCTGCCGGTCCATCAGCGGTCCCCGGTCGCCAGGAACCTTGTCGACAATGCTCCAAGGTTTCGTCTCCGAGTTTGCAAGACCGCCTTCTTCGTGCATCCACGCGCCGAAACCCAGCCCTGCATCGATGCATCTGCCAATGCACGCGCCGATGCGTCTGCCAATGTACTCGCCAATGTGCGGGCCAGCCCAGTCGCTCTGTGTCATCCAAAAGTGCATTCATTCATGTGTCTGTCTCGCAGCCGTCGAGCACCAACCGCCGTAAACTCGGGAACTTTGCTCGTATTGCATCCAACTCACTGTGTGGTCGGTGTTGCTCCATCGTGGTGTGCCAACAGCCAGTCCTCTCCCTCTCTGCCCTTGCGTCCGGCTGTATCTGTGCTCATTGCTCCAGCGGTGTCTGCCCTGTGCCGAACCGGGATTCGAGATCCAATGTCAGCACTTGGCTCGTCTGTTCGGCCTGGTCCTTGTAGATCCCAACCAGGGCATCCGCCTTTTCGTACAGCGTGTTCTTGAGAGAGATCACGATGAACTGAACGCCGCTTTCGTCTTTGTGTGCCTGCTTCTGAATGTATCTTGAGATGCGTGCAACGTTGGTGTTGTCGAGGGCAGCATCAACCTCATCGAGCACAAAGAAAGGCGCCGGTCGATAGCTGTGGGGACGAAGAGAGCCGATGTCAGACCAGACCAGACCAGGCCAGATCAGTGGGATACTAAATCTCGATATCGCCTTGCCATCTACCTGTGGATCGCAAACAGCAGCGCCAGAGCCGCCACGGTTTTCTCGCCGCCAGAGAGCTGCTCCATGTCTCGGAATCCTTTCATCGGAGGGACCGCATGATATCGCACCGAGTCCGTAAAGGGCTCCTGCGATCGAGAACCAAATCGTGGTGAGCCGAGTGTTGTTGTGCATCATTCCAGAGGAGCCGCAGTGTCTCAGCTTTCTTCTGCTGCCACCATAACTGCATCAAGCCACTCACGTCGCTGTCGTCGAGGTTCAGCTGGGCAACACCACCCGGGAATCCTGGCGAGGATGTGAGCTCTTCGTAGATCCGCCCAATGTTCTCCGAGATGTGAAGATACGCCTTGTAAAACCGCTCGTATCTGCCCAGAGCACCGATATCTACGTTAGATTGATCACCATCTCACCATCACCATCACCATCACCATCACCATCACCATCACCATCACCATCACCATCACCATCACCATCACCATCACCATCACCATCACCATCACCATCACCATCACCATCACCATCACCATCACCATCACCATCACCATCACCATCACCATCACCATCTCCATCTCCATCTCCATCTCCATCTGTTTCTCGGTCGTCGCACACACCTTTCTTGCTTGATCGTGTTGAACCTATCCTTGGCCGACTTGGCTTCTCGTCGCGACTGCTCAAATTCCCTTGCCGTGTTGCGGTATCGCTCCTCGACATCATCCAGCCTGATCAGTCGCAATCACCCCAGAGTCAGAACCATTCGGCCAGACATAGCACTCCGCAACTCCAATGCTCGCTCGCGGCTCGTTTCAATTGCGGCTGTGTCGGACTCACCTCTCAACTGCCTTCATGTTGGGTGCCAGGCGCTCAATCTCTGCCGCGAGGCCCTTGATGTTCTCCTCAAGCTCGACATCAAGCTCGCTGCTGCCGTTCTGAGGGTCGCAAGCAATCGCGCACGAAACATCAGCGACAGTGGCCACAGGACCGGCGTACTTTCTGTTTCAATTACAGGATTCTGGATCGGCCCACTTTTGCTCGCTTTCCTCTCCCTTTCACATATCCCAGGCGATGTCCATACCTCGCGATAATCTGCCTTGAGTGAGCGGTAGTCGATCTGGATGTTGCTGAGCTGAACCGTCGAGCTCGAAGGACCCGATGGTTCATCGACGTCCATCTGGTCCTCGCCCAATCCGTGGCTCCGCTTCAGTGAATAAGCAGCAGCGGAATCAAAGTCAGTCAACAGGTTACCAACAGCAGCAGCTCCATAATCAATCATGACTTCACCCGCCGTTCATGTATCAGATTGCATCGCTCAACGCACCTCAAGCTCGTTCAGGGGGATAGCTTCCAGTTTTCGACCAACGAGCGGCAGCGGAATCTCCTCCAGCTTGGCTTTGCGTAGCAGCGCAAACCGCTCTTCGTTGAACTTTTCAATCTCGGTCTCCTGTTGGCCCGAAAGTCGGTGGCCGGTGCGATTTGTTCAAGTAAGAATCCGGCTTTGCTGCCGCCAAATCGGCCTACATTGACACATTGCTCAGCACGCCATGTGTGTCGCTTCAGGTGCCGTATACTGACCGCGTGGGTGATCGCCGTGGAGCTGTCCTCGGCCCGTTTGATCAGACTCTGCAGTTCCTTCTTGACGTCATTGACTGCATCGCGGTGGCCATCGAGGCTCTCTTTGAGCTGCAACAACTCAGCTTGCGATTGCGCGAGCGACTCGTTGAGCGCCTCGGCTTCCTTGGCATAGCTCTCCTTCTCCTCTTCCAGCTCAGCCAGTAAGCTTTCATCTTTTGAGATGGCTGTCTGGATGCGCTCGAGGCGGGTCTGAACCTCCTGGCAGAGCTGCTGGTTGAACGAGATTCTGTTGGACGTGGTGTTGTCGAAAGTCGTAACGACAGTAACCAAAGCAGCATTGGGCGTCGTCCGTGTTAGTATTCCAAAGTCAAGTTTGCATCTCATCGCAGCGCACTCGGACACGCATCCCGTTGAGAGTAAAGTCCCGGACGTGCAGCGACGCTCTACTTTGGCCCACATTCAGTCGAGGGAGTGCACGTTCACACCCTGCACAGCTTGCCAAAACAGAGAGCGTGACAGGTACGGAGGGGAGATGAAAGCGAGGGGTCAACTTACTCTCCCTCGAGCTTAGCTTTCTGAGTCGTAAACTGCAATCGTTTCTGCGAGACCTCCTCCTGGCTGCTCAGGAGCTTGTCCTCGTATTCGCGCACACTATGGACTCCAATGCGCCGACAAAAGTCTGCAAAGATCGTGGCTTCCACTTTGGCGATCGCCGCCTCGGCCGACTCGATCTGCTCGTTGATACTCTCAAGGCCAGCGTCTGTCTCGGCGCTTTCACTGCGCAGCTCGCGCATCTGGTCCGCGCAGAACTTGATTTCCTTCTGGACTGCTTCCAGTTTGCGCTCCGTGGCCTCCTACTCAGGATGGAAGCGTCAGTCCGAGGAGGGCGGTAAGTACATATTTTACAAGGCAAGCGCCGCTGGCCTTCTCGCGGTCAACTCTACTCACCAGATCGCTGGTTGTAAACTTGAGCTTGTTTTCCAGCATAAAGATTGCATGCTTCATTTGCTCGTCATATCCGGCTTTGCGGCGACTCTGCTGTACTTCGGCGAGCTGATTCGCCAGCGAGTCCTTGACTTTGCGGAGATCTGTGGGTACAGAGCGCCGAATAAGTCCCTCGCATCCTTCAGTGCGGCTTTGGGCTGTCGTGGTCGTCCTCATATCGCCCGCCGGACGCTCAGGATCCCAAGGGGGCAACTTACTATCAAGCTCGCGCTCTTCCCAGCGCCGAGCGTCCTTCGTAACACCGCTCTGACCGCCGGTAATCAATCCGCTCTTGTGGATCACGGTTCCGTCGAGGGTGACGGCTTCGGCGCAATGTAAAAACATGAACGTCAACGGACACGTGGATGCCAACATGCTAGTGGACACAAGTGGACGCCAACATGCAAGTGCACACAAGTGGATGCAAGTGTGAGCGAGCGCCGTGCCGCGGTGGACATCCATACACCTTACCTTTCACATCCTCATTCTTGTCGTAACAGATCGATCGCGCCACCTCGAGGGTGTCGCAAACCAGTCCGCTTCCACAAACGTAGCGGAACACTCGCTCGTACTGCGGATCGAACTGGATAATATCGATTGCCAATCGCGCCCCCTTTGCGAATGACCGATACTTTTCATTGATGGGCTTGGCAACGATCCCGTCGAGTGGCAAGAATGTACCCTGGCCAGCGCGCTGGTCTTTTAGATACTGTACCAGCCAAAGGAATGTCCAAATTGAGCCTTGGTTAACGCTCGCTCGCACAATGGGCGAATCTGACGAGGCCCTCAAGACACTCCAAACTCTGCGTGCGCGCGCACTTGGTCACTCGCCCTGGCCCAGACCAGATCAGATCAGAGTTTGGACCCTGGGGCTTACCTTGATGCACTCGATCGCCGTCTTTTCGTCGTCCACGATGACGGCGTCGATGTTGCGCCCCAATATAATCGAAGCGGCAACGTCGTACTTTCGCTGTGTTGGCTTGCACAAGTCAACGACTCGTCCATGCACGCCTGGAAACAGCTGCCTCATGCCCTCGAGGCTCTGCTTGAACTTGCGCTCACGCTCGTTCTCGCGCTGATCGGTTCTTGCGTCCATGAGCTTCTGCATGGTGTCAGCCATCTTTTCATTCAGCTCGTTTTCGAGTTGCCTGTTGTGGTAGTGATACACGGCGACTGGGGTCAACCTGTTGTCGTCAACTCACAGCTAAGGCTCTGCTCCTGCCCAGCCCTGCCGATGGACCTACCACAACCGCCGGCGCTCCGATTGGGAGAACTCATAGTCCCGGCGGGTTTGCTCCAGTTCCCGCGTCTGGGTCACTAGATTATCTTGCAGCTGGTGATCGAATCGAAATCGAGTCTCGATTTAGTGTTTCGCTCATCGGGGGCAGCTCGAGACACTCGCTCCCAAGAGAGAGCAAAGCCGTGGCATCTGAGTCGTCCTTGACACACTTTTCTCGGCCAGTGTTTGAGCGGCACACTCTTCCCTGTCCATTCCGGTATCCTCGCTCCTCGATGTTCAAGGCTATTTTCGCTGCCCCCGTGTACATACGTCGCGCTGCCGTTCTTGGAACTTTTCTTTTTCCTCGAGAAGCTGCTGGTGCCGAGCCTTGGCTGAATCAAGCTTGTCTTGAGTGCGCTTGATCGACTCGGTCAGTGACTTTTGCTGGCGCTTGAGAGAGTTGAGTTGCTGCTTCTCTGCAGCGGTCTTGGCGTCGGCTTCGTTGCGTCTAGATCAAGAGGCACGCATTGTCCATCAGATTAGCCTGCTGAATCTCTCTGCCATCCGGTCTGCCATCCGGTCTGCCACCTCACTGGAGTGGCGTCTACTCCGGAGAAGACAGGCGTCTTCGTACTTTTCTCGATATTCTGCTTGTGCGCGCTCGCTGATCTTCAGCGCTTTCCCCTTTTCGGATGACTTGAGCGACTCTATTGGGATGGGAAGCGACGATGGTTGTGTTCAGTGGCTGCGTCCTCAACGCGACTCAGCGCGGGCCGCCATGCGGCGGGTCACTTTGGCTCCCACCTTCATATCGCATAATGGCCTTTTCGACGTCTTTGAGCTGCTTTTCGAGGTCCTTGACAACGTCACTCTGCATCGAAGGATACAATCCATCCACATCCAGAATTAGCACAGCAGAACACGCTGCAGCCGTGTAAGCTGTGTCTAAAAGAGCGATCGTGATGATACAAGGCACAGCGCCACTTGCCTGCTTGGATAGATTGCCCTCGGTCTTGCTGAGATTCTCGCGGGTGTTGGCCAGTTTGCCGCGGATATGCAGGATTCTCTCGTCAATCTTGAGCAGCTGGGGTTTCTGTTCGTGCCCACGGATAAAAGATAGCCAAAGAGGGTTAGCGCCACTCGTCCCACAATCAGTAATGCGCCGAAGAGTAGTAGATGCTGTTGCATACAACGTCTCCCAACCTTGCTGTCGATCTGTCGAGTCTTGTCCTTGACAATCTTTTCGCATTTGAGTAGCTCCGCATTGACCTTGGCCTGCTTCTTCTTGGCATCCTTAAAGGCACGCTCGAGGCGATCCTATCCGCGGACGCAAAGGGGTAGTATTAGCATCGCGACCGAGCGGTGTCTCGGCTTGGATCCCCGGATCGCCATTGGCGCGCACCTGTGTTTCGTTAAAGTCGCCTGTCTTGGCCTGCTCCTCGCCGATTACTTGCTCCATCTGGGTGACTTTGCCTTCCAGATGAAAGAGCTTCCAGAGGAAGTGAGTGGTGAGCAGCTTGGCCTGTAAACCAGAGCGAGATTGAAACCGTGCAAGGTACAAATACGTTAGTGGCAGGACACCCAGCTCTTTCCGCCAATTTCAAGCTGGGTGTTGTGCTGATGGCAATCGGAAGAAGGATGAGCAACCAAGTTCCTAATCAATTGCATTGAACTTTGATCCAATGATGCACGCACCCTTTGGCTCTGGAGTCGCTCGTATTTCTCTGCCTCGTCTTTCTGCTCACGGAACTGTTTCATCTCTGCAGTCACGCCGCGCTTCTTGTTGAAGTTTTGCGTCGAATTCTCGGTCGCTCGCTCCTGAACTGCCTTGAGCTCCTCGTACTCTTTCTTGAACTCGAGGGATCTAGGAGGTGCGACAGAGGTCAACACGCGGACCAGGCTGAGTCGCACGCTGCCAGATGCTCGACTAATTGCTTTCTCTCGACATGCTATCGCGCTGCCAGAGTCATGCTCACCCGCTGATCTGCTCAATGAGCCGGGTCAGGTCCTTGGACGACTGCGAAGCAATCGCTTCAATGTCTCCCTAACAGCCGAGTGGTGCGATGCAGTGTGGGCATTATAGTCTCGCATATATGGCTGCTCAGATCTGATCCAAACGGGTGCATCGGATTCCATCACCGCTCTGCGACCCTGTGCGCCCCCCTCACCTGGAAAACGAGAAAGTTGCGAGCCTTGACCAGGATATTTTCCAGCTCCAGGGTCTTGAGATATACATCGACGCTGACGACACGGTTGTTGATCCGATACTGACTGCCTGACGATGAAATACTATTGGCGACCCCAGCGAGTCAGTGTCGCAGCCAGCAGCAGCATAGTGGACCGCACTGTCCCCTCCCCGTTCGACAATAGGGCGACTGCATTGGACCTGGTATGGTCGACTGGGAACGCACCTGCGGGAAAAGGTGACCTCGGTGCCGTCATCCTGTCGATAGACAGCTGTCACCGATGCTGTCTTGGGACGGACATTTTCCACTTCATCGCTGTCCTCGTCATCGCCACTGCGGCCCTCGTCGTCTTCGTGCTCCTCGGGGCCTCTGGTGTAGATGAGCTCGCGGAGCTGTTGCGAGCGCAGCTGTTGCGACTTGATGCCGAGAACAAACGAGATGGCGTCCATCAGATTGGACTTGCCTACGGAGCTTAAAATCAGTGGTTCTGCCAATGGTTTGATGCAAATGGAGCAGCACACAAAGGCAGCAGCGAGGCATCTCTCGCCCGAGCTCTCTCTGGTTCGGATGGCCCTGCAGGCCGCCTGACTCACCAGCTCCGTTGGGTCCGATCACAGACGTGAAGCTGCTGAACGGACCGATGGTCTGCTTGCCCCTGTAGGACTTGAAATTCTCCAGATCGATGCGAACGAGTCGTCCCATGGTCGCTGCTGCTCTGGTCGGTGCGCTTGTAGGCGGCTTGATCGAAGCAAGCCGTGCGGGGGGAGATGCGGGGCTGGGTGAGCCCTCCTGGGGCCGCCCAACATGCCTCGCTCTGCGAAGCCAGTTCGAGCCAGCGCGCGGTTCGAGTCTGCATTTGCCCAAATAAGGCAAGATTCATCGCTGCAAAGCGCGGCACAACTCCAGGATCGCGGCCTGCATTCGGAGCTCTGGACAACATTCGCCAGCCGGACGGGGTCTCGCTGCGACTTTGCCCAAGTTCGGTCAATAGTGCAGATCCGGCATTTTGACCCCCGAGAGCCGCAGAGTGCCTTGGAAACGCATCGCCCCGCACACCGCTGCCTCGACGCTTCGCACACTGCCGCCCAAATTGCGTGCCAGGATGGCCAGAAGCGCTGATACCAGGAAACGAGTCCGAGAAGAAGATCCAAAGGATGAGCACAATGTCTCGGTGTGCTGTGCCGTCAGCAAGTCTGGCGACGAGAACGCATCAGCCCAAGATACCCCCGTACGGCGAAAGAGCTCCCGGATCGCCGGAAGGGCCGTGGTCGCCGAGACCAGCCCAAAGAGTCGCCAACGCCGCCTGTCGCCCGTCTGCGAGGTTCCCCGCTCGCCGCACCGCAAGCCCCTCGGCTCTGCAAATGGTATGATGTGTTGATGCTGTGTCGATGATATACCCGTCACATCTTTGACAGCCACCGCATGGACTTGTGCACGGCATGCACATGCTTGGTACTGGCTTTGCGCAGATACCTATCGTAGTTGCCAGTGGATCGGCCACTGACTCTGTCGATGCGTCTGGAATATCTCTACCCAATAGGCCGGCTCAACTCCAAAGCACAAGGCTCGCCCTCCCGGAGCCCCCCAGCCGACGATGAGCCGCGGACGCCAAAGTCGGTCAGAAAGCCATCCGATATTTCGCCAAAGCCCTGCCCGGCGACCCCACGCACTCCGACGCAGATCTATCTAGCCGGCAAATCCATCTTTCGCAGATGTGCCACCCCATCGCGGCTCATCGGGCGAGAACATGAACGCAGCGCGCTGAGCCAGTTCTGGAGCGATCATGTTCTTGCTGGCGTGGCCGGCTCGCTCTATATCTCGGGCTACCCTGGGACTGGCAAGACCGCGCTCGTCGAGGAGATCATGCGAGAAATGCATCCGCAGTATGCCAAGGTACAGAGTCGAGTGCTCGCTGGCTGTTCCGACAGTGCCATATCTATGCGTCTCGGCCATCACCGCATACATGGCGTAGCTTGGAGCCAGCAACGCATCCCGCTGGCCTCGGCACACTTGATCTCGCTGCAACCGACCCACACCCCTGCGCTCATATTTCACGGGGATCGCCTCACAGTTGCCACACAAGGTCGAGGTCATCAAGCTGAACTGCATGACCATCAAGGACCCGAAGCAAATCTACTCCAAGCTCGTGTTCCAAATGGAGAAGGAGGCGTGTCCATACAAGGGCGCACTCGACCGGCTGGAAGCATTGTTCATTTCCAAAAAGACATCATCCAAACCCAAAGCCAAGTCCAAACCGACACTCTTGTAAGTCGCCAAACCCCTGCCATTGCCACCCGTCCTTTCCAACTTTGATAAACACTCTCGCCGAACCGTCCGTCGGACCGACATCACCCCCAAACGAGGAAGATCCACTCGTAACTTTTGATTTTCCACAGCTTAGTCATCCTGGACGAGATCGACCACTTGCTCACTGGCGACCAGGAGGTGCTGTACAAGCTTTTTGAGTGGCCCACGCTCAAATCATCCAGCCTGGTGCTGCTTGGAATCGCCAACGCATTGGATATGACCAATCGCTTTCTACCGCGGCTCAAGGCCAAGAACTGTGAGTGTCATTGATATGCGCGTGCTCTCTGCACCGTGAATCGGTTCGGTGCCGTGCCGACGCTGCCGCTTGCTGCCTATCCACGGGTGCTTCCCTTCTTGGGCTGGGCACTGACATACCCACGCTACTCGGCCATCAGGTGAGCCAGAGCTTCTCAACTTCAATCCATATGACCATCCGGAGATCACCAAGATCATCCGCGCGCGTCTCGAGTCGCTGGTGGATCTGGATGAGCTCGGTGATGACAGTCCGGCCCCGCGAGAATATGTTCCGGGCGGCCACTCGACGGCGCTGAAGCCATTCCCTGCTATCCCAGGCAGTGCTCCCACGGCTCTGTCAGCTCCTTCAGTGACGTTCCCGCTGATGCACACCAATGCGATCGAGGTCTTGGCCCGTAAAGTCGCTGGTACCGGTGACCTGCGCAAAGCTCTTGATGTGTGTCGGTAGGTTTGTCGTTCCCAGCTCAATCGACCGCCTCATGAAAATCGGCGATGATCTTGCGATGCATACGAACTTTCCTCGGCTCATGCTGGCAACTAACCGATCGATCCATCGATCAATTCCGTAACGGACAAACCACAGACAAGCGATCGAGATTGTCGAAAACGAAACACGCGCCAAGGCCGCGGACCAGCCAGAAAAGCCTGATTCGGCCTTGGCCCTCGATATGGAGGCACCTGTCGAGTCGCTCGATGCACTGCCCAAGGTCACCGTGGCGCACGTACTCAAGGCAGCCATCAACGCCTTTGGCTCTCCAATCGTGGCCAAAATCAAAGCGCTGAACTCGCAGCAGAAGGTGGTGCTGTGCGCATGTATGATGCTGGAGTCGGAGCGGAAGGCCGAGTCCACCGTCGGAACAGTAAGTCGATTGGAGCGCCTCGCGCTCAAGCATCGGAGGCATCGACTCTTGAGTTGTTTCCAGCCCATGTACTCGCGAGTCGCCGGCGGACGCAGTTCAATGACCTTTCTGTGTCTTCACATTCCTCCCGGGTCGGCTCCCGTTGCAATACAGATCAACGATCGATACATAGAACTGTGTCGCAACAGCAACTCGCTGTTTACTCCAGTCACGGCTTCTGAGTTTCGGGATTTGCTCTCGAACCTCGAGTCCAATGGTCTGATTGCATGCAGCGCCTCCAAGGCAACCGACCGAAACCGTAAGGTAAACATCAATGTGTCCATCGACGAGGTCTGTTCCGGGATCGCCGACATTTCGATTCTGGCAGCTCTGATGGATGACTTTGTGGAGAAGAATAAAAGTACATAGACCGGGTGCTGCCTGCGACAGCGGTCTGCATCCTCTGATATCCCTTGCTGTGAAATGAGCCGGCGCAGCAGTGGCAGGACCGCCGGCCACAGGGTGCAGTTGCAAACGGCGGGCTTTATTGTGTCGGTGCGGTGTTGCCATACTGAGAGCTGGGGCCTGTCATCCAGACAAACGAGGAGGGCCTATTATGACGGCCAGAGCAGAGCGGGATGAGGACGGAGCGCGGCTTGGTTCACGCGGATGTCGGCGACGGCGAGATACCGAAATAGTTTGGCGCCTGGCGAATCGGTTCACATGGTAAAGGCGGCATCGCCATACTCCCCCTGTTCGCTGACAACAGCACCGTTGAGCGAATAGCTCAGCTTGAATCTGACCCGAAGAGGCTCCTGTCCATCGAAGTGAGTGCGTGAGTGAGTGTGTGAGTGAGTGCGCGAGTGGGCCGAGTCTATCGCAATGCCCCCCTGAAGGTTCGAGCAAGTCATCCGAACCTTGGTTGGGTTGGAGATCTTCAGATTCTGCGTGACCTGCGCCATGTTCAGTGGCGCGATCACTTGCCCCGACAGCGGATCCATTTGGAGAACCATTGCCTGAGCCAAAGCGGGCCAAAGTGTTCAGTAGCGATTCGTGGCCATCCATAAAGTCGACACCGGCCAGAGCATATCGATTCTCCGCATTCGCGCCTCAGTACTCCTCACCTTGGGCAGTGCCAGTTGGAAGTTGAGATCGGCCATGGGAACGGGCGTGGTGTTGATGAACACCAGCTGCGACAGCCATCCGTTGTCTTTCCAGAGCAACTTCATATGAACCTGGATGCCGTTCTTGTTGAAGATGACGACTGGATGATCGCCAACCGACCGGCGTCAGTGACTCGCAGACGATTTGCATCATGCCTCGCTGCACCGGGCAATCACAGTGACCGCGGCAACGCAGCAGTGACGTATGCGCATCGCATCTCATTCGTACCTTCTCGCTTCTGAGCCTGAGTCGGGCTGACGGGCGAGACCGCTTTGATTGTGGAGTGTCAGCTCAGCCGTTACGAGTCGTGCTGACGCATATCATATCCGTGGCGAGACGCTTAGCGTGGTCGGCTTACCGTTCTGGACAGGCGAGGTCTTGCCAGGTGTGCCTGGAACTTGAAATCGAAAGCCATTCGGTGGAGATATCAGCAAAGCGATGGATTCCATTAAAACACCATCACATGCTTTAGATTCTATCAGAGATACAGTCTCGACCTACCCCCAAATTGAGCGAAGCCTGGGATCGCTTGGGCTGGCTGAAACGTCCCCGAGCCACTGCTGGACAAACCAGCCGTCCCTGGGAAGCCTGCAGCTGCGCCCAGGGTGTTGCCTGCCAGAGTTGCTCCCTGACCAAAACCATGTACCGACGGCTGGCTCAACGCAGGAAGAGTCGATGGTTGGGCGAGCGGCGCAAGCCCGATAAACGATGCTAGGTACAGACGCGATAGTGTGGATCAGCATACTGCAGGGCATGGATGGTCGTGTGGTCATTCTGGCGCCATCAACGCAACTCACCGCCTGTAGACGAAGCAAACGGATTCACTGCGGCACTGGAATGGGCAGATGGAGCCTGAAATTCATCATCCGATTAGCGGACAGGCTCGGCCAGGTATACGGCGACGACAGCGACGACAACAACGACAGCGACGACAGCGACGACGACAGGCGCTGTCTTGGGGCTCTTCGTTACCGCAAAGTTCAAGTTGGAGAGATCGTCGAGCAGGTCTGAGTGGGGCAGTGAAGATAGCCGTCAGCTCAGTGGAGACACAGTTGCATCAGCCAGAAAGCCATGGCCTCGGCTCCTTTTGCTTACTGTTTCCCGGGGGCTTGGAAGCCGCCGCTGTACCAGTCGAAAGACCAAAGTTGACGACAGCCGGCAGCTCGGACGCATCGAGATCGATCAAGTTGATGGGACCAGTCTGAGGAGACACAACAGGCCTCTTCGCAGAAGCAGCGCCAGTCGAGGGCGTGGGACTTGCTGGGTTGGTTTTACTGAGCCAGCACCACAAATGGTGAGCACAGATCGCGGATGATGTCTCGAGCAATGTATCCGTTGATGACAATCGGCCGCTGCTGCCCCAGAAGCATGCCGGCGCAGTCAACTTACGCAACCGACTTGCCGCTCTTGAAGTCTTCGTACTTGGCAATGACGGTGTTGATCAAGTCATTCAGCTCCAAGAGTCGTTCTGAGATTCCGGGTTCAGTTAGTAATCGGCGCCTCGTCTGAGGGGTCGCTGGTTAAAGACCGATTGGCACAGCCTACCCATCCTGTCCTCCTCTTCGCCGCTCGAAACAAGGCTCTGGATTCGAGTTTGTGCCGACTTTGATGATCCAAAGAGTTCCTGCAGCGCATATGCATTTGCCGCCCGCTTGGTTAGGACGTATGGTCGACATCGACATCGACATCGACTGGGGGGGGGGGTGTCTGCAGCCGGCTCGGTGGTATTGCTGCCGGATCGAACGGCCCAAAATGGCCGCTGCTGCTCACCTCGATTGTCGAATCGTGCTTGAAGCGCTCCTCGGACGTCTTGCCATTGAGCATGTCGTTCAAGAGATGCACGCGTTGCTCGATACGATCGAGCTCCTCGTTAACCTCCTTCTTGTAGTCCGGGCGCTTCTCCAAATCCTGGTTCGCCACAAGACAGGTGCTCGTCAGCTGTTGGACAAGCTGACAGACGGACCGAGCACGGATGCAGTGCGGACGCGGTGGGAAAGTATGCCCCCGCCGGACGAGCTCAAGTGGCATGATCTGTGGGAGCTGCACGATGGATCTCACGCCGCCGGAGGGTGACACCGATCAGAAACGAATGCGCCTGAAGCTTACGTAGCCAGCCATAACCTTCATCAAGTCGTTGGCCTGTTCGAGAGCGGCTGGTGTACCAACGCGAAGAAGCTCCTCGAGTTTCTAGACCACCCACGTTGATTAATCTCGGATCAGCGGATATCATCGTTTGGTGATCATGATTTCAAGCGGCAGTTGGGACTCTTACCGCACCCTGGGCGATTCGGTCTTCTTCCTCAAGTTCCCTCTCTGTTTTGAAAACCTGAGCGTGAGGCAGGTCAGTGCCACAGCAGCGGAAGAGCATCGTTGCGATACAGCGAAATCATTGTGGCTAGCGCCGCTTGGGGCACCCGCACCTCTGGGGGATTCAGCACAGCGGCATCTGGAGCAACAGCTGGGAAGCGGTAGCCTGGATGCAATAGAGGCAAACAGTCAGAATTGGTGCAGACACGACTTGTTGTGCTGCTTGTGCACATGCGTCTCTTGAGCACCAGCTGTAATGGAAACCGCCTACCTTTGAAGGACAGAAGCCGGTACATATCGTTGATGTGGACAAAGTCGTCCTTGTAGCGAGAAGTGACGCAGAGAGTTGCATTCCATTGTTGGATGAGCTCCAGGATGCGATATTGGACCTGGGTGACGTTCTGGGCGTGCCAGGGAGCGAGGAAGGTGTATTAGTGCAGGCGTAGGCCCTGCTGATATCCGAGCCCACGAAGAGCAGGCAAGCTCTGTGATCCAGGCAAGCGGGGGGGGGCATATTGGCATCCCTCCACAGGCGGGATCGGTGGCAACGGATCAGGAATCGGTGTCTTGTCTTCCCCCGACGAAATCCGTTGGTGGGGGGGGGCTTCCCTTACCACAGGTCGCTCGGGAAATCGCCGGACCAGCTCGTTGAGAAACTCCTTCGTCGAGATGATCAAATGGAACGGGTATCCACAGTTTTTGACGCAGTTGTCGAGAAGCTGTTGGTCGAATCGTGCAAGGACAGAAAGGTCAATGGGACTTGAACGATGCCACAGCCCAAGACGCATCTTGCACAGGGGCTGCCACTGTATTAGCGTGGCCATCGAAATTGCCTCGTGGGCAAGCCACCAAATCGCACTCGAGGGCGAATCGGCAACGGAACCCACCGTCAGAGCAAGAAGAGCCGTATGGCTGGATCGACCATTGACATTACGCACGATGGCGGACGCGGCCTCTCGGGAGCTGGAGTGAGGGGTTGCAGCAACAGAAGATCCGGGCGGCGAGGCAGTTGTTATTACGATGATTACCCGGGCAACGGGATTTTGAGTGGTCATCCAACCGCCGCCGATGGTGCCCGAGACGGAGCCACAGGAGCCGCCTCCCAACTTACGCAGATTTCTTGCGGTTGATCACGTCGACGATTTCCAGGTTCAGGGACAGATTCGGCTGGTGGTTGATCTCATCGCAGGCCTGGTCTGTGGGTTAGATGTGTCAATGCAAGAGAGACAGGAAGGGAAGCGAAGAGGGCATTGTTTGCCACTTTAGCAGCCGTCGTCGGCGAGGGCCGCGGTGCTGATGGGATGCAGCCGCCATGGACGTTTCAGGCTCTGGTGGATGACGGAGTGATCGTCCCGACGACGATCGAGCGCCGCGGGGGAGCCGACATAGACGGTACCTATCATCTGCTCCAAGGACATAAACGTCGCCATGGCTGCGGTTGTCGTTGCGGTTGCGGCTCTAGAGGAACGGGAGGGCAGATGGGGCACAAGCGGATGTCGGCGGTGCGGTTGGGGTGCAAGGAGGGCTGGACTGACAAGGGTGCTCGCGCCTGAAGTCGGACGCGAGGGGCGGTTCGCAAGCAGCAGAGATGGTTGCTTGGACCAGCCCGCGAGAGCAGACGAGGGCATCGGATGATGTCTGCGCTGCTGGTCGATGTGATTGGCCGAGAGATATCGACCGGCCTGGGTCGGGGAGCCTGTCTATCATTGCCTGTGCTGCATGCTGTCCGCGCTGACGACCATTTGGACACACTTGGCTGGCACAGAAGCAAGACGACCCACACCCACTGCAAGATAGTCTGGACCACCTGTTTCTCACCACAGACTGTCTCTATTGCTGAACCTCGATTCTCCTGCCCAGGACCGATTTAACCTCTTTGATGGCCAGGGAGGTCACCCCGATCCGGTCAAGCGAGCTCTCGATGCCACTCGTGTCTCCCTCGACAAACAGATCGACAAGCTGCGCCAGGGTAACCATCTCTGGCGGCTTTTGGTTGTCGGGCACAACCTCAGCACTGTCCTTGCTTGACAGGGAGAGCAAGACCGAGCTGTCTCTGGATCTGTGTGTGGCCATGCAACGATTAGTCAGAGGCGGCGTCTGCGGGGCTGCCGTCGATCTCCAATGGGCTACACGTTGGTCAGAGACCAGCCCTGAGGTCGTGACAGCATTACGACACACTTACTTCTTGAGCAGCGACTCGGGGTGCTTGATCCAGACACGGAACAGAGCATTCCAGTAGCCGGCCGACAGGTCCGTCTGGATTTGCTGGCCGCCGAGTTGGTTGAAGGTGCCCTTGAGAACAATATTCTGGAAGAAGGACGAGTCGACCTGCGCGACAATGTTCCGGAGCAGGGGCTGAAACGTAGACGCCGGTAGCTGTCCGGAAAGGCTGGTAAAGACCTGGGCCAGTATCGACAAGCCCTCGACCAACTCGGACGAAACCGTGGGATCCGAGGCTGGCTCCGACAGGCACCAGTTGCGCCTGTGAACAGACGAGAATCAGCTCGACTGATCTGCAAACCAGCGCGACGGCCTGCGCTACACTCTCAGATCAAGACCCACCGCTTGTAGTAGCGCCAGGTGGATTCGTTGTAGATTTGCATGACTTCCTGCTCCAGGATGTCGGCGATCTGCCTGATTTTGCTCTGGTAGGCATCGACAAGCTCGGTGAACACAGAGTCGCTGCTGTTCAGACTGCTGGGGTCGTCCGAGGCTTGCGCTTGGTTGAAGACAATGTCCCACAGCGAAATGAAGAGCTACAGATGGGGCCCGGCGGACGTGGGAACATGGCAGTCAGGATGGCGATAATGAGTTCTCAACTGAAGGCAGCACCGATTCCCTGCTTCGGATGCAACGCTGAAACACGTCCCCGGACTCGGACCGCCACCTTTTGTGGTTAGCGATCAAGTCGCATCTCCATGACGATGCCACTTACAATTTGCTCACTCCATTCCCCGAGGATCTCGCAGAGATAGCCGAGGGAGCCCGCGTACCGAGCCAAGAGAGCCTGTCGCTGGATGTTCTCGTCGACCGAGTTCGTGCCGTGGAGCGGCGCAAAATAGGCCTGATGCTGATCGACTCCGGTCTGCACGTGGTGCAGATACTTTTCAAGAAGCGGCATTTGGATCTCGGCAAAGAACTGGAGCTGGTAGTGTGGCCTCGGGAGGCGTCTGTAGCGCTCTGGAAAGAAAGAAAGAACGACGATTATTGCATGGCACGGGGAATATGGGGGGTATCGCCAATGTTGTGCAGTGCGGCCAACCAACGAACGGGAGTCAGGAAGCGATGGTGGTATGCCCATAGAGACGGGGGAGACCGCCCGGGGTGGCGCACGCGGATATCGGCGATCCATATGCCGGTCGTTAGTGTTGTGCGATTACCTGTTACACCTTCAAGAATGCCGACGAGGATTTCAGCCGACTTTGTTCGATGAAGCTCGTCGAGCACCGCCTCATAAGCGAGATCCCACCTGTCACTACGAGCCATGGCCTCGTCAAAGAGCGCAAACGCCGCTAGGACCGCACCACACGGCTGGTTAGAGCTCGATGCCATACTGTTCGCGCAAAGAGACGATGGCAAGTAGCAAATGGCATACCGCTGCGCTCGATGGCTAACCATGCCTTGAACCAGTTGGTGTTTTCTAAAAAGGTCGAGACACATCCTCCCCAAAGGGCCGAGCCTGGCGGCGCATAGAGATGGACTTCTCGCAGAGTGGTGTCAAAGGCGGTGGTCTCGGCGATGGTGTGGGACATGAGTGGCGGATCAGACAGCAGCAGCGGGGCATCGTGTCGAAGCTTGTCATTGACGGCCACAAGAAAGCTGTGGATGAAGAGAACCTGCGAAGGCCGATTGTAAGGCACGATTCTTCTCTACGGCCGTCGCCCTCCAACATCCGCTGACGCTGACAGCGAGAGCACGGGTGTGCTTGCACACGAGTAGCTCATCTGCGAGTAGCTCATCAAGATCACCAACCTTGGCATCGAATCCTTTGTAGACACTCGCATCCAACACCTGCTGAACGACGCTGCTCAGAAACGGGGTCTGTTCCCGGACAACCTTCAAGAAATCGGTAAAGCACCACTCGGGCTGGCATCGAGAGGTTGATGTGCGTTAGCAGGCGTTACCGCGTCCGTCGCCACATGCACGGACAGACGTAAGGCGGGTTGAGGAGCTAGTGGTCTGTATAGGCGTACCTTGTCGAGCCGGTTGGTCGGGCGTTTGCCTTGGAAATGATACTTGAAGCGGGCGACGTGTAGCTCAAGCAGCAAGCTGAAGGCATCGAGCGGAGCTGGCTTGTAGGATTTGGGACTCCTGGGGCAGAGAGCAAGTTCGATTTCGCAACGGCCACAGCCCAAAATGTTGCCATCGATATCCAGAGTCGGCGCAGCGCATTTGGAAATCGGAATATGGCATACGCCATTCGGAGATGGGAGACACATTGAGCGTTGGGGATCGGACGTGGAGCGAGGTATGGGCTCCATAAGGAGCACCGATACTAGCGCCGATGGTCAAGTGGCTAGCAGATCGCTGGAATCAGGGCGGGAGCGAACGACACTCACCACTTCACAAGCCGCAGAATGTTTCCAAAGACGTTGCTGAACGATTTGATGGTCTCGGACTGGTTCAAATCGACCGGGTTCGGCCAGTTCAGTCGCTTGAAGATACCACGAAGCTTTCTGTCGAATCAAGTAGATATGAATGCCGGTTCCAAGCACAGAGACGCCCGAGAGTCGAATGCATATCCGTGACGTGCAAGCGGTGAACTCGGGTGTATCTGGAACGGCATTGCTTACCCTCCCAGATGATTCAGCAAAGCGTTATAGAGCTCGCCAGAGATTTGCTCGGCATACTGACGCAGGTTGTCGCCAGCGGGCCGCTGCGAGACGAGCCCTTCGTGATCGTCGGCCCCAAGGCTCGAGAGCGACTCAAGCAGCACGTTGACGTCGTTGTAGGAGCCCACGGCCTCCAACGGCGATTTTTCGATCGACTGCAAGGTCTGGGCTCTGGTCCGTATGGAATATCCGGTCGAGACTCTGGATCAGCGCCGGAAGATTGTCCCCTCGCCAAGGCGCTGTTGTTGGATTCACATTGGCCGGCCTGGGCTGGCGGCAGCGGAAGGAGTCCGACACCTACCGGAGATCCTCGAGACGCTTGAGCAACAAGAAATAGTCCCGAGCGTACTCAAGCTTGCGCAGCTTTGTATCGCAGTTGGAGAGAAAGTCCAGCGAAGAGCGGTAGCTGGCAGCCCCGAGCTGGTTGGTGAGGGTCGACAGGAGTTCTTCCCGGGTATCTGCATGTGAGTCGAGCAGAATCTCGTTGTGACAGGCGGCGGTGCTGATCGCCTCGACGGCCTCTGGATGGCTGGACGAGAGCCCCTCGCTCTGGGGAGGGGAAGCATGTCAGCTCTAGACTGCGGGCTGGCCAAGCCGGAGCAGAGGGCCGTTGGGAGCATCGACAGGGGGGGGGACATTGCGCCGGATGGTGCGGATGGTACTGGATTGGGGGCGGACAGCGAACCTCCTCGGTGGCATCTTGCAGGAGCCGCCTCGTCGACTCGATCACGAGAGGCAGCCTCTCCAGATCATAGAGATCTCGGAAGGATGAATTGAGCTCATGCACGAGATCCATGGTTGCTGCGACCAAGACCAGGCCGGGAGCGATGGACGGCGAGGGGAGCAATGTGGCCTGGCCTGACCGGCTGCGCGCCAGCAGGATCGCCAGCTGGATCGCCAACAGCGAGGCAAGCGCAGCGACGTGTTGACAGCAATGGGTGCATGAAGCGACGGATGGTGCATGAAGCGACGGATAGATGCACGGAGATGGATGTAATCTTGCTGGTCTCCATGGGTGATAGTCCATCCACCCGATCCGCCATGGTCCTGCGCATCATGTCTTTGCTCGTCCGTGGTGTGGGTCTGGCGGACCGGTGCTCTCCATACAGCCAACAACCATCATGCGCAAGCCCGCATTGCAGTTCCCGGGCGCCGGCGTGGGCTTGCTCAAGACGAAACTTTGCTGGTTTGGCTTGGCTTGGCTTGGCATTACCCGCCTGGCGACGCCGCCGACAAACACCACGGCCAACACGGACGATTTCTCGATGGTGTCATCGGGACAGCCACCACTTGCAACACTTCTCTTCCCCGGCATCGATCCGTCCATCACTCCATCGCTCCATCGCTCCATCACTCCATCACTCCATCACTCCATCACTCCATCACTCCATCACTCCATCACTCCATCACTCCATCACTCCATCACTCCATCCAGCCCGTCCAGCCCGTCCATCCATCGCGCCGCGATTGGCAGGCAGCAACGCGGTGCTGCGCACGCCACCGCGTCGGCCAATCGCCGCGCGCCCCCGAAATAGCCGGCCTGGTGGCTGTGCCTGGCCGCGAGCCGGCCCCCGCCACCACCGCCGGTCTATTTGATGGGCCGCTCTCCGTCGACACTGCCCGTTCGCCGTTGCTCTCCTGTCCTCCGTCGCCATGTCCCTTCCGCACGCTGCCTTTGCCCACGTCTACATCATCGCCGAGGGCGCTGCCCTGCCCACGGCTATCCTGCCTCGTGCTGTCCATCTGCTCTCTTCTGTCGTCCCCAGCGTCCAGGTGACCCACTCGCTCAACCACGGCTGGGGCTCCGATTCCCTGGTCATCTCCATCGGCAACAACTCCGTCACCCGCGCCTCCATCCCCCAGGGTGCTGTCGACGAGCTCGAGCCTGAGGGCTACATCGTCACCTCCAAGCGTACCGAAAACGGCGCCCTTCTGGTCCTGGCCGACGGCAAGGCCACCGCCAAGGACGAGCACACCGGCCACCCCTATAAGCACGGCAACCTCGGCCAAGCCTACGCCCTGTACTTTATCCTCGAGGAGCTTGGCTTTGCCTTCCTGCATCCTCTGGCCCCCGCCATCCCCCCGCACCTGACCCTCCGCCGTCTCCCTGTCAATGTCCGCGAGTCGCCCCGCTGGGCCACCCGTGCCTTCCACTACCACACCCAGCATCCCCTCGAGCTCGTTGACCTCCTCGAGGGCTGGGGCCCCCAGGGTCCCGAGGACCGTGCCGGCTGGGACTCGCAGCTGCCCGAGTGGGCGCTCTACCTCGAGTGGCTCGTGGCCAACAAGCAGAACGCCATCGAGTGGGTCCTGCTCGAGGCCCTGACCTGGGCCGAGTTTGCTCGCTCCAAGGAGCGCCAGGACCGCCTCACCATCCTTGTCGAGCTCGGCCATAGCTATGGTATCCGCATCGGCGTCGACACCCCCATCATCTTTGCCCAGCAGCACTCGTTCCGTCTGCTCCGAAACGGCACCGGTCAAGACAAGGACTTTGAGAACGAGAAGCAGGAGATCCACGACTCGATCGACTATGTCCTGAGCTGCGGCTTTGATTTTCTCGGCACCGAGGTACGGCTCTGTCGCCTGTTGGGTGGTTGTAAAGTTGAAGCAAACGCATTTGGCGTGGCTTGATTTGGCTTGATTTGGCAACGGACAGGCACAGCCTGCCCAGCCAGCTCGCGAGAGTGCACTTGGAGGAGGAGTGTGCAATACACTTGCCACCAAAGCCATGGTACTTATCGATCGCCCTTGCTCCATCCCTCGGTCGCTTGCAGGGAGGCACGTCCGAGTTCACCCACCCTGATGCCAAGAAGATGCTTGACTACATGAACGCCGTCGCCGACTACGCCCGTGAAAAGTACAACGTCCCCACCGACATCAAGGTCCACTGCTCCTCTGGCCAGGTCGCCAAGGGCTTCAAGGACGAGCGCACCGGCGAGGATATCAACTTCAACTTCCTCCCCCACTTTGCCACCAAGAACCTGGGCGTCCTTGTCCACACGGTCGAGGAGTATGCCCTCGACGACCCCGCCCCCACCTACGGCAACAAGGATTTCAAGTATCTCCGCGACTTCCTCAACTGGGAGCGCGAGCTCGGCAACCGCAAGGTGCTCTTCTATCCCGAGACGGCCTACTGGGTCACTGTCGACATTGATGTCCCGCTGTTCCTGCCTATCTATGCCGACCGCCGCGTCCACGACCTGCGCCTCCTGGCCGAGGATGAGCAGAACTCGGCCTCCAAGAGAAAGATGGAGGGCCAGCTCATCTTCTCCAGTGGATGGGAGTGGAGCTACTGGCTCAACGACTCAGTTGCTGCCCGTGCTGTCTGGAACCCCTTCTCGGATGAACCCACCCAGCGCGAAGCCTTTGTTCGCTCGCTGCGTCCCTTCACCAAGCATCTCGACGACCACGTTGCCGCCGAGGTCGAGGCCCTCCTGGCTGACTGGGTGCATGCCCAACAGGAGAACTTGATTGAAGGCAAGGTCAATGGCATCGCTCCCAAGGACATTTTCAAGCGCACTGGCCACGCCTATCTCGAAGGCTGGGACACTTGGTGAGGCCCACACACCACGCCCAACGCTGCATGTTGGACATTTGATGTCAGCATCAAATGCCCAATGGCCAATGGCCAGCATCAAATGCCTGACAACCTTCTACCCTTCCACCGCAACAGGGACGATATCAGCCGCCTTCTCAAGGACTGGCATATGCCCGGTGCCAGCGTTACCCAGAGCGAGTCGCTTGACTTTGGCGACATGGCTGCCAAGAGCCGCAGCTTTGGCTTGGATCCCACCGCGGTCGACTACAAGACCCAGGTTGCCCCTCTGCTGGTCGAGATGGAGTCGCGCTTCCTGGCCCTCTCGAACCGCACCACTGCCCTCTCTGCCAAGATCCCCGCCTATTTGAAGAGTCTGTGGGACGACGTTGCCGACTCGGGTAAGTTGTGGGCCGCGTGCCCAGTGGCTACGAATGGCCTGTTTGGCCTCCGGATCTGCATGTGTACTGTCGTTCGTTCTCTCTCGCTCTCTCTGGCTGTTCAAAGATCCCCCGTTGCTCACGGCCTTCCCTCTGTGCCAAATCAGCCCGCATCACCTACCTCCGCATCCGTCTGGTTCACGCCCTGTACGAGTACGTCGACAGAGCAGGCGGCGTCTATCAGTTCCTGGGCATCAGCGACAACGCCAAGTTCCTGGATGTCGCTCTCCACGCCATCAAGGAGGCTTCCCACATTGTCAAGCGCCGCGAGGTCAACTACCGTGCCGATGCCGATCGTCTTGCTGGCTGGACTGGCCTCAACAAGAACCCCACCAGCTACAGCTTCCGCTACCTGTGGATGGTCCGCTCGCTGCACCTCTGGTGGAGAGACATTGGCCGTGCCGTCGACCGCAACTACAAGCCGGGCTTTATGAACGTCATCAACCCGCTTGAGGTAAGCGTCGTCGCTGACTCGCCAGTGGGTGGTGTTCGATCGACCAGATGCCAGTGGGCGTTCGGTCGATCAGATGACATTCCTCTGCCCGCCACGGAACGGACAGCCCCAGTGTCGTTTTACATGGCTAATCGCGCTGTCGTTCTCAGGTCGGTCTTTCCCAGGGCGAAGTCCTCAGCAAGGCCGAAGATATTGCTGCGGTCATCAACAAGCTTGGCTTGATCAGCAACATCCTGGACCTCAAGTCCGAGGAGCCCAAGTGGCCCCAGGACATTCCCAACTTCCCTGCCGCCATCATCGAGCGCTACAACCTCGAGCACTGAGCGGGGGACCAACTGCCATAATAATCCTAGTCTATTCGTGACTGGGGGTTCTATTTCTTCTGTCTATATGTCTCATTCTGTCGTGTCTCGTTTGCGCGAGTCTGTCGCCGAAAGTGTCGCCTGAGCGACGACTGTCCGCCAACGCAGTCTCAGCGGCCCCACCATGTCGTATCTCCCCAATACGGTGCTCGTAAAATGAAGTGAAACACCCATCCTGCCTTTATCGCTATTTTGGGGGTGGGTGGGAATGCACACTCGATTTCCGGAGATGCATGGAGTGGGTGGGCACGACAGGGACCAGCGAGCCGCTGCAGATGCAGTCACTGCAGGTCAGAGGAAAACATCTCTCAAATGAGGGAGGAAGAAACCAGGGCAAAGAGCAATATTGCTTCAGGACTTCGGCGAGCGGATTTCATGGAATTTGGGTGTCGTCTGCTGATTCCCACAACCCACAACTCACAACCCATGCAAGTCATCCGTGTGTGAAGGTGTCCCGTCTCAGAATAAGCTCGCTGCAAAGCATGGCTATCTCGGCTTGACCCACATCGAGAAGCGCTGTGATCCGCCTTTTTGCTCCCAGCAGCACCCCAGTTCAATCGCGCCGGCCGTGCGATCCCATCTTGGCGCGCCGCCCGCCGTTCCGGCAGCAACCAGCGAGAGCGGCCGCGATGGAGACGACACAGCGACGGGCAGGAGCAGCGACAATGACATGCGCGAGACAATTGCTTTCCTCATTCCACTCTCCAATCGTCGTCTCGATCTGCTGACGGCACGCGCTGAGCGCTGCATTGTTCACTTCGACGCTCGATCCACCGATTGTTGCGGTCGGCTGTCTCGCCATCGGCGCTGGAACGGAACCGCTCCCTATCAGCGCGGATTGCAAAAGCGCTTTATCCCGCCCACTATCGCCCGGCACCGTCTTCGTCCGCCTTTCTGCTTCCGTCCGTGCGCTGCATACGCCTCTCCATTTCCCTCTGTTCTCTGCTGCCTTTTGCCCGTATCCATCGTCTCTCTGCTCGTTCGGCTCGCCCGTCTCCAGAGACGCGATACCCCTCCCTCTGCACCGAGTTCAGCAGCAGTAGTGATTCCGAGCCCTCCATCCTCCGGGCCACCCCACGGACACGCCTCTCCTCCTTTAATTGCACACCGCAATGGCATCCAGTGCCCTCGAGCGGGTCCGGCCGATCGCCGACTCGTCGATGATGGCGTCCTGGTCCGAGAAAAAGTGGGTGTGGGTTGCCGACAAGGCCGAAGGTTACATCGCCGGCTCCATCGTCAGCGTCGAAGGCGAAAATGCCACCCTTGACCTCACCAACGGAACGGTATGCTTTCCCACCCGCGTCATCTTGTCCCGTCGCTCCTTGATCATGCAGTTATCCGCACGCACGGATCCTTCTCTCTCCAGTGCGCCTGCCTTTCATGAGTGTGGTTTTCCGACAGTAGAATCCGGGATCAGCAATATCTATTCAGCAGCAGGCACTGTCTATCCAAGCAACTTACCCTCCTCATTTTACACTCCCACTCCCACTCCCACCGTCTGTCTCATCCGCACTCTCAGAAACGCACCGTCAACATCAACGAGACCGAGAAGATGAACCCTCCCAAGTTCGACCGCGTCGAAGACATGGCTGATCTGACCTATCTCAACGAGGCTTCTGTGGTTCACAACCTCCGCCTCAGATACTCGACCAATCTGATCTATGTAAATATCCACGCATTCTGGATCATTCTTGTCCCCCGCGTACTGGCCTTGTCCCTGTCCCGCAGTTATCCTCGCACCACTACCGGGGTCCTTGCTGCTCCGAACGAGCCCACATCCATCTGATATCTACCAAATGCTGTACTCACCCGCCTTCGCTCTATCTCACTCCCACGCCACTGCTTCACTTGCCGGCCATGAACGCCAACGCTGTGCGGCTGGCTCATCCCTTGACACTACCAGACCTACTCTGGCCTCTTCTTGGTGGCAGTCAATCCGTACAAGAAGCTCCCCATCTACACCGATGACGTCGTGCGGGCCTACAAGGGCAAGAAGCGCAGCGAGATGCCTCCGCACATCTTTGCCACGGCCGACATGGCTTACACCGACATGCTCGAGGACCGCGAAAACCAGTCCATCTTGATCACGTACGTACTCTGGCTTTGGCGACGGAGATTGGTGCCTGCTCCGCTCTAACGATCTTGTATGCATGGCTTCACGAATTATGCGCGCTTCAATCGCCTTGGTGTGCAGTGGTGAGTCCGGTGCCGGAAAGACCGAGAACACCAAGAAGGTCATCCAGTACCTCGCTTCGATCGCGTGCTCGGCCCACGGCAGCGGCAGTAGCGGCAAGGCCCTCGGTACCCTGGAGCAACAGATCCTGCAAGCCAATCCGATCCTGGAGGCTTTTGGCAATGCTCAGACCATCCGCAACAACAACTCGTCCAGATTCGTATGTAGATGATGTGCCTTTGTCAGTGACTCTGTGGGGCTCGGCTCTTGTGCGTGACGCAATTCGAATGACTTAATCTCCGAGAGACATACCAGCGGATTGCCAAGAGGTTTCTGAATCTGTCTCTGACCCGCCCCTGTGTCTGGTCTGCGATCAGGGCAAGTTTATCCGGATCGAGTTCAACTCCTCTGGCCAGATTGCTGGAGCAAACATCCAGCGATATCTGCTCGAGAAGTCCCGCGTGACCCACCAAACCTCCAAAGAGAGGAATTATCACATCTTTTACCAACTTCTCAAGGGCGCCACTCCCGATATTCGAGGTGTGATATTGTTGCGCCGGAGTGTTGACCAGATCCTTAACTGAGCTAGCCATCCATGCTGCCTTCAGGGCGCTTGGCGATGCCGTCGCTGCTCCGTCGTGCCTCGCTCGGTTACATCTGTTGACCGCCATCGCTTTCGTTGCTCAACAGAGAAACTGCTGCTGGACGGAGGCGCAAACGACTATGCCTTCACTAAAGAGTCCAACAAGACCATCGACGGCGTTGACGACGTTGCCGAGTTCAAGCTCCTGAGAGTAAGTCGCTGCTGCAACATTGTGGTCATCCCGCCACATGACACCGGCTCCGCCATTCGAACATCGATGCGATTGCCTTTGAGGGTCTGTTTTGCAGACGCCATACCTTTGTGAAGCTTACGGTCCGCATCAATCAACTGTCCAGGACGCTATGAACATCATGAACCTTAGCTCCGAGGAGCACATGGACTACTTCCGAGTGATTGCGTCCGTTCTCCATCTCGGCAACATCCAAGTCGCCCCCGACCGCGAGGACCAGGCCAAGCTCGTCGAGTCCTCCCAGACGGTGGTCGAGAAGATCTGCCATGTCCTCGGCATCTCCGTGGCCGAGTTTACAAAGGGTTTGCTGAAGCCCAAGGTCAAGGCCGGGCGCGAATGGGTTGTGCAGTCGCGCAACTGTGACCAGGTCATGTACTCGATCGAGGCCCTGGCCCGCGCCATCTACGAGCGCATGTTCGCCGATCTCGTCGATCGCATCAACCGCTCAATCGAGACGAGTGCATCCAAGACAGCCTTCATTGGGGTGCTCGACATTGCTGGCTTTGAGATATTTGAGGTATGAAGGCTGTGCTGATGCTGATGCTGATGCTGATGCTGATGCTGATGCTGATGCTGATGCTGATGCTGATGCTGATGCTGATGCTGATGCTGATGCTGATGCTGATGCTGATGCTGATGCTGATGCTGATGCTGATGCTGATGCTGATGCTGATGCTGATCTCGCCTCCATACACAACTGTTGATGGATAGAATCGCACCTGTTGCGTGTGTCTCACATCGTTCCATCTGCACCAACTCGCCTCTTCCTCCAGTTGAACAGCTTTGAGCAGCTGTGCATCAACTACACCAACGAGAAGCTCCAGCAGTTCTTCAACCACCACATGTTCATTCTTGAGCAGGAGGAGTATAAGCGAGAAAACATCGAGTGGAAGTTTATTGATTTCGGGCTCGATCTCCAGCCCACCATCGACCTGATTGAAAAGACATCCGTGAGTAGCTGTACAACGAGCTGGACGCAATGTGCTGGCTGAACAGCATTGTCGTATTCACATCGCCACTCTGAATATTCGCTGCATCGAATGTAGCCCATTGGAATTCTGTCTTGCCTGGATGAGGAGTGCGTTATGCCCAAGGCCACCGACAAGACCTTCATCGAGAAGCTCCACGGTCTTTGGAAGGGCAAGTCTTCCAAATACGAGGTGCCGAGATTCAACTCGGCCTTCATTCTGCAGCACTATGCGGGCAAGGTTGAGTACACCGTCACGGGCTGGCTGGACAAGAACAAGGATCCCCTCAACGAGAACATCACCAAGCTCTTGTCGACGTCGAGCGAAAAGTACATTGCCTCGCTGTTCTCGGACTATTCTGGCGACGCCGAGGAGGCCAACCCCAAGGCTCGCGGCGTAACCAAGAAGGGTGCCTTCCGCACCGTGGCCCAGAAGCACAAGGAGCAGCTCGCATCGCTGATGAGCCAGCTCTACTCGACTGAGCCTCATTTTGTGCGCTGCATCATCCCGAACGAGGAGAAAAAGGCTGGAAAGCTCGACGTCAACCTCGTCCTTGAGCAGTTGCGATGCAACGGTGTCCTGGAAGGCATTCGCATCTGTCGTGCTGGCTTCCCAAATCGTCTGGTCTTTGCCGACTTCCGCCAGCGCTACGAGATTCTCACGCCTGGATTGATTCCCAAGGGAACCTTCATGGACGGTCGCCAGGCGGCACAGATCTTGCTTGATGCCCAGAACCTGGACAAAAACCAGTACCGCATTGGAACCACCAAGATCTTTTTCCGGGCAGGCGTGGTGAGTGCTGGCACACGGGATGTCATCGTGGGAGGTGTCGGGCTGGAGAGGGGAGCACGCATCTGCGCAATGAGCAGCGTCGTCCGCCACCGTCAAAGTGGCCAAGACTTCTCTGCCGTGGCATATCTGATTTGGCCAGTGGATTGTTGATGATATCATGCTGATACTCTCCTGACGGATGCGACTCTGACCGCCTGCCACTTTGCACATGGCGCCACCCTTTAGCTGGCCCAAATGGAAGAGCTCCGGGACATCAAGTTGTCCAAGATCGTCGCCAAGATCCAAGCCATCATGAGAGGCTACTTGTGCAGGCGATACTACAAGAAGCGACTGGACCAGCTGCGCGCCATCCGCATCATCCAGCGCAACGCTCGCATCTATGTGACTCTGCGCGAGTGGTCGTGGTGGAAGCTCTATACCAAGGTCAAGCCTCTCCTCAACGTCTCGCGAGCCGATGAAGAGCTTCGAAAGAAGGAGGAAGCCGCTCGCGAATGGGAGGAACGAGCCAAGAAAGAGCAGGACGAGCGGGCCAAGATCGAAGCCGAACGCGCCCGCCTCGAGGCCGAGATGAAGCGCATCGAGGATTTGCTGGTGCAAGAAAAGAACGCCGCCGGTGACCAGGCCGAGATCCTGGCCCGGACCCAGAAGCGAGAAATCGATCTGACCGAGGAGCTCAAGGACGCCAACGCTGAGCTCGACAAGAAGGAAGCCCTGAACGACGAGCTCTCCAAGACCAAGAAGAAGCTCGAAGGCGAGCTCCGCGAGCTCAAGGACGCTCTCGGAGAAGAAAAGTCTACGCTCGAGCGCTTGGAAAAGGACAAGCTCCAAAAGGAACAGCGCATCAAGGAGCTCGAGGCCGACTTTCAGAACGAGAATGCCACGACCAAGAAGCTCGAGGGCGACAAGCGCTCGCTGGAAGCTCAAATCTCCGACATCCTCAAGCAGCTCGAGGACTCTGGGGCCAGCTCTGCAGAGCTGCTCAAAGCCAAGGCCAAGATGCAAGCCAACATCACCGAGCTTGAGCAACGTCTGGAGCAGGAGGCCGAGGAGAAGGCCAAGCTTGAGCAGCGAAAGTCCAGCCTCGAAGCCGAACTCAAGACTGCCCGCGACAACATTGCCGAGCTGAGCCAGGCCAAGGCCGACCTGGACGCCACCATCAAGAAGAAGGACAATGAGCTCGCTTCCGTCAACGAACGTCTCAAGCAAGAAACCACCGAGAAGGATGGTATCGAGAAACAGCGCCGCGAGCTTCAGCTCAAGCTCAACAAGGCTGAGGAGGACCTTGAGACCGAGCGCGGCGAGAAGGACAAGCTTGCCAACCAGAAGAAGAAGCTCGAGAAGGAACTTGCCCAGCTTACGTCGCTTGTTGAAGAGAAGGGAAGCGAGGAGACCAAGCAGGGCGAGCTCCGAAGACTGCGTGAGAACGAGCTCAATGACCTCAAGATCCAGCTCGCCTCTGTCCAGAACGACCTGGAGGAGAACAAGAGACGATCAACTCAGGTCATCGACAAGTTCAAGGCCGACCTGGACGCCGCTCAGCAGGAGAAGGACGCCATTGCCAAGAACAAGGCCACGCTGGACAAACAGCTCAGTACCCTCAAAGAGGAGCTCGAGCAGACCGAGGAGGAGCGCAGCAAGCTCGAAAAGTCCAAGCGGCAGCTCGAGAGCGACATCCAGACCGCCAAGTCCAATGTCTCCGAGCAGGACAGGGCCATTGCCGAATACAAGGCCAAGGTCGAGGCCCTCGAGAAGCAGGTCGCCACGCTGTCCGCCCGCCTGGAGGAGAGCGAGGCCAACCTGGCCCGGGTCGAGCGTGACCGTGCCGCCAACCAGAAGCAGTCCGAATCGCTCAAGGACGATCTTGAGGAGGAGGTCAAGAAGAGGACCACGCTCGAGGGTCAGAAGAAGAAGCTTACCGTGGAGATGGCCGACCTCCAGGCCCGCCTGCAGGAAGAGGAGACAGCCAAGCTTGAACTGCAGCGCCGCTTGACTGCCAAGACGGCCGAGTTTGACTCGCTCAACGACCGCTTCAGCAAGGACTTCCAGGGTCGCATGGCCGAGCTCGAAGAGACTAAAAAGAAGACCGAGCGTGAGCTTGCCGAGCTGCTGCTCAAATACGAGGAGCTCGACCGTTCCTCGGCCAACAACGAGAAGACCAAGAGCAGGCTGGCCACCGAAATCGAGGATCTCCGGCTCGAGATCGACCGCGAGCATACCGCCACGAGAAACGCCGAGCGCCAGGCCAAGCAGATCGAGAGTCAACTTGCAGCCGTCAACATTTCGTTTGAGAACGAGCGCCGGCAGAGAGAGCTGGCTGAGGCAAGCGGCCGCAAGCTGCAGTCCCAGCTCGACTCGATGCAACTCGAGCTCGACGAGAAGAACAACAACCTGAGCTCGCTGCAGAGGTCCAAGAACGATCTCGAGCACGAACTCAAGTCCCTGATTGACGAGATTGGCGATGGTGGCAAGAACATTCACGAGCTCGAGAAGGCCAAGCGCCGTCTGGAAACCAAGATTGACGAGATGCAGCAGCGCCTTGACGAGGAAGAAGCCGCCCGCAAGAAGGTCGAAGAGGCCAAAGTGACCATCGAGAACCAGCTCAACGACTACCGCCGCAAGACCGAGGCCGACTTGGCTGCCAAAGACAGCCAGATGGAGGAGACGCGCCGCATGCTGCTCAAGGAAGTCAATTCTCTTGGCGAGCAGCTCGACGAGACCACGGCCCAGCGCAACGAATACCTCAAGGCCAAGAAGAAGCTCGAGGAGCAGATCGAGGGCCTCTCGACCAAGGCCGAGTCTTCCGCCAAGGGCCAGTCTGATCTTGAGAAAGCCAAGAAGAAGGCCGAGAGCAGCCTCCGCGAAGTCCAGAGCAAGCTGGATGAAGAAGAGCGCGCCCGCAAGAGTTTTGAGGAGCTTGCTCAGCGGCACGAAAAGAAGGCCAACGCTCTCCAGAACGAGATTGATAGACTCGAGTCCTCCTTTGAGCTTTCTGAGCGAGCCAAAAAGTCGCTCGAGAAGAAGGTCGAGGAGCTTCGGAACGAGCTCGAGGGCGGAGACGACTCTAAGGCATCGCTTCTCGAAGCCAAGAAGCGGCTGGAGAAGGAGCTGCAGCAAATGAAGCTCAAGGTTGACGAGCAGGAGGATGCCTTGACCGCGCTAGAGTCTGCCAAGCTGACCAACACCACCGAACTGGAGCAGCTGAGAAACAAGGTGCGCGACGAGAATGACGAGCGCATCGAGAAGCTCGAAGAGTCCCGACGTGCCCTCATGGCAGCCCAGCGCATCTCGGCGCAAGAGATCGAGGACAAGAACAAGGACATTGCCAATCTCGAGAAGCAAAAGAAGCTCATCCAGACCGAGCTCGACGAGATCAAGGCCGCAATGGAGGCCGAAATCGCGTCCAAGAACGAAGAGGCCGCCGCCCGAAGAAAGCTTGCTGCTGAACTCAAGGACATCCAGACCAAGCTCGACAGCGAAACGGCCAAGACCAACGACCTCAACGAGGTGCTTTCAGTCTACCGAACCAAGGCTGACCAAGCCATGGTCAAGCTCGAGTCTGCCGAGATTGCCCGCATTCGGTCCGAGAAGGCCGAGACCGCCCTCAAGATCCAGGCCAAAGAGCTCGAGGACTCGCTCAGCGATGCCAAGAACGCAAAGAAGATGTCCGAGGAAAGGATCAAGGCGCTTGAAATGAAGGTGACGGAGCTGGAAGAGAAGCTTGAGGAGGAGGCTCTGGAGCTCGGCGACTTGTCCACGATGAAGCGGAAGCTGCAGGAGGAGCTCGAGTCGCTGCACGAGCGCCACAAGAAAGACGTCGAGGAGCGCGAGACCCTCGTGGAGACAACTCGCAAAAAGTACCAGAAGGAGGTCAAGCAGCTCATGAGCGAGCTCGAGATCGAAAAGAACACCTGCATCCAGCTGAAGGAAGCCAACAAGGAGCTGGAGAGCGAAAATGAGTCTGTGAGCAACAAGCTGGAGATCGAGCTCCGTGCTTCGGCCGGCTGGAAGAAAGAAAAGGTCAAGCTCGATAGCAAGATCGAGGAAATGACCAAGATCTACCAGAGTGCCGTCGGTCAGCAAGAGGATCTGCAGAACCAGATCGGGTCGCTGCTGAACCAGGTCCGCGATCTGCGCTCCAACGTTGAAGAGCTCGAGTCGTCCAAGAATCTGCTCGAGAAGAACAAAAAGACAATGGAGCAGCGACTGCAGGAGATGAACGATCAGCTGCACGACGCCAACCGCACCAAGATGGATCTGGCTCGCTCTGTCCAGACCTTTGACCAGCAGACTCACGAGCTGCAGGATCTGCTCCAGGAGAACCAGGACCTGGCGAAGAACGCAGACGAGCGCCTACGTCGCGCCGAGCAACTCACCGCCGAAGCCCAGTCCGACCTGGCCAGAGAGCGCGAGCACAATATCGAGCTTGAAAAGTCCAAGCTGTCGCTTGAGAAGCAAGTAAAGGAACTGAATGCTCGCATCTTTGATCTCGAGGGGGCGGCGATGCGTGACGTGAGCGGCAACATGAAGAAGATGGAGAGCCGGCTCGAGGAGCTCTCGGCCGCGCTCGAGGCCGAGTCGAACGAGAAGAACGAGCTCCTGAAAAACAGTCGCAAGGCCGAGCGCCTCATCAAGGAGCTACAATTCCAAGTCGGAGAGCGAGACAAGCAAAAGAGTCGCTATGACGAGGACATGGAAAAGATGGAGCAGAAGCTCAAAAAGTTCAAGACCCAGATCGAGGAGCTGGTACGTACATGTTGGCATGCTCACACAGCGATCCAATGCATTTAGCTTACACAGGCCGTTATCCCATGCAGGAAACGTCGGAAAGCAACCTGCAGCTCGCAAAGAGACGTGCCGAAAGAGAAGCCAACGAGCTCCGCGATCGTGCACTGAGGTAGGCGTAGTCGTATGGTCGCTGAACGCGGCTCGTTGCTGCATTCACAGTATCATCAAAGTGCCGCTATGGTTTCGTCTGCGACCAAGCCGTCCTGGATCTGCTATGATCCAAGATGGAACAGGCTGATGTCCAGATAAATGGCTTCATAGCCATGGCACGGATACTCCCGGCTGGACTCTGTGATGCTCTCCCGGCACTCACACACACTGAAATCCTCACCTCAGATTCGAAAAAGAGTGCGAGAAGCTCAAAACAAAGGCCGACGCCAAGATATTCAGCAACTAGTCGCAGACGCTGCACACGTCCGCTGCACACTGCAGGCGCAATATCAGCCCGCCCAGCTGCTCTAGAATAGGCCATCATGCGTTTTTGACTTGGGTGCCAAACGGGACCTCAATCATGCCCTCTGGCTGCCAGGATCTGAAACCTGTCGTCGCAGTTCCTTTCTTATATATTCGATACTTCCACTACGATAGAGACGACCATCTCCTGCCCAATAGAAGGCGCTTACTTGATCCTGGCGTGGTTGACCCGTGGGTTTCGCTCCTGTCTGAGCTCCAGGAATCGCCTCATATTGTGATCGAATCCAGGCACCCGGAGGTCTTGCGGCACATACATGCCTTCGACAATCTGGATGCCACGCAGCGTTGCCATGCATGCCGCGGCAGTGTTGGCGCCGTCAATAATAGAGTGTATGAGCTCGCATCGATCCTCGAAGCGGGTCAGTTTCTTTTGGAACTTGTTGCGGATCCACTCCTTGGCTTTGGGGTTGTGTGCTGTATTCGGGATGTGTAGATGAGTCAGCTATAAGACAAAGGCTATCGGTGCATTCTGGCCTGAAGGCACCCTCTCGGTGCCGCAGGAATGCGGGTGGGATCTGCGACTCTCTGGCTCTATGATGACTGGCGCCCTACCTTTCAGATAAAGAGCCACATATTCGCATGCCGATGCGGTCAGATTTTTGTACGGATGCTTTGGCTTTGCTTGACCGACAGCGCAGAGTGCCTGGATTAGCTCTGCGGCGACTGTCTGCTCGAGGAACCCGATGAGTGGCAGTCTCGCCACCGGAATTGGGGCGTGCCGAGGCGGAAGCTTCTTGGGTAGTTTCAAGTTGATGTACTTCCATGGCGTTCTGCAAGGACCATGAGCGTCAGTACTAAGCGCCAGGCCACGGGATATAGCACCGTGCATCCCAGGACCATCCGAAGGAAGCGAACCTCATGAACTTTTCGAGCGCGTCCTTGGTGCTCATGACATACAGCTTCTGATCGTACTCGACAATGTTTTCGTGGTCACCAGGAATGATACTCGTTATGCTAATGAGCAAAATACGCGAGAGAATGAGTCGGGCCATCGGCAGCCACAACAGCGGCCTCGATTTTCGAGATCCATGCTCGTGATCCAGTCTCGTCGAGACAGCGCCACGATCCACTCATCGTACCTGAATTCGCCCTCGGAAAACATGACCGGGCAATAGCCTTGGAGCTCCAGTTGCTTTGGGAAGAGAGCCTTGAAATCCAGCACCGTCCTGCGGATCGGAAGCGCCTCAGGCAATGCTCGGCCGCTCACGTATCGCTCGGGGTTGGCCAGGAACTTGGCGAGCTCATCAGGACCCGCCATCTTGTAGAACCGCTCCTGTTGAGCGCAAGAGAGACAGGCAGGAGAGCGATTGACAGTCAGGGCCCCTCTGAGCAAAGTGTATCCGTATCAAGCAGATGCAATGTTGCGTGTTGGGCAACTCAAGGTGCCAGATCCTACCTTGTATCCAGCACTGTATGTGCTTCCTGCCGGGCCCTGAACCAACTCTTCTCGATCAACGAGACAGACCGGGCAGTAGTCGCCAAACACACCCATCTTCTCGCACATCTGCTTGAGGCTGATTCCAATGTCAAATACCGGTGCGGCCTTCTCTGTGATTTAAAGACCGATGTTAGTCGAGCTTCATTGCGATACCCCTTGGCTCGCTCCAGGGGCATTTGCCAAATGATCGCTGGTTGGCTTGGACAGCTGTGAACAATCCGACCCCAGCGTCGCATTGCAGATCCTCTGCCCGTAAAAATCCGTTGCTAGAGACCACTGAACACCTACTCCGAGACTTGAGATCCAGATAGACCTGCCGTCTGCGGATGGCTCCTTCCATGATGGTCTTGATCCGCTCGGTTATGGCCCATTTCGACTTTGTGCCATCGACGACTGTCCAGTTGGCGTACGTGCTTTCGTAAAAGTGTCGGATTTGTGATATGTACTGGTTGTAGTGACCGGACCGCAGCCGACACAGAGATGGGACGTTGAGACGAGGCGTTCCGGAGGTCTGGTCGACGAGATAGTCGGCCCAACAGCGTTCGTCCATTGTCGGCTCGGTAATGGACAGCTCGATCATGATGTGCGGCAGAAAGCCGGCTTTCTCGAGACTGTTGGCTTGCTCCATCGTGATGGGATAGCCATCGAGAATCCACCTATAACCAGCCAGCGAATCGAAATCGGCTCTGTCACTTCAGTGTCCAATCCACAGCAAAGGCCGACTCGGTCATCTCGAGAATCCTTACCCCTTTGAGCGACAGATGGCCCGCGATGTGACAAACATGATGGCCTCCGTCACCAGCTCGGTTGTGGTTTCTTCGCCCAAGGTCAGACATCGCTTGAGCTGATCAAATCGATCCAGTGAACATCGTGCGCAGACGAATCGGTGAGATCGCGACATATCCATCCGATACAGGAACGAGGCCCAGTCCGGTGCTGTGGCTAGCATCTCGTACGAACCTTTTCGTGCAGTCTTGTCGTCTCGTTGCCCTCCAAGATGGACTGCAGAATGAGTGGAATGGTGAGATGAACTAGGTCCAGCTCGACCGCCATCTTCTCAGCAATCACGGATTTGCCAGCCTTGGGTCGACCGAGAAGGCAGAGGGTCGGCCGAACGACGGGAGGCGGTGGCTTGCTGAAGGCAAAGCTGTTGATGTTCTCCATAAACTCCTATTCGGATGATTCACAAACAGGAGCGTGAGTCACCTGCGGTTTTGAGTTGATTCTGTGCATCCTAATCTGGTTTGTGCGATCGCTTCCGTTCTTGTCCATCCCATGCACTCGGACACTCGTACCTTGCGATTCGTCTCAGTCCGCATGTAGTAGACATGGTCGCGATACACCACAGGAAAATGGCCCCTGAGTGCCTTGGCAGTACACCGCTGCTTGGCAAGCTCAACCGGGCAGTAGTAACTAGATCCACACAGCGATAGCCACCAGTCAGGTCGGTATTAAGGTTTGCCGTGAACACCAGAATATCGTCAAATGACAGGCACCGAATGAGTCCCAGAATACACCAAGGAAAAAGCATGGTGACGTTGGCGGATACGAACCCGAACCGACTGTAGGACTTGACGCCCTTCTGCAACAGCACCTCGGCCTTTTTTCTTTCGGTCGTCACCGCGTTTGAGAAGATGCTCGAGCGCTGTTTGGTGGCAAGTGTATTCGTGATCAGCGGCATTTCGAGAGCAGCGGAGTGTATGCGATAGGCACTTACGTAGCGCATGTATCCCTTGAGCTGCATCCTCATATCGGCAATCACCGGGCGCGAGCACTTGTTGGCGTCGATCTCGACAATAGGGGTCACCGCCACCGTCTCCACGGCCGAGACAACTTCGGCGACTTTGGAGGTTTCCTTTTCGACCCTGTTTTATCCAAAACCAACATTAGCCGATGTCCTGACTTTTCCCCCACCCCAGTACCCCTTGAATCGTTTGTCGCTGTCGATAAACGACAAACAAACTAACAAGCTCTGTCCCCAGTCGCGACCCGTACGTTTCGGAGAACTCCTCGAGACTGTCCTCCTCGGGTGGCAGCGTGCCCTGTTCCTTCAGAAATGCTTTGAGCGCCACTGCTGCTTCGGCTTGGTTTTTGATCGCGACCGCCAATGCGTCGATGGCATTCTGTTTCTCTTGAACTAAACGGGCGTGCTCGGCCTCTGCATTGATTGCCAGCATGACGTTCTCGTTCTTGCTCTTCTCGTGTGTGACGATAGCTTTGGCGGCCGCCTGGATCGCCGCGCGGCAGTCCTCGACTGAATCGTCGGCCGCATCGAGTTGTCTCCGGAAGTAGCGGAGCTTTTCGTCTTGAGCCTTGGTCTTGATGGCAAGAAGCCGTTTGGCACCAACGCTGGGATCTAGTTTCATGTTGATATAGGCATCAAAATGGAACCCGTGCTTGACCATGATTTCGTACTCCATCTTGCTCCGGGGAAATCCTTCGAGGACAAACCCAGAGCTGGCATAGGGCTAAAACGGCCAGCGTTAGCGTCAGAATCGGTGGCATCACCGCGCCAGGTTGGCCAGGCATCTTGGCGAATGACCGCGAGTAAGAAACCAAGCAATGCGCACTCACCTCATCCAGGAAGAGTGACTTGCCAATCTTGTATAGAATCGGAGGAGAAAGGAGACCGGCGTTTTCCTTGACCATGTACTGAATCTCCTCGCGGATGTCTTTCTCTTGTTTCTGCGCAAAGCTGTCCAGATAATCCTTAAACACCAGATGCGGAAGCCCAGGCCATTCCTTCAAGATCTCGTGGAAGCATGTTGTCTGGAATGGTTTGCATAGCCCAGTCTGTCAGTGTCCTTCCAAAAGCCATGGCCAATTGCTTGCCCTTCGCGCTCAATTCCTTAGCCTTCGCGCTCAATTCCTTAGCCTTCGCGCTCAATCACCTACCTTTCCAGAGGCTGGAGGACCGAGGACAGCCAGTCGAATCGGAGGCGTTTTGGGGGAGTCGCGCAGTACATAGTTGTGCGGCTCCATAATGAAGGCGGCGCGAGCTTCCTCGCTCGACAAACAATACAGCTGACCCTAAATACACATCCATGGTATTAGTAAATCATGTCCCAATGCGCCAAGGACTCGGCTTGCCAGAGCAAGGAGCGATGAAAGGAGAGAGTCCTTACCATGTACTTGACTCCATATGACTTTGTGCCAGTGTGCAGGATGTTGAATGTTTTCAAGGAATACGGGCAGTACGACTTGGTGGTACCCAGCTCAACGTCGGGCGACAGCTCGGCCTGCATCTTGGGCGTTAAAAAGACTAGCAGTAGAGGACAGTAAACCGGTCGCTGGTTAGCACATAGTGATGCGATTTGGTGGCTGAAGGGAGGTGTCTTGGAAAGCTGCCAGCTCCAGGCGTCAGGCATGTCGTTTGACGTCTTCAAATCCATACAAGGAATACACAGTGCAGCACGCACAATAGCTGCTCGCGCGGATGCAGATTCTACAGTGGCTGGATTCTACAACGTCGTCTTGGCGTTCCTACCTGCTTTGGGCACAAACGGGTCCGCTGACGAAACAATGACACTCAGCGCTGTCTGCAAGGCATAGTCTGCCTGGGTGCTGATCACGCGAACGCCGGACTCGTCCATGGCCTTGAGCATCTCCGTCAGGTCCTCTTTGAAGCCGTTGTAGAGATTGTCGAAGTACGGGTACATTTGTATGGGCAGTGGCGGCGTAAACGCCACATCGGACACCAGCGGCTCGATGGCGTGGCTGCTTGCCTCCCAGGCAAGTCCAGTGAGGGAGTGGGCGATGTAGTTGCCGCACCGGGATCTCACGATATCGTCGTTGATGTCTGTGATGTGTGGAACCTCGTGCCTCAGAATCGACCAGGTGTTCGTGATCTGGTTTCCACCCGCTCTTGCAGAGTGCATTGCGTTGATGATTTTGGGCCAGCAAAGCTATCTTCCAGCCGCTACGTACCATTCTGGAGGACGGCGACAAACTCGGGCTTGACTCCGGACTGAAGTAAACACACAAGCTGGTCCAGTGTCTTCGGAAATCCATCCAGGACCCATCCTCCGGCGCAGGGCTGATCCATTCGATACAATTAGATTCACGACATGAATTGAATGTCAAGTAGCTGATTGTGTGTGCAGAGACTGCTGCAGCCCCTCCTCTCTGCTACTCGATGCGACGGCCAGACCTTTGGAAAGAGCTTGTCGTTCTCATATCGGCCCTCGATGGCGGCCTTGTATATCTCGACATATAGCTCGGGAGGAATTGGCTTCCCACTTCGAAGCAGCCTCGATATCTGGCGTTCATAAATTGATATGTCAGAGGGTTCAAAACCAGTGGTTGATCAACGTATGCAACAGCCCATGCGGACGGAGCAGTGCCCCACCGTCTGGGCGAGCAATCAGTCGCAACCACGACCCATCCAAACCCACCTGGCGGTATATAATGTTGGCGTCGATAAGGGCTTCTTGGTTGGGGTCGCTATACCAGCCATTCAGGATGTGGTCGATATCAATGTACTGCGCATCGTAAAGTCTCGCCAGCAGCTTGGACTGCGACGACTTGCCCGACATGGGGCCGCCGATCACGCAGATTTTGAGGACGGGCAGACGTGGAGGGCGAGTGATGTATTTGTCCGGGTTGAGTTGGAACTGCCCGATGGCCTCGTCCGATGACAGACAGAATATACGTCCCTGAGTGATTGTGTGAGTGAGTGAGTGAGTGTGTGAGTGAGTGAGTGTGTGAGTGTGTGAGTAGACATTGCGTTTCTGCCTCCATCTCGATAGCAGATACACACCCGGTAGTCGATCACGCGGCTGAAATCGCAGTATGAAAGCGCGGAATTGGTGCAAAATTCAACAGGGCAGTAGCGTCCCCAGACACCCATGTCTCGCGGAGGTTCGTCTGGCTCGAGCTCGCAGGTCGACAGATATGCGATGATGTCAGCCTCGGTCATGGTTTTGTTGAAGCCGCCCTCGGGAGGCAGCAGGCGCTTGGTTTTGACGGCCTTGTAAAATACCGAGTACCCGAGCGTTTGCGTGGTCTCGATCACATCCTCGAATATGGTATCGGGATGCTGCGTTGCATCGATCTCGATGACGTGCAGCTCGTCGAAGGAGTGGTGCTTGTATTTGAACAGGTGCGAGTCGTACTTTTTGTGATTATCCAACTCCTTTTTGATGTTCTCGGGGCTATCTCCGGGAAGCTTGAGCAATCTGCACCAAAGGAGCCATCAGATGAGATTTCCACCCATTTCACCGACGGCGCGGGATCCGACCCATCACCATCATCATGTGGAGCAGCGCGAGGCATTGATATTACGTTTCCGCTCCCTCACCCCTGCCTTGCAATCACTCCCACGTACCTATCCGTGACCACGGCTGGTAAAACTTCCCAGATGCCACGCACCGCCAGAGTAGTGCCGGGCTTTTCTTTCTTCTTGGCATTGGCAGCTGGATTGCTGTCGTCGCTGCCTTCGTCCGAGGCCTCCTCCTCACTTTCTTCATCGCCCTCGCCATCGGCCGACTCCTTCACCTGGATATCGGCTCCGTGGATGAGGGCGCGCTCGACACTGTTTGCCCGGTTGAGGATCTCGATGTCTTCGTCCTCGTGTACGAGACCTTCGGTGCGCCGCTTCCGGGTGTAGTCGACCTGAGCGCCCGGATAGATAGTGCCTGTGATGGGGTCAACCCACTGCAGCTTGCGGCGCTCGAGCAGATTCTCATCGGATATGCTGAGGTTGATGAGGACGTGGCTATGATTGGGGGCCTTTTGATCGATGATGGTCTCGAGAAACCGAATATCTGCGTAGTTTTGTTCCTCGGGCTGGTCAAAGTTGCACGGGAGTCCTTCAAGGATATACCCTGGGATGCCAACGGCGAATATGGTTTGAGGGTTGCGGGACATTGAGCGTGAGTACAAGCGACCCCACCGGAGATGATGGCCGCATTCCCGCACAAGAGCAGAGCTAGATATACCTTTGAACCTGGACTGCTCGCTCGCGATGGCATCTTTCATCAGGTCCATAAGCTCGATGCCATCGATGGTCTTGCCGGACTGGAGCTCGTTCGAGACCTGGTAGACAAGTAGAGCTCGCGGATGAGTGAGGCTGGAAGGCGATTCATGTGCTGTCGTCGACTACCTCGGTGAGGCACGTCCGTTTCGTGATTGCCCGCACTCAGGATCAACGGAAATATAGTCGACAACGCAAGAGAAGCGACGACCCGGCTCGCTATGAGCTCGGGATATGTGCAGAGTCTGGTACTGTCACGGCTGGACTGCAGCCATGGGGAAGTTCCCGCGACATACCTTTGCATACGAAGGATGCTCGGGGTCGGAAACGACCTGCTGGAGCACCCTGTCGGGGGTAATCAGCTCCGAGTTGAGAGCTGCAGCCAACTTCTTTGCCAGCGTTGTTTTGCCACAACCGGGTTTGCCGACAATGATGTAACAGATCCTGTTGATTTCGTGGGTGCCGCTTGGTCTCTTGAGGCACTCGAGAATCTCCTCGACAGACGGGTTACTGATTTTGGGGGCCGAGTAGAGATTGGGGGTGGTATGCGAGGCCATCTTTGCAGCAGGCCAGCCGAGCTAGCCACGCTTCTCGAATGGGTTGGAACAGATGCTGCTCGTGGATGCGACGGTGAAATCGCCGGTGCGAGCCGTTGATTATGTGGGAACGTGGCTCTAGAGATTCAGTCGCGCACTTTTGGTGAAGGAGCGGGAAAGCAGACGATAGAAACGTGGAGCAGGCGATCCGGCGGAGACGGTTGGGAGTGCAAGAAGTAATACGGAGGATGTTGCTGAAGCAATGGCCGACGCTTGCGCTGCGTCAATGTGCCCACGAACGAATCCGACTCGGATGTGAAACGCGAGGACGAGAAGTGAATCTGGTCGAAGGTAGACAGTCGGGCAGCCAGGCCGAGGAATATCTGCACCAGCGTGATTAACAACGGGATGCGGCGAGAGGGAAGCGCATACGCAGAGGAAATGCGGCTGGAAGTTGACCCAGGCCCCAGCAGGCCACAATTCGCCGAATCACCGGGTCACTTGCACGGCGCCGTGATCTGTCTTGATTCTGCATAGCCCGCTGGCTGTCCATGGCGCGAAGGAAGGCATCAAGCCGGCTCATGATACTCTGGCGCACAAGCTGGGAATGACGGGGTCAGAAGCGACGAGGTTCAAGGTGTGCCCAGCCGTAAACCTGACCCGCAGCTCTTGGCAGGGGAGGGCACATGGTTATTGGGCGAATGTTTATTCACATCCAAGTCTACACTGTATTCGGGGGAAATGGGACACCTTGGTTTTGGGGTATTGACCGAATAATTTGTTGCCTGCATATTAAGTGTCCAAGAGCACCATTCGCCCCAGGCACTCCAAGATCGGTGTGCAGGTCGATTGTAGAGACCGGAGAGCGACACACGGCCTTCACTCGGAGGCTGCCAAAGTGTTCTGTTCTATATCTTGTGGCTTAGCTTGACGCAAGCCCATCACATTCTAAATGTTCATGGAAGCGAGTGTGGTGTCCCGGTCTTCTGAATAGAGTTTACAGCGCATATGTACATTTGAGTGGAGCTATTAGGGAAGGCGGTAGGGAAGAGGAAGCCTATATACGTGGATGTAGTATATTCGATGTACAGGAATAACAAGAATAATCGTGTGTGGGAGATTTACAGGGCAAGCGGTACGAAGTCGCACGGGAATCTTAGGAACAGCATTGGCAGGGACTTATCCCGCCACGCTCCCAACAGGAGCGGGAGGAGGAGGAGCCTATCCCCCCGGCTCCAGGCAAGTTGCGCCTCTACAACTCCTTTTCGAGGCGGTTGACGAGACGGATGAACTGGGGGTAGCTGACAAGCCTGGTGTCGAGGGTCGAGAGGATGTTCTTGACCTGCTCCTTGGAGTAGCTCTCGTTGGTCTTGAGCAGATGGCGGAGCTCGCGGTGGGTGAGCTTGCCAGTGCGGCTGCGGTTGGCCATGACGAAGGCGTCCTTGAGGCTCACTGGGCGGTCGAAGAATCCGGTGCGCACGGCATAGTTGAACTTGAGAAACTCGTCCAAGTCCATGGTGCCGTTGGCATCGGCGTCGAAGAGACGGAGCAGGCTCTGGATCTCGTAGTCGCCGCAGTTGCGGCCGGCAAAGGTGTTGACGACCTGCCGGCACTCCTCGAGACTGAGGACGCCGTCAGAATCGCTGTCGTATGTGGAGAACGTTTGCTTGAGATCATCGACCTCGGCAGCAGAAAAGTGGTGGGTCTGCAGACGTCAATGTTGGGTGAGCGACCTACGGGTGGGTGAGAGGGCCTGGCCAGAACTCGGTGCGCACCCTGGCAAAGCAGCAGCGAGAGCGGAAGGACACACATACCAGGGCAGGAGGCATAGTGAGGCGCGGCAGAGGGCGGGACAAGAAGAGCAAAACAGAACAGACCAGGACGAAATAAGGCCGGACGAAGGACCAAGACAGAGCCAGCATCCGCCGGGAGTCGGGCGGTATATGAATGGTCTGTGGTGGCGGAGGGCGGATGGCTGGCCGGGGGCCGCGAGGAAAAAAAGGGGCACCAAAATGGAAAGCGTGGGCTGACAGGACAGTGTCCTGCTCGCGCGATGCAGCCTGATGTTGGGGGGGGGCGAGAGCGACATGGCGAGACCGGATGGGGGGTATCGACATGGTAGGCGGGATGAGATATCAGCATGGCGAGGCGGGATGGGATGGCAGCAGCAGTGGCAATAGCGACGGCAGCGACGACAGCGCTGCATGGCCGAGGCTGCAGCAAGCAGAGCTGGCGATGCAGTTGGCGATGCAGTTGGCGATGCAGTTGGCGATGCGGCCGTCGATCTGTATCAGTCCGTCAATGTGACGCTGCCAGGACAGCCATTCCAGCCTGGCAGCGCCGGATCGGTGGTGTGGGACCCCCGGTGGGGGCATCCGGGGCGGCCTGGGCTGGGCCGGTTGATGTCGGCATCCGATGCCTGATGAGATCGGTTGATGTCGATTGTCAGCACGGAATGCCAGTCGATGGTGTTGTCAGCGCGGAATGCCAGTCGATGCTGCCTGACGCTGGCTCTATCGCAGCCAGCCGTTACTCGCACAGCCCCACGGCATGCGAGCGAGCGAGTGCGAACGAACGGCCTTGGGTGTCATGTTGTCCTGCAGACGCAGCATGTCGAAGCCAGACGAATGTCGCTCGCAACATATCCATCGCACATGCCGCTCACAGCCGCCAGGATCTGCGATTCACCACCAGCGGCACTTTGGCCATTGCCAACACCGGCCGAACCCAACCGCTGGCCGTTTCGGTTGTTCGCCGATCGGATCACGGGACACATCCCGGCTTTGGCTTTTGGCCCTGGCGCCGTCTGGTTCCTGGCCTTGCTGGCTTGGACTTGATCTCGCCCCGGACTAGCAGCCCCAACCCGATCCTGCACACATGTCCGGTCTCAAGCAGTACCTCAAGGCCGCACGAGAGGCCATCGACAAGAAAGACTTTGCCCTCGCCAAGGACAATGCAAAATGGGCCCTGGACATTGATCAGGCGTCCTACAACGCTCATATCTTCCTCGGCCTCGCTGAGCAGAATCTCGGCAACGTGAAAGCAGCCGAGGCCTCGTTCAGGAACGCTGCCGATCTGAACCCAGACGGCCCTCTGGCTTTCCAGGTGATTGACCAGGCGAGGCAGCCACCTCAGCCGAAGCGACCTGCTTGCTCTTTGGCCAAGGACGCAGACAACATGCCAGACACAACATGCCACACAGGATGGCATGCGTTGCGTACAATCTAACGACGATGCCATTTTGTTGCGCAACTCATACCAGGGGCTGGCCTCGCTCTTCGAAAAGACGGGCGACCAGGAAGGATGGATCGCCAACATGAAGTCGCTCCTGGATCTCCACCATCGCGGGTAGGTGCGGCTCTGGTCAAACCGCCTGGCCGATCGCATCCAGCCTAACCGTCTTGCTGCAATCCAGATCGGACGGCAAGAAGTGTCAAGATGCCATCGAGAAGATGGTCGAGTATGCCAAGAAGCGAGATGACCGCAAACTGGTGGGTATCAGAGTGGCCACGTTTGCCCCGAACACGGCCGCTGCGAACCTGCATCTTGGATGATGCCGCCGTTCGATCTGATCTGATATGCAGAATCTGCGCCGTCGGAGGCCTTGGGGGTCGATGGCTGGTCACGGACCATCACACCCACTACGAAGCAACCCGGACAAATGCAGTCTTGACTCCTCTCTAACCATACCATGTGCGCCATCAGATCATGTCGACTCTGGCCTACCTGCTGCCCGAGAGCGAGTACTATGCCAAGCTGCCGAGTCCACCCGACGTCCTTGAGACACTCGAGGCTCTTATCGCCTACCAGGAGGCAGATGACAGCGTGACCACGGCTCGTGAGATTGAATTGAGACGCCGGCGCCTGGGTGCTGGCACGTTTCAGGAAGTCCGCGAGGCCGTCGAGAGAGACGTGATGACGGCTTCACAGGTGGGTAGAAGAGCCGTGCTCCGGACTGCTCGACGGCATATTGTGGGCAGAGTAGCCTCAGGTGCACTGACAGGCCTATCCCGTCGCCCAGCTCGAATACCTCTATGGACGCTTGATTGCAGAGACGACCCAGCGCGGACTGGAGGCATCCATGTTCCAGGGCAAATTACTCGACTATCTGCAGCGCAAGATCATCTATGTGAACCAGGACGAGAAAGAGGCGGTATGCGACGACCGAGGCGGTGGCTTGCGCTTTCTGATATCAGACCTTGTCGTTCTGCGCTGCTCCGATCGGCTTTGCCCTGATGTGCCTGTAGGCACTAGCCCATGCTGCATGACTCTAACTGGTGTGATGCGGTGCCATTGGATGCCGATCTACCTCTTTGGTGACAGATTCGCGAGCAGCTCTTTGCTATTGCCCGTGAGCTTGTTTCTGCTGGCCGCACCGAGCCATTGGCCCTGGCCTTCCTTCTGGAGTCCCAAGACTGCGAAATCGGTTCGTTGTGCCGCCCAAGCCGCAGTGGCTATTTGCTCAGCCGCAAGCTATGCCGCTCACACACATTCGATTCTTTGACAGAGGACTACGACGGCCAACTCGTGGCACAGGCATCTGAGCTCGATGGTCATTACATCCAGCGAGCCTGTAGTGCCTACGCCAAATGGATTCGCAACGAAGATGGCGTTGACGAAGCCCTGGAGGACGCCCTGGTAAACATTCAGCGAGGCAAACAGGCGGGTGCGAGCCGGAGCCGGCTTGGTGCAGTGGGCTGCGACCCAACGCTGAACCAGAGGAGCGTCGATGGCAGTCGTGTCGGAAGATGCCGCCTCCTCGATCCATCTGCTGATGACATACCACGATGCGGGGTGAACAGGAGGCCCTGTCGAGAAACAGCAAGTCGATTCTCGCCAACCACCTGCTCAGCTATATCTACCTCGAGCGCGGCGAGTTTCTTTCGAGTGCCGACACGGTCATGAAGACTCGCAGCCTCGTGGAGCTCCAGGAAGCCGTCCTAAGCACGGAGCTCTCCAAGTAAGCAGATTGACGGCAAGGGCCGGCTTCCGTTTCTCCTTGCTGACGGTGTGATCACAATGTCGGCAACTACTGACGCTCTCTGTATAGTGTCCGTCTCTCGCTGGATCTGTGTGTAGCCAAAGCGTACCTGAACATGGATCTCAAGTATCTGCCCAACGCACAAACGACATATGCTTCGGTCCTGGAGCGCCGACCCGACGACCACCGTGCCCTCGAGGTGAGGACCATCAGTCGGTCCATCGACCGCATGGCCGTCAGAACCAGGACACTGACATGATTGCTTGTGCTCTAGGGACTGGGCTTGGTGCTGAGCAAGCTGAAGAAATGGGACGAAGCCAAGGCGTGCTTTGAAAGGGTCATCGTTCTCAACCCGGAGAGCGACCTCGGCTATGGATCGATCGGCTGGATCTACTACCAGGCAGAAAAGTACCAGGATGCTCTGGACTATCTCAACAAAGCACTGCAGATGAATGAGGCTGCACTCTACCACTACCGCATCGGACAGGTCTACTGGAAAATGGCGGGTAGGGCGCGTCACTGTTTGAGCAGCATATCGGATGTAGATCAAAGTCGCTGACCTGGATCTTTGCGTCCTTCCGCAACTGCGTATACAGCCACCACTGAGAACACGGCCCAAGTCAAGGTGGCCTATCAGCACTTGATGACAGCCGCCAAGCTGGACCCCAACTTGAGCGCCGTCTTCACGTCCCTGGGCCATTACTACATGGATGTCGAAGGCGACTCGGTTCGAGCCCAGAAGTGCTTCCTTCGAGCCATCAACCTCGATATTTCAGAGGAAGATGCGGCCTCGCGTCTGGTAGACATTTACCTCCAAGCCAACTCCCTTGAGGATGCCTTTGATCTGTTGCAAGTCTGCACCAACGCCAACCCGCGGGCGCTCTGGGCCTGGAAGCGACTGGGCATCTATCATTTGGTGAGCGCTCAAACTGCGAATCTACACTGTGTGGCATTCCAGTTTGGAGCTCTATCTGGCTGCCTTGAGGATCCTCGGAGTGACTAGGCGTTTGGTGTGCTCTGTCATCGAGCCCACAGGATCGTTACAGCTTTGTATCTGACTCCTCTCCTTTGGTTGTTCGGAACCCGCTGTTGGACCATCCAGGTCGCCAAATCCTTCCAGGAAGCCATCTTTTGTTTTCAAGCCGCGCTGCGCATCGACCCTCGCGACTTGCTCTGCTGGGAGTCCCTGGCCGAGGCCTACAGCGAGGAAGGCAAGTTTATGGCAGCGCTAAAGGCCTTCAGCCGCACCCTGGAGCTCAACCCCGAGTCCGCTCTCAGCTACTATCACATCGGCATCATCAAGCAGAAGCTCAAGCTGTACCCCGAGGCTGTCGAGGCATTCAAGCAGGCAATCAGCTTGCTGGCCGGGCATCACCATGTTCCCAGCATCAAAGGTGTCTGTGAGAGCCTCTTGTCGCAGGCCCGCGAGTACCACGCCACAGGTGCATACGGCCGGGTCATTGATGCGCTGAACGAGGCCCTCAAGACAATGACAGCGTGTGTGCAGCACCTTTCCGCCCAAGGCACCGGGTTTGCATCCCTGTTCAGTCTTCTTGGAGATATCTGCCTTTCCTTTAGACACCTGTCACTCCCCGAATACGTCGATCGCATCGATCGCCAAGAGCTCGAGTCATGCCTCGCCTATCTCGCGGGCCAGAAGCCCGACGAGCGGCTTGGCCTTGTCCTGGATCCTGGTCTGCACATCACGACCGGCGATGCCATCGAGCAAGCCCTGCGTTGCGGCGAGCTCGCCTTCAAATGTGCGACCGTGGCCTACTGCCAAAGCACCGTGGGCCAGGATGCCGACAGGAACAAGATCCTGTCAGGCTACTGGTACAGCATCGGGCTTTCCTACTTTTACCGCCAGCAGCAAGAGCACAAGGCCGCAGCAAAAGCCACACTGCTCGAGGCGGCTGTCAAGTTCACCAAGGCCGCTCTAGCGCTTGACGACTCCAGCGACCTGTACTGGAACGCCCTGGGAACATATGTGATGCAAAGCAATCCGGCGCTTGCCCAGCACGCCTTTATTATGGCAGTTGAGCACAATTCCAAGGTACGCTGTGGGGTAGATGCACCGCCAGTGCAGCAGTGACGTTGGTGTTACGCCTTCTCGATGATGTCAACAGCGGTCTGGTGTGGAAGTATGCACCGCCAGCAACAGCAAGTTATGTGCCCGTGCGTCTGCTGACTGCACCGATGGATCGTTCCCTGCAGAATGCAGCCTCCTGGTGCAATTTGGGCTTGCTCTACCTCATCCATGGCGATTATACGCTAGCATCGAGCTGTTTCTCGTCGGCGCAACTACAAGACCCGGACTGGCCTGTGAGCTGGTTTGGGCAAGCTTGTGTCGCCGAGAAGCTCGGCCAGACCAACGCGTACACTCTGCTTGAACATGCCTATGATCTCGGTCAGGGATCCGTCGTAAGTCAGCCCGCGGTAGTCCAGTGGAGAACATGGCGCCTCCGATTCCCCCACTCTCCCTAGCAGCCTGATGGCTAATGCGGTTATCTGTCCTCCAGCCCGAAATCAACTACCTGTTTGGCCTTCGCTTCTACAAGCGCGCGATCGAGAACGGAGAGCGCAATGTCGATTTGTATGCATCGGCGGCGTTCTGCCTACTCAAGTTCACGGAGCGCAGTTCCTCCGATCCGGTGGTGCTCAATCTCTACGGACTGGTTCTGGAGCGACAGGGAAAGTACATGGCTGCCCTGGAGGCCTTTGACACAGCACTGGAAGCCCTTGAGCACGCCAGCCAAAAGGACAAGACCCGACTGGCCAGCGTCACCGAAAACAAAGCCAGGGTTCTTTGTGCGCTGGGGCTCTTTGAAGATTCGGTCGGCTGCTGGGAACTGTGCCTGCAGTACGGAGGCAGCGCGGACGGATTTACTCATGTGGGACAGGGTCTGGCGCTCTACTTTGCCAAGCGACTGCCTGAAAGTCTGATGGCCTTTGAAAAGGCCGTGAAGGTTGCAGCGTCGCGCGAAACCGTACAAGGCTCTGGATTGATACGCAACGACATTGCGTTGATGCTAAGCCAGGTCCTGTATGCACTGGGAAGCCCGCAGCACCTCCAGCTTGCCAAGGGCCAGCTCCTTGAATGGTAAGTCGTCAACTTTGGTCCCGAAGACGTGCCTCTCCTTTGATGACCGTGGAGGCGCCTCTCCTCGATTGTTGTTGCAAAGCCCTCTAATTCCTCTGGTATGATTTTTCAGCGTGAAGCGCAACAATCGATCCCTCAAGGCCATGCTGAGCCTCTGTGCGATGGGCCTGGTCAAGGACGATCTCGCACTGGCCAAGAGCGCCGCAGTGGAGATTATGAAGGTCCGGCCAGACGAAGCTGGCGCCGACGATCATGATATTGAATGGGTTCTCAGCCGGATGTTCCTGATCCAGGTAAGGCCCGCCCTCCCTCGAGCGATCCAAGTGCCCGACATCGATGTCGAGTTGAGCTGCCTGTTACTCACGCGTGTGAACAATTGGATTATGCAACGGCCAGGGCAATACCAAGGTCGCCAAGGGCTTCCTTGCCAAGGCAATTCATCGGTATCCACACAGAGCCGAGAGATGGGCCCGTTTGTGTGAACTTCAATTCAGGTGAGTCGAGTGACGGCGACAATGGAGGCCAGGGCGATAGGAACGGATCCGAGTCCATGGGCGGTACTTTTGGCTGCTCTGACTTTTATTCAAGTCTGCCGAGCAGCGCTGTGAGTGTTGCAATGGCTGAGCGGCAGCGTCCATGGCGACAGAGGGTGAGCTAACAGCCTCCACCGTGCCAGATCCGAGCCCCTCCGTCCAGAAGTGTATTTAAGCTTGGGACAGTCGGCCCTGAGTCTAGTCTGGACCAGCAGAGCCGATATCCAGTCCAGCACCGAACTGTCGTCTGACGTTCATCTGACCCACGGACTGGGATTGCTCGCATCCGGAGCCAGCGTCTCTGCTCAGCGCAAAGCCATCCAGAAGGCCATCCACTGTCGACCGCACGATTCCAAGTCGTGGCTCGCGCTGAGTCTGCACTTGCGCGCCGAGGCCAGCATTGGCGCTGCGCTCGACGGGAACATCAAACAAGGCAAATCTGAGCCGACTGGCAATATTCAGCAAGCGTCGGACCGCTTCCAGCGACTGGCATCCGTAGCGACGTTCACTCAAGCCTCGGCGCAGCGTGCGGCTCCACAGCACCCCGCCTCCAGCGCCATCACCTATTACTGGGCCATGCTCATCGAAGCCGACGCCCGTGTGCAGCATATGGCCCACATCACAAGAAGAATCAATGTCGACACTTTGGCCAAGAGCAACAAGCTCGTTGAGACAGTGCTATCCAAGGTTGGCGCAACTCCGCAGACGGCGTCTGCCAAGGCGATTCTCGTGGATGCCCTCCGTGTACAAGCTGACATTCACATCGCAAGCGGCAACATCGGCAACGGACTGGCGTGCTTGAAGAAGGCCGTCTCGCTCGCTCCCAAATGGACAGCCGGCTGGGTGGCACTGGGCAAGCACTATGAAGCAGTGCAGAGGGTCGAGGCCGCCACAACGTGTTTCAAGCAAGCTCTGCAGACGGCAACATCGGGTCCGTCAAAGATTCCGATCCTGCTGAGACTGGTGCGCTGTGCGCTACTTTCCGGAGCGCTGGACTTTGCCAAGGATGCAGCCTCGGATATACTGAAGCAGGATGCGTCCTGTGTCGCTGCCCGCATGCTGCAGGGGCTCGTCTATGCCAAAACGGGTGCCGTCGATCAAGTAGCCAAGCTCGTCAAGGCCTTGAATGGCATCGTCGAAAAGACCGAGCTGGACGGTGGTTCTGTCGATCCATGGGTGTTCCTGACGTTGGCGCAGGTGGCCGATGAACAGGGCGACCTCACAACTGTCGAGTCGATGACGGAGCGAGCACGTAACGCGACGGATCGCCAATTGAAGGGCGTGTGAGCAGCGGGCAATTGAGAGTATGTCTGTGTGTGAATGCGGGTCCTGGAGGGATTGTCATCAATACAACACGGCGACACGGAGCGGGGCCGCAAGGGTCATTGGTCAGAGATGAGATGGAGTGATGGGAGTGATGGCAGAAATGCAAAGTGATCGACGATTCAGGAACGCACAGAGATGCGAGGGGTGATGCGGAATCAAGACGTGCGGCATTGGCGATTGTGGACCGACAATCGGCGGCCAGTGTTGCAGCAATAAGAATGAGCAATGAGCAATGAGACAGATCGGCTGTCCGCAACGAGAACCATCCAGACACCGACACGCCAGCCCACACCAACAGAGAGCAGGCATCGTGGGAAAGGATCGGAGACAGACAGGGATGGGAGCGACGAGGTGGAAAAAGTGACAAGAGAGGGGTTCGAACCCTCGCCTCCGGAGAGACCACGACCTGAACGTGGCGCCTTGGACCACTCGGCCATCTTGCCTCGATATCTCATTCGACATGTGCATACATATTCGCAGCTACGTCAATCCATCTGTTGCCTGGTTCTCTCGAGCATCGCCAGCTCGATGTGGGTCCAGAATGGCCGTCGGTCGAGCTGATCATGGGCCACAGTGGGTTCAAAATGCACGAATGCTCTCTCCCAGCTCTCTCCCAGCTCTCGTGTGGCTCGAATCGGATGAGCATGCCTGTTGCAAGGACATGACTCAATATCAATATTGAGGGCGGTGTCATCATGCCGGCCCTGCACGTCCATGCTTCTGTGTGTCGGCTGACATCCGCGAATGTGATGGGACAGCGCGGCGGTATTTATTTGGATGCACGTGATGATATATGCAACCGCATAGGTTACATGTAATTCATCGACACCACCACACATGTCTGCTTGGGCATAACATTTTGGTGTGGTTGAGGATACACTCTTCACTGGGCGGCGATGGTGGCAGGGTGGTTTTCTCACTCGCTCTGTTCGCATTTCAATGTGGCGACTTGGCTGGTCGGGAGCGTGACTCGACATCAACTCAGGACTCAGGGCCACTTGCCCAGCCTCTCGAGTTTGTCGATGGCCCATTTTTGATCCTGGCTGGCCGACTTGCGATACCAGAAGACGGCGGTGTCGACGTTCTTGGAGACACCCCAGCCAAAATAGTAACAGGCCCCAAGATCATTTTGCGCAAAGCTATTGCCTTGCTCGGCCGATATTCGATACCACTCCGCTGCTTTGGTGACGTCCTTGGTGGATCCGTAACCATGAAAGTTGCAAAATCCAACCTTCCACTGCCCGTACGAATTTCCTTGGTCTGCCGACTTCCTGAACCATTGGATGGCCTTGCTTGATACTTCAGATATTCCCCGGCCATACAAGTAGCTCTCTCCGATCCAAACTTGACAATCGCTGTGACCGTCGTTGGCGAGCTGCTCGAAAATTGCTGCTGCCTTTGCTTGGTTCTCTGTGGTTCCAAATCCGTGAACCAGGCAGACAGCCATGAGATGTCTGCAAAGCCAGTTATGATCCGATCCAAGCTGGCACAATTCGAAGAACTTGCGAGCAGAGGGCGAATCGGACTTGATGTCATTCCAATTCGCTGCCATACATTCAGCCTCCCCGAGCTTGAATACATCCGACTTGTTATCACGAATGATCTTGATGCCCCTCTGCTCGTCTTGCATGGTACCCCGGCCGAGGTAGTACATCCATCCGAGCATGTGTGTGGCGATGGGTTTGAGAACTGGGTCCGTGGACTTGTTGCTAACGTCTTGCCAGAGCGTGAATGTGCTATGATCGTTTTTGGTCATTCCCTTACCCAGGAACATGAGCCAGGCCATGTGGAAGGATGCTTCGAGGTTGCCGCGGTCGGCAGCGGCCATGTACAGCTGGGCGACGAGCTTCCAATCTTCGTGGCAGGTAGGGGGACCCTCCAAGACCAACTTGGCAGCTTCGAGACAAGCATCGGTGTCACCTTGCTTGGCACGGGTAACTAGCTTCACGGGGATGTCACTGGAGTCGATGCCTTCAAACTCGAACTTAGCTGTACGATTGTATTGTGGAGAGGGCTGGTCGTTCACGCTGAGAGGGCTGGAGTTTCTGGCAACCCGGTTGACTGAAGGTGACTTGACGGTGGCGGGAGTGGGAATGGCAGGGGCAGCGGGTCGGCTGTAAGGCTGGAGGACGGCAAGGATGTCGGGGAAGGTAGGGCGGGCGGCGGGATCTTGGGCCCAGCAGCGTTCGATAAGGGCCCAGATGCCATCGGGGATGCCGTCGAATCGCTTGGGACGCCTATTTTGAAGAACCTGGGAAATGATTTGGATATGTTTCATGGGGGAGTTTTGCTTGGTGATCCAAACTCTGCCATTGTTCAGCACTTCGTACATGGTGATGGCAAAGGCAAATACATCGGACTTCTTCGAGCTGCCGGCTGGCTCTTCGTCCAGCATCTCGGGTGCCATGTAGCCATGAGTACCGCCGGAGATGTCTGTGGAATGGACTCGTGCGGCCGATGCGGATGTGTGCTTCGTGCGGGAGAGGCCAAAGTCGGTGACAATGGCTCGGTAGGACTCATCTAGCAGAACGTTGGCGGCTTTCAGATCGCCGTGGACGATGTTTTTGCCATGGAGATAAGACATGCCGGCAGCGACTTGGTAGAGGAGGCGAAGTTTCTCTTCAACGGAACGAGGATTGCTTGTATCCGAGACAAACTTGAGCAAGGTGCCGTTGGGCATGAACGGCGATACCATGAATGGGCGAATGGACCTGCCGTTGTGATCCTTGTCGCAGGCACCGAGTAGAGGCAGAATATGTGGATGACTCAGACCATGCCAAATACCGATTTCGCGAGCAAAGTAAACGAGAGCGTCGTCGTCAAAGTGAACATGGAGGCGTTTGGCGGCGACAGGGGCTCCATAGTATGAGGCTGTGAAGACTTGGCCAAAACCACCACTTGCAATTGGATAAGTGGACCAGTCCGTGACGGCATCATTGGGGATGAACCAGTACTGCCTATCACTGGCAGGGATTTCAAGACCAGCGAGAACGGAAGAACTATTGGGTATATTGAACATGGAAGATGGAGCAGCAGGAGGGAGGGAGGGGGGTGTGCAAGCCGGCGAAGGTCGAAAGAGGCAAATCAGTCCAATTTTCAACTCGAGGAAGTGTGACAATGTTTCAGATGCGCGACACTGTGCTCGTCTCAGCCTGGCTCGAGTCGGATCCGTCCGGTTTGCTGGCTGGACTCTTGTTATAAATGCCTTGCCACACACATCGAAATTGGAATTGAAGTTGCTTTCTCGTCCTTCAAGACCCGATGTGATCACCCACGACACTCTAATCTTGACCCTGTGCATTAAAATCCCCTAAGCACACCGGAACCAATGACAGCCTCCCTTTTCGTGGCCGCTTTCTTGCCACTCGGGGTGCCGCAGCTTGAGTTCATCTACTATCCGTTGCCACGAGCCGCCTCTTCCGACGCAGCTCTGGGTGTGGGTCCGGCACATCGCGACGAACTCTCCTCGGCTCTTCGTGCAGGAGACACACAGCCGATAGTGGCCATACGGGTGTCCGGGGAAGGCACCGAGGGTCCATCTTACCATCATGTTGTGATAGTATCGATCTCTCTTGGGCCCTCGCTCGGCCCACAGTCCCGACATGGTCGTCGTCACGGTGCGGGCCGAGATCAGTTCCTTTGACCTGTCGAAGCCTTGCGCGTCCTCGATGTGAATCTGCAGCTTGACTGGTGGCCCTGGGAGCTGGTAGTAGCCATTCCTGAACAGCTCCTTCATCGGGTAGTCCGGCTGGCACTGCTCTTTCAGCACGATCAGCTGCCGCCAGTACTCGTCGAGGTAGAACTGGGAGCCGAGGGATGCATCCATCAGGTTGGGCTGGATGCGGGAATATCTCAACACCATCGAGACCATCTTGTCGTTGTGGTCCAGACGGTCTTCCCAGACGGCTCGGTGTTGAAGGGCCAGCTGCTTGAGGCGGTTGGACAGGGTGATGAGTCCGCATTCGAGATGCATCGCTCCATAGGATGTGTTCCGCACCAGTCTGAAGAGTCGGGTCAGACAGTGCATCTGTGCTCGTCTGAGTATCACGGCTTGCTGCTTCGTGAGCACTTCGAGGGTCAGTCCATACTCGAGCATGGGCCGAACGAAGGTCTTGAACACCCTCGTCACTGTCTTGGCCGAGTATCGGCCCAGGCTCATTCCGTGCTTGACCAGCTTGTCGGCGGCACCTCTAGCCTTGTGGGTGAGGTTCTGGATCTGGCGGTCCATCCTGAAGCCGTTGATGTCGACGATGGCTCCGAGATACCGGAACTCCTTGGCGACTGGCAGCTCCTTGCCGTATAGGTGCACCTTGGCATCCTTCTCTGGGTGCTGTTCGGTGAACATCACCTCGCACTTCGGGGGCGAGAACTGGTATCGATTCTCGATGCTGTGGGCCTCGCAGATGTCGAGGAGGCGCTGGGTCTGGTTGGGGCGGCAGATGAGCACCCCATCGTCGGCAAACCACAGTGAGTTGACCTGGACGGCTCGTCCTCGGGTGGTGGTTAGGGTCGTTCCATCGTCTGCCCGGAGTTTCCCAGGGAGGTCGTCGATGAACACGCTGAACATCAGCGGGCTCAGGACCGATCCTTGGATCAGTCCCTTCTGCAGCCAGACCGGGTTGCAGCGGCGCAGGTCGCCCAGTATGTCCAGACCAAGGACGTCACCCAGCCATCTGGAAGGCTGTCTTTGAAACCTGCCAGAAGACGGTATCCTGCCCCAAGTGCAAGACCCCGCCCAAGGAAGAGTGGGAGCTGGATCGCCAAGGCTTCCACTTCGTATGCGCAAAACCGCGCTGTGGCGAGGAATACCGCCTGTGTGCCTCTGGGCCAAACGACCAGAAACGAAACATCGGCAGAAGACTTCGTGAAGGCTCGCACCCTGAAGGAGCGACGAGATTTTGCACGAGCGGCTGGGCTGATCAACTCAGTACAGGCCAAACCCACCGAGGAACAACAGAAGCAGCCCAGGAGAGAGAATCCACCGCCAAACCTGTAGCCAGAACACTCAAGCAAACCACACCGCTAACGCTAATCACGAGTAATGTTGCATTTGACAATCAATCCACACAATTTACTAACCAATGCTGTCCTTGAACAGCGGTTGATTCACATTGTTATGAGTTGTTGCGGCAGTGTTGAATATATCACCTGCGGAACCTGGCATTCCCTCCCCTACGATCACCAGCATTCCATACTTTCATCTATTTCCCACTTCTCGCGTAATGGTGACAATAGATCGAACTCTCCGTAGAGTTCATTTCTGTTCGAGCAGCCTGAACTTTGTCTTGGGCGCCAACTTGAGGAAAACACTGCGCTCGGTCGTGAATGCGGGCCCATTCTCCCAACCAATACAAAGCATCTCAACAGCAACTAAGCAACGCCGTTGTCCACGCATGGCTCGCGATACATCCGCGATCGTACTAGAGCGGTCTCTTCGGAAGGTGAACGATCGACACCCTCCCTGTGATGGGTCGGAGCATTCTTGACACTCTTGTCCTTGAAGAATCGAATCGACCCATCACCATCGACCCATCTCTATCGACCGAGACAATCACCTTGAACTTGCCCCTCTCGGCCGATCCCTTGCCATCCTCTCGCGGGACAAGATTCGCATGTAGCCAGCTGCAATATCGTACTGGCACCGAGTATTCTGGGCAATCACGTTGAGCAGTGAGTGGACACGTTATACACGGGTTGACGAGTTGTTTTGATGCGTCCACCGGATATCGAAGCGAATGCCTGTTTCCACTTGTTTGCATGTTTGCAGACGAATATGCGGTACCAATTGGACACCATCATCGTACCCATGGCACTGCAGCTCTCCACATCATGGAAGATATTCCAATTGTGCCCGACAAGCTATCATAGAATGACCTAGACTCTGGAAGGAACCGCTGGGACCAACAGAGATGACAGAATCGTCGGAGAAGCCCTCAGGGGAAAGCCGATCTCCTGTGAACTAAATGCCGAGCCCGCACCTCACATCAAGGTTCAGTCGAACCCCAAGGCTGAAAGTATTAGGTCGATTGATAAACTACTGAAGTTGCTGGGAGAGGTTGACAAAAAAGAAAACGAGGAACGCGTTGTGGGACAGGTCTTCGTCGGTCAATGGACTGCTCTGGAATAGATCTTCCATACCCTGATGTGGAGACTCACTGGATGGCAAGCCAGGCCAGCGATGTTCCCTGAGTGGGACATGAGATATTCAACTTATCCGAGAGGAGAGCGATGCGAAGATCATGGGGTTCTCATCGTACAAGGGGGGATTGGTACATCACATTCGCGGATGTCAGCCGACACACAGAGGCATGGACGTGCAGGGCCGGCGTGATGGCACCGCCCTCAATATTGATATTGAGTCATGTCCTTGCAACAGGCATGCTCATCCGATTCGAGCCACATGAGAGCTGGGAGAGAGCTGGGAGAGAGCATTCGTGCATTTTGAACCCACTGTGGCCCATGATCAGCTCGACCGACGGCCATTCTGGACCCACATCGAGCTGGCGATGCTCGAGAGAACCAGGCAACAGATGGATTGACGTAGCTGCGAATATGTATGCACATGTCGAATGAGATATCGAGGCAAGATGGCCGAGTGGTCCAAGGCGCCACGTTCAGGTCGTGGTCTCTCCGGAGGCGAGGGTTCGAACCCCTCTCTTGTCACTTTTTCCACCTCGTCGCTCCCATCCCTGTCTGTCTCCGATCCCTTCCCACGATGCCTGCTCTCTGTTGGTGTGGGCTGGCGTGTCGGTGTCTGGATGGTTCTCGTTGCGGACAGCCGATCTGTCTCATTGCTCATTGCTCATTCTTATTGCTGCAACACTGACCGCCGATTGTCGGTCCACAATCGCCAATGCCGCACGTCTTGATTCCGCATCACCCCTCGCATCTCTGTGCGTTCCTGAATCGTCGATCACTTTGCATTTCTGCCATCACTCCCATCACTCCATCTCATCTCTGACCAATGACCCTTGCGGCCCCGCTCCGTGTCCCTGTGCTCATCTTGCTTGGAAGTGCAACAACAATATCATCAACAGCAGGCAATACAAACCGTTTGCCTGACATTTATTTCAGATCCATTGGTGATTCCATCCAGCATTCCATCAGAGTGGCCTCCTCGAAAGCAATCGGATACGGCGGCGATGGTCCTTCCGAAAATATGAGCCAATCAAGTGCCACGAGCGCACACTCGCATCGTGCTCGCTCTCGTCGTCTCCGCCTGGATAGCGAACGAGCTTTGAGCCTCAATCTGTTCAATGACGATAGGCCTTTGATCCGGAGGCCTCCTGCACCTTGCTCATGATGCGCGAGTGTGAGATCTCCGAGAGCTCAGATGCCACAATGTCGACATGGTAGGGCCCAAACTTCTCGGACACAGCGCCCTTGTGGGTGGCAATCTTGGCCTTCTTCATAACTGTGTCGAGGACACATTGGCGTTGCAGAGTTAGAGTCTGTTTCGCGCACCACAGACCACCCACCATGCCAACCAGTGTTTGTTTCCACACTCTGGGTGTGCATCTCCTCCGCAATATGGCATGCTGCTCAAATACATACTCGAGACGTTTGGGCCAATCCATGAAAAGAAGGCAAACTTGATTGTGGCGTGACCATCGATTACGTCGGTGACGCGGACCAGGCCGTAGGAGATCGCACTGGCATCCAGGTGCTGTCTGATATCGTCGGCCTCGCCCTCACCCGAGGCCAGGAGGTCGATGGGCTTTGCCAGATCGCCGTCAATGTAGCTTCCAACAACCCAGGTTGCTTTGCTCTTGTCGTTCTTGACGTCCTGGATTGCCTCGGTCATCTGAGGGGTCAGATTCAGTCCCTGCGACTGGGTGGCAACGACACCGACGGTGGGGCCCTTGGCAGCAGTGCGTGGAGCCGTCGCGGCGGGCTTGCGGTCTGTGGCAAACGACGGGGTCGAGTTGGGGGTGACTGGCACAGGCTGGGTGGTCTTTGGGATCGAAGGAGGCGCGGCTTTCAGGCCCGTGGTGCTGGACATGTTGGAGGTGTAGCCTCGGACCTGCTTGCCCTCGACAAAGTCGGCGTCATGCACCCGGTCGAAAGTTCCGGCGGCATCCTGGACCTGTTTGCGCAGTGTCTGAGTAAGTAGAGGCGTGATTGCGGAAACACGGGTTGCAGCTCAAAGCCGTCGTAGCCAAGGCTTGCGTTGTGCATCCTCTCCAGAGCATCAGTGACGCTCGCAATTTTGCCGATCGCTGAGAGGGGTCATGACGCAGCTCACCTTCTTCAAAATCTCTTCTTCCAGCAGCTCCTCAATGCTGCTGATTTCAATGTCAACATGGTACGGCTACATCGAGTGGGGCTCTGAGGTCAGCGACAGTCCATCGAGACGTCCGCTGGTCCGTTGGATGCGGCACGGCCGACACTGATGCGAAACTTGCCTGGAAGTACTTGACGGCGTCGCCTTTGACGATGCCGAAACGGCCCTTCTTCACAAAGCTGATTCTCTCGCCAAAGTGGTAGATAAAGACAAATTTGACCGTGGTGCTGATACACCGTTGAAGAAGGTGGCGCAAGTGAGCCAAAATAGCACTGTCGGAAGCCTGGCCAGCGATGAGCGGATCCACAAGCGAGCCCATTTCAAAGCAGGAAGAGCCACCGGGGACCGTACGCATACGATGGCCTCCAGGGCAACTGGGCGTCTCGTAAGCATCCTCCCTCAGGCGTCCACGATAACTCGGGCGTCGATTTCGTCGGGATCGGTCGTGGCTGAACTCGCATCCGGCTCTGGCCATAGCTTCGCGCTCCCTAGTTGGCGCGAGTCCATCGGCAGCCTACCTCAAGTCAACCTTGGTAGTGATTCGCACTGCCGGCCGAGCGGGGCCATGGATGAGAGAGCAGGCAAAGTCAGTTGCATGGGATATTGCGTCTCCATCAACTCGGTATATCACGCGTCGGTGCATGCCTGCTGATGATACGGGTGCTCCTCCCTGCAGCCGAATAAGGAGCAGCTCCGGTCGTTTCGGCAAGCCCTTTTGAGGCCAAGGTTGTTGAATTTCCAGATGGATCCTCCATCGCAGCTCTCTGCCAACATCCACCGGCATTGCGCAAGGACCCAGAGAATGCACAAATAACGAGCAGCCTTTGGCACTGCCCTCGCCACACCACAGATTCCATCGAGTTCTTACGGAGACTGTAGAGAACCTGGTCGTCTCGGAGATGGGCACGAATGCCCTCGAGGCCCTCGGCTCCGGATGCGACCAGTCCGAGGGTGTTGGGATCATCGTTCACATGTCCGACGACGACGTAGTTGGTGGAGTCGGTGTCGTTGCGGACCGACCGGATGGCCTGGAGGACGGCGGCTTCGTCGTTCAGAGTGACCTTGATCGACATGGTTGTGGGGAGGCGCTGTTGATGTGGACTGCGTGCGTGCCGGAGGCGGTTCCTTGGGGTTCGGTCGGTTGGTCGTCGGGGAGGGGGCCGATGCGATTTGATGTGGGCCTGGGCAAGGGCCGATGGCGAGCCGGGGTGGGGAGAGCGAAATCGTGCTCAAAGCCCGCGAGAACACCCCGCACTCTCGGCGACCTGATTCTGCAGCGCCGCTTGGCACATTATCGCACTGAGGCCTGCAATGGAGAATGCGGGACCGGATATGGGACAGAGGTGCTGGATGCACATATATCCCGTCTCCCGTGCATCTGCGCTTGCTTTCGCACATGCACGTAGACGTCGTGGCCGACCTCTTGGGCGGCCTGGTGGTGGTCTCGCCGACCGAGACGGGGGCGACAGCGAGAGTGCCTGTGTCGCGCCGGGTTTCCTTTTTTCGTCATGCTCCCTCGTTTGGCTGCGGCCTTTGATATGCAGATCTCGCAGACGAGCCCCCGACCAACTCCATCAACAGCGCAGATCCGATCGCTGCTGCTTCAAAGCTGTTGCTGTTTTCTCATCCGAGACACGGCAAATACTGGGTTCGGCCCACCAGTGCTCTCTCGATTCGGCTCCAAGACGCAGCACACACTGTCGCAGCTCGTCCTGGTGCGGCTCTGGCCCTGTCCTCGGTGAATGATACGAACAACCATCGGACCTGCCCTTCAAGCCCAGTCGCTATATTCACCGACCACAATGATCCGTCCCATTTCGAACCTCTGCCTCTCGCGGTGCTCAGCCATGCGTGTCCAGGTTCATGGCCGCATGGCGGTGGCCCCGCATCAACTGGATCGATATTTCGCTCGGTCCCTCTCGACAGAGGCTCGGGAGTCGTTCGCATCGAAGCTGATCTACACCGGCCCAATGGCAAAGTCGCTCGTGTACCTCAAGAGAGTGTCGCTGACCACCCTCGGCCTCTCGGTCTTTGGCACGCCCTTGATGACACTGTGTAAGAGCATGGCACACCGCCTTGGATGCTGTTCAGCCAGTCCTGCAGCCGATTTGTCTTCGGAATGACATCCATGTGTTTCCAGAGCAAGAGTCCAGCGGCTCGATGTCATTGCTCAGTGTCAGCGCCGGTTCAGCCTTGATGATTCGCTGTAATTCATTGTTCAGACAGCCATCGCCTCGATGGCCATTCACTGACGCTCGGGATCGATCACGATACTTTTGCACAGCCAACTTTCCAAACCCAACAATCATCCTGACCATGATGGGCGTCGGTAACTATCATCAGATCCACGCTCGGCTGTTACTGTTGCTGTTGCTGTTGCTGTTGCTGTTGCTGTTGCTGGCATCCCCGATTCTGACAAGCCATATCCTCTGCTACTCTGAATCTCTGACGCTGTGCGATGGTGGCCAGCGCTGTTCACCTCGGGCATCAGCACTGGACTGATCTACTACTGCTGCAAGCCCTACGTCAGTCGCATCTTTGTACATACTCCATTCGCACCTGGGGACGCCAGCACCTCCAACAGCAGCAATGTTAACCCACTGATCTCGCTCGAGACCCTGACGCTCTTTGGCAGCAAGGCCCTGACGACCCTCAAGGCCCGCGATCTCGTCCCTTCCTCTCGACCGTTCTCGTCCTTCAAGGTGAACTCAGAGCTGTCCCCGGCACCGTCGGTGGTCTACAAAGCGCTCAACCAGGAGCTCGGCGCAGCCCTGCGAGATGCCAAACTCATCCAGGGCACCAAGGCCTCGGACAACTCCCGCACCGAGTTCTACATTCATCCGGAGCTCGAGGACGATGCCAACGCGCACGAGCTCGAAGCCGTGCTCAATGCCATCCGAGGAGCCGAGCGTGGCGAGGAGGCGGCGAGCTGGGATGACGTCCTGGCAAGACTGAAGAACCAGTCAAAGAACGGCAATATGGAATGAGTAAGATCCACCAGCGAGAATGCGGGAGAAGGCAGTGCCTCAGGATGTCCACGACAACTGGTGTCTGCTCTCGATTGGGTCCATGACCAAGTGCGGTGTGGACTGTCATAGATTGTGAGGGACTCGGATTCGCTTCGGGGTCGGCAACCGCAAAGCAGGATCGTCTCACACCGCAACACCAGAGCCGTCCTTCAGTACGAATATCACACAATCTGATCGGACGAGGTGAGATGTCGGAAGTAGGAGATAGAAAGCTGGATTGGAAGAAAACTAACCGAAACGGAGTGGAGTGGAGTGGAAAATATAGAGAATATTACCCGGAGAAAGAAACACATGACATTGAGCAGCTCCATGCCGAGCTACCTCGAGAATCGGCCAAAGGTGTACTCGACCGAATCGCTGAACACAACTCGGCATCCCTTCGGAAGCCCGGAAATCCTCCGGCGAATGATGCTCCATCCAAGACTGAAAGAGCCAGCATACCGGTCAAACGTGTCAACCAACAAAGAATGATGTGATGACCTCATACTTGAATCCAAGTGCAGTGTCTTGAGAGAGGGAAGCTTGTCGACCAGTCCGCTGACTCTGCGAATCGATCGAGGGACGTAAAGAATCTCGAGCTTGGGATACGAGTGAATGTCATCCAACGACTTCAATTCGCAGCAAGCTTGCAAGTCGAGAACTGTGAGGGAGCTTTGACTGACACGCAGATCGGCCAGGCGCACAAATTGGCTTGAGAGAACGAGATGATTGAGCTTTGGCATTGTTGGGAGTTGGCTCAAGATGTTGTGGGGCATGCGCGAGGAGATTGTGAGCTTGGTGAGAGATGGGAGTTCGTCGGGAATGTCCACGAATGTCTCAATGTCGGCTGAAATGTCGAGTTCGAGCAACTTTGGCACATTTGACAGTCCATGGAGCGAAGTCAGTCGGATGGATTTACTGGGGTTAACCCATGTGACCAAGGGAAACTCCTTCGACATGCCTTCCAGGGAGTTGATGAACTTGAGCGGTTGAGTATTCCGTAACTTTGGCATCTCGGAGATTCCTTCGAGCGACATCAATTGACTACATCGACTCAGGTCGAGCCTTGTAAGCATGGGCAACATCTTCGACAAGTCTTTTAAAGACTCGATGGACGGTGGGGGCTCAAGTGTCGCCAACTGTGGCATCTCAGGCATTCCCTTGAGTGACTTGAGCGAACTACATCTACTCAGGTTGAGCTCTGTAAGCGAGGGCAGGACATTCGGCATGCCTTCCAAGCTGATCAGCGAACCAGCCACTTGATTCCAGTCTCTATGCTCGATCGCCAGATTTGAAATATCGGAGAGTGTCTTGGGCCATCCAGACACCTCCAGAAACGACATATCCTCGAGGGTCAAGCGCCTTTCCCTTGCTTGGTTGATCGCTGGGATGTCGAATGGCAAAAGTTTGGAAACATAGGTATCTCTATCTGTGCGCCAGCTGGGTCGAATCGTGATATTCAATTGCTCGATCTCTATCGGCCACTTGAAGCGAAAGTCTTGTCCTTCAGCGATGGTTATCATCTCCTCGACCGACGGCTGCTTGGATCCATTTGGTCTTGCGTCCTCGGGGAAGTGGAACTCTGGATCGGTCACCTGACAGAAGCGTTGCACTCGGCTAAACAGCTGTTCGTCTCGATAGACTTCGGACCAGAGCTCGTTCTCCTTCTCCAGCATCGATGAGTTGGTTGGCTTGTGCTGATTCTGGCGAAGCGCATAGCAGAAGAGCCCTCGCGCCACTTTTAACCGATCGATGGAAGGATCGACACCGTCGAACAGGAATTTGGGTGTGATATGCAGTTTAGGGAATAGCAACCGTTCCCGTACCTCTTCGGTATCGAGGATGGCCCGAGTCTGCTTTGAGACCCTGACTAGTTTTGCGAGCAAAGGTACACTCGCAGCGCGAATGAAGGCGTCATTTGTGATCAGGATGGTGAGCAGGTCGAAGCGGGCGAGGTCCTCCTGGACCAGGGATATTCTGCCATCGCTTCGGTTGAAGCCGGCGTGGCGGAAAGGAGCGATGGAGACAGGCCGCAGATGGGAGGCAGCCGAGGCAGAGCAGAGAGCAGGAACAACGGCGAAGGAGCAGGGCGACATGGGGTATTTGAGGGGTGATGTGCTGCTTCCTCGCTGATACCGTCCCCGCCTCCCGTTTCCTTGGCATGGTGTTTGGTCATGGCGGATGTGGGCATATTCATGATCCAGACCACAACGACAACCATGGCTCAGAACCGGCCATCCTGTTTCGTTTAAGGAGCGCTGTTGTCAACCAAGGATGCAGCGTACATCGGATTCCAGCGAAACGCAAGGTCAGATCGGTCCCAATGGCGGTCCTCCGGCTGCTCTCTGGGCGAGACCCACCCCAGACATGACAGAGGGAGATCTGGAGCAGCGGCTGTCTTGTCAGGCCCCGTGGTTGTCTCGTACAGTCGACCCAGAAAGGAACAGCCCAGTCATTTCCTGGCTTCAGCAGCCTGCAGCCTGCCGAACTTCCGTAGGCCCCAGCGGGCAAGCCGTGCAATTGTTTCCCGTCCTGGTTGGCAATCGAGTGGTTTTGGTTGGTTTGGGAAGCACAGTCTTGAATACACTCGGTCGATCTCCTGTGGCGATGATCGACTGGCATACCGAGATCATGTTCCTTGGGGCAGAGTGAGAGTGAAACTTTCCTCTGGAGGATGGTCTCGAGCATGCACCGCAGCACGGGACCAGTCTGGAACGGGTCCTGTTCAATCAGGGTGCGAATGACTGGACATGCCTGCTCGAAGAAAGTGGATCTGCGAGCTGGGACTCGGGGTGACTCGGTTGGCTTGTGTCCTCGGTGCCATCGATGGATGGTGCTCTTGGACACACTGAATATGGAGGCAACCTTACGCAGGCTATGGATGAGGGCGTAGCATCGCAATGCGGCGGTGCGAAGGTCGGATGTGTGGCGAATGGTCATGGCCAGCGCGCGATAACACTGGGTAACAAAATACTCGATGAATGGTCAAAAACACGGGTGTCCCGTTTTTTATTGGATTGCCTGTAATACAGGTATAGCCCGGAATCCAAAAAAAGAAAGCAATAACGAATAAAACGAAACGAAACACACACAAGCAACCAAGCAAGCGAACAAACGAAACGAAACGAAACGAAACGAAACGAAACGAAACGGAGCAAAGACAAGTGAATTGAATTGAAATGAAATGAAATCGGAGAGGAGGGGGGCAATCATGGCGGAAACGATGGATTGTCGACACACTGGGCCAAACCCGACGGACCAAATCCATTAGAGCATCAAGGGAAAGGACAACGAGAGACGGTGCATTCGTCCACAACGGAATAAACGGAGCGAAAGAGCCGTAGACCAAGAGCAGCGGTGAAGAAGCAGTACTGATTTTACAGAAGTGCAGACAGCAAGACAATACTAAAGTGGTAAATAAGAGGGACGCGACGAAGCCTAAGGGAGGATAGCGCGAGTGAGAGCGGCACCGACACTGGCGGCTTCCGCCTAGTGAGGAAAAGTGTGACTCAAGTTTCAGAAGCCGTGAATGACACAGGGGATGCGCTGTGGTACTCTTGCACAGGTTTCGACGAGCGTCTCCCAATAGCGGGGCAGCCCTGTTCGTGTAGCAGGCTGCTGATAAGCGCGGGGGCCAGTTTGTCCACATCGGTCTCGAGATATCACCGCTTGCAACGTGTTAGGGGTGTGGGTAAGAAGGAAGAAGACCCGCTCATTTGTCCTCGGGGAACAGCAGCGGGCAATTCTGGATGATAAACTCGGCCACAGCGGCTTGCAGAGGGAAGATTGAAAGAGCCAGATTGTTGGGGGTCATCAGATTGACCGACGACCGCTGAGACACGGCACGGAAGTGCCTAAAGACATATTTCACAGTTTCGACGTGGGCTCGGCTGGGAAGAGCCTCGATTAGAGTGGTCCGGAACAGGTTGACAAGCCGTGGATCCGAGGGGTTGCTCGAGCCTGCTGAGGGCCACCGAGAGGCCGGGGAGGCAAAGGTCAGGAAACGAGGGGCGAGGGGGGGGGCGATGGCGGCCAGACCAGGCCAGGCAAACGGGGCATGTTCCGGGTCAGTATGTGTCCATACAACGACGTCGCCGCCGCCTCTCGATAAGGGCACCCGGCGGTCCGGCAGTGACCGCGTGGCAGGATCCGTGTCCTCGCGGGGATGTTTTTTCATGCGGCCTTACCAGTGATCAGAGCCGTCAGTTCGTCGCGCAGCTGATTGCTGCCGAGCAGCGACCCTGGAATCTTGCGCAAGAACAGCTTCATGACTCCCGCAACCGTATGAGGGCCTTCGCCGTTGAAGGTGACATTTTCGCCAGATTCGAACGACTGTTCGTACATAAATATGCGGGACTGGGCACCGGATTTGCGATAGATGCCCTCCAGCTCCATTCCTGGGTCGTTGGTCGCACCCGAGAGCAGGTCCGACAATGTGCGACACCAGCACGCCATGCAGCCGACGGCCGACATCCGACAGCCGCAAAGCCGAGACGTTGTTGGAGGGTCGGTGGCGAATGTCGACGGCCAAGGTCGATTGTCAAATCGAGAGCGGATGCAGAGGGTTAGAGATGTGTGGAATGGGGTTGAAGATGCGTAGCAGGCCGAGAGCTATCGCGCCGAGGTGGCCACGAGGCTAGGGAGGAAGCCAGCATCCGCCATCGAAGCATTGCCACGGGGATCCCGGGTGGTGCCCAAGGAGCGGGGCACTGTCAGAGGATCCGGGTGGCCGTGGGGCAGGATACCGTGGCGTACTGTGGAGCGTGCAAGCTGCAATCCAAGGGGGGGGGATAGAACGCTTTCCATACCATAGCGTTCAATAAACTCTGCACAGGTGACGACGACCGTGCAGACACCGGTTTGCTCTCGACCGGACCGCTTTGCTGCGTCTTCGAGGCTGGCTGCAAAGAGGACGCCGGCTGTGTACTGCGCCGAGACGTCGGTGTCGAGGGATTTGAGGGTTTCCATGTAGACTGCGCGGGAGATCTCGGACGGGTTCAGCGAGCCCTGTCGAGACATGTCCTGCAGCCGGCTCAGGGTGCTTGACTTGGACGAGGCCGGGGTCGTGGCCGAGTCGACAGACAAGCTCCGCATCGGGCTTCCGGGCTGGAGCAGTCGGCCAGTGGCGCCCGGCGAATAGAGATCGTCGACAGACTTTTCGAAGGTTGGAGACTGGGGGACAGGATCGTCGTCCATTTGAATAGGTTCGTCTGTCAGGGACCGCTGTGGCCCGGCATTGGGCTGCTGGCCTTGCCGCCTTCGAGAAGACAGTATGTTCAGGCCAAAGATCTTTTTCTTCTTTGCAGGGGCCGCGACAGGGGCATCCTTGGGAGGCGAGAGCGCTGAGACTGGTGGAGGTGGCCCGCGATGGGCAGCCGGGGGCGTGGAGGTTTGGATGTGTTGGGGCATAGGGACATATATGGGCTTGGGCGACGACTTGAGGGGTTGTTGCGGCAGAGTCTGGCCATACTGCGGAGCGACTATGTAGGTGGGCGAGCCAATTTGGCCCTGGAGATGTGCCGAGGAGTCGTCGGGAGCTTGGACATGGATATGCGGAACCAAGGAAGGCTGCGATTCCAGCGACAGGGAAAGCTGGCTGAGCTGAGGCGAGGACGCTTGCTGGCTATACTGCGGGGCAGTGGCAAAGACGATGTTGGAGAGGGGACCGTACTCGGAGAGCGGCCGCACGGCACTCCGCTTGGATTCGATGCGAGGGGGGGCAACGGGCACGTCCTCAATCGGCACTGGGGCTCCTGCAGGTGTGGACAGCATCGCGGCGGGTTGTGGATGGAAGGAGAGGCCGGTAGATTGAACGAGAACGAGAACGAGGGTGGACGAGGGAAGACCGAAACAAGACCGAACGAGAGCCAGGGGAGGGGGGCGATGGAGGGCGATAGCGATGGAGGGCGATGGCAAGCCAGCAAGGTCCGGAACCACAGACGACAACGACGATTACAGCAGCTATGATATGCTATGATATGATATACTATGCTATGCTATGCTTTGCAATATGTGGTGATGTGGTGCGATACGCCCAGCAGACGCAGCCCAGGAGCAGCACGGCGGTGGCAGCAGAGCAAGAAGATGGGCTGATAGGATCGGCGTCGTGCTGGAGCGAAACAGCAACCAAGGGCAGGGCGGTTTCGGAGAGCCGGCACTGCCCCCACAGCGACTTTGGGGGAATGGGTGGGCGATGCGAAAAGGATTGCCACGATGGGCGAATCAGCGAGCGAACGAGTTGGCCAGACCGGTACAGCGCCGTTGTTTCGCCGAGGGCAAGAAGGATCTGGCTTGTTGCACTCGCGCTGGTGCTCAGTCGCGCAAGTCGTTGCAGGCGACACACGCGGCAGACCCCATGCTCCCATGTTTCGGGGCGCTGGCCAGAGAGCGTGTGCACGCGCGTGCGTTGGCAGTGGTGTTGCCAGTGGTGCTGGCAGTGGTGTTGCCAGTGGTGTTGCAGCGGTGCGACAGTGGTGCAATTGCCGTTGGTGTTGCTGTTGCTGCTGTCGATATTGCTGCTGTGGGTCGGATTGCTGTTGGTGCTGATGTTGCTGTTGGGGTTGCCGCTGTGTGTATACATGTGGCTTCAGCCGTGCTTTCCCAACCCCAAAGGCCGACGGTGGGCATCTGTGGCTGGTCTTGTCCTTGCGATCATGAATTCCAGATCTTGACATGTCCTGATGCCGATGCAGCTGCAAATACAAGTGCCGATGCCGATACAGATGGCGTCGCTGCGGCTATGGCTGCGTCTATGAGTGCGTCTGCTCTCGGTGACCACCCGCAGGAGATCCGGCATGCACGCACGATCGCGGGGCGGCCTCCTTGGCCGACTCGGCACATCCACCGGCACCGCAGACATGTCCCAGATCGACTCGCCGTGGCCTTCGTTGGCGGCTCTCCTTCGTCGCTGTCCGTCTTCTCGCCCTCGCCGCCCTCGCCGCTCGCAGGGCCTCCGCCGCTCCTATCACAGCGGACAACCCTCTGTCCTCGTGCCTCCCCAATCAGACAATAGCCGCTGCCGGCCGATTCGGTTTGCTGGGCTGATCAACAGGATCAGTCTGCGACCGCTGTCGTCCGGGGTCTCACACAGACCGATCGCAGCAACAACAAGCAGACCCAAAGCCTGCCGGTCGCCAGCCTCTCTCTGCCCCTCTCCTCTGCGGCTGTTTGCCGGCTCTCCACACTGTAGGCGGCTGCCAGGGGCATTGTGAGGTCCCCTGATCTTTGCCCCCTCTTGCTCGCCAGGCCCTGGCCCCCCTGCTCCATTGTACCCTCGCGGCGCTAAAAATACGATTCCGAAAGCTAATCAGGCTGCCGCATTCATCGTCGCCGCCCTTCCATTCACCTCCGACCCTATTCTCTTCAGAAATCCAAACAAAGGGTGGCTATCCTCATTAAAGACGATGCCTCGATTATTCCGCTGCAGCCTTCTCCTCCTGCTATCCCTCCTCCTTCTGTTCGGGCTTCCTTTATATACCAAGTGGCTTCTGTGACGCTACCACAAGACTCTTGGTGAAAAATCCTGCCAAGAAGCTCATCTGCGAAAGGGAGAGGCGTGCGCGAGGACCGACACCGTTCGAAGAAGGTGACAATGTTCTCCGTGTCCTGCGCTGCATCTGCATGGGGTCGACGATCCGCTGCAGTGCTGGTCTCTGTCTGAGGCTCCACATCCTGCCACATAGCGCTGCTCCTGCTTGCCGAGCGTCACCCAGACTTGTTGGCTGGGGCGGGGCACTCGGCTGGTGGCGATTTGCCGCTGCACCCTTGTCGCTGCATCCCTGTCCTTTCATGTTCTAACCAGTCCCAGCACTCCTGCCACATCCCTGGCTCACAGCAATCTCATCAGCAACTCCCATCTCTGGTCTCCGAACCGACGGCTGTCACTCATCCCTGTCAACACCGCCTGTGCACCAGCAAACGCCACCATGAACCAAATGATGTCTCCTGGACCCTACCCGCCGCATCTCCTCAGCAACGGAAACAACGCCATGATGATGCCAACAGTGGGCAACATGATGAATCCCATGTCGCCGATAAGCTCGATCCACCGCAACCCGTCGCAGTCGCCGTTTTGCGCCTCCAAAAACATCAACAGCACAGTGAATGTACGTTGCAGCCGTCCGGCCTCAGGAAGCGGTGGCCAGGCCGTTTCCCTCTGCGGGTTGGCGAGAGTTGGTCCGGCAGAGCTTTGATGTGTTGGGCCCATGAATTGAATTGGCAGGTCTGCGCGTAGTTGTGTGCTTGTGCCGGCGACGGATGTGGGGCCTGCGTTCTGTGAGTGCATATGGCGATTCAGGCGACTATCACTGTGTTTGGCTGCTTGTGATGGACAGTGGCTATCCTCAGCCAGGGCCGAGAGTGTCGGGAGATGGCGCTGATCGCTCGGGGATGTATGCAGCGACGACGCATGTGTGCTAGTCGCAAACTTGATTTTCTAACCCAATGCGTCGCTGGTGGATCCATCTGCTTCCTCTCTGGCGGATACTTTGATGCGAATCGCTGTCCTGGCGAACCGGAAACGGCCTCGGATCACATCCCTCGCTGGCGTTGGTCCCTTCAGTTTGTCCACAAACTTCATGGGTATGTCCTCTTGACCAGACATTGACTATGGGGGCGCAGCTCAGCGAATGTGCGCACCGATCGACCCAGGCCGGGCGGCTGGAGTCTGCTGGTCCCCAACGCACATTCCGTCGAACCACACATCTGACTCTGCTTCAACCACAGCATGGTGATCGACAAGATGTACCAGCACCTGATAAGCTGGAACTATTCTGGGTCATCCTTTGTTGTCTGCAATGTTCTGGAGTTCTCGCGAGATGTGCTTCCCAAGCGTAAGCAGAATGTGATCGACAGCGCCGCCCGTTGTCCGTTTACCGGATCTGTTGTTTGTGGCTTGTTGCTCTCGCCTTGGATTGCGGCTTTCGTCCCCTCCTTTCTTCATGGCATGTGTGCTGACCATCGTCCACCCATCCACCCATCGATCCATCCACCCATCGATCCATCCACCCATCGATCCATCCACCCATCTACCCATCTACCCGTCGTCGGTTGATCGATTCCCCCCCCCGCAATCTCGCCCGGTAGACTTCAAGCATAACAACTTTTCGAGCTTCGTGCGCCAGCTCAACATGTATGGCTTCCACAAAGTAAACAAGTCCCCACGGGGTAGTCGTGCCCTTGCCGAGAACCAAGTGTGGGAGTTCTCGCATCCAAAATTTCTGCGGGACCGACCCGATCTCCTCGACGAAATCAAGCGAAAGACGATCGAGTCCGAGACCTTGAGACGTGAGACTGGCGACATCCAAGCGCAGATGCAAATGATGCAGGTGCAGCAGTCCGATATGATCCAGCAGCTGCAGCACATGCAGGATGCCTTCAGCCAGGTTCTTCGTGAACTGGCCGACTCGCGCCGAAAGCAGGTCGTCCACCAGCAGATCATGAAGAGCATGATGGACTACATCAAGCAGAGCACCCCGCCCACACGTGAGTTGCTGCACCCTTTGCCCGCCTGGCTCGCTCTCGTTCTGCTGCCCTGCGCTGCCGGTTCATAGCAATCGTCCTCTGACAGCCATTTTTTGCCTTCTTTCCTGCTGCACAGATGTCCCCCCAGAAATCATGACCGAGTTCTGCGACCCAAAAGCCCAGGAACGTCCTGAGGAGCGGGTACCTCCAGGAGCACATCTGTACATGCACGCCATCAACAACCCCAGCATCGGAGCCCACAACGGCACCAACAGCTCCAGCAGCAACACCTTGAACGACTCGATGCCCAACTCCCAGACCAATTCGCAGAATCCTCCGCACGGGCTCGTCCTCGATGCCAACCTGACCAACCGGATCACCTCGGACCCTTATCTGTTCGGCGGCCACGGCACCGTCAGCGGCGCCGAAAACCCGCACCTCCACCCTCAAGTGATGCTTCCTTACCCACAATTTGGCGCCAACTATCTCCCAACCGCCACCATGGGCGTCTTGGGCTCGGGAGTTACCAACCATGGTCTCATCGAGGACGTCCTCAGCGACCATCTCCACGAGAACATTGACGAGATCGACAGCCTGAACTCGCCCTTTGACGACAACCCCCAGTCCAGAATCGACTCGGAGTTTGGCGAGTTTGGTGCCTGCGAGCCCCTTCCAGAGTTTCGCATCTGAAGGCGGCTGATCCAGGCAGCCCCGCCCACCACTCCCCCCCCCACAAACACCGAAGGATATCCAGACTCGCTCTCACGGGTCTGGCTTCGCTAGCCCACACCAACTTCCCTCCCACACACTTTCACCCGTCCCGTCCCGTTCCTTCTCTTCTCTTCTCTCCCGCCATGCCCTTCTAATTTGACTCCGCAAATGCCAATATATACTACACCTCGCTCACCCAGTCCGACTCTATCGCCACCACATTCTGTACGATCCAATACCCAAAGCTCAACCGAGTCAAGACATGAGCCCTCAGTCCCCAGTCCCCAGTTCCCAGTTCCCAGTCACCAGTCACCAGTCACCAGTCACCAGCTCCTAGTCCCTTTGTCTGCTTGTCCTTGATTCCTATATGTACAATTTCTCCAAAACGAAGAAACTAAATATATTACAGAGCGCACTCTGTTTGACAGTTGACTACTGGCTTTATGGATGCGAATACGCACATGTTCGTGAATTGTCCATCCGATTCAAGAAAGCTGGCAAGAGCGTCAGTGCTGATGAGTGGGACACCTCTCGTTGATGATTCGCCCAATGTATTGTCCCTTTGTCTGTCTGTGGCAACATCGTCTGTCCATCAGTCGCTCTGGATGGTGCACCAGGTCCAGTTCGTCGGGTCGTTTCCAGTGCTGCCGCTATCCCTTCTGAGCGGCACCAGCGCCTCCCTTGGCTCGCACACGCATTTCCATAATCTGTCGAGTGAGCTCGATCATTTTCTTGGTATCTGAAATTGAAGATTTTCGGCCACGGGCAAGGGGAGGGATGTGGGGAGGGGGCGGTCAGGGCAACTGTCGTCGCTCAGCCCTTCGTCTCTCCCTCGCTTCCTCCATCCCTCGCCCTCCCCCACATACGAGCACTGCTGGTTTTGCGCTGTCCCATGACAGTTTTCGCTCGTCTCTCTGTGCCCGACTTTTGAATAGCAAATCAAGGAGACTTATATCAGAAACAGTAAGGTTCAATGACCTACCCAGTGCCCGCTGCTTGTACTGAGGTACCTTCACTGCGCCGGATGACATGCTCTGGCTTGTATCTTTGAAGCCCGGGACCTTCGGGTTGATTGAAAGAAACACAACGTTAGATACTCGCCCTCTACATCTGCATCCTTCAGCCTCAGAAGATATCATGGCGCGATATGAAAGATCAAAGCTGTGGTGGCTCGTCGTTGATCCAAAAGACCTCGTCTGGTGAGCACACATAACATCTGCCCCAAACTAGCACTCACGCAGTCCCTCCATTTGCCGTAGACCATTGCCCCTCGTTGGGTTTCCATAGGAGTCTTGGTGTTGAAGATGATGGCACAGTCGATCGCAGCAGAGATATAGTCCCGGTTCACGCTGAACGACTTGGCGATGCTCGGGTTGTAGTTTGGATCGATGTTATGGTGGAAGGGCTTGCATCCCTATCGCCAACGCGATCGTCAGTGCGGCTCGCCAACGCTGCAGTCGCATCGGTGGCACGCATCGGTGGCACGCATGGTATTGCCTGATCAAGTGTATGGGCTGCCGATGTGACCTGCGCTGTCGCGAGTGTCCCTATTCGTATCTTCCTCCTCTCGACCAAAGCGGCTCAGAATGCTTCGCAGACCTACCTCCGAGATATGAAACGGATGGAAAGCATAGTCGGTGGCCCCACAGCAACCAAATGTTCCAACGGTCGAGTCGCTTCCGGAATACAGGGGTCGCTGGAGATGCTTGCGACAGTTCTGAAAGTCGACGCAGAGGAATAGGCTGCCACATGACTGGCACTTTAGGTGGTTGACCGTGCTCCAAATCCTGAGTGGGGATGGGTCCCCAAAAGAAGGCATGTGCTTAGTCCTTCTGCTGACAATGGCAGGTGATTGTGTGCTAAGGAGGGAGAGGAGTGCTCTTCAGCGGTTCTCGGAGCCCGTTCTTGGGGAAGGGGTGCGTTTGTCTCTCCCTCTGTTGCTGTGGGCGCTTGACGAGATAAGCTCGGGGATATGTGCAACGAGCTGTTACCTCCAGAAGATATTCTTCCAGCTAGGGTCCTGGCTGTGTATGGTGGCGATGTACTCGTTGATATTGAAGTTTGGATCTCTGTGTGAGGCAGAGGGAGAGGGACAGACGGCGATACTCGATGAGACTGGCATGCACGACATTTCCGCTGCCACCCCAAACCAGCTGCGACTGAACCCAGTACGCACATATTGCCCCCCCACCCCTCATATCATGCCATACCGGGTGTGTGCCGCCGTGATTTCGCCAAAGTAGTCCACCAGGATCCTCCCTTTGTCGCACCGGATGGATTTGTGCAGCGACTTTGGGTAGACCTTCTTGCACACCATGCAGCAGTACAACTGAACGGATCGGGGATCGTCTCCGAGCACCTCGCAGGTTTTGTAAAAGTAGATCTGGCTTGAGATCTTGTCGCGCGGATCGATGATGCGACCAAGCTCCTCGAGCGAGAACAACCTGGCAAGTCTGAGTGTCGTTGCCAATGTGAGTGAGTGAGTGAGTGAGTGAGTGAGTGAGTGAATGCCGAGGGCTGCTGGGTAAACATGGGGAAGCGTTGATGCAGGAGCGCGCCATGTAGTTTGTAGCTCGTAGCGATTCACCTCGACTCACTTGATCATGAGCCCTTTGTTGATGCAGCTCATATCGATGGGGACTGTCGCAGCAGATTACCACCGGAAATGGCATCAATGGAGGGGAGCATCGTGGCAGTTTGAGCAGACATGGCGACGGTGCGACGGGAACAGGATATCGAGTCGAGTAGCGTGGGATCAGTCCAACGATTAGATGGCCAGTGGATTCTGACTTGGGTCTCTCTCTCACACACACAGGCCAGAGAGCCATGCCAACCTTTGACAATCTCATTGATGTGGTCATGCAGGTACTTGAGACAAATGTCCTCCAAAGGCAGCATTTGCAGAAAGTTGGAGCTGATCAGGATACTGATTGCCGTCCTTGGCTCTACATTGCGTTGGGCCGCAGCCACAAATGAGCACCAAAGTGAGCAAACCTTGACCACACCAGATCCGGCACGAATGGCGGGGGCACTGGGAAATGCACAACCCAACGAATCGATGGGAAGCCGGTGGGACACACTGTCTCTCTCGCGCAGCGCAGGACTGGATCGCTTGCTCAAACGAGCTCATCGAATCATTTCAAGCATACCAAGCGAGGGCCGCTGTCGAGTGATATAGGACATGAGCCATTCAAAGACTTCGATATCGCAGTGGACGTCAATGTCGATGTGGTCGGTAGAGTTGCGGTCGTTGAGGTATGTTGAAAAGTACTTCATTTCGCGAAAGAGAAGCTGGCGCTTGCAGTAAAAGTCCCGCTTGGCTGTCGTGCACAGCATGGCGAACAGAGTGCGAGGCTTGAGAATCATGTCAAAGAGCAAGGGGCCACCGGCACTCATATCGTTGGAATTACAATCTTGAACTCGGTGTGCTTCAGGGAGGCTGCTGTGCTCGAGGGACAATCCTCAGGCAGCGAATGGGTCTGTCAAAGCAGACAAACACTCGCAAGCTCAACCCAGTTCCCGATTACCGCATCGCGCTCTCTCTCTCTCTCTCGCTCTCTCTGCTTGCATGGCTTCCAGTACCGTTTCTGTTCTCATCAAAGACGTGAATGATTATGTCCTTGCGGCGCTCTGAACTGGAGCTTGACGCCGCAGCCGAGGCAGGCTCGCCCGACTTGATCGAGTTTTGAGGCATCTGTGTCGAGCACGATCACAGGGAAGAGGGAGGGGGAGCGCGTGGAGATGCAAGGCTGGGTTATGGGAATCATGCTGCGTTTGGTTGATTCCCGCGTCTGGCTCAAAGCTCGCATAGTTTCTGCAGGGAAACGACCTACTTCTGCGATGCTACTCCGGGTGACTGTGTTCGTCCGGGGTTTATCGCCTCGACTCCATTCGTATTGAACTGCGGCTGCACAGAGCCGTGCCGGCGAGAGATGTTCGACGATTGCAGCGACGGTTAGCCCGCACCGCCCGTTTAAGCAAAGGGGCAGACGGCAATCAGGCCAATACACGCCAATGCAGGACAGTCGGGCGAGTAAATGGAAAAGCTGGTCAGAGCATTGGACCAGAGACATATGGGCTCGGCCGCCATGGCAGAGCTAGAGATCCGATTGATCGTGGATGTGCAATCCGCGAATAAGACACAAGAGGGACGGGAGAATCGTAGCGTACGCTTCTGCTTGGGATGAATAGGCGCACTCTTGGCCTCGGGCAGCAAGTGTGCCCCGTAGGAGTTCCAGTCGGGCATCGTGTCGAGTCGGCTGCGAAAAATGCGACGGCGGGTTGGGCTGCGGTGTCTGGCGAGGTGGCTTCGACAACCACCCAGGGCGGGACATCGAGTGCGAGCCGCTGTGATTGGCGGCGAGGGCAATCTCCGGGCCATGCCGACGATCTGGCCATGTATCTGCCAAGCAGAGATACTCTGCTCCAGATAACGAGGTGCGCACCGACTGTACTGTCGATTCCCTCGCCAGTCGATCTCCGTTCGTGGAGATTGGCCACGCAGATGCAGAAACGCGGCGCCCCAAGGAAAGATTGCGGACTGATCTCAGAAGCGATTCTGCGAGCCAAGACAGATGCATGCCACATCGTTGCGATCAGCGGCGATGTGGCGCAAAACATTGTTCCTCTCACAGGTGTGTATTGGTTTGCTGTGAAGTTGGCGTATCCATCGATTGACTCTCAATCTCGGGGACAGCCGAGTCTTTGCTGCTCAGCGGGTGCCCAGTCTCGACTTCTTGGCACCGGTTCTTGCGTTTCGGGTGCGGCTGGACTGCGGCGGTGTAGCAGCGGGCGTGGACTCGTCGTTTGAGTCGTCTTCGCCTTGGCTAGATGATGACAGGAATTCGTTGTCGCCGTTGAGCAGTGCCTCGAGACCAGCAGCGTGGTCGTCGTGAGAGACAGACTTTCGCTTTCGGGGACTCTGGACGCTCGCGACCGTGAGGGGGCTGACATCCGTTGAAGTACTGCCTTTGACTGCCCGACCAGGAAGTCCCTGACGAGGCATTTTGGGTGGGGTCTGCGGATCCAAAACGACGACGTGCTCGTCGGCAAGGCTTCGTTTGGCAGCCTTGGGTTTTGGTGGTGCTCTGCGGCTGGGGCCTGGATCTCCATCGACAGCATTCACAGCTGGACTGCTGCTGCTCGGTGCGCCTGCGGTTTCGTCGTCCGAATCCAGCACGACAACACGCTTGGCTCGTTTCGACGATGATAGCGCCAACGACGGGATCGGACGGGCTGGCTGCACATCGAGCTTGCTGTCGGACTCGCTCTCCGAAAGCGGCACATTGCGTGCCGAGGGGACTCTGATGAGCTTGCCTGTCAGTTCCAGCAAGACCGATGGTCAGGAAACCCAATCGATGGCCATATCGAGTGCCAAGGGCATCTGGGCTTCAAGCAGTGACCGACTCGCCAGCCGACATACCCTTTCTCTTTGGAGCATAGTCTTCGTCGCTCGCAGGCTCTTCCTCGTCGTCGTCGTCATCGTCGTCGTCTTCATCGTCGTCGTCGAGCTCTTCCTCGCTCTCGTCTCCGTCTTCCATCAGCCTAATGCCGCCATCATCACTCTCTGCTGCCTCGTCCTCGATATAGTGGTAGTGACTGTCGCTGCCATCGTCATCGGTGGCAAGATACTCGTCGTCCTCGTCCTGCTCCGAGTCGTTGTTTGTGTACTCGTCGTACGGGTCGGTTTCATCGACGCCGAACGCTCTGAGGGTGGCTTCGTCATGGTCATAGATCTGTCCACAGTTGATGCATTCGGTTCCAGTGATTTCCCAGCCGCAGGAACCACAACGCCGAACGCCGTCATCGTGGTCCAAGACGGCTTGGGTCTGTGCAGCAAATATAGTGCCCCAGGGATCGCGCATCTCGTCGGAGACATCTGGGTGGCATTTGCGAAACAGGCAGTGTTTGCTGAGTGGGCTCGAGCGATGCTGCTCTTGTTTTTCAGTTTACCCTCCATTGTCACATCTGTGAGGAGTGTGGCACTAGCGATGCTGAGGCTCGTTCCGATCTTACCGAGCAAGCGCTTGTAGTGTTCCTTCTTCGATTTGCCCTTGGGGCCGTCAGGGAGGCTTTGGATGATGGACTTTGAGACAACGGATTTAATCAAGTGTAACCGCAGAGACGGCAGTTTGGCGGTGTTGCCCTCTATGTTGCTTGGAACGCATTCCTCATCGAGATGGAGGTGCTGTCGACACTTACATCAATGTGGTGCCTCAGGAGCAGGGTGGGAACGGGTTTCTGTTCGATGTGTCCTCGGCAGGTCGGACAACGCTTGCGCTCGCCCCGCTGGAGCCAAGAGCGGATGCAGCCAAAGCAGAAGCTGTGGCCTAAACAACAGACATCGCATTGGTACCAACACAGCGGACAGTGTCGTGTGCATCTCCTCTAGTGTGCCGGAGCAAGGAGCCATGCTGCTCTTGGGAATTCAAAATGACCCGCCTCGACGTGTGTCGCCATCGATTGCAGTTTGTGTCATTCCAAAGTTGCACTCTGGACATACCACACTCAATGGTGTGCGGGGCCACCATGATCTCCAAACAGATGGCGCACACCAGCCAGCTGAGCGACTCAGCATCTAGGATCAGGGCATGGTAGTTTCGATGGAAGAATGTCCAATGTGGAGTTAGTGGGTGGTGACTGCTGGCGATGAGTTTGGGGGATGTGCCCCCCATCGAATGCTTGTGGCGGTGCCGTATCTGCCTTTCATCATTCCCCTCTCACGGACTGACAATATGGCCGCACTCGGGTTGTCTACCTTGAGTTCCCTTGGTCCCAGAAGGCCTCTTGGCAGGGTCGTCTTGACCGACGGCGGGATCGCACTGCACTGATACGCTGGTGAGTTGCGGGCACAGGTTGCATTGGACGTGGACTGAGGCTTGGGGCCGAGTGGGTCGTGCGCTGGCTTGTCCGAAAGCGTTGTCTGTCGTGCGCTTGTCTTTGGTGCAGCTTTGGGCTTGAGCCTGGGTTTGGCTGGGGTTGCTGGGCACTGGGACGCTGGCCGACGAAGCAATAAAGTCTTCGAGCATCACCACTGGGAAGCACGAACCAAGGCGTCCACGGCCGTGAGTAGTGAGCATATGATCGGGGGACTCGGTGAGATGTGCCGAGAGTAATACCATAGTAGGGGGATGGCAAGGATCAAGATTCGCATGGCAAAGCGTGCTGGATGCAAGCCCCGGTCGTTCAGCACCCACGGAGAATGCTCGTTCGGGGAGGATTGGGGTGGTGGGCTAAGGAAAGGGCTCGGTCACAACACGGAATGCAGACGACATACTCTTCGACTGCAGGCGCTGGACTGACGACAGGAGCGACAGCGAGAGGGGCGTGCACGCTTCCGGATACTTGGTGTGCAGCACTCTCTCGAGCGAGGAAGTGTTGATGCTTGATCCAGGATGCAGCATCGCTGTGATCTCTGGTGGCAGCTGGCCCGACGGAGCAGGCTTGCTGACGGCTTGGGGCGGCAGATGCTCGGGCTTGACGGTGTTCATATCTTCGGTGTCTGCCGGTGGACTGAGATCCGGCTCGGCCGTGCTGCTGGTGCTGGTGCTGGTGCTGGCGATCGCGGCGGCTGCCTGGACGACTGCTGCAGAGCCCGCGGGGCTGCCGGCGCTCTTCTTCTTGCCCTTCTTTTTCTTCTTGGTCAAAGTGGCGAAGTCTGGGGTTCGGGCGGGGCTCCCCCCGCTCGGGCGGGCCTCTGGCTGCCGCATCGCTTGTCGCTGCTGCTGCTGCTGCTGCTCGCTTGCGGGATCGGTCGCAGGCCGGCAATCAGATCGGGATCGGCGGGGTCTTGTGCATCCGCCCTCGCAGACAGGCGCTGGATCCGGCTGTGCCACCGGCTCGAGCCGCACTCCAATCTTTCCCGATATGGGCATAGCGTTTGCCTTTTCGGCCGACTCTGGCTCTCTTGCTTTCGATCGCCAACGAAGCGCTTTGGTCTTCCTGCGCGCATCCACTCCAACGGAACCCAGGTGTGTATTCGCCGTCGCTGCTGATCAGCCGATCGCCCGGAGCATACAAGTACGGCGCTTGCCTGATCCTGCTTCATCCGCTCACACTGCCTGTCGTGTGCGCTCGGTACTCGTCTGACCTCAGCCAGCGCATGTTCGTGCGTCGCCTCGCCGTCCTCGCCGATCCCAGCAGCCGCTTTCCCCGCCGTCTGAGCAGCGCCATCTGCGTCCCCCAAGTCTGGCCGATCCGACTTTACGTCCTTCCCAGCCTCCGCACAAGCCCGTTCATCGCCATGAAGCAGCCCACACTCAAGTAAGCGTCGCTGCCCAGGCGCCAGACGGATTCGCCACGAGGGCGACACTGCTCAGGATCGACAGTGCGTCGCCGGGATGTATCTGGCGATATTTGCATCAGCCATGGAGCTGGATGCCGACGGGAAATATGGCTGCTGATTGAAATATCGCCATCCGTTGCGATGTCGATACGAACCAGATTCTGGCTGAGCTCGGCATCGTCCAAAGGCCAGCCCTCGGCTCGCGAAGCATCGAGCCGCACCAAGGCACAAGAGAACACCGACGGAGGCGCTGTTGCCGAGGAGGCGTCTCGCATGGACTCGTCAGCCGCCAGCGACGATGACAGTGCCGCTGACACCACCAAGGCCGTTGCAGCGTCGCCCGAGAAGCCGCCAGCCAAGAGTGAGTTGCCTCCCGCCCCCGTTCTTCCTGTTGCTGGACCACAACGAGCTGTCACAGCGACTCTCAAAGACTGCAAGGCCGGCCCAGACAGCATGTTTCAGACACACCATGTGGTCTTGGTGGACTGACGCCGACCGCTCTGCCGCTTCTCCCTTCTTCCGACGACTCTTTGGGACGGTGCACAGAGCGCCGTGTCCGCCAGATCCGAGACGAATCGGACTCATCGGACCACGAAGCTTCGGCCAAAGTAGCAGAGCCCTCGAGCAAGAAAGCGCGGACAGCCTCCCCAAAGCGCGGAGGATCACCCAAGTCGGCTCGCTCAGGATCCCCCGAGCCCCCACATCAGGCGACAGAGCTTGAGCCGACCAGTCTTGCCAGCCCTGCTCAGTCGCCCGCAGCACCTGCAGCCGTTTGCAGCGGAGATGACACAGACGCCGACAGCGATGGCGCAACGAATGCCGACAGCGACGACGAGCCGAAGCCCAAGAAATCGGTAAGAGCGATGGACGAGCACCACGAATCATCGAGCCAAGGGGGAGGGAGCATTCGATTGTCGGCAATGCCTTGCTCGACAGCTAAAGGCGTTTGGCGACGGGAATGGGCAGAAAAAGGCAAGCTCTCCCAAGAAGCCGGCAAAGAGCGCCAAGACAGCGGGAATCTTTGGCATGTCGACCCAGTCCAAGCCTTCAGAGTCTCAGTGGAAGGCAGGATCCAAGTATGGCAGCAATCCAGGATCGGATGCAGTCTGGGGCCGAGCATTCTTGCGATGTTGTTCGATTAACGATCTCAATTCACCGCGATGCACCCGATGCGCTTGATCGCTGGATGCACTGGGTGTGTCCATCGTATGTGCAACAGGGTTCCATATGCCGCCCTCTGCGAAACCTTCGTCCAAATCGAGGCTACCACAAAGCGGTGAGTTTTTGATTTTGGCGGCAAATGCATCGCTGGAAATCGACTGGTAGCGACCGATGACTCCATCCTGACCCAAGCTGTCTTTGTTGACGATTCGGGCCCATGCAGGCTGGAGATCACCGATATCCTGACCAAGTTCTTCCAGCGGGTTATTTCGCTGAGCCCTTCGAACCTGACCCAGTGCATCTATCTGTGCATCAACCGCGTGAGTCCATGCAGGGCAGAGGCGCTGTTGATTGGTTGAGCCACTGTAACAAGCGCGAATGAGGAGGGAACGGGTGTTTCGTCACGGCGCAGCTGTGCTAAGGCTATGGGTATCTCCCACATGCGCCGGCAGATCGGCCCCGAGTACGAAGGTCGCGAACTTCACGTCGGCGACAGCATCCTGATGAAAGCTGTTGTGGAGGCCACGGGACGCAATCTCCAAGCGCTCAAGGCCGATGTGGTCGAGCACGGTGACTTGGGAACCGTTGCCGAGCAGAGCCGCGGCAAACAGAGGACCCTTGCGACTCCACAGCCACTGACTGTTCCTCAAGTGTTTGACACCCTGAAGACCATCTCGGAGATCACAGGAACGAGTGTAGGTGGCTTTGAAGTGTGGTTGAGGCGGGGAAAGAGGCGTCAGATAGCATCATGCTGCGACACACACGGCTTCTCGCGGCAGAGGAATGGAGGTGGCGGGCTTTTTTTCGATCGAAAGAATGGGTGAGAGGGATGCTGTTTCTTGATCAAGCCGTGCTGTGGCTGACGAGCGTGTCTGCAGTCCCAGAAAAGAAAGATCGACCTGATTCGCAAGATGCTCGTCGCTTGTCGCGAGAACGAAGCCAAGTATATCATCAGGCAAGCGTCCGGACAAGAACACCGGCTTGGCACGCATTCACGCCCTGCGTGGGAATCGATTGTGCAGGCCTCTGACGTGGCGTCTCTCGAACACCATCTGCTGCTGTCTGCAACAGATCTCTTGCTGGCACGTTGCGTATCGGCCTCGCCGAGCAGACAGTTCTCCAATCGCTGGCACGCGCGTTTGTGTTGAATGATTCCGGTGAGTCGTTTGGCTAAGGACGCTGTTTCTGGGACAAAGTGTCAAGGAACCGTTGGTGACGACGGCAAATGCTCCGATCCATCACGGCGATGCTTGCGGATGAGGCAGCTTTGTGGCGGTCGCGTGAGATCCCCGTTCTCATAGCCAGTGTTGGCACTCCGTGATCCGCTGTGCCAGAGACTCGCAAGATGTCCAAGGACAAGCTCGAGAACGAGCTCGCTTCTGCGACGGCAATTGTCAAGCAAGTTTACACGTGAGTGGCCGCGGCTGAGCTGCCATGAGCCCGAAAGGGAGCTTTCTCGAGCTGACGTTATCATGCACAACAGGGAGCTGCCAACATACGACCAGATCGTCCCGGCGTTGCTGGAGCACGGCGTCCACCATCTGCCAGAGCACTGCAAGCTAACTCCAGGTAAATCATGCTCGAGCGCGCATGTCTTGCCGGCAATGTTGTGGGGACTAACACCCAGATGTGTGTGGCCCGGCCGGTACAGGCATTCCGCTCAAGCCCATGCTTGCCCATCCCACCAAGAGTCTGACTGAGGTGCTGGATCGGTTCGAGAACATGACCTTCAGTTGCGAATACAAATACGATGGCGAACGCGCTCAGGTAAAGATCAATCGGCGCTGGAGCAGCGAGACAGAGTAGCGGACTGGGTAGAATAGCACACGAGCCTGTTGCTGTTGGAGGAGAGTGTCGGAGCGGCGAATGGCGCGTTTGCATACACTAACGATTGGATGTGTTGCGACACTGGCGTCCGATGCTGTTCCAGATTCATCGCCTGGAAGATGGCTCCGTCATGATCTTCAGCAGAAACTCTGAGAATCTGTCAGTCAAATACCCGGATATCATCGCCCGTGTCCCCGCGGTATGGAACTCCCACGAGCGCCTTCAAGCGGGTCGCTGATGGATGTGATATGTCGCTGATGAACAGTATCTCGTGTGAGGGCAGGAATGTGGAGGTCTCTGCTGGGTCCTGACGCTGACCGACTCGATCGATATTTATGCATGCTCGTCGTGGACGTGGGGGTTCCCCAGATATCCAAGCCCGATGTGACGTCGTTCGTGCTGGATTGCGAGGCTGTTGCCTGGGACCGCGAAAAGAAATGCATCCTCCCATTCCAGGTGCTGAGCACACGCAAGAAGAAGGACGTAACCGCGGAGGAAGTCAAGATCCAGGTGTGCGTGTTTGTGTTCGACCTGCTGTATTTCAATGGAAAGGTAAGGCTTGAGCTGGAGGAGAAGGGTCAGACGCAGCGTAGAGGCGAGGTTGTGGCGATCACGGTCTTGGTGGTGGCGGTCTTGGTTGCGATGCCCTTGGTGGTGGTGGACGGGCTTCATTTGGTTGATCATGATTCGTTCCGCAGCCCGTGACTGGCGAGCCTTTGAAGACTCGTCGGCAGCTTCTCGAAGAGAACTTTATCGAGATCGAGGGAGGATTCCACTTCTCCAAGAGCATGGAAAGCAGCAACGTGGAAGAGATCCAGACCTTCCTGAACGAGGCGATTGTTGGTACGTCGAGGGAGGGGTGCAGGGCGGTGATGATTTCAGGATACTCGCAGGACCGGGCGCCATGCTGCACTTGATGGGAGGGTGAGCATTGGGCAGTAACCGAACAGAGTCGCGACATGGGTCCAAGTGACGGATGTGCGGCTATGCTTTCGACAAAGTCTGCATGCTAACAGTGTCGTTGCGCATCTGTGGTGGCTGGTGTTCCAGGCAACTGCGAGGGCCTGATGGTCAAGACGCTGGAAAAGGAGGCCAGCTACGAGCCAAGCAAGCGCTCACGAAACTGGCTCAAGGTAATCCTTCAAGGGCAAACTGATCCATCAGGCGCGGGGTTGAACAGCACGACTAAGGATGCTCGCCGCACACACGATGGTGCCCTGACCACCGATTCGAATGCTCAATGTAGGTCAAGAAGGACTATCTTTCGGGTCTCGGCGACTCGCTCGATCTGGTAGTGATTGGCGGCTGGTACGGACGAGGCAAGCGCACGGGCACATACGGAGCATATCTCTTGGCCTGCTACGACGAAGACCGCGAGGAATACCAGAGCATCTGCAAGGTAAAATCGGCCAGCAAGGGAGCACACTGCCGGTGTGGTAGTGGGTGATGGCTATGGTTGTCGGCGAGAGTGGTGAGAGGCGCAGTCGTGGTGAAGGCCAGTTCGACTGATGATGGGCAGCTTTAACTGACGCTGGACACGGACGCAGATGGGCACCGGCTTTGACGACGAGAGTCTGGCGGGCCACTACAAGTTCCTAAGCGAGCACACCATCGAGGCACCCAAGAACTACTACAACATCAGTGACAACCCGAACGTCCGGCCGGATGTGTGGTTCGATGCCGTGCAGGTCTGGGAAGTCAAGTGTGCGGATCTGTCGATCTCGCCAGTGCACCGGGCGGCCATGGGGCTCGTTGCCGAGGATAAGGGCATCAGTCTCCGATTTCCACGATTCATCCGCATTCGCGACGATAAGGGCCCGTCGGATGCCACGTCGGCGGCGCAGGTTGCGGAGATGTATCAGAGCCAGAACATCAACCCCGTGCACGGAAACAAGAGCAGGGACGACGACTTTTGAGTGTGCGACGAGGCCAAGCGGGACTGCGAGGGGTCGCGGCAATACAGCGCTCCAAGTGAATATGGGAGGCACCGTTTTAAGCCAGGGCAGTTGTTGCTTGCCGGGAACTGAATACATGCGCACCAACTGCAATCATGGCCAAACAGTATACTCGAGGAGACCGAGGTCGTCATCGCCTTTGCAATGCGTCATGGCGCCAAGGCAAGGGCTATGCATCCAGTCCCAGGAGGCAGCGGTTTGCTCGGTACTTTGGGCAGTGCAGGTCGATTGTGCAGGTCGATTGTGGAAACCGGAGAGCGACCCGCGGTCGTCACTCGGGGTGATCTGTTGAATTGCATGTGGCTCAGTGGACTCGTCCTCGTCACATACTGCATGTTCATGGAAGCGGGTGCGTGTATACAGGAGCGCCATGGACAGGAGTTGTACACCCTGCGCACTTGTCGTTCCTGCATGGTGACAAGCCGGCGCACCAGGCACAGGCGCGGTGAGACGATGCTGTGCAAGCCCAGGCGCACAAACGGTCGTCCGAAGCGGAAGCTGGTGCCTGGAGAAGGAGGGGGCTGGTGCGAGAAGAGGGTGCTTGTGCGCCGTGCTGATGCGGCCATCACAAGCACCCAGCCGACGCAAGGAAGCAGCAGACCAGCGACAACGACGTGGGTCTGGAAGGAGCAGGCGGATGGCATGCGGATGGCATGCGGATGGCAGGCGGATGGCAGGCGGACCCGAGAACAGGCGATAGCGCCGGCGATTGCCGGCTGGGGCCGGGAACAAGCCGGCGCGGAAGGCACCCGGTATGTTCCGCAAGGGGCGGCACGCGCGGCCAGATGGGACAGGTGGGACAGGCGGCGTGGGCGCGGGAGGCGACAGGAGACGGGCAAGGGCGCCGGGCGACACCAACCAAGGGGCGAGGAGCGACGCGCAGGGGCGCGTGCGCAGACGCGTGGTGCGGCGCGGCACTGCAGACAATGGGGAGACCAAGCAGACGACTATGGACAGGGCGGGAGCACAAGCGGCCTGTGCTTGCGACACAGTACAGTGGCACCTTCTGTGGCCCCAAAATGCGAGTTGACGCGAAGACACGCGCAGGGGGCGGATATGCGCCGCGGCGATGGAAGGGAGCCGGGCGAGGCGGCGAACATCGGCCAGCGACCGACGACTGCTGTGCGGCGGCAGTCAGGGCGCCTCCGAAGGTTCACGCAATAGCAGCCGCTGCTGCAGACAGGACGATGGCCGCAGCATATCGGGCCAGCCAACACAACACACGCGTTCGCAGGCAGTCCGATGCGCACTCTCACAGATCGGCAGCGAGAGGCGGTCGCGGTGGGGGGACAAACAGAGGCAGCGCAGGCCTTTGTGTCGCGGCGCCCGATGACGAGCCCACATGATCAGCCGGCTGTGTGACCACGGTTCTCTATCTCTCGGGCAACAAGGCGGCCGTGCAACCGGCGGAGGCAGGAGCAGAGCCGATTGGGGAGGCCAGGGCCGCGAGACACGCGGCGGGGCCAGACAGGCGATACAGCAAGCGACGGCGCCGGTGGCAGGCGGGGTGCGGCTCAGTGGGCCGCACAAGCCGCGCAGACGCGCCAACGCCAAACAACGCGCTGCAGACAAGGGCCAATAAGCCGTGAGACAAGCTGCCACTGTGGCTGCCTCGCGGGCTGGCGCGGAGCGGCCGACGGCACAGAGGACAATGGGGATGCTGCGTCGGACAGCAAGGGCACTCGCTCACACAGACAGGGGACCGCGGCAAAGGACGCAGCGCGACCCGCGCGCCACCGCGCACAAGGGGCGAGCCCAGAAGCCAGTATCGGCCGTGGTGGCGGCAGGAGCACCTTGTGCGGCGCGGCAGGCGGGTGCGTCACGCCGCGGGGGCGGCAGCAGCACAGCGGCGACACGGGGACGTGACGCTGCCCAAAACGGGCGAGCGGTGCGCGTCGGGAGGCGCGATGCGACGCGTTCAAGGCAGGGCAGGCTGACAAGAAGGGCGGCGAGATAGGGGGGGCCTTGTTGCGGATGATCCAAGGCGGCTCTGTGTCATGAGCGGTATGAGAAGAAAGAGGTCGCCTTGCTGCCACAGGGCGAGAGCAGATCGCAACAGAGAGAGAGGCAGCGAGAGAGAGAGGCAGCGAGAGAGAGAGGCAGCGAGAGAGAGAGAGAGAGAGAGAGAGGGAGGGAGAGAGAGAGGGAGGGAGAGGCAGCGAGAGCGTCGCCAACACGGACACACACTCTCTCCACACTCTCTCCACACTCTCCCCACACTCTCTCTCGCGCTGTGGCACAAGCGCTCTCGCCCGCACTCTCGCCTGCCCTCGCCCGCCCCGCACCACAGACGCGGCTCGCGCTTGTTCCCCGCACAGTCGCCGCCCTCGCCTGGTCCGGCTCAGCAGCCATCCCCTTGCCCCGGCGCCGTCGCGCCTCGGCGCTCTCGCCGGCCTTCTCGCCGCGCGTCTCGCCCGCCCTCGCTGCTGCGAGAGCCGCTGTCGCCGATATAAGTGCCTGAGCCGCCTCGCCGTCCCTTCGGGTTTCGATCGCCCCCGACCGCTGCGTCCCACTTGTCCCCCCAATTCCACTTTTCGTACGCCATTTCACCAACGCACTTTTCTCCTGTTGTGTAAAGTTCTTCTGGTTCCATTTTTTTCATCGTTTCGCTCTGCGATTCCTGTCTCCGTATCCTTTGCACCTCGGTCCTGTCTGCAGTCGGCCGTGCTCTGTGATTCCGTCCCGGTCCGCCAAACTCTCGCACCAAGTCAGTACCAACTGCCACAATCTGCTGCCACCTCCCCCCTCAGTCCAAGGTACTATTGTCGAGATCATCCCCCTCCCTCGCGACTGCCATCCGACCCTCATCCACAACACCGCACCGACACACCGATATTTTCATGTGTGGGGCCATGGCCTCGCTGCTCGCGTATCAGGACGGCATGGCAGTGTCTCCCCATTCTGCCACTGCGATTGCCACCATAGTTGCCACCACAATCGCCCACTGCCTTTTGTTGAATCAGCCGAGTGCTCGCGACCCGTTCCACCGCTTGCTGACCCACTGCAATTTCCTCTGTCTCTGGCACGGCTCTCCCCCGAGCAGTATCATAGAATCATGTCTGCTGTCGAAGGCCATATGCAGCCCTTCATGTCTCAGCCTCCTCCGATGGTGCCGCCCCCGCGACCCAGCGCCCTCGTCACCAGCGGCCCGGCCATCTACGGCAACGGTCCCATGAGTGGTCCCATGAGTGCTCCCATGAGCCCCATCAGCGCTGTGTATGTTTGATTGCGACAGAGAACTGATTTGCTTTCCGATATCGACCCTTTACTCGCGCTGCAGCATATTGTGTCGCCTCGGCTTTCTTGGTCGTCGTCGTCAGCGTTGTGTCCTCCTCGTCTTATGCTTCCACCAGCTCACCAAACTAACTGCTTTCTCCTTGCTTGTCGTTCTCTCTGGTGTTCATGCGAACCTCCTTCGCCATCCTGTCGACCAACAGCCCCCAGTACATGTCGCATTCTGCCCCCTCCTCGCCCATCCCGGTGCCCATGGGCGTCCAGTCCCCCTTCTCTCCCCACCGTATGCCACCCAGCACCCCCACCTCGGGCGTTCCTCCGCCGTCGCCGCACACCCCGCAGCCCTTCTCGGTCTCTCCCATGCAGTCGACGGGCTCGCGGCGTCGTCGAGGCGAGCATCTCAGCTATCCCGATCTGAGTGGCGGTCCGTTCTTCAAGGTCACCAAGCAGTTCCACATGCTCTACAGCATGGACCGCGGCCGGATGTGAGTGTTGCCCCTGCCGAGCTGTGTGTCGGACCTGGGCATCCTATCGGGCATCCTATCGGTATCTTATCGGGCATCCAGCCTCCAAGGATTGCCGCTCGAATCGCTCTAACCAACACCCGTGTCCCAGGTTCCCTGTGCGTATCATCCCCAAGGTTGACCGCGGCTTCTTCCTCGCCGACAACGACTGGACCTGCTATCGCCGCAACTACTTCCAGGTCTCGTGCGCCTTTTCCACCATCGACAACCCCAGCCAGCAGGAGGCGGATCTGCCCTGTATCATCGACATTGATGGAAACCAATCCAACGTCACTGGGTTCCTGATCGGCATCAACGCCCGCGTTGCCAACGGCGAGAAGCGCATCGATCTGGTTCAGCACACCCCCAAGCGCGACAAGGGTCCCCAGACGATCCCCCAGCTCAAGGCCATCAAGGCTGGCGGCAACCCCAACCAGTACAACGGCATCGCCGCCAACCAGCTCGTGGTCACTTTTGAGCGTCTGCAGTTCAAGACCGCCACCGCCAACAACGGCAAGCGCCGGGCCGCCCAGCAGTACTATGTCATGATCCTGGAGCTCTGGGCTCAGTGCGAGGACGGATCCCAGGTCAAGGTTGCCGCCGTCGAGTCGGCTCCGCTGGTTGTTCGCGGCCGCTCGCCGGGACATTACGCCGACGGCCAGGTTACCCCCGAACGCGCTCCCAGCTCGGGCTTCACCCTCGATCCCTACCACCCCCGCACGCCGCTGGCCTCGTACCCGATGGCCCCGCCTGGCGCCATGCTGTCGTATGGCTCGGCTCCCACCCCCATGATGCCCAACCCCTCGTACGCCCCGGCCGCCGAGTCGTATGTGCCCCCGCCCCATCTTGGCCAGGGCATGCCTCCTGGCATGGGTGGCCACATGCCTCCCGTTGGCTGGGGCCGCGGCCGCCACCCTGCCATGGGCGAGCACGGCCCGGAGCACGGCCCGGAGCACTACCCTCCCGAGCAGGGCCACCCTCAGGTCCAGTCGCACTATCCCTCGGACCAGCACGACCCCTACGGACAGGAGCACCCCCAGGCCCCGCAGTTTGGCCAGCCTCCCGAGAACGGACACGGCGGGCCCCAGCACTACGCCCCCGCCGACATGCAGCACCATCCGCACCACCCGTCGCAGCCCATGCACCACCAGCCGCCCCCGGGCTACCACGGCAACCCCGGATACGACCCCAGTCTCGACTACAGCGAGTATCGCCAGGGCGACGATGCCGAGAACATGAAGCTCATGTCGCAGGCGCCCCACCACCATCAGGAAATGCCTACGCCTCAGCACTCGCCGCTGAGGCCCTCGAACCAGCTGCCTCACGCCATGGATGCGGGCGAGCACGACCCGCAGCAGCAGCAGCAGCAACAACAACAACAGCAGCAACAGCAGCAGCATCCCCATGCTCAGATGCCGCACCACTACCAGCCGATGCACCCACATCCGCTGCAGCAGTCCATGCATCACCACCCGATGCAGCACCCGTCGCATCCGATGCAGCCACAGGGCCAGCCCCTGCCACCGCATCCGCATGCACAAATGGCCTCACATCACATCGCCCCTCAAGCCATGCACGAGATGGTCTCGTACAAGACTGAGTGAGCGGCGAATCTGACTCTATAGCGGCGTCTTTTCATCCACCCACTCACCCCACTCCCCTCTTCCTTCTCACTCGCTCCTCTCCCCGTCTCTTGCTTTCTCCTGTCTCCTGCTTCGGCGCCGACCCCAGTGACAATATCTTGTCGTGTGTGCCTCTATCTGTTTGATCTGAACCTGTCCCCTCTCCGCCCTCTCTCTCTCCTCGTTCCCTGTGGCTGACTCATTTGCTGCTTCATTCCCTCTCTCTGCTTACCTTCGCTCTTTTTTCCCTGCCAGTCTCGTCTCCTTGGCTTCTGTCGTTTGTCCTGCTCACCCTTCCCCCTTTTTCCCTTTCCTTGCGTTTCCCCTTGACCTTTCCATTTCCTTTTCGTTGACTCTGTTTGCTGCTTTGACATTGACTCCTCTTTTTTTTTTTTTACCTTCTTTCCTTCCATGCGTTCTCTCCGTTCGTCCCCTCGCCCTATTCTATCCCGGCCCTATTTCGTTTATCTACTCTCCTTGAGTTTGATTTGCATCCGACAGTCGCCCGTCTCCCCTGTTGTGTCCTATATATATACATACAATTTCCTTCTGGCTCAATCACCGCCTGGTCTCAGATGGAGCCCAAAGAACCCACATGCGCGTGCATGGCGGAGAATCGTTGCTTCGGGGTGGGCGAAACAGAAGATGAAAGGAAAGTGTGTGTATGTCGTACATGCATGTGCATATGGGTGTGTCTGTATGTCGCACGCGGATGAAGGAGCAGTGTCCCGCCCCTTCGAATCGCCATATATCCCGCTCACCCGCCGCAGTGGATCATGGAGACTGGTCTTTGGTCGATTGTCAGAGTGTGTTGTAATTTAAGGGTGGATGTTATGTACATTCGGCAAGGTAGATTCTGCCAGGAAAGTCAAGGCCAACAAGCAACACAGCTCATCATCATGGCTTGGAGCTCCTCAACTAACCAGTGAAGCCAGAGACAGGGGAGTGGCGAGCGGTGATAAAATAAGGATCGAGCAAGTACATGTGTGCGAGAGAAGGATAGAGAGTCGGAATGAGGAGGGAGGGAGGAGGAGGAGATGACAACGATGCAATCAGAGCAAAGAAATACAGACGCAAATACGCGAGATATAATCACAGTAGATGTAGTGGGGAGGGGCGCGGGTGGAGTCGGCGAGATGGCAGGTGGAGGAGACAAGTGCTATGATGGGCAGGGGAGAGCAGTGCAGGATCGGCAAAGCAACAACGAAAGCAATAAGCAAGCAGAGTAATAAGAACAAGTCATCAAATGGTGCTATGAGAGAAGCAAAGGATGAGCCGGCGGACTGGTCGCATTTCGTCCAGAGAGCGCCCCGGTCCTTCCTTCCTTCTGCTCCTTGCGAATGAAACGAAATAATAAAGAAGGGGAGACCCATCGATCACACGGACATACACAGCACACGGACTGAACGAGTGTGTGTCGTGGTACATCGGTACCTCGGCCCCGGTGATCGGCGGCTGGTGTGGTATGGCGATATCACAAGGTGCGCCTGCTCGATGTTGAAACTACATTGGCCGCTGGCACCGGTGCCCGTACCCACGCTGCTGATGTCAGTGGTGTCTATGTGTCGGTGGTGTCGGTGTCGATGGTGTCGGTGTCGGTGTTGATGGTGCAGCTCCATGATATGGTGTTTGATGGGAATAACCGGCTTGTGCAGTCAAGAAACCAGACGGTCAGGCAGCCAGGCAGTCCAGGTCGTCAGGAAGCCAGAGAGTCAGCCGGGCGAGCGAGCAGGCGCTGGAGCAGGAAACCAGGACCGTGCGCCGCAGGGAGACTCATGTCTTTGCACACTCTGAGCTCATGAGATGAACGGTATCAGACAGGTGCGGTCTGTCGGGTATCCGTTCGTGACATAGTTTCGATACCAGTTCCGGGTCTGGTAGGCTCGGCCGTACATGCTCAGTCCAATGTAGAGCGTCTGCCCATAGACGGTGGGTCGGTGGGCAATCATCGAGAAACCCAACCAGCTCAGGAGCTCGAAAAAGTAATGCGGGCACGTCGTGTACACAAACAGCCCGCCCTTGGGTATCCGGTATGGCCGACTTCGGTTCTGGCTCGGCGAAGGCTCTGGATGTTTTATGCGCATTGTCGGATTAGTATTCCTTCAGATGAGCAGCTCGTTTAGGATATTCATCGGCCGCGTGGCCGTCGGCTCCCTTCTGCCAGCGAGGCAGTGCCTTTGGAGCCCATGAGCGTCGTACGAGCCGAGCTTTGAAGCAGCCACTCACGATCGTATCGTCTCGATCGAGGACAACCATGCGCTGCGCTTGTGTCGATCGAACTCAGCAGCACCTTGCCGTGCGATCCGCCCGATCTTCCTCTCCTCGGCTCCAACGCGGCACTTACCATGTTTCCGCCGCCGAAGCTTGGCAAGCAGGCGGTGATGATAGATTCCCGCGCCCAGGGCAAAGGCTACCAGCGGTGTCGGGAAAACGAGCTCAATCAAGTTGCCGTCGCGATCGCCGTCGAGACACAGGACGCTGTAGCAGTTGAATCCCGCGAGAATGATCTGCTCGGAGAGAATAAAGGCCAGGGCGCCTCTGGAGATGGTCGGGTTCGAATGCTTGTCGATGAGCAGGGTCTCAAATAGCCGTTGGCTGCATTTGACAAAGTGGAACAGGTACGTGACGACATGGTATGGGTAGTGGATCGTGCCCAGGGCAAGATAGGCGAACGTCACAAAGCCCAGGGTGAACAGATGCACCAGGATGAGCGATCGGCGTGTTGGCAGCTGCTTGGTCTGGACCATGAACTTGTACCGGAACTTTGAGTAAGGGGCCTTGACGGGTGGACCAAAGCATTGGCCATGTGTCGGCCAGCGCACAGGCAGCGTATCAGAGGCATGTGATAGTGTCGTCGAGAAGTTTGGGGGATGTCGAGAGCGTTGGGGATGTCGAGCGCCAAGATGTGGGGATGCGCAGAATTGGAAAGCTGGCGTTAGGCATGTGCTGGGGGGGGGGAAGAAGTGCGCCATTGAGCAGCGCATGCCCGCAAGGGTCCCGAAAGCGACTCTGACAGGGTATCCGGGCAAAAGTGTCCCTGGCGATCCAGCGCAGCTGCTTGGCCAGTCGTATCGGGCAAACCCAAGATCAGCAGCAATGGAATAGTGCCAGCCGCCCATCCGACGGCGTCGCAGCATCCAACAAGCGCTGCCCTACATACGTTGAACTTGCCGCTATACTCCATGTATCCGGCGACGAGGCCCACCAGCAGAAACAGGACAAAGAACATGGGTTCCGACACTCGTCCGTTCCAGGGATCTCTGCTCATCCAGGCCTTGATCAGCTGCCGCGACTGCTCGTTCAGTACAGGCGAGCTGTAGTCGAGTGTGTGGTCGTGCATTGCCCGCTGCGCTGTCCGGCTCTGCGGGCCAGTGAGGAAAGCGATCGGCGGCGTTTGTGGCTCGGCGGTGCGTTTGTGCTTGGCGATGTCTCTCTGGCTTTGCTGGCCGAGGGGAAGCGTCGATCGAAGCAGGGTCGAGACGGCGACAGCGATTCGGACCGGCGCCTATGTGCAAACGCTGAGGGCGAGCCGGGGCGTGGACTGCGGGTGGAGTGGGCTCGACGGAGACGGACCAGGGCCAGCAGGCGATCGGCGAGGGTAGTCCGGCACGGCTGACGATATCGGGGTTGGGAATCTGTCCAGCCGAACGAGCGATACGACGAAAGTCAAGTCGGCCAAGACCTGGACTGGCGAGACCCCCTCGGGCGAGAAGGCGCAGGGCAGCGGCATAGCAGGGAGCAGCCACAGAAACTGTTGCTGCGCAGGCGCGGCGAGAGCAGACGCGCACCGAGGTGCCCGCCGAGAGCACCACCGAGAGCCGCTCGGTGAGAAGAAAAAATGTGCGAAGAGCCATGTCGCACAACACGATCTCGTGCGACCGTGACTCCCGTGAGCCGCCCCGGATTCGCCCGGTTTCATGTGCTGCAGCACAGCCGAGGGTGCATGGACGACAGCACGGATACATGGACGGCAGCACGGATGCATAGACGACAGCACGGATGAATGCGCAGTGTCGGGCGAGAGGATGTGCGAGCTTTGCATCCGGACGATCGCCGCCGTTGGCCAAGCCGGGGTTCACGGCGGTGCTGAGCGGCATTGCTCCTGGCCATGGCCGCCCCGCTCGCTGGGCGGGAAACTACTGCCGCCCAACTCTGTCGAGGACTTGCGGCAACGACTTTCGTCGGGGCCTGGACTGGGCTTTACTGGAATCCCACATCCGTCTTCCGTGTCGGCCGCTCTTGGGGTTTCGCAATCCGCAATGTCGTTTGCACGGAGAGGGGCCCCTGAAAATGGTACGTCCCGTCCAACGCCCCATGCCTCTCGCTCAAGCGCTCCGCGTCCGACTCAGTCTGATTTCCCTCTGTCTCTGGTGGCCGATGGACAGCGTTCCACGACCTCTCAAAGCGAAGCACAATCTTCCGATCCAAGTTGATCGAGGAGTTCCAGCTCCTCGACAACATCTCCAATTCCTCGGCTGGAGGACGCGCTCCGACACATACTTCGAGAGATATTGCCGGTACTGTTCCGCGACTATGTGGATCCCGAAGATGGCCCATCCGAACCCATCCATGGCAGTGATCGCCAGAGTCGCTCATGTCCCTCGCGTCTCCCCCCCCCATGTGTTTCTTATGGATCTGCACTTCCAAGCACAGACCCGAAGGCGCGCAAGCTCATTCTGCTGGAGGACCCATACCAATGCATCAAATTCCAGGTGCGGTGCGGTGCGCACCCAGATGCTCGTCGATGACAATGGCTGCTATCTACCGTCCTCATTCGTCCTGGAATCCCCACCTCCCTTCCGGAATGCACCGTTGATGCTGATTCAGCACCTTGGCTCCATCGCTTACCACACCCTATCGCCTCAATCGCATCGATATTATCGAAACGGCTGGACTCGCTCGTGTCGTGCCATGGCCACCAGCCTTTCAAGCGCACCCAGCTTACCGATGAATTTGCCCTCACCGATCGCCGCCTGACTCGCACGAGAAACCGGCGCATCGTTCCCATCGGGGCATGGGCAGGATGGATCACCCACCGTGAGTAGGAGCCCGGCACGAATTCGATGCGCCGGATGACGCACCGAATTCGTGCCTGTGAAGCCTATCGACCGCCTTGCATCCACCAGAACACTGACTTGCTCATCAACGTGTCACTGCGGCGTCAGACAAGTGGTTCGAAGGATTCATGCTCGTCGTCATCGTCTCGAACTCGGTGATGCTCGGTGTCCACGCCGGTAAGGAAATGCATCTGAGACGATCCAGCCGCCGATCCAGCCGCCGATCCAGCCGCCGATCCAGCCGCCGATCCAGCCGCACATGCCTCATTCCCGTCAAATCGACCACACATCCTCGACTCGACTCAGCCGACACTCACCACCATCCGCTCCCGTTTGCAAGAGCTCGCCGGAACCCAGGAGTCGTACTGGTTTCTGTTTCAGTTCATCAAGATCTTTGACGACTTTTGCCTGCTCATGTTTGTGCTCGAGATTGTGCTCAAGTGGATGGATAGCTTCTGGAACTTTTGGAAGGACGGCTGGAACATTGCCGATTTTGCTATCACCGTCCTGGTACGCTCACTGAAGTTCCGGCCACACTTCCCGACCTCGCCTCGCTTCGTCGCACCCCACATCCGCTGTTACCGGGAGAGCAGAGACACGAGGCTTATCGGTCATGGGTTGCATTGCACCAGTCGGCCATTCCAGAGCTCGTCGACTTGACCGGCACCGTGGGGTCCAACTCATCAATCTCCAAAATCCTCAACGAGATGGGCACCCTCCGAATCCTCCGGGCACTGAAAATGGTGGCGCGCTTTGGCACACTCAAGATCATTGTCATGACCATCATCCAGGCATTCCAGGTTCGTCGCTATTTCGGATGATCGGAATGTCCTTGGTGCGGGGACAAAACGCAATCGGCACTCGCTTGTAGTCATGGAAGGTGGACGTGAGCATTTGGTTGCATCACATGGCCTCCTCCCTCCCCCTCAACAATCAGTCCTGCTGATAGGCCATCTATTCCATTCCCATGCAGTCGATGGCGATGATCATGCTTCTCGTTGGCTTGGTTGCATACATGTACGCAGTCATCGGCATTCACCTGTACGCGGGCAGCGACACGCCCAACAACACTTCGCCGTTTGCAAATGCCTTCGTGTAAGTGCTCGCCCGAAATCGCCGTATGTCCACGAATGGATGGATGAGCTTTGTCCAATCCAATCCAATCCAATCCAGTCCACTCGCTTGCGCTTGGCACCATGAATCCATGCCTCTGCCGAGTCTGACCACCTCCTTGTGTGCATGTGTACATTTCCGTTGATGTTTCTGGCGGTTTCAAATGGCAGCAACGTCGAGTCATCCATGCGGACGCTCTTCCAGCTGATCACCCTGGATTCATGGGATCCCATCAATCGATATCTGGCGACCGTCGCCGATCCCGTGATATCGCAGATATTTGTGATATCGTGGGTTTGGCTTGGGGCCTTCATTTTCCGCAACATTTTTGTTGGCGTCATGGGTCAGTATATCGAATCGGCGCCGTGTCGAGTTGTGATGCAGACTCCAGCGCGAGTGGGCTTGGACAGGCGAAGTTTGATGTCGACGAGTTCGAAGAGCCAGCTGTTGCTCCGCACTGACAATATCAATTCCCCTTTGATACTTTGGACTTTGATCTATCTATGTATCGTTGTTGCAAAACCACTCATGGCATGGTCGTAACAGTTCACAACTTTGATAAAATCAGCGACAAACTCAAGTCTGAGCGCGAGGAAATGAGTCGATTGAAGAAATACGAGAAAATGAGACGAAAACTCAACAAAGAACTTGAGATTCAGGGCAATCTGCAACGAGTCGGGTAAAAATGGGAGAGGGAGTGTGGCAAGTGACCGGGAGGGGCTGCCAAGGGCAAGCGCCATCGTCTATACAATCCACCGGCTTGCTCGCGAGGAATGCCGGCGTTTGGGCTTGGCATCCAGCGTCTGACTATACCTTATCGTCGCGTAGGACTACCACGGAGCCCATCCGAGAGAGCGGACTGGAGCATCTGCCAAAGTCAGTTTCCTTGGCTCGGCAATGTCGAGATGGCCTATGCAAACGACGCAAGCGTTGCGGTCAAAGTCTATGGAATCCACATGCAGCGCGGTACTCAGATCGAGCGTTTGCTGCGTGGTGATGACTAACGCCTGGTCCTTTGATATCGGATCCTCCTCAGGAGCGACCAAGTGATGCAGAGTATCCAAAAGCTGCTCCTGACAAACCAGGAGATTTCCGAGGGGTGGGAAAAGACCGTCCAGGAAACGCTGCGTGCCATGACGGCCATTCCCACGGAGACCATGTGGTCGAGAGACACGCTGTTCAAGGTGCGGATGCTACAGTCCACCAAGATCCCCTTGGCGTCGTTGCTTGACTAACGCATTCCGGCCCGTATAGTACTTTCAAATCATGGAGACATTGCAGGTATGCTCTACTGTCCTACATTCAGTGCAACAACACGCAACCGTGGCTACAACATGGCAGAACATACAGCGATCCTCACAGCCTGTTGTGTCTCCCTTGTTCCAACAGGAAAACATGCGGGAGTATCAAGAACTGCAGATGATGGCAGGTACGGCTATCGAGTGAGCTCAGATGGCTGGAGTCGATGTCTTTGACTCGGCCGAGACACTTTGTTGCTGATATGCGCAATCTCGCCCACAGCCTGGCTCCTCATGGAAATGCACGACACCTGAAGCACGATGTGCGGCACTCCGCCCATGAGCTGAAGCCAAAGGAGGAAAACACCCTCGCTTGGCTATTGCGGTGCACCAAATGGCGATTTCGTTCGCCGACATGGGCATCCACGTCTTGTTTTGGACCAGATTCGTTTGCTACAGCGGCGCTTCGTTACAGCTGTGTCGCCTCGCTCACCAAAGTGTGCACCCAGGATACAGCCAGTACAATGCGCAACGGGGCAGTGTGCCCCCGAGTGTCCTTGGCATCAACCGCTGCTTGTTGGTTTTGGAAGCGCTGGCTGAATATATCCGTCTGATCTCCTGTGGCGATGATCGAACGGCATTGACGTCGCGATGCGTGGGGTGTAGTTCATTCATTCGATGTAGGAGGATGGTGCGTACACTCGGCCACCTGGACAGCTACATGGGCGCTGAGAGCGCACTGTTTAGTCGTGACCCAGGTCCCAGAATGAAGCGACAGCCCACCTCATTGAATCCTCGCCCCACTCGCGACGGCGGGCTGCGTTGTCGAGAACATGATTGGGACAGCTCGCTTCATTGTCCCCTCCGCGAACGCCAGCCCCGGTTCTACTCAAGGAGCCGGCTTTCTCTGCGACGGAAAGATGCATTCCGGCACCGGCCTCTATCCATTGTCCCGGCTTCGAATTATGAGTCACTGGGTCTCCTCGCAGGCCACATCACTTCCGGCCTCCTTCTGCCGCCTTTTGATATCCTCCAAGCCCAGCTCGCATCACTGATCCTGTCACCAAGCCCCTGCTGGTATCTTGCTGGTGTTGCACCAGTGTCTTGCCCTGCATGAGATGGCTGTACCAGGAGCAAACCATCTCCGGCATCTTCCCGGTCATCCCGCCGGCCATCTTGGACACCCTTGCTCCACCGGTATTTGCTCGCCAAACGCACGATGCTCCAAAGTCGAATCGCCGCACACAATACCTCAACCGCAGACCACTGATCACAGTCTTTGGATGCGCACCGCCCAGCAGCTCAGTCACCGTACCCGCCGTGCTGTGCGGCTGCCGAAGGTCCGGGATACTTTGATCGACCTCAGGTCAGTCCATGCGGCTCCCACGGTGTTGTACTTGCCAATGGCGCTCATGTTTCTAACGAGCAATGCTTTCCCTGACCAGGAGACCGAGATGCCGTGGCCACTGACCCATCCCGACCAGATATACCGCAATCACCCGCCGCGCTTCATCGACACATCACTTTGTTCAGCCCAGCAGTATCCTGTCCTTGAGTACGACCCGTACCTCGTCCCCGACGAGTATTCTCAATACCTCCGACATCCTGGTCCGACTTATCCGACTGTGGGCGCCAGTGACCCATACTACTCGGCTCGCGGAGATATGCCATTCTGGCTGGAGATTCCTCCTGAGCCTGTTCGATCCTTTGAGCGGCATAGGGACCGTGAATTCCGGTTTGGATACGACTTGCCGCCACCGCCGCATCCGCAGCGAGCCTCCAGAACTCGGCACCCTGCTGCCGAGAGTCTCTCCGGGCCCCATAACCTCCCCGAGATTTCCTTTGCCGAGTCGGCCCGACTGGCTCGCCGCAGCTTGCGCATCCACTCGCGACCTCTGAATCAGCCCGACCACAAGGAGGCCCTGACAACGCGCGAGCGATACATGTCTTCCAAGGTCCTGGCCTCCACCAAGGACGGGGCAAACATCGACTATCTTCCGTACTCGTTCCAGGACTGGCTCAAGCTCAAACAGCGAGATGGGCAGATGAAGCTCGGCGGTCTTGGACCAAACGAGAACGACAAGTGGCTAGAGAGCGTAAGTGTTTCGTGTGTCCAGCTACCAGAGCAGCAGCATGGCATGGGCGAGACTTGAGATGCTCAGCGGCCGGTCCATTCGCCACATAAGCGAGCGGAGGCACTGGAGCAGTCACAATCGCAGTTGCTAGCCTCAGTCTAGGTCGCTTTGCGCCAGCCTTGGATACGATCATCATCATCACACACTCTGCTATATCCGGACAGAACAAACGAAACACTCGAATCCAAGCCTATGTGCAATCGGTAAGACCAGTACCATTGTGATCACACACGAATGCCAGGCTCGTTGAAATGTGACGCCATACACTGATAATCGCCATTATGTGTATGATCCAACGATCCGCAATGGTGCGACTTCCAGCTCCCGTTAGTGACGGGCGAGCAGCATTCCGGGTCGGGTCTTGGCCATCGGTCCCAGAGCATCTCGCGCAGCTCGCACAATACCAAGGGCTGACCCACAGCGTCTCTGGATTCACGGGATTGAATACACTTTGCCATTCCTGTGAGCTTGTCATCGAGACATTGGGACATTGGGACATTGGGACATTGGGATGAAAGGGGCAGCCGCTGGACATCCACGTGATCGAGACGATCCATGAGTGCGGTGCATGCACTCGGCCATCAGGATAGCTCCATGGATGGACTCCCATATCAAGATAGTCAAGTCATTCGGGTGACTTGGCCTCCAGTCTCCCTGGACACGCCGTTTGGTCATGGTAGCGATGGGCGGGTGCGTGCTTTCAAGGCCCAGAAAACAGCGACGGGGGTTTCGTTTTGACCGCGCTGCAAACGTCGCCCTGGATCTTTCGTCGCCGCTGGCGGCCCTGCTCGAGATGACACCAGCATCGATACAAAGCGGGCCATCTGCCGCCCGTAGCCTTGGCTCCTCGCTACTGCTGCTCCTCGACGTGCCGGAGTCTGTTCTCAAGAAAGCCTGCTCGAAGCCGCTGTCGCAGCTTGCCCAGTGTGTGTGCCTCTGCATCGACGTCCGGTGTTGATCTGCTGCCTTCGTACCTGAAACCAGTGTCTCAACTCCATTTGAACACTGTTCGTCAATTCTTCCCTGTTTCCTTGGTCCCCTGTTCCAATATCTCCCTGTCCCCCTGTCCCCCTGTTTCCCTGTTTCCCTGTTTCCCGGACCAGCACCCGTCGTCCATGCCCTGAAGACACTTGACGATCATCTCGGCGGCCCTCTGGCGGATGCATCAGCATGCCAGACTATCCTATCGCCCCTCAAGGACAAGGTGTGCCAGACCTCCAGCTCATCCCATGTGCCCATCAGCCATCAAGAGTATTGATGGACTCTGTCGTACACTTGCCGGACTCGGTCCTCCGCCCCGGTGTTGCATTTTCGGTTGTTCCTCGTGGCAATGCGATCAGCGCCATGTCGCTCTGTGGAAACTCTGCGGACACTCTGCGGCCCTGGCGTTTGACCCAATCGTACCGCCTCGATCACTTTCTCTAGATTCTAGCAAAGTCGGATACTCCAGCCAAAGCAAGGGCAACGCATGTCCTGCGATGGATTCATCACGAGCAGCATGGCGGGTTGCTGCTCCAGGCTCTCGCGGCGATGCTTTCGCTGGACAAGAAAACGAAACTTGCAGCAGCCCAGCTGGTCGAGTGTTTGCTGGATCCATGGCCGTCCGTGTTCACCTCGCCTTCAACACCACCATCCATATCGGTGTCGACCTCGGAACCAGCATCTCCGCGAGATAGTCGTGAGACGGCATCCATTCAAGTCCTGCGGCTTCTGATCGACATCGTGGAACGGGATGGGTAAGTGCATTCTGAGGGATTCAAATTCGCTATGGACACCATCTCAACCTCAGTCATGAGCAGCACAATGCCTCTGGTTATTTATAGGTCGATAGATTTCAACCGGCTGGGAGCAAGCTAAATCAGTTCGATTTCCTTGTCCAGCGTTCAGGACGAGGACGGAGCCATTCTACCGACCAGGCTGACCAGCACAGCGGCTCAGTGCGCCATCGTCCTATGCGACTATCTGCTGGGACAGACTGAGAGTGCACCAATCGTATCCACAGCCTCGCCGTCGTTGATTCAGCAACTCGAAGATGAAGAGTCTGTGGCCGTCGATGCACCGATGGTCGAGGATCTACTGGCGGCCATGATCCGGCTGGTAGCCGCACTGGCCCAGGTACGTTTTATCCGATGGCGCCGTCATCTTGACGCATGGGGTCGCCGGTCTTGATGGCTCGATGCATCCAAACTAACAAACATTCTTCCTGCTCCGGTCTGGGCAATAACAACTGGATGGTCGTGCAATCGCAAACCTCGTGGGCGATGCTTGCATTGGGCAGCTCAAGGTTGAAACTTCGCTCCACAAAGGCGCCCTCAAGGTCCTGTCAGGCGTGCTGCAGTCCATGGCACATGCTGCTCCGACGAATGGTCCGTTCGAGTCTGTGCAGTTCATCGGTCGTGGAGGGCGGGGGGGGGGCGGATGTGGGAAAGATCGGCAAGGCCACTCGCATTCACTGTTGCTGATGTCCTTGCTGTCCTCTCATTCTCCCGTTCTCCCGTATTCCAATCAGCACTCATACCGGATTTGACTCGGATATGGGCGGCGTTCCGAAAGGGATATGACATCAAAGTATGCACATATGCACCATCCAAGTTTGGCCGGTTCGTGCAGCGAACAATCGACGAGGTGAGTCGTGCGTGGGTCAAGATATCGTAGGTCGGCACTGTTGGGTCAAGTCCTGGTCGGTCACCGATGCGTGTCTTGGTGGAGGGAGGGGGACAAGCTTGAGGCCAGTCCATGTATCAATGGATGTTGCTGGAAGTATTGCACAGACACGTCGTGCGACTTGTACTTGACGGATGCAACCACCACCTCAGGGAACATCTAAGAGTGGCGACATTTTCTTGTCACTTGTGACACTGTCCATGTCTTTCAGCCTGCGAAAGCCGGCCGACCTCGACTCGATTGTTCATCAAGCTGACTCCAAGATCATGGAAACGATATCGCTCTCGGTATGTGTCATCGTCGATCACTGGATGTGGGTCGCCGGCATCCTATATCGCATTTTGCTGTGGCACCTGAGGACAGGGATGCTCTGTCGCCAAATCGACAACGGTTGTCAAACAGCCTATTCGAGCTTGCTTCCAGTATTTCAGAATCAACGGAGAAATGCTGCGATATGCTTCGTGTTCCTCTGTGTCGTATCCTGATGTCTCGGCCACCTCTATCGCAACTATTGGAGATTGCTCCTGGATCCTCGTCGACGGTGCGCTCGCTGGGTTTCCACTTGATGAGATTTTGCCTCACACTCCGCGGAGCCGAGACTCTCGTCTCCGAATCCGAATCGCTCGTTGCCATTCTGGACGAAGCCGACGAGGTCTCAGAAGCAGCCATTGGACTCCTGGCCGACTGCGCCTCAAGCCATCCCGAAGCCGTTTTGCCGTTGATATGCGGCCGGATGGACTCGGGTTCCGTCGGCAAGCGCCGCAACGCCTTGCTGGTTTTGGAGGAAATCGTCTCGATCAACAAAGGCGTGATACAGCACCATCGCCGATCTGGCCTGAGGTAGAGTCGGACTGGTGACCAAGCAGTTGCCACGGGCATGTGTAGATAAGCGGCCATCCGGATCGGTGGGTGTGTGCGGGGAAGGATGGAAGGCGGTGCCATCCCAGATGGGTTATCTCCACGCTCATGAGTGTGTTCGGTATTCACGTTACTGGCTTTCCAGGGACATGCTCTGTGGACAACTCTTGAATCGCCTCGGGGACGACGACATCAAGCTGAGAAATATCACGACCCGTCTCTTTCGGATGCTTGGTGGGTGCCGCTCTGCTTCCTTCAAAACAATTGCGAACGTGCTGTCATCAGAGACGGGCCGCTTGCTGCACAGTCTGGTTTGTTCACTGGCTTGCTCACACTCGAGCACATTCGCTCCCACGAAAACACGTCCACAGCCCTCCAACTTTTGCTGCCCAAGCTGACTCCGCTGCTGGAGCACACCGATGCACGGATCCGAGCTGCAGCTGAGGCTTCCCTCGTGCTGGTTCTGTCCGAGGGCCGCCCACCGACCAAGAACATCGAGATGTTTATTGAGTTCATGAGGTCCGTCCGCATACCTGCTTGGCACTGAGCTATCGATCGACTGCGGGCTATTTGTGAACAAAGACATGGGAGAGTCTGCTGCGCTCATCGTGCTGATACTGTCCGCTGTCTGGTTGTAGGAACTGCTACTGCGGAGTTGCCGACGATCAAAACATGATCTCTCCAGAAATCCGGTCTCCAAATGACATTCGACCCACAGGAGCGACACAGACGCCCGCAAAGGAGGTTGCAGGTATGTACACTCAAGCCAACTAGGACCAACATCCAGTGATCCAACAGCGCGCCATGGTGATTGAGGCCCGAAATCCGGCCCAGCCCAGTGGTGTTGAAGCACTCGCTGCTGCGAGGCATAGTGACCAACGAGGACCAGCTCGCACACTCACCGGCCGCTCTGCTTTCCGTTGGACTGCCAGACAAGAGGCTCTCTTATCAGCTGCGAGTCATCTCCAAATGGGCCGGCGCGCTCAGCCCCGAGTCGTGGATGGAAACGCTGCCTGTGATTCTCGCCAAATGCTACTCGTCCCCAGGAGACACAGTTCTTGTTCGTGCACTCAGCGCGATGAGCGCATACTGGACTGACCATAATGTCATCGGCGCCATTTGTCGCCAAATCCTTGACATTGCGGTCGCCCAACCACGACTGACAGACGAGCTTCTCAATGATCCGAGTCCAGACTCGGCCGACCAAGTCCGAGGGTTGTTGTTTGCGCGATTGAGTCCTATGCTGGTATTCAAGGTGCTCTCGATTCCTGCCATCGGCTCATTCGCTCTTCGGTCTGAGGCCGAACGAAACCAAGCAACCGCGGAGTGCCGAGCAAAGACTAGTATGGATTCCTGTGCTGAAAGTATCGCAGACTACCGTCCACATCAGTCAGATAGCTGCAACGAGCCTCATGGCCAAAGCAGAGACGAGGGTAATCCGGATGTGAGCAACCACGGCGACTCTGTTGCTGATGCCGATCTCTGCCCCCGGCTCGTCAACGAGTTTATCACCCGGATCGAGTCGACGATGGAGTATGAAGAAGTTCGAAGGCTGGCCGCAGAGCTGGTCGCGCGCTTCCCTCTGGAACTTATCGGCGACTTGCTGGTTGATAAGTTTGAGCACTCGATCGGTGAGCAGCAGTGGCTTATGGCTCGATCGTATGTGTTTGCGCTCTGCAACATGATCGCCACACATCAAGATCTGTCGATCTCGACGGTGCGCTCGACCTCGCCGCTCCAGCCGCAGCAGTCGACCAGGCTTGTCGCTGCGGCTCTCAGGGTCATGATGTCGTCCGAGAACACAGGTGGGTCTCAGCGAGCGGCAAGTCGCCGATTGGATTGATAGCAATGGCACATGTGGTGCTGATCCCCGAACATCATCTTACTCTCACAGCAGACAAGAACACGATGAAGAGCCTCGAGGCCGGATGTCTGGAGTGTTTGGCGCTGCTCGTCTCTGTCTGCTCCACAAAGCGCTCGCAGCAAGCCGCAGTCAAGGCCGACGCTGCGAGGGCGAGAATTCAGGAAATTGATGCCACCGACATAGCCGCTGGACCTGCGACGTTATCCCCGCTCAACGACGTTGTCGATGCCATGCTCTATCTCTGCCATCCACTTGCCTTGGTCGAGGCCAGCGAACCGAGCCAGCCAAGTGACGAGTATGCAGCGCTGTCGAGATCGAGCTACTTTAAGGAGCTGTACACATCGCTGCGGTCGATCTGCATCCTGCCCCAAGACCAGCGGCGATCACCGTCGGCATCAGGGACGATCCGGTATGAGGTCGCGACACACTTTTGCAACGCCGTGGCGACGGCAGTCAACCATCTCTCTCCGCCCAAGTCGACTGGCACCGCCGCCCAAGCTGACTCCGAGTCGAGTATTCGAGATGCCAAGCATCAGGGCTTGCTCTGGCTGGCAAGTCGCAGCTATCGTCGTTTCCTGGATGTGGCGCACTGGGCCTCGGGCCAGGTCGGCGTCTTTCCCGAGCTTGATATCGTTGGAGGATCCTGTTTTCAGGTAAGCAGATCCGGCCACTCAACATCCACACGCCTGGCCCAAACACCGAGCCGAAGCAGTTGGCTGACCACAGTTTCGTTCGTGGCAATGCTCCAGACACTGTTTCGTTTTGTGTACGGTCTCCGAAGCGAGAGCGATGCGTGGATCCCAGACACGATGGATGTGTGTCTTGTCGGTCTCCGGAGCAGCGGAAGGCTGGTACGTACTTTTCGAGTGGAGAAGTTCTGGTCGGTCGAAGCAGTCGCAAAGGCGAGGGTCTTGGTTGCTCCAAGTGCTCGACCAGTACTGAATGGATCGGATACTTTGAACACGCCGCCAGCATCGGAGACTGCAAACATGATGGATGTGCTGCCTTTCTTGAATGCATTTTCTGCACCCAGCATACCATTAACCAGCATTCTGTTTTGCCCAACAGATCCACAACCACGCTCTCAAGCTGATGACGGCCTGTATTGGAACATCCACAAAGTCCCTGGCTGATCCTCTGAGGTCGCTGCAGACCCGGAAGACGCTCGAAGACTTTGTTCGGACGACGAACGACCCGAGCAGCAAGGAGCTGGCGCAACGAGTCATGGCCAACATGTAAACGGATCCATGCTTCTCATGGCGCTCGACCAAACCGGATGAACCGACCGGAGCGTGCCGGTCAGGCAAAGTGGCACAGAGATAGCATGTCCCCATGGGAATGCTTGGGCGACTGGGCACGATAACGGCGGCCAGATTGCCACGGGTCGTGCTGAGGAGCATCAGGTCAGGAGCGAGGCAAGCGGGCAAGGGAGACCGAAGACACCACCAGGCAGCAAGAGCAGAAAGGGGTATGCAGGGCCGAAGCGATGCCTGGCCTTCCAATGAACACAGGCACGAGCCATGCCACAGCGCCTCGGGACCGACGCAGCGCACAACGGCGGCACATGATTCGCAAGTTCCCACAGAAACGGCGGTCGATACGGACCGCCGCGACTCAGCCAGCGCAGATCAAGTCCACGCGACCCAGCGCAGGACCACCATGGTGGCGCCGGACGGATCGCAGCTTGCGACTGGCCCGACACAGGATCTGAAATGAACAGGCTGCGCAGGCGAGCGGCAGCAGCTCGTTGGACAGACGAACAGCCACAGCAATGGAGTACGGCGTGGTCGCACCCTTGAGACGGGCTGACCAGTATCCCGCTGGATGTTGCAGCAGCTGCGCCGCAGCCGATCGGCGATCGGGCCGTCCAGCTGCATTTGGCGGTGGGGGATGTGAGAGGGGCGGGTGGTCCGGCAGCAGCACCCAAAGCAGGCGGCGGCATCCAGCGATGGGAGGGTGTTCATTGGACCCGTCACAGACAGACGACCATCCACACAGCACATGCGGCTGATCATGCCCCAGAGGAGACGCGGATGCATCGGCCAGGCAGCGAAACTCCATCTGGCGAAAGAGTCGTGGGGGCGAGAAGGCCGGTGGGGGAAGGGACGGGAACGGAACAGAAGCAAGTCGCCAAGAACGAAGGGCGAGGGCAGCACCCACCCTCGGCCGGGGCCAGGCCCCAGAAGGCAGCTGGCAGGCGGATCGAAGCAGACAGGCGGGTCGATAGAAGCAAGAAGTCGATGCATCGGAGCCATGGACAAGGAATAGACCGCTGCGCGGCTGTTGGACATGCACATCGAATGACCCGGCGCGAGATGGGCCAGACGCGCCGACAAGGCGGCCCGGGGCGTGACCGCGCACGGCGCGGCGAACGTGACCGCAGCGTGACACAGCGCCTCCGCACCCGTCACGAGACGGTCACGCGGCGGTCCCACGCGCCGACGCGGTCGCCCTTTGGGTCCTCTGCTGAGCCTGTGTTGTGCTGCGCTGTTGTTTCTGCTGCAAGGTCGATGATACTCGGCGATCCTGATGCCATGCTCATGGTGTGCTCATGGTGCTCATGGTGTGCTCATGGTGTGCTCATGCTATGTTCATGCTGCTGATGGGGTGCTCAGGTACTGCCCATGCGCCTCGGCCTGTGTCGCGACCCTTGCTCGGGTTGCCTCCCGCCGCCATGGTGTCCAGTCCATGTGTTCTCCTTGTCCCGCGCATTCTCTTTCCTGCCCTTGTCTGGTCTGTTCCAATTCTTGCTCGCCTCTCTTTGCCGCCGCACATTCTCTTCCCGCTCTTTCGCTGGCATTGCTGTTCGTGGCCGACTTGTGGCTCCTGCCCTGACTGCCCTGGCCTCCCTGGCCGCCCTGGTCGCCTGGGTGGCGCGCTCGGGCACCTCTCCTTCTGTCCTTCTTTCTGTCTTGCTGTCCTTCTGTTCTGCTGTCCTTCTGTTCGGTTGTGTTCTGTTCTGCTGGCCGTCCCGGGCATCGTTCACCCCGTCCCGTGTTCTGCCACGCCTCCTTCGCAGTCGCACCCGCACGCCTGTGTTCTTTCCGTCCAATGCATCTCTGGTCGCGTGGGCTGTGGGGTCCCTCTGCCGCCTTCGGGTATATATGCCGGCTCCCAGCCCGGCCCTTCTTGCTCCCCACCAGAAGTGACCTCTCCACCTCGGGCCATCCCCCCTCCCTCTGGACCTCTTGATCTTGGAGTGCCGCCCTCTCCCTCCGCCATGCTCGTCTCCTCCTCCTCCACCGTCCTCGCTGCCACCGCCCTCGCTGCTGGTGCCGTGGTTGCCGCCAGCCCCCTCGCTGCCCGCGGCAACTTCTCTCCCCAGCGCATCATCGGCTACTACGAGTCGTGGTACTACTACGACAACAACAACCTTCCCTGGCAGGTGCGAACACAGCGATTGCTCTTGGTCCGCATGCTGTGACGGTGATGTCGCTTGGAAACTCACTCCCTTGTCTGGCTTTGCTCGCTGCAGTTCACCGCCAAGGCCACCGCCTCGTACACCCACATCAACTGTGAGTATTCGGCCTCACGACTCAGTCTACCCCCATCGATGCGGCCACCATTTTGGTAGCACGTTGATCTGCGTCGCCGATACTAATTCACTGTTCCTGATCGACAGACGCCTTTGCCACTGTCGCCTACCACACTCCCACCGACCAGTACTATGGTATCTATCGCGCCCTCGGCCCAGTCTCTTGTTGTTACCATTTTGTCCGACACTGAACGTCAGAGCAGTCTCAACTTACGCTGCCTTTCTCCCATCCGCTGCCGCTCAGTCGATTTCACCGACACCTGGGCTGACTACGTAAGGCAACTTGCGGAGGATTCTTGTGCATTCTTGTGCATGCCCGGCTCTGATTTGTGGCGCCCATGCTCGTCCACTCACACGAGTTTCTGTACAATCTACAGGAGGACTGTGTCGACAGCACCTGCCCCAGCCAGTGCATTGCCATTCCTCCCTCGAAGCAGTGCAACAAGTCCGGCAACATTGCCATGGTTCCCTACAGTGAGTTCTTGCGTCGCCTTGAGCCTGAACCGAACCACCTTCTGCTTACTGGCGACATACTCACAATTTCCGTCGCCATCCAGTCGGCTACAACACCTCTTGCCCCGCTACTTCGTGCTGGAACCCCTCTGAAGCCCCTGGCTCTCCTCGCAGCCCCCCTTGTGAGGCTGTCTTGACTGCCGTAAGTGAATTGTCGACCATGACAGCCATGCCAGTGGCTCATGAGCTCGACCGCAGCAACCCAGATCCGCGGCAACGATAGCAGTGACAACCCCAGTACTCCGAATGCTTTGATTAATCGCTCTGCAACAAATCTCTCGTCGCTCGCGCTGCTGTTCCATCTATCAACACAACTGCCCACGGTGCTCCATCAGACCAACACCCAGTACGACTCCACCTCTAAGAACGCCTACATCTGCGGCAACTACGCCTATGTGTGAGTACCACGCTGCCCTTCCCCACTCTATTTCTTCAAGCCATATCGCTCAGGAATCTCTCTGCTTTCGTCGCATTCGTTTTGCGAGCTGAGCTCCGCTTACCAATCTATCGACCGACTTGCGACAGCCTCAACAAGGTCAAGCCCACCATGCCCAACACCAAGTTCCTGATCTCCGTTGGTGGTTGGTACGACTCCAACCTGTTCTCGGCTGCCACCGAGGACAAGTACATCGATGCCTTTGTTACCAGCGTTGTCAAATACGTCCAGTTCTTTGGCTTTGACGGTGTCGATTTCGACTGGGAGTACCCCGGATGGTAAGCACTGTTCCTTGGGACCTGCAGCAGCAGCAGCAGCAGCAGCGTGCCATTCCCTGTCCCAGATTTGCCCATTATATGTCAATGTATAGCGCACCAAGCGGTTGATGTTTTCTGACGGAGCACCGTTGCGCTTTCCCAACTTACGACCACAGGGAACACGGCGGTGAGGCTGTTACCAGCACTGCCCCTGCTGCTGCTGGCAACGGCGATACCACCTACGACTGCTCCAAGACCACCTGTGTCTACCCCAACCGCAACAATGACAAGACCAAGTTCAACAACCTGCTCACCAAGGTCCGCGCCGCCTTTACCGCTGCCGGCAAGACTCCCTCTGGCAGCGACTACCTGATCACCATCGCCGCCCCCGCTGGTACCGACAAGATGGACAAGCTCGATATGGCCACCATTTGCTCTGCCGTCGACACCGTCAACGTAAGTGCGCCCCATCGCTTTGGACCGTCCAAGTCCACTTCATCTGCCTGAGAGGTGTGAGCGTTGATCGGGTGAGCAGCCCAGCTTGCTGTCCTCTAACAACGTGTCATCGCCCTCCACCTCGCTTTGCTTTGTCCATGCGACGCATTTGCTCTAGATCATGACCTATGATATCCACGGTGAATGGGAGACCCTCACCAACCACCAGGCCGCCATGTTCGATGGTAAGTTGGCGTGGCAAGTCCCTGTAGCTCATCTAACGCGGCCTGCAGCCGCCGTTCTGGCCATGCTGGATGAGTCCAGACAGCGTCTAAGAAGCTTCATTTTCGCCAACAGACACCCCTCCCACCAACCCTCCCAACCCCATCGCTCCCACCTCGGTCGAAATTGCCGTCAACACCTGGCTGACTGGCTGCCCTGCCAGCAAGGTCGTCGTTGGTGTTCCTTTCTACGGCCACAAGTGGTATGTTTTGGATTCGTTCTCACATCTCCGCCCCCCCCTCTTCGAGACATGGCAAAGTGACAAATGATTTTCTCTGTCTCTGACCTGCCACGATGTCGCCCTTCCACAGGGTCCAAGTCCCTGCCGGCAGCAACTTTGGTCTCTTCCAGAACGGCACCGCCCCCACTGATGCCGCCGGTGGCAGCATCAACTACAACGTGATCATGGCCGACACCACCCTGACTACCCACTGGGATCCTGTTGCTCAGGCCAGCTGGGCTTACAGTTCGACTGAGTCGACCTTTTACTCGTACGATACTCCCGAGGCTCTCAACAACAAGGCTGCCTACGTCGCCAACAACAACCTTGGTGGCTTCATGGTATGCGCGTGGCTCGGTGCTGGCTCCTGGCTGCAGCATTTGCTTGTCATTTGATTCGACGGATGCGCCGAGTGGGGGAAGCCGGGCTGATCCGGCCGATTCAAATCCATTGGATTGCGTCGCTATTCTGACACCGAAAATGGCATGTTCATCTTGCAGGTCTGGCCCATCGATGGTGACAGCAATGACGCTCTGATTAGCGCCCTGTTCACTTCCAGCCTTGCACCCAGCGCCACCCCTTCGTCGACCACCGGTGCCCCCACCACTACCACTACCACTACCACTACCACTACTCCTTCCAAGACCACTACTACCACCACTCCCACCACCACCACCACTACTACTACCACCACTACTACTTCTCCCGTCAAGACCACCACCACCACCACCAAGACTTCCAAGTCTTCCACTACCAAGTCGCCTTCCAAGTCCTCCACCACCACCACCACCACTCCTGCCAAGACCACCACTACTACTACTTCGGCCTCGCCCTCTCCCACCGGCTCTCTCCCCAGCCCCGGTAGCCCCTGTACCTCTGGCTATGCTTGCGGTTCTGGCAACAGCATCTTGGTTTGCTCTGCCGGCACCTACGTCTCCATCGGCACGTGTCCCTCGACCCTCCAGTGCCTCCCCGGCTCCTTCGTTTGCGGCCTGGCTTAAACAAGTCTCTCCTTCACCCGCATGCTACCCGTAGTTCCGACATCCCCTCTTGACTCTTCTATGGATTTACTTGCAGCTGCGGAAAGCTCATCGTCCTTGATGGGATCCCTACTGCCCTCACTTCCTCGTTTTCCCACCCCTCTTCCCTTCTTATCTCCGTGTATTGGGTCCGGACCTTGTCTCCTGTTAATATCGTCGCAAACCCTCTCCTCAAACTCGCCCCCCCTCCCTTACAGCGTTCCCAAAACGAAATGGGACACCTCGTTTTGAGCAGGAGCTGAATACACACTCCCACACCAAGACATTGTGCCGGTCGATCATTGCCACATGAGATCGGGGGTGTATTCAAGGCGGACATAATCACACGGCCCGTCCGCTGGGGCCTCCGATGCCAGAGAGAGAGGGACACTTTCCCGTTTCGTTATGGATTTGACTGACTGTGTATTGACAGCGCAGGCCTAGAACTGACTAACCAATGCCAGCACAGCTCTGTCGGCGTCGATATCGTCGTCCGCCACAGGCCCCACCTGCACAGCCTCGTGGTGCGAGACCATTCGCAGCCGCTCCATTTGCTTGACGACTTCGGCACGCCGCCAGGTCGCCGTCATGAAGCTGGCGTAGCTCCACGACAGATGACGGGCGCCGCGCATTGCGCCGTGGTGGCGGTCAATCTGCTCAGACATGGATCCGTCTGTTGGGGTGTGAAAGCGAACCCGGCGCAGGAAGGCATCGCCGGCGGCGCTGAGGTTGCCGACTATAGACGTGAACAGCTCGGGATACTGCCGGTGTCTGAGCAGGCCTCCGGAGGCGACCGGGAACGACCCCGACGGCATGCCGAGGATCTCTTCAAGCACAGGGATCAGCGGCTCGGTGACCTTGATGTGCGATTTGCTGGCCCACTTGGCGGAGCAGTAGTACAGCAGCTCGGCGTAGCCGCAGGTGCCGAGGACCCACGGATTGCCGCCCGTCATGCTGTCGCCGTCATAGACGTCTTCGATGTACCGACCGATGGCGGGGCCCATGAGTCCGCCGGTGAGATCGCGGCGGACAGCGTTGATGGGGTAAAGCCGCTGCATGGCATGCATCATCTCCAGAGCCGTGATCAGCACTTCGCCGCTGCAGGGATACATGTACTCGTCGCCCTCGATCTGGCCCTGGATCGATGCAAGGATAACGGCGAGATCCAATCCAGCCTTGCCCTTATTGTCGCCGCGCCAGTCGAGAGTCTCGATAAGTTGCTGGCGGAAGGGACTCCAGTGCTCGCGCAGACTGACTTCGACGCTGCGGGCATGGTGATAGTACCACTTGGCAGCCCCCTCGTCGTTCATCAGGCGGGCAAATCGCCAGCCATACTCAAGCGCCGCTCGTTGGACGGCCTTGGTGTGGAAGTGGTGCCCATCGACCTCTTCCCAGAGCTCGAAGCCGTGATGGGGCCAGGACTGCGCGACATACTCCAGGTCCCGCTTGAGCGGGCTCGAAGAAGGGTAGTTGCTGTCGTAAATGAACTCTCGGATCTTGTCGGGTGAATGGTCCTTGTCGAGATAGGCGACGGCGAAGCGGATGAAGACGAGAGCACGAAGGGCTGGACCGTCGTTCTGCGGACGGCCCCAGTCACCGGCAAAGGGTCGCCCGTCCTGCGAATCCGGAGGAAGGCAACGCCGATCGAGGCCCAAGCAGGGATCAGGATCGGTGGGCGAGCAACCAGCAACCAGCAACCAGCAACCAGCAACCAGCAACCAGCAACCAGCAACCAGCAACCAGCAACCAGCAGCAGATCGCCACCAATGGCATCCAGGGCCTTTCCCCGCATTGCTCTCGCTGCCAACCACAGGACCCATGAAGGGAGGACAAGGCAGTCGGACTTACCACATGAAACTTGGGCTCGCCGAGGCCGCCGCTTCGGTTGGGCACTTCCTGCAGTCGCTTGGAAAAATGCACAAAGCTCCAAATCAGCGACTCGTAGCGGGCCTCTTCCGGCGACCCGGGTTTCGCTTGGCGATAGAGGCTCACGACGACGTCCATGACCAGGGCCGAGTCCCGGATCCAGGTGTAGAAGTAGTCGGGGTGCGATCGCGACGGCGAAGCAATGACGGAGCCATTGTTGAAGATGTTTTGCAGTAGACGGTCGTGGGATATGTTGTATTGCTGCTTGATCCATGGGGCCAGCGTTGCGTCGAGCTCAGGACCAGGGATCGGGAAGAGACTGGCGAGGGCCGGGCCGACAAGGCCAACCAGGAGCAGAAGCAGCCAGCGCAGGGCGATCGGGCGGGTGAGGCGGATCGGCATGCGAGTCGGCATCACGATGGGTACAGGTTGCTATCGCCGACGACGAGGAGAAGAGGACAGCGCCGCAGATAGATGGGTGCAGAAGGCATGCCAAGGGCGAAGAATGAGCGGCTTTTATCTCGCGAGTCAACCAGGGTCATTTCGATCACCAGGGAGACAGCGGGATGTCCGACTGCATCCCTGTCCGCACAGAAGCCTCGATTGGTGCGGCTCCCGGATAGGGGACCCAGCGGGCGGCCTATCGATACGGCAAGGATGCAGTCAACCGAGTGTATTGTCGACGGCGGACGAAATCGCATGTGGATGTGTATTGCCCGGAGCAAGACCTCGACGAGACACCCTTCCCAACATCACCGGGGTGGCCCCCCATTCAGGCCGACAGAGAGATCCAGGAACGAGATGTTGCCATGATCGACGACGGCGACTTTGAGCTCTGCTGTCTCCGGAAGCGCACTGGCCAATTCCTGAATGTCCTGCATCGAAAAGAGCGCATCGGCGACACTGTTTGGCAGGACCCATGCGCCGGCCGATTAGCATCCCATCCGCCGGATCCCCCCCCCAGAGGAGATATGCGGCCTGGCTGTCTTACTTTACGACGGCAATGTGAAAGTGCGGGCTGCCCATGTTGGACTTTTTGAATCCCGGGTTGGGCTTCCAAACAACAAAGTCCGCTGCTTTCGGTGCTGGGCGGCTGGTCCATCGATCGAGGCGGTCGATGATCCTGATCCGGTCGAAAACCTGGTCTGTCGAGTCGTTTGAGACGATGGCATTGCTGCGACAGTCCTTGATCCAGCCTCAGCGACACTAACGCCCTGGCCGAGATCGCCAAAGGAATCCGCTGCGCTACTTGAGGTTGCTCTTGCACATACCATATGATTTTAGCGAGCCCGGCAGGACCAGCGGCCGACAGGGCAATCGCAGTCCGGCCATGCGAAAAAATCGATAGCATGTCGAGACGACAAGATCCTGGTGCCCTGTGGGGTTGAGCAAACGCCGTTAGACATCATCGGCTCTTTGGAGGCTGCCCGATAGGCGTTCAGAGAGCCGACAAGCCAGATTGATGCACGATGGGATGCATCATGGTGGCCGAGCATCGATTTAGGACGATACCAACACATCCACCAATTCAACAATATGCTTGACAGAGCCCTCGGACGGGCTGGTGACGAGGGCAGAGTCGACGCTGGTGGGGATGGGCTGCACTGGGAGCGGCGGAAGACTATGTATCCCAGCCGCCGAAGATAAGCATAGACCTGGAGCCAGACGAGCGAGCGGGCGATGATGCTTTAGTTATGCCGGTGTGTCGCCGCCGATCAAACACACCGACGTGCGTTTGACAACTCGCCATCGAAACCCACCAAATACTGATCTGTGGTGATGGTCTTGTCGCTGTCGCCCAAAAGAAGGTACCATGCGTGCTGAATCGAGATCCCGACGCCGTGGTGCTTGATCTTGAGAAACCCACGTTCGGCCAACCACAGAGCCTCCTCGGGATTGAGATAGAGCTGTCCACGGATCGTCTGCCCCATGGTGCGGAACAGGGTTCCTTTATTGTTTGGAACATGAGTGAGCTTGGTATCTGGGCAAAGAGTGCCTTCGGCGATCTGTTTGCTGGTGTCATCGAGCGGGACGGACGGCCCGGCGTCCAAGTCAGTGTCTCAGCTCTCATAAAATCTAGATGATACCGCCGATATGATCAAGGTCGACGAAATATGAGTCGGGGCGGCTTAGACTCGATGGTGTGAGCCCAAAGGGCCTGACAACCTCGATTCGAGGCTCACTTTGTTGTGTTGCGTTCTTCGGCGAGGACAGTAGCCAGGGCATGGCGGGACTGCTCCAGCGCCGCCGCCTGCTCGAGTGACGACGGGTCTGGGGCTCCGTCTTTTGGTCGACGGATGGATGCCAGTTGATGTCTGGACAAGGGTTGGGGATCAGCAGCAGCGACAGCATGCGATGGGGCGGGGGACTCGGCATGCTGGACCGATGCGACAACATTGCAACGGGGATGTGCGTGGTGGATCACTCACGATCTGGATGCTAGCAGATCGGCATAGTCTCTGGCCTCGCCATCGTCATCGGCGGTTTGATTGGGTTGGCTCATTGCGACAGATAGGACGATCTCGCTGCTTCGGATCTGGCCGGGCTGGCTGCTTTTGGGGCCTCAGAGGCGGCGCAGATCGGATCAGACAAACAGAGACGAGCCGAGCCGCTTGACATTTGCTTCTCCCTCCCCGGGCGAGGCAGGACGCACCGCATACTGGATCCTGCATGCGCCCATGATTCTCGATGGTCGCCAACCGCAGTTTTGTTTGACCTGCAAGAGCCCGCCCATCTTCAAAGCACCAGCACACCTCACCACCGTCCTGGACTGACTCCGTGGGGCAAACACCTAGGAAGATGAATTGATGCCTGGTCGAGTGGGTATGGTTCTCTTGCCGTGTTTCCGCGAGCGCTCAGTCATGGGTGTTCTGCTCGGTTTGTTTGCGCTGCAAGGATGGTCATCCAAGCAGCCACCAACCACCATGGAACCTGCTGATGTGGGCCCGAATGAGACGACTGCTCGTGGATCGAATGGCATGGACCCCACCCGAAGCACAGCAGCGACGGCAGCGGCAATGCCCCGGCAAGTGCCTTCGGCACCGCAAGCGAGCCGGGTGCTGCCTTCCGTCTCCTTCGACTTGGTCACCGTTCTCCTGGCCTCGTTTGCACGCCTTGGTGTCGAAAGTCCTTCCGCCTCTTTCATCCCACCTCTCCGCCATGCTCAGAGCCTTCTCCTGCTGTTTCGGAGGACTCGCAACCCCACCCAAGGACCGAGATGTCTCCCCGCAGACCCCTGTCTCCCAACAGCCAACGTTTCGTCCTCAGCCCGATCCCTTTGGCCCCTGGCTCCATCCCGTCGAGTGCCTCGTCAACACCGCTCGCGCTGAACCCGATGCCCTCCTGATCAACACCTACGAGAACGGCGACTCGGAGCGCTTCAGCTATCTCCAGGTGTGGAGAAGAGCTTACTTGATCGCCCAGGCCCTCAAGGCGCTTCCTGGCTGGAGCGACGACGGCCACGACGTCATCGGCACATTCTGCGAGGCTGAAGCCAGCTGGGTGATCTACTCGTTCGCCGTGTGGATGCTGGGCAAGTGAGTATCCGCTATTGGTGTGGTGTGATGTTGTGATGTGAGTTGTGAACATCAATTCAAGCAAGGGACACGTTCAACCCTTGTTCTGTACCATGACAAGGGTCGAGTCTCACCTGTCTCTTGAACTCCATCCAGGAAAACACTCAACTTTGCCCTCAACCTGCCTCCTGCAGCCCGCAAGGCCCTGTGCGAGAGGTATGTCCCTGCCATGTTGTCGTGAGGATGAGCAGGCTGGTCCGGGGTTTGAATCGGGCCAGCTATGCCCGATCCCGATCTGACACTCACACCACCATCAACCGACAGACATGCAATCAAGTACATTCTCTACCACCATACCAAGCCAGGCCGTACCGAGGGTGTGACCCTGGTCGATGCCGCCGCCTTCCCGCCGCTGGACGACATTCCACCCCCGTCTCTTGAAGTCTGCGAGCCTCTCGATGAGTTTGTGACCTTTCAGTGCACCTCCGGAACGACAGGTATGTGACCCAGGAGGTGCGAATTGTGGAAGCTTAAGGTGCACAACTCGATGATTGAAGGACATGGAGCAGTGGCGATGTGATGATGGGCCAGAATGACTTGCTCTGACGATCGTGTGCTGTCCACAACACCGACTCCTGATCAATCCCAGGCGTCCCCAAGTCGTGAGTGGCCCAACGATGACTATTGCATATGACATGAGATATGCAACCGCTCCGTAATAACCTTCAAACCACCGATGTGATCGCTTCAGATACAAGTTCTCTCATACCGGTGCCATCGCGATTCGGAGTGGTCTGAGTATCATGAGCATTTGCGTTGGGCTTTGTCAGGTATGGCCGTAACATCTGAGAGCAAGATGAACTTGGGGAAAGACTCCATCGCAACTAAGCCCGTGGCCATCAGCTTCCTTCTTTCGCTGCAACGATGACTCTCCTCCTGAGCACCTTCAACTTGAAGGGCTCTGTTTGGCTGCCCGAACCTACTCCGAACACTGCCGAAAGAATAAAGAGCATCATCCAGATGTTGGATGATGGAGTGTGGTACATATATATGGTACGTATTGAGCATATTCCGCATTCCTGTTGATTGTCTGTGTGCTGAAAAGCAATGTTGCCTGTTGTGTCTCCTCCCAGACTCCCTCCTTCATGAAGATGGTCGTCCGTGTGGCCCAGTCGCAGAATCCCGATGTTAAGTGGCCGATTGCCAAGAAAATCGGCCTGGGTTCCGAGCTCGTACCGCCGAGTACTGTTCAGAGCGCACGGCAGATGTTTCCACATGCCGAGTTTCGAATGGTATATGGATCGAGTGAGGTACGTGAAAGGCGGCGAATCAAGGCTGGCATGGCGTTCCTCAATCAAAGATGGGTTCTCACCCCACCTTGAACCCAGTCACTCCTCATCGGTGCGACTTCTGTTTTCAGTCTTCCAGCCGACAATAGTCTTGCTCCCAACAAGCTGGTCTACAAGCTCATGAGACCCGGTGTGAGATGCCTCCTCTTTGACGAGGAGGGCAATGTCGTCGACCAACACCAAACTAAGGAAGGAGTCCTCGTCTTTGCCGTCGACAAGGACCATCCCATCAAGAACCACCCCAACTTTGTCAATGCAAATCCGAATGACAAACTCGCCTCGTTCGGCTTCCTCGAGGATGGCTCGCCCCGAGTCTGCACCATGGACTGGGTCGAGATGGTTGGCGAGAAAGAGTTCACTGTGATTGGAAGGTGAGTCGATGGCTGGGTGTTGCATCTCTCATTGATGGCGAATGCACATCTGGCATCCTGAGGACACATCCCACTCCTGCATCCCGAGTACTCACGCCATCCATTCCCTCACTTCACACCATCACTCCAGATTCGACCAGAAGATCAAGGTCAACGGCGTCTATGTCGACCTCAACGCCCTCGAGGAGCTGGCCAACGAAAACATGTCCAAGGTCATCTCGGACTGCGCCTTCATCCAGACCTCCGAGAAGAAGATCGTGATGCTCTTTGTCCGCAGAAGCGGCTCTGAGGTCAACCCCACTCCTGCCGAGCTTCTGCAGCTGACCGAGGACATGTTTGCGCTGACAAACGTCGCCAAGTTCCCGATCCACAACTGCTTCGAGCTCGACGAGTTCCCCTTCAACGACTCGGGCAAGCGCGACCTCAAGAAGCTCAGGCGCATCGCCGAGAATGTCGATCAGTTCGGCAAGTCGGTCGAGTACCCTCGTTTGAAACTCGCCAACACTCCCCTGTCCCGCACTGCCGCCAAGATATCCACACTTGGCAGCCAGATCCTCGACAACCCCGTCCTCGACGGCCGCAACTACTACATCGGCGGCGTCGGCTTTGACTCGCTGAGTGTCGGCCGTCTGTCCCTCGCCATCAAGGACGAGTTCAATGTCGAGGTCTCGCCGATGATCTTGCTGTCGAACGGAATGACACCGACTGATGTCGCCCAGCTGGTTGTCGACATCCTCGACGACAGACCGATGATTCCCCCGACCGTCCATCTGGCTGCCGAGGCCGTCAAGCTCGACGATGCGAGTGTGACGGCCGAGGGTCTCCCTCCGTTTGTCTATCCCAAGGACCCTCGCGGCATCGTCCTGACCGGTGCCACTGGCTTCCTCGGTGCCTTCCTGGTCTTTGAGCTGGCACACAAGTTCCCTCGGGCCAAGATCTACTGCCTCGTGCGGGCTCCGACCGAGCAGGTGGCTGTCGAGCGCATCATCAGCACGGCTCAGAAGTTGGTCCTCGATCCGAGCCAGAGAGCCTTCCTTGACCACAGCCTCAAGTCTCGACTCGTTGGACTGTGCGGCAACCTGTCGCAGGACAAGTGGGGACTCTCGGACGAGCGATGGAAGGAGATCAGCGAGGAGACCGACACGATTGTCCACAACGGCGCCGAGGTCCACTGGCTGTTTGACTATGACAGACTCAGGGGACCCAATGTCCTCAGTACGGCGACGGCCCTGAGACTGGCCACAACCCACCACCTGAAGCCGCTGCACTACATCTCGACCATCGGTACGATCCCGATGGCCAAGAAGGCAGACAAGCCGCTCGAGGAGACGATCTACTCGGCCTGGAACATCTCTGGCGGGTATTCGCAGACCAAGTGGGTCTCTGAGCAGCTGGTCAACAAGGCACGATCGAGGGGAGTACCTGCGACGATCATTCGTCCAGCCGTCATTGCCGGCGACAGCCAGTACGGAGGTGAGTCGAATGTGATGTGGTGTGGTGTGGTGTGGTGTGGTGTGGTGTGGTGTGGTGTGGTGTGGTGTGGTGTGGTGTGGTGTGGTGTGGTGTGGTGTGGTGTGGTGTGGTGTGGTGTGGTGTGGTGTGGTGTGGTGTGGTGTGGTGTGGTGTAGATGTCTCAATCGCCACATGGATTGACCATGAATCGATGGTCTCGATTGCCGAGTGCCACTCACCCACCAATTGACACCAACTGACACCTTCACACCCTCCATTGCTCCAGTGTCCAACTCTGATGACTACATCTGGCGATATGTCAAGGGATGCATCCAACTTGGTGTTGCTCCCTCGCACGCCACTCTTGTCACGATGACCATGGATCCCGTCGACCATGTTGCCAAGGTGGTTGCCGAGATTGCCGGCTCGGAGGAGTCCCTGTCCAAGTTTGTGTTCCACATCAGCGACTCGGAGCACAGGTGAGGAATGTGTGGTGTGATATGGTGTGATATGTTGTGGTGTGGATGGTGGATCCTGACTCTGATTACTCACTCACTCACTCACTCACTCACTCACTCGCCACAGTGTCCTCACTGAGACCCGGCTGTTTGAGATTGTCAGGAACCATGGCTGGCCGATCCTGTTCGAGACCCGCGAGCAGTTCAAAGAGGCATTCCACTCCCACCCCGCCGTCGAGAGCAACGCCCTGTTCCCGCTCATGCACATCATGATGGACATGTCCTTCAAGATCGACAACGCCAACACCCGCTCGATCTACCCGACTCCCTGTCCCTCGCTGGAGGAGGTTGTCGAGAAGTGTCTCAACTATCTGCACCACGTTCGCTTCTTGGGCGATCCCCTGGACCCGTCTTCGTCCTTCAAGATCAAGTATCCCGAGACCAGCGCGGCCACCCGCACCGGCCGCAGCTGATTGCATCTGAGCTTTGTAAATTGTGGTTGATGAATGTGGCATATATTAGAGCGCATCAAGCTGGTCGATGCAAATGTGGTGTCGTCGCGGTTCGCCACCGTTTTGTGATATTGACGGTCATAACTTGCTCTCATATATGTGGCAAGGCACAACTGGGGCAACGATGATGGTGCCGATTCATTGCCTTTACATTGATGAGCGCCCAACGCTCGTGCTGAACACTGAAACAAACAGTGTGTTCGGTTCTTTTATGGAGTTGAGGCTAAACAGCCATCGCTTCGATTTTTTGAATGTTTTTGAGCACTCTTACAACCGCCGGATGATCGTCTCGACCGTACACTTTCATGTAGATAGTGAATGCTTCATTATAGTGTTTCAAAGCGTCGGCCTTTTGTCCCTTCGCCTTCATCACGAGCCCAATATTATTGATAGCTCCGGCCACGTCTGGATGCTCGCTAGTGCCATAGAGTTTGATATAGATCTCGAGTGCATTTTGGAAATGTTGGAGAGCTTCGTCATTGTGTTTCTGCTGGGCAGTTATTGCTCCCATGTCGTTGAAGGCGGAAGCAACTTCTATATGCTCGCGTGTGCCGAATACGCTGAGGCGAATATCTAGCATCTCTTTGGCAAGCTGGAGAGCGTCATCAAGACGGCCTTGGAATCTTGCTATCGAACTGATGTGCTCGAGTGTTTGGGCGATATCGGGGTGCTCACGAGTACCCAAAATCTTGAATTGGATAGAGAGGGCCTCTTGATACATTTCAAGTGCTTGATCATAATGTCTCTGATCCTTTGCAATCAGCCCAATGTTATTAATGGTCCCTACAATATCAATATGATCACGAGTTCCATAAACTTGTGTCATGATATCGATAGATTCCTGGAAGTAGACCAGTGCTTCATCCAGGCGTCCTTGGTCATATTCAAGCAGGCCCAAATCGTTGAGAACTGCGGCGATTTCCGGATGCTGGCGCATTCCATAGACTTTGACCATGATTTCAAGTGCCTCTTGATAGTAATTATGGGCATCGCCCAATTGTCCTCGAGCGCTCGCCAGCAGACCCAAGCTTCGAAGGACTCCTGCTATCAAAAAATGATCCCGGGAATGGTAGGCTTTGGTGTAGATGGCGAGAGATTCCTCATAGTGCTTGAGGGCGGTGTCGAAGTGACTGAGTTCATATTCCAGACTTCCGATTGCGCTCAAAGTTGAGGCAACAGCTGGATGATCACGGGTAGCAAAAGTCTTGACCATTATCTGGAGGGCTTCGTGATGCAGCTCGAGAGCATCGCTCAAGCGCCCTTGATCGCTTGCCAAATGGCCAATATTATTGAGGATTTGAGCAACATCGGGATGCTCGCGAGTACCGAAGAGTTTGACGCTGATATCGAGGGAGTCTTCATAGTATTTGAGGGCGGCGTCGAAGTGTCCAAGTTCCCGTTTCACACCCCCAATACTCGTCAGAACGGCGGCAACGTCGGGATGCTCTCGAGTACCAAAAGCCTTGACCATTATCTGGAGGGCTTCGTGATACAGCTCGAGAGCATCGCTCAAGCGCCCTTGATGGCAGGCGAGCATTCCCAGGTTGGTGATGGTTTGAGCAGCCTCTGGAATTTCGCGCTTTCCAAACACCTTGACCAAGACCTGCAGTGACTCTTCATAATATTGAAGAGCCTCTTCCACATTTCCTAGATCGCCTTCCACCGCCCCGATGTTGTTCAAGGTCGCGGAGATATCGGGATGCTCTCGAGAACCGTAAACCTTGATCATTGTTTGGAGGGCTTCACGATGCAGCTCGAGGGCATCCTCCAAGTGACCTTGCTGGCTCTTGAGCATCCCGACGCTGTTGATGGTTCTAGCGATGTCGATATGCTCACGGGTTCCACGGAGCTTGATAGTGGCGTCAAGATCTTCGAAGAGATACTTTGAGGCAGTAGTCAGGTCGGCCTGTTGTAGCGCGACATTCCCCAAACCATTGAGGATGGGAATAACGTTCTCGTGGGCTCGAGATCCGTAGAAATTGACAGTCTTATCCAGAGCTTGATTGAATTTTTCCATAGCTTTTTTGAGCAGCGGTCGATGTTGAGCGAGCCTTGCAGCCTGAAACTCGACTCGACCATGCAGTTGCTTGGTGTAAACCTCTGGCACTGTATATTCGGCGTATTGATCGAGATGCTCCGCAAATGATTGTGCCTTGATATCCATCGACTCGGCTAACTCGAGCAACACTTCACCAGTTGCATCTTCTATTCCTTCGGCATCCAGTTCATTGTGTGCCTGGACATACTCTCGAGCCACTTGCTGGGTGAGCGAGTGGGTCGAGTACTGTCCCTCGGCTCCACTTCGGAGGAGACCACTCTGGACCATCATCTTGATCAGATCGGTCACTGTGGACAGGAAACTGATCAATTCCATGCATCCATGCACTGGCACCATTGATTGCACTTCGATTCAATCCCGACTCACCTTCGGTCTTGAGCTCCATCTTCTGTGCAATCGCCTTGATCAACTCGAACTGGATGTTGGTCGGCGCCACCAGACTGAGGGCACCGAACAGCCTGGCTGCCTCGATGCCCTCATCCCCTCGCCTCATCAGCGAGTCCAGCGACAGATCCACAATCACCTTGAGCGACGACCGCGTGTCGTCATCGCCATCCTGCAGCTCCAATGCTCCTGCAAACGTGGCCTCGAGCACCAACAGGGGAGTGTCGTAGTTCTCGGCAAACGTCATGAACGTCTGGATGACGAGTGGATATCCACTGATCCTGGCCACGATGCTGTCGAGGGATTTCCTGGCCTCGTCCGACACAAGTCGCTGGACAATCATTGGCGACGACGACATGATATAGTCGAGTGTAGTTTTGTCGTCCCAGTTGCCGAGACGGAGCAGATCGTGCTGGAAGCTCGGTGCCTTGGTCTCGAGAGCACTGACGAATGCACCAGGAGGCAGCGAGGCCAGCCGGGTCGTCATCACCACATCGCCGCCGAACCCGACCGACTTGGAGTGCTCAAACACAGAGTCGACCACGTTGATGTCATCGACATTGTCGAGCACCAGGAGATAGCCGTGAGTGTTGGCGAGGAACCTCGAGGCATGTTCCTTGATCACATCGGGCTTGATACCAGGGAACATGTCGATGAGTCCATCGAGGGCAGTCGACTCAGTCGAGCAGTTGATCCAGAAGACCTGGCGGTACTGTGGCTTGATGCCGATGGTCTCGGCCTTGATGGCGAGGAGGTCTTCCTTGTTGCTCGCATTCATAATGCCCATCATGAAGAACAGGATCTGGACAGCCAGGACGGACTTACCCATGCCACCCATGCCAGAGATGACGGCACGGCCAGTCAGGGTGAGCTGCTTGAGCAGGGTGTCGAGGTGGGCGGGGTCGAATCGGAACTTGGAATCGCAAAAGTATTTGCGATGGATGGCCGTAATGAGATCCATGTTGGGTGGGATGGGATGGACGAGGTTGAGGAGGCGGTAGACTCGCTTGTGCATCTGGTCGGGACGGAAGCCAAAGGACTGGATCTGGTTCACTCTGCCGAGGATCTGCTTGAGGGGGGCAAAGGCAGGGTCGTCGGGGAGGGACACCATGTACGGTAGGAAGGGAGTGAAGTCATCGACACCATCCTTGGTCTCCTTGGTGGCGATTCCGAGGGGAAGGACAGGCAGGGAGCGTTTGGCATCCTTGAGATCGAGGGCGGTCTTGATTTCAAGGACTACATTGTCCTCTTGGCCATTCTTGGTCTTGTCCTTCATCATGTCCATCGAGGCCTTGCTGAGGAGCAGGAAGACGGCTTTGCTGGTGGGGAGGGCACTGATAGAACTGGCTGGAGGGTCGCTGGGATTGTTGAGGCAGTCGACATCGTGGAAGACGGAGAGGGGTTTGCCATATCGACGGAGGGCGACCGAGGTGAGCACCTCCTTCAGAGCCTGGACAGTGGCAGCATCAGTCTGGGCTTGGTATGAGAGGAACAGGTCGTGGTCGGTGCCGTGGGCAGGGCAGGAATAGAGCTGGTTGCTGGTGGCGGTCAGCATGGCTGGACGGGGTTGGAGGATGAGAGGCAGAAACCAAGGCAGCCAAGGGATGGTCTGTTGAGAGAAGAACAGGGCTTGGCGACGTCGAGCCCCCTACACCGAGCCAAGAGCGTAGACGACTCCCCCCAGCTACGAGCTCCCCATAATCAGCCCACGGGCAATCAAGGAGGCGATCATTACAACACCACGAAGGAAGGCCCCAGGGTCGGACAGGATCAAGATCGAACTGCTCCAGCCCAACGCATATAGAGTCTCGATATGGCTCTACTTCCTCATGGGAGCAGCCATCAAGGCGTCCGTGGTCCCAACTGAGTGGAGTACAGTGCTGATCCATCCCGTCTACAAGAACAAGGGATCGCCCCTCGACCCCGCAATGTACAGGCCGATTGGACTGACCCAGGTCTGCCGAAAGGTTGTCGAGCGAGCACTGCTGCCGTTGCTCAACCGAAAGCTCGGACTGATGGACATTGCCCAAGGTGGATTCCGGGCCGAGCGAGGCACCCTCGACCAGATCTTTGGCCTGGACACGCTCATCAAGGACCGCCAGCTGGCGGGCGAGGAGTACTCCCTGGTGTTCCTCGACATCAAGGCGGCCTACGACACTGTCTGGAGGGAGAAGCTCTGGGACAAGATTGAAGAGCGCACCCCATGTACGATCACCCTCAGGCTCTTGAAGGCCATGTTCGACGATGTGAAGATTCAAGTCGTTAGCAAGAGCCGTCGGTCCAATCCGGTCTGGCTGCAGAAGGGACTGATCCAAGGATCGGTGCTGAGCCCGCTGATGTTCAGCGTGTTCATCGACGACCTCCCTGGGAAACTCCGGGCAGACGATGGAACGACCCTAACCACCACCCGAGGACGAGCCGTCCAGGTCAACTCACTGTGGTTTGCCGACGATGGGGTGCTCATCTGCCGCCCCAACCAGACCCAGCGCCTCCTCGACATCTGCGAGGCCCACAGCATCGAGAATCGATACCAGTTCTCGCCCCCGAAGTGCGAGGTGATGTTCACCGAACAGCACCCAGAGAAGGATGCCAAGGTGCACCTATACGGCAAGGAGCTGCCAGTCGCCAAGGAGTTCCGGTATCTCGGAGCCATCGTCGACATCAACGGCTTCAGGATGGACCGCCAGATCCAGAACCTCACCCACAAGGCTAGAGGTGCCGCCGACAAGCTGGTGAAGCACGGAATGAGTCTGGGCCGATACTCGGCCAAGACGGTGACGAGGGTGTTCAAGACCTTCGTTCGGCCCATGCTCGAGTATGGACTGACCCTCGAAGTGCTCACGAAGCAGCAAGCCGTGACACTCAGACGAGCACAGATGCACTGTCTGACCCGACTCTTCAGAGTGGTGCGGAACACGTCCTACGGAGCGATGCACCTCGGATGCGGACTCATCACCCTGCCCAACCGCCTCAAGCAGCTGGCCCTCCAGAACCGAGCCGTCTGGGAAGACCGTCTGGACCACAACGACAAGATGGTCTCGATGGTGTTGAGATATTCCCGCATCCAGCCCAGCCTGATGGATGCATCCCTCGGCTCCCAGTTCTACCTCGACGAGTACTGGCGGCAGCTGATCGTGCTGAAAGAGCAGTGCCAGCCGGACTACCCGATGAAGGAGCTGTTCAGGAATGGCTACTACCAGCTCCCAGGGCCACCAGTCAAGCTGCAGATTCACATCGAGGACGCGCAAGGCTTCGACAGGTCAAAGGAACTGACCTCGGCCCGCACCGTGACGACGACCATGTCGGGACTGTGGGCCGAGCGAGGGCCCAAGAGAGATCGATACTATCACAACATGATGGTAAGATGGACCCTGGGTGCCTTCCCCGGACACCCGTATGGCCACTATCGGCTGTGTGTCTCCTGCACGAAGAGCCGAGGAGAGTTCGTCGCGATGTGCCAGACCCACACCCAGAGCTGCGTCGGAAGAGGCGGCTCGTGGCAACGGATAGCGGACGAGTTCAAGCTGCGGCACCCCGAGTGGCAAGAAAGCGGCCACGAAAAGGTCGGTCCGATCGATAAGCTCCTGAACCTGACGAACGTAGTGGGTTGCTACGAGCTGGATGGCATGAGAAGGTTCAACTGGCAAGACCCGGATGTACACCTCCTGTGGCGAACACTCCGAAGGGTGTTCAAGACGCTGATCATCGCCAAGGCGGGGTGGAAACCCCCCAGGCGATAGGCGGCATGGTCGAAGCAGAGCGAGAGATGAGGGCATATAGCTTTCATCGAACGCAAACTGCCCATTAGGCCTATGAGTATTCCATCCCTTGTTATTTTTCTCCTTCTTTTTCTTTTTCTTTCCCCCAAGTACTGCTAGGGCCGACCAGGCCTTGATAGCTTTAAAGTGAAATATATATATATATAAAAGGGCTTGGCGCCAAGGACCAGGCACGACTGGGCTGGCAACTGGCACCACGGGACTTTTGGGTTGGTAATCAAAATCCACTCAGCTGCAGGGTTCCCTGGAAATCAAGTTGATCAGACCGGGCCAGCACCGCAACTGTGGGGTTGGAATCGATTCCCAGACCACGGTTCACCCATCGAATAGTCCCTCCGTCTTGATCCGCCTCGCTTTGCTTTGCCCATCTCGCATCTCTTTCCCCCATCCAACCATCTTTCAAGATCTGCTGAAACGCTTCGCCTCCATCCACAGTCGCAGTCTCGCATCGCCATGAATGCCAGCGTCGCTTCCTCCTGCACTCGACCGATGACTCGCCTGGCCGTCGACGACCACAGCCCGGACATCTTTGCCATCGTTTGCTTCAACGAGCGCTTCCAGCTCGCACTTGACCATGTCGCCATCAAGACCCTGCTCCAAGTGTGCAGGCGGGCACGGCCTCTCCTGAGCTCCAAGCTGCCTCGCTTCCACCGCTGGTGCCAGAATGCAGAACTACGTCATCCAGACGGACAGATGCGGATCGGCCTCACACCCAGCGACCGCATTGCACTCGCCCTGCACTGCAATGTGCCACCCACAGCCGACCGATCCTGGCTCGTTGCTCAGGCGGACCAAGGGTGCCCCGCTGCCTCGTTCTTCCTGGCCCGGATCATCCAAGTCCATCTCGACGGACAGCAGTCCGTAAGCCGGGCAGCGCGGCGGTCTCAGTCTCAACAAATCTTCCGCCACCTGGAGAATGCAGCCCACACAAATCATCCGATGGCTCAGTTCCACCTGGCCGAGTGTCATCGCAATGGCATTGGAGTCGACCAGGACCACACCAAGGCTGCCGAACTGTATCGCTGCCTTGCGGATCGTGGACTCGCACAGGCCCAAGTTGCTCTCGGCCGATGCTATGAGACCGGCGAAGGAGTCGAACAGGACTACGACACCGCCATCGAGTGGTACTCCAAGGCTGAAGATCAAGGCAGCGAAGACGGCCGACTCCACATCGAGTTCCTTCATGGGTGGTTCTCGTTCACTGGCCACGGTGTCGAGCAGAGCGATGTCGATGCCCTCAATCACTGGCAGGAGGTCAGCACCAAGTCGACGGACCCGGTCATCAAACCGATTGCCACCCACATGGTTGGGTGGATGCACTACCTCGGCCGGGGCACACAACAAAACCAACAGAAGGGCATCAAGATCATTCGCGAGAACGAGTCGAGAGACTTCCGTCTCGGGGAGGACGAGAGCTTAGCATCATGGCTAGCCTTTGTGTCCTCCCTGTCACCAGCCGCCTGCAAGCTGTTTCAGCTGTGCAATCTGGGATCAAATCGAGACTGGCTCTACAAGCACCTCAAGGCTGTGTGTCTGGTCCAAGGGTTCGGTGCTGCGAGAGACCATGAAGCGGCAGCGAGCATCTTTGAGCAGCTCGCCAATGACGGCCACAGCGACAGCCAGCTCTGGATTGGCGAGTGCTATCGATGCGGCTGGGGGAGGCCAAAAAATTACTCAAGGGCATTCGAGTGGTTCCGCAAATCCGCCGATCAAGGCAATTCGTACGGGGAGTGGATGGTCGGCATGTGCTACTACTGGGGATACGGCGTCGACAAGGACCACTCCAAGGAAATCGAGTGGTATCGCAAATCGGCCGAGCAGGGCAATCGATACGGCCAACACTATATCGGCGACTTCTACGAACGCGCTGATGGTTTCCTCAAGGATTCTGAAGCTATGTTTTGGTACCATAAGGCCGCGGACCAAGGATTCAGATACGCCATCGACAGTCTTATGAGGCTCGACAGTGGCCCTGACCCATGAGCTACCCCAAGCGCTTTGCCGGCTCCTCTCCCCAAGATCATCGCTGCATCACCGAAGAAACGAGCAAGCACCATAATTGTGAGGGACTGACCCACATGTGAACATGACGCGAGAGACTACTCACGTCATTCCTGCAACTTGTCCACCATCGCGCCATCAATCACATCACTTCCCACGCCTCGACACACTTCTCGACCCGAGTCCACCCCCGTCCCGTCTCGGACTCGAAATATAAAGAACCCTCGCCTAGAGCTCCGGGACGGGGAGGGGACTCGATCGGGGGGATCTTGAACTTCGACCCACGCCCTTTGAACGCTGAATAAATTTATCTTCAACCTCCTCTTTTCCTGGCCCTCCCATCATGGATCCTGACAATAATTCAACACGGAACATGGGGCGAGCCCAAGTCCCTCAGCAAGCAGCAAGCAGCAAGCAGCAGGCGATACCACCAACCGAGCACAGATGCACTGCTTGACGTCGCTGTTCCTGGGTCAACCGAAACACACAATGGGCAGCCACAAGTGTCGATCAGCGATTGATCGGCCACATCAACGATACCATCGTCTGTTTCGATATGCACAATGGTTTTATTCTTGCGCAGCATATACATATTCAGAAATCAACGCATGAACTGAAGGTACAATCCAATCATGCTGATCATCGTAGCCATGGCGCTGACAGCGCCGCTGACACCCAGATTGGCCGACCGCATATACCACAGGGAGGCAGTGGGCATGCTTCGAGCAACTCCGAGACCGTAATAATAGCAGTCTCCCAGGGCCCGCATTGCATAGGGGTTCTCCTGGTTGACGGATTTGTTGTACCAAGACAAGGCCTTGAATCTGGCTCGGGATGTTCCCAGGCAATACGAGTAGCAATGCCCCAGCCAGTACTGGCTGTCGCTATGTCCCTGTTTGGCCAGCTCCTTGAAGATTGTGAAGGCCTGCGTCTTGTCCTGCAGGGTGCCGAATCCGTTGACATAGCACACCGCCATCAGATGCTTGCAGAGCCAGTCGTATTCGGAGAGTGTGTGGCACAGCTCGAAGAACTTTTTGGCTGCAGTCGCTCTGGATGAACTCAAGGTGAAGCCGCTGAGGCACGCCTCTTCGCCAAGGCCAAAGTGAGAGGCCGAGCCTTCTTTGATCATTTTGATTCCGGTTATTGTGTCTTTTCCAGTGCCGCGGCCCAGGTAGTAGAGCCAGCCGAGCATGTGTGAGGCCATTGGCTCGAGAGCCGGATCGCCAGATTCTTTGTGGACCTTGGTCCAATGGGTAAAGGATTTGGAAAAGTCTTGCTGGACACCACAGCCAGTCATGTACATCCATCCAAGATAGAAGTGGGCCTCGAGATTGCCCTCATCCGCCATGCGAGAGAAGATCTGCACAGCTGTTGTGTTGTCGGGCTGGCTGGGCTGGCTGTGGGTGATGTACTTGGCAACAAACTTGGCCAATCCTTGCGGCATTTCCAGCGGCTTGATCGAGCTTTCGGCAACATCGAGGGCAGCATCCGGGTCTCCGCTCTGGAAGCGCAGGGCCAGAGAGGGCGGAATATTGCAATTTTCAGGAAGTTCCATAGACGCCAAATCGGAAGTCTTGGGAGAGCCAGAGGCGGTACTGGCACCGGAGCAGCTGGAGCTGTCCGATACCACTTCGGAGCTGTCCGATACCACTTCGGAGCTGGATGGCTCAGGAGTCGGGCGGATGTAGTCCTTGTAGCGATCGAGGCTCTCGACAATGCTGGGGAACTCGGGGCGGTCGTTGGGATCTTGCTTCCAACAATCGCTGACGAGCTGCCAGACGTCGTCGGGGATGCCTTCGAAACGGCTGGGCCGACCACCCTCGAGAACATAGTTGCAAACGGTGTAGCCACCCATGGATTGTGAGCTGAGTACCCAGGGGGTCGCGGCGTTGTTGAGGACAGTGAGGATGGTGATGGCAAAGGCAAAGACATCCGAGCGCTTCGTGGTCTGCGCTTCGTGGTTGGAGCCCAGCAGCTCGGGGGCCATGAAGCCTGGAGTGCCGCAAACGGACACTCCCTGCTGGTTGTTGGTCTGGGCCGAGTCGGTCCAAATGTGGGACAAGCCGAAATCCGAGATGACGGCTGAAAACGATGCATCCAACAGAACGTTCATTGGCTTCAGGTCGCCGTGAACGACGTTGTTGCTGTGGAGATACGCCATGCCCAAAGCCACTTGGCGAAGGAGGCAAAGCTTCTCCTCGAGGGGACGAATGTTTGCTGGATCTCTGACATAATCGTGGAGGGTGCCGTTGGGCATGAATGGTGAGACTATGCAGTGCTTGGAGTTGTTGTCGCAGGCGCCGAAGAGCGGAAGAACGTGTCGGTGGTTCAGTCTGCGCCAGATGGCGATTTCTTTCCGAAATTCGACCAGCTCTGCATCGGAGTGGCCGCGAAAGGGCTGCTTTACAGCGACCACGGCGTCATTGTACGAGGCCTTGAATACTTCGCCCCAGCCGCCGTGGGCAATGGGAGCAAGAGTCCAGTTGGTGATGCTTTCAGCGGCGATGTTTCGAGATGAAGTTTCGGTCGACATGGTGATGCAGATGACGGCAAGGGCAGAGGGAGGGGCAGAAGGGGGCAGAAGGAGGGGACAGCTGTGACGAAGCAAAGTGCGTTCGGAAAGCGGGTTCTCGAGTAGGGTGCGCAGAGGACGGTGGTTGTGGAAAGCAAACGGCGACCACCATGTCGACGGGGTTCATATACTACGTGATCGGGCACGGGTATCTTGGGAATGGTGGCGGTGGCAAGCCAACGCAGCGGCCAGGGGTCGAGTGGCGATGTGGGTGGAGGGTATCACCTCGCTGCGCGGAGGTATCACGTTGCTGCGCGGAGGGTATCACTTCGGAGTGCCAATAGAGTTCCATCTCGACCTCCCCAGTTCGCACAGTCGGTCCAGAAAGAAACGGGACAGTCACTCTCTGGCATCAGAGGCCTGAAACCTGCCGAACTTCCGTAGGCCCCAGCGAGCAAGCCGTGAGATTGTTTCTCGTCTTGGCTGGCAGTCTCTTTGAGTGGTGTATTCCCTCGACCCTCTGGACAGCTCCATGGTGTATCGATACCAAGATACTCGAGCACACCTGGGATGTGTTGAACTCGTTCACCGAGCACACTTGGTTGTCTCTGGTGGTGTATGAACTGCTCGAAATACCGAGCGAACCTGAGTCTCCGTGGACTGGATGCGAATCCCTTCCCTTGCTTCCAGGATGCATTCCCAAAGGCAATCACCACCTCGGTCTCCTTTGGTGCCTGGTCGATGACTTGCTGTGCTTGGCCATGAATGCGATGAGTGGGTGTATTCAGGTTCCAGAAATAACACAGTCATGGTTAAAAACGGGAGTGACCCATTTCATATTGGAAACGCTGTAATATCGATCGATGTTCTTATCTCCTTCAGTAATATAGCGATTCGTTGGCCCTCATCGTGCCCAATGACTCCATGAATCTCCCTGCTCACCCAAAGATGTGACCAGCGGACGCAGCACAAGTAACGTTTGTCCCGGGCTTGGCACCGGTCTTGGCACCGGCTTGGCGGTGTCTTTCTGACATCTTGGCATTCTGCCGCAGCCGGCCCTTCATTCCCCCTCGTCTGGGTCTCCTCTGGGATATATTCCATCACTCTCGCAGCACCACAAACGACAATAACCCCTCCGGTATCGTGCTAGCCATGTCCCTCACCTTTGGAATGCTGCTCTATGATGGCTGGGAGCTTATGGACGCCCAAGCTCCCTTCTCCATCTGGATGAAGCTTGCGTCGCTGCAGCGACACTCTGGGAGCACCCTTCGCCACCAGTTTGTCACTGTTGGCGGGACAAAGTCCAACCCAATCGAGTCCGTTTCTCACTTCTCGGTCCTCTGCGATCATGATTTGGCCTCGTGCCCGCAGCTCGACGTTCTCGTCGTTCCAGGCGGCTTGGGCTCGGTTGCCGCTGCCCAAGACATTGCTGTCACTGCCTTCATCCAGAAGCAGGCCGGGGCCGCCAAGTGGATCACGAGCGTCTGTACTGGCTCCTCGCTCCTGGCAGCCGCAGGTTTGCTGGATGGACGCAAGGCCACCACGAACAAGTTTGCATTTGGCATGATGGTCCTGGTGGGTTACGCTGTATGCTCATGCAAGTCATGGCTCTGCACTGGCCTTTCACATCAATGATCCGCTGCCTTTCAAATGCATCCAAAAGCAACTAACCACCCTATCTTGTCTTGCCCAGTATGGAGACAAGACCGAGTGGATACACAAGGCCCGCTATGTCATTGACGGCAAGTATGCCACCTCCAGCGGCGTCTCGGCGGGGGCCGACATGGGCTTCGCCCTGGGCCGATCGCTCTTTGGCAACGAGCTGGTCGATAGGCTCTTGCACAACATTCAGTACACTCCGAACGAGATGGACGACGATCCCTTCTCGCGTATTCATTCCCCTGGAGGCAAGTAGCCGTTACAGTGGATAGTGTTTGACACTCTTGTGATGACTCGATGGCGGTTGGACTGACTATGATTGCGTGGCCTAATGGGCTGAGAGGGCGGCTTTGGATAGACCTGGTACATTGGCTGTCACTCACCCACTCCAAATGACTGTGTGCTGCAATAACTGCTGTTGTCTGCTTCGACTTGCCTTGGTGCATGGCCATAGGGCCTATTGTGTCGCGGATGACCCTCGGCATCCTCAGGGCCGGCAAAAACACCATCATTCCCAGAGAAACCAAACGTGCCGGCACCCAACACCGCTCGTCGCTGTTCTCTCAGACGCTCAAGGACCAGGTCACGATCCTCCTGGTCGACGGGTCCGACAGCCTCGACATTGCTGGAGTCGGCGAGGCCCTGCTTGCGATCGTGCAGACGCACTATCTCGAGTACGTCCGGGTTGCTGCCGACGAGCCGTCCAAGCTGACCGTCCTCACTGGCGACGCAGACTCGGTTGCCGACCATTCCATCTGGCCGCTGACCTGTGCCTGCGACCGGGTTTTGCTGTCGGCCGACGACAACGGTACCGCCCTCCCCAAGCTCGTGTACATCCCTGCGATCCCACAGACCCAGGCGCATCTCCTGGACCAGGAACCATTTGCGGGCTATCTGCAGAGACTCGCCAATAGCCCCGATGCCTTTGTTGTTGGCTCAGGAGAGGTTGTACTTCGCAAGTTCAAGCAGCTTGGAAAAATTCCTGCGAGCCTCAAGCTCGGCGAATCGGAGGGATGGTTCGTCCAAGACAAGTGGGCCGTTGGTCTCACTGGCATGCAAGGTACCATAGTCGTGGCGTGAAGACATAACACACAGCGACTGCACTCTTGATTACCTGACGCTCGCAACTGTTGTCGCCGAGCGTCACCGATGCTTCCGATATCTGATCCCCCCGACACTCTCTATTCGTTTTACAACCAGGCATTCGCGCTGTCTTTGAGCTGATCCAGATCATCGCCGGTCCCGATGCCGTCGCCACCATCGCCAAGAACATGGAGATCAGCGAGACCTTGCTCCCGGCCAACATCCAGCTCGAGCCCAAACCCAAGGCATGAGTCATTGACCAATCTCTCCAACTTGCCACCGAGAAACCGCAGCCCGTCCACCGCCCTGCCCTTCGGACTCTCCATTGCCGCGCGGAAGCTCGCGGGTGTTGACTTCCGTTGCGGTTGCGCCCTCTCCCTCATTCAGTGCTTGGGGCAATGGCTTGGCGTACTTGGAGGGCCAATGAGCCATCATTTGGTGCTGGGTGAATACCAGAGTCCAAGTTCCTCAGGTCGCCCGACAGGGTATTGAATAGACCATGGGACACATCGTCTCACTCGGACAAAAACGCGACGTGGATTTAATCATCTCCCTGGGTGTTGATCAAAGCCGTCGCTCCCGTGAATGTTGATGTGCATATCTGTTGACCCTGTGGCGCTCATCACACTTATTCAAACATCTCATCGGTGACAATCTCATGATGACCTCGACACCGTCCCACAGATTGGGAGTAAGTGTTACCTGCTACCACAGCTTCCCCAGGCCTTCGAGTCCTCTATATCATTTCCCTCACCTTTTGTCTGGTTGTCGCCACATGGAATCTCAGGTATCCGAACAACCTTGGGGTTGGCTGCAATGTCGTCAGCCCTAATGACTTTTCCGATTTCAACAAGACGCTTGTGCTCCTTCGTCAAAAAATCGGCAGTCGCCCTATCACCGCCGCCATCGGCGCCACTGCTGGGGTCTATTCCGACGCCTCTGGAAAGAACTGGCTCTCCGATTATGCCAAGACTCTCGACAAAATCAATCGTGAGTGCCCCCCGGGCGTCTGGCGTCCGGCGGTTGTGTCAGGTGCTCCACTGTGCACCAGCCGCAAGTGTGGGATGGCTCCTCGTTTATCCAAGTTTATGCGCCGGTCTTGATAACCTCACCTGTGCGGAATCCATCCCTAGTGATGACCTACGACTACAACGGCAACTGGAATCCCTACGCCGACTACAACACTCCGCTCTATAGCAACTCTGGCAGCCCCAACGGCGACTCCTCCATCAACGAAACTGTGACGGCCTTTGTCAAGCAGCTCGCAATCCCCGCCAGCAAGCTCCGTCTGGGTCTCGCCTTCAATGGACTCTCGATGGCACTGGGGGGACCGGTCACCGGCGATGGCGTCTACCAGCTCTGTCTTCCCCAAGTCGACCCCAAGAACCCCCAGGCCTGCCCCGTGATTCAAGGCGACAAGTACGACACCCCCTTCCCCGATCCCTGCACCGGGATTCCAGGCGTCTCTGGTGCCTGGTCCTATCGCGGCCTGCGTGAGCAGGGTGTCTTGGTGTCCAAGAACAAGGCCCAAAAGCCCTGGGTCCGCACCTGGCACGGCGGTAAGATCCAGGTAATACCCGACTGCGTGCTGTGTTCAGAGAACCAGTGAGTTCTATGGCAACAACTGCTCCTGTTACACGATTGGCTATAGTGGACTCATACCTCTCCTGCCCCGCACAATTCCTGCATTTGCTCTATGTGTTCATCCAGTCCCCGACCCTCCTCAACACAAACACGAGCATCTTCATCACCTACGACGACGTTCAGTCAATCCAGCAGAAGGTCAAGTTTGCCAAGAAGTGGAATCTTGGTGTCTTTGCCTGGGAGCTCAGCGAGGATTACTATAATGCGACTACCGGCATCCACGGCGAGCTCATTACCGCCGCAGTGGACGAGTTCCGCAATTAGGCTCCGTGTTGAGTGACAAGCTACCTTACCTTGTCGCATTTTACTATGAGTGGAGTATAGAATCATCTATCATACACCAGACCATCCATCCAATCCGTAGCATTGGGTGGAGGATATGAATCCAGTGTCTAGCATTTGAGCTTCCTTGGCAATTTCGACCTATTTCCACCCCCTCCAGACAAGGTCATTGCCACCACGCTGAACTTGACCGCAGTGATTGGCGATAACAATGGTGTAATTTGTCAACGTACTCCCGTTTTAATGGGACTAGCACCGGTTAACGTTGCTCACTTGCCCACCATTGCTGTCCTCAGCCATGGTACCCGAGCGTCCCGTAAACACTTATAGGCGCTTGGGGCATTGCCCGCGACTGAGTGCCCTTTTCATCAAGAAAATTGTGCCACAATGAAATGTACTTTGCCCAATCGGTTTCTTCAAGGAAGCTAACGGAGGCTTTGCTGACTGCATTTGCTGACTGCATTTGCGGCTGCATTTGCGGCTGCATCGGATACGATGCATTCTCTTGATGAATTATGAGCAGTGATGGTGGGCCTTACACTTTATTCAGAAAAAAACGGGACAATATAGCCGTTTCCATGAACATGTAGTTTGTGATGTGCTTGCGTCAAGCAAAGCCACATGTTCATGGAAACGGCTATATTGTCCCGTTTTTTTCTGAATAAAGTGTACAAACGCCGTGTCAACAATCACAGTTCAGGAGCATGGGCAGATATAATGCAATGTTCTTGTATTTGGTTCGCAGAGTTCCGTCCTAGTTGCCATGTGGCCTCCACCCGGTTATGGAGGCGAGTCAAGGTTGAGGCCGTTCGGTTCGAGTCCTTCCAGCCGGATGACATACCGGTACACCGCCGGCATTGCCAATCTATCACGGATATGGCGCCCATTTCGAGCAGTCGCTTCTATATCCCTGCCGCTTGCTTGATCTGCGCCAGACCAGGAATCCAGAAGGCGTCATCTCGGGCCCGCAGGGGATCTTTGATGGAGGTGCCGTAGACAAAGGCGTATCCGTCTTGGACGAGACCGATACCCAGGGACGATCCAGCCCCAAACAGAATTGCATACTTGGTGTATTGGAGCGATAGCCGGGCTGATGGCGAACCCAGGGAGACAGAGCTGCCCGTCAGCGCTCTGCTATCGATACGGCGATCCAACCCCGGCTCGTCGGCAGAACCCTCTGGATGGCAGATGCCGACGGCCTTGATCGTGACTTACCGGCTGCAGAAAATCCGAGCGAGGTGACGGTTCCTGCGGCCAGGCTGTTGATCCAGCCCTCTCGTCCTGTTGCTTGCTCAAAGGCATTTTCCAGACAGCAGAAGGCCCCCGAGACTGCCGCAAACTTGAAGCCATACCGGAATCCTTCTTTGAAACCCGCATGGGTCATTTCGTAGTTTTTGTACCTGTGGTAAAAGAACTGACCGGGACCAGGATGTTTCGCACGGTTTCGATTGTCGGCGCCTTAGTAGCTCGAACCGGCAAAGGCCACCCACGGAAGTCACGTCTCGTTCTGATCCTCCGAATGGCTCTTGATTCCCTTCGTGTCATACGATCTTACCCATCCGCCGACTGTCTTCGGTAGTCGATGTGCGTTCTCGGCAAGAAACTGCATCGCCCGATGACGGCCGCCCAGGTAAAATCCCGAAACAAATCCACCGATGGCGCCGCCAAGGGTGATCTTGGTGGCCCACATCGTCGACGGCGACATGATGGCTTCGATCTGGGCTCGGGCATGCTTGCCGCGGGCAAAGACATACTCATGGAGCTGGACAGCCGACGTCCATGTCTGCTGCAGGCCGCGGACCGCTGAGAGCTGCCCGTCCTGGTTCTGGCTCGTGGGCTGGCTGGGCTGCGGTGCTGGTGATGGGTCGGGCGATGTCATGGCTCAACGATCGGGCGGGTGTTCTGGTCGGCGGGCTGTCTCGAGGCCGCAGGTTGGCCAGGCCGGATCGGCGATGGCCAGGCCGGTGGCACATCCTGACCACGTGTCCGTGCTGCGCAGGCTATTTTCGGCGCCGCGTCTTCCTGAGCCGGTCGGCAGCAGGCCCCTCCGCTGACTCTGTCCTCATCCCGCACGAAACCCAAGCCCATCCGCCGCATCCACCGCATCCACCGCATCCCCGACATGCTGAGCGCCCCCACCAAGATCCGCATCGGCTGTGTGCCCGAGCACTTTTCCTCGCCCCTGTACATTGCCGAGGCCGAAAAGCTGTTCCAGAACGAGGGCGTCGAGGTCCAAGTCGTGACCTGCCCTGGCGGCACCGGCGAGATGATCAAGTTCCTGAAGGAGTCCCAGATCGACATGGCCATTGCCCTGACCGAGGGCCTCGTTGCCCACATCGCATCTAACGCGGCCGCTGGCTTCAAGATCGTGGGCACCTATACCGCCAAGCCGCTGACCTGGTCGATTGCTGGCAATCCCTCGGCTGTTCCCGAAGGCGCCAGCCCCGAGAACGTCCCGCTTGAATTTGTCAAGGATGGCAAAATCGGCGTGTCGCGGATGGGCAGCGGCAGCCACATCATTCCGTTCGTGCTGGCGGATCAGATGGGCTGGCTGCAGGACGGCGCCGCTGCACCGTTCGAGTTTGTTGTGCTCAAGGACATCCACGGACTCAAATCCGGCGTGCTCAGCGGTGCGGCCGATGTCTTTCTGTGGGAGCGATTCACCACCAAAGTAAGTTTGATCCGCCTTGACTGGTGGCGAGCGATACCGCCGACATATGGACCCAGCGATGGCTCGTACAGCGCCTGATCCCAAACAGCGCCACCCATGGCACCATACCAACGGCACTGGCTCTTCACATTGGGGGAGGGTCGATCCGCGACCGGTCAATCGCATTAGCGGCATCTGACCGCCCCACTTTTCTGCTTCGCACGCAGCCTCACTATGACTCTGGAGAGCTTTACCACCTGAACAACATCACACCTCCCTGGCCTGCGTTTATGTTTGCCGCCAACGATGGCATTGTTTCCTCGCAGCCCGATGCAGTCAAGAAGGTGCTGGCGATTCTCAATCAGTCAACCGCCCGTTTCATGGCCCAGGTCGAGGGCGGCCAGTCGGTCGACTACGTCCAGCAGCGATTCCACCAGAAGCGCGAGGATGTCCAGGCCTGGTTCAAGACCTTAGACTATTACGGCGACCTGACCTCGGTCCATGAGTCCGTCATCACCAAGTGTGTCGGTATCCTCAAGAACGCCGGTGTGATCAACTCCTCAGCTAAAGTCGCTGTTACCGACCTTGTTGACACTCGAATCGCTAAGATCGTCTAAACAGGCGTCGGTTGGCATACCGAGGCGGGCAGCTGCCGCCTGCCCCGCGTGTTGATCACGCTGTTCTGCACACCACGTCGGTTGCTCCTGTACAATCAGTCAATACAGTGCTTCCAAGACAGACGGACAGGAATACCGAGTTTCATACTCGACTCTGTGACTCCACTCTACGCTTGACTCAAGAAGCAGGGCAGTTCCGTTCAAAATTGGATGAGTAGTCTCTGAGAGCCTGCGTCCAATAGGCCATGTGTAGTCAAAGGCGGCCGTCTCGATAGTCTCCGGATGGCGACATCGGGCCGCCTCCAGTCTCTGCGATTGCTCTGCACAGTGACCATGCTGTGCACCACATTGGCGCTGTGATCCCACCCTGGGGAATGAACCCGAGCTCACGTCTTGGCGCAAACTCTGCATCAGGACATCGTCGCATGGTGGTAGTGTGAAATTCGAATGTGGAAGATGGCCGTGTGCGTTTGATCAATGTGCCGGGTCAATGATTCGATCAATGTACCAAGTCTATTGGTTTGGTGAATGCATCAAGTCAATGTTAAACTAAACAATCACCCAAAAGCCGGGTGTCGCGGTGCTCATGCAAGTCACTGAATCGGTGCATCAAGCTGGCTTCGACTTGCTTTCATCATGTGCCCCAGTCCGTTGCTCAAACGCAGTCTTTCGTCTGCTCGATAGCCTGCCAGACCACTCTGCTTCGCCTACGCTCGTCACAACAGCGAAGACGAGCTCTGGAATCGGAACAGCTCTGAGGTACTGGGTGTTCTCTTCTCGACTGTGGACTTGGCAGCGCCTTGAGACTTGGAAGTAGCAATGAAGATCAGGCACGAGCCGATCAGAGCCGTCCCGATGATGCTCCAGAACCCGGGGCGCACGTTGAACAGCAGCCAATCGGCCAAGAACGCAAACAAAACTTGGGCGTAGTTCATCGTGGCCGCACGACCGGCCGGCACCAGCTGCAGACTGCTCGAAAAGAAGATCTGCCCAACAAATCCAGAGATGCCGATGATGGCGATCTGGCGAGTCATTGGCCGGAAACGATCCAAAGTTGGTCAGTGCTGCAGTGACTAGGGCACGATAGCAAGCCGCTCGTTGCTGCGAACGGGCGACTTTTTTTTGGCAAGGTTGTTCTCAAAGTCTCGAGCACAATCAACTTGACCAGACGTTGCAGCTCAAAGATACTCACATGCATATAGGTTGTTGGAAGCTGCGGCAGGATCCAGGGCTCGTTTGGCATCACCGCCCCGCCGATGCAAGCGAATACGGCTCCGACCTGGGGGTCGCAATCGAGAGTCTTCAGATGCTGGGACGAGCGATGACGAAAACAGCCACCGTCCGCACTTGAATTGCAATCCCATGCGTCGGCCTTCGTGTGTTTTTGGGACAAGAGCAGAATACTGACCGCCGAAAAGTACGCTATGATGTGGTAGGCGCTGGCCGCATCGCCGATTTTGCGGATGATCACATAGATGCCCGCAGAGAAGCACGCGCCCGCCAGGGCGACGACGACACCAAGGGAAGATGGCGAAGTTCCGCTCGAGCTGGGAGTCTCGGCAGTGGCCATATCGACGGCGCTGTCGTCATCTACGTACACCGAGAACGGGTCGGCCTTCCCAAAGATGGCCTCGGGGTGGGCAACAAAGATGACGCCCACCAATGAGAGGATTGTACATACTGCATCTTTGAGCTTGGTTGAGTAGAGTGCGCAAAGCAGACAGGTTAGCTCTCGGAACAAGAGTAGCTGTCGGGAAAGGCAGCGCACGCAGCAAGAGTCTCAAAAATACTAGCACAGGGCCGTTTGGGGCACACATACCCCCCAGGGCTCCTTGAGAAAGTAGATGGCGAGGATGCCTGTGAACGACGGCGACATAAAGCCCTGTTCATCAAGCAGCACGAGGTGAGTAAATCGGGAAGAACTGTCCCCCACCATGCTCTCTATCCTTCGTGCCCAGATCGTCGCCTACAAAGCGAGGCGGAATCGGGCAGCAGCGACCAAGAAAACGTACCAACACCGTGGATTCGGCAACGGAGAGGCAGGAGAGCGCGTAGACCGAGCATGAGAGCCCCGAGAATCCAAGGATGCCCCGGAACAGAAGCTACGGCGGACAGCGAGCGGGACGAGGGGCCATTAGCGTCTGTCATTGCAGCGACGAAATCCGCCGATATTCTTGGGAGGCTAGAAAGACGGACTGCAATCATAGTCATGCCACGGGATGCTGCGAAGCTCCAGTTGCATACCAGCATCCGAACTCCAGGCGGGCCGGAAAAGATGTACTGCGCCTTGCTCAAATAGAGGGTCGCAATGGCCATAATCCAGACCAAACTGGTCCGGAAGAACACGGCCTCGAAGAGGGGAAGGGGCTCAGGCCCGTTGGACAGTATTTTCATGCTCAAACTCATCCCCGTGAAGCTGGCCGAGGACAGGACCATGTACCAGAGTCCCCGTGTCGCATAGATTCGGTCGGCGATTTCTTGCCAGCCGCAAATGCGCTTGGGGGGCTGATGGCTGGGTTTGAGTCGCTTGATCAAAGCCTCTCGGTCGACGCCGTCGAGGTCCGCCTCCAGATCGTCCAGCTCCTCGAGTGCATGCTCTTTCTCCATGGTGGCGCAAAAGCCTCACAAGCAACTAAGGATGGTTGAATGATATGGGCGTCCGGCAGAGGTGGAGTTGTTGGGGCACGATGGCTGGCGAGCAGTGCGGGAACATTCGCTGCCTCAAGTACTGCCAGTTGCAACTCTCAAACAGCAATTACAAATCCTGATGACATCGACGAGAATCACAGCAGGCCCGGTGGTGCTTCAATCCGCATCTGGCGCTTGATGCTTGTCGAGAGGCCCAGCATCATGCACAACGTTACAGTGCAATACAGCAAGTACAATGAAAAAAAGGGACGTTCCGGATTTTTTGACCACTGACCGAATATTTTGTTGCCTCCGAATACCATGCTCTGGTCATGGCCACCTGGGAAGGGTTTGTCTCCAGCTTCAGTGTGTCCAAGAGCACCATCCACTACTGGAGCGAGTTATCTCGCACTGCATGTTCAATGAAAACGGGGGCACTGTCCCGTTTCGTTCTGAACATGATATAAGTCCCAATTCAAACAAATCGATCAATAGTTCGTCCATCGCCATGGAGCAATCCGCACACGATGCCAGCAGTCTCGCGGCAGATGCGATGTTTTCATCAGGGACGTCAAGCGGCTGTATTCAAGATCATGCTCCCAGGATTGGGACGACAGTGGGGACTGCTTCTGAATCGACATGGACTCAGAGACGGCTGAAGATGCTGAAGACAGCTGCGACCAGAGCAGCGGAGCGAGTGGTTAGCATGTGCCTACTGATATGGTGGGCTTCTGTGCGGCGAAGCAACTGATTCAATCGGATCGATCAGAGCAAACAGCAGCTGAGGATGATATGCAGGAACAAGCGAAGCAACGAGGCCCATCTGTCGCCGCCGAATCAATCGAGATGCAGTTTACCTGAACCAATGACCACAAAGGCGATAAAGGCCATCAGGTACGGATCCAGGCGAGGCTTGACGTCCTCCTCCTTTTGCTGGATCGACATGCGAGTTAGCAGAGCGGATCCCATCGACAGTCTGGAGCTGAGCCAGGCTGTGAGATGCAGCGATCGCTGCCCAAGCCTCTCCCTCACCTCGCTCTTCTTGACCATCCCACGCTTGTGGATGTTCTCCTTGTACTGGTTGTTGCGTGCACGGATCGTCGGTGTGGAAGGCTAGGAGTCGGCAAGACAGAGCGAGCATCACAGTCAACAAGCAGACATCCGGTCTGGGACTGAAGGAAGGAGATCGCCCGTCTCAGCTGGTTCTGCGAGTGCTGAGACATCAGTGTACCATTTTTGCAAGCCGTGTGGTCGGTGACGGTGATCCAAGCAGAGTGGGGTTGTTCCTGGCAGCCCGTACAGAAATCGGTGTCGGTTGATGCTCTGAGCGATGGAGACGCTGTTCACCTGCCTTTTTGGCCGGGCAGCCGATTCGGTGCGCAGCAGGCGGGGACAAAGCGGCCACCAAGCAGCCACCAAATGGCCGGTTGTTTTCTGTCCTGGCTCGCTCTCTGCTGCGACCTGCTCGCTCGGCAGACACATGCGAATTGCGGAGCAAGCTTGTGCCTTGGTGCCAGCTTGGTGCCCGCACGTTCAGTAAGATGGTCAGCGCATCATGGTCAGCCTTTCATGGCCAGCGCATCATGGCCAGCCGTCCTCGCCCGTATCTGCTCGCACAGCAAATCAATCCCACGTGACCGGCGGGGTTGCGGTGCAATTTGCCCAAAAACACTTGCTCCCTGGTCTCCCCTCGATCAAGTCCGCCTCTCCCGGCGGCGCTCGCTCGCTTGCATCTGTCTTCGCGCCCGCTGCATCTGCATCTGCATCTGCATTCGCAGCCGCATTCGTTCATTCACCCGTCATCTCGATCCCTGGACGGCTGGCTTTGATCCTCGGCCCCAGCCCATATCGGCCTGCGAAGCAATCGTCGGTGTCCCGACTCTTCAGTCCCGTTACTCCGCCTTTCCGGCTGCACTTTTCCAGCACATCGGCTCGGCTCGGTTCGGCTCGACTCGGCTGTCTGTCTACCCGTCCGCCTTGCTGGAACCAACCGACATCTAGATTCTGTAAAGACATGAAGACCGCACCGCAGCTCAGCTCCGTTTCGTCCCTGTCCGTGGCGCTCACCACCAGCAAGGTCGAGGCAGCCCACGCGCTGTATCCCTCCGATTCCGTCAGATCCAATCTCTCTGAGCTCGTGGCCGATATCGATACTGACGAGGGAGACGTTGACGAACTGATGCACGACTACACCCTGACACGCTGCATCGAGGAGGAGGATGCCGAGGACGAGAGTGCCGCAATGCTGACCGACGAGCTGTATGATGAGAAGCCATTCATCGCCATGAATGCAGAGACGGAGCTGGTGTCGCCCACGTTTGCCGTACGTTGCGTGTCCTTGTACTCGGAGCAGCTTGTGCTCGCTGCCGAGCCATACGATAGCGAATCGCCCGCTTCACATCTGTGCGTCAACGATCGTTTGCCCCGGCCTAATATCCCACTCCGATCGGCCCCAATGCCTTTTCTTCGATTGCGACGCAGACTGCGGCAGAGTTTCCGGGGCGGCTCATCTACGACATCAATGTCCCCTTTTATGCGGAGCAAGACGAATATGGCAACGAGAAGGTGTCGCATTTTTTCGGAGTCCACAATCTGATGACTGGCTCGGCCATCCAAAAGTTTGTGCTGGAGCGCTTCCTGGATCTAGCCACGCCGCAGCTAGACGATCATATGGTCAAGTCGATGGACATGGAAGGTATCTCGGGTGGCTGATGAGTCGGCCAGGAGTCTGAGGACCAAACGGCATGCAGCGAGGATGGCGTCGGCGCCGTTCGCTCTCTGCTGACCGATTGTGCATACTCTGTCCGTTATTTTATCGACCGGCCCGACTGTCGACAGGGATGATTGATGTTTTGCTGGGGTACATATCGAGAAACAATGTATCTGAATCGGCGCTGTTGGCTGGATCGCTATCCATCTGTGAGTTGATCAACAGCGACGTCTGCGGGCGAGTCCGAGACGAAACCGATCCGGTTGCCATGCGTCGATCCTATCAAGCGATGGAAGTGCTGAGCAGCCGAGCGGCCATCAATAAGAAGTTTGTGAGCCAGTTTCTGACGCAAATCGGTAAGATCTATGGCAGAAGATGGGACGGGACTGAGAACCGGCGTGAGCTCCGAGCTGTATGCTGGGCGACCTAGTGTTAGGCCAGGCTGGACGTATTTGATTCTATTTTTGTTCTTGTGTGAACTTGCTGCTGCCTATCTGGATATCGAATCGCCGCTAAATCGGTCCACCACCGTACCATCATGCGGGAATGCGAAACGCTGACTTGCTGGAATGGATCGACACGACGGCTTGCCATTGAATTGGATGTGAACAACTCGGCCTGGGCTCGCGATGCGGGAATGCATGGGCAGTGATGGGCCTGTTTCGGGTGTTTGAAACAGGCGCCGAGGGCAACTTGAGGTCAGTTCGTGTGTCTGCATCGCACATATATGTGCGCGCATTGCCGCCACGAAGGCCATTGTACTGATGCATCCTCTCCAATGGTCGTCCGCAGACACTTTCGGTACTGTGCTCGGGCGTGCATCGCTCAATGTCGTGCCTTCCTGCACTGTTGAGCCTGTATATCCTGCACCATGAAGCCGCGGACGCACAGCGCCTGACTGATTGGAAATGTGGCCGCTGGCTTTTGCAGAAAAGCGTTCCTGTCGATCGCCGAGCTCCACGACACCGTTATCGACACCACCATCACCGAGATCTGCCCCGAGATCCACCGCCCATATCTATTCCAACTGCTGCGGTATATCGCCGAGCCTCCGATCTCGGACACGCTCTCGCAGATTGTGTTTGCGCCGCTGCGACCCAAGACACTCGAGAAGCGCCTGGAGCGCCTGGAGTTGTTTGCGTCGACCGAGTTTGTCGAGAGCGTGATCGACCTGATTTGTATCCAAGGTGGGTGGGCCACTTTTGGAAGTCACTCGTGAGGTGGCTATGGCCATGCTAGACACCTGTTCAGGTGGTACTGTATGGCATCAAGGAGATGGCGGACTCCTGCAACATCTTATCCATTCATTCCTGTCCCTCGCCTTGCTCCTATAGACAACCCGACCGTGTCGGCGGCCGCAGCAGAGTTCTTTGTCAAGACGGTCGAAGACTCCTCCGTGATTGACGGCGCAGGGGCGCTCTTCCACAACGTCGAGCTGGACTTTCAAATCCTGTCCAAGATGATCGACGCTCTGTGCAAGCCCAGGTGCTCTTTCCCGATTCGTTCTGGAATGCTGGCCCTCCACGCGCTGGTCGTGAAGAGGTATGCGCAACTATCGCTGAAGGTGCACCCGCCGTCAAACCAGCGCCTGAAGATGGGGCAGTCCTCCGTTGTTATCACCATCGTACACTGTAGCGGCAAGGCGAACAAGATTCAGCTTCGCGATGCCTCGGCTGCTAATGACTCGGTATCGCCTCTGTGTTCAACTCGTGTGCAGCATCCCTCGATGTAACCCGGCGCCCGCCTCTGCCGAATCAAACAAGTCAAGCGTTCCACCACTGCACAATCTGAAGCGCGCTGTGCTTTGGAATCTCTGGGACCACTGGGACAAACTGGTCTTGTTGGTGCAGCGCAGCCTGGAGCACGACCCGCCGTTGGCGACCACAACCCGGCTGCTGTTCTACGACATCTTCCGAGAGATGCTGGGCTTTGTCTTGGCTCCAGAGTCGACCGTTGACTCGCCATTGGAGAGTAGCGTTGTCGACCAGCTCGCGGGCCGGGTGCCCTGGGCGCTGTTCTGCTCGTGGCTATTTGAATGCAACAGGTTGGATACGCTCGCATGTTTGTCTTGCTTGGGCGAGGAGGCAAGGATACCGCAGTGCTGCGGCGACAGTCGCCGATCCTTGGGTGTACCGTCCGCGTTCTCGACGCTGTTCTGACTCATTCAAACTCGCTCCGGTACCGAACAACGTCTGGCTGTAGCGAAAGCAGCATCGTGCAATCAGCCATTCTGAAACTTCTCGCGCACGGAGTCACGTCGGACCATCTGCCGACACTTCAGACCCTGATGAGCGACTCTGTTATGCTCAAGTATGCCAGCGCTCACTTCCAAGCAGGTAAGCGCCGGAAGGAGTGACTGACAGGATGCGACTCCGGCCCGTCTGCCGCCATGGTTTCGAACAGCGGCTATCACGCCATGCACTAACCGATTGGCGGTGCTTCATGGCTGCAGGGGGTCCGCACGGTCGCTCGCTGAACCACCCGTTCGTCCTGAAGCTATGCAACATTGCCCGGTAAGGACACCCGTTCCGATACTACGCCTGCATCATCCAAGTGGCGACCGGAAATCCGCGGTTGTAGACAGGCTGCGTCTGGATCTTGACCGAAAGTGGGTCCATGGCCGTTTCTGGTACGCCTTGGCAAAGCGCCACGGACAAGTATTGCCGTGCTGACCCGTGTGCTTTTGGGCATGTTTACCCCCGGTAGTCTGCAAGCCCAGATCGACTCTGCCTCGCATCTGTCCCAGGTCTTGGCGGCATCGCGGCTATGGGAGGGACTCGAGGAAGTCGTGCGGAAGGAGACGACCCGGTACCTGACGGGCAGCGACGACGAGTCCGACGTGCCGATCGACCTTGGATCACCATGTGAGTAGCATACTCTGCGAATTCTGCTGGCGGAGAGCTGTGGGAAATGTTGGGCCGATGCTGCCTTTCGCATGACTCTGGGCCCTCTCGCTTGCGATTCTGACCGGGCTGTACGCATCTTTGGCTATCAGACGCCTCGTCTCTGGGCTTTGGTTCCCTTGAGCTTGACAGCACAGGCACCGCCAGCACAGGCGCTGGCTCTGATGATACTGTGCCGGCGCTGTCGACGAGGCTGCCGAGCACTTCGCCGCCACTGGAGGAGGACCCACGTGACAGCTAGCTGGGACGAGGAGCGAGGCGCGAGCGAGAGGACAGCGAGGCGCGGCGAGAGGCGATGATGCGGAGAGGTGGCGGCGATGGCGACGAGGCGCATCCGGGCTTGTCTGGCTGCCATCGAGGTTCCAACGACACATCTCCATCCCCGGCCTGCTGCCTCGAATAAAAGTCCCCCCCCTGTCAGACACCCGCGCATCCACACTCTCCGCAACCAAAGCACACAGCAAAAATGAAGGTCTTTGCGATTTCAATCCTGCTCCGCAGCAGCCAGGGCACCGCCAAGGTCCTCGCCGTCGAGACGGACCTGTCGACCTTTTCGTTCTTCCAGAGGGGCAGGTACATATCGTCTGTCGCTTGCTCATTCTGCTGCGATGCTTGCCTGCAGTCGCTCGAAGCCTGCATACTCGTTGTCTCCGAGCGACAGTCTTGGAGTCGCTGGGCGTTATCTGCCTCTGAGCTTTGAGGCAGCAACGTCCCTCCCTCCGCTCGTCGTTGTCGCCGGACAGAGAACGAGGGAGAGCAGGAAGCAGGGAGGCAACTCTGGGCATGTACGACACTCTGGACGATACCCTGGCTGGCGCTCGGCCAACATCGGGAGCCAGCTTCACTTTGCTGTCGGAGGTGCTGCACCCTGTGTGCTCAAGAATGCATCGCCGTTGCATGGGTCAAGGCTGGAGCCTATCGTGGCTGGAGCCGCTCGCTGGCCCCCATGTCCCCGGAATACCGTTGTCTCCAGGCTGAATGGAAGAAGGGAAGTGCATGTGCCCTCAAACAGCCATAGAAAGCACCGGTGTTTTCGGCTTCAACGGACCTCGGTCAAGGTGGCCAAAAGCTGCAACGAAGGATGGCTTGGCTTGGCTTGGCTCTGGAGGAACCACATCGGCGTCGCCGCAATAACTATGCCTCCATTGCGGCTCTGTGCCGGCATGCAAGCCAAAGAGATACCGGCAGCACAAGCGGTGGCGTCAGCTTTATGGAGAAGCAGTGTCGACGGCAACGCCGACAATGGGCATCGTCGAGTCAAGGATCCCAAGATCCCTACACTATCCAACACAGGACCGCAGAGCTGCTTTTGCTCGCATCGGATCTCTGGACTGTCTCGGCTGACATGGTCGACAGGAATTCCTGTGCTTCAGGACAATCGAGTCCCATTTGGCGGTGTATGCTTGCATGTGCAGTGGACTAACCCGGTTCCCTGGTTTCGATCCAACCACATGCGTACCCTCCCATCCCATTCCCGGAATCGGCAGTGTCCAAGAGTTTATGGGCTTTTTCTCGGTTACTGCTGCCGAACGCACCCAGCCTGGAGTGCGTCAGAAGATCGAGTCGGATAGTAAGTTCAAACGGGACGAGGAGTGATGGATAGACGGGGACTTGTCACCGATGGCGATGCTGAGGTGATATGTCGCTGGTCATCCCGCAGAGTGCACTTACTGGCCGAGCTGCAGAATGCGTCTGCCTCCGTGCAGCATAGCGACGCGAGTGCAACGGCGTGATATCGACAGGATGGCTGACAATGGCTTGACACCTCTACCGCCAGACTACGTTGGCAACGTCTACACCCGGGTTGACGGCCTCAGCGCCGTGATGATCACGGACGGCGAATATCCGACCCGAGTGGCGTTCTCTGCGCTGAACCGACTGCTCGAGGAGTTTGCAGGCCGATTCCCTCAGTCGCAGTGGGCCAGCTTGACGCCCGCGCAGACCCAACCGGCCTACCCGGAGCTGAAAACGCACCTGCAGACCTTCCAGAACCCCGAGGGAGCGGACCCATTCCTGCGAGTGCAGCGCGAACTTGACGATACCAAGATTGTCCTGGTGAGTGGAGCCATGTCGGTCTGATGCAGAGGGATGGTGCGAGCGGGGGAGGGTAGCGATCCCGAGTTGGCGAGGTGCGTCCTCGATGGAGCTGACCAGTATGACGCAGTCGGATTGCTGTTCGTGGTCGAGGATGAAGTTGGCGGCAACGGCGATGAGTCGGCGTGGCAAATGCGGTCGTGGATCGAAATGACGAAGCATCCATGAGTCGCGGACTGCACTTGGCTGGAGATCCATGGACATGTGCCCATGGAAACAGCGACGGAAACGGCGGCGGAAACACATGGGTGGGGGTGGGGCCAGGGGGCGAGGTTGGGTGGGCCACACGGATCGGAAGTGACGGAGTGCATGGCGGAATGCATGATGGAGGAGGTGCATGAGGAAGGGAGTTCATGGCAAGAACGATGAACTAACAGACAGCACGGATCTCTGCAGCACAAGACCATGCAGACGCTGCTGGAGCGCGGCGAGAAGCTCGACGACCTGGTGGCCAAGTCGGACCAGCTCTCGACCCAGTCCAAGGTGTTCTTCAAGGCAGCCAAGGATAATAACAAGTGCTGTGTAAGTGTGCCTGTTTGCGGGCACGGCGATGCTCAGGCGGGTGCTGGGCAACGAGGCGGGCTGCATGCGCTGGATTCTAACGCCGCCGCCCGTATCCGCAGTCCTACCTCTGAAGCCTTGTGAGCCAGCATGACAAGATCCCGGATGGGCCATGCGATGTGCCGTTACGCACCAAAGCAGCCGGACGGGAGCAGGATGTATTGTGCGGTGCATGCTCTGTGGACGGGGTCGAGTTGTAGAATACAGCAAAGGGTGCACAGAGCCTGGCCAGCCACGCGGCGGCCGCCCCAAACACCCACGGCCGGGAGCGGGGGGCTGGTGGTCAGATGCGCGCCCATCTCATCGCCCCGGCGGCAGCAAGGCGTGCGCAGCGGATGCGGGAAACGCTGTGGGGATTTGTCTGCGGGGTCGGCATCGACACTATTAACGACAGCGGTGTCGACAGCGATGTCGACATGGCATTAGCGTTGGTGGCAGCACCACCGTAACCACAACCACCGCAACCACCACCACCGCAACCACCACCGCAACCACCACCGTAACCACCACCACAGCCAGCGCAACAACCACCACAACCACCACAACCACCACCGACACCATTATCGACTCCGAAAGCGACACCGTCGCACAGCGGCCCATCGGCTCGTTGCGCCGCCGTCGCTTGTCGGCCCTGTGTTCCCGTCGGGTCGCCTTCCCGTCGCTGCCCCCGCGGGAAAGCCTCTGCAAGGCCCGCAACGGATATTGCAAGGCCGCCCGCCGTCCCTCGCTCTCGCTGCCCTCTCCTCTGCATCTCATCGCCTTGCCGCGCTGTCGACTCCCGCAAGCCTTGTCGTCCCCGGGCTGATTGTTGTCTCCGTCGCCCATCTCCTTCAGGTGCGTGCTCGTCTGAGCCTGGCCAGCCGCCTGTTCTCCCCCCCCCACGGCCCGTCCTTGCCCCTATAAATCCCGCTCTCGCCGCTTCCGTGCTGCTGCTTCCAGACCTACTCGTCCTGCCGCCCTCTCCAGTTGCATCGTCGACGCCGAATCGATCCTCCAGCCGCGATTCTCACAGCCTCTGCTCCCAATATCTACAGTCCGCCCAGTCTCTCTTCAGCGTCTCTTGAGCCTCTCACTCCGTCGGAGCATCTTCCTCAAGCACATTCATCGCCCAAACCATCCTCACCACCCGCACAGCACCATGTACTCTGCCCGTGGCCTCTCTGCTGCCCGTGTGGCATCCAAAAGTACTCGTGGTCCTCGGTCGGGCCGCTGGCTCTCGAGCTCCTCGGCCCTGCGCACCCAGGAGCCAAGCGCTAACAACGCCCGGCCCTACAAGGACAAGTCCACCATCGATCTCATCAACTCGATGATGGTCTTCCGCCTCTGCACCGTGCCCAAGATTGCCGAGATCTCGGCGCCCATCCTCGATACGGCCCAGAAGGCCAATGTCCACGCTCCCATCTACTGGGGCATCAAGAACACCTTCTTCAAGCACTTTTGCGGTGCGTATGCCACTCGTTGTGTGGGCGGTAGTGCTGTGCAGCAGCCACTCCTCATTCTGGCCCGCAGAGTCTCTTCTGTTTCCCGGTGTGCACGGCCCATTTCCACCCTGCCGTCCGCATCGGCAGCGTCCCAGGCCTCTGCCATCTTGCTGAAGGACGGTCCAAGGGTCGGCCGTGGAGTGTGCCCAGCGGGGGGAGGTGATTGGCTCTGCTCGAGACCCACCCGCCATGTTACTCGCTGTGCCCGCTCATAGTGACTGACTGTGACGCACGTCGTCTCGCACCTTCGCATGGGACACAGCCCGTTCGCTGGCCAGCCACTGATCTTGTTGCATTCCGTCTCTGTCTACAACAGGCGGCGAGAACATCGAGGAGGTTCTCCCGACCATGGAAAAGTTCAAGAAGAACGGCATCGGAAGCATTCTCGATCTCGCCATGGAGGCCGACGAGAATGCTCCTGAGCTCGTTGGTGCCGAGGCCAAGGCCTTCACCGCCCATGTCGCGCAGATGATGAAGGAGAGCATCGACATTGCCAAGATGCAGCCTGACTCGTTTATCGCTGCCAAGATCACGGCTCTTGTGCCGCCCGCCGTTTTGCAGCGATGGTCCAACTCGATCCGCGCTCTGCGCACCGTCTTTGATGCCTGCGATGCCGACAAGGACGGCCAGCTCAATGCCGCCGAGCTGGCTGCCTTCTTGCAGCGCTTCCCGTCGCTGAGCGCTGCCAGCTTCCCGCTGGCTGCCCGGACGGGTCGCCCAGTCGACTGGATCGATGTCACCGATACATTCACCATCACCAACGCCGCCACCCGCACCGCTCTCTTGGGTCTCGAGCCCCTCAACTCCCACAAGGACTTTAGACTCGCCACCGAACAGGACTTTGCCACCTCCGACCTGGTCGTTACCGAGATCGACAGCATGTTTGAACATGCCCGCCAAACCGGTGTCCGTATCTTTGTCGATGCCGAGCAGACCTATTTCCAGCCGGCCATCGACGACTATGCCCTCTACCTGTCCAAAAAATTCAACCCGCGCCGCAGCCTCAACGGCCCCGCCTTCCCGATCGTCTACAACACCTATCAGTGCTATCTCAAGGACACGTACTCGCGCCTCAGCGCCGACATGATCCGCTCCGAGCGCGGCGACTACAGCTTTGCCTGCAAGATCGTCCGTGGTGCCTACATGGTCTCGGAGCGTGAGCGTGCCAAAGAATTCTCGTACGAGGACCCCATCAACCCCAACATCGAGGCCACTCACCAGGTCTACAACAGCGCCATCGAGTTCCTGATCAGCAAGATCCAGTCGACGGCCGCGCCCGAGGGCAACATCCCCGTTGCCTTTGTCGTTGCCAGCCACAACAAGGGCTCCGTTGCGATCACCCGCAAGCTCATGGACGAGTACAAAATCGAGCGCAAGGAGAACCGTGTCGGCTTTGCCCAGCTCATGGGCATGAACGATAGCACGACCTACGGACTCGCTGGTGACGGATACAAGGTGTACAAGGTGGGTTTGGAGCGTGGGTTAGGAGCGTGATTTTGGTGTGGATATGCGAAGCTCTGAGATTTGGCTGATGCCTCGACTGATGCCTCGACTGATGCCTCGACTGGTGCCTCACGATGCTTCGGTTGTGTTGTGGTGCTTGGTGTGGCATTGCTGTCGTGTCTGCTTGACTGGGCCGCTGACTTGATTTGCTTCTCTTCATCTACAGTACGTTCCCTATGGACCGGTTTCTGTCACCATCCCATACCTCCTGCGTCGTGCTCAAGAGAACTCGTCCCTCCTTGGAGGCGTTGCAGAGGACCGCAAGACCCTCTCTGACGAGCTTGTCCGCCGCCTGACCCTCAAGTAAATGGATTCTGTGGGTGCAGTCCGCGCTGACGACCCGGTGGCCCGACGGTAGCTTTCTCGCCATTCGTCTGCACGAGCACATTGCCATGCAGGTCGATCGTCCTCTCGTCCAGAGCAGCATGCTACCCCTCCCAAGCAACGAACCTGTGCCCGTGCTCGGACTTGATCCCCTCCAATGTAGTAGAGCCGAACCGATTCCACAAGCATTCTGTGGGTCTTTCCCGTCTATAACCCACACCCACCCTGTACGATATTCATCCACGACTCCGCCATGCTGCTTACTCGTTTTTTTCTTGTCCGCTTGCTTGTTTCTTTTCTCGATCGATTCCAACTCCTCCACTTCGCCATGCTCTCTACCCCCCCCCTTTCTCAATATTTATCCAGTTCCACTTGGTGCACATATCCATCCCCTGTTCTTGTATTTTTTTTTGCCACCACAACACCCAGATCCCCAATGCTTCTTTCTTATTTGTTTTCCATCGCTGAGACGGGTCGCACTGTATTTATGGCTGGTGTCGAATATCCTGCGCACTCTGAATACATGCATGCACAGTCATCCAGCCATCGGCTTCTCGTCGCTGCTGTCGACAGCAATGTGGTTGCACTATGGGTCGGTGGCATTCTTGCATCAGTCGATCAACCAGCCAGCCACGTGACGATCTCGCTCGCTGGTGTCTCGCTCTTGGCTTGTGTCTGTCCGAGACCAACCCTGGCTCCTCGCGACGAGGGAAACGGCCTCGTTGTTCGCAGATTCAGTTGCCGGCCTGCTTCTCTTTGCCCCTAACAGCGCGCACAGCTCGGAGACTGCAAGGCTTCTCCAACGAAACACAGACTCCCCCCCGCACATACCGGTCGGTATCTGTGCCGGTCGCCATCCAGACGGGCGGGATGGCCTCCATTTTTGCACATCACCTTCTCCCCCCCCCTCTTTCTTGTCGCGGATGATGATCTGTCGGTTGGCTCTCGAACGAGAATTTGGCTTGATGCGGAGCGGTCGAGACTACAGACCAGCGTTTGCTCCACCTATCCTTTCGCCAACTTATATACTGTCCATCTGGACGCTGTCGTGACCCTGTCCTGATCCTCTCCGCATGCTCTCCGCATGCTCTCCGCATCCGTTCCGCATATCCACCTCCACGTCCACATCCCGCTCGACCATCTGCATCCAGACTCGCTGAATCGACTCCAACATGGCCGGCCGAGGATTGAACGATAACGAAGTCCAGCAGGAGATGCAAAAGATGGTAAATTCAGTAGCATGTCATACAATAACCCGCTCTGATGGCTCCCTGTGACGGCGCACGAGTGGATACTGGAGGAGGACGGGGAGGGAACGACGACGAGCAATGGAGCACGCGCCAACGTCCCGACTTCGAATGGCTCCGTAACTGGGGTCTGCGCGGGTCGTGCGATTTCTTTATGCCGAAGGAAGGTAGCAGCGGCGTCAGAAGATGGAGTGGAGCAAGGGACGAGTGCTCTCTCTCCAAGTGGCCACATCCTCACAACTCGATTGCCAAGATGCATGGGTCCAGCCATCTATCCTACATCCACCCCATCGCGACTGGGCATGCTCAGCCGCCTGGGTCTGACTGCTTGCTTTTCCCGCTTCGCCTCGCTCGATATCGCAGGTCAGCTTCATCAAGCAAGAGGCCTTGGAGAAGGCGCGCGAAATCAAAGTCAAGGTAATGCATCTGCTGCCTCACGCACTTCCCTTTGGGCTATTGTGAGACTCGTTCGACGCCGTGTACATCTGCGGCGCGGACATACACACGCCTACTCAAAGAACGTAAGTAGGCTGAGTTCGTCAATCTGGATCCATTCGGATCGACCAGGCCGACGAAGAATTCAACATCGAAAAGGCCAAGCTCGTGCGCCAAGAGACTCTCGCCATCGAAGCCTTTTACCAGAAGAAGCTCAAGCAGTCTGAGGTCCAACGCAAGATGTGAGTGCTTGGATCCAAGAGTAGCAGCAGTAGCAGCAGTAACAGCAGAAACGACCGCGACGGCATACGCATGGTCCTGTGTTGAAAGCGAGCAAAGCCAATGGCAACTGGCCGATCACCCTGCTCGAACCGACCCAGCAGTGGTTAACGTAGCTCGCTGAGAGCACTGCACTGCCTTTGGCGACTGTTACCGCCCCACTCTGTTTACAACCACACAACTAACCTTCTCTCTGGTGCGAGGGCAGCGCTCAGTCGAACCACATCAACAAGAACCGACTACGCGTGCTGCAGACCCGCCAGCAGGTGCTGGAGGAGCTGTTCAAGGAGGCAAAGTCGAAGCTGGTCTCGCTCACCCAAGACAAGACCAAGTATCAGCACCTGCTGAAGGATTTGATCCTGCAGGTCAGACGCGCGGTGGGAGCATTGGGCCGGTTGGAGAACGGAAGAGCGTTAGCTCCTCACGTCGCTGGCGCTGCTTCGGCTGGGGCTGCACTGGATTAATATGCCTAGTGTGCGGTGTATCGCATTCAACGACACCATGGTCCAGTGATCTCTCAAGTCTAGTCCGATCTGACGCTTCCTCACACAATGTACATGCAGGGTCTCTACCAACTCATGGACACATTTGTTGTCCTTCAGTGTCGCAAGGTCGATGTGCCCTTGGTCAAGGCCGGCTTGGAGATTGCCGTCGCGGAGTACAAGAAGGCTCTCAACCGACCCGTGACGCTGACTCTGGACGAAGCCAACCCCCTTCCTGAGACGAGGTAACGAGTCCGAGGACAGTTACGGCATCAACGAGCGCGGCTAGAAGACGGCGACCTCAGAGGGAGCTTTTCGTGTGGATATACACCGATCCAAGCTCGCCCTACTTCGATTGGTATTGGGAGCCCACCCGTTTCTTACACGGGCCACATTCAGCCCATGGTGACGCATCTGCTGACGTGTATGCCTGTATGCCGCTTTGCTTTCAGTGCCGGCGGCGTCGTCCTGTCCTCCCTCGAAGGCCGCATCCGAGTCTCGAACACGCTGGAGAGCCGCTTGGAGCAGCTTGGCGACACAGTGAGTAGCGTGCCAGCAGCAGCAGTAGTGTTGCCACAGTTCTGCAAAATACCGTCACATGGACAACGCTTCCTGATACATGTGACGCTGCATTCAATCCAGATGCTTCCCGATATCCGATACACTCTCTTCGGTCCGTCGCCCAACCGCAAGTTCTTTGACTAGAGACACGCTCGAATCATCTCGCTCCACGATCCAGCTCTGGTGAAAGGGAGGCGTGCAGACAACAATAGTGCTGTTATCTCTTCAACTTGATTCGTTTGTGATTTCTCACTCGCATTGACCTCGCCTGCTCCTATATGCTTGTCGATTGGCCGACTTGCGCGGACAAGTGAGGAAATGCGGATTTGGAAGGCCCAAGCAGGTGTGGGATATGATCGCAGCCGGTGTCAGGACCATGGCCAGCCCGCGCCGTGCCTGTCCCTGCGCAAATACATACTTTACTTGGAGTGGAGCACGGCGCTCGTCTTGACGCTGCACTTTCTCACCCGGCATCGGCCAGATGCAGGCCCGGTGAGTGTTGGGCAATGCTGAGGGAGTGTTGGTTGGTTGTCAGCCAGCCAAATGTCTTGTCGGTTGCTGTCCACGTGCCGCCCAAATCCGGGACGGACATGGCCCATCCCCATCCGCCCCGGTCTTGGCGGAATGAAGTTTTAATTTGTGATTCTTTTTTTCGGGCGCAGATCCGCGATTTCCTGTCCACGCCGATCCAAACACCCCCGCAGCAAGCCAGCGGACCAGCAATCCCGCAAGCAGCAGTATTCGCCGAGCCTCCCCCCCTTTACGGCCTTTGATACTGTCTGAGGCTACGCCGTTCTACTTCGTTGCAACATCCTTATCGAACACGAGGCCAGTCTGCTCCCCATAATGGCACGGAAGGGAAAGAGAAAGGTCCATGTCCAGGCCGAGGTCGCCGACTCCGAGATCGACTATCGAAAGGGTGCCTCGGTCAAGGCCATCAACACCTTCGAGGATATAGGCGGCGATTCTGAAGATGAATGTGAGAATCGAACACTGTGGCATTGACGGTGGTGGGAAGGGTATATCGCATCTCCTCGTTGATCTCTGCGAGAACGGTCGTTGTGCGCCTCCCCCATCCAGAACGGGCGGGTCGAGTATAGAAGGAAGTGGCTGGCCCCATATGAAGGGAGCAAGAGCCAAAGCTTCACGGTGCCATTTGTTGGATCGCCTCTTGTCCGTCCAACCCACTGACCATTCCATCATACTCGCTGCTTTCCCGGCCCTCGGACCGACATTATGCCGCACCTGAAACATCCACGTCAATCGAATGGAATCGACTGGGATTTGACTGAATCTGCAATGCGGGCTCACGGAACGGATTGAATGAACGGCACACGGACGACTCGATATTATTGAATGTTCCTGATTACCGATTTGACTCCGACGGCTGTGCAAACCCATTGTGCATTGGATTTGGGGCGGAATGCAAATCTAAATTGGGCCAACGGGTGAACCTGGCGGACACGGAATCGATGCATGGATGATATATCCACCATCGCTCAGTCCATCAACAGCGCGAAAGCATTTCGCTCGGCGGTGCTTCACTTTATGACCGAAAGGACGACTCTGGTGCGTTTGCATGCTCTTGCTCATGCCGCTATTCGCGGTCGTTGCATTGGCTCACCACGCTCGAAACTGCCCTGGCACTGCACTCGGTGAGCTTGGATAGACTCTTGCGTCTGAAACCTAATCTCTATGTGGTACTCAAGATGCTGGATCCGAGGTCGAGGTGATGGGTCTGGATGTCCAAGACTCGGACATGGAAAGCGAACCAGATTATGATGAAGTGGACGACGAGGACGACGAGGATGACCCCGACGAGCAGCTTTTGGACAAGATCCGACGGAATCTGAAGCAGCCTGAGATGGTAGACGATATCCTCGACACGCGCGACAAAGACGAAGGTATGAGCGCGATGACCTGATTCAGATGTTGGCTCGTGCAGTTTCACGGCGTCGTGTCGCTGTCGAATTGCTATTGCTGACCGAACGCTGCGTATTTCTCCTAGAAATTGACCCTCGAAGCTGGGGCCGGTCACGAAGGAGCTTTTACGACGGTGAAGATGATCTCGACGACGATATTGGTATGGACCGCTTCGCCAAAATGATTAGCTCGGGCACCGCGAATTCCAATCGACCAGCCTAACGCACCGCCGCCACGGCCACTTGCCATGCTTTGCTCGCTCTGTTTCTGTGATACAATCGGTCCTTAATTCCTGTCCCCAGCCAAGGAAGAAGAGATTGAGGCGCTGAGGATGCGGAAGGAGCGCCTGGATGAAATGGGTGAAGAGGATTACATCGACGACCTGGAAGACAGCCTGGCCCGGCGAGTCAAGGGTGAAGCCGGAATGAAGGCCGAGGTATGCCAGTCGCGCACAGCTAGCTACGCCCTGCTTGCAGCAACTGCGAGTAGATTGTGTCCGGAGTAGGCTGTGCATTCAAGTCAAATTGGCAGCCGGATGGTGGGGAGCCTCCACTCCTTTCCCTCACACATTGCCGAGGGACAGAGTACGGGATTGACCTAAGCGCATCCGCTTTGCTAGACCCTGGTTCCAGTCTCGACCGACGACTTTGACCATCTGAACATCAACGGTGGCCTCTTTGGATCGTCGACGCCCCAAGTCGAAGTGCTCGACAAGGGCTTGAGCACTCTGTCGCCCGACAAGCTGGCAGAGATCGTGCGCAATACCGAGCCCGAGATTATCCATTTGCTGGAAGAATTCCGAGAGCGGTGGGAAGAGCTCCATCTCGTCATCGGTCCAGCCGTCAAGTTTTGCTACGGACACGTCGAAACGCACGGCGACTCGTTGCTCTCTGCATCGCTGTCGTACCTTCGTCTGAAATACCGTAAGCCATCCTTCATCGCCGCAGCAAGTGTCATTTTGATCGCCGCGAGCCAAAGTTTGGTTCGCTGCCATGGCCCGTATGATGGTGATCTAACACGGAGCTGTGTTGTGTATGCTCTGGATCCCCTGATCTCGTCACGTTTCCAGGGCTCCTGCTCGTGTACCTCACCAATGTAGCCTTCTACCTCGCATACCGAGCCAACCCACCGCCAGCTGTCGACGCCAAGCAGCACCCGGTGGTCGACACTCTGGTGACTCTCCGCGAAATGCTGGAAAAGATCGAGAGTGAGGTCGAGGGTAAGGTCAACGACGACGATGCTGCCGATGCCGGGTCCAAGAAGAAGAGCAAGAAGGGCAAGAGGGCCCAGAACAAAGCCAAGGGCATGGTCAAGCTGATGGCTGGCGTTCATCTGCTCGTTGAAGGCGGGCTCGAGAGCGATGGTGACGATGACGGTGACGATGACGCAAGCCTCGGCGTTGACGACGCGGAAGCTGATGAGGACTTTGAGGACCCTGAGGACTCGACGCATCGAATCGAGTCTCAAACGAGAACGACATCCAAGGCTTCCAAAAAGCCCAAGAAGGGCAAGGACAAGGACAAGGCGGCGGCCCGGTTCGCTGACCACACCGATGACGCAAACGATGTTCCTGAAGTCGAGTTTGTCAAGCTCGGCGGCAAGAATATGCTGGAAAAGAAGAAAAAGAAGGCGAACAAAGCAGCCATCTCCGATTTTGGCGAGGATCGGGAGCTTGATGATGTGGACATCCTGGACAAGGAGGAGAAACGACGAAGTCTGCGGTTCCACGTCACTCGCATCGACCAGGTGAGCTCCAGTCGCGGTTACGTTGAGATGAATGACTGCCCCCCCCCTTCAGTTCATTGGCAACAATTGGTCCGGTTCGCCCCGGCGCAGCGGCTGCCGGCAATGCACCGATGGCGCACATTCATTGAATCATATGTCGTCGGCATAGGTCGGCATGGCTGGGCTATGTTCACTGATGGGGCGGAGGCGTTGGCCGGCGTAAATATGCAGCATATGGCGCAGTTATTGACAGCCCATACCTATCGTGTCGGCGGTTGAACCCACCGCTCTAGGCCATTTCGAAATCTCAAAAACGGCTGCGCAGTGGTGACGAAGATATCCCGCTGCGGGATCGATTTGGCCGTGTTGTTCAGTCCGCCAAGCCTGAGCCATCCAAGGGGGAGGACAGCAAAAAGGACAGACGACGAGGCGCCGATCTGAGCGATCTGGATCCCCTCGATAGCGAGCGACCCGAAAATAATAAGCGCGGCCGAGACGAGGACCTTGAATTTGATCCAAACGACATTAATATCGGCGATGATCTCATGGACGAGATGATGGAGCTGCACGAGGAGTACGACCGAGGCGACGACGCCGACAAAAAGTCGTCCGAACGCAAGAGCGGTCGTGGCCGTTCGAGCGGTGACAAGGACGATGCTCTGGAGTACTACACGAGCGTGCAGAAATCCAAGCGGGCCAAGAAGGAGGAGCGCGAAACCGCTGTGATGGACATGAAGCAGCGCGACCTCGAGAACAGGTAGGATTTTGCATGGACGCTGGCCTGGACGGGGTGATGGTGTGCGGGAGCGGATGCGTGGGGGTCGGAGGTGGCAGAGCTCTGATGAATCTGCAGCAAGCGAGCGACGCCAGGACTGGGTAGCCCACTGACTTTATCGCTCGCATCCGGCTGTGCCAATACAGATACTACGAGAACGACAGCGTCGGCGAAGGCGAAAAGCGTCACATCAACTTCACGATCCTCAAGAACAAGGGCCTGACCCCGAGCCGCCCGAAGGCCAATCGCAACCCCCGTGTCAAGCGCAGACTCAAGTACGAGGCCGCCGTCAAGAAGCTGCCGTCATACCGCCGCGTTGCTGCCGACAAGTCCAAGCTCGGGGCATATGCCGGCGAGAGCACGGGCATCAAGGCCAACACCTCGCGAAGTGTGCGCTTCGTTTGAGACGAAATGCTGCAATAAATGGCGTACAAGCCGATTTCCCGGCGAATGCGGGTGTGTGCGGCCTGCACTGGAAATGGGCCACATTTTTCGGCAATATGCCGATTGGGGTCGGGTCGGCATTGTCAGCTCACAGCGCTTCCAAAATGATATAGGGCACCCTCCCCTGCTTGAAGCCAAAACTGCTGTTGTTTGCTGGGAACTGAATGCACCCACCCACTCATCGCAATCATGGCCAAACAGTATGTCCCACAAGATCGAGGTGGTGATTGCCTTTGGGAATGCATCCTGGAAGCAAGGGAAGGGATTCGCATCCAGTCCACGGAGACTCAGGTTCGCTCGGTATTTCGAGCAGTTCATACACCACCAGAGACAACCAAGTGTGCTCGGTGAACGAGTTCAACACATCCCAGGTGTGCTCGAGTATCTTGGTATCGATACACCATGGAGCTGTCCAGAGGGTCGAGGGAATACACCACTCAAAGAGACTGCCAGCCAAGACGAGAAACAATCTCACGGCTTGCTCGCTGGGGCCTACGGAAGTTCGGCAGGTTTCAGGCCTCTGATGCCAGAGAGTGACTGTCCCGTTTCTTTCTGGACCGACTGTGCGAACTGGGGAGGTCGAGATGGAACTCTATTGGCACTCCGAAGTGATACCCTCCGCGCAGCAACGTGATACCTCCGCGCAGCGAGGTGATACCCTCCACCCACATCGCCACTCGACCCCTGGCCGCTGCGTTGGCTTGCCACCGCCACCATTCCCAAGATACCCGTGCCCGATCACGTAGTATATGAACCCCGTCGACATGGTGGTCGCCGTTTGCTTTCCACAACCACCGTCCTCTGCGCACCCTACTCGAGAACCCGCTTTCCGAACGCACTTTGCTTCGTCACAGCTGTCCCCTCCTTCTGCCCCCTTCTGCCCCTCCCTCTGCCCTTGCCGTCATCTGCATCACCATGTCGACCGAAACTTCATCTCGAAACATCGCCGCTGAAAGCATCACCAACTGGACTCTTGCTCCCATTGCCCACGGCGGCTGGGGCGAAGTATTCAAGGCCTCGTACAATGACGCCGTGGTCGCTGTAAAGCAGCCCTTTCGCGGCCACTCCGATGCAGAGCTGGTCGAATTTCGGAAAGAAATCGCCATCTGGCGCAGACTGAACCACCGACACGTTCTTCCGCTCTTCGGCGCCTGCGACAACAACTCCAAGCACTGCATAGTCTCACCATTCATGCCCAACGGCACCCTCCACGATTATGTCAGAGATCCAGCAAACATTCGTCCCCTCGAGGAGAAGCTTTGCCTCCTTCGCCAAGTGGCTTTGGGCATGGCGTATCTCCACAGCAACAACGTCGTTCACGGCGACCTGAAGCCAATGAACGTTCTGTTGGATGCATCGTTTTCAGCCGTCATCTCGGATTTCGGCTTGTCCCACATTTGGACCGACTCGGCCCAGACCAACAACCAGCAGGGAGTGTCCGTTTGCGGCACTCCAGGCTTCATGGCCCCCGAGCTGCTGGGCTCCAACCACGAAGCGCAGACCACGAAGCGCTCGGATGTCTTTGCCTTTGCCATCACCATCCTCACTGTCCTCAACAACGCCGCGACCCCCTGGGTACTCAGCTCACAATCCATGGGTGGCTACACCGTTTGCAACTATGTTCTCGAGGGTGGTCGGCCCAGCCGTTTCGAAGGCATCCCCGACGACGTCTGGCAGCTCGTCAGCGATTGTTGGAAGCAAGATCCCAACGACCGCCCCGAGTTCCCCAGCATTGTCGAGAGCCTCGATCGCTACAAGGACTACATCCGCCCGACTCCTGAGCCATCCAGCTCCGAAGTGGTATCGGACAGCTCCGAAGTGGTATCGGACAGCTCCAGCTGCTCCGGTGCCAGTACCGCCTCTGGCTCTCCCAAGACTTCCGATTTGGCGTCTATGGAACTTCCTGAAAATTGCAATATTCCGCCCTCTCTGGCCCTGCGCTTCCAGAGCGGAGACCCGGATGCTGCCCTCGATGTTGCCGAAAGCTCGATCAAGCCGCTGGAAATGCCGCAAGGATTGGCCAAGTTTGTTGCCAAGTACATCACCCACAGCCAGCCCAGCCAGCCCGACAACACAACAGCTGTGCAGATCTTCTCTCGCATGGCGGATGAGGGCAATCTCGAGGCCCACTTCTATCTTGGATGGATGTACATGACTGGCTGTGGTGTCCAGCAAGACTTTTCCAAATCCTTTACCCATTGGACCAAGGTCCACAAAGAATCTGGCGATCCGGCTCTCGAGCCAATGGCCTCACACATGCTCGGCTGGCTCTACTACCTGGGCCGCGGCACTGGAAAAGACACAATAACCGGAATCAAAATGATCAAAGAAGGCTCGGCCTCTCACTTTGGCCTTGGCGAAGAGGCGTGCCTCAGCGGCTTCACCTTGAGTTCATCCAGAGCGACTGCAGCCAAAAAGTTCTTCGAGCTGTGCCACACACTCTCCGAATACGACTGGCTCTGCAAGCATCTGATGGCGGTGTGCTATGTCAACGGATTCGGCACCCTGCAGGACAAGACGCAGGCCTTCACAATCTTCAAGGAGCTGGCCAAACAGGGACATAGCGACAGCCAGTACTGGCTGGGGCATTGCTACTCGTATTGCCTGGGAACATCCCGAGCCAGATTCAAGGCCTTGTCTTGGTACAACAAATCCGTCAACCAGGAGAACCCCTATGCAATGCGGGCCCTGGGAGACTGCTATTATTACGGTCTCGGAGTTGCTCGAAGCATGCCCACTGCCTCCCTGTGGTATATGCGGTCGGCCAATCTGGGTGTCAGCGGCGCTGTCAGCGCCATGGCTACGATGATCAGCATGATTGGATTGTACCTTCAGTTCATGCGTTGATTTCTGAATATGTATATGCTGCGCAAGAATAAAACCATTGTGCATATCGAAACAGACGATGGTATCGTTGATGTGGCCGATCAATCGCTGATCGACACTTGTGGCTGCCCATTGTGTGTTTCGGTTGACCCAGGAACAGCGACGTCAAGCAGTGCATCTGTGCTCGGTTGGTGGTATCGCCTGCTGCTTGCTGCTTGCTGCTTGCTGAGGGACTTGGGCTCGCCCCATGTTCCGTGTTGAATTATTGTCAGGATCCATGATGGGAGGGCCAGGAAAAGAGGAGGTTGAAGATAAATTTATTCAGCGTTCAAAGGGCGTGGGTCGAAGTTCAAGATCCCCCCGATCGAGTCCCCTCCCCGTCCCGGAGCTCTAGGCGAGGGTTCTTTATATTTCGAGTCCGAGACGGGACGGGGGTGGACTCGGGTCGAGAAGTGTGTCGAGGCGTGGGAAGTGATGTGATTGATGGCGCGATGGTGGACAAGTTGCAGGAATGACGTGAGTAGTCTCTCGCGTCATGTTCACATGTGGGTCAGTCCCTCACAATTATGGTGCTTGCTCGTTTCTTCGGTGATGCAGCGATGATCTTGGGGAGAGGAGCCGGCAAAGCGCTTGGGGTAGCTCATGGGTCAGGGCCACTGTCGAGCCTCATAAGACTGTCGATGGCGTATCTGAATCCTTGGTCCGCGGCCTTATGGTACCAAAACATAGCTTCAGAATCCTTGAGGAAACCATCAGCGCGTTCGTAGAAGTCGCCGATATAGTGTTGGCCGTATCGATTGCCCTGCTCGGCCGATTTGCGATACCACTCGATTTCCTTGGAGTGGTCCTTGTCGACGCCGTATCCCCAGTAGTAGCACATGCCGACCATCCACTCCCCGTACGAATTGCCTTGATCGGCGGATTTGCGGAACCACTCGAATGCCCTTGAGTAATTTTTTGGCCTCCCCCAGCCGCATCGATAGCACTCGCCAATCCAGAGCTGGCTGTCGCTGTGGCCGTCATTGGCGAGCTGCTCAAAGATGCTCGCTGCCGCTTCATGGTCTCTCGCAGCACCGAACCCTTGGACCAGACACACAGCCTTGAGGTGCTTGTAGAGCCAGTCTCGATTTGATCCCAGATTGCACAGCTGAAACAGCTTGCAGGCGGCTGGTGACAGGGAGGACACAAAGGCTAGCCATGATGCTAAGCTCTCGTCCTCCCCGAGACGGAAGTCTCTCGACTCGTTCTCGCGAATGATCTTGATGCCCTTCTGTTGGTTTTGTTGTGTGCCCCGGCCGAGGTAGTGCATCCACCCAACCATGTGGGTGGCAATCGGTTTGATGACCGGGTCCGTCGACTTGGTGCTGACCTCCTGCCAGTGATTGAGGGCATCGACATCGCTCTGCTCGACACCGTGGCCAGTGAACGAGAACCACCCATGAAGGAACTCGATGTGGAGTCGGCCGTCTTCGCTGCCTTGATCTTCAGCCTTGGAGTACCACTCGATGGCGGTGTCGTAGTCCTGTTCGACTCCTTCGCCGGTCTCATAGCATCGGCCGAGAGCAACTTGGGCCTGTGCGAGTCCACGATCCGCAAGGCAGCGATACAGTTCGGCAGCCTTGGTGTGGTCCTGGTCGACTCCAATGCCATTGCGATGACACTCGGCCAGGTGGAACTGAGCCATCGGATGATTTGTGTGGGCTGCATTCTCCAGGTGGCGGAAGATTTGTTGAGACTGAGACCGCCGCGCTGCCCGGCTTACGGACTGCTGTCCGTCGAGATGGACTTGGATGATCCGGGCCAGGAAGAACGAGGCAGCGGGGCACCCTTGGTCCGCCTGAGCAACGAGCCAGGATCGGTCGGCTGTGGGTGGCACATTGCAGTGCAGGGCGAGTGCAATGCGGTCGCTGGGTGTGAGGCCGATCCGCATCTGTCCGTCTGGATGACGTAGTTCTGCATTCTGGCACCAGCGGTGGAAGCGAGGCAGCTTGGAGCTCAGGAGAGGCCGTGCCCGCCTGCACACTTGGAGCAGGGTCTTGATGGCGACATGGTCAAGTGCGAGCTGGAAGCGCTCGTTGAAGCAAACGATGGCAAAGATGTCCGGGCTGTGGTCGTCGACGGCCAGGCGAGTCATCGGTCGAGTGCAGGAGGAAGCGACGCTGGCATTCATGGCGATGCGAGACTGCGACTGTGGATGGAGGCGATGGCAGCAGCGATGGCGTCGTCAAATATGATGGCAGCGGGGTGGTGCCGAACGAGCGAGAGAGGCAGTCCAGCCAGTCCGAGTGTGCAGACAGCAACCAGAGCAGAAATCGTCGACACGTGAGCAAGTCCCTGTCATGGTCGGCTGGGAGACAGTACATTGAAACGACCGTAGGACACACCATTTCGCTCGGACACATGGATCGTATCATGTACTCGGACAACAACGACCAATTAGTGAGACAAATTATCTCAGGGTGTCCGTCCCAAGGATCCAATCGACGCCATTTAGCCCTAGCCCACTGAACCACTCGCCCTCGGTCAGCTGAGTTGTATATCTGAAGTAGTGTCCCCTATCATTTTCAAAGGGTTGCCAGCTGTATTCGGCGACTATATGGGTACACACTTACGCACCAGCCATATGGAGCCTCCATGGCGCACGCCAACAGCAGGAATACGACAAGATTCAACGTGTGTATGCAGGCGGGTTGGGGTCGAGCATCTCCAGCTTGGTTGACGCCGATTTTCCGACTGAAGCATATGCCAAATTGCTGCCAAAGCCTGAGTTTGCGGCGATCGGTGTGTTGGAATATCCGTCGTATGGCACGGATGCCGTCTCGGCACCGTCGCGCAGACCATCCTTGCCAGAGTTCGCAGTCGTTATGATGATACGGGAGGCATGGGTGGCAGAGGTACTGATGGCAGGCGCACCGGTGGCATGAACTTGGTGAGGAATGTAGATGTCTTTCGGAGGTTGGGGTATGTCGGCAACGGACTGGACGGGCATCAGCGGAATGTTCTGCGATGGTACTGATGCAGTGGCTCCGTTTGGGGTGTAGCCGCTACCGTTTGCTGGAGTGTACGTTGAAAGCGGATACGTATGTCCCAGATCTTGTCGAAACGAGTCCGAGGCGTGATATTGGGAATATGGCTGTGGTGGGTTGACGAACTGGTTGGTGAGCTGGTTGGGAGGGTGGTTGGCGGACTCGTCGAGGATCTGCGCAAACTTGGCCCGTCGAGAGCGATAGATGAGTACACCAACAGTGACAATCACAGCCAAGGCTCCGACGGTGCCTCCTGCGATGGCGGTGATCGGTAAGTCAGAGTCGATATCGCCGGACGGTGAGGGAGACGACGACGACGATGGGCCTGAACCGGATGTGGAAGCAGAACCAGGCGAGACTGACGCCGATGTGGGGTTGGAGACGGCACTCCCGGTAGCCGAAGCCGCCGATGGGGAGATGTTGCATTGCGGAGGAGTCCAGCTCGACGGGAACGAGAAGGTGCAAAAGTTGCTTGTCTCGCCGTAGAACAGGTCGCGACAGGAGACATAGGCCTGGTTGACGATAACGCCAACGACGCAGGCATAGCTGCTGTCTGTCGTGGTACACTGGTTGATGGCTTCATCGGAAAAGCTGCATCCGTGGACGCTGCAGCAGATGTGGGCAAGCAGGCGATGCTGCGAGTCCGAGGATATCAGACTCTGTACGTTCGATATGTACTGAGCAGGCTCGCTGATGCAGTTGCCGGCGGTGAGGGTGCTGGAGGGGATGGTGCAATCATAGGTGCCTTGCTGGTTGGCCTCGACGCAGATCTGGTTGACGCAGTAGCTTTGGTTCATGGCGGGAGGGTGGATGGTGCTATGATGCGGGTGAGCGAGGAAGCAGAGAATGTCTCGAGAGCGAGCAGGAAGGACAGGTGGGAAAGGGTAAGTACGAAGGAGCAAGTAGGCAGCTGGCAGAGCGAAGGCACCACGAACCAGATGGACCAGGAAAGGCGAAAGACCGGATGACGCAAGGGCTCTGAGAAGCCGCAAGAACAGCTCGAGCAGCCCAGGCGGCAACCCAAGCGCCATGAAGTGTGCCATGAAGTGTGCCAGGCCCGGTCGGCAACATCAAGGACACCACCATGAACACCATCATGAACACCATCATGTGGCACATGTGCGACTTCCGTCATACAGGCCTGCAGCGACACCGATCCACGGCGACCACGAGCTCTGCTGTGTTCGTTCGTGAGACAGCCAACGCAACGGGTGCTTTCGATGGTGCTGTTTCAGTGTGGCGCAATCGCCATCAAGCGCAGCAGCCGCCTGGGCTGAGCGGTGGCGGACCCACCCCTTGTTCTCCCCACAAAGACCCGTCTCCCAATTGACTGTGCCTTCCAACAGCGCAGCCGGCCGAAATGGGCGCTACGGAAAGCACGAGGGCAGGAGATCGACTGTGCCCGCTGTTTGTCCCACGGAACTCGTCCGCTTTTGATGCACCCATGGGACGCTGCCGACACGCACCGCGCGGGTCGCGTCTTGGGGGACATTGTGCCACTCTTATGGGTGCGCTGCATCGATGCCCATTGGTGCATTTTCGGCGTCGCGCGCACCTGTCTTGGCGTGTCCGCGGCAGATCCGTGTTGCCCAGTGGCCAAACCAACGGACCTGTGCCCAAAACACTGTCCCAGCTTCGATCACTCATCGCCACGTTTCCCGTTCGATCATCGGCGATTGGCCATTCGATCCAACCAGCAAACCAGTAGCGAGCAGCGAACAACACGCCATCTCATCGCGCTCGACAAGGTGCGGTCGGTTCTCGATCCGGATCGCGCCGATTCTACAGCCGCATTGAAGCTGCAGATTGGGCACGGCAGCGCACGAAGCGGCCTTGCGACATGTTGCTTCGGGCGTGGCTCGCCCCCTTGGTCTGGGATTTCTTCGCCAGCGCCGACATATAAAACCTGGGCATTCCCACCGCCGTCCTGCTCCTCACCGACCGCCCGTTGGCTTCTCGCTCCTCTTGGTTTGGAAAAAATGAGAGTCTCCGCCGCCATCTTTGCCCTCGCCACCACGGCCGGTGCCTATGCCGCCATTGTGTACGTTTCTCTATTCATCGGGTCGCTGCAGCCCCCCAGTTCCGTTGCCCTCCACATCTGCTTCAACCTGTGAGCCACCGCCTGTCCAGCCAACAGCTTTCTAACCTGCGTTCGCCGGCCATATACAGTATCCCCATCAGCAAGAACATCACCGCGGACCAGATCACCCCTCAGTCTGTGGGCGCTGACATCGCTGCTGTCACTGCCAAGTGGAGCACCCGCTTTGGTCTTTCGGGCAACGACAACAGCTTTGTCCCCACCAACACTCCCATCATCAACCTGGCCAACTATGCTGTACGTTTGAGTTATTTGGCACTGCACTTGGCGAGTTGCGCCTTGTCTACCTGCACGCATACTTTTCATCATGCTCTCATCCGCACTTTCGACCGAGTCGCTCACCGTGTTCCTCCACGTCTCGTTCGTAGTACCTCGCGCCTATCTTGATTGGGTGAGCCCACAGGTTGCAGTGCATGACTACTGGCCACTATGAGCTTTGATCACTCGCTGCTGCCAATGCTGCCCACTGCTCCATGTTCTGACCGCTGTGTCCCACTATTTTTTGTGATTGCACCCAGCACCCCTCCTCAGTACTTCAACGTCCAACTGGACACCGGCTCTAGCCGCCTCTGGGTCGAGGGTTCCTCCTGCACCACCTGCAAAGGTGCCGACAAGTTCGACTCGGCTTCAAGCTCGACTTTTTCCTCAACGGGTACTCCCGAGTCGCTCCAGTATGGCTCTGGTAGCTGCAGCGGCACCCTTGATTATGTAAGTTCCTCGACGATCATCGTATGCACCAGCGTTTTGGTGCAAGTGTCTAAGCCTCCACTACACTCTCCCCTTTACAGGACGCAGTAAACTTTGCTGGAGTTATCTCTACCTCTCAAATCTTCAACGACATCAGCTCCGTCGACTCAGTTTTCGCCAGCCAGACTGCCGAAGGCATCGATGGTATTCTTGGTCTCGCCTACAACAGCCCGGCTCAGTGTAAGTCGCACACCATGGTCGCCGACAATCTGCATCGGTGGCGCTCTTTGTCGCCGTCCTGACCGCCTCAAGCCCATAGGTACAATCACTCACGCCGCTTCATACTCTATCTGACTCGATAGCTGACACCTCTCAGGAAGGTGTTGTCCAGACTCTGAAGAGAACCGGCGTCATTGATCAAGCTGTCTTTGGCTTCTGGCTCAACGGCAGTCCTACCGACAGCGTCGACTCTAACACTGGTGGAGAGTTCACCCTCGGTGGCTATGACTCCAACCGCTTCACCGGCAGCATCACCTGGCTCACGCTCGATCCTTTCTTGGTCGGAGGCACCACCCCACTTTACTACTACTGGAGCCACGCTTTGACCGCCATCACCATCAATGGCCAGAGCACTGCCATCACCGATGGTTCCCTTGGTATCCTCGATACAGGTGGGTCTATCAGCAGCAGCAGCAGCACGCAGGCAGTCTCGCATCTGTCCTCTGCCCCGACATTGACCACTTATGCGCTCTCGCTCATGGCAATCCTTCTGACCTACTTGCATCTCCTTCCGTTGCTTATGAACTACTCTCCAGGAACGAGCTGGATCGTTGCTCCTCAGAGCCACTTGACCAACATCGTCCTTCCTGCCTTGCCGTCTCAGCCGACCTACAATCCTGCTTATGGCGTGTACACTGTGGACTGCTCTGTGGCGTCGCAGTTCCCTGTCATCCAGCTCGCGCTTCAGGGTAACCAGTTCTCGCTCCTTCCGGAGCAGTATATTCTCTATTTCCCTGGAAACAATCCTCCCATCTGTGTTTTCGCCATCTCGGCCATTAGTAAGTATGAGGGAAGCAGAGTTTGAATCGCTACGCCATGTCGTTGGCATGTACGAATCAGTTGCTGATATTTGATTCCGCTTGAACCCATAAAGACGGTGCCCCTGGATGGATCCTCGGCGATGTCTTCCTCCGCAACTACTATTCCATCTACGACTTCGACAACTCTCGCTCTGGCTTGGCTCTCGCGGTCGGCACGACCCTTCCTCCTCAAGTTCCTTCCCCGAGCCCGTCCACCTCCTCGACTACCTCCTCCGCCACTTCGTCTTCCGCCACTTCCTCGGCCACTTCGTCTTCCTCGGTTTCTCCTTCGTCCTCGGCCACTTCGTCCTCCGCCTCGTCCTCCGCCACTTCGTCTTCCGCCACTTCCTCGGCCACTTCGTCTTCCTCGGTTTCTCCTTCGTCTTCGGCCACTTCGTCCTCCGCCTCGTCCTCTGCCACTTCGTCCTCCGCCTCGTCCTCCGCCACTTCGTCTTCCGCCTCGTCCTCGGCCACTTCGTCTTCCTCGGTTTCTCCTTCGTCCTCGGCCACTTCCTCCTCTTCCTCGTCTTCCGCTTCGTCCTCCGTCTCGTCTTCCGCTTCGTCCTCCGTCTCGTCTTCCGCTTCGTCCTCCGTCTCGTCTTCGGCCACCTCCTCCTCCGCTTCTGCTTCCTCGGTGTCTCCCTCGTCTACCGCTTCGTCTTCCTCGGGTTCTCCTTCGTCTTCGGCCACTTCGTCCTCTGTGTCTCCCTCTTCCTCCGCTTCGTCCTCCTCCGTTTCTTCCACTTCGTTCGTTTCGACTTCCAGCGCCACCTCCTCCGCTTCCCCTTCGGCTTCCTCCACCGCCCTCCCTTACAAGTGTGTCCCCATCGGATACATGTAGATTGCTCTCCTCCCGTCTCAGTCCCCGCACGGTTAACTTTTGACATCTCTAGTTGTCGCTTCCCTCCGATTAGACCAATGTATCTTTACTAGACGTTAGTTTAGTTTACAGTGTTTCTTCAGTGTATGTCAATCCTTAGGTCTTGTCTTTGGCTCAAAGAGCCCCTCCAACTCTATTCAATACACCTTTGGTCCAAAATTTACAGCACATCTTGTTTTGAGTTCGGGATGGCATGATTTTCTGGAATCCACCTCACCCACTGTGCAAATCTCGAATGCATGCCTCGCACTCCCGCATCGCGACATTGCTGCCAGTCGATCGTCATCTCAGGAGATCGGCCAGATGTATTCAAGACTGTGTTCCCGAAACCGGCCAAACCACTGGATAGCGAGACCACAGTTCATGCTTGACTCATGTTCTCGCTGTTGCCTGTGTCGGCAGCACGTTGGTCCCAGCGGGCGGCCTCTTCCGGGTTTGGCTCGACTCCTTCGCCGTTACGATAGCAGCCGGCAAGAACGTGCTGTGCAGCCGGCAGACCAAGCTCCGCAGCGGATCTGAGGAGCTCAAACGCCTTGGACTTGTCGGTTGCTGTGCCTGAGCCGTCCATATAGCATTGCCCAAGCAGCAGCTTCGCCTCGACATGACCCTGGCTTGAAGCTGTCTCGAACAGCTCGAATGCCTTCTTGTAGGATCCCACTGTTCCGAAATCAAAGTAGTAACAGTAGCCGAGGTAAAACTTGGCATCCATATTGTCTTGTTGATCCAGCATGGATGCGAGCTGGAACAGGGTATCCTTGGCAAAGTCGACGTCTCTGTCTGATGATTCTCGATACCATCGCAGGGCCTGGGAAAGGTCTTTCGGTCTGCCTATACCATGCTCGTATTCAAATCCGCAACAAAGGGCACCGTAGCGGTCGTCTTGGTCCGACAGTCTTCGTGAGAGACGGATGAGGGCCTCTTGAGCCTCACCGGAGCCCTGCCGAGCCACCCGCTGATACCACTCCAGCGCTTTCCGATAGCTAGTGCGGTGCCCATTGCAGTCTTCGTACGCGCTTCCAAGCCAGAGCTGCTCGGACGCATCCGAGGGCTCGAAGTTCGAAAGGAGATCGAAGAGTGCGCGCTGTGCGTCGATGCAGCGCTTGCGTGCTGCCTGGCGGTACCATTCAACAGCAGCCATGCGATCCGCAGCGATGCCAAAACCATGCTCAAAGCAGTGGCCGTAAGCGAACAGTGCGAAGGCGTTGTCCGTTTCGACGTGAGCCGAGGAAAGCAGGAAGAGATGGACTTGAGATTCGAGATGGCCGTGATCCGCAGCACGCTTGAACCAAATCAATGCACTACTAATGTCGGCCTCGGTCCCAGTTCCGGTTTCGTAACGCCGGCCGGCTTGAAACTGGGCCTCAGCAGATCCTTGCTCAGCAGCGCGTTGGAACCAGTGGAGGGCGCTTGCATGATCGACTGCGGCGGTGGTCCCCTGCTCAAAATGCCGGGCCATCTCGATCTGCGCATTGACCCGACCACCGGCCGCGGCGGACTCGAGGAGCTTGAGTGCCTTCTCACGATCCATCTCTGTGCCAAGGCCGTCGCGACAGCAGAGGCCAAGTCTGAAATGAGCGTCGTAGCACCCTTGTTGAGCAGCTTTCTCGAGCCACGGGATAGCCCGAGCCGGATCCGCTTCGACCCCGAATCCATCGAGATAGCATTCACTCAGTCGGAACTGCGCCTCGGCAATTCCTCCATCGGCGGCCTTGGCAAAGGCATCAACTGCCTTGGACTGGCGGCGGGGGTCGGGCGAGGTGGCGAGATAGCGAGCATATGCGAGTTGGGTCTGCGGAGTGTCGGTATAGCTGGCCTGTGGAGCCAAGGAAGATCAGCCAGAATGAACAAGACGGCAGGCAACATAGAGGGTAGAGTGCAGCAACGAATCATACAGATTAGCGTACCACGATCTTTGTCAAGCGATGGAAGACCATGTAGATCTGGCTGTCATCAGAGACGTGGCGAGAGTACCAATCAAAGAGATTGTGAGGAATCTTGATAATGTGTTTGTTGTGCCGCAGCCACTGGGTGGACTCGGCTGCCTCCATCCATGCAGTTGGTGGCGGTCGGCCAAGATCAGTAGCTTCGAAATCGATCAAGGCCTTTTCGGAGCGGACGAATTCATCATCCCTGCTCATCCAGAGAATAGTAACGTCGTCATAGTCGGTGCTTGTGATGATACGGCCGTCGGGGGAGATGTCGATGGAGACGGGTGCTCCTGCGTGTCCCTCGAGTGTTTGTCTGAGACGGCCAGTTTCGATATCCCAGATCTTGATCGTATTGTCGTCCGAGCCAGAGACGATTCCCTTGTCGCCTGGTAAGATGACAATCGACTGGACGTCCATGTTATGGCCATCGAGCGAGTGTATCAGGCGGCCAGAAGAGGCATGCCATACTTTGACGGTGTGATCATTCGATCCGGAGATGATGTGCTGGCCGTCAAATGACACCGCAACTGCTCCAACTGCTTCGGTATGACCCTCGAGGGTCTGGAGACGCTTTCCAGAGACAATGTCCCATATCATGATCATCGAGTCTCTCGATCCAGAGACGATCGACTGGCCATCAGGAAGGGCTGCGAGAGCAAGCACATAGTCGGTGTGTCCTTTCAGATTCAGCTTGAGCCCACCTGTGGCCAGATCCCAAACCTTGATAGTGGAGTCATTGGACCCGGAGGCGATGGTACCCCCATCAGGAAGCAAAATAGTAGCTCGTATGTAATCCATGTGGTCCGTGACCGACTCTGGAGTCTGGGCATTCGCATCCCAGATTTTAACCGTCATGTCTTCGGAGCCGGACAGGATCCACTGGCCGTCGGTTGAAACGGCCAGGGCAAGGATGTAATGATCGTGTCCAACGAGGGTTCTCTTGAGATGCCCCAGGGATGCGTCCCAGATCTTGATGGTTTTGTCCCAGGATCCAGACACAATGAAGCGGCCGTCATGGCTGACGGTAACGGCGCCCACGGAGTTGGTGTGGCCTTCGAGCGTCATCTTCAACTTGCCAGTGACAAAGTCCCAGACTTTGACTGTGTGATCAGCCGAGGCTGAGACTATAGAGCCTCCATCAGGCGCAAAGCAGGCTGAATAAACCCAGTAGGTGTGTCCTTCGAGAGTGTGTTTCAGCTGGCCTGTTGTGGAGTCCCATATCTTGATGGTGTTGTCGCACGACCCGGATAAGATCCATTTTTGGTCTGGGGAGTAGGCGACACAACAGAGTGGCTCGGTATGGCTTTCGAACGTGTGCTTTGCTTGGCCGGTTGCAATATCCCACACCTTGATGGTCTTGTCATCAGAGCCAGAGACAAGGTATTCATTATCCGGGGAGAAACAGAGGCTACGTATCCAGTGCGTGTGGTCCTTGAGGACGTACTTGAGCTGGCCGGTGACCACGTTCCACATCTTTATGACGTTGTCGCATCCACCCGACGCAGCGGTTTTGCCGTCAGGAGATATGGCTGTCGTCAAGTAAGCTTGCTCGCCACCACCAAGGGTTCGTTTCAGCTGACCAGAGACAGCATCCCATATTTTGATTTCTCCGTCGTTCGAGCCTGATATGAACCACTTGCCGTCCGCCGAAAGGGAGACATAATTTAGGCAGTCAGTATGTTCTGTGAGTGTCATCACACACGGATCCCAGGTGGGTGCTGGACCGCAGGTGACCAGGAACGGAATCTTGTCCTCGAGTTGGTCGGCATATGTCTTGTAGATCGCCGTCTCCTTCGGTGTGAATGCATATCCCGAGTTGTACACCTGTGGTGCACTCTTGATGATCGGGTCGGCAAACTCGCGGATGAATCGATACGTGTCCTTGACCAGTTCCTTCGTGGTATCGTCGACGACGGTGCTGGGTGCCTTGGCGATCACTCCTCGCAGCACAGCCAGTTGCTCGATGATCGGCTTGACCACATGTGTGAGCGACCCACACTCGAGCCAGAAGAACACATGAGTCTTGACGAACCGAGTGAGCACCGCTGCCACATCGACCATCTCGGTCGACTGCCACACCGGACTCGACTCGGCCACTCCATCCACACACCACACAAAGTGTGTGATCCAGTGGGCGACGCTGTATCGCAGCGACGGTGTGATCTTGGCTGCGACCCTGTCCTCGAGGTCTGGGGTGTTGTCGTGAAAGTCGTAGATATCGCAGATGTTGATCACTGGCTCGTGCGAGAGGATCACGCCGAGACATCCCATGGCAAACACCGTGTGGAACGAGTCCGACACATGCCACGGATGGCCAGTCGATGCGTCACCGAGGAGATAGTCCGCCACCGACTTGTGGTTGAACTTGACCTCGGTGTTGGTGGACTGGCTGTCTCGGGGACCCAGTCCATTGGCGCCAGGATCGAGGACCAGACTGAGGCTCTTGAGACACTCGCAAACGACGCCGATCTCGAGTCCAAACACATCGGCGATGATGTATGGGGTCAGGATCGACTGGGCCGTGGCAATCGCCGACACCACCGTGACCAGCTCGGCCGGATGGCTCGACTGCGAGTGGATCTTGGCGAATGTCTTGTGGTACAGTCCCTTGAGATCCACCGACGAGTCGTTGATTTCTCGGATCATCTCGAGAGTCAGTGTCCGTGGCTCGTGTGCTGCGTCGCTCTCCTCGCACGGCGTCGATCCAGGCTCGGGAGTCTCCAGCTCGTGCTCGACGGTGTTGAGGATCAGGTTGATCCACACGAATGTCTTGGACTGGTCCAGCAGCACCGAGATCGCCTGGGTGCGGTCCGACTCGCTGAGGCTGGGATGGTCCCTGAGACGATGGTCGATGAACACCCGGAGGTCGCGGATGTTGTCCTCGCTCGACGGCTCGATCGTCGTGGTCGGCACTCCTCGGAAGGCATCCCTGATGTCGGCCTCGGGGCGGGACGTCAGCAGCAGCTTGATCCGGGACTCGTCCTTCAGCTGTGTGAGTCGCCAGGCCAGGAGCGACAGGATCTCGTCGCGCGGATGGCACTCGTCCAATCCATCGACCATCACCACGACGGCTCCCTTGGGCCGGTACTGGCCAAGTGCCTCGAGTGGATCCTCAATCACGGCCTTGAACAGATCGTTGATGCTCATCTTGTCGAGGTCGTCCTTGGAGTGGCCAGCATCGAGGAGCCGACGGCCGATCGGTGCGTACCAGCGACACAGTCCATATGCGATCGTGGTCAGCAGGATGCGGGGGTTGTTCTTGCGGGTGTCGTTGTACTTGAGGAACAGCGATGTCGTCAGCTGGTCCCGGCCAAGGAGGATGTTGGCGATCTGGGCAGCAGCGACGGACTTGCCGACACCGGCGACGGCATTGACCCACAGGACCCGGTCGGCGTTGTCGTCGTCGTCGACCCAGGCAGTGACATGGTCAAACAGCCACTGGCGGGTGCCCTCGACATACAGATCCTCGAGCGCCTTCCTGTCGGGGTCAAAGTCGATGGGATCGAGCAGGACGCGGAGCTGCGAGTCTTCGTCGGCAGCGAGGACGATGGGTCGGCTCTGGTGGTAGAGGATGCCCTCGGCGATGGCCCTCTCGGTCTTGGCCACAAGCACTCGGATGTACGGAGAGAGCCTGTGTGGTGGCGGGGGATGGACGAGTGCGAAAGGGAATGTGGTCAGTTAGATGTGGTCAGATGGATGTGCAGCAAGGTGAGGCGATGTGTATGGTGTCGTGTGGTGTTGTGAGAGAAGTCTGATGCAGCATGGTGCGCATGACATTGATGGTGTGCATGACATTGATGGTGTGTATGGTGTGCAGGATGTTGCGATCACGCATGACAGCAATGCAGCAGAAATGGCTTGCCATCGATGGGATGACAGCAGCCACCCACCTCATCACCGCCGTCCCATCGGCGGCATTGAACTGCTGGAGAGCCAGGACATCTCGGATGGTCTGGCGGATCGATACGGGCTTGCCGTCGACGAGGGGACTCAGATCGTGGCAGGGCGGCTCGTCGGGAAAGTCGTCGGGGTTGGGGAAGTACTTGGAAGCATAGGTCTGGTTGTTGATGATGCGGGTCGACCACATGTAGACGGGCTGGACGGTCACCGGGCGGCCGGTGGTGGCCGACTCTCGCATCCGACGCAGGGCATGCTGGACCTGAGTGTGAGTGTGAGTGTGAGTGTGAGTGTGAGTGTGAGTGTGAGTGTGAGTGTGAGTGTGAGTGTGAGTGTGAGTGTCAGGGACTATCGAGTGCAAGTGCATCGACATGGAGGCTCGGCCAACCGCTCGCTTGCTCACCTCCAGGAACTGGTTGTCTGGCTTGAGGTGTGCCTCGCGGGTGCGGCTCAGTCCCCGCTCCGACAGAACCAGCACAATGACCTGCGAGTTGACCAGGCCGTTGATGAAGCCCGTCTCCCAGTTCATGGCATCGACGAGACACAGCTGGTCGAGGTACGGACACAGGTTCTTGTCGTATTGGCTGGACGACTTGAGGGCGGCGTAGAGCTTGATTGCGGGCATCTCGTCGCTGAAGACTCGATAGCTGGGCAAAGAGGCGATGGTCAGTGGACACTCTGGATGTCGATGTTGCCAGTGCAGACATGGACATGGATTGATGATCAACCGGCTGGAGTGCAGACACCCCACACTGCACCACAGACATCGCCGCACCTGATGAACACCTCGTGGTCCCTGTTGCCCAGCTGGCACTTCCATCCCCTCGTCAGCGGAGGCGGTCTGTATCGGACCACAGGGAGAACAGCATTCTCGCTGCTATCGGGTGTCTTGGATGGCGGTGGCTCGCTCTTGTGGACGACAACAGGCGGCTCGGTGTTCTGGCGCTGGGCTCGCTGGATCTTCTTGATGGCGCCGAGCTTGAGCCCGATCTGCTTCATCTCTGGCTCGGTCAGAGAGAGGACCTGGACAGGCAGCCGTTGTTCAGCAACAATGTCTAGATGGCCAGGGGCATCGACGGCCGCAGTGTCGGCGACATTCCATCGCCAGCACGGACATCGCCAACCATCGAGTGCATCATGCCATCGGCGACAGAGCCAAGCAACCCACCAGGTCGGTGCTGTTGATCTCGTGGTCGACCAGGAGGGTCTTGTTCCTGGCGAGATCGTGCTTGTCCAGGAAGGCATCAAAGTCTGGCACAAGGGTCAGCAGCAGACATTGCCGTCACCCGCCATCGGTGATGCATCATCAACAGAGTCTCACCTGTGGCTGCAGACATGGCACGCTGGCTGCTGGATGGGATGTGCGGACGGATCGATGAAAGAATCGATGGAAAGCTGGATGGGCTGGAGGTTGACAGATGGAGACGAGGGAGAGGCACCGAACATTGGGCCAAGCGGAAAGGGCGTGCCAAGTGGGCGACCAAGCACCGCCCCCGTTCGGAATCGAGAACGTGACAACCCAGAGCGAATCGATCGGGCTGGCACAGCACATCCAGACCACCTTGCTGAACATCTCGAATACACGGTCAGATCATTTAGATCAACGCAATCGGCTTGAACGTATAACCGACGGCATGATCGAGACAGCAGGGCTATGCCAAGGACCGCATGTTTCCGATCCTGCCAACATGCGCCAAGGAGATTGTATCCAGGCATCTGCTTTCTCGTTGTTTGGGGCATCGCTCTCGCGGTTGGAGGAAGAACAGCCAGCATGGTCGATCAGGATGTGTACGGCCAACCTTCCGACACTTCTGAGGTATCTCCAACGCAGCGAATGTCATCGGTGCAGAGTGATTCATGGATCGCCATGTCAACACAGTCGGGGACACATCATGCAAGTCGCTCATGTACACTTTATTCAGAAAAAAACGGGACAATATAGCCGTTTCCATGAACAGTAGTATGTGCTGTGCTTGCGTCAAGCAAAGCCACAAGAAATAAAACAGATCACTTTGGCAGCCTCCGAGTGAAGACCGCCGGTCGCTCTCCGATCTCCACAATCGACCTGCATACTGTGATCATGTTGCGCGCCGCATTGACGTCGCGATTCCACACTGTCAGGCAGCTGGGATTCTTGCAGCTCCTGACAAAGTGGGAATTCGCAACACTGGGCGCATCGAGTCCTTCCAACCGAACTGGCTCCAGGCACTTGGAGCACACTTGCGAGGTGTTGAACCCGTTCGTCGAGGCCACCTTGACACTTCCATGATGGTGATTGGGACGGCGTCGGTGGTGCTCGAATTGCTCAAAGTACCGAGCAAACCGCTGCCTCCGAGGGCTGGATGCATAGCCCTTGCCTTGCCGCCATGACGCATTGCCAAAGGCGATCACCACATCGGTCCGTATCGGGGCGTGCTTCAGGACGGCCTTGCACATCCTGTCGACGGCCACTTGGCGCCTCTTGTGGCCCGTGAAGCGATGGTGGCGAGCCTTCTTGCCAAGGTGGAAGTCGAGCTGCACTCGCAGCTCCGGTCGCAGGACATGGGTGAGATGGACCTTGAAAGCCTCCGAGGACGACACCTTGGGCGAGGGGGTGGTCGACATCCAGGTCTCGATGCTGAGTCGATACTTCATGGTGTTGTGCCACTTGGTGTTGGACGTATGGCCACACATGTGCTGGTAGTGGCCATTGGAGAATGAGACCACCTCGTCTTGGTGGCCCGGTGCTTGGATGACCGCCGTGAAGATGGAGCCGACGCCTGGGTCGATTCCAATCCAAGTGGTGCGATCGGGGTCTGGGTCGCCGATGTGGGCCTGGATACGCTGCTCGGCAGTCGGAGGAGGCTCGATGGTCTCGGTGTGATCGGTTCGAGGCAGAAACTTGACGAGGCCGATGGTGCATCCAATGCCATCGGTGCTGATCTCGTAGTTGAACAGCTTGTGATTGATATCCCGGTCACGGAAGAGGGAACTACGCAGCTTGAAGCAACTGCGCCAGAGACGATCCTGGTTGTTGACACCGTCCTCACCTTCTTCCTTGAGCATGTCCCTGGTGAGTCCAAGGCGCTTCTTTGGACCCAGGAGTTGCCAGAGAGTGACCGTGTCAATCTTGACATACTTGGCCCTTGTAGTGCACAGAGGAACCATCGTTCACACGGCCGGAGGAGTGTCAAGAGCGAGCTGCTTGAGGCACCACTTGAGTCTGGATGCCAGCTTGTTGATCTTGGCCTTGGTGGTGCCGAGCTCAGACTTGGCCGTGGTGAACCTCTTGTCGTCGGAGGGAATGCCTTGGGTAGTGAGCTCGTCCAGCTTGGCCTGGCGCTGCAGCTCGGTGACTCGGAGGGCGGGCATGTCACAGTCGATCCACTTGTGGACATTGTCGACCATCTTGTCTCGGGCGAGGATTCCCACATGGTGTGAGAGGCGATGGAGGGCTCGGAAGCGGTCCTGGTCGTTGCTGTACCGAAACTCGTCCAGGACGTGACCAAACTCGGGATAGAGGAACTCGAGATCGGCCTTGGGTGGTGTCTGCCCTGGTTTCTCGAAGAGCTCGAGACAGGCCTCGATGGCTTCGTGCTTATGCTTGTTGGCTGGGAAGACGGCAGCGCAGAAGCGGCGAAGGAGTCGCCAGTAGGCCAGGTCGAGGTGGGTGGTGCAGTTGGTAGCATAGGCATTGACAGCGAGAGTGAGAAGCTGACTGCGAGCACCATCAGGCAGACAAGGGGCCGGAGGCAGGTCTGCGTGCCGAGTGGTCTGGTAGTCGCGAAAGGAAGCGACCAGATGCTCGTTGTATTTCTCATTGTCCCCAGTCGGCGAGAGGGCACCGGCCTGGACGATCTTGAAGCATTGGCGAACGAAAGCAGGTGTGGCCTTGGAGATGACGGGGACGGGAAGATCCTGCTCGATGCACCGGAGGATGTGCAGGTTGAGCAGCCTGGATGCCTCGAACTGGATCTGTGTCATGACCTCGACGGTGGCCTGGATCTTGTCGCGGAGAGCGGGATTGAGACAACAGCCATCCATCGTCTGCTTGAAGCAGCTGTAATGAGGGGCGGATGACCTTCCATCCACGGGTGGGACGACAGAACTCTTGAGGGGCCGGTAGTTGGGACACTTGTTGGTGTTGCAACGTTCGTGATCGGTGCCATCGCACTTGGGACATCGCTTGCCGGTACTCGAGGAAGTAGATGGACCAGGCTCGGTGGGATCGACATCCATTGGATCTGCAGAAGCAGTGGTGGTGAGCGACGGAGCAACAGACGAACAAGCATGCGTGGGATCAGAATACGAACCAGAGACAGGCTCCGACTGTGACTTGGCTTTCTTGGGCCTGGGTGGCCGAGGCTGGCCATCACCGGTACCCTTGCGCTTCGGAGGCATGGGGGCAGAGGATGCTGGATGCCTGCCAGTGGTACTGGTCAGAGCAGAGACTTTCTTTATCGTACAATAGCGCGATGATCCGATCAAGGCGAGATGAGGGAAGAAAGCAGCAGGACGAAGGTGCGGCATTTATACCCGAGAGCAGGAGCCCGTCTTTGCGGGCTGGTTGGGAAGCGACCCTGTTCAAAAATCGCCGAGAGGTTCAAGCCAGGGATTTGAGCGCGAAAATGGCGGCTTGATTGGAGGGAACTCGACCCCAGAAGCGCATCGCTCGCTCAATCAGCCGTGGGAAGACATCTGGAAGCACCCTCCGAACGGCAGACTCAAACAGGGTCACCATCCCGACTCTGAACCCCTCGGAGGCATTCAGCGCTGCCGCCTTCCTGTACTGATGCTTCACAATCCCAAAGAAGTTCTCGATGGGATTGAAGTCGGGTGAAGCAGGTGGGGTGAAGATCACTGACCATCCTCGGCGCTCGATGCAGTCCAGGACAGCCATTGTCTTGTGCATGCTGACATTGTCCATCACAATCACAGAGTCGTCTGGGAAGCTCGCTCGCTCAAAGAACTCGACCATCGAGTGTGTCTTGAATGATGTGGGGATGTACATGCGATGCAGCACACCAGAGTGGTTGATGGCAAATGCAGCTGAGACAGACTTGTGTTTCATGTGATTGCGCTGACGGAGTGGGACGCCCTTCGGCGAGTATCCGTAAAGAGGGAAAATGGATCTCCTGATCCCTGTCTCATCGACAAAAACGAATCACCGCGGGTCGATGGAGCGGACCTGGTCCCTGAACTGTGCCACTCGCTCATCCAGTCGCTTGGACTTGTTGAGGTGTGTTGCTCTCTTGTGTGAGAGACCTGCTCGCTGGATGGCAGTGTGGCAGAGTGAGAGTGATACTTTCCTCTGGAGGATGGACTCGAGCTTGCATCGCAACACAGGACCAGTCTGGAACGGGTCCTGTTCAATCAGGGTGCGAATGACTGGACATGCCTGCTCGAAGAAAGTGGATCTGCGAGCTGGGACCCGGGATGGGTCATCCAGCTTGCATCCTCGGTGCCATCGATGGATGGTGCTCTTGGATACACTGAATATGGAGGCGACCTTACGCAGGCTATGGATGAGATCGTAGCATCGCAATGCGGCGGTGCGAAAGTCGGATGTGTGGCGAATGGTCATGGCCAGCGCGCGATGGTTTTGGGTAACAAAATATTCGATCAATGGTCAAAACCTGGGTGTCCCGTTTTTTATTGGATTGCCTGTAAATCAACCACGTGTATTCACGACAGCATTTCCCGGCACGAACAACGACGAATAGTCCGCCTCTTGCACAAGAGCTATTCAAGTTCATGTAATGTACTCTGGTAGATGCAGAGTACCCCTGTATGATATTGCAGGGGCTGCGACAACCCCAAAGTCATCAGTTCGCGAGCTGGGATCGGCAAGTATCACCGGCCATGAACTTGTCCCAGGCGGCCATGACTTCGACTTTGACTTTGCTGAGTAGAGGGGTGTCGTCCGGGCGAGGCGCATACATGTCCAGGCAATGGAACTCATCGTGAAGGAACACGGGCTGGGCATCGGTCGACGTGCGGTTGTAGATGCTCAACATGTGCCAGGGATCAATCTCGCTGTTGACGAAGGAGATGCGGCTGGTTTTGATGTTGGTGCCGCGGTAGCGTTTGTTGGTCTGGGCGACATGCGGGTTCTGGTGGTCCTTGCCAAAGAGAATGGCACAGGCCCGCTTATAATAGGCCATGTTGACCGTCTTGGAGTAGACGGGGGCTTGAACGTGCTCGGCATCCTGGAAGAACCCAAACTCGGTGCACGTTTGCCAACACCAGGGGCGATAGCTGTTGCTTGGGTCGGCCATGTTCTTGGTCTCCAAGGCGGCAAGCTCGGTGGCGTTGTTCGGGATGATGCCCATCCCGTCCAGATATCCGTACATCCACCTTTGGAGATCAGTCCAGAGCTGGCTATCGGTGGCATTTGGATTGGCAAAGGAGGGAAAGTACTTTCCGGAGCATGCGGCGCTGATATGAGTGACCGAAGAATTGTAGAATTGGGCAGAGGGACCTGGATGTGGAGGGCATTGGTGGTTAGCAGCCCAATAACATCTTGGCTTTGGGCTAGGCTGCCGGCAAAACCCAATACAGCTTGATGGCCGACCGAGTTGTCAAAGCTCAAACGGCTTCAAGCACGGCCTCGTATGCTTGCCTCGTATGCTTGCCAAGCGGACCTACCAAATTGAACCGAGCCAGCCAAAGCACTGGTTGGAAGCATGCTTCCGACATCTCCGTCGAGCTCGATCGAGCCCAGACCCAAGTAACGGCGAGTGCCCTTGGGGTCGCGCTTGAGAGCAGCATCAAAGAGCGAAACGGTGCGAATGAGGTTGTTCAGGCAAACCTCTGAACCGCCGATCTTGGGAATGCCCTGGCGGACGGCAAGCGAATACTCGAAAAAGTCGGCTTTGGCCCGAAGTGGGGCCGACGACGAGTACGCAGCCCAGAAGATATCGGGGTACAGCTCGCGGAGCCAGGCAGCGAGATCACCAGGGTAGGATCCACTGACCTGGAGGAACGAAGCAGTGTCAGTCAAGGGCAAAGAGGAGCCAGCCGGCGACCGTCCCAGACATAATCACGGGAGCAGAGTCATCAAAGGCGCACCGGAATCCATTTGGTGCAGGACGGAAGATTGTGGGTGGCCGTAAAGTTCTTGACAAAGGCCACAATGTCCTCAATAGCCTGATGCGACGAGAGATAGGCCATATTCTTGGTCGAATAGTCCGGGAAGGGCATCGAGTCACCATAGTAGCGGTGTTCGATGGCAGCCATGATGCCGTTCGTTTTGTTGGCAAGCGTGAAGAGCACCATGCCCGTCGAGGTGACCCATCCGCCATCTAGTGGAACCTCTCCGCCCACAAAGACTGCGGCCAGGAGTGCGTTAGACATTTGCGAGCCGTGAGGCGAGGTATGTACTTTCGGGATGCGTAAGGTCACTCACGCCAAACGGGACCACCAGGCTTGTAGTACTAGTTGCGATTAAGCACCGAGAGGCGGCGAGGAATCATTAGCATGGCGGGTATCTCGGTGAGCCTCGCTAGCCGATGTGGATGAGCGACAGATGATGCTCTGCGAGCATGCTTCGGTGGCACAACAGAGAGCAAGGCATCCTCACCTGATCATTGAAGAAGTACTTCTGGCGGAAGGTACCGTTGGACTTTGGTGAGAAGTGATCGAGAGGCTGTCTCGGAGGGAAGGAAATCGATGCGAGGTCCGCATCAAAACGCAGAGTCAATGAATCGGCTGTCGCCCAACAAGAAAGAGCCTCGACGACGAGAGCGGCCAACGGGGCGATGAGTCAGAAGGCGAGCATGGCACAAACCTGGTCAATCCAATATGGCGTAGGTCCTCCTAGGACAGACTCGCCACCAGTGCCCAGGATACTGAACGAGCGACGCAGTACAAAATGAATCCATGCATCAGAGGTCGGATCAGGACGTGGGCAGAGCGATGGAGGCGGCAACAGCTTCCCAGGCAACAGCACGTGCTTACGCTTTAACCTGGGTCTGATGCTGGTTCTTCTGGATTTGCTGGATGGCAAAGCTTCCCAGGACAGCGGTGGGGGCCAAGACGAGGGCGATGAGCTTGGATATGTTCAGGGCGACCATCTTGGGCGGGTAAGGGGGAGAAGGCTGCTGCTGAGAAGATGGGGTGCCTCGGATATCGTCCGGTTTTATACACACCGATGGTCCGTTGAGGGGGCGGTCATGCGCTCGCCGCAAAAAGAAAGGTGGGGCCAAAGGAGTGCGCTCCAGAAGCTGGCCCGCAAATCGGCGACGTGGGAATAGATATCGCCAACGAATCGGCTGCGAGTATTGCAGTCACCAGCCAAGCCAGCAGCCACCCAACGAGATGGCGCGGAGTTCCCCCACGCGCAAAATCACCGGGGTATAGTTCGGTGGCAATATGGACCCGAGAGGTCACAAATTTGCATCCTGCTCACAAGAGGGGTGGGGACAGAGCGATGGACGGCCAGACAGAGGGGTGGTGGAGCGAGGGGGGGCGCTGGTGGGTGGGCAATGCAGCTGACCGACGCGATGGGACCGTGGGCCGGCTGAATGGGTCCTGTGCATCCCAGATGGCTGCTGGTTGTCGACCGAGCATCATGGAGGTGTTGGGGCGGAACTCGCGACGCATGTGGCTCGTTGCGGCCCATGTGGCTCACTGCGGGCCAGGGTCGTCCACCCTCCCCTTGGGTTGGTGTTGGTTGTACCTTGGCGAGACGGATTGCCGTGGAGTCAGTCCGTGGCCGAGCTCATTGGCCCAGACCATTGCGACGAATTGCATATCTGTGGTGTGTGGTTGGGTGTGGTATCATGGGTAATGTGGTGTATCGTATCGCGTAATGTAGTGTATTGTATCGTGTAATATGTCCCATCCGGTTTGGTTTCCATGAGGATGCCTTTGTGGCATCACCTCCATGGCATCGACGCTGTGGCATCACTTCCATGGCATCAAATTGCACATCGCACATCGCACATCGCACATCGCACATCGCACATCGCACATCGCACATCGCACTGCGCCCAGCCGACTCCCGTCCCGTGCTCGCCGGCTGCTCCGTGCGTGTCGGGTCCGTGTGGCGCATGCAATCGGAGCTTGCGGCCTTCCCAGCCGAACCCCGTCGGAGCCGTCGCGCCGATCCGCTTCCCGTCGCCGGCCTGCCCGTTTTCAGCCCTCTTCTGTCCCTTTCGCCTCGATCTTGTCCCGGATCTTGTCCTCGATCTCGTCCTGAGCCCGTCGCTTCTGCCGCACATCCGCCTCCACGCTGTCGCCATGAACCGTCTTGCTTCCGCCAACCGCCACCTTCTGCGACCCCTCGTGAGTCGTCTGGCTGTGTCGCCCGAGTCTGGGAACTGTCTCGATTCGCCAACAGCTCGCATCGCAGGCTGGCTGCCTCCATCGTGATCCTGCTTCGTCTGGATGTGTCGTCTGCACAGCCGTGTCTCTAACCCGTCGTATACTTACATCCATACGGATCCTTGCCTCGTGTCCGTTGCAGTCGAGTGCGGTTGCTGTCCGTCGAACCCTGGGTACTTCCTGGGGCTGCGTGGTAAGTCCGAGCCGGATGCCCAGGTGGCTTCCGTGCGGGCTCGGCGAAGCTCTGATGCTGTCGTTCCTGCTTCGTTGGGCCGGGCCCGTCCAGACAAGAATACTGATCGCGACTGCCGATGCTGCAACACCCAGGCCCGTGGATTCCACTCCAACTCGCTGCTGCTCAAGAACGTCCCGTATCTCTTGGCCGACGTCGGAGAGGGCATCACCGAGTGCGAGGTCATTCAGTGGTAAGCCCAAAGCGCCCTAATGGCAGACCGAACGGCATGGGAGGCCCGCGGCTCTCGTTCCCCAGTCATCGAGGTCGCAACTGACACGGCGCCCCATCCTTCCTCCCACGATCATCTCAGGTTCGTCAAGGAGGGCGAGCGTGTCGAGCAATTCACTCGCATTGCCGAGGTCCAGTCCGACAAGGCCGCCGTCGAGATCACCTCGCGCTTCGATGGTGTCGTCAAGAAGCTGCACTACAAGGTTGGCCAAATGGCCAAAGTCGGCGCTCCCCTCGTCGACATCGATACCGATGAGGCCGATGATGCTGCTGCCGAGCCTACCCCCAGCACCCCTGCGCCTGCTGCTGCTGCTGCTCCTGTCGCTGCTACCCCGGCTGCTAAGGGTGCTGCCCAGCCTGCTGCTGCCGCTGCCGAGGCTGAGACCGACGACAGCCAGGTCTTTGCGACCCCTGCCGTCCGCCGCGTTGCCAAAGAGAACAACGTCGATCTCCGCAAGGTCGTGGGCACCGGAAAGGCCGGCCGCATCATGAAAGAGGACGTGATTGCGTTCCTCGAGGGCGGTGCGACTCAGTCTGCCCCTGTCGTTGGCGCTGTGGCCCCAACCCGTAAGTTGACCCATGTGGCTCGCCCGTCCGTCCTCGAGTGAGATCGTGCACACCATGAACGGCACGCTCTTTGATTTTGCTTTGCTGTGTCCTGATCTCGGTTTCTCCGGCGCCTGTCGAATCCAGATACCCCTGTGGCCCAGGATGCGCTCAAGTCCCTGACGCCAATCCAGAAGGCCATGTTCAAGCAGATGACAAAGTCGCTGTCGATCCCTCACTTTGGCTACTCGGACGAGGTCGTCCTGAACCGAGTCTCTGCCTTCCGTGAGACCATCAACAAGTCGCTGAGCAAGTCTCCCAAGCACAACCTCAAGAAGATTTCATACATGCCCATCTTCATCAAGGCCCTGTCCATGGCCCTGAACGAGTACCCCATCTTGAACGCCATGGTTGTCAACGGCGATGATCTCAGCAAGGTCCAGCTGCAGTATCGCGGTGCCCACAACATTGGCATTGCCATGGATACCCCTCAGGGGTGAGTTATTTTGCCATTGATGCTGGCAGAAGCTAGTAGAGCTGCGCGATGTGAGCACAGGGGTGGAATATGGCCGCACAATTGCGTTTGTGGCTCGCTCTTTGCCTGGACTGTCGTGGACACACCTGATCACAGGCCGTCTCACCCATCCAACTCGCCTTCATCCATCCGTCGCTGCGCCAATGCTGTCTTTCTCAGTCTGGTCGTCCCTAACATCAAGAACTGCCAATCAAAGTCCATCCTCGAAATTGCCGCCGAGCTCGAGCGCCTCAAGGAGCTCGGTAAGAAGAACGCCATCACCCCCGCTGATTTCGCCAACGGAACCATTTCCTTGAGCAACATCGGCACCATCGGCGGCACCGTCCTCCATCCCGTCATCGTCTCGTCCGAGGTCTGCATTGGCGCCATCGGCAAGACCACCCGCACCCCTCGCTTTGAGACCGTCAAGAGCGCCAAGACTGGCGAGGAGGAGGAGATCATTGTCGCCCACGAGATCATGAACGTCAGCTGGAATGCCGACCACCGTGTCGTCGACGGCGCCACCATGGCCCGGTTCGTCCAGCTGTGGAAAAAGTACCTGGAAGACCCTGCCCTGATGGCCGTGGAGCTCAAGTAGACCCTTGCTCACCGATGCCTCGCTCTGTGCCTCTCCAAATATAGACAGTTCGAGTCTTGAGCCGCCGCAAAGGATCCAACCCGATTCCTTCGTCGTCGGCCGGCTCATCCCTCGTCTGGATCCCAGCAGCAAACATGATGTGTGTCCTGCGAGCGTATCGCCCGCAATTGCACCCTTTGGAGCGCCATGCTCATTCCCAGTGAATCCATTGCTCACTCAATTGTCACATACAAACAATAAAACTATAGCATGCATGCACAAGTTCTGCAGGAAGGGGGATCGGAGTGGTTCAGACCTCACGAGCAACGCATTCATCGAGCCGCCTCAGCACAACGGGCTTGCCGAGCAGATGAATCGTCGTCAGCATATCGATCCCAACCTGACAAAGAAACAGATTTCAACAGATGAGTGGTCGCCATTCGGTGTTGGCGTCGATGTTTGTGTCGAGCATATCTGGCAGAACCATGAGCATCTTGACCGCGAGCTGGATACTTGGCGTGGCCTTACCTTGGACCCGGTCAAGGCATACCGCAGCGGCTGCATGAGCTGGATGTGAGTCAATCCAAGTTCCTGCTCGACGCCAAGGACAGAGGACTTGATGGTGTCAAGGGACCAATCGGTCTCGTCGACAGTAGCCAGTTGTTGTCTGACCGATTTGGTGGCCGATCCTTTTGGCGATGATATTCAAGCCACAAGGGTGAGTCGTATGTCATCAGAGACAAGGTTCGCGGAGAAGCAGTCATGCGCATTGCATGCAAGATGGTCTGTGGCAACCAGAGCACATCCGATTGAGAGGGAGGTTGTGCCAAGGCCAAGGACAAGACCGAGGCCAGAGACACGGATGTGCGGAAGGAGATTGAGATGCCCCCACCCCTAAACTTACCAAAGATCTTGTTGTCCATCTTCTTGCGCCAGGCCGTCTTTGTGCTGTCATCGCTGACCAGCGCAGGCTCGAGGAAGAACGGCTTGCAGAGCTGGACAAAATCCGGAAGGTGGCGAACCCTCTCCTTCACAGCGACAACGACTTGGGTCAGGTAGTCGCTCTCTTCGCTGGGTTGGCGAACCAGCCGAGTCTTCAGAGGATCCTGCATTCTGCAACAGTGGATTGTGCTATCAGCTCTGCGATCCGTGACACATGGACCGGTCGTGCTTGTTCTCGCGAGCGTCACACGGTGGGTTTGGGAGAGGACTTACTCGGCAGAATACTCCTTCGTCACCAGCACGCGAATCTCCTCGACCAGCCCACGTCGCTTGTCGGCATCAGCAAGTCGGGCAAGGATGTGTTGTTTGTTGAGATGATCCAGTTTGTCATAGGTGACCACCGCAGGCGACTTGTTGATGTTGGCGAGGTCGAACTGTGGGGCCAAGAAGCAGACAGGTTGGGTGTGCGTGGTGAGAATCCATGTTCCCACAAATCGCAGGGCAGTGGGGGTCCGTGAGCGAGACTTTGTTTCAGATAGTCCGTGTCCTCCCATTCAAGCACTGGCACTGAGGCTGGTGCCAACGCCTGCGCCGATGCTCGTGCTGGTGCTCATGCCAATGCTAATACTGGTGCACATGTCAGCCGCTTCGAGATAGCATACATCGCGACATAACTCTTCGAGTGTGTAAAACTCTTTCTTGGTACCGGGCCCCCACCCAAGGAAGGCAACAAAGTTGAGCAGTGCCTCTGGCAGGTATCCCTTGTCCTGGACAAATCCATGTATCAATGGTCGGTTAGCAATCTCTGCCAACAACGTCGCCCCGTGCCCGTTGGGAGCAGATCAATTGAATGTGGTTCTGGCTGAGCCCACATGCGGGCTTCGTACCCTGAGCTGCTCCACATGAACGTCGTTTTGCCGCTTGGATAGCTTGGAGCCATCTTTGTTGATCAGCAGTGGCAGGTGTGCAAACGCAGGAGGCTCCCAGCCAAATGCCTTGTACAGCAGGATATGCTTGGGTGTCGATGGAATCCATTCCTGGCGAGTTCAGGCCAGGGACCCAGCCGAGTTTCAGGGGAGCAGTGATGAGCAAGGTGTGGTGATGGAGGGACCACGGCGACATCCACGCAATAGCAGCGAAAGACAGCTGGACCATAGCGGCGAAGGCAGATAACGCAGTCACATCTAGCACGATGTCCACGGATACCAGAGCGAGAGCAAGGTTGCCGCATACCTCGCCACGAAGAACATGAGTCACTTTCATCAACTTGTCATCAACCACGTTGGCAAGATGGTATGTCGGCAGCCCATCGGACTTGAGCAGAATCGAGTCGTCCACTTGGCGACTGGCAATCTGGATGCGTCCGTGAGCCTGGTCGTTGAACGAGATGAACTTTTCGGCGTGGGGTACTTTGAGCCGGACGGTGTGCGGCATGCCTGCATCCAGCTTTTGCTGGATCTCTGCGGGGGTGAGATATCGGCAGGTCCCGTCGTATTGCGGCGGTTTCTTGGCTGCGATTGCTTGCTCCCGGGAGCGGGCAAGCTTCTCAGGGCTGCAAAAGCAGCGATATGCGTGTCCTTTCTGGAGTGTGGATAGCCAAGCAAGTGCGAGGATGGTCAGAATGACAACCAGAATGACAACCAGAGTGGCAACCAGAGTGACAACCAGAGTGACGGCCCGAGTGGCGGTTCCGAGCCGTAGACTACCGGCACAGTGGTTTCGGGCTCCCGATTATTCCTCGTCCCGAATCGACGCTGTACCTCGAGGAGGATTCTTGCGTGGTCTTGGTAGATCTCGGAGCGTTGGGACTGGCAACGTTCGTTTCGAGTGCGGCCGATGAAAGAGCATGTCAGCCAACATCCCACCAGCAGTTCCATATCTTCCCACTTCCTGGCGACAGATTATCTGGCTTTGCTGAGATCACTATCCTGCGATCGTGCGTGCGTGCGTGCTTGCTTTGAAGCAGAGGGCTCACTTGGATGTAAGGACCGAACGAGCCGGGGCGATCGGGCCCTTCGTCGTATGGGATGCCGCACCACTTAAGGATCTGGAGCAATGCTTCGGTTGCGCCGGGAATCGTCCTGGCCTGTGTTGGCGGAAGGATCAGGCAGCATGAGCGCACGGAGACCGGATCCAAAGCGAGCCGAGAATGCCACACGATGGTCTTCTCCAGCAGCCACAGCAGAAGCACCTCGGCATCGGGTTTGCCCTCGGATAGAAATAACGCACTTGGTCTGTGTCCTCGATCCGCAGTATGAACTGCCCGTTGGTCTGCTTGGCCAGGAGGTAGTTGAAGAGCGCCGTTCTAAGGCCGCCGAGATGGAGCATGCCAGTGGGACTTGGCGCAAACCGAGCCCGTGCCGGCTTGGATGCCGAGGTCGAGGACAGTCTCTTGCGGGCAAGAAGTCGGCCAGGAGACAGCAGTCTGATCATGCTGGGATGGTGTTGTAATCTGGCTGAGCGATCTCGGGTCGATTCTCTGTCGAGGACTTGGCAATCTCAGGGCCGACGAGCGGTTTCCGAGATTCCGATGATGTGGGCGAGGCCGGCGCTGTCGGCGATGGCAGGGACGCTGGATGCTGACGATGACGATGCTGACGATGACGATGCTGACGATGACGAGGCAAGACCGATTGAATGCGACCGACAAAGCCTGGCGATCGACAAAGCCGGGCGATCGACAAAGCCTGTGCGCTGACGAGCAAAGGCTGGCTCCGCGATCGACATGTGGACTCGATGCACATCCCCACAACCCGCAGCGACATTCCGGCGAGGCTCGCTGCCCGTGCTCGAGCGCTCTTTCTCTCTCCCTCGCTCGCTGTTCTTTGCAGTTTCGGACCAGCACAAGACACCGGAATCCGCCGTCTTGCCTCTGCCGTCTCGCAGCCGCCACGATGGCCCTGGTCGACGCATTGTCGCCGTCCAGCGACAACCTGTTCGAGTGCAGCGCCCACGGCAAATGCCATGACTTTTTCCTCTCTTACCGAGTCCGCCCCGATTCGAAGGCGGTCGAGGACCTCAAAGAGCTGCTGTCGTCTGTGGCACTGCGCCGTCTTGACCGGCCTCTATCTATCTTCCATGACATTGACTGCTTGAACGATGCCAAGGACTGCAAGGACGGCTTCCTTCGGGCCCTCCCCGGCAGCTCGGTTGTGATCCTGTTCCTGAGCAAAGACTCGCTGATGACCATGCAGGCCCGAGAAAAGGACGGCCAGGAAGACAATGTCCGACTCGAGGTCACCCTGGCTCTCGAGCTGTTCGAGGCCGGAAAGCCCATCACCGTGATGCCGCTGTGCCTGGATCTGAAGGATGGATCCGGTTACCGACCGTTTGCCCCGTATGAAGACCCGGAGCTGACGCAGCCGTCATGTCCCGAGACCCACAGCCTCGTCAAGCGCCTCAAAGCCATCCAGATGTATGGCTACCGGCCAGAGGAGCCCCACAAGCAGCTCTATCGGCTGCTCAACCTCCTCCACCCGATCGCCGTCGACGAGCTCACCAACAAGCACATCTACTCCAAGTACTTTTGTGACCCCAAGTTTGAGATCGAAATGGACAAGCTCGATGGCCTCCTGAAGCAAATCACCCTGACGGGCCGGGCCATCATCTCGGGCATGGGTGGCATGGGCAAGTCGGTGCTCGCCCGCCAGTTCCTGCGCTTCATGATGGGCAAGCTCAAGGTCAAGAACCAGACCGAGCTCAGCGACTACATGATGGATACCATCGGGGTCAAGCCACAGTACAGCAGAGTGCACTGGATAAACTGCTCGGGCGAGTTCTCTGCCCTCTACGACCTCAGCGCCATCTTTCCGGGAGTCGATCGGCAGGAGATCAAGGAGCATGCTGCATGGATGTTCGCCAACGAGAGGGACTACCTCCTCGTCCTCGACAACGTCGACGACATCCGCATCGTCAACTCGGTGTTCAGCCACTCGCGATCGCTGGGCTTTGGTGGCGACGTCTTGGTTACGACTCGCCTGCCGCTCTTTCCCAAGGGCCCGTTCCTCGATGCGCTCAAGGCCAAGCTACCGACGTTCAAGCAGGAGCCGCTGAAGCTGGAGCGGTGGTCCGTCGAGAAGACCAAGCGGTACATTCTCTCGGCGAGTCCCTCGCTCCAGAGGAAAATCCAGTCGCTCGAGTCGGTGAAGGCACTCACGCGGATGCTCAGTGTCGTCGACGGCCATCCGCTGGTGGCCCAGTCCTTTGTCTCTCACTTTGAAAACAACAGCACTCCGATCTATGAGTTTGAGAACTGCATCGACGAAGTACTGCAGGAGAGCGTCGGTGACGACGAGACGCGCTCGTCGCTCAAGGTCATTGTGGACCAGTCGATGGAGAGCATGCAGAAGGACGGCGACGAAGGACGAGAGGCCTGCCGCATATTTGGAGCGATCGCTCTGCTCAAGGAGAATGGCATTCACTATCGTCTCATCAAGGGGATCGCACAGAAGCTGGGGTTATTGATCCAGAGTAAGTGCAACGCAATGCTTGATGGGAGATTGTTGGAGTATGGAATGAGGGACGAGCGAAGGGTCGGTGCTGGTGCTGGTGCTGGTGCTGGTGCTGGTGCTGGTGCTGGTGCTGGTGAATATCGGGCAATGTCCGATCTGGAAATCCATCGAGCCGGGCACTCCTTATGGACCGATGGCTGACTATGCCTCACCTACTTGCCCAGCTGGACAGCTCCTCAAACGAGTGACCCACACCGGGCTTCTTCACGTGGACTCGAACGACACCTACCACACACACTTGCTGGTGTCGAAGTTGGCGTGGGAATACGTGCTCAGGGAACCCGAGCTCAAGGCCGCCGATATCAACACCGCCACTGGCGAGGCACTTTTGGAGCTTGGCTCAGTGCCCACGGATGCCAAAGTACTCGAAAACATTCCGCATCTGGAGCAGTATGCGGCCAAGATGCGCACCAGTGTCAGCCACACTGACATCCATGTCAAGATTGTCCGGCTCATCGAAGCAATCGAGGGCGAGAAGCGAGCCTGTCTGGGTGCGGCGGCACCCGCTGCCCAGCCCGAGACAGCGATGGTGCATCCTGTGGCTGAGGTGGGTTTGGCCGCTGGCCCTGCCAACCAAGACACACAGGAGCAACTCAATGAGGCGGTGAGGCTCTGCGCCTTGGCTCAGGCAGAAAAGTCTGCCGGCAAGCATAGGCGCGCGATCGAGCACTTCAAGCTGGCACTTTCGATCTACAGGACGTCCCTGAGCGACCAGAGGGACCCAAGGATCCTGGCGATCTACGAGCAGCTGGACATTGGCGCTCCTCCGCCGTGAGCGACGTTGCTTGCCAGCGACACCGACTGGGACCTCTCGGGCCGCATTCTGTTTCTTCATGCATCACCATCCACTTCCACATACATATCACTCTCTCTTTACGGCCATCTCAGTATCGGGCCCTCCTCCTCTCCTGAAAACTGTTCAGTACATCCATCGATTTGTGTCTCCTCGCTCGACCAAGCCCGGGCGAGAGCCTCCACCCGCATCTAGATACGATGGCGACGAATGTATTACGACTCAGATTTCGTTCGAGATGACGCTGGCGCTGCTGCCGGCGACGATGCGCTCAGCCTCTTCCAGCAGGACGTTGGGGTCCTTGCTTGCCATGATGTGTGGGCGATGCTTCCAGAAGGGTGAAGCCCATCGCTTGCGGTGACTTCCGTTGCCACCGCCGCCGCCAGTTGCAGTCGAGCTCTGGGTGGCCAGGCTGGCCTCGCTCAGATCCCGTCGCATGGAAGGGAACGTGGGCGATGACGCTGCAGAATACGACGGCGGTGTCCCAGCGGGCAGGCTGCCATCAGGGCCCTCGAAGGCGTTGCTGCCATCATTCGGATTGGTGTTGAGGGTCAGGAGGTAGACGCCAAAGACGAGGATGCCCATGCCGGCGCTAACGATCACCAGATCCCACCACCGGTAGGAGCCAAATTGGTCCAGATAGACCAGACTGTTGGTGAATGAAAAGATGGTGAAGAACGTGAAGAACATGGGGACCACAATCACCGGCAGCGAAAAGTGCAGCCCGCGGTTCAGGCAGTAGAGCTGGCAGAAGATGGTCGAGAGCAGCAGAGCGAGAAGCCCAAACGCAAAGATGCCGTGGAACTGGTTGTTTGTGTCGAGGATGGAGGTGATGAGCAGCTCGACCCTGGAACCACGATGGCACAGCCGGGGCATTTGGGACATTGATGACGATCGAGGTATTTGTGACGTTCATGGCGATGCACAAAGCAGTGTTGCAAAATGAAGCGAGAGACGCCGTTAGCACAGTAGCATCATCAAAAGTCGCATCAGCACCATCAGAGGAAATACCGACGCCATCAGAGGAAGTACAAGCACCAACGATACCAAGCTCGATCCCACTTTGGTCGAGACAAACCGTGGCGACTGCGGAACAGCACTCACCCGCTCTTGGTGAGCAGCAAGGTCTGGGCGGCAATGGTGCCGCCCATACTGGCGTAAACAACCGCCAGCCACCATCCGTAGTCCTTGCCGGTTCTGGAGCGCCGGCGCCGCGAGGTGCTATCGGGAAGCAGCGGCGTCTTCTCGTGGTCCGGCGTGGTCGAGAAGCGTCGGGATGTGGTCGAGGCAACGGATGTGGCGCGCGAAACAGTCGATCCGCGGCGCTGGATGGTTGATGGCCTTGGTGTGCGGCCCGCGCTGTCGCCGTGAAGGGCACTCCATTCGATATATCGCAGCGCCAGGAACAGGAGGACCAGGAGCAGGATCTGTATCAGGATGTAGATGACAAAGGGCGTCCGGGTGTACAGCCGGATCAGATCCTCGATTGTCTGGCCTGGAGCGACGGGGCAAGCAGAGCACCATGCCGACAGAGGAGCCGAAAGAAGAAAACGAATCAGTCAACATGGCGGCGAGATCAGTCATCAAGGCCGCACGAAGCAGGATGCTTGTCAAATGTGCTGCTGGCAAGCGCTGAGCACTACTCCCACGATTCAGACACACACGTTCGTCGGGCATTTTGGAGCCAAACACGGTGATGACGCAGCACCCGCCAATGATCAGCAGGGTGCCACACCAGTCCAGGACCGAGATTGTGGTGCCCAGAAAGACGCTCGAGAAGATGACGTTGAAGATCAGTCCAGCCGAGCTGAGCGGAGCCAGGATTGCGGGCGTCAAGAAGCCCAGGGCGATGACGCTGCCAAACACTTGCGAGAGCGCATAGAGGACAAATCCTGGATCCAAAGACAGCCCGCGAGGGGGAAAGCGGCGGTCAGACAGGCGGGCAATCGCACAATTCCATGGCATGGGGCAGCATCGGGACGAGGTGATCCTGCTTGCTGGAAAATCGCGTGATTTGAGCGCCAGACAACGGCAGCAAAGCGATGCCGCATTGGCGACGCAACGACTGCCGGGGGCGAGCGGTTGTATCCAGAGCCAGCACGCTGCGAGGCGGCCCTCCAGCCGATATGCCCATGTTGCCGCCTGTGCTGTTGCCGCCTTTGGTGAGATCCTTTCTGTCGCTCATTGCTTGGGGTGGGAGCGACTATATGCCACCACCATTGATGCTGGTTCGGCTCTGAATCGATCGAATTCCGACTGGATGCCCATCGATCGGGCGGACGCCAATCGCTCGGGCGGATGCCGCGATGCAGGACTGCGTGCGTTGCTGTACATTGCAGGCCAGGGCGTCGCAACCCTCGCTGTTCCCACCCCGCGCATCAGCAAAAGAACAACACGATCACGATGGCAGGACTCAGGGCTACTTACCGAGGTACCACTTCCACTCAGCGAAGAACTCGGGCGAGCACAGATATCTCCATCCGGCTGTCGGCTTGGACAGATCCGTGCCGACGCGCAAGGTGGAGACGGGAGCCCCATCGATGGAGCTTGAGAGGCTCACAATCGAGTCGGACGACGAGCTGCGGAAGTGCGGGCTAAGATGTGACGGATTGACAGAGTGATGAGAGTGCGTGCCGGCAGAGCGGTCGGGGCTACGCAGCTTGAGTCGGCCATTGATGTTGTCGTTGCCGTCGTCGTCGGCCGGCGCTGGGTACGCTGACGTGTCCGACAGTTGGGTCGCCGACGATGTGCTCGGCTCTGGGTTGAAGCTGCCGGGAGAATGGTCGGCATATCCGGCATGGGGGGTTGGCAGTTCGAGCAGCGAGCTCTGTGAGTCCTCGAGAGAGGACTCTTCCGGGGGAAACAAGACTTCGGACTCTTCGAGAGCACGCCGGTTGGATTCTCGCCGAGAAGCCAGAGCGGCGGCCTGCATGTTGACTCCGAGATTCGAGCAGCAGGACGCCAGCAGCGAGACGGTTACTCCGATCAAGAAGCTGATAGGACTGTTGAGGATCGACATGGCCACGGCGGAAGAGACGACCTCAGGGACCGACATGATTCGGAAGCTGGCGGTGGGTGCGACCAGGACGTGTCGGAAGAGGAGGGGGTTGGCGAGACTGAGAGCGGGTGGGCTCGCTGGACAGCACTCGGGAGTGTATGGGGCTGTGGATTGGACGAATTACGGGTGTGCGGTGCGGCAAGCAATCGGGAGACGGTGCGAGTGAATGAAGTTGTTGGATGGAGAGCAACAATCGGCTGGGCAAGCCGAGCTGACCAAGAGAACAGAACCGCCTGGCTCGAGAGCGGGACCGGCAGCGATGGCAGGACGACAGGCGGCTGCGGCTGCGTTGGAGGTGAAGTACAGAGGGCGACGGCGAGCCGGTCGATCGAATCGGTCGAATGAGGAATGCAGATCCAGATCGGCTGCGGTGCAGAGATGACTTGCGGAAAGCGTTTGGAGCAACGGGGACAGAAAAGTCAGCCATGCAAAGCGGGGGCGGATCTGCACGTGATGCGTGCGAATGGATGCGAATGCGGTTGTGGATGCGAAGGCGAATGCGAATGTGGATGTGGATGGATGGTAGTTGATAATTGCCACCAGATGGTAGTTGATAATTGCCACCAGATGGTAGTTGATACATTCCACCATATGAGTGTCGATACATTCCACCATATGAGCGTTGATACATTCCACCATATGAGTGTCGATACATTCCACCATATGAGTGTCGATACATTCCACCATATGAGTGTCGATACATTCCACCATATGAGCGTTGATACATTCCACCATATGAGTGTCGATAATGCCACCAGATGCAGCGATTGCCAACAAGCGATACCAACACTCAGGCGATGCATCCCGCCGTTCCCATCCGCACCCTCGGTCTGCACCCTGTCCTCGGTGACCTCTGCCCCCCGTGTGTCTGTATCCCGGAGGGAGAACGGGGTATCGGACTGCGATGCCGGCCAGAGTTGTATCGAGTTGTCGGTTGATCTACCCATCTGAGATATCCCGCGGCATGAACATCGCATTAGCACATGTTCCCACCCACTGTCACTTGCCATCGCTTGAATATCACTTGAATATCACTTGAATATCACTTGAATATCACTTTATTATCACCATCCCTTCATTATCATCATCTCTTGAATATCACCACTCCGTCGTTGTGCCTCCACGTTCCTGCCCTGAGCCCTGAGCGCCGCCCAGGGCTGCCCCCCCCCCACCAAAACAGGCCGTTTGTGCGCCCGCTCTCGCAGCGCCTCTGTCCCGAACAACAAACCCGCCCCCGCTGCCCCGTTCCTTCTCCTGGACTTGCATCGCTCTTGACCGCCGTCGTCCGTTTCTCGCCAGTCTCGTCTCCACATCCTCCCTGCCGTCCCCGACTGCACCGCCCAGCACTCACTCGCCGCACTCACTCGCCGCACCTCTATCGCCATGAGCTCAAGCAAGACTTCCCAGATCCAGCGTGAGGTTGACCAGGTCGTCGGCATCATGCAAGGTACGGTGGCCCGCTGCCTGTCTTCGCTTTGCTTTCTGGCAAGCTTTGTTGTCGCTGACGGGATCCTGTTATAGCCAGCGGTCCTCGGTTGCAGCTGATGTGCTTATCCTGACCGCCCTCGATGCCTTTCTCCTCCCAGACAACGTCACCAAGGTTATGGAGCGAGGCGAGCACCTGTCCACCCTCCAGACCAAGACCGGTAGGCCTCTCCACCTCTGATCTACAGCTCGCCAGCTCTGGCCTTTGTCTGTGCCGGTCCTCTCGCTCGCCAGTTCGTTCGCCAGTTCGTTCGATGGCTGGACCGGCGCAGTCATTCGTAGCCCTGGCTGCTCACTCTGCGACACACCACCCTTCCAGATGACCTCCAGAACTCGTCGTCACAGTTCCGAAAGGGCGCCTCTGCTGTGCGCAAGCAGATGTGGTGGAAGGACATGAAGATGAAGATCATCCTGGGCATCATTGTTGCGGTGATCTTGCTCGCCATCATCCGTAAGTCGCTGGCTCCTTGGCGTCCGCTTTGCGGCGTGTGCTGGGTCGGATTCTTCTGCGCCTTCGCCTGGGCGCTCTGGTGCGGCTTGAGCAGCCTCGTCAAGAGCATCAGCAGCAGATCAAACTCGTCAGGCCGAGCCTCGCTAATCCTATCCCATCTTCCTGTTGCCGCCGACCTGGACTCGCTCGACTGGAACCGCCGCTGGATCCACATCTGCCAACGACGCAGTGTCTGTTGTTCTGACCAAGCGAAACTAAAGCCGGCTTTCCCAGCCTGGCTTCGCCGGCGCTCCTATATCAACCTCCCTTCCCACTCGCCTGCGCTACCGCACTTCCCTTCCCTGAAGGTGCCTTGATTCTCCGAATCTCAGTGATTCTTCCGTCTGTCGTTGCTGTGCATTTTCTTGTTCCCTTCGTCCATATTGTCCCAAACATGCCACCACCCGCCCCGCCGCTACTGTCCAGCTCCCTGGCGAAGCAGCGGTGAGGATGGCATGTGTTTTTGTGTCTCTGTTGATTGCTTGATTTGCTCCTTGAATACATGCATTACTCATTTTGAAACGGGTCATCTTTGCCCACGGATGACTTGTGTGGGTTGTGTCGGCGCTTATATGATCCGCTCGCCGAGGTCGTCCGGCTGCTGCAGTTGCTGCTGCAGTTGCTGCCGCTCATGCACCAGCTCGACAGGGACAGTGCCAGGCACCCCAGCCGGGAAGTGTGCTGGAGCGGAAACCAGCTTTGAAACAGCATTTTCCCCGGTGCCAGCGACTCGAACCAGCTCACCCGCCGGTTCCGAGCGGCTCCCTCGAAATCCGCAGCTCGTTTGGCCGTCCCGCTGCCCTCCATCCATTCAATCTCATCCACTCGACTGATCTGGTCCCTCGGAAACCATGCTGGGTGCTCTGGTGAGACCTGCAGTGCAAGCACATTTATTTGATTCCTGGCTGCTGATCGCGGCATTCCAGCGAGCCGATGATCTCGCCGATCGTCGCATCCTCTGACGAGGATCTGATGCAGAAACGGCAGCACACACAAAACACCCTGCTCATCCAGTCTCTGCCCTCTGGATTGAACCTTTCTATCGCCAACTCGCTGTGTTGAACCCACCCTCATGCCCGCCCCCCCCGCTCCCCGCGGTCCCGTCGCTCGCTCGGAATCTTGCAGCGATCTGTGCGTTCTGCCTTTCAGCCTGCGGCTCGGTTTTCGCTGGCCTTCAACCGCCAGCAGCATCGGCTCCTCTCGGACTCGCTCCGTGCCAAGTTTGACCAGGTCAGGCCCAAGCCATGCTGCACGCCGTTGCAAGGGCATCGGGCGCTGAGTTATCCAAGCGCCCCATCCGCCGACGGAGAAGCGACTGTGATGCATCTAGCCGAGTGCTGACGATCGAGCACTTTCAACGCGATTGATTCTCTATTATCCAGGCGGTTGCCAACAACAACGTCGTCGTCTTCATGAAGGGCACCAAGGATGCTCCTCAAGTAAGCGTTTGGAGCGCATGGGCGTCGGGATCGCCGCTCGGACTCTCATGGGAGACGAGTGAGACCAGGAGCGCACGATCATCGAGAATCGGGGATGAGGGACGGAAGTAGACATCGAGACTGATCCCTGTCGGCTAACTCGCCCACGCCTCTAAACCGACGCTGCTGTCAGTGCGGATATAGCCGTGCTGTCGTCCAGATCCTGAACGCCCAAGGTACTTGCTTGCTCCGGCCCACTTGCAGGGAGGGTAGTTGGCCCGTTCGCCGTGTCAACTGGTTGCGTGGTGGTGGCAGATCACCGCACCGCATCTGCAATCGGCAGGATCACACCTCCAGATTCCCACACTGCACGAGCTGTTCTCGAAGGGGGGGGGTACTGCTGCGACGCTGACGATCAGGGCACTGTGTGTGTGGGCACACAGGTGTTGAGAGCTTTGAGTCGATGAACGTGCTGGCCGACGAAGAGGTCCGCCAGGGCATCAAGGAGTACACGTAAGTCGATCCGACGGCATTGGAGCGGCACCGGCCGTCTTGGATGCGTCGCTCACCCTGCTGCTTCCATCAATCTTCACTGTCCATGCGCGGCGTCAGCTCGTGGCCAACCATCCCCCAGGTCTTCATCAAGGGAGAGTTCATCGGCGGATGCGACATTATCTTGAGCATGCACCAGAGCGGCGAGCTTGAGGAGCTACTCGTCAAGGAGGGCATTGTCCCCAAGGTCTAACAGCCAACGAACGGCATCTCTGGTCCGATTGAAATCAGCAAAGGGACAGCACTGCCAGTGTCTCGTCCTTCCTTTCGTCTCCTCCAACCATCAGTGTACCAAAGAAATAATAGGATCCTCCCCGCCCTGGCGATCATTTTCCACCCTCCTTCTTCCCCGTTTTGCCTCGGGACTTGTCTGGTGTGCATTGGTCCAGCCAGCCAGTCAGTCAGTCAGCTCAGCGTGGATGATCTGCGACGACACATCAATCAAACGTCTCGGTTACTTTTAGCAGAGTTGTATATATATAGATCGAGCGACAACGGGATAGAGACGTATAATAAGGCAGGGGGATTGCCAAGATATTGCCATGAGGGATGTACGCACAAACGGGACGAGACGAGACGAGACGAGACGAGACGAGACGAGACGAAACCAAAGGAGACGAGACGAGACAAGACGAGGCGGAGGAAGACGGAAAGCGATAGGAAGGACCGAGGTAATGTGTGTGTGGGAAAGGCGCTCCATATCAGCGACACAGTCCAACACAAAAGCCAGCATCCAGTGCCGGCATACATGACGGACTGTCACTTCTACGAGGCCGGCTGGGAGAGTGGCGTGCCCTTGGGGGCCAGGTAGTTGAGGGGAGCCATGCCCTGCTCGCCACGCGGCGTCCGCACCAGTCCCCATCCATCTTCAAACTCCTGAATGACGACGATCGACTCGCCGACAAACAAGGTGACCTCATCGCTCTGGCTGGCCGTCCGCGAGGCAATTGCGGGGCGGGTGTCGTCGGGAGCCACCTCGTCCTGCAAAAAGTTGACGGGCACGGCTCCGGACTGGCCAAAGCGGTTGATGGCCTCGCCCCAGCCGTCGGGGAACTTGCGGATCAGGGTGATCTCCTCGCCCGCGTGGAGCTCCAGTTCGTCGGGCTTCTCGGCCTTGCGACCGACCTTGACGAACCGCTTCTCGCCCGGAGGCATGTCCTTGGGCCGGTTGAGGGAGCTGAAGCGCTCGATGACGATCGGGAAGTCGCTGCTGCCAGGAGCACCAGCTGCAGTCAGAGCAGCACCACCTGCCACAGCAGCGGTCGCGGCGACGGCAACACCAGCGGAATCAGCAAACGGATTCGAAGCCGGGGCAAGATCGATCGGAGGGTAGGTCGGGACCGCAGCAGGCGGGGGCAGAGCGCTGTTTCTTGCTTGGGGGTCGAAGCCGCTGGTGAACTCGTTTCCGAGGTACGGCTGGGGAGGGCTGGTCTTGGGAGGCGGCGGCGGCGGGATGGACGACGGACGAGCCGAGTAGTCCACCGGAGCCATGGCGTAGGTGTTGGGCGGGGGAATGTACGAGCCGCCAAAGGCCTCTCGAGAGGAGGTGTAGTTGGTGTTGGACATGGGGTACTTGCTCTGGTGATCGTCCAAGGGTCTCCAGTTTGGCTTGAAGGACATGAGCGGGCCCAGGCGGGAAGGTTTGTATGTGTGGTCGCCGCGTCGGCGCTGATAGAAGAAGAATCCCACGGCCAGAACGAGACCGGCCACAGCGATGCCGCCAAAGACACCAGCGACGACCGAGCCAGCACTGGGACCGCTGGATGGAGCCGGGGTGGGGCTGGAGGTGGGGGTCGGCAAGATAACGACGGTGGCGCTCGGTCCGGGGGTGGAAGTGGAGGTGGTTGTTGCTGCCGTGGTGGTTGTCGTGGTGGTGGTGGTGGTGGTTGTCGTTGTCGTTGTGGTAGTGGTGGTGGTGGTGCTGGAGGAGGTGACAGGGGGCGGAGGAGGAGGAACGACCGAGGTTGCGACAGCCGGCTGGATCTGCACCGACTGCGTCGTGCAGCGAGGGCTGTTGAGGAGGCAGATGGCAATGAGATTCACCGCGGGATCGCTGGGAACATTGACGCTGATCGAGAAAGTCTGTGGGGAGATTGGGACCAAGATCGGCCCGGTGGTCGTAAGCTCGGTCTGCAAGCAAAAAAAAATGGGTGTGTGAGAACGCATGTTTAGTTGGTTGGCATGGAGGGAACGGGCTCGGAAGAGTCGAAGGGGCCCGTCGGTTCTCACCCAGGTGCCTTTGATGGGATTGTACGCCCGGTAGTCGATGAAGGCGCCGGCGGTGAAGAGCGAGGAGAGTCTGGTGCCGGTGAAGGATAGTTGCAAGAACCCAGTGCTGCCGGCCGTCCAGACGCCCTGAGTGCGTGGGAGAGATGGTGTGGACGATCCAGAGTCGAGACGGTGTGCCGATGTACACGGTTGGTGCATGATTGATCCGACATGGTGGCATCGCCAGGAGAGGTCGATCGAAACAGCAAACAAACAGCAAGCAAACGGTAAGCAAAGAAAGGAACAGCGCCGGTGAGTCCCAAGGAGAGTACAGGCTCATGGGATGAATGGATGCTCGGAATCGCAGCCGACATGGCCGATGCTGGAGCACACATTGGCAGTGCAGCTCGACGAGCATCGTTGACGGAGACGCACCTGCACGGCGATGGAAGCATCAAAGGCCTGCGCCAGGCTGGCCAGACAGGAGAGAAACAGGACGAGCAGCACCGGGAATGAGCGGCTCATGATGACCGGCATCGTCAGCAGTTCGCGGAGGATTCAAGAGGGGGAGGATGTCGTTGGGCAGCGGCGGTGCTTGCGACAAACTTGGACGTGCGTGCAGGAGGGGAAGTGATAGAGGAAGTGATCGAGGAAGTGATAGAGGAAGTGATAGAGGGAAAGGGAGAGGGAGCAAGCGACGCAGCCGCAGACGACGGCACCGGCCAGACGCAGAGGAAGAGACAGGCAGAGACAACAGACGAGGCAGAGGAGACAGAAGAGCAGAACAACCAGGTTTTATGGGCGAGCGTCAGGGCACCGAGAGGGCAGTCGTGGCTGCTCTTGCTGCTCTTTGCGCGCGGCCGCGACGTCTGTGGACAACCGTGTATCGGGGCCTTGTGCAGCCGTGCCTTGTGCCTTTCCGCTTTGGCAAGGCTGGTGTTGTTGCTGTCGAGTGTCGCGCTGGTGCTGTGGCGGCCTTGGGTTGGGACCGAGCGCTGGCGATCCGTGCTGCTGGACAGTCCTCAGTCGCAGTTGCCGGCTGAACCCGCACGGCCAGCCAGCAAGGGCTGTTTGCGCGCACAGCCAGGCCGCCGTTCCCACGCACCGCGAACAAGATCACGAGCGACGGACGCGACAGCTGCGACAGCCGCGAGAGAGGGCTGGTGGGAAACAGTCGTTCATGTGGCTGGCTGGGGGGGGGCCAGCGAAGAGGAAAGGGGGAAAGTGCCTGTGCAACCGCCACCGCCCACGAGAAAACGAGAAAGGGGCTCGGAATCGGGAAAGGAGCCGCTCGGGAGGGGAACGACCAGCGCGCAGAATCACCAACGGCATGGGGGGGGGATGGGGGACCGGGGCCAGCGCACCCGATTGCCATGAACGCAGTGGCGCATACGCTCTGCGATCGATTGCAGCAAGAGCATGAGACTCGCATGATGGCGCCACATTTGCTCACGCGGGCGACAGGCAATCGGCGATTGGGCCGTCTGGTGGGCAGGGCAAGAACAGAAGGGATGCAACGGCAGCAACGGCAGCAACGGCAGCAACGGCAGCAACGGCAGCAACGGCAGCAACGGCAGCAACGGCAGCAACGGCAGCAACGGCAGCAACGGCAGCAACGGCAGCAACGGCAGCAACGGCAGCAACGGCAGCAACGGCAGCAACTCCAACAACGGCAGCACTCGACACCCCCCCCCAGATCGCCGAACAGCCCGGCTTCCTCGCGCTTGTACTTGTCGCTGCGATGGACATACGTATATTCGGCTCTGAAGCACCTCCATCGTGGGAAGGAGCAGAGAGCAAACTCGGCTGGCTGAGCAGCGGAAAGGAGGGCCGGAGATTGTTTCCGGCAGGATGGATTGGCAGCTGATGCGGGTGTGTGGGCCGCAGAACGAAAGGGTGAAGAAAGTAACGCAGAGAGAGAGAGAGAGAGATGTACATGGGTGCGCATGGGTGCGCATGTACCATGCGAAGCGAAATGCAAGGCAGCATAGATCAAAACACAGAGGGATGCAAGCATCGACTCGAAGGGGGGTGTGTGGCCATGTGAAGCAGAATGTACAGTTGCTGGTGGTGGTAAATGTCTTCAAATGCTATGAGGAAGGCTGTTTGGCGTTCGCGTGTACGATGGCGGCAGAGATGCATTGGATGATGGGACTGCTTGACCCTGGAGATAGCTCTGGCCGTCAGTGTTGTGTCTCACGACAGCTGATGCACACTTGGAAAGGCGAGGTTGGGCTGTGGTCGGGTCAGCGAGTCCTGTCGATGCACGGGCTCATCCAGCACCGACGGCGGCGGCGACAAACGCTGTTGGTTGTAGTTATAGTTGTAGTTGTAATTGGGGTTGTGGCTGTGGTTGTGGTTATAGTTGTAGTTGTTGTAGAGGATGCTCGGTGAGTGGAGCAGGTCTGCAGAGCCCGGAGTTGGGGCCCGGTTGGGTACCAGATCCACAGAGCCCGGAGTCGGGGCTCGATTGTGCAGATATGCAAATGGTGCGAGTTCTTCTTTGGGCACAGGCACGGCCACACCGGGGGGCTTTGAAGAGAGTCGGCGTCGGCGGACCCGGGCAATCCACACGGCCAAGACAGCGACCGAGACGACGAGCAGGACTGGTGACGCGGTGATGGTGATGGTGGTGGTGGTGGTGGTGGTGGTGGTGGTAGGTAGGTATCGGGACAAATGAATAAACGGTTAGATTTGTAGCCCCATTAGTCATTCAATCGATCGCAGCATCCCAGCACAGGAACTATCGATACGGAAGCAATGCGGCCCGCGCTTTGATGGCCATCCACAACGCCCGGATCCTTACCTGTGGCCACTGAAAGTCCAATGGTCAGTCCCTTGTCGGGGTCGGCGACGTCGCCAGGAGCATTTGTCGAAGCCGTTGTGGTGGGAGAGGGCGAAAGCGTCGAGCCCGGGGACAGCAGGGAGCCTTCGAGCGTGGGAATGCTGCCGTTTGGGAACGCCGACCCGAGCCGCACATAGCTGGGATACATGTTTGAATCGGCCCACATCTTACCCGCCACCGACGCCGGCGAGCACGAGCGGCTGACGACGACATCGTTGGCCTGGCGGGAGGAGTAGCACTGGGAGCATTGGGCATCGACACAGCCGTAGTTGCGGACAAAACGCATGCTTGGGACGGCCGAGTTGACCGAGATCGAGATGGAGAGACTCAGGCCGTACAGCCCGCTGGAAACCGGTGTGCACGTTGGGTACAGCGGCACCCGCACCATCGACATTGGCGTTTGGCAGGTCGAGTCCGTGTAGAGCGTCTTGTATGCGAATGTGGGCATGGGCCGGCCGTAGAAGCTGGAGCGCGGGAGAATGTGGATGGAGTGAAGGCGGAGAGGGAGATCAGCAAAACAGCCGCACCAGCCGAGGGAGACATGCATCAAACCATGGCACAGGCGGAGGACACGGAGGCAAGAGCGGCGGAGGCCAGGCGGGGTGGCCACGAGGGATACCGACAGTCCCAACGGATGCGTGCGAGAGGGCAGAGCAGAAAGTCAACTTACGGCGCGGCATAAGCATTGGTGTCGTTGACCACCCGAAAGTAGCCGGCATCACACGGCGACAGCAGCGAGTTGAGCGGGACGCTGCTGACCGGAGCAGTGCCGCAGCTGGACGGGTCGCAGTTCTGCGAAGAGCACGAATAGAAGGCCCAGGCGTTTTGCCAGAAGGTGTAGTAGTTGGAGATGCTGGGCGACGTCAGCGAACCGCAGATGTTGGTCAGGGTGAGCTGATCGCCCAGCTTGCCGATACGCACATCTGGCGGGTCGCTGGGGCTGAGGCACTCTGGGGCGGTGGTCGTCGGCGAGGACGAGACGAGCCAGAAGCTCTGGGTGGTGTTGAAGGCCGCGAAGGGCGCTTTGGAGCTCATGGCAGGGGGAGCGAGAGCGGGTGGATAGATGGATGGGCGAGGGTGGATAGATGGATGGCCGAGGGCAGATTGGGAGTGCGAGCACCTTTCGGGAAGAGCAAGAATAGGGGGGAGGTTAACAGCTATGACGTCTTGGGGGCTTGCCCGTGGACCAGAGAGGGTGGAGGCACCGGTGCGGATGGGAATGCGGATGCAGATGGGATGGGATGGGAATGGGATGGGGATCCGTGAGGACGAGGCGGGCACACCTTTTCAGCAGCAGCAGCGGCGGGGTCAGGACAGAGCGCATCGAGCGGCCGGTGGGTGCTGTCCGGGCAGATGGCCGCCGACAACACGGAGACGCACGGCATGTTTGCGGTCACGGACGGCCGTGGAACATGGGCGGCAAGGGCGAGCGCGGCCCAGCGCTGGTTTGTGTGCCGCAGCGCGAGCGCTATCAAGTGCGATATCAAGTGCGATATCAAGTGCAGAGTGATGCTGTGCAGTCGCAAGCGGAATATCAAGTGGAATATCAAGTGGAGTGCAGTGTCGATTCGGGGTCTCGTGTGGATGGATTCCAGCATCGCACAGAATATTATGCAAATGTGTCCGAGTCCCTCGGTCAGCCCCGGTCAGCCCCGGTCAGCCCCAGTCAGCCTCGGTTAGCCTCGGTTGTCGCCTTCCTCGCTTGTCGATTCCCTCTGCACTCCCCTCCACTTCCCTTCACACCGATTTACATCGGCGCCCCGCCAAGGACAAGGCTCTTCTCGACCCGCTCGAGCCGTGAGATCTCAAGCATGAGCTCCTTGCACTCCTCAAGCTCCTTCCACTCGTCCTGCATCAGGCTGCTCAGCTTGGCCATGTGCTGGGAGAGCTCCTGGACCTGTGATACAAGACAGAGTCACCGATGGGTGAATGTCGCTGAGAAAGCCGCGGTTGTCCGGACCATCGTCAACCCACGAGACCAAGAGCAAAGAGGAGGCGCATACTGGCATTGGCCAGGGACCCCCAGACACTTACGTTTCCAAAGCTTGTGCAGCTGATCTGCCCAAGCTGGGTCATGGCATGGTTGCATTCCTCGAGAGCCTGGGTCAGATGCTCTGTCGGACAGGTGGTGCAGCACCCGATCCGAATGAGTTGAGTGTTCGCAAAGTCGAACGTTGGAGAGGCATTTCCGTCGATACAAGCAAAATGGTCAGTGCAAGTCGTGGCTATCAAGTGAATCGAGGGTCGAGGCGTATCAAGTGAATCGAAGGTCGACAGACAAAGGGCAGCATGGTCTGGGCTTCTCTCACCAGGGCTGTCACGGCACACGGCATTCACAAGGGGCATCCGCATGCTTTTGATGTCGAGGGACTCGATAAAGCGGTTGAAAGGAACCTGGAACTCGGGAATGTGCTTCTCAATCGAGGACAGCATTTTGTACTGGACACGAGCGAGACGAGCAATCAGTTTGGTTGAGCAGGAACAGATCGCTGGTAGGAACAGATCGCTGGCAGATGATACAAATCGACGACCATCAGCCCACCTGGTAGCCCAGCTCCTGGACGAGCCGCTCGAGCTGCTGCTCTTCCTGGAGCTCCAGCTTCTCGCGATAGAGCTCCTCGCGCTTGGCCGATAGGATCTGCCACATATCGAGCAGCTGGGACTGAAGGCGAGAGGAAGAGGCGTCTGAGACACGAGTTCCAGGGCCCACAGCGCCATTCGCTCAAATCACAACCAACCTCGGCGTCATTCCTTTGCCGCTCAAAGGCTTTCTCTGCCTTGGTGCCGATGATGTGCCACTGCATCAGACGAGCATGCAGACTCGATATCTCCTCCTCGAACGGCAGCGAGCTGCTTGGCTTGAGCGATGCAGCTGGCTCTCTATGGGGTTGTCGTTGGGTCGTCGTTATTGCTGATGCTGGCGGTGCTGCTGGAGCTATTGGCGCTGTCCCAGGCAGTGAGCTGAACATTGCTGTGCCTGGCTCGGGGTCGGGATTCTCGTCGAGCGGCATCAGCGAGGAGGACGGTTTGCGCACCAGCCGGCTCGAGAGCTTTGAGGGCTCTGCCTCAGGCTGGCGACCAGCCACCGGCCTGCCGAGTGCAGATCGCTTGGCCTCGGAGCTGTAAAGTTGCTCGGCGTTCGATGTCCGTCGGCAGCCGAGACTGGGTTTTGGTGGCTGGGGAGCTACGCGAGCAGATGGACACATCCAGCAGCCAGAGCATGTCCGACGTCAAGACGGCCATCGATTAGTATGCGAGAAAACAGAGTCAGGGACTGAGGTTGGGACTGAAGTTGGGACTGAAGCTATGGTTGAGATTCCTCTCCTCATAGAGCATTGGCCACACCGGATCGATGCACCCGATGCTGGCCCTGTCCAAGGCGAAATGGAGACAACACCCACCTGGGCTCTCCCCAAACTTGTGGCTGGGAAGCATGGACTTGCGGCTCGATGCCCCCTCGGATCGGGCGAGCTGCCCAAGCCCGGATTCGACCTTGGAGGCCACGAACCGACCGGCCTTCAGCGTCGTTCGTCGTGGTCCCAGGAGCGAGTCTCGAGGGGCATCCGGCAACGACGACGATGGCAGAGGCTTCGAGGATGCTTCCAGGGTGTCTGAAGGTGGGGTAGCTGTGGCAAGACGGCTCGTTGCCATTGAGCGCTTGCGCTGATCGATATCGAGCTCGCTGCGTGAGCTGGTTCGGACAGCCTCCGCTGCGACACCAGGGGGTTGTGACGGAGGCACTCGCGGCCTTTCGGTTTCAGAGGACTTTGAATCGACAGTGTTGGCAAGAGTAGAAGCTGCGGCTGCAGCAGCGGCATGCTTATATCTGGATGGGACGTATTTGACTGGCAGACAATACGGACCCAAAGACGAAATGGTGAGCGAGTCGGCGGCAACGGCATTCGACGGACACGGGAAGCAGATCGATACCTCGGATGCCCTTCTTGATAGCGGGTGCGTCGGCCGAGAGGAGCGAGTCTGTTGTCTCTGGATCCATGGCGCGAACGGGGACGAGGTGATGATGCTGGGGGACGATACGATGGAGGACGATGTGATGTGATGATACGATGGAGGAGGATGGTTCAATGATGGGTCGATGAGGTATGGGAAGTGATTGGCTGGCCGCCAGCCAAAACAGGCAATATCGGCTCGATGGTTGCTCATCTGCCGCCCCAACCAGACCCAGCGCCTCCTTCCAGAGGATGACGGCGACAGCCCAAGTAGTGGCTCAACGGATCGCAAAGCAAGGATACACCCTCGGCAACATGACCGCCAGATCGCTGGTGCGGGTCTACAAGACCTTTGTCCGACCGACGATGGAGTATGCCCTGTCCCTCGATCTGCTCGAAGCCAAACAAGCCAAGACACTCAACCGAACCCAGATGCACTGCCTCACGGCGCTGTTCAAAGTGGTCCGAAACACATCATGGGGAGACATCAGGGGAGGAGGCATGTAGTCACCTTCCAGAACGTCGATTTGTCGAGTATCAGTGATACTGAGGGCGGGCACACAAATAAAAGTGCGCTAATGAAACAAAAAAAAAAATTAATAACTAAATGTTGCTTTCATCAGCGGATTTGCAGAAGGAATATTCCTTTCCAGTAATTCATGGGGCTTGATTAATCGAAATCGAGAATAAGATATTCAGTGAGAGCTCCCATCCATTTTGTTAACGGAATGACGATCGTGAGAGGCTGAGTGCACGTCAGTTGGTCCGAGGTCCCGTCATGGAGAAATGGGTTGACTCTGCAGTTTAATTCGTCACTGGAATATTGGACAAACAAATCGCTAACATGAAAATATTAAAAATGAGTACTAGTAATACGATTTGTATAAATTCAGATAAGGAGATTTAAATGGAGGGTCAAACGCATAGGTCCTAATTTTTGATATGCCGATCATGAAAATAATGATATAATGATATTCTCATTTTAATGACAAGACGAAGTTGTAAAAACTATGGATACAATGGAAATTAAAAATGAGATCAAGGATAAAACGAAATCGATTCAAGCAAGAATGAATTCCTTCCTTGGACGTCAACCACAATCCTTTCCAAATCCGATGACTGACAGCTATGGGGCCCCTCACTCCGTATTCTTTATGGTTTGACCAATTCCGATGCCTACGGTCATCCCCCAAATTCAATGATAAGTAGGATTGTTTTCAAAGTTTGAATACTTTCGTCAAATTCAGGTGCCCGGGGCATTTTTGAAGCTAAATCAAACGAATAAAACAAGATTCCCAATTCTGAGCCAGCTCTGCATCATGGGACAAATCAAGACTCGCATTGGTGTTGTAAACGGTCCATCTGCAGCGGAGCTTTGCTTAGGAGATCCATTTTTCATAATATTTTATAATTTCCTGATTTCGATCTCGACTGAATTTAAAATGTATCATATAATCTTCCGATCTCCCTTTTCAAGATTTACTGAGTACAATATAAATTTCAAAATAATGTTGGCATTCCCGAAAAAAATTCAGATTAATATCTGAAGAACTTTGATATGAAGGACAGCACAATTATCCACCCTCTCATTCGATCGATTTAAATTCAATGACACAAGGATTTTGTGTTTAAGGATGATCATCTTGACGCTCTTGAGGCTGATACTTCAGTGTAGCTGGAATTTTGATCAAGTGTTTGCTGTAACCTTGGATTGTCTCCATGCTTCGGGCAATCCGAACAACCCAATAAGTTATACTTTCAATAATTTCCTTGAATGATTTGCCATCAAAATAAAAATACGATCCAGCGGGTATAACATATCCATCATTTTCCTTGATATGGACACATAGGTTATGAATAGAATGAGGATTCAACAACGCGTCATTTTCATCGTGGGCATCGCTCGAGGAACGGATCCAAATGGGAATTGCGCCGACGTTTTTTGAGTGGCATTCTCGGATAATCACATTTGTGATAGGATTCATGATACTATCATCAGCACTCTTTGGAACTTTGTTGATGATGATCACATCGTGACTCTGACGTCTTGGGTACTTTTCTTGGACAGCCAAGAAAACAATGAGGACGGTGGCCAAATCGGCGGCGTTGATTCTGCCACCTACCCCACGAATAACACCAACCAGAATTGTTGGTAAACCGGTGGATAAAGCAGACGAGAGCTGAGAGGATTTCTCGCCAATGTTTCCAACTTCATCGATTCCCGGGGTATCGACATACAGAATATTGCCCTCTCGAGTCGACTCTGGAGCCTTGGTCAAACTGACACCGTCGACAGCGATTCCGGACTTGAAAACAATTTTGCCAATCAGACTGTTGAGAAGGGTTGATTTACCGGTTCCTGGATTGCCGAATACAACAACAGCCTTTTTGGCTTCGTGAGGTTCGCTGTCGTTTGTCATTGAATGGAACTACCAATCAATGAAGGGCTCTGAAAGCGAGGGGATCGGTTTAGAAAGAAGTTTTGATATCCGGTCTGGATAACGGTTTTATGGGCGATCCAATGGGCAAAGGAAAATGCAGCGATAGCTTGGGGAATTAAAGCAATTGGAAGGGGTGTCAATATGGAGGAAGAACCTCCTCACGTTTGACTTGAGCTGCGAAACCAAAGGGTGGCTGTTGACGGTTGATTTGACTCACTATCCATTGACGAGGAAGGAACGCACTTTATCTAGAGGTGATTTCACAAATAAATAGATACCATGGTCCGTCGAAATCTTGGTGGCGTCGACTACGAAGAAAGAGAGGGGATCCAGAACACCCATCATTCCTATTCATCCATGGGGTCAAGATTCCGGTCCAATGGAATAACCCGAAAGGAGATACCCTCAACTGGTGGCTGATATTGAGGAATTAGGAGCGGTGACCAAACAACCAAGGAGCTCTCAAAATATCTCCATTACGAAGCTCATCAATGAATTTTTGGGTGATGATCATGGTCATGATTTAATTTCATCCGTCTATCAACGCATTACAATATTAATTTGTTTACATTTATCATCAATAATTTAACATGATAAAATATGTTTCATGAATTGATAATATTAATAATTATTTTTTCAATTCCATTATTTATCGCTATTTCTATTTCACTAGATGCGGTCAGGTGCTGATATTTTGTTTGCAAATGCACTGTTATAGGACAACCCGGGAATCGCCTCAATTCCAAATATAGTGATATCGATGTGATATCGGTTGCTGATTGGAAGAGAATGTCCTCGAAGGTGCATGCCTCGGGATACAATCAAGCGATCCAGGCCAGGTGATTGCCAGGGACGATCCATCCAGGAGAGCGGAGCCGCAGTTTGCCGGCTTTGGGGGGGATGAGGCGGGTGGATCACAGTGGATACCACTCGATGTTCCACTCCGGCCTTTTGGGGACACCGACATCGTTAGCTGATTGAAGGATAACTCCTGATGGGGAAACCTCTGGCGCACTCTTGCGCCGCTTCAAGTCCACTCGAGCTCATATGACCAGACAGGACTCGATCCCGTCGCGAACCCAGGGTATCAGGGTATCAGCGCGATCGAATGTCGTGATACAAGGTGCTGAAGCATCAGAGCTTTAGAGTGTCAGGGATCAGGACACCAGGACACCAGGGTATCAGTGGGCACAAATTTGCTCATCACAGCATCGGCGGAGAGCCATGCCATGAGATCGTGGATGTTGCCATGATCCAGTCCCTCCTGGTGGCGATATAAACTGACCCCGGCCAGTCCAATCGCCGTTCACACCATCTCCACTCCGACGCCAAACACGCAGAGATCATCGCCTTCGAGGTTGGTCCTGGCGACTCTGGATTGAGTCTTTGCTTGTTTCGCGGATGATGGTTGAGCCTCGATCTTGGTGATCCGCCTGGCACCGGTAACTGGGCATTTGTGATACTCGCCAGCACGATTGCTGTGATGACACTGATCTGGATCGATATGACATCCAACGCAGCAGAATGAGAACAATCATCCTTGTCGGCAAGACGGGCCTGGGCAAGACAACTTTTGCCAACTATCTCGCTGGTTCTCAGCTCCAAACTGGCAGCGGCGTCACCAGTGTCACCGCAAACCCCCAACCCATTGTGTTCAAGCACAATGGTGTCCAGCATCGGGTGGTCGACATGCCCGGGTTTTCGGATGTGAGGATCAACAGCAAAGAAGCAATCACAGATGAAGTCATCCATCGATGGATCCTCCAAGAAGTCGTCAATAACGAAGTCGTTGGGATCGTCATGTTTCTGAGCCAGGAAGATGTCCTCGGCGCTCGACTGAGCAAGGAGTTTGTTGCGATATCAGAAATCATGATGACTCGCTTCTCCGGGTTTGAATCCATGTGTTTCTTTGCCATCTCGGGCAAGAATATGATTGGCGGCATGGGCGATTTCATCAAAGCAGCAATGACTGTGGTGACCACGGGAAAGTTGCGAATCATGGGACTGGGTCCCGACAACTGGGCTCGATGCAAGAAGAAAGACTTTGCCCGAGTCAAAGACTGGTGTTTGAAGCGCTTGCAGGCATCCGAGCCCCGCCTCGTCCCAAGAACCACGGTCGACCTCTGCAAGCGGTGCGGACTCAGAGCCGATCCTCTCTTGATCGACGGTCCCTGCCGATACCACCATGAGTCGGGGGAACTCGTCCATGGTGAGAAAACCCATCGTACTCATCCCCAATGCGTCTCCAACACTCATCGAGGCAATTGGAAGTCGACTATGCTCAACATGTGCAAAGGGCCTTGGTCCTGCTGCGGCTCCAAACAACAAGAGAGTGTGTGCACGAAAATGCACTTTCCTTGCTGTGGTCGGGATGAAAAGTCCCAGGGATGTCAAGAGATCTGCAACGATTGCGAAAAGCAAACGAATCAGGAAGGGTGTCAAGGGTCTTGCCAGAACTGCAATCAGTTCATGACCAAACCTGGCTGCGAATCCCATGATGAGCACGACTGGAAAGGCGACATTGTGCCCTTCAAACTTCCGATCGAACACGAAATCATCAACGTACCCGACCTGAGCGAGGATGAAGTTGACGCATTCGTCGATGAGTACCCAAAGTTCGATGATCAGGACTGGTATACCTTCTCTGAAAAGCTATTCGTTCATATGGCGATTTGGAGGAAGGGTCCAAAATCCCCTGTCGGATCCGAAGATGAAGGTGGAGACTCACAGCTCGTGCTGCATCGTTGATCATTTTCCTGTTTCAGCACTTTCCGTTCTCATGTTGATCCAGCAGTTGTCAGGGTCCCAATGCCACTGACATCTCGCACTTGAGCCTGTTGATAGCTTTCCCGCAGTCTTCCAAAGCAAATCGAGGCAGTTTGCTCGATCGAATATATTCAGTGCTCCATATTCCTATTGCTTCGGGTTACCTCCTGTTTCCCTCCCTCGGACCTCGGGGGACTCTGATCTCAGCAGCACAGACAGCTCCCACCCTTCCGAGTCATGCATGCACACGTTCAGCCAGCGGCCCGGCAACATCGGCGCTGTTAATGGTGGATGGCAATCCATTATTGCGGCGGCATGCCAGCATCAAAAGGGTGTCGCTCCTGTGCGATCGAATGCCATATCATCTTCTATTGCCGTATGACACACTATTTCCACATCGCATACGGTTGCCACGCCATGCCACACCTCGCTCAAGATCCACAACAACCACATGCCGCCACAACATCCTGTGAGCACGGCGCCGTGTTTGTGCCCCGCGCCAGCCACAGTGCAGTGCGGCGGCCCAGGGACCCGTGCGCGTGTATGTGATGCAGACAGTGCGGCGTGTCGCACCAGCGCGTCACCAGGGCGACACCGCGCGGGACCTCGCCACAGACACAGTGTGCCCGCAAGCCGGGGCCATGTGTCACCCACACACACACGGCGGCGGCTGTCTCCCAAACAATCCTCCCTTTCTGGCCCTTTGGCTTTCAGCATTGGCTTTCAGCTTTGGCTTTGGCTTTCAGGCTTGGGGAGTCGACTTTCGGTCTTTCGGCTTTCGGTCTTTCGGCTTTGGCTCTTGGGTCTGCCGAGGCTCTTCCATCGTCAACTCGCAGCAATATCATCGCTCAGCCTAATATCACACACATCCATATCCATCTTTTGCCAACCCTCCCGACCCTGATCCCGCTTGTCCAGCGCCCAGTTCTCACTCGCTTTCGCTCGGAGGTGTTTGCTCTTGCGCTGTTTCGCTTCGTTCCTGAAGGGCCCTCTCCGACTCCAGCGTCTCTGGCCCGCGCTTCCTCTTTCGCCCCTGCTCTCTTCCTCGCTGCAGTTTGCCCGTCGCCCGCCGTCGCCACCCGGTGAGCGCCAGAATGTCGGTGGTCCACAGCTCGGCTCTGCCCTCGTCGGCCTCTCCGCCGACGGCCATCGTCCATGACGACGACGCCGACGAAGTCACCATCCGGCCCGATGTTTCCGAGGAGCCTGTCCAGCGTAAGCCCATCTCTGTTATCCCTGTGGTGGACGCATTCTCCCTCTCTCCTCTATCTCCTCCCTGCTGCTTTTGGCCACTCGCCGTGGCATGCGTTCGCCATCACCGATCAGCCACCAGACGGCTGTCACCCCATCCCCAGTCTATCATCCTGCCCGACGACTATCCTGTCTTCACCCTCGCCTGTCGACACCAAACCTCTGTCCTCGCAACGGGTCGTTCGAGTCCGGCCTGTCCACGGATCCCCCTACTTACTCGCTTCTCTTCCTGACTCACCCTGGCTCGCAAACCTGCCGCTCCGCTCGCGTTCCCTTGCTTGCTCGCCTTTGATCAATGCTTCTGACAATACTGCCCGCAATGGTGCTCTCCACAGCGGCGGCCTCGGGCTTCAGCATATCTTCGCTCTCGTTCTTCTCGCTGTTCTTCGGAGCATCCAAATCGCACAGCAAGCCGGCCAAGACTGCGAGCACCCCGAAAACCAGACATGTCGCCGCCCAGGCAGAAACCAAACCCTGTAAGCACCTGGATGACAGCTCCCTTGGATGGAGCTGACATTTGCCCAACCACTGTTGCCCCTTGACACTTTCCCCCACTGGACGACCTTATGGCTAGACGACGCACTGACTCGTCTCTGATCTGAATCCCACCATCCAGCCGCACCCCAAAAAATAGCACGCGACGCCCAGGCAGATACCCCTCTCGAGTCTCAATCTCCCGACTCGGCCTATGCAACTCTGCTGAGCGACAGCATCCGTGCAGAATCTGCAACTCCAGGAGCCAGCCCCGTCCCCACGAGCCCAATGTCTCCGGTGGTGGCAGCTTCTGCGAGCATCTCTCCTGTCAGCCCGCAGCTCATCAACAGCCTCAATCCCCATGATCCCGTCACTGACCCCAGCGAGCCTGTCGATCGATCCCATTCGGCCGTCGCAACGCAAAAAGGTGGGTTCTTGCGGGACGGCTGGCGATTCCTGACCCGAAACGTCTTCAAACGGTCGACTCTCGAGACAGGCGCCCAACACCTTTTCCGGTCGTCCACATCCAAGCCGGAGGCCAAAGCCACTGCTGCCGCCACGGCTGTGTCTCCTGTCTCTGCCTCCTCATTCGACCCCTCTCCACCAATGTCGGGTCTCCGTTCCCCTCTCGCTCCGACATCTTCTGCCCCTCCTGTCCTGCGAATTCCTCCTCCTCCAGTAGACCCGGTCCCCCCAAAGCGGAGCCAGTCGCTTCTCTATCGTTCAGACGATCCCGCTTCGGCGGCTCATGCCGCAGGACGCGTCGCTGCCGTCAACAAGTTTGAAGAGACCATCCGCCGACACCTGCCTTCCGACGTCGGGGCGTCGTCGTCGGTGGCCTCGGGATCCGATTCCGCCGCTCGACAGGCCGCCCCGAACATGAACCCGTCGAAATCGCGTAACGGCGGTGTCGCCCTCGGCCTGTCTGCCTGGAACCGCCACGCCCCCGGCGCCAGCCTCCCCGGCGCGAGCCAGGACATCAGCCTGTCGCAAAGCTTTTTCGGGCTCAAAAAGCCTGCCACCAAGCCAACCAAGGCGCAAACCCTCGAGCGGCAGCTCGTCAACGGGTCGTACCAGTGCCTCACCGGCGACTCGTGCCAGGTCTGTGCCGGCACCCAGTACCTCGAGGACGGACGCATCTGCATGGCCTGCACCGAGCAGCCCTTCGCAACCCTCCCGCGCGACCCGAGCCGGCCCCGCCCGCTATCCCTCAGCAAAGGCGCAGACGGGACCCTGGCCCAGGGAATCAAGAGCAGCGCCAATCGATTCAAGGACAAGATGACGGGTCTGCTGAGACACCGCAAGTCGGTCGAGACCTTTGATCTCAACGACGGCGAGCCCTCGGGTGAGCGACAGCATGCCACCGGGTCGCTCTTCCGCCGTGGCCGCTTCCGCAAAGCCAGGCAGGAAGGGGAAGAGGGCCCCAGACTCAACTCCAAGCCCAGCCTGGACCCCGGCCCGTTCAGTCCGTGGATCAAGGAGCAAAAGGAGTCTGACCGAGTGTCGCTGGCCTCCACCTCATCGTCGTCACCTCATATGCCGGCCGATGCAACGCTCGCGCGCTCGCTCCCTCGTACGCTGCCCAAGACGCCGCAGCTATCGCCGCTGATGAGCCCTGCAGCCAGCCCTCCGCTGGACCCTCGTGCCAGCCCGGAGATGATCATGGAGGATCCGTCGATCCGGTCCGACAAGCTCAAGAGAATGTACCACGACGTGCTCTATAACGACGTGAGCCTCGACGACCTTGCGGACCAACTGGCAATGATCGACTAGGCCGGCTGTGGCCATGTCGTCACCGCGGCTGGCACCGTTGTACCTGGCGCCATTGTAGCTAGCATCATTCGTGGTTGGCATCGCTTGTGGTTGGCATCGTTTGTGGTTAAGGTCGTTTGTGAGCACATTCACTTTTTTTCATTTTGCACTGTGGGTTTCCGACACAACTCGGCCCGCTCCCACTCCCTCCCATCCGCTCTCTCTCCAATGTTGTTGTGCTCATGCGCCACGCTCACTTGCTCTTCTATATTCGCAAGATAACTCTGTTGTGTGGTGGCATTGGTGCTGGGCGTCTGCTTGCGACCTGAACATGATCATGATCAGTGCGCGACAACGCGGATTTTCCACAGAACGTGCTGACCCAAGACCAAGAGTGTCTTCTTGCCGGGCCATGCCCCGCTGTTATTGCCGTTTGTCGTTTTCCGATGTTTCCCGTCTGCTGTTGTTTGTGTTTGTTATCGTTGTTCGTCGTTGCTATCGCCGTTTGTTGTTTTATGTCGTTTCTTTGATCTAGACTTCAGTTCCGCATTCCCTCCCCCATGCACACATACGTAGAATATTACAATATACAGTTGTTTCAGATCCAAACGGGGCAGTTCATTCTTTCTGGCATCAGAAACCTGGAGGCCTGCTGCTGATCATCTGTTTGCTGTTTGAGCCAGCACTGACCAGTCTCTGTCTCTCCCAGCGCGCTGATCATGTGTGGTGTTGCCACAGAATTGCTTTTTGCCTATGCGGTGTATTAGGATGAGCTATGTACAGTTCCTCTTCGTGGACGGCAAAGAGCAACAGCATCGGTCAGAGTGCAGTGTTGGGGAGAGGGGAGGGGAGGGGAGGGCAGACGTGTCCAAAAGGTGTTTAGAAACACCGCTGTGCGTTGTAGGAAAGTGGAGGGGGGGGGAAGACGAACCAATTTCAAAACCCAAGTGTCGGGAGGACGGAAAGCGGGCCGAGCGACAACCAGGGCCTCCCAGCGATCGCCCGAGAGCCATGTCTCGCGGATCAATCAGCAAACAGGCAGAATGGACCCAGCAAAAGAAAAGGACGAGTAGCAATACAAAAAACAGTCGAGAACAGAATACAAAAGCGCGCAGGCCGCCGAGCGTCCAAAGACGCTGTCGGGAGCGATCCGATCCACAAGTTGGGAGGAGCCAGCGAGAGACAGCAATCGGCCCCAGATGCCTTTCGTTTACTTGGAGGACTGGTACTTGGTGACGGCCTTGGTGCCCTCAGAGACGGCGTGCTTGGCGAGCTCGCCGGGGAGGATCAGGCGGACGGCGGTCTGGATCTCGCGCGAGGAGATGGTCGAGCGCTTGTTGTACGAGGCGAGCTTGGAGGACTCGGCAGCGATGCGCTCAAAGATGTCGTGAACGAACGAGTTCATGATGGACATGGCCTTGTTGGAGATGCCGGTGTCGGGATGGACCTGCTTGAGAACCTTGTAGATGTAGGTCGAGTAGGTCTCCTTGCGGGTGATCTTGCGAACACCGCCCTTGGCGGCAGCGCCGGCCTTCTTGTCAGCGGTCTTGGCGGGGGCCTTTCCGGCGGGCTTCTTCTCAGCCTTGGGGGCAGCGGCAGCTTCCTTGGGGGCCATTGCGAGCGATAGAGATGGAGATGGAGATGGAGATGGAGATGGATACGGAGTGCGGTGCGGATGTGCCGGAGCGGATGTGCCGATGCGACCAGGCCGCGGCTGGCGCGGGCTTTATATCCGGGCGGAGCGCGGTCACGGGACCTGCCCGATTAGGCAGGCGCCTGTGCGACCGCGCGCGGGCCAATCAGCGCGCAGCTTCTCGTCGCCGCGCTCGGCGTGTGTGTGTGTGCGCGCGGCCGGTTTCCGCCGTTTCGGTTGGCCGACGCGGCGCTGCGCCACGCGGGCCGCGTATAAATACCCGCTGCTGCCGCCGCTGCCGAAGCGCCGCCATCCGATCGCGTCTCCACGACCCATCTGCAGCCCGCAACCCAACCCTCGCTCCCGCATCAACTGCACCAACTGCCTCTGACAACATGACTGGTGGAAAGGGAAAGTCGTCCAGCGCTGACAAGTCCAAGGTATGCCGCCGTCTCTGCTCTGGATCTGGGCTTGCTTCGGCTGCTTTTGGCTGGGACGGCATCGGATCCGATCGTCCCGCATCATCATCCGCTCGACCATGCGACGGCGACACCCAAACACAATGTGCCACTCGGTGCTGACCCCCGCATATCTCTGCTTCTGCCGTCCAGTCTTCGACCAAGTCGCGCTCTGCTCGCGCCGGTCTCCAGTTCCCCGTCGGCCGTGTCCACCGTCTTCTGCGCAAGGGCAACTACGCCCAGCGTGTCGGTGCCGGTGCCCCCGTCTACCTCGCTGCCGTCCTCGAGTACCTCGCTGCTGAAATCCTCGAACTCGCTGGCAACGCCGCCCGCGACAACAAGAAGACCCGTATCATCCCCCGTCACCTGCAGCTCGCCATCCGCAACGACGAGGAGCTGAACAAGCTGCTCGGCAACGTCACCATCGCCCAGGGCGGTGTCCTCCCCAACATCCACTCGACTCTCCTGCCCAAGAAGTCCAAGACCGGAAAGGACGAGAAGGTTCCTTCGTCTGCCGGCAAGGCCTCGCAGGAGTACTAAGCGCAGTGCCCCGAGTCTCCTCCGCAGCTTGCCTTCCCTAACTTATTCCCGCCGGTTGCCGATGGCGCCTGAGGGTATCTGCTCTGTACATTACCACGGGTTGTCTGTGGCTCGAGTCGTGTCCGTTCACCTCCCATCTCTTCCTCCGATTTTGCTCCTGTCTCCCGGCATCCGCCACGGCTCCTGATGTGTACATATCCCACACACCCACCAACTTCCGCCGCCACATTTTGACCAGCTTTTTGTGCTCCAAAGATCCGTAGACTTTGGCCTTTCCCTTCCTCCTCGCCCCCTCTCTTCCCAGTCCCATCCATCATGCGCATGCTGTTTTGCAACCTGTCCAGCTGTTTTGTGTCTCCTTGACGCACTTGGAACGAGCAGCCAGGCCAGGGCAGCCGAGCCGTAATACATTCATGACAACGCAGCACCACCGTCGCAGCCCTGTGAGCCACGAGCACGCCAGGGACCCATGAGATCCCGATGAGATCGCGTCGATAGACACTCCTTGTCAGCCACGGCTTTGGTCATGATAGATGGGCTCTCTGTTCAAATAGATGTCCGACTCGGCCAAGCAACTCAATGCTGCCTATACACGCCGACCTCCACTGCAATATGTGCACTCTTCTTGCGATGCTCCTGCAATGTTCGTGTCGTGCTCTGATCCTCACCCCAGCACAGGGACGCTCATGTCCCATCCGCTCCGGAACTGCTCGCAAAGTGCCTGGAAGAGCGGCACGGAACCTGCAACATCCCCCCCACCGTTGCCGTCGTTAGTAACGATGGTATTCCCCGGATGGCATCCTGTGCGAGAGCGCGAGCCTGGATGTGCTCGGGCTGATCAGTGCCTCCCACTCTTGCGAGGCTGCCGCCTACCTTGCTGATGAGTGAACTGCACCCTCCAGCCGCTGCTGCCGTTGCCGTTGCCGTCGGCCTCCTCGGCCTCGGCGACAATGTCGATCTTGAATCGGATCGTTCCTGGCTTGAGCGACGGGACCGTGGTCACGGACTGGTTCGGCGAATTGCTCGTGCTGGTGCTGGTGCTGTTGCTGCCTGGTGCACCAGAGAGCAGAGCCTGTGTCGGCGTCGTGGGCTCGCCCCCAGACGAGGGCGACGGAAGCGTCTCGGCCGTCCCCGAAGATGCAGGTGTCTTGGGCACGCTGTACTTGCATTTGAACCCGCCCTCCTTGCGGTTGTCGAATCGGATTCCCAGACTCTGCAAGGACGATGATGCAGCAACGTGGTGAATCCAGGAACCCAACGGCCATCGAACCATAACCCAAGAGCGACTGCACCATTAAAGCACAATGATTTTGACCCGCACGGATGCAGCCGAGGTTCGAGGTCCGAGGTCCGAGGTTCGATTGTCCCTGTTTGTCGCACTTTCAGCGGGGGCCTACCGTCATGCGATTCACCATGCCCTTGTGTGTGTTCTCGTAGCTCAGGATACTCGGCAGCGACATCGACTCGGGCCGGAAGTTGAACAGATTGGCAAACCAGCTTCGCTTGGGCGTCGTTGTGATCACAGGGGTGGGCGGAGCATCGTTCGCTGGTCGCAGCGGTGGTTTGGTGGTGGTTTGGTGGCGGTTTGGTGGCAAGGAGAGAGGTTGGCCCAGAGCCAAACCGAACGTTAGCAGCTGAGCAGTATCTCGCTGGGTTCGCCACCCCGGCAGTGTCGACCATGTTGAGCGCCCATGTATGCTCATCAACTTTACTCCTTGGACCCAAATGGCACCAACGGCTTGGCGATACTCACACATTGGCTTGCTCGTCCGGTGGAATCGAGGGCTTCCGATTCCAAACGACAGGGGCGCAACTGCAGATGTGGCTGACTTGACCTCGGTGGGAACCGAGGCGGATGCCGAGCCCGGATGCATCGCCGAGCCTGTCTTGTTGGAGTCGCCGGCGGGAATCGAGATCTTGAGACCCCGCTTGGTCTCGAGCTCATCCCCAGCACTCCGGCGTCCGACAGGCGGGGCCGAGTCCTCCTTCGCGGCCTGGGCCTTTGGCAGTGACATGGCAGCGGGTCTGTTGTGGTGCGATTCAACATGATGTCAACACAGAGCCAGTGCCGGATAAGGATCCTTTGGAGAATGCTCGCAATGAGCCGCAGTATCAAGCAAGAGGGTATTTGTCTGGAGCGACAGCATCCGAATCTGCCACCACATCCATATCCCCCGTTTCGCAGCAACGAGCATTCCCTCTACAAAATCCAGGTCAAGGCAATGCGATGCCCCGGTAGTGCTGTCCACAGCATCACCACGGGCCCACGACCGATCCCGCTTGGCTTACTCATCGCCCAGATAGGTGACCGAGGCTGCCAACGGACTGTTGACTCGGACATTGGTCTCTGTGTACTTGGACACGACCGATGATCTGATCAGAGAAGCGGGTAAGACGGGATCCGATGAATCACGATATCGATTCGGACAACAGCGAGCTTCTGCCTCAACCCTTCATAGTCAGATCACACGATCTGTACTCCTTCGGAATCCATCAGAGACACCACAGTCGCGGCAATCGCCACTGCCATCGGATCCATCAGAGCGATCGAAGCACATAAACTCACTTCCGCGCGCCATGTTCACTGACGACCCGTCGCCCGGAGCTCTGGGCTCTTCGTCCCGTCGGGCTCGACAGTTCATCGAGGCTCTTGCGAAAGTCTTCGTTTGCTTTCTTCTTTGGCGACCCGCCCGAGGAGATTTCGTCTGTCGAGGCGCCGATTTCATCCCGAGAGGCAGTACGAGCCTCCGTGGTTGTCCCGAGCTCCTCGGTACTGCGGCGATAGCCACATCCATCGCTCGCCAGCGAAATCTGCGAGCCCTCGTAGAGGCTGTTGTGTGACTCGGCCCTCCGTCTGGGGCTGCCCTCTGTATGATTTTTGAACACCACGGCGCTGCCAGTGTCAATGCAGAGCACTCGTCGCAAAGGAATTGAGTCCCAGCTCGAAAGCATCAAGACTCTTACCTTCGTTGTCCCATTCACTGGGCGCCGAGTTGTAGTTCTCAAACTGCTCCATCTTCCGCTGATACAACAGCGTGTAAAACACCTTTTCCATGTTGAATCTGGCCGTGTGTTCAAATGCAACGACAGCCACCCAAAGTAAGCTGACTGATGAACGCAACACCAGGCCCAATCATCATACTCGCAAGCAGAGCTTCCTATCGGAACGCAACACCAGGCGTTCTTCCTTGTACATCCAGGTTCATCTGCAGCCAGAGCGTTGGGTGCAACTCACTCCTCCGAGTACAGCAGCTTCGAAAGCTCCTCGATGTTGGTCCAGCCGAGCAAAGCCAGGGATGCTATGATATCGGGATCGAGGGGGCTGCCGTCGGTTCGGTACGATTGCTGTAGGTTTGGTGGAGGCAAAGTTGCTCAATCAATCCAATCATCGGATGCTACTTCTGCTGCTGCCTAGCCGCTTTGAGTTTCTCCTCTCCCCCCCCCACCTTGATTTGGACATTGATTGAATCGCAGCACATTCGACATGCACTATCGATACACCCACCATTTCTTTCGACGCATAGGCCGTCATGCCGTTACGGGGCGGAATCGAGCAAAACCATGGATGTGCCATGATCTCGGCCATCTATGCGCGCCATTCCAGAGGCGGCGGAATCGAATCGACACGGTCAGTTGCGGCTTGGATGCTATTGCAATAGTCGGTGTGAAGCCGGGCGGCTCGAGTACAGGGGACGATTCCAGTGGAGGAAACGGAGGCAGGAGGATATCTTGGCCCACACTCACCGTGATGCGCTTGGACGGGTCCACAGTCAGCATCTTGCGGATCAAATCCTTGATGGAAGGGTTCACATGCTCTGGGATGATGTACACGCCGCTTTTGACCTGTGCAGCACATTTTTTCCCTCCCCATGAGTCCGCTGCTTGCCCTGATGCCAGCATTGCCTGCAGAACCAAAGACTGTCTGCCCACCCCTCACCTTGCCGAGAAGCTTTCGGATGTTCTCGTCGTCAAAGGGGAGGCTGCCTGTCACAAGCGCAAAGAGAATCACCCCGCAGCTCCAAATATCGGACGTGGGGCCGTCATATTTGGTTCCCTGTTGGCGATCCAAAGCGCAGAGATGCTTAGTACGGCCGAATGTGGTCGACAGTCCCATTCGCCGACAATTGCCGGGAGGGTGGTACCCGTCACGGCCAGAGCGATGACGAACGCAAAGTACTTGCCCTGATGATCTCTGGGCTGGCGTAGTGGGGAGATCTTTGGGAGTTTTGTGCGTTCGGCAACAAGAGCAGTCGGTCAGCCTGGATTCATCACAACACTGCAACACTGGTGCAAACCCAAGGAAGCAGCCCATCCAGCACGCGACCGCAAGCTTGCCGAAAATCTTGGTTGTATATGTGTGTCCTGGTACTGAGCTGTGCAGTTGGGCCCAGCGATTTCAGGAAGGTCAGTGCGATGCGGCCAGGCAATAATTACCCACAGCTCGTTTCGAGGAGTTTTCCGGTGATCTGCAGACTTGCCATGCCAAAGTCGGCAATTTTGACATTCAGATCCTTGTCGAGCAGCAGATTCTGTGCCGAGCCGGGGACAGGATGCGAATAGTTGTCAATGCGAAGGCGACCGCCACTATCCCAGCATCGCTTCAAAATACCATGCACGCAGAAATCCGCGCTGCTGTCCGGCTCAGTCACCTCAGGTTTCAGATCTCGATGGCTGCAAGTCAAACCGAGAAAATGGCAGGCGTGCGCTCTGGAATGTTAATCAAACTCTGAACGTCCGCAGCTGTCCGTGGTTGACCAAGTGAGCTGCGTGCACGCCGGTGCTTACCAGATCAGATGCTTGTGACAGTAGTCGAGTCCGAATATAATCTGCTGGAAAAACTTGAGAGCCTCGTTCTCGCTAAGCCTGCCTCGCTTGACAAGGTAGTCGAACAGCTCGCCGCCCTCGACATGCTCGAGCACCAGGAAGCTATTTGGCATCGTCGTCGTACATGCGTGAATCCAGCGTGCGCACATATCGGGGGCCTCACACAATGCCTGGATTGCTGTGCTCCCGAGTTGCGCTCTCGAGTGCTGGAGGCAAACAGCCCAAGCGACTTACAGCTCAGTATCCGTCTCGTAAACATCGTAGAGCTGCAATACATGCGGGTGGCTGACGAGCTTCATGATCGTGATTTCGCGCTCGACTTTTTTGTTCTCGGATGCGGTGTTGTCCTTTCCTCCACCGTTGTTGCCGTTGTTGCTGCCGCCGTTGGCGCCGATCATTTTCTTGGAGATGATCTTGATGGCGACCCTCTGCTTGGTCTGCATGTGGATGCCGAGCTTGACACGTCCTGTGGGAAAGCGAGCGGGTTGCGAGAGGGCGGGCGAGCACGACAGGGTTAGTACAACAGGGTTGGCACAACAGGATCAACATGAACAGCAAGTCCAACCGGGACGATCAAAGCAACAGGCCGATCCGGCGTATCAACTGGATTCGATCCAAACGCACAATCCCGCTCCCTCGTCTCTGAATCGCAACAACCCGCAGCAATGTGGTGGTTCTACGTGTTGCTCTCTTCCAACAGCGCCATGGGACAGTCCCAAGATGCAGATTCCCACGCACACTACGTTCCGCTCGCCATCGCTTTGCAATTCCCCTTCTCTCCTCTGCCCACTCCCTGATGAATCCCCGCGTTTCGGCTGTGCAAAGCCTGGACGGCCGATCGGTTGCTCACCTGTCATTCCGACTCCAAGGGTTTTGCCCAAGATATATGGACCGACTCGCTGGTTCTTGGCGGCCATAGCGATACTGGGACTGGTGTTGGGACTTCCATGATTTGGAGGCGTAACAGCCGCGGACATGGATGCGGCAGAATGCTGCTAGCAATCGAGGAGGTCACGAAAGGATAGAGGGGGAAATGTAGGGCCCAGGAGGCGAGGATACTGTCGAGCTCTGTGGTGTGTCAGCTCGAGTCGTTGGTGGGCCAACAGCTTGAAGGTACTGCAGAGGGATGACGAGGACAAAATAGCAGCGTGGACGGCGCTTGCTGGAAAGGCCAACCCGAAGCTTGAGACGGAAAAAAAAACACGACAATCGCCAGGACAGCGAAGGAAGCCAAGGCAAGGGAGCACGGCCTATTGACAGCGACAGGAAAGAAGGTGTAAACCCAAAGGTGTGTCGAATACCAAGCCGAATATGTGGCGGCCGCACGAAAACCGCGATGGCGAGGAAAAGAGTGAGTCCGGAGGCAACAAGAATGACTCTGGAAGATGAGGCGAGAGAGAGAGAGCAGAGGGAACGAGAGCGCCTGGATCTAGCCAACAGAGGGGGCAAAGAACAGCAATCTGTATGCAGCGCTGCAGCGAGAGGAATCAGCAGTCAGAAAAAACTATGGGCCAGGCATTTTTTCTTCTCCTCCCCATCCGAGTCGAGAGGGTGCTTGCGGTAGCTGGCATTCCCCCAATCATTTTGGATTGGAGAACAATTCTGGGCCCAACAGGGAGTGCAGAAACAGACGGGACATCCCTGTTTCGGCCCGTCCCTATCTGGCTGATGTGCTGGCTCGATACTCTGCCTTCGCTCGCCATGGTCACTCGATGGCACTTGGCTTATGATCTGTCCACATCGCCGCAATCTTCAATATACCGACGACACCGCTTATCCACGCTCATGCTCAGAGGTGCTGATGGTGACGGATGTATCTCCAGCGACGATAATTGTGGTCAGTCAGGGCCATGGACCCAACAGCACTGGCTCATGCGGATAGACAAAGGCATTTTGGGGGTCCGATTTGCTCAAGACCTGCACCACTCCGCTGATTGGATCCGCAGGAGCAGCGGTAATGCAATGGCATCATTGACGCGGAGTACTCGTTATGTACAAGCCCTATGGGCGAGTCTGTCGGAAAGGAGTGTGGCTGTATTGAGCAGTGGCGCATTCATCATATTCAAGATCCAGTGAGAACAGAAGCCAAGTAAAATCGCCCCCCCCCCGACCGTAATGTGGAGGGTGTCCCGTTTCATTCCGCGCAAGCTGTAGACGACGCGGCACTGATAGTGCTCATTAGCGTTGCAGACGAGAGTTGCAGTACGATGGAAGCGCACGGAGACGGGGCATGGCATGACACTCGAGAGAAAAGTCTATGCGCACAAACCGGCGTTTATGAAATATGATCGAGGATTAGGGTGCAGATGAGGGGAGGGGACATGGATGCGAGTGCGAATTCGTCAAAGACGCTTCACCATAGCATCATGTCCATGAGCTCGGTCGCCCCGAATTCCTCCAGCGGTGCGCACAGCGCGCTGACGGTCTCGGCGAGGAGCACAACACTCGAGAACAGATCCATCTTGGATGTCGGCCGGGTGAGGTCGAGGGAGAAGCTCGGCAGCTCCGAGACAGCAATCATGTGCTTGTGTGCGCTGACAGAGTCGCCGAGGGCCGGAAACTCCCATTGCGGCCACATGAGCGTTGGTTCGGGGCTGTCGGGAAGGGGGCATTGAGCGAGTTGAGGAGCATTGAGGCAGCGGCCAGGGCCGTGAGACAACCAGTCAAATGAGTCAACGGTTGAATTATAGACGCAATGCCGCAATCAAGAAAGCGACTGTCAGAGAACATGCGGCTCGGGATTGCCTCGTGACGAATGTCGGTGGGCAGTGGTGGCGACGAACCGGGGCATTCCCATCCTCCCCGGCGGGTATCGGCTGGATGACATGCAGAGCACCGTTGGACAGGCACTTACGAGTCAAAAGATGCATCGAATGTGTCGGACGATAGTGTCGGTGGCAGATCAATCACCATGAGCGAGTCTGCGGCGCTGGACCGATTGCCATCCTGCCGAGCAGAGTCGGAAGTAGGGGCGGATGGGTGGTTAGGCGGGGCGGTCGCTTCCCTGGGACAGACGACAACGACCAGCGTCCCTGAGCGGCAAGGCCATCCTCAGAAGCAGTGGAATCCATCACATCGTGATTCGCTTCTCTGAAGGGCTGTGCATCGTCATGGCAGGGGTTGCATTCCACCACGCCAGGAATGCCGACATGAGAGGGAGGGCTTACCTGGCCAGTTTCGCTGCTGCGAGAAAGTGACGGTCGACGGGAAGCAGGTCGCTTGTGCGGCTGCAAGTGGTCGAGAGCCAGACTCAGGAACGAGTCGAGCTCCTCGGCCAGTTCAGAGTCCAGGTCTCCTGGGAAACTCGAATCGTCGTCGTCGCTGATGGTGCCGGCCGCATGGCGAATGCGAGAGCCATGTGGCGACGGGCCAAGGGAGGGCGAGCTCGCGGTGATGCTGGCGTTGCTGGTATTGCTGGCGTTGCTGCCGTTCAGATTAGACTCGATCGAGACGACGGGGAGGATGCCGACGAGCTCCCAGTCGCCCTCGACGTCCGGGTGGATGTGTGTTGATTTGAAGTCGTCCCATGACAGGCTCGGGGAGAGGCTGGCGCTGGTGATCATCATTATTGATGCTGCCGGGGGAGGAATAAACAGAGACGACGACTTTTTCCCAAGACAAAGGTGGACGGGGGCCGGGCAGGTGTTTCTGGACGAGGCCGGTGTGGGAACGGAGGCGGCCCAGAAGCACCGACGGCGGCTATTCATAGCCCGCTGGACGGGGCCCATTTGGGGGCCGATACGGATGGCGTGATGTGCAGCGTGACCGGAGAATGCCTTGTCGCGGGCCAGTGCGCCTTGTGCGGCTCGGGCGCATTTGGGGGCGGGCTTGAGCCATCGGGGAGGTGCGATATGCTGCGATATCGTGCAAATGTCGGCGCATCCGGGATCGGATCTGTGCCCGAATCGCTGCGGGCTGGATGCAGACCTGCGAGTCGCTTCCTGGGTCCTGAATACACACCTCACCCACCCATTCCACTCGGGCAACGCATCGCCTCACGGGCCAGGCTATCGCGGATTGGGCTCAAAAATGCAGTCGCATGTGTATTGTTGGTTTGCGGCTGCGGATGCGACAAAAGTACATGCTTGGCTCTCGTCCAACCAGGTTGTGGCCGGACAAGTGCCCTTGGTTTTGATTTGACCGGGTTCCGCCACCACCGGGCCCGGCTAGATGGGATTTGGTCCTTCTGCAGGATCCAGCGGGCCGCCTTCGGCAGCACTCCACCCCTTTGGCGCAGGCACGGTGCTGCTGCTGCTGTTGCTCGTGGGATTGCCCTCGCCCGATACTGGTGGGCTCGCCGATTTCCGAGGCCGCAGCGGGAACTCGTAGATGGCTTCCTCGCTCCGGGCCGGACCAGAGGATCGGTACGGCGGATCAAACGGCGACGCAGATCGCACCGACGATTCGCCGCCGCTGTGCACACCCGCTAGGTTGCTTGGGTAGCTTGTCGACGGGGGCAGCGGATCAGTCGGCGACGAGCTGCGTCCGGGCTTGGACTGCGGGTACTGCTGATGTGCATACATGGGCGACGAAGCCCGGCGCTGGCTGGGCTCCGGACGGTACGGCGAGTATGCCCGGTGCGTCTGGTGGATCGCCTGAGGACTTGCGTGGGGAGAATGGTGCGGCGGAGCGCTCGGGGAGCGGGTCTTGGAGCTGCCGTGAGTAGATGCAATCTCGGCGTTGTGCATCGAGTCGGGCTGTCTGGGTGCGCTTGTCGGTTGCGTCGACTCGATCACCAGCCCGACCGACATGCGCGACGCAGAGCCGCGACTCGGATCGGCGCCATGATCGCTTGGTTCCGGGTTCGACGATGCCGATCCAGAGGCCGATAGCGCCACCGGTGCCTGGGCAGATGCTCTGGGCTCGGACAGACCTCCAGAGGGAAGGCCCGCGGCTGCATGGCTCTTGAACCGGTCCGGGTCCTCGCTCGGGGCTGGGATCCGTGCTGCGACTTCGGCGTGGACAGGCTCGGGCGGTGGCGGGCGTGAGATAGGCAGCTCCCGATCGCCTGGGGCCGGCTGCAACGGTGGCAGCGACATGGTCATCGGCGGCGGGGGATGCGACATGTAGCTCGCCGGGTTGGAGGGCAGAGGCCCGGCATGCGAGATAGGTACTGGCGGCGTCTTGAGGCGGGAAGAGCTTGGGAGGCCGTGCTGGTGTGAAAGGTGGTGGTGGAACATGGACGGCGAGCCGGTCGCGGACTGGGTGACCGGCGGCACCGATGGCGGTCCATGGAAGGGCCCCGCAGGATAGAGCGGAGGCAGCTGGTGGCCTGGGAAGGCGGCGAGCGGCGCACCAAGGGGCGGGATTCCATGGGGGCTGTAGCTCGGCGTGGCCGACGTGGTTGCGGGCGGGGGCGGGGCCGGAGGAGGCGTGCGACCGTAGAGAAAGTCGCTGTAGCTCGGATACGCCTCGCTCGAAGTACCCCGGGGACCAACGGGCATGCTCGCCGGGCCCGACGGCGGCGGCGGGGTGGGTGTTGGTGGTTGCGGGGGCGGCTGTGTGTAGTATCGGATGCTGGAAGCGGGGCCGTAGGGTGGCGGGCTGCGGATGTATCCAGGGTGCGAGGCCGAAGGATGTTGGAGTGGGCCGTAGTGCGCGTGGTACTGGCCGGGGTACTCCGGCCCCGGATACATGGGCGCTGGGCGGTGGCCATAGTGGGCCATGTGCGAGTGGCCCGAGGGATCCTGCGACGACGGCGGCAGCGGATACGGTGTGATGGGCCGCTGCGACGGCTCGGTCGTCCAGGGGGGCTGGTTGGGCTGCGGGTGTGATGGGTAGCGATGCCCATGCACGCGCGGCGAGGAGGACGCAGACGAGCCGACCGAAAACGACTCGATGTCGATGAACTTGCCCTGGCCCTCGCCGTGATCCTTGTGCAGCGACGGCCCCGGGTATCCCATGTGAATGTCGGTCCGCGGGGGCAACAGGGTGTGGTCGGGACGAGGCGATCGGCGCACCGCAGCACCGGGAGGGGGCCGGCCGAGCACTCGCCCACCAGACTCGGTGTCGTATGGACCAGGGGCACGCTCGTCGTCGGTGCCGGGGCCCTCGCCGTCTGCCAGTACACCAACCCCGGGGGTGGCGTCGATGCCGTTCATGACCTTCTCATCCTCCACCGGGAACCCGTTCTCCTCCAGGATCTTGTCAAAGTCCAGCTTGTGTCGGAAGTTGTGGTAGTAGTTGCGGATCTGGATGATCGACTTGGATCCGATGGCCTTGGCAATCATGTCCCAGTTGCGCCCGTACTTCTTGAGAGCATCCTTGAACTCGGACTTTTCTGCGATCGCCCAGTACGAGACGGTTTTGCGTGCCGTGCCGGCGCCGCTGCCATCGATCGGCTTGCCAGAACTGGGGCCAGCCAGCATCGCGTCTGTGGGAGTGGACGGAGGTGCATCGGGTCCTGCGGAAGTGATCCGGCCCGTAAAAGAGAGAAGCAGGCCAGCAGGCGGACGAGTGAGCGAATGCATGCCAACTCAGCGCGACAAGTCATCTCCATCAACAGCACCAGATCCGCAAAGCGCCGTTCTCGGATGTGGCGGCCTTGGCCCACAGAGAACCAGCGCTAGCTCCGGACTAATTGCCGGGCCGTGGAGACAGCATCATCGCCCGTGCACACGCAACTCACCCTTGTCTTTGCGGACCCGTCCTTTGCGCGCCTTCTTGGGGTCACCGGCGATGCTCGAGCCGCTGGGGAGGTCGTCGGCCGTCTCGGGAAAGTTGAGTACGCTCGAGATCGAAAGCGAGCTGCGCAAACCCACCTTGGCCTCGGTCTCGCCCGCATCGGCAACATCCTCTTGCGAGGGACCCTCCTCCTCGACGGTGCTGAGGACCGGCGCCTTGGCGCCAAAAGCCGACATGGCCGCCATCACGTTTGCGGCCTCTTCCATGGCCGGGTCCAGGTCCATATGCGACATGGACGACGTTCGCGAGTGCTGGGCACTCACGTCGAGTTTGGCGTCGACAGCCACGTATTCGAACCTGCTCCCAGCAGCCCTGGCTTCGCCATCAGAGGACACATGGCTGTGCTCGTGCAGAGATTCTTTGGACTCGGACCTAGATACGCTCTGTGCGACGCCAGTGTCCGCCAGGGCATGCTCATCGGTCGGCGGCCTGCCAGCACCACCGGCCTCGGGCACCGCGGCTTCGTCCTCCTTGTCTTTGGGCTTGATGATCTTGCGCTTCTTCTTGGAGCTCGGACCCATCGCCTGCACAAGCCCACCCAGGAGACTCGCCACGTCCTTGGAGGCATCCTGCTTGAGCCGGCGCTTGGTGTTGTTGTAGTAGTTGCGGCACTGGTCTTCGGATTTGGTGCCTACCGCAAGCGCGACCAGGGCAAAGTTGCGGCCGTACTTTTCGAATGCCGCCTGGGCGCGGATCTTGTCTTCGTCGGTCCAGCGCGCGACCTCCTCGATGTGGACGGGGCCGGTGCGAAGCGGCAGCGGCGGCGGCGGAGTCGATGTAACCGTTGGGGTCGATGCCCCCGACGGAGATGCAAGTGTCGCCGCCGGCTCGTCTTCCACCGAGCCACTATCGTCATCGAGGCCCTTCCCTTCAACCAGAGCCGCATCGTCGGCAACGTCCGCCGCCTTGGTTTCGATCTCGGGGAGTCGTGGGATGGACTTTTTGCGGACCTCGGGCGGCGCTGCAGCATCTTCCTTGGCTTCGCTCGCAGTGTCGCCAGGATGGGAGTCGTCTTCGCCGCCGGCATCCCTTTTGGCCTTTGCGTCTTCCTTTTCCTTGACCATCTCCTTGATCCGGTTCCGCCGACCCACACGACCGGCCTTGCTGTCGTCACCGCGCGGTCGCTTGGCTGCATTGGACCCAGAGTCGTTGGAGGCCTCGTCCTGCTGCCGCTCGTCCTTCCTGCTGCCTTCGACCGGCCGAGACCCGCGCGACAACGCCGAGGAGCTGTCCGAGATGAAATCACTCTCGACCGCGCTCCGGATGGGCTTCTGCCGGGGAGGCCCCTGCGCACCACCCTTGCGAATGACGCTGCGCGTGGTCCGGTCGGTGATCACGACCATATTCTGCTGCCCAGTTTTGAAGGGCCGTCCCAGGAACCGGAGGGCATCGTCGTGCTTCTTGCGGTAGAAATAGATCACACAATCATGCACTGTCTTCTTGGGCAGATGCTCCTTGATCTTGTGGAAGGTCTTGCCGTAGACAAGCAGCTTCTCCCAAAAGACGCGCTTCTCGGCCTCGGACCAGCTCTGGGTGCATCGCTGGTTGAACCGCACCAGTTCGCGCACGGGGTCCTGCACGAGTCCGTTGGAATTGCGATACTTGATCCCAACCAGGCTGGACGCGTATGTATCGCAGATCATCATCGGCGGATCCTTGGCGGCACGCAGTTCCTGGTTGAGGCGCTCTTCTTCGGATTGCTTGAGGCTCGCTAGATACGCTTGATAGGCCTCCTCGCTCAGGATGGCGTCCGAGTTTGGATTCATCCGGCGATTGGCCCGGCCGCCAAACGCGTCGCTCCCACCACCGAGACCCGCACTGCCGGCCCCGCCAAAGCTGACCGACGGAGACGAGAACGACGTGACAGCGCTCGAAGACGAGAACGGAAAGTTCTTTCGCTTCTGCTTCTTGAGCTTGATGCTCTCCTCGAGCTGCTCGATCTTCTTGGTCCAGGCTTGGTGGACGTCCTTGTATTGGCTCTGAAGGGCAAAACGGCGCTGGTAAGTGCGCTGGATGCGCTTGTGGACGATCCGCCGGAGAGAGTTCTCGTATCTGTTCTGGGTACGCAGCCGATGGAACTCAAAAACCCACTGCCGTCCGGCCTTGGTCTGCAGCCCTCCATCCATGTTTGGCAGCCGCATGTGCTCCGGCAGCGGATAGTGCTGCGCCAGAAGCAGACCCGTCGCTGCTTGCAATCGCTGCATGCATGCTTGATTCTCGTGGTAGATTCGCTTGTGCAAAGCCGGGTCGATGACCGAGGGCTTGCCGGTAATATCGCGGTCCTTGAGGAGGGCATGCGTCACAGCTGCGTCGTCGGGCCCGACCGCATACTCGGCCTGGCTGAGGATCGGCAGAATGTTGATGGCAGTTGGATCGCTGACCGAGTTGATGCGGCTGATCGAGAGCGTTGCATTCTTGTGGTGGACATATACTGTTGAGATGGATCCGCCTGCGGCACATGCGTCGATATCGAGAGACTCGGCTCCATTCGGCTGGTCCGAAACGGGCACCGAAAACTCGTCCACAGAGGACGACCGCGACCGATTCAGCTCGTCCGAGTTTATCGGCACGGGCGAAGTCGAAAACGATCGACTCGTAATCGGAGCAGGTCGAAACGGGCTAGGATGCTTGGCCGCTCCGTTCAGCATGACGGAGCCACTCTCGACCTCTTCTTCCACCACAGTCTCGGTCATATGCTTGGGATCCTCGTCCAACAGTGACTCGGAGGAGGGCGTCGCCGGTAGCGAGTGCGAGTCTGCCTCAGTCCGGGTTGGTTCGTCTGTCCTTGAAGCACTCACAGCGGGAACAACGCTTGGGGGTTCCGAAAGTCGAGCGTGAGGCTGGCTTGGAGGTTCTGCTGAGCGGCGCCAGCGCCCATGGACATCCTTCGCCCTATTGTCATGCTGCATATCACCGTGGTCAGGGTCGACAGAGCGCTGGCGAGACGAGTGCGCAGGGTCTCGGTGATAGTGACCCACTCCGTTTTCGATCTCGTCCTTGGGGTCAAAACCAATCAGGCGTGGGCTCGGAGAGGCAGATGGCATGGGCTTGGAATACGACTCGCGCTGCGGCTCGGTCCGGTACGGCTGCCGTTTCTCAGGCGTGTAGTCCATGAAACCGGCGGATCCCGACCGCCCGATTGATTCAGGATGGATGGGTTTGGCGCGGCCGCCATTAGCAAGATAGCGATGGCTCGTCTCGTGGCTATGATGCAGATGCGGGTCCAACGAGCCTGGGTCGCCATCTCTTGTCTTGGGAGGGTAGGAGGCGGAAAGGGCAGCTGACTTGGGATAGCCCCACCCCGACGATGCTGCAAGGTGTGGCGGTGTTGGCGGACGCCGAGTTTCCGGTCCTTGCGAGCTCAGGGAGATGCCGCCGCTTTCTTCGTTAAAGGACTTTGAGGTTGCCCTGGAATACGATAGGGATGGGTGCGGAGGAGAAGACCGTCCAGACTCTGGCCGCCGCGGGTAGTAGCCGCGGGATGTGCTCGTGGCGTAGTCGGTGTGATGCTCGCGCTGGGAGCTGACGCTTGAATATCGGGATGTTGGATAACCGCTGCAGCAAGGACATTCAGCAAAGGCTGGGAGCGTTAGAGTTTGCAGTGAAACGCGGGCACCTTCGGGCTGCACAGAAACCGCTCCCTCACAAACTTGTCCAGCCGACACGGATACATACGACATGGGTCGATCGAAGGACCGTCCTTCTGGCTCGCGATAGGATCGCCCAGACATATCGCCGCGGTCTGATGCCAAGGAAGAGTCGTCGAGATAGCCCTGCTCGTCAGTGTCCCTCGAGAGTCGCATCGAATACGGGTTCGAGAGTCTCCGGCCGCGATCGACGCGATAGGACTCATCGGGACTCTGTTTCGGAAAGCCGGGCTCTCCGTGTCCGTGGCCAGTCGAAGGCGGCGACATATTTGAGTGGTGGGCCCGTGGTGGTGATGCAGAGTATCCGTAGCGACCCGGATAGCCGTAGGACCGATGCTGTGGAGGACGATCCGCAAACAAATGGAAAGCGTCAGCCGCGCTGAAAATCGGACGCACCAGTAGGCCAGAATCGACGCCTATCGTCCGTTCCTGCGGCATCAAACACGGCCGACGACGTGCTGTAAACGCTCGCCAGTCTTCCAGCACGGGCAGCCGCAGTCCTCCATCTCGGCGATACAGCTGGTACGTACACTTGCATCCCTATCGTGACTGCTCGACGATCCCGAGCCGCGCGGGCCGTATTCCATAAAGTGGTCGTTCCCGTCTCGGGACCCGGACCCCGAATACGGGTAGTATGGTCTGGAGGACAACGACGAGGAGGACGAGGACGAGGGCGCCAAGTATGGGTTTCCGGCGTATCCCGCATCGCTGCTTTTCTTGTCGGCTGACGACAACGGTGCTGGCGGTGGGCCCGGGTATTTCCGTGATCCGTACGGGGCCGGCGGCATTGGTGCAGAGAGGGACGCTGATGATTTAGGCTCCCGGTACCCGGAAAAGTGGTCTGGATGCTCGGGTTGCTCAGGGCCCATGTAGTTGGTGGATCGCTTGTTGTAGGGGTCGTCGTCTTGATCGGGGAACCAGGATCGGATGTAGCCGCGGCTGCAGTGGCAATGGGAGATACGGAAACGAGAGAACCAGAAGGGCCCATGCACATAACCCGGCATTGGCATGGCATTGGCACGGCGTCAGCACGATATCGACACGGCAGCCAGCGACATCATGGCCGTGTTGAGATCACGACCAGGCCGACATCCGCAGGAGACGCTCGTTTATTTCACGGAGACAGGCTGGGATGAGCGTGATCCATCCGATCGCGATCAGGCCAGCGGGCCGAGTGGGATCGGGATCGGGATCGGGATCGGGATAGGGATAGGGATCGGGAGTGGGGAGGTTCAGCGGGAGCAGAAGAGCAGCACAGAATCCCGCGGCAAACAAACCTTTCTCGAGACCCGGCGTGGTGATGGCTTTTGGGATCGGACTGGTACCGACTCGACGACGAAAACGTCGAGTGCGGCGATGCGTAGTGCAGCTCTTTCATTGCAGCAGAGGATGCAGTGGCGATACGTGAATTTATGCAGTGGAGTGGTGGTCGAAAGGGAAAGCGAAAGCAGCCGGGCGCCTTCGTGTCTTGATGCGTGGATGGATTGACGAGCAGCGATCGGACAAGCGCAATCAGAACAGAGGTGTCCGATTATAAACCGTCATCTGGCAATCAGATTGATGTGTGGAGGGCAATGTGCGTTAGCCACGAAGAGGCAGCCGAAGAGAGCCCGAGACAATCCGAGAGAAATCCACGCCGGATTCAAGCTTCAAGGCCCCCCGCTCCCGACAACAGCAATCAGGCAGCGCTGAGGGCGGGTGCGGCGAGGGAATCAAGCCGACGGCAAGCACGGCGGATCACGGCCCAGGAGCAACGGATAGAATGTCACAGCGCAGACACAGCGAGCGGCCCCGTTGGCAAAGACCCACAAATATGTCGGCGACCCGGCCCGAGACAGAGGGGGAAGGCAGTCGAGAGAGAGGGCGGCTGGCCAGTGAGGGCCAAAGAACAGAGGAAATCCAAAAAGCAAACGGCACCGATGTATTACATAAGCGTGACACGCACCAGCCGCACACTGGCTGGCCAGAGTGCAGGCGGCCACGGTGCCGCCCAAGCAGTGCCAATCGGTGTCCGAGTGGTATTCAAGTGGTATTCAAGTGGTGTCCAAGTGGTATTCAAGTGGTATTCAAGTGGTGTCCAAGTGGTGTCGAACAGTGCCATGCTCCAGGGCGATGGGACAGCGTTGGGTGCCGGTCTGGTCTGTCGGAGGGCCTGCTCGGTGGCTCGGCATGTCTTGACGGGTTGCGGTGAAGCTTGCCGCAGTGGTTCTGGCCCTGGTCCTGGTCCAGGTGCCCGTACCACCGGCCTCATACACCATCGCCGGGCCGACAGCCAAGCCAGGGGTGAGCAGCCAGCGCGACCAATGCGACCAGCGAGCCGGCTGTGCCCTCAGTTTCGTATCTCGTTCGCGAGGCTGGTGCCGGTGCCCTTGAAGAACATGCCGACCCAGCACTCGCTGTTCTTGTCGATGTACCTGCCCGGGCCATGCATCTTGTTGTTTTCCCAGTCGCCGGAATACTGCGAGTTGTCGGGCCAGTAATATGAGCCGGCCCCGCTGTATCGGTTTTCCTTCCACATGCCCTGACATTGCCGATCGGGTGGACATGTGCAGTCAGCTCCGAGGGCCGATGAGCCAGATGAGCCAGATGGGCATCAGGGCCACGGCCCAGCCAGACGAGCAGCAGCCCGGACAGCATACCTCGTAGACTGCGCCGCTGGGGTAGTCCATTTTTCCTGCAGACCAAACGACAGTTCAGCGGACTCGGCATTTGCTCAGCTATAGATCATCGTCTCGCTGGATAGCAGCACAACAGTGCCAAGGCAAGTCCGACGGCATGTTCAGTTACCCTTTCCGTGCATCTTGTCCATCTCCCAAGCTCCGGTGTACTTGCATCCCGTCGATCCGCACGTATAAGTGCCCTGGCCGTGGCGAACGATGACTGCCCCTTCAAGTTCTTTGAACTCGCCATCTGTGCGGTGACGAGTCGGTGCATAATGGGCTGTGATTAGAGCAGAGGGACAGCCACAATATACTCGGGCATCGAGCAATGGGACCAGGATTCGTACCGTAGCGCGAGCCGTCCTGGAAAATGAAGACGCCGCTCTTGCTGGTTGGCAGGGCTGGAAAGATGCGGCAGTCAGACTCCCGCCGGCATGTCCTCACGGCCAGACCGAACGACACCACGGACAACTCGTCTTTGCGGCGCAGACTCAACAGCGCAACTCAAATCTACATCACTGGCGCTGCATTTGGCCACGCAGACAAACACCACCGGCATATGCTGTCCGACCATCTCCTCCAACACATCACCCTGGCCTCGCATCACACCCGCGTGGGCCCGACTTACTGCTGCCGGAATCTGGCCGGCCGCTGCCTTTGCCGCTCTGCTTGGCACTCTTTTCGCGTTTCTTGGAGTTGTCCATCACGGGTGAGTGGAAAGGAAACCGGCGCTTGGGTGCAAAGGCGTCGCGAAAGGAGGTCAGCACGGAGTAGTGCTGAGAATGCCGAGCATGCAGGCAAGGCAGATGGCGCCGAGAATGCAAGGAATGCTGAGGAGTGCCGAGCAAGGGAGTGAAGTATATTGCGCATACCGGAGCTGCTGGGAATGTGGTCTCGGCGACGGGACAACACAAGCAGGATTCTGTCTTGAGCAGCGGCAGACAAGGCGAGTGGGCTGGGAAGCGGCGCCCGCACGCCCGGAGAGTTTCGGCGGCGCAATCACATCATGGCCCGAGATTACAGGCAATCCAATAAAAAACGGGACACCCGGGTTTTGACCATTGATCGAATATTTTGTTACCCAAAACCATCGCGCGCTGGCCATGACCATTCGCCACACATCCGACTTTCGCACCGCCGCATTGCGATGCTACGCCCTCATCCATAGCCTGCGTAAGGTCGCCTCCATATTCAGTGTATCCAAGAGCACCATCCATCGATGGCACCGAGGATGCAAGCTGGATGACCCATCCCGGGTCCCAGCTCGCAGATCCACTTTCTTCGAGCAGGCATGTCCAGTCATTCGCACCCTGATTGAACAGGACCCGTTCCAGACTGGTCCTGTGTTGCGATGCAAGCTCGAGTCCATCCTCCAGAGGAAAGTATCACTCTCACTCTGCCACACTGCCATCCAGCGAGCAGGTCTCTCTCACAAGAGAGCAACACACCTCTACAAGTCCAAGCGACTGGATGAGCGAGTGGCACAGTTCAGGGACCAGGTCCGCTCCATCGACCCACGACGATTCGTTTTTGTCGATGAGACGGGGATCAGGAAATCCATTTTCCCTCTTTACGGATACTCACCGAGGGGTGCTCCGCTTCGCCAGCGCAATCACATGAAACACAAGTCTGTCTCAGCTGCATTTGCCATCAACCACTCTGGTGTGCTGCATCGCATGTACATCCCCACATCATTCACGACACACTCGATGGTCGAGTTCTTTGAGCGAGCGGCCTTCCCAGACGACTCTGTGGTTGTGATGGACAATGTCAGCATGCACAAGACAATGGCTGTCCTGGACTGCATCGAGCGCCGAGGATGGTCAGTGATCTTCACCCCACCTGCCTCACCCGACTTCAATCCCATCGAAAACTTCTTTGGGATTGTGAAGCATCAGTACAGGAAGGCGGCAGCGCTGAATGCGTCCGAGGGGTTCAGAGTCGGGATGGTGACCCTGTTTGAGTCCGCCGTTCGGAGGGTGCTTCCAGATGTCTTCCCACGGCTGATTGAGCGAGCGATGCGCTTCTGGGGTTGAGTTCCCTCCAATCAAGCCGCCATTTTCGCGTTCACATCCCTGGCTTGAACCTCTCGGCGATTTTTGAACAGGGTCACTTCCCCAACCAGCCCGCGCAGACGGGTTCCTGCTCTCGGGTATAAATGCCACACCTTCGTCCTGCTGCTTTCTTCCCTCATCTCGCCTTGATCTGATCATCGCGCCATTGTACGATAAAAAAGTCTCTGTTCTGACCAGTACCACTGGCAGGCATCCAGCATCCTCTGCCCCCATGCCTCCGAAGCGCAAGGGTACCGGTGATGACCAGCCTCGGCCACCCAGGCCCAAGAAAGCCAAGTCACAGTCGGAGCCTGTCTCTGGTTCGTATTCTGACCCCACGCATGCTTGGTCGTCTGTTGCTCCGTCGCTCACCACCACTGCTTCTGCAGATCCAATGGATGTCGATCCCACCGAGCCTGGTCCATCTACTTCCTCGAGTACCGGCAAGCGATGTCGCCAGAGCGATGGCACCGATCACGAACGTTGCAACACCAGCAAGTGTCCAAAATACCGGCCCCTCAAGAGTTCTGTCGTCCCACTCGTGGATGGAAGGTCATCCGCCCCTCAGTTCAGCTGCTTCAAGCAGACGATGGATGGCTGTTGTCTCAATCCCGCTCTCCGCGACAAGATCCAGGCCACCGTCGAGGCCATGACCCAGATCCAGTTCGAGGCATCCAGGCTGCTCAACCTGCACATCCTCCGGTGCATCGAGCAGGATCTTCCCGTCCCCGTCATCTCCAAGTCCACCCCTGCTTTCATCCGCCAGTGCTTTAAGATCGTCCAGGCCGATGTGCTCTCCCCGACCAGGGATACCAAGAAATACAACGAGCATCTGGTCGCTTCCTTTCGCGACTACCAGACCACTCGGCACGCAGACCTGCCTCCGGCCCCTCGTCTGCCTGATGGTGCTCACAGTCAGCTTCTCACTCTCGCTGTCAACGCCTATGCTACCAACTGCACCACCCACCTCGATCTGGCCTACTGGCGACTCCTTCGCCGCTTCTGCGCTGCCGTCTTCCCAGCCAACAAGCATAAGCACGAAGCCATCGAGGCCTGTCTCGAGCTCTTCGAGAAACCAGGGCAGACTCCACCCAAGGCCGATCTCGAGTTCCTCTATCCCGACTTTGGCCACGTCCTGGACGAGTTTCGGTACAGCAACGACCAGGACCGCTTCCGGGCCCTCCATCGCCTCTCACACCATGTGAGAATCCTCGCCCGAGACAAGATGGTCGACAATGTCCACAAGTGGATCGACTGTGACATGCCCGCCCTCCGAGTCACCGAGCTGCAGCGCCAGGCCAAGCTGGACGAGCTCACTGCCCGAGGCATTCCCTCCGACGACAAGAGGTTCACCAAGGCCAAGTCTGAGCTCGGCACCACCAAGTCCAAGATCAACAAGCTGGCATCCAGGATCAAGTGGGCTCTCAAGCAGCTCGCTCTTGACACTCCTCCGGCCGTGTGCACGATGGTTCCTCTGTGCACTGCCACGGCCAAGTATGTCAAGATCGACACGGTCACTCTCTGGGAACTCCTGGGTCCAAAGAAACGCCTTGGACTCACCCGGGACAAGCTCAAGGAACAAGGTGATGACGGTGTCAACAACCAGGATCGTCTCTGGCGCAGTTGCTTCAAGTTGCGTAGTTCCCTCTTCCGTGACCGGGATATCAATCACAAGCTGTTCAACTACGAGATCAGCACCGATGGCATTGGATGCACCATCGGCCTCGTCAAGTTTCTGCCTCGAACCGATCGCACCGAGACCTCCGAGCCTCCTCCGACCGCCGAGCAGCGCATCCAGGCCCACATCGGCGACCCAGACCCCGATCGCACCACTTGGATTGGCATCGATCCTGGAGTCGGCTCCATCTTCACGGCGGTCATCCAAGCACCGGGCCACCAAGACGAGGTGGTCTCATTCTCCAATGGCCACTACCAGCACATGTGTGGCCATACGTCCGACACCAAGTGGCACAACACCATGAAGTATCGACTCAGCATCGAGACCTGGATGTCGACCACCCCCTCGCCCAAGGTGTCGTCCTCGGAGGCTTTCAAAGTCCATCTCACCCATGTCCTGCGACCGGAGCTGCGAGTGCAGCTCGACTTCCACCTTGGCAAGAAGGCCCGTCACCATCGATTCACGGGCCACAAGAGGCGCCAAGTGGCCGTCGACAGGATGTGCAAGGCCGTCCTGAAGCACGCCCCGATACGGACCGATGTGGTGATCGCCTTTGGCAATGCATCATGGCGACAGGGCAAGGGCTATGCATCCAGCCCTCGGAGGCAGCGATTTGCTCGGTACTTTGAGCAGTTCGAGCACCACCGACGCCGTCCCAATCACCATCATGGAAGTGTCAAGGTGGCCTCGACGAACGAGTTCAACACCTCGCAAGTGTGCTCCAAGTGCCTGGAGCCAGTTCGGTTGGAAGGACTCGATGCGCCCAGTGTTGCGAATTCCCACTTTGTCAGGAGCTGCAAGAATCCCAGCTGCCAGACGGTGTGGAATCGCGACGTCAATGCGGCGCGCAACATGATCACAGTATGCAGGTCGATTGTGGAGACCGGAGAGCGACCGGTGGTCTTCACTCGGAGGCTGCCAAAGTGATCTGATCTATTTCTTGTGGCTTTGCTTGACGCATGCCATCACATACTACCTGTTCATGGAAACGGCTATATTGTCCCGTTTTTTTCTGAATAAAGTGTAGGCCGGGAGACTGGCCAATGTGCGACAGCGCTCATTTTTTTCTGTGCGCCCAGCCGAGTACCTCCCAGCAAGGTTTCGCTCGTCCACGGCCCCATATCAGCCCAGGAGCCCGCCACAGACCCTCGCCTCGACTCGCAGCATCGGCAGCCCGTCCAGAAACCCAGCATCGACGACCAAGGCTCAGGCTGCCGATCCAGGGCATACGAGCTTCCGATCCAGGCATCTGCAGTCCGTCTATCGCCCAACCAAACTCCGTTTTCCTTGGCATTTCGCAGCCATGTCCTCTCCTGCCCAAGCCGTAGTTGCCGAGAGTCTCGATGCGCATGTCGATGCGAATGTCGGTGCGCATGTCGATGCGAATCTCAGTGCGAATCTCGATGCCACCCAGCCCGAGATTGCCCTGGACGTGCACAGTCCAGAGGACCATGTCCGGGCAAGCCAGGAAGTCCCGCAGGTCGATCCGCTGGCGCTCGGTCGCTTCCGGAAAGAGTCGATGGAAATCAAAGCTCTGCGCAAGAGCGGCAAGAAAAAGGTCGCCCAGTTCTACGAAGAGCAGAACGAGCTGATCGAGGAGTTGCTCAAGCCCATCGATTACAAGGACGAAGATGAAGAGGCCCGTCTGCTGAAGGTGAGCCCGCAATGCACTGCATCACAACGGATTGCACTGCAACAGTCAACCGCCAGACTGACGGCCTGCCTACTCGGCCACTCGGCGCCTGGCTCATCGCATCGGGCGGCTCTCTCCACCAGCTCAAGATAGCCGTCTATGGCTCTGTGGGCGCCAATGTCCTGCTGTTCTTCCTGCAACTCTACGCCGCATTGGCATCCAAGTCGCTTTCGCTGTTTGCCACGATGGCAGATGCCTTCATGGATCTGGCCTCGTCCCTCGTGTTGCTTCTGGCCGCCCATGCTGCCACCAAGAAGGATCTGCATCGCTATCCGACCGGCAAGACCAAGCTCGAGACGGCCGGCATCATTGTCTTTTCCAGCTTGATGGCGACAGTTTCGTTCCAGCTGATTGTGAGTTGTCTCAGCACCGTGTGGGTGTCTGTGAATGTAGTGCTTGGGCTGCTGCTGCTCCGCTTCCGATGCATCCACTCGTACTCACGGCTGCTCCCTCTCTTTGACGTGCCGCCAGGTCGAAAGTATCCGCAATCTCTCCCAGCAATCCACCGATGTCGATGTCAGCCCCGTGGGTCTCACCTGCGTTGGTGTTGCGCTGGGTAAGTCGATCGAATCGATCGAGTCGCTGTCCATCGAGGGCTGCCTTCGCTTGCACACCCGTCGACCGACACTACAATGCAGATGATGTGAAATGCGATGCAGGCTACAGCGCAATGCGCGACGGGCGACATGCATCACATTCTGCAAACGTCCTATCGGGCTGCAGACGGCTGACAAACTCTCGCCATCCAGCCACAAAGGCAGGCCTGTTTCTGTACTGCTCGGCGCTTTCCCAGTACCAGAGCGCCAGGGTTCTGGCAACCGACCACCGCAACGACATCATCGTCAATGGCTTTGGCATCGCCGCCTCGGTGATCGGCAAATACTATTTGTGGTGGATCGATCCCGTTGGCTGCATTCTCATTGCTCTCCTGATTCTGCGGTCATGGACCCAGACGGCCTGGGGTAAGCTATCGGCGACGTATTGCCTTCCTCCACTGCCTTCCTCCGCGGCCTTCCTCCACTGCCTTCCTCCACTGCCTTCCTCCGCAGCCTGGCACTGTCCGGTGGACAAACGATCAGAGTCCCTTTGGCTCACGCACGCTGCTTTGCGGTCACCTCCCGATACATTTCCACCAGAGCACATTTGCAAGATTGTCGGCGAGACGGCCGAAGTTCCGTTCCTCAAAAAATGCACCTACGTGGCTCTCACGCACGACCCCCGCATCGACCAGGTCGATACTTGCTACGCCTACCACTCGGGCGACAAGTTCTTTGTTGAGGTCGATGTTGTCCTCAACGCCGACATGAAGCTCCGAGAGGCACACGACATTGGCGAGAGCCTGCAAATGAAGTTTGAAAGCCTCAGCGATGTCGACCGGGCCTTTGTCCATCTGGATTTTGAATCTGCGCATACCCCCGAGCACCGGGAGAAGGACAAGCGATCGATGTGATCGTGCGGGACCGTGTTTGCGCAAGCCTGTCCGAGGATCGCCCCCGCGACTACTTCGATGCGTCCGTCTGCCGCGATGATATCGCCCGCGGCGGTGAATATTGTCTGCCACTTCCTGGGAACCATGGATGCCCTTGCATCCGCTCGTGTTCATTCCGCAATCGTTGCAAATCTATAATACCTCCAAATATCCGCACTCCTCGCACTCGATCAGAACGGTCTGGACAAAGCCAGGCACAGGCAGCGCCGGCGGCTGCTTGAGGGTGAGTTTGCAGGAGCATCCAACACTGGAATGACGGACGCACATCAGCACATCGGCGGCATACGGGTGCATTGGTATTCGCTGGCTCTATCTTTCGTCGACCGCTGAACGCACCTGTGGTCCTGCCGAGCCGCCTCGATCTGTCGACACATCTGGGCCAGGGTGATGCTGTCGACCGAAGTGTGCAGCCAGAACCGGCAGCTTGCGCAATAGATGACCGCTCCTCGTCGCTCGATTTCGGAGAGGGTGCAGATGGGGCAACATTGGCGCTCTGCCGGCATTCGATCTGAAAAGGATGGGAGTCACTCCTGCCATCAGCGAGAGAGAAATGAAGCCACCATCGACCATCCATGATGCCGATCGGTGCTGTCGGTGCTGTCGGTGCTGTCGGTGCTGTCGGTGCTGTCGGTGCTGGTGCAGCCAACAGACAGTGCTGCACAATAGTCTCTCAGCAACTGACCACGGAGGCTCCAGACGTGCTGCTGAATGTCGGCGCCAAACTCAGCCAGAAAGTTGCGAAACTCTTGCCGGGCAGCGTTGTCAAGAGGCATTGGGCTCGAGTCCAGACTTTCACGATGTTGCCGAGCAGGGGATGGCAACGACGATGCCGCCGCAAGCCATTCGTTTTCAATAAAGTCGCATATTTGCTGAGGGCCCATGAGCGATCCATGGCGCGAACGATCATACATCACAGCGTTGGTATGGACATGTATCAAGCAGACGAGCACAGCCAGCGAGGGGAGGAGCACGGAGGATGGCAGCCGACACTGGGAAAGCGCAGAGCCCGCTCGTCTTGGCACGGCTTACGCTCTTGAGCCGCTTGGAGGACTCGGGGTCGCTTGGATCTGGCTCTCGGAACCGCTTGCGATTCGCCCAGAGCGAGGCAATGGCGTGCTCGGTCCAGAGCGAGTCGTCGGGCGAGACGGGCGCCGGCGACCGGGACATGGCTGGGCGATATCGAGCAGCAAGTCGGCCAGAACGCCAGGGTGCCGGTTCCCAGCGAGGAAAGCATTGGTTGCGCCGGCGCTGATTGGCTGCTATGTTTGGCAATCTTTTTTTTTTTCTGGACCACAACCGCGATCGTCGAGGCCGCCGATGCTGATGTCGATGCTTTCGCTCTCACACCCGCATCTGCAACACCCCCCCATCAGAGCCGGCACCGACAATCGCATACGATCTGCCATTGCCAAGCACTCCAGATGCCGTTCCATGCACTCATCCTCGGAGACGGAAACTTCTCCTTCTCCCTGGCGCTCGCCCGCCTGATCTTCCAGCCCAAGACCGGCGAGGAAGATCTGCAGCGCAACGCCCTGGCCTACCTGTCGCTGCCGTATCCGAGCCCAATCCCGACCTCGCAGATCTTCATCACGACAACGTCCTTTGATGGGCACGAGCAACTCGTCTCAAAGTACCATGATGCCGAGAGCATCCTTGCGGCCCTGGGCGAGTTCGAGAACGTCAAGTCGCTGCATGGCATCAATGCCTGGGAACTCCTCAAGCACTTTGGCCCGGCTGCCGAGGGCGACCAGCTGCAGTACCGGTACTTCCAGGAGGGCGGCTTTGACCGCATCATCTGGAACCACCCGCACCTGGGCACCGAGGACTTTCGTCTTCATCGCTTCCTGATGGCCCACTTTTTCGAGAGCGTCGCCAGCGTGCTGAAGCAGCCCGGATCCGATCTGCCCGACAGAGAGGATCGGGCTGACGAGGGCCAGGTCTGCGTCTCTCTCGTTCAGGGCCAGGAGGTGCGGTGGGATCTGGTCGCCCAGGCCGCCCGGTCCAACCTCGGTCTGTTCTCGTTCGACCCCTTTGACGAACGACACTGGCCCGGATACCTCTGCAAGCGAAACAACACCGGTCAGACCTTCAAGAACCTCAAGACCCAGCGCCGGATGGACTCGGAGATGAAGAGCCATGTCTTTCGCTTCGGCTTTGGCCCGTCCAGGGTCACGGCGCCATCGCACTCGATCACTCCCGCGGCCGCCCCGCTCCCAACTGAGGTGCCGGTGACGGCAACGCTCCTGCCGGATGAGATCATTGCCTCGCCTGCTGCCCCGGCCAGCAAGGTGGTCTGCCGGGACTGCGGCCGCCCCTTCAACTCGGAGCGAGGCCTCTCGACCCATCAACACATGGTCCACAGCCTCAAGCTCTACGGCAACGACTGGAACGACGTCGAGGCCAACCAGCACTCGTGCCCCGTATGCTCAAAGTCGTTCCGGAAGGCCTCGGATCTGTGGCAGCACCGGGTCAACAAACATACCACCGTTGACTCGCAGGAGCTGCCCAATGTGCCCTCCAACAACCTCACCCAGGAGGCTGAGGACGAGTACGACTACTATCCGTGCACGACCTGCGGCCAAGCGGTTGTTCGCCGCGACTGGGGGATGATGTTGCATCTCGAGACGCTCAAGCCCGCCATTGGTCTGACCATGACCTGCCCGCTCTGCAGCGAAAGTTTCATCGAGCAGCGAGCGCTGTACCAGCACTACCGGTACTGTCGCATCCAAAACGGGCTGGATGCCGGCTCGGTGCAGAATCTCCCTGTCGCTCCGCCGCTCTGGCGAGCACGAAAGGACGAGGTCGTCGGCCGAGGAAAGAAGAAGGACAGCCAGCGGGAGAAGCGACGGAAACGCGAGCTGGCCGAGGCCGAGATGCTCAAGAAGATGCAGGACTTGGCCCTGGAGACTCCGGAAGCAGCGGAGGAAGAATCAGAGTAATGGCGCTGGCGGTTCCTGGCTTGCGGGACATGTTCATGTCTTCCAATACATGTATCTGTGGTACACTGTACACATGGCAAATGGGACAGCTGCCCACAACCCATTTGTCGGCGTAGCATGCGATAGCATGCGTCTAGCTACGCCATAAGAAATAGAACAGATCACTTTGGCAGCCTCCGAGTGAAGACCACCGGTCGCTCTCAAAACGGGGTGTCCCATTTCATTTTGGAAACGCTGATGAGATCGATGTGCACGGGATGCGGTGCAGCCCACAGGACAGACGAACGACAAAGACCGGGCGAGCAGGGCGTTTGCAGGGCAAGCAGAGCATTCGCCGGATGGGCAGGACATTCGCCGGGAACTTGATGTGGATGTTTGGACCTCCCAGCAGCCGAACACGGGACAGCCACCGCTGGTCCAGTCGCAGCCAAAAACCCGATGCCGATTCCGCTTCCGCAGCTTGTTGTCTTTGATTTGCCGTCGATCTCGCCGTTGTGCGGCCGGCTGTTGTCTCGCTGCGAGTCTGCCCCTCAAGCCGCAGCATCTGTCGCTTCGCTGCCATATCTTGATCGATCCTGCGTCCTGGCAAGCACAATGCTTCTCGCACCAGCATCCCGGACACTCATACGCCAGCCCATCCGGGGCGGCCAAGCCCTCGCTCTCGGCTTTCTACGCTGCCATCGGCACCGGCAGTTTGCCTCGACGGCTGCCGTCGCCGTCTCACCTCATCGACATAACCCAGTCCATCCCCATGCAGCTGCCCCTGCATCGCCGCTCCCGACCACCGATCGAGGGCCAAAGCATCTCTATGAATCGCTCGTCTCGAGCGGCCGCTTCAAGGACGATCCATACCAGCACGAGACCCTCGAGATCCTGCAGGCTCTGTTTGAACGGCTGGACAGCTACCAGCCCCCTCCGGTTGTCGAACTGCATGGTCGGCATGGGCACCTTCGCCCCGGATTCTTCAGCCAGGCAAGTCAGAGCAGCCGCCGACACGACTCGGGCCGAGATCGTCTTGCCGAATTCCAGTCTCATCACCATGCCACCAGCGGGATTCGGATGCGGTTCTCTGGCTCGGACATGCGATGCAGCAATTCCTCGACCTGCTCAAACTGTCGAGGCAACATACGTTGAGTGCGACTAAGCATCCCCACATACCCAGATGACATCAATGTTTGCATCGGCACCATCGACTCAACGGTGGGAGGCACCAAGGGGCCTCTATCTTTGGGGCGACGTCGGTATGTTACAAGCAATGTCCTGTCGCGGAGCATCCGTTGCTGGTCGACAATGAAGTCACATACGTCGATCGGCTCGCACAATCCTCGAACCTTGGGTGCTGTATCTGACGACCCGGGGATACTGTTCGCGAAGTGGTGCCGGTCAAATGCCCAGTAATCACGAAAGGCATTCCCCCCCCCAATGCACCAGCCCTGACATTCTGTTCTCTCTGCTGCTCTTAGGCACCGGAAAGACGACGGTCATGGGTAAGTCGGGATTCGTTCTTGGTGGCTGGCTTGACCAGGTGCAGTCTCCTCGGCAAGCTCTTGGAGCCAAGTTGCAGCAGTCGAGCCACTGAACCCGTCTGTCCTGCTTCCAGACCTGTTCTACAACTCCATCTCCAAGGAGCGCAAGCGCCGAGTGCACTTCAACTCGTTCATGAAGGACATCCACAGTCGCATCCACCAGCTTCGAGTCCGCGACGGATACACATCCGACCCGATTCCCATCATCTCGACGGACCTAACGAACCAGGCATGGCTCCTGTGCTTTGACGAACTCCAAGTTACCAATATCGTCGACGCCATGTTGCTGAGGTGGGTTGTGTGTTCTGGACCCTGGAACGGACTCTGGAACGGACACTGAGATTGAGCAAGACAACCCCGGTGGTGTCGGTGGCCATGCTGACAAGCAGCTGTTCCATTCGCAGACGACTCTTCCAACACCTTCTCGATCGTGGTGTTGTGATTGTGACAACTTCAAACCGACCGCCGGATGGTAACGTTTCTGCAGCCTGTGTGTCGCCGTTGGCCCAGGCACTGCGCTGGCTTAGTTGGCGAAATCTGGCACAGTGCAACGATTGCTGGAACTTGCTCGCCCGCCTCACAACCGCGCTGCCACTACCGCATCTGGCAGATCTGTATCTGAACGGCATCCAGCGCGGCAGCTTCCTGCCGACCATCGCACTGTTGAAAGAGCGGTGTGTGGTGCACTGTCTCGATTCGGGTGTTGACTACCGTAAGCAGAGTAAGTATTGGCTGCTTCAGGGGCAACATGACGCCGCATGGCTCGCTGTGCTGATGCGATGCATGCTGCAATTGCCTCACTCCTATCCCACCACATGTTTGCGACTTGCTCGCGTCCGAAACAAAATTCAGAGCAAGACACGTTCAGCGTCTACTTCTCACCACTGAACACCGACTCGCAATCCTCGATCGAGAGCCTGTGGAGGAAGATTACCAAGGGGCAACCTGGTGAGAAGTGGCACACTTGGGTTAAGCACTTGTGTTGGAGTGGTGTCCAGGGGAGTATGTTATTGGGCTTGCATAGTGGCCGGCCGCTAAACTTTTTCGTCCTCTGGTCACAAATATCCCCACCGCACATTGCGATCGCTGCCATCGCAACACCGACACCGAATGCGGTTGATGTGGCCGATTTGGTCGTCAACTCGTCGATCCAGTGGCTCCCAAGAAAATCGACTTTCTCGGTCGATCCTTTGTGATTCCCGAGGCTTGTGGTCGCGCCGGCAAGATCAGCTTCGACGACATTTGCGGCAAGGTGTGTCGCTGCTCGTGCATCAGCTGCTTGTCTGTCGATCGATCGTGTATCTCTTGCTCCAGTATCATATGGGCCCAGAGAATGAATGAACGCAGTGTTCCACAGCTGATACCTTCATCGGTTTCCCTTGACCCTTGGATCCACAGGCACACAGCGCGAGCGACTACCTCGAGCTCGTCAAGCACATCGACACACTGGTGCTGACGGATGTCCCTGCGATGACCCTGCAGCACCGCAACGAGGCCCGCCGCTTCATCACGCTGCTGGACACACTCTACGATAACAAGGTTCGGTTGGCCATGTCCTCGGCCAAATCAATCACTGGGTTGTTTGCGCTCGAGCTGACAGACGACGACACGGAGATCTCGGTTGAGGAAATCAAGGCAAGTATTGGGCCGAGCTTCCGAGCGAGGCTGAGTTGCGCCGATCGTGACCGAGAGCGGATCTAGCGATCAGCAACTGAGGATGAACGCCATCGTTTCTGGTGGGCGGGGGATGCTGCCCGCCCTTTTACTTGATCGCATCACCGACGCAACTGAATCGCTAAACTGACGGCTGGATCCCAGATCTCTGAAAACATGGCCGGGGCTGAAGAAGTATTTGCGTTCCGGCGAGCCGTCTCCCGTCTGGTTGAGATGAAGGGTCGCAATGTGAGTCACCACGCCGCCGTGCAGGGTGTATCGGATTGTGTTGGAGGGTGCTGGGCCGCAAATCAACTCGGATCGGTGGAAGAGAGCCCGGTGTGTCGCATGGGTGAGGATGGGATAGCGACACGTGCAATGTCTGGATACTGACACCATGCGACACTCCGTCTGCCTGCCTCGCTATACATTCCTGGATATCGATCGGCGCGCAATCCACCCATTGCCGCAATCTTGGCGACGCTACTCCACAGTGGCTCGGAGACGATTTCATTGCTCTTTTGAACAGCGACGAGTCGAGCCAGTGAGGCTCGGTGGGCCCTGGGCTGGTGCTGCTCTTGATGATCGATAGAGGCGCGATCGGTGCACCTCTCGCAATGATGAAAGACCATACCCGCCTTTCGAGTCGGTCGCTCGTTTGCAGATTGTCATCCCCGCCCCTCCATCGCATTAGGCGTGAGCTCAAACAAAATACACAACCATAGACAGACCCTGCTGTATCTGCTGGATCGGATCAGTGTCGGGATCGGATCAGTGCCGGGATCGGGATCGGTGTCGCTTCCAGATCGCCGGCATCAAGTACGCTTGTTTTGTTCACGGGGTTATATTACGGATATCCCAACCAAAAAATTTAGAATTGCGTTGAGAACAGACGGAGCGAGGCGGCGGATGGTGAAGTAAGGTGAGGCGAAGGGCGGTGAGGCGAGGTGGGGTGAAGTGAAAGGAGGGTGATTGCTCGTGTGTCTCAACAGCAGACTGACATTCAGGCAACAACCTTGACAAACGGTGCCCGGCAAGAATAAGAACAGAATGATGAGGGAAAGCAGATGCAGATTCGGAACCCGAAAGAGGGCGACGGATCTGTCTGCAAGCATGCCCCACACACTGACGCAAAACGAGTATGAAAGGAGTCCTGGGGGGTCAGAAACGACTACTCAGAAACAACAAGAACTGTCATGGACGCTGGTGCGGGCAGGCTTGAGGGTCCCTGGCCGCTCACTTCTGGCGAGCAGCACACTTGGACTCCCACTCAACCACACGGGGGTGGTTCTTGACCGAGTTGAAGACCTTGGTGATGTGGTGATAGGGAGCAAGCAGATCGTTGGGGATATGCTCGACGAAGGGCTTTTGGCCGATAAGCATGTTGAAGTTGCAGTAGATCGAGAGATCGGCAATGGTGAGCTTGTCGCCAACGGCATACTTGCCGCCGTGCTTGGCGAGGACCTTGTCGAGAGCGGCGAGCATGGGGGGGTAGACCTCGGTGGCGATCTTCTGGCGCATCTCGATCTTCTTGGAGGTGTCCTTCTCGAAGAGGCTGGGGCCGAGCTTGATCCAGATGTCCTCGATCTCCTCGACGACCTGGTCGATGAGGAGCGAGGTGAAGAGATCGCTGGTGCCGGGGTACTGGCCGCCGAGGGCGCCGGCGTAGTGGAGGATAGCCTTGGATTGGGCAAAGACGTGCTTGCCGTCGACGGTCAGGACGGGGACCTGGCCAAAGGGAAGAGTCGGCTTGATGGCAGCGAACTGCTCGCGGGTCAAGCGCTCATCCTCGAACTCGATGCCGGCGACATAGAACGAAAGACGGACGGCCTCGGCGCGGCCGGTGAAGTCAAAGTAGGAGACCTTGAGGGAGTTGGGCTTGGTGACAGTCATGGCGGAAGCTGGAAGAGTTGAGAGTAGAGAGAGATCTGGATGAACAGAGGGTTTTGAGGAGGGCTGTCTGAGAGGCAGATGTGTTCCGGTTGATGAGGAGAAAGAGACAGGGAAAGGCGGCCCGGCTTTTATATCCCAGAACTTCCCACGCCGCCGAAGCACCCCCGCCGCTGCTCTCCGGTCAACAACTTTGCAGCGCTTGGCTCCGTCATGTTGCGGGCATCGATATGTCAGACAGGCTTGCCCAGCTTGTCTTGGCTTGCCGGGCTGGCAGCAGACAGCCCGCCGTGCAGCGGGGCTTGGTCAAGTCCATTCCATTCCAAGAGCTTCGTTGGCGTACTTGGCTCCCGTCGCGTCCTCAGGTCGGAGATCAAACGGCGGGGTCGTGCAACAAGCGGATTAGAAATGCCAGCGACCCGAATCCGGGGTGCGGCAAGCTGTTTCTTGTGGTCGCCTATCGATGGCGCCGCCGTGGCCTGCGGTTGTGGGGGCGGTGGTGTTGTGGGGAGTGATGCGATGCTGTGGGGTCGCTGGCGAGTGTTTGCCAAGCAGCCACCGGCCCAATCGGTGTGTTTGCCGAGCAGGCGGGAGCATGCCCGATACGCTCTACCGAGCCAGCGCACATCTGGTGGGCCGCAGATCAGCCCCGAGACCCATCGCCGGTGCTGGCCGATTTGAAATGCGTCGCTGGGCGGAGAACATGTCCGTCGGGAACCGTGGGAATGCAGCTGTGATCGACGTGGCATCATGCGGGGGGAGGCAGAGGGCGGTTGGAGCGGCGAGTGCGAACGGAGGGATCGAGCGGACTTCTCGGGGGATCTGCCTCGGGGCCGATCGCCTCCCCAACGGGCCGATGGGATGCGAGCAGATCCGCACTGCTCATATCCGGTGAGGGTCGATCCGCCTTGCGCAGATCCAGCGCAAGCAGATCCAGCGCAAGCAGATCCAGCGCAAGCAGATCCGGATCGGATGGATACCTGTGTGAAATCAGCGACATCCAGGTCGAGGCCCCAAAACGGTTGCGCTTGCTGCCGCCTCGGGCGGAAGTGACCCATCCCCCTTGATCCAAAATGAGCAACGGCTTCTCATGCCCGGTGGATCTAGTTAGCACATCGCAGCATTGAAGCACGATGCCAACACCTACGACCGAGATCGGCAAGAGGGAGTGCTCGAGACCAACTTGCCACCGACGACCAAATGCAGCGGCAGCGGAGATAACCGAGTCATGGAAAGCCATTGCTGGGCAATAGTCAGATATATTTAGAGGATCTGGCTCGGGGACATCAGAGTACTACCCAGTACACTACTGCTTACGAGCAGCGTTCTTGGCCTCCCACTCGACAACACGCGGATGGGCCTTGGCAGTGTTGTAGACCCTGGTGATGTGGGCGTAGGGTGTGATCAGATCGCTTGGGATGTGCTCGATGGCGGCGTTAGGTTCGATTGACATCTTGAAGAGGTAGAACAGATAGACGTCGGCGATCGTCAGCTTGTCGCCGACAGCGTACTTGCCGCCGTGCTGGGCCAGAACCCGGTCGAGGCCAGCCAGCATAGGAGGGTAGACCTCGGCGGCCACCTTCTTGCGCATCTCGCACCGCTTTGCCTCGTCGGCCTCGAGGAAGCTGGGGAGAAGCTTCAGCCAAAGATCGTCGACCTCTTCGACGACCTGGTCGATCAGCAGGGTGGTATGCAGATCGTTGGTGCTGGGGTACTGGTCGCCGAGGATCCCGACGTAGCGCAGGATGGCCTTGGATTGGGCAACAACATGCTCGCCGTTGATCGTCAGGACGGGGACCTGGCCAAAGGGCAGAGTCGGCTTGACGGCAGCGAACTGCTCGCGGGTCAAGCGCTCATCCTCGAACTCGATGCCGGCGATAAACAGCGACAAGCGGATGGGCTCGGCGCGGCCAGGGACATCAAAGTACGTGAGCTTGAGAGAAGTGGGCTTGGCGAAGGACATGGAGGGCAACTAGAACAATAGCAAGAGTGTGCGGGGATGGGACCAATGCTCTCTGCGGCGGACATCCCGCCGCTTTATATCCTGCTTCCGACGCCGCCAAGGCATCCTGGCGGAGGGAGTTTGGAGTTTGGAGCTGGGGGGGGGGAACTTCGCAAGAGCACTCCGTGGGAGCGAGCGACTGAGCAGCCCCGTGTGATCATGGAAACAAACGGGTGCGGGGAGAGTGAAGGCCACAAGCCAGGTGGGGAAAGCAATCTGGTTCGAGAGTGAATGGGCGATACTCTGGACGGGACCGTGCGCACCAGCGAGACATGGTATCCTGGCAGTGTGGACGCTTCTGGGATCTGGGTCGATCATGATAGCAGAGCGCCAGCCATGTATTACTTTTGACGAGCAGCGTTCTTGGCTTCCCACTCGACCACGCGCGGATGAGCCTTGATGGAGTTGAAGACCCGGGCGATGTTGGCATAGGGTGCGATCAGATCGTTGGGAATCCATGCGACGTGCGGGCTGGATCCTGAGAGCATGTCAAACATGATGTAGATGCGAAGGTCGGCGATGGAGACGCTGTTGCCGACGGCGTAAGCGCCGCTGTGCTTCTCGAGGAACTTGTCAAAGGCTGCAAGCATCGGCGGATAGACATCGCTGATGAGGGCTTGGCGCAGCTGGGACTTTTTGGCCTCGTCTGTCTCGAAGATGCACGAACGCAGCTTGAGCCAGATGTCTTCGATCGCCTCGACGACCTGGTCGATCAGGAGTGTGGCAAGGAGATCGTCATTGCCGGGGTACAGGCCCGAGAGGATGCCTGCATAATGCAGGATGGCCTTGGACTGGGCAATGACAAGCTCGCCGTTGATCGTCAGGATCGGAACCTGGCCAAAGGGCAGCGAGGGTTTCAGGGCCTGGAACTGCTCGCGGGTGAGGCGCTCGTCCTCGAACTCGATGCCTCCAACAAAGAATGCCAGGCGACTGGTTTCAGCCTTGCCGGGCATGTCAAAGTAGGTGAGTTTCAGAGAGGTGGGCTTGGTGATCGACATGAGCAGCGTGCGTGGTGACGGTGGTGGTGGTGGTGGTGGTGGTGGTGGTGGATGCGAACAGATTGATGCAGGTGGATTGCCAGACGAAGATGAGAGAGCGGCAGGAAGAGAGGCGGGAGGATATCCTGTTCCTCGAACCTGGACTGAACTGCGGCGGCCCTCCTGGCGCTGCGGCACCAGTGTGCGGCGCATTGCATCCAATCGAATGCACCCACTCATTCATGCGAATGCGCACTCTGATCCATGGCAAAAGTGTATTCACGACGACATCTGAGTGGCATCCATCAAAACTGAACACAGCAACACTGCTCCTTCACCCCGACAGCGGCGACGGCTTGATTACTGCTTGCGAGCAGCGTTCTTGGCCTGCCACTCAACAACGCGCGGATGGCTCTTGACCGAGTGGAAGACCTTGGTGATGTGAGGATAGGGCGCCAGCAGATCAGCGGGCATGAAGGGCATCTCGGGAGCAGGACCCGAGATCAAGCTGAACATGTGGTAGAGAGAGATGTCGGCAATGGAGATCTTGTCGCCGACCGAGTACTCGCCGCCGTACTTGGCCACGACCCTGTCCAGGGCAGCCAGCATCGGCGGATAGACCTCGGTGGCAAGCTTGGTACAGGCGGCCGCCATGGCGGCGGGGTCTGAGCCCTCAAAAACCTCGATAAGCTTGACGGCAATGTCTGCCAGCTGGCCGAGAACCTGCTCCACCAGCAGAGCAGCAAAGGGGTCGTCGTTGCCAGGGTAGGTGCCCGAGAGGATACCCGCATAGTGCAGCAGGGCGTCCGACTGGGCAATGACGTGCTCGCCGTCGACGGTCAGGACAGGCAGCTGGCCAAAGGGCAGGGTGGGCTTGATGGCAGCGAACTGCTCACGGTTCAGGCGCTCGTCCTCGAACTCGATGCCGCCGACGAACAGCGCAAGGCGGATAGCCTCGGCACGGCCGGTGGTATCAAAGTAGGTGAGCTTGAGCGAGGAGGGCTTGGTGGCGGTCATTGTGCGTGGAAGTAACTGGGAGACTCTGGGCAGATTAGCTGGTGGGGTGCAGCTGGTGGTGGAGAGATGACATGCCAGATATACACCGGGACTCGGTCAATCGTTGCCAAGACGACGAGGGGCCCTGTTGTGGGGTTGGTCCCCCACGGCCATCGGACCAATCGGCACCAAGGCCATGCCAAGACTCGCACAAGCTGAGAAATCGAAACGAAGTGGGGACGGGGCTCGCATGGAATCTGCTGGGGTGGTGGCGGACCGGTTGGTCGGCAGCATGCCACGACGCAACCGCCGCGATGCAGCATGATCATGACAGAGGAGCGAACGAGGCGAATGCCCAGCGGCACCGGGATGGGATACGCAACGGCTGCTTCTGTATCCTTGGCGCCAGGAAACTATCGTGAATCCATCGCGGTTCCACCGTGGATGTCGAATGGCAAGGTGCTGGAACGGTCACCAATCGGCCCCTGCTGCTCGAAGCGTGCCCGCCAGGAGAACAGCAACAGCATCTCTTGCTCCCACGCAATCTCTCGGTGGTGTTGGATAGATCTATATTAATATATCGGGCCACTTGATGGTAACAGATGCTCGCAGCGCCAGCTGCTGCGTTCTGTCGCCGCACGCTGTGAATGCGGCTCTCTCTCGGGCCAGATCCATCGGCAGCCGTTACTGACGAGCGGCATTCTTGGCTTCCCATTCGACAACACGCGGATGCTCTCGCACCAGGTTGACGACCCGCAGGATGTTGGGATATGGGTCGATCAGGTCTTTGGGGATGAGCTCGAACGCAGCGTCCGGTCCGGTGAGGGCGTTGAAGTAGTCGTAGAGGAAAACGTCGGCAGAGGTGAGCTTGTCGCCAACGGCGTATTTGCCACCGTACTTGGCCAAGAACTTGTCAAAGCCGGCAAGGAGGGCGGGGTATTGCTGCTGAATGACCTTGTCGTTGAGTTCCCGCTTCTTGGCAGCGTCAGACTCGTGGAAGACAGGCAGATACTTGAGCCACAGATCCTCGATCGTGTCGGCGATCTGGTCGATGACGAGCGACGCAAGAGGGTCGCTCTCGCCGGGATATAGCTTGGCAATGGCTCCAGCATAGCGCTGGATGACCCTGGACTGGGCAATGACGTGCTCGCCATCGACAGTCAGGATCGGAACCTGTCCAAAAGGCAGCGTGGGCTTGAGGGCAAGGAACTGCTCGCGATTGATGCGTTCGTCTTCAAAGTCGATCCCGGCAATGAAGAGGATCAGGCGAGTTGCCTCGGCGCGGCCGCCGATATTGAAGTAGGTGATCTTGAGAGAAGTGGGCTTGGTGAGGGTCATGGCGACGACGTGCAGACGAGTTCAAGTGTTGAGAGAGGGATGATGGGCTCGAGCAAGTCGGGGAGGCGAGGGCCTTTTGAATACGAGCGGAGTCGGCTTTGGCGGGGGGGTTGTCTGGCAACCCGCGCCGTGGGAACAATGCACCGGACTCTGCAGCAGATCCATTTGTCATTCGCCAGCGGCGGGCTGGTCGAAGGGGTGTTGGCCATTGCAAATCACATCGCCCAGCAAGGCCGCTGGCAGCAGGTGCATAACAAAGGGCTGATATCAAGAGCCAGCCAGCGAGCCAGCCAGCGAGCCAATCCGACGGCGCTCGATGGCCGATCATGGGCAAGGGCGGTCGTGGGTGCTGCCAAAGCACCATATCACGTGGATCCGAGTTGCTGGGTCCGATCGAATGCGGGTCGAGGGCGGGTCGAGCCAGCGTCGCACAGCTCACGTGCATCGTTTTTTTCTTCGTCCTCCAGCGAGAGCCTGGCGAGAGCGTCTCGCCGGACGAGGGCAGCAGCGAGACGGCGCCGAGATGCGCCAGCACACTGAGCGAGAGGCCCTCGGCGCGTCTCGCCGTCCCCTCGCTGCCCCCTCGCTGTCTGGCCGAGACCGCTATTTGATCCCGGCTCTGTGGCCATCGCTCCTTTCTTCCTCCTCTCTCGCCCAGATAATTCTGCTTCAAAGCCAGGAGTCACCGCTGAGATCTTATCCTGCCCATAATGTCCTACGTCGCTCCCCACAAGGCTGCCAAGGCTGGCTTCGAAGAGGCTGTTGAGCCCAAGATCCACCGCATCCGCATCACCCTCACCTCCCGCAACGTCGCCAACCTCGAGAAGGTCTGCGCTGACCTCGTCAACCGTGCCAAGGACAAGCAGCTCAAGGTCAAGGGCCCCGTCCGCCTCCCCACCAAGGTCCTCCGCATCACCACCCGCAAGACCCCCTGTGGTGAGGGCTCCAAGACCTGGGACCGCTACGAGATGCGTGTCCACAAGCGCCTGATCGATCTCCACTCTCCCTCCGAGATTGTCAAGCAGATCACCTCCATCTCCATCGAGCCCGGAGTCGAGGTCGAGGTCACCATCCAGAACGCTTAAGCGTGCGACGTTGCTGTATTGCGATGAGTGGTGGCAGGATGCCGGTGTTTTTTTTTCGTGCCCAGCAGGCCTCGACGATGCCAGCTTGGTATTTTTGAAGCACAGAATACAGCCACGATTCTCCTCCAGCTACTCTGCCGGTGCTGCTGCCGGTGCTGCTGCTGTTACTGCCAGAAGAAAGATGGAGTGTGCGGAGTGCTCGGGCGAGGGAGTGGGAGATTATCGTGGGGACATACATGAGACCCGCGGCCTTGGTCTCTATTCCGCCCCCGACGAGCGAGCGCCGCCTTGGATGCCGTGGGAGAGAGAGGATTCAATGGCTGGGCTCGGTCTACTCGTACGTGTTCTTGTCAAAGCGGATGACGAGCACCGAGAGATTGTCGGTCGAGAACTGGGCCAGAGCATGGTCGAGGAGATTCTCGGCAGCCTGCTGCGGCTCGGCGATGTCCTTGATCAGGTCGACGGCCTCCTGGTCCGTGCAGACGTCCCAGACCTGCATTGATGGAAGATGGCGTGAGTCCGTGGTGCAGCCAGCCGCCGTTTCATGGCACGTCAACATGACAGCGATCGCCCATGTGTCAGGGAGGGCTTCTCCACTCGCAGCATCCATGCTCTCCGTTCAAGCACCACCATCCGGGATTGGCTTGCAGTCCTGCGTCGCTGACTCGTTTTGTCTGCAGCCATCGCGCCAAGTGCGGTGGGCAGTTGGACAATGCTCAAGCATAAGCATCGTGGTACATACCCCGTCGCATGCCAGAATCAGGAAGGTGTCGTCATCGTCCAGGACGGTCTCGGTCGTGTACGGGTTGCCGAGAACCCATTCCTTCATCGCCAAGTCTCCCAGAGATCGAGTAACAGCCAGCACGCCTGGATCGTGCGAATGTCGAGCGAGTGTCGAGCGAATGTCGAGCGAGTCGAGAGGATATGGGTGAGCGATTTCCGTTGCCTCGCAGCAGCAGCGACATCCGTGCCTCAGTATTGGTACCGCGATCTTTGCCCCAATATCGACAAGCCCATGCCTATGCACAGACAGGTCCAGCACCCGTAGCCCAGCATCGGCACGTCCGACTCACCGTTGACTCGGTTGTTCATCACAAATCCTCCTGTCTCTACCACGCGGCGGGCTTCGTTCTGGTCAGAGCCCTTGTGGTCGTATGAGAGCCGCACAGCAACGCCGTTTCGGCTGCAAGCGGCAATGGCAGCATGGGGGCTTCAGTACAAACAATCAAACATGGCCGATTCCTGTCACTGCAAAATCGTCGCTGAGAAAGCAGCATCGCCGCACTGCAGAGGGATGGCTTACCATAGTACAGCCCTGGCATCGCCAACATTGGCCGTGTACAGAACTCGTCGCTGCCAGCGTTCGATGAAAGATTGCCCAGTGTCAGTCGAGTTGCATCCATCCCGTCGCGTGGGTGCTGTCTGAGGAAGTGCGGATGGTTACCCGTCGCGGCGGCTTGGTTTCGCCGACCGGCAGGCTATCTGCCGGCTGCCCAGGAGTGGTGTTGGTAGAGGGAGTTGAATCCACTGCTCGGTCGTCCTCCAACCGGACAAAGCCAACAACAGCCGTGCAGCCCGAAAACATGCCCTTTCGCTCGCCCAGCTGTTTGTCCGTCTCAACAAAGGCCTCGTTCATGAGCTCTGGGACTGTGCGAGCGGGCTGAGACTGCAGGATACCGGCAAATGTCTGTGTGTCGAAGAGGGATGGATCCAGAGTGAGTCATTTGCCGGAGCGGGAGTGTAATGACCTGCCGTGACGAACATGACCATCCCCCCCCCAAAGCCCAGTGGATATCCAATGTCGTCTGCCTTTCGCGGGGATCGCTACGTTACCTCGTGCAAGTTGTTTCCGCACCATTCGGCGGCAGCCTTGCCGGCATGGCCGTCGAATACAGCGAACCAGCCTGTGGACCAACGGGGATTGCAAGACGAGAGGATGAGCACGGAGCTCCGAATAGGCTCGCTCGCGGTGCCGACCGAACAGGCTCGCTCGTGGTACCGACCGGGGTGTTGGCAAAGACCGCTGTCCTCCGAGCTGCCCGGTGTCCAGCCCGCTCACCCAGGTGGGATGGAGATATCGGTACCATCCGCGGCATATCCGGGACACAGAGCACTGCCGGCGTGTATGGTCGTCTCTGGCTGCTGCCATCCTACCTTGGGCCTCGATCTCTTCAAAGTTGTAAAAATACGAATGTGCATCCTACAATATGCGGGGCACACCGGCGCGATATTCGAAGACATCGGTGGCAGCGTTCGGCGAGATCGCAGCGAAAACAGTGATTGCGTCGGAGCCGGTATTGCAAGAAGTCGAGTCAATATCTCGGATCGACGATGCTGACGGAGCAGGAGAGGCACGTCATGGTATCGCCGAGGACAGCCTCGCCACCCACACACGGCTTCATGTGGATCGCACGGCCGCGGCAACTCTGCATTGCAGCCCTCAAGTCCCAGGGCCAAGCATGGCGTCGATCAGGGCCAGCCGATGGTCCTGGCTGCGGACCTGCTGCCGCCTCGTTCCCATCGCAACTGACGCAGCGAATCCACGATGGCACCACAGGAGAGCTAAAGCAGCGACGACAAACCTCCATGGTTCTTCGGTATCGTCTGTTCCGATCTTCGCTGAAACCGATCCGGAAGCCGCTCCTGAGGGCCGCCTCGGCTTCCTCGGCGGCATAGTCGATGGGATCGGTCTCCAATTCAGGAACCCCATCGGGGGTCTCGAGCATGGATTCGTGCAGGGCCGAGTCGCACTTTGTCGTGGAACTAGTGGCATTGGCTGAGGCGCCCGGATGCACATCGGCGTGTGCGTTGGTGGCCGAGACGACATCGGAGGCCGGTAGCAGCGAGTGGTCGGTAGCGTCCATCGTGGGTGGGAGAGCTGGGTAGATTGCGAGCAGGTCGAGGAGCCAGGGGCAGGCAGGAAGCGGGAGGGGGAGAGTCGCGGGAGGCAAGTAAGCGAGGCGCTGTGGTAGTAGGTAGCAGCGACAGCGACGGGGTCGGTGCGAGCAAGAGTGCTTGGGAAGTGCTGAGGCAGGATGCGATGGGAGGGAAATCGAGGGTCATCGCCGGGGGAGGCCGCGCCGACCAAGACGGCGATTCAGAAGCAATGGCTCTCGCCCGTTCTCGGCGGGCCACTGTCCGGCCACCACGCGTGCTCTCGCCGAGACCGAGAGAGACACGAGCCGGTTGGGCCTGCAGACACGTCACGCGGTGTCGAGGGGGGATCACGGGCGGACGGACGACTGGACGGACAACCAGGCAGGCACCGGGAGGGAGCATCGACCACGCACGGATGGGATGCGACGGCTTGGTCTTGCAGTCAGCGCACCGACTACGGATCAACACGACACCATCCGTCGACTCCCTGGGTTTCTTGGAATAGTGCTTGTATTATCCGGCAGCCCGGCAAGACAGCGTGCGACAGCGACGGCAACGGCGACGATTTCGTGCAGGCTCATCCCACTGCTCATCCGCCAGACCATCGCATCGACTGGCCATGTCTCAGCCTGGAAGGAGAGTGCTAGGCCAGAACATTGCGCATGAGATACGCCTGGAGCCGCTCCCGCGCCGTCTCCTCGATGCGCTCGCCAATGACGGGATACTTTTCCAGCATCCCCATCACGTCCGCCTTTTTCAGCTCGTACAGGAAGCAATCTGTCCTGGCCTTGATCGTCGCCGTGCGGGGGACATGCTCGAGGAGAGCTACTTCGCCGAACCACGCCGTGGGTCCCGTTGCTGTGTCGATCAAGAGGCCAAACTCGGAGTATACCTCGACCTCACCCTTGGCCAGAAAGAACATACTGTCGGGTGGACGGCGACGGCGACGGCGGCACATTGGTCAGCGAAATCAGCCAGTCCCTCCCCAGAACCAGCACAGAGCACTTGGAGACGCACCTGTTGGCGGCATCACCGCACTGGATGATCACACTCCCGGCCTCGAAGCTCAGTCGGCTCATCATCAGAGCTAACTCGCTGACAATAACGCAGTCAATGTCTTGGAACACGGCGAGCTGACAAAGGTGGGATCCAGTCGAGCACAGCCGTTGGGCATGGCCGGACAAACGAACACAGGGTTAGTCACGACCACGATGCCAAATTGCAGCCAGGAGCCCGGAGATGAAACCAACGAGGGCGGGAGAAAGTCCGGACGAGCGTGGGAGCGTGGGAGCGTGGGAACGGGGATGGCTCGATGGATGGATGGATGGGAGCTGTGGCGCAGACTCCCACCATCGGCCGAGTTGTCATGGCAAGGAGCCAGTCTCTCGCTCCGACACTGATACAGGCACCGACTCAAGCCGCTTGTCCATATCATCAAATTCAGATCTCATTGGCGTTGCATTCACCATGCCAGTGCTACCCCTTGTTGCAGAACCAGCCCTGCGACGCCGGACCGCACATCCCGCCTACCTTCAGCAAGTTCTGCTGGTTGATGTCAATGTCGAACTGATCGGGCGTGGTCTTTGGCGAGGAGTGCGCTCGCTTGGTAAAGAGCGCAAATCGCTCCTCAGCCACCTCGTTGATCTTTTGTTGCATCATCGGGTAGAGCTGCACCACCTTGGCTAGCGAGTCCTTGGTCAGCTTCAGCAGGAACGACTCCTCCTTGGCCCGGATCGAGGCTGTGCGCTTCATCGACAGAATGATGCCAACCTCGCCAAAAAACTGCCCGTTGGTCATCTCGGCAAAGGCAACACCATCGGTCGAGATGACCTCAACTGTGCCGCGCATGATGAAGAACATGGAGTCGGCCTCCTCGTCCTTGGAAATGATGAGCTGTCCGGGGACAAAAGTCTCGGTCGTCACCGACATGGCCAGTCCGTCGATAAACGACTCGGGTGCGTCCGCAAACATGGGCAGCTGCGTGGGCGAGCGCATGTCTGATTAACGATACGTTTGCGACCAGGCTCTCCAAAGCATGTCCATCCGCCGCGCCACGGCCACGTCGTGAACTCGATGTGCTTGTGCGATCGAGGCGATGGCTGCAGCTTTGCCATCAGGCGATCTCTGCAATTTTACCGTCCAACTTGACCGATAGCTCGCAACCCCTCCCCTTCCATACCTTTCGGACATCCTTCCGGGCAATGTCTCCCAAAAACTCGCCGCCAAAGTTGTCGCCGTCTTGGTGGTATCTTCTCTCCTTCCACCAGGTCTCCTTGTCCTCACAAGCCTTCAGGAACTGGGCGCAACGCTCCGGGAAGCCAATCAAGGCCTCCAAAATCTTTTGCTTTGTGAGAACAAAGAGGCAGCAGTCGGTCTTTGCGATAACAGTTGCGGTTCGGGTTTGCTTGAACACTGCATGAGGGGGATGAAGGGACGACGCATTGGAGTCAGACCGGGTGATGAGAGCAGGGGCAACCTCGGGGCTCCGAGGCGCACCAGCCAGACAGACGAGTGGTGGAGCTACAAAGACTTACTTATGCCCATTTCTCCAAAGAAGCCGTCCGGGTTCAAGGTAGCAATCTCCACGTCTCCGTTCATGATGCTGACCCGCCCCTCCTGGATGAAAAACATCTCGGCACCTTCTTCGCCCTTGTTGACGATGGAGTTGCCTTGCTTCCGACGCATCTCGTAGACGTTCATGGCCAACTTTTCCAGGAGCTCGGATTCGAATTCAGAAAACAGCGGAAAGGTTTGCAGCACGGTTGGGCTCATGAGCTCTCCGGGCCTCACCGAGTACTTTCGGCTCCATGACCGGGCCACGGGAGGCGACTCGGGTGCGTTCTGGACCAAGCGCGCCGAGTCGGTGAGGATCTCAGACTTTGGCTTGAGCTCGAACTCGATGAGTTTGTCGAGATCCGCCAGCTGTGGAAACGCTTTGTAGAGATTGTCCCGAGCGGCATCAGTGGCCTCGATCAGACTCTGCAGCTGCATAGCCATCTGCATGTAGTCGCGCAGTTTGGTGGAGATTTCGTCAAAGGACTTGAGGGCATTGCGGACCTGCGCCTCGTAGTGGGTGACGGCCAGGACACGTTCACGCAGGAGCTTGTTGACGGTGTTCAGCCGGACGACCTGTGAGGTCAGAGTGTGCTTTTCTTGCTTCTCTCGCTTGAGTTGGAGCTCGATATCTTGGAGCGAGGCGCTGCGCTCCATTGCCGACTTTCGAATGGCGGTGACGGAATTGGTGATCCGCGGTGGCTTGCCGTTCAAATCAAGGGGCGAGGCCATTGTGGCAAGTGGTTCTTGGGACTGCGGTGGTTTGAGGGTGTGGGATGCGCCGTTAGTCTATTGCGTGCCCGCTTGCGTGCTTGCGTGCTTGCGTGCTTGCGTCTGAGTGCCCAGATGTGGCGAAAATGCGCTGCACTTGACAATATGTGCTGGATGCTTTTGGGTTGGAGAGAGCTCGATGTCAGCGAATGCTTAGTAGCAGGTCCCGAGAATCACTTCCAGAAGTGGCTCTCGAGGGTCACTTTGCGTTACACTCCGGGGTGGAATATCGAATGGCGACGGGAACGGAGCCCAGCGTGTTGCTTCCGGCTCGAGACGAGACCGGGGAGAGGGCGGAACGTACTTATCGGATGGTCTGCTGCCTCGAGCTAGACTCGGGGAAGGTAAGCTGCTGAATGAACGCTTCTTCTTCTCACTGATGCACTCTGTCGGGATGGTGCTGAGAAGGACGAGGATGGCCAGACGGGGCAACTGAGCAGGGCCAGGAACAAGTACACACGGCAGCGACCGCTGACCACTGGGGACAATAACCGATCCACTATCGAACGTCAGACCTCAGCGGCGATGATTGGTCATTGTCTGGCGGGACCGGCCGGCCGTTCAATTGTGCTGGAGTGATTGTGCCGCCCGCCGGCAGCATTGCAGCACTGGCTGACCGAAGCGGGGCACTCTGCTTTTGAGCGTCCCGGCTAGTTTCCGGATCTGAAAGCATACCCGCGTTGCTGCCCTGCGATGATACGGCTGGAACCTTCAACCGACGACGAGCCTCTCCCGTTGCCGACACGAGCCGGAACGCCATCTGCCCAAGACATGTCCTCGATGATCGAGAGCCACACACGATGCAACTCCGGGGCTGATTCGACCACCCGCGGTACCATCGCAGCTCGTTGACATAGCTCTCACGGATCCGCTGGAATTATCCGAGTGGGATTTCTCGGCCAAAGGCCAAAACAGCACGCCCGACTTGCGAGCAATGCATCCGGAGCCGGGCATCCTGGTGCGCCCATGGTGTGGCAGTGCATGGCGGTGCAACATCTCGACCCGACACAGTCTGGTGCGGGCGATCGTGGTGGTGCTGGTGATGCAGATGGTCTGGATGGTGGTGGTTTGTGCTGAAGGCGATGGTCCTGGACGATCGATCGCCTGCGAAAGCGATGCATCGATGCCCACAACCAGACCGGCACCCGAGAAAAAAAGGCAAGTATTGATCCGCGAACTGGCACGCGACGGCCCGGGACCCGACGGCCTTATTAGCGATCTCTGTCGCAGTTGAATTTGCATTCGCAGTTGAATTTGCATTCGCAGTTGAACTTGCATTCGCAGTTGAATTTGCATTCGCAGTTGAACTTGCAGTTGCGGTTTGCGCCGCGCACTGTCGCTGCCTTGTGGGTGCCTCTGCTTCGGACCGCTCGACAAAAAAGCTTGGGACAGCAAAACCCACCCGCCGGTCTCCCTTCTCTTTCGCTGCTCCTCCCCAAACTCCCTCCCGAGTCGCGGGAGCCTCGCCATCCAAATCCCCGTTTGACCTGGCCTGTTTCGGCCGTCTGTCCAGCAGAGTCCTCGATGGCACCGCTGACCTACAAAGATGTGGCCCTCGAGTCCATCCTCAAACGTATGTTGCTGCGAGAACAGCAGCGGGACGGCGTCCGGCTCAGACCGGCGTTGTCCGCACACTGCCCTTTTGCCTGCTGTCGCCTCCCTTATCCCTGCGTCGCATCTGGACTGCCGTTCCCGCTTGCTCGCATGCAGGGCACTGTCTCGATGCTCTCCCTTGCTCTCCCTTGCTTATCCGTCGGTCCTGCTCTTCCTGTCTCGCTCCTGCTGCTGCCTGCATACCCCCGCTGGCCGCCTCCCCTTCTGCCGACGACTGCGTCCGATATGGGCTCGACCGCTGTGATTGCCAGTTTTGCAGGAGAATCCTCGCCAGAAGCCTCCGCATCTGTTCACCATCCGCAAGCACTTCAAGGTGAGTCTGGGCGAGCATGGTCTGTCTGCGTCTCGCGGGAGCAGGCTTTGAGCGCCACCGACCCTGTTCTTGCTGGATGGCCTTGATCACCGCAGGATGCTTTGGCTGGGCTCTTGCCTGCTGCGAGTCATCCGTCGATGCGGCAGTCCACTTCGAGGCGCTCCACTCAGGCTCTGGCGTGAAGAATCCAGGTGACTCGATGTCTGCAAAGCTAATGCTGCTCCGCTGTCTCCCTTCCAGCAAACCATGGACGATCTCGAACGTTCGTATCGGTTTTATGGCTCTTTGGGAGTGTCTGTCGCCCTCTCCTGCGACGAAGCGGACATTATGCATATTCAGCCCGATCAGCCTTGTCGTTTGCGATCTGTGATCTGTGTAGCGTCTTGTGCCATGGAGCCGTCCGGGATCTGCATGATTGACTGACACCTGCTGATTCTGCCACGTCTCTCGCTCAATAGGCCAGCTTTCGCCGTCGTGGGCCAAGATTCTCCACAGAAGACTTAAGGAGATGGTGCGGACACCTGTTTTCTGCCTGCATGCCTTCGACTGTGCTGGGCACTGGCTGTAGCTCTCCACGCTCTTGCATCGTCTTGTCCACTTCGTCACCGTACTCACATGCATGCCATCACATCGCACCTGTCCGGGAACAGGCCAGCAAGGAAACTCTCGTCTCCGATCCCAACAGCATGAGATTCGGCTTCAGCCCCGTCGCCAAGCGCGGACTTCTCTCGACCCCTATTGTGAGTACCCTCCCTCCTGCTGCTGTAGGGGTGTCTCTGGTTGACTCTGGTCAGGTCTTGCTGGGTGTCATCTGTCGACGATCATTAGACCCTACCGGGGCCCGCCAGCGCCATGCGATGTGTTGCGAGATGCCTCTGACCGTCTCCACCAAAACCGTGGTCCATTGTTTGCGCCCTCAGAGCTCGCCCAAGAAAATCCCTCAGCTGGTCCAGGAATTCTCGACCCCGAAGCGTAAGCGCGGCTCGCCCCAGGGTCTGTCGAGCGTGCGATCATCCGTCACCGCCTCTGGCTCGACCTCGGTCCCGCGCGTTACCAAGCGCACCCCTAAAACCCCGGTACAGACCCCTCTCAGGGGCAAAGGGCAGCCTAGCTCTTCTCTGCCGGGCACTTCTGGCCGTTCCCTCTTTGATCTCGATCACGACGACAACATCGAGGACGACTACCACGACACCTTTGAGCGGTGCCAGGACCTCGAGCGCAGCCTCAAGGATGCGCAGGAGCGGCTCTCTGCCATGAAAGATATAGAACGCCAACTCCAGGACGCCCTCTTGGAAAAGGAGGTCCTGCAGCGCCAGTACAACGCCCTCATAATCACCCGTCGCAGCGAGCCGGTCATCTCTCGCGAGATTGTCTCGGGCCCCGTCCTGGGCGACTCGGTCCTCGACAGCATGGCCATGCACGACGACGAAGCCTTTTTCGATGCCGGCGACGCCCTCGATGACAACGACGACAACGATATTAACGACGACAACGACGATAATGACGACAACGACACCGAAGTCGGACATGCCTACAGCGATTACGCACACGACGTCTCCGACGATGGCACCCGACAGGTGCCCCAGGGCACATGCTCGCAGCGCTCCGTCGTTAGCGACATCAGCAGTGCCATCGAAGACACCACTCACTTTGAAAAGCCCAGCGAGAGCCACGGCAGCAGCTCACGCGGGCCTGCCCAGCTGATTCCGAGCAGCAGCGACCTGATCCCGTCCCTGGTGGCGTCCTCCAGCGACTTGCCGCACTACTCGCACCTGTGCGGCTCGGAGATGCAGACCTCGGAGGAGCGGTTTACTGCTGAAGAGCGCGAGAGTCTCATGCGCCAGCTCGAGCACTACAAGGCCACCCTGTCCGAGAAGGAGGCGCAGTACAACCGAGCCATCCAGGACGTCATGCGAGCGCACGAGAACCGCCAAAAGAGCCTGTTTGAGCAGCTCGAGCGCCACGAAGAGGAGCACCGAAAGGGCGCCACCTCCATGGTCAACCTGGCGCTCTCGAACAGCAAGCTGGCTGCCGAGTGCGACGAGCTCACCCAGGAGCTGTCCATGTGCCGAGCCGAGATCGGAACCATGAGGCTCTCCAAGGACACCATTGCCATCGAGGCCGAGGGCCTCCGCAAGTCTCTCAAGGACGCTCAAGAGCAAATCGCCCGCATCCAGGACGACTCGCGCAAGGCGCAGATGGTGCTGATGGATCGTATGACCGAAAAGGAGAGCGACATCACCGAGCTCCAGACCCGGATCCAGTCTATGCTCCACAACCAGGACGAGCGCCGAAACAAGGCCGACGACCGGGTCGTTGAGCTCCAGCGCCGCCTCGATGCCAAGAGCGCCGAGGTTTCGACCATCCAGAAAGCCTCCGACAGCCGTCTCCAGGACCAGTCCGCCCACCTCGATCGCCTGATTGCCGAGCTCTCTGACATGAAGCAGCTCCTGGAGAAGCAAGAGGCTCAATCGCACCACCACATTCAGTCGCTCGAGTCCCAGCTTAGCGTCGCCGGTGGCCTCAACAGGGAACTCCAGAGTTCGTCCGAGAGTCTCAAGCGCAAGCTCGACACCGTCACGCACGAAGGCAGCCTCCAGCTGACCGAGAAGCATCAGGATGTCGAGCGGCTGCAGGGCGAGCTGCATGTCGAGAAGGAGAAGAACCTCGAGCTCAACACTAGCATCAAGGCCCTCCAGACGACCGTCGCTACCCTGGAGCGCGAGAAGACCCAGTGGCTCGCGGCGCTGCGGGCTCTCGAGTCGGACAAGCATACCTCATCCCAAGCCCATGTGGACCAAGTTAGCGAGCTCACCAAGACCAACGCCTCCATCGCGCAGTCGCTGCACGAGTACCAGCAGCGATGCCAGGAGCTCGAGCAGGCCCTTGCGGCCCGCGAAAGCGCTCTCCAGACCCTGCAGGCCGCCATCGAGACTGCCAAGGCCGCCCATCGGGCAGAGCTGGCTCGAAGCGCGGAGCAGCAGTCTCAAAAGGAGCAGGAGCTCTCGAAGCAGATCGCTGTTGCCCAGGACAAGATCATAACGCTCCAGACCAAGATCGAGCGCGACCACCGCCGCCATGTCCAGCTGCAGGAGGAGTACGAGCGCTACAAACACGAGCAAAAGACCCGGTACGACGAGCTCAACACCCGATACCAGCTCGTGGTTCTCGAGTCCGGCGATCTCGGAACGGTCAACGACGCGGCGCGCCAGGAGCTCGACAGCCTCCGACGCCAGATCGACAGGCTTGAGGACGAAGGCCGCACCACCGAGGCCAAGTACGCCCTTGAGACCGCCGACCTGCAGTATGATCTATCGATCGAGCGAAATCAAAAGTCGATGCTGCAGCACGAGCTGCGCGAGCTCAAGACCCGCCTGCAGCAGATCCAAGACAAGGCCCAGAGCCGCGAGAGCGAGCTGCAGCAGGAGCTTGAAGCCCACAAGAAGCAGGATCAGGTCCTCAGCACCGAGACACAGTCACTGAGAAGCCAAAAGTCGCAGCTCGAGAACGAGATCCAGTCTCTTCGCGCGTCCATCGAGTCTCTCCAGGCAGAGTCGCAGCAGCGCAGCCAGGAATACGAGAAGCAGCTGGATCTTGCCAAGGTGCGCGAGAACGCCCTGATGGACGAGATCGAGGCATACGAGGAGCGGGCTCAGACCTGGAAACAGAATGCCGCCGCTGGCAAGGACAAGTCGATGTCGATGGTCAGGTAGGCGAGCGATGGACATCGATTGAGCATGGCGGAGGGTGCGACAGGGCTGGGTGGCAGGATCGGGGCCCTGACTGACCTTGCCTGCCCAAATTCCAGCAACGCACTCCCGGTGCTGCAAGACATGCATCTCAGACAGAAGCAGCTGGCCGAAGATGCCGCCAAGCTCTCTCTGCTTTTGTCGTCGTTCAAGGTGGGTCCCTGGCTGCGTTGTGGCTGCGTTGTGGCTGCGGAGGAGCCGCAATATCTGCAGATCTGCCCGCACACTGCTTGCATAGCACAACGTGCTAACCATTGGCCAACGCTTCCTGCTTGTAGGAGGCCCTTTAATCAGGCAGCACGGAGGGCCCAAGCACTGATGGACGCCAAATCGCTGCCATCTTTTACATGCCATTGCCGAGCCGGCGCTCAAGCCAGTAATTCTCCCTGCCGATCCATCCATCCGTAGCTGTTTTGTGCCAAGTGCTGCGCCCGATTCTATGAAGGCTGGCCGCTTCAGTCCGTCTCTGCCCTTGCCCCCTCGCTCGCCCGGCTCTGGTCTTGGTTGAAAGGGCTGATCCTTCAGCTTGAGTCCGGCACTCGATACACCCGTGGTCTTTTCTTCGTTTTATTGCCGTCCCCGTTCCCCTGGTTGGTTTTTGTCAGTCTTTGTCCCTCTATTTCCGTTTTGCTGTCCTCTGTCCTTTCTCGTGCCGCTTTTGCATCCCGCAGCACCTTCGCTCTCGGCAACGCAAGAACATCCCTTGCACGGGCCCGTCGGTCGCTTGTTTCGTCCACGTCAAACCAAAAAACAACTCCCGCATCCCGCACCCTATCAAGATATAGCAAAAAAAGGAAGAAAAAAATGAAAGAAACAAAACAAAACAGAACAAAACAATCCGAGAAAGTACCCTCTCCCGATATCTCCCCACTTTGGTATAGTTCTGGCTTCGCAGTACGCACAACACAAAGTCTTCGTAAATATACATTGTGCAGCCACATTGAGAATCCGCCCATGGCGGATCTGGGCTTTCTCCCCTCCCCCAATCCTTTCGATGAGTGAGCTCGTCCTGGATTGACATCATTCACTCTGAGTGGGCGGATTTGTATTGGAATATGATCTGAAGGGACGCACGCTGCCGTGGCGTCTGCCCGGTCGTGGAGGAAAGCGTGCACATATGACTTGCCATAGTCGACTCTGTCGACCTGCTCTAGATGTGGTCGTAGTTCTTCTTCTCGATCTTTGTCCTGTGTTACGGAGGAGGGCGATATTAGCCAAGCTGCACTCACAGCGACTACATCCACGAGCTGACGATGGGCACGAGCGACGCTTTGGACGCAGCTGCTCTCAGGACGCCGACGTACCGGACTTTCAGCTGGATCGCCAGCTGCACCTGCTTCCGAGCATACTCAATGTACTTGTCCCACTCCTTCTGCTTGCGGATGCGTCTGCCCTTGTCGTGATTCCGCTCGAAGCGCTCCTGGTACTTGACAGTCTCGCGGATCTTGAGTGTCCGGATCAGGTTCTTGAAGTTGGAATAGGCGGCATTCGGGTTGCCGTTCTCGGAAACGACGACCGTTCGGGACTCGTAGTGGGGCTTGAACCAGCGCGAGACGGGCTTCAGGACCGAAAAGCCAGTCGTTGGCTGCAGCCGAGGAAACAGCATGGCGGATGTGTGTTGATGCGGTGCGTGTATGTGGCGACTGTGGTGCGGCGTGCGGAAGTGCGGAAGTGCGGAAGTGCTCGTCGACTCGGCCAGCGTCTTTTGAAACAATCCGATCCGATGCAGCTCGATGCGGTCTGGTGCGATCGGTTCTGATGCGATCGGTTCTGATGCGATCGGTTCTGATGCGCTCGCCTTCCAGGATCAGAAAAAGCAGACATGGGCGAGAGCGCAGCACGCCGAGAGCATGCCGAGAGCGCACCGAGACAGCCAGCGAGAGCATTCCTCGGCTGGATCCGGCTCGATCCTCCCTGGCACAAATGAACAATTCATACTGCCTGATTCGCCTCACACGTGATCGCAACCCTGGCGCCGCCTCAACACACAGTCTGTGTGCAGCACAGCCGGCGACCCTGGCTCGAGCATCGGGCTGTTGTCCTTTGGCATCGACACATCCGCATCCGCAACGGCACCTTCGCGGAGCATCCTCGACCTGGACAACGAAGGCAGCAGCGACGACGACGGCAGAGAGCCACCGCACGGACTTGCACGCAATCTATACCTCGGAGCAGCGATACGCATCCAAGCACTGAGTCTGATCATCCTCCTTTCGGGTCACCCGTCACATCCAATCCCACAATGACGTTCCAAGAATGTAATGCATCGCATGCCCACCTCGTCCTCCTCCCTGCTTGATATCGGCAAGCGACCGCGCTGTCGACAGAGCGGAGTGGCAGCCAAAGGCATCTCGCCATGGGCGTGCGTGGACACTCGGCTCACTGGTCATCTGGCTTCTCTGTCCCGCGGATCCTACCCAGCGGCCACGCTATACGAAACTCTCAAGAAGGAGTTTGGGGCTGCAAAACCCGACCTGGCCAAGTGCGGACAGATCCTGGCCAAGCTGAAGGTATAAGCTCGTCACCCACAGCACCCTTCGGCCAGCGCGGCAGCAAGGAGACCGTCAGCTGGGCCGATCCAAGGACGAGCATATGCCCGAGTCTCGGCAGAAAGCAACGGCTATTCGTTCATGGAGCTGGGACTGGCCTCCGGACCGCTTTATGTCGTTTGGATCACTAACGTTGCTCACATCTCTGGTCTCTCCCCGATGCCTAGATCCAATTGACCGGGCTGTCCTTCCTCATTCCCGGACAGCAGCAGCCAAACGAGAAGGAAGTCCTCCTCGCACGTATGTGGAGTATCTGCGCTACCAGCGTCTTCATACGCACGCTTCTTTTCTCCCACTGCTATCCTCTGTACATGCCCAGCAAGTGGCGTGATGTAGATCGTGCCCTGAGCGATCTGCGCGATGCAAAGCAGCACAGGAACCGGCCAGATACAACCCGGTGCCTCTCGAGGACCAACAGGCGCCGAACTGGTCCTGACCACACGCTCTCGTCTGCATTTCTCCAGGCGAGGTCTTGGAGATCGGCGCCCAGTGGAGTATCAAGACCGGGAACATCACCGCCTTTGAGCGATACATCTCGCAGCTGCAGACTTACTACCACGACCATGGGTACGGACCCGCAAAGCGCTGGTCGGCGCTCAGAGCCGCCGCATCGCCTTGTCGTGATGAGAGCACCTGGTCCTTGCATAGGAGGTGCGACTAACAGGCCCGCTCGCCTGCTGGCACAGCCCCAAGCTTCCTCCGTCACAGCGACAGTACCCCCTGCTGGGTCTCAATCTCCTCCGCCTGCTCTCGCAGGGTAAAATCGCCGAGTTCCACACGGAGCTGGAGATGATCGACCCGAAGCAGCTCGAGAGCAACATCTACATCAAGCATCCTCTCCAGATCGAGCAGTGGCTGATGGAAGGATCGTACAACAAGGTGTGGCACTCTCGGGCTAACGTGCCCCACGAGGACTATCTGTTCTTTGTCGACATTCTCATGGAGACCATCAGGTAGGCATCGGATGCAAAGGACATGCACTCGCGGTGCGCTATCCGGGCTTGGAACGAGCGTCGCTCATCGACTGCCGACTGTCGCTGCCGCCACAGAAATGACATTGCCAGCTGCAGCGAGAAGGCGTACACCAGCCTTCCGATCAGCGATGCTGCGACGCTGCTGTATCTGAAAAACGAAAAGGAGGTCGTTGCGTTTGCCAAGGAGGTAGGTCTATCTAAGGCGTTCCTTGACAATGCTGTATCATCCGAGGCACAGTTTCGAATGTCAGCCAGCGGGGGATGTCGCTGGCCGATCCAACCGTGCAGTCTCTAACCAACGAATGGCTGCGATGGTCGCCTGTCCTTAGCACGGCTGGGTGATCAACGATATGGAGAAGAAGATCTATTTCGATGTCTCGGACATCGACCACGGAGAGATTCGCACACACAAAACCGCTCGACAGGTGCTCGGATACGCCCGCGAGCTCGAACGCATCGTCTGAGCAGACAGATTGCACAGATCAGCCAGCCTCTCCAAGCACGGCTGCTGCTGCATGGCTGTGCGGCCGTCGCGCTGGATCTGGCTTCGTCTGCACCGCATGTGTCCTCGAATAAACATCAACCAAGGCGTGTTACTGCATAAAAGCATCAACACACGAATACCACTGCGTGCTCGGGCCACGAAGGTGTCGATTCAGGGCACTGGGACATCGGGCCTCATGGTCGACAGTCAGGCTTTCGCACCGTTTGGTTTGCTTGCAAGCGTTCGGTGCATGTTTTTGGCGCAGACGGATATGTGTCGATCCGCGGCTTTCTCGCTGAAGTAGCGGTGGCAATAGAGACACTCGATGCCGCGCTTTGCGCTGGGTTTTGGCGGCGGCAGGTCTGCCGGTCGTCCGCCGTTGGCCATGTGTTTGTGGAACTTTTTGGCCTCGCGAAGATTATGGACCAGCTCCTCTGCTCATCGGCGATGGCGAAAACACGGGGTTGCAACGGGTTGTCAGTGCCGGCAACAGATGAAACGTCAGTAACTCGCTGCTACGAGTGAGCAAGCAGGCTTGACTTTGTTGAAGGGCATGAGTCTCTCGGCAAGCTTGCGGCTCGTAGTATCTGATCCCTCTCCAGCTCAACCATCAACCCGCACCGGGCTGTTGGTGAATGACTCACCGTGCTGTTCGCGCCAGTTCGAGGAACGAGGCTGGCGATCTGAAGTAGTGGTCAGAGCCTCGCGTTGGTTTTGATTTGGTGCCCTGGCCTGGCGGCGAAGCTCCCTCTGCTGCTGATTGCGCTGATGGGCCCGACACACCTTTGTGTGGGTCTCGATCCTGTCGACGCTGAAGGATCGATTGCAGATCGTGCATCGAATGCAGCCCTGTGCACTCGCTGATGCTGCCTCTGACGAGTCTTGGGGTTCCAACAGCTGCGGGATCTCGGCGGACAACGCAGCTACTCCAGACGACAGTGCAGACTTATTTCCCTCAGCGACTTTGAGTTTCTGTGAGGGGCGGGGTGGCTCGGGTTGATATTCCTCGATACCAGCGACGGTTTCTGCGTTGGTTCCTGGTGGCTGTGTGACCGTGAGGCTGCTATGTGAACTAGAAGTTCTGGTACTCGGGTCGTCGGATGCCATCGCAGATGGCTTTGGAGGATAGCCATATGTTGGTCGAGCAACGGATCTGGGTCTGGAACCGGATCGGTTCTGGGACGCCTTTCTCTCTTGCCGCGAGTCTAGCTCCGATCCAGCCCGCCTCCGGGTCACTTTCGACAGACCACGAGCATCGGGCTGAGTGGGTGTTGTTGGCTGCCTGGATACTGGCGAGTGTGGTGATGCTGGCTTAAACTTGACTCGTCGGCTGCTTCCAGCCTTTTCTTTGGTCTTGCGACGTTGGTATATCTGTGAGTACGACGAAGATAACGAGTTCCCGCCGACGGGTGGTATCGGAGGAAGCGCATCAGGTTCATCGGGTTCGGGGTTATGCGGCTGGCCTCTCCTATGCAAGGTTTTGCGAGAGTTCTCCTGCCCATTACGCTTTTGGGGTTCTGCTCTCGAGAGAGACCGCTTCGGATGAGCGACAGTGCCTGGGATGCTATCGGGGTGCTTTGACGCTGCTTGCCTCGGCCGTCTTCTGGTTCGCGGAGCGAGGCTCTTGACGCTGTGCCCAAGCGAATGTGGGGTTGAGTCCGGCTCATGAGCAGACGAAATGCGCTGCCTTGACTCGAGCGACTGGGAGCGCTCCTCCTCTGAGCAAGATCCAGGTTCTGTCGGAGGCGAGACATCGTGGGGACTGGCTGTTGGCTGGCACAGAATCGGTGGTAGAACTGGACGTGAGGGCGGGAGGGTCTGCGGCTTGGATTGTGAGCGGGTGGAGGGTACTGGGTCCAGAGTCTTGGACCTCTGCATTTGCATATAGAGCTGACGAGTCGGCACGGACTGCTGGACCCGGGCCTCGGCAAAGAACCGACGGAGACGGCCCGAGTTCCCACGCGCCGCCTCTGGCTCGGACGGAGAGATCGAACGGGACAGTGTATCTGCATGTTGAGCGACACGGCCCTCAAGGCCGCTATCGAATGTTCGAATGTCGTGATGGTCAGAATATGGTTCGTCGATGAGCCGCCTTCCACGTCTGGGTCCGCTTGAGCGTCGATCACGGGCTCTGTTCCGGCTCTGACCACGACTACGACTGCGACTGTGACTGCGTTGCCGATCGCGACTATGATAGCGCTCTCGATCCCGGCTGTGGCGAGAGTCTCGACCTCTGTGGCTCTGGTGCTTCCTGCTGAAGGACCGGCTTGGTCCTCGGCTTGAGGGCCATCGAGCTCTTGTCTGCGTGCTGGCACTTCGAACGGCTGGCCGTCCGACTTGCGGCAGGAAATGCCGCCACGATCGAGCCGGAGACCCGCCCGCTGCGAGGGCCTGAGCCTGGGCCCACTGGTCGTTGACGAGCTTCTGGATTGCTTGGAGGGTCTGGAACCGCTGGCGGAGCTCTTGCTCAAACTGCCTCCTGATGTCCAGAATCGAGCGGCGGCGGGTGGGAGCGCCGATGTCGATGAGCGAGTATCCATAGGGATAGGGCAGCGGACTCGGACTCTGGCTCGGAGCCCAAAACTGATGGTTGAGCGTTGGGTCAGGTGCAAGTGCAGAACCACCGACAGGATCAGTGGGACGGCGATATAGAGGAGGATGAGGGCTGCGAGTATGATGGTTAAGCAAGGTCAAGAGTGCTTTTCGTTGTTGTTTCAGGGAGAATTGGCCCTGGTCGGGATACTCTGACATTCTGCATTTGGGATGCGAGTTGTCCTGGGGCAGCCGGCGGACCCAGTCAGTGGTTATGTTGGGGCAGTATTTGGAGAGCCGCGAATTGAGTGGAGGTCAAGTGCTCCCTGCGAAACGAGGCCGAATGGGAAGCGAATAGATGCAGCGATGGGAGAGCTCTAATGATTTGGGCGGATGAAAAGTGATGCATTGTCGCGCATGACGTCACTCCTATCGACATATCTTACATCGACCCACAATGAAACGGGACACTCTGTTTTAAGCCAGGGCTTTTCTGGCCATGAATGCACACTCGTCCGTCATGACCAAGTTCGCTCACAATGCGTGAGTGTCGAGCGAATCGATCGCCCGAGTGTTTTGATATCGAGAACTCGTGAGGCTGTCGAGATGATCAAATCTGTGCACCACGCTCCCGCATCGCGATATCAACGCCGGTCGATCGCCGCCACTTGTGCCCGGTGTATTCAAGACGATGCTTCCCGAATCAACGAACACAAAGATGCTGCCAACCAGGACTGGAAAAAATCGCACAGCCTGCCCACAGCAGCCAACAGATGATCATGGGGCTTGGGTCGGTGAAGCCAGAGAAAGGGGCGGTCTGTCTTGCCCTGAACTAGTTGTGTTTGACCGCATGGACTGCACAGTCAAGCCCGTGACTACAAGCCGCCATGGTAATAAGGTGGTGGGGCATCATGGAATCCTCCGTGGTATAAGTGTGAACTGGGGTCGGCATAAGGTTGCTGGCATAATTCGAAGTAGCTTAGTTGCGTCCGGTGATTGTAGACATATCTGTACGACTTGACTTCTCCAAAAGAGTCCAGTAATGCTTTCGCGGGTGGGTACTGCAACATTTTGTCTCGAGAAAGCAGAGCTGTGGCTCGGTCACGATCGAAAGGAACGCCTTGGCCAAGGTAATAGCACTTTCCCAATACAAAGGTTGCCAGAATATCATCACGGCTCGACGAGAATTCCAGAAACTGTATCGCGGTACGAAACATGTCGCTATGTCCAGCTTTGTTTGGAGTCTGGATTGCGGTATTGTAGTGGTACAAAGCAAGTTGGGTGGCAGCGGCCGTGCGTCTCATGTCGCTTGATTCGTTGCTCTGAAACAGGTCATTGAGAAGAGCGACCGCCATTTCGTTGTTCATTGCCGTCCCGGTCCCTTGCATGCAACATATTGCAGCGAAGAACTTTCCAAACCAATGATAGCTGGATGCCAATCGTGCCCAGTCGAAGAGGAGCTTCAAGATGTCGGGCGACACGGCGCTGATGTTTGCTTTGACTTCAGCTCCTTCAACCTCAACCTCATTCCATAATGAAGGTGGAGTTGAAGGAAGTGCATACATGCACCATCGATAAATAAGGCGACTCACGATGACCAGCATCTTCAGGTGGGTATTTTGAGTCGTTAAACTGTGAAAATGTCGGGTGCGAGGAATCTTATCAATATATATCGCAATATCGCGTAAGTACTCGACACGCTAGACATTGCCCAGCGCTTTGACCCAATGACTCGCACCCTGTACTCCATAGAATGGAAGGGATGCGTCGTTCTTCATTTTCAGGCGTTTCGACAACAGTTGGCAGGAGTCCAAGACAACTAATCGAGTGGTGAGGTGCGGCATCCGATACTGACCGTTGAACGCATGAAACTGAACCGGACCATCGCTTCAGCATATTGAAAGGGGATTTTTCACTACATTCGAAAGAATTGCCGATCATTTTCATCCAGAAAAGCGCAATAAAGCACTTGACGTCGCCTGGTAACAATACGATAACAATGATCGAAATGAGTCAAACAGCATCCACGCAGATATATGCGTTGATTATGTCAGATTCGCAGATGATGAGGGTCATCCACACATTCTGAGGTATCAGGCAACAGAAGTACGTTTGCACTACACATTCTTCACCCCGGATCCCCCAGCGGCAGTTTCATTGCGATGGCCAAGGTATATGACTACAAGGCAGCGGCGAGTTACTCTGTCTCGCAAAACGACAGGGTGGATTTCTACTTGGAGTCATACCTGTCGTGTTGGCACCTGTGGTGCCACTAACTTTGCAATCTCTCTCAATTACCTGATACCGACCCAGCACTTTATTGGTCAGGCGACTCCAGAGTGAATGGTCCAGTTTCGGACGGCGATTCAAAAATGCCGTGACATTTCGAAGAAGTGTGTCTGGATCGTTGTCGTAGAGGTCTTTCACTTCTTTTGGAGTTGGTATATACTCTGATGTTTCAGCCTCCTCACGAGATGCAGCAGCGGGATCAGAAGAAGGTATGAGCTCCCCTGAGAGCGTCAGAGTCGCAACAGCAATCTGCTGTTTAAGTTTAAGGCAAACAACGACGTCAGTGAACGGGTATGCATTGCCACCTTACAAGCTGTCTGATGGCACTATAAAAAGCAAGTTTGGGTTGTGTATTACCTGGGCAGTCGGTACTTTCTCAGCGTCGTCTGCACGATCAATGTCGGTGCTGACTGCTTCTTTGCCGATCTCGGGCAACGTTCCTTCTCCGATCTCACCAACAACGTTGATTGGAGTATCGACATATTCGGGACGATTGCCATCCGGTGCGGTTGAGTCAACCTGAATGCCGCTCCGAGTCGAGGCATGGGCTGGTGGTGGATCGACTGACTTTGTCTCCGCAACATTCGGCTCAATACGAGCTGCTTGTGTGGTTCGAGGTACTTTGGTAATCATTGATCCATTGTCCGCGTGGGTGGCCCTCGAGTGAGTTTTCTGTCGCGAGGCAGAGCGGGTGATTGCCATTTGTGTGAGCAACGGTACCTGGCAAAACAGCGAGTCCGACAGTCCCTTACCTGGGTGCACGGCGCGAGGGCGTAGTCAATTGTATCATCGGAACTGTCTGTATCGATATCCATGGGCTGCTCGTCCGGGTCGGGAGGCTCGTCAAATCCCGATGCCATCGAGTTTCCCTTCATGATGCATGAAGTATCCTCCTGTCGAGGGGGCATGATGCATCTGTTGGGCGCCTTGTCCGTGATGGGGGGACTGTGGGACATCATTTTATGTTGAGGGGGATGCTCTGTAGCTTGGGGATCAACAGTGTTGAGGTTGAGGGAATCAACACCTCCCTCGGTAGGAGTGCCATCGTCGATAGGCTGTTGAAATAACACCAAACAACTGCAGAGTTGGTTTTACAGTGACAGCATTATCTGCCGTTATATCTTTGGGACAATCGGAATCACACTTACCAACAATGTTAGCTCGCCATTTTCGATTTTCTCGAGGATGGATTCAAGTTGTTCAACGACATCTTTGATCTTGGGACGATTACTTGCCTCGAAATCCAGACATCCACGAAGCAGGTCCACGAGAGGCTTTGGCATGCGTGGATTGAAGTTGAATTTCGGCTTCATGTCAGGAGGGATGCTAGGGTTGGTGAAGCCATCGAATATCTTGGCAAGGGTATCATATGCTACGACGGGAATGACGAAATAAAGGTCGCCAGTATGATTTGAAATCACGGTGCACAGCATTCCAAAGTCCCAAACGTCGGTTGCCTTTGTTGCCCATTGCTGCGCGATGGACTCCCCCAAGTCAAATGACAATGGGGGAGTTGAAGGGGGATATCGTTTTCTGGCAGCGTTGCGCCTTTCTTCAAAGGAACTTCCGAACCCGGTCAAGAGGCAGCGGTGGTCATCGGTTACGATGACGTGTTCCGCGCTGATATTGGCGTGGATGATCCCTCGGGTATGCATGTGTCGGATGCCCAGGGCAACATCCAGCATCATGCGGGTGGTCATCCGGAGTTGCTCGTGCTCGGTTTTCGTGGCTGCAATACCTTTCCAGTGTCGAACGAAATAGTTGATCATGCTTCCATTATAATACAGTCGAGTGACGATTTTGAGCTCGCTGTCGTCGCAGTTCCGCTGGATCAACTGAGCCATCATCGGAAGGATTCTCTCGTGATACGAGGGTGAGTCTCGGGTTTTCTGGTTCGAGAGTTTCACCCAGACGTAGTATCCGTTGACGAAACGCTGGCGGCAATCCTCAACAACGCATTCGGGATCAGCGATGGCCTGGCACCCGGGATACAGGGGGCGCTTGATGACAACATCCACTGGGCTGCTTGTCCCTGGTGGCGTGTACCTTCCAAACGAGATCTCCGAAACATTGGTAAGGACTGGAGGTGGGAAGCATTCTGGTCGATATTCGATGTCACTATTGAAGCAGCTCGAATAGGTGTCGAGGCGACGCCCTCGCATCAACGAATAGCCCTTGGCGATGGGCTCTGGCTGAATCACGGCGCGGCGGGATTTGGGCATGATCTGACAATGAAAATCACAGCCAGCGAGTGAGCACGCAGCCTTCTGGGATCGATCCGCACGACTCGATGACTCCATGCATGAGTCAATCGATGCAGCCTTGGGCATGAGCGAACGTACAGCTGGCTGGTGGGATGTCGTGGGGAGCGGGATGGAGGCTCAACGACAAAGGCAGGGAGGACGACGATTTGAGAGGCGGTGCTGTTGCTGGAGCTTACGTAAGCGGCCAAAATGAATGGGACATCCTGTTTTGAGCCATGACATGGTTTTTTCTGACCTGAATACACACACACACCTACTCATTGCAACCATGGCCAAACACAGCACCCTCGATTCCCGCATCGTTGCACTGCGACCGGTGGTCTTCACTCGGAGGCTGCCAAAGTGATCTGTTCTATTTCTTATGGCATAGTTAGACGCATGCCATCACATACTACGTTGACATATGGGTTGTGGGCAGGTGTCCCATTTCCCCCTGAGTACAGTGTACGTTAGTGGCAGCAGGATCGGACACCACCGGGCAGAGCGAACACGGACGGAGGAGGGTGCATGGTGTGTCGGGACAAGTGCGGAGGGTGTGAACGCTCCCCAGCCAAGGTATAATGGTTCTTATTTTAGAACTGGCATGCTGTGAGGTTGCTTGAGAACTTTTGCATCATATCCAATGCAGTGGTATCACCAAGCTCCGTCGCCTTTGCAAAGAGCATGAATGCTTTGGCGATGTCGACTTTTACGCCCCACCCCTTCTGATAGCACACTCCCAGTGCATATGCCGCCCCCGGATGATTTTGATCAGCGGCCTTCCGATACCACTCGAATGCTGTTTCGAAGTTCGCGATGACGCCTTTGCCGAGGTAGTAGCAGCTGCCGAGACGATATTGAGCCATTGGATCGCCTTGATTTGCGTCAATCGTGGATTGTTTGACGGCAGCATCGTAGTATTTGATGGCCGCCCCGCAGTCCTTTGTGACTCCACAACCATCGTAGTAGCACTTGCCAAGATGGAAGCTAGCCTCGGCATTTCCCTGTTCGTGCGCGGCAGTGTAGTAGTCGATCGCTTGGGTGTGGTTTTGTTTCGTCCCCAGACCATTGTGGTAGCAATGTGCGAGCTGAGTCTGTCCGGCAGGATCGTTCTTGAAAGACGCCTTAGTAAACCACTCGAATGCCAGTGAGTGGTCTTGAGCGACGCCTTGGCCGTATTTGCAGCAGTATCCCGTCTGCACCTCTGCGTCGGCGTATCCCTGAGCAGCCGACTTGCTGAACCATTCGAACGCACTATCGAAGCTGTGGGCGACGCCGCGACCAGTGTAGTAGCAATTCCCGAGTCGGCACTGGGCCTCTGGGTGACCTTTTGCTGCGGCTTTGGTGAACCACTCAAAGGCCTTGGAGTCGTCGTTGGCGACGCCCTCGCCAATGTAGTAGCAATGCCCGAGGCGGCACTGTGCATCAAGATGCCCCTGGTTAGCGGCCATCGCGTAGAATTCGGTTGCTTTGATGCGATCTTGACCGACTCCCTGACCTTTGCTGAAGCACACGGCGATGCTGTATTGAGCATCAGCGTCTCCTTGGTTGGCGGCTTTGGAGAACCACTCGGCCGCTATCGAGTCGTTTTTCGCCACCCCTTCGCCATTGCGGAAGCACCAAGCCAACCTGAGCTGCGAAGCGAGATGGCCCTGCTCCGCCGCTTTGCTGTACCAGCTAATTGCCTTGACATAGTCTTGGATATTTCCTTCGCCACGACAGTGGTAGTTTCCGAGGGTGTGCTGGGCCTCAATGTGACTCTGCTCGGCCGCTTTCGTGTACCATTCGATCGCCTTGTTGTCGTCTGGTTCGACACCCTTACCGGTACCATAGACACAGCCGAGGTCATACTGTGCTGTGGCATTTCCTTGCTTTGCCGCCTTGCTGATCCATTCAAAGGCTGTCGTGTTGTTCTGGTTGACACCGATGCCGTCCCAATAGCAACGCGCAAGTTCCCGCTGGGCCTCGGGGTGGTCTTGTTTGGCTGACTTGGCGAACCATTCGGCCGCTTGAAAAGGGTCTTGATCGACACCGAGACCGCGGGCGTACCGCTGACCGAGCTCGTATTGGGCCTCAGAGTCATTCTGGTTAGCGGCATCGCGGAACCACTTGGACGCCTCAATCTCATTGACTGAGACCCCCTTTCCGGAGTGGTAGTAGCGTGCGAGTGCAATTTGGGCTTGGACGTGGCCATTTTCTGCAGCCATCGATGCCCAATTCGCCGCTTTTGTTTGGCTCTGGGTGACACCCTCTCCAGAAGCAAAGCAAAGGCCGAGACGATGCTGAGCTTTGGAGTCGCCCTGGTCAGCGGCCTTGGTGAACCACTTCACAGCCGAGGCGAAGTGCTGGTCGGTGGTCCACTCATACTTGTAATAATAGTGGCCGATTTCGTGCTGTGCTCCTGCGTGGCCCTGTTCGGCGGCTTTGAAAAACAGGGCGATGGCCTTGAGTTGATCGTGGGGTATTCCTGGGCGCTGGCTGTAGTAGAGGCCTGCTTCGTATTGGGCGTCTTTGCTGCCTTGATCGGCAGCTTTGACGTACCACTCGACGGCTTTTGAGACGTCTTTGTCGACTCCTTCACCGTCTCGGTAGCATTGGGCCAACTTGAGCTGTGCTTGGAGATAACCTTGGGTGGCGGCTTTCGTGAACCACGCGATGGCATTAGAGAGAGACTTTCGAAAGCCGTCGCCGCGGGCGAAGCGGTTGGCGAGTTCGTATTGAGCGCTGGCATCGCCTTGCTTTGCGGCGTCGCTGCAGAGTTCGGCCAATTTTGCGGCGTCATTTTCGGGTTCCTTACGTTTGCGCAGGTTGCGAGCTGGACTGGGGGAAGGTGGCCCCTCGATGTGGGAGATGGCGGGAGGATTGGCAGAGGGAGCAGGCGAGGTTGTGGGAAGATCAACGGGTCGGGGACCCATCCGAGCAGGCTTACGATTTGGTGTGGGCGTGGGTGAAGGTGGCGTTATCTGCTGATGGATCAACGGTGCGGTGTGGGATGTGTCGTTGGATCGACTGCCACCGCCGATCGCCATATCCGCATTTAAACCAGGGCGACAGCGGTCTGTCTCTGCTAGCGGCGGAGGAGGAACTCTTGGTATGGGTGGTGGCGGTGGTAGAAGCTGGACTGCCGCAACCGGGGTGTCGGATAGTTTGGTTCGCTTCGTCGCTGGCGCCGATGGCTGAGGAGTTGCTTCGGGAGGACTCGTCTTATTTCCCGTGGCGTTGCCGGTGGTGCTTGGAGCATCGCTTCTCAGGACCGGTATTGCTTGTTGAGAAGGAGCGTGGTAAGCGGCAACCGGCATCGTACGATAAACCACCGGATGATCTTTCTTCATTGGTATATCACTTCCAGATTGCGAAACACTCGGGATATTGCTTGAGTTTGCTCCTCCCATTGCGACGATCTCGTTTGGTTTGGCTGGGTGGGTGTCGATGCCAGCAAGCCGAGGAAAGCGGTCGGAAAGGAGCGATGGTCGTCAGAATGGGCTGGCGAGAGGGGTTCGTGAGCGGAGCGGTGAAATGGCGGCAATGGCTGGCTCCCTCGTGATTGGGCCTGTGATTGGGAATTCGCAACACTGGGCGCATCGAGTCCTTCCAACCGAACTGGCTCCAGGCACTTGGAGCACACTTGCGAGGTGTTGAACTCGTTCGTCGAGACTACCTTGACGCTTCCATGATGGTGATTGGGACGGCGTCGGTGGTGCTCGAATTGCTCAAAGTACCGAGCAAACCGCTGCCTCCGAGGGCTGGATGCATAGCCCTTGCCCTGTCGCCATGATGCATTGCCAAAGGCGATGACCACATCAGTCCGTATCGGGGCGTGCTTCAGGACGGCCTTGCACATCTTGTCGACGGCCACTTGGCGTCTCTTGTGGTCTGTGAAGCGATGCTTGCTCGCCGGAAACGAGGAACACACCATGTGACAGACTCTGGTTGGGCGGCAAGCTGATATGGAGCTGATCAATGTCGAACCCCAGGAACACCGACCTGTATCCCCCATCCGACACAGCTCATTGACCTGGATGCTGCAGCGGAGCGAGTATCGGGGGCCAGCCGCCAAGCAGACCCCAGTAAACTGGAGGAGTCTGTGCCGGACTCCCAACCAGAGCACGAAGGAGTGGCAGGGGACCCCGTCCTCAGAGGAGCCATCGTCGGTTCCCAATGAATGGTTCCGACGCAGCAGAAGGAGTGAGCGAACTGGCCACGCTCACAGTAGCATCCTTCAACATCGATGGCCTAATCAAGAAACAGTACCTCATCGAAGAAGTCATGCAAGACCTAAGCATAGACTTTGTCGCTATCCAGGAAACCAAGCTGCAACCTGTTAGCCAAAACCCCCTGGAGCGAATCACATGCCACGAGTCGAGACGAACCGACCGACACGGAGGCGGCATCGCACTCATCGGAACCACTCTGCAAGACCATTGTTTGGCATTCTGGTGTCTGGGAAGTATGATGGTATTGGAGTTTGCTTGTCTGCTCCGATTGCCGGCAGGCTCATGGTATTTTTGTGGATGAAAAGAGTTGGCCCTTTGTAGGAAATTCGACAACATGTTTACATGTTGAGGGTCTTGAGTCTATTGGTGGCATCTCCATGGCCTTGGTCGGCGGCCTTGCGGAGCCAGAAGACAGCAGTGTCGATGTCCTTTGCGATCCCGCGGCCATCAAGATAGCTCACGCCGAGACAGCCCTGTCCGTATCGATTTCCTTGCTCGGCCGACCGGCGATACCACTCTGCTGCCTTGGCAACATCCTCAGCGGTTCCGTATCCGTTGGAATAGCACACACCAACCTTCCACTGCCCATACGAGTTGCCTTGGCGTGCCGACTCGCTGAACCACTCAAGTGCCAATTGCTTGTCCTCGGATATTCCTCTGCCGTAGAAGCAGCACCTTCCAATCCATACTTGGCTGTCGCTGTGACCGTCGATGGCGAGCTGCTCAAACATACCCGCCGCCTTCTTTGCATCCTCCGCAGTTCCGAGTCCGTTCATCAGACACACAGCCATCAAGTGCTTGCAGAGCCAGTCTCGCTCCGATCCCAGCTCACACAGCTGGTGGAACTTGCGAGATGCGGGTGAGTGGGAGCTGCCATGATTGAATCCAGCCAGAGAGTTGTCTTCTTCCAGAGGGAAGTCCTTTGACTTGCTCTCTCGGATGAGCTTGGCTCCCTCTTCCTGAGATCGCTGGGTGCCCCGGCCCAGATAGTGCATCCATCCGACCATGTGAGTGGCGATGGGTTTGATGATCGGATCGGTGGACTGGATGCTGACTTCCTGCCAGCGGTTGAAGGCATCGATGTCGCTCGGCTCGACACCACGGCCGATGAACGAGAACCATGCTTGCAGGAACACAATGTGGAGTCGACCGTCTTCGCTGCCTTGGTTTGCTGCCTTGGAATACCACTCGATGGCTGAGTCAAAGTCTTGATCGACACCTTCGCCATTCTCATAACATCGTCCGAGAGCGACTTGGGCCCGAGGGATTCTGCGATCCGCAAGACTGCGGTACAGCTCGACGGCCTTTGCGTGGTCTCGGTCGAATCCAGAGCCGCTGAGGAAACAGCCAGCCTGGTAGAACTGTGCCATTGGATGGCCAGAATCGGCTGCCGACTTGAGCCGGTGGATAAATTGCGGTTTTATGGACGAAAACGCACGGTAGTCCACCGCCCGCACCTCGTGAAGCTCGATTTGCAGGACCCTGGCAAGGAGATAGGAGGCAGATGCGTTTCCTTGGTCCGCCAGAGCAACGAGCCAGGACTGGCTGCCAGTGTCTTGGTTCTCGCAGTGTAGCGAGAGCGCAATCGTCTCGCTGGGGGTCAGGCCGATCTGCAGCGATTCGCCAGAGCGACAGAGCTCGGCCTTCTGACACCAGGTGTGGAAACGAGCGAGCTTGAAGCTCAGCAGAGGGCGGACTCGTTTGCAAACTCGGAGGAGGGTCTTGATGGTGTTCAGGTCGAGGGCAAGCTGGAAGCTGTCGTTGCAGCACACGACGGCGAAGATGTCTGGGCTGTGTTCGAGTGAGAGTTGGGCCATGTCGAGAGCGGATGGATGGGCCGGTGGTGGTGGTGGTGGTGGTGTGCAGCGAGGCAGATGGCGATGCGATCGGAATGAACAACCCGACCAGCCAGCCAACCCGATCCATCGCCAATGCCCGCCGCGCCATGATCGATCTGCCCTCCGTTTTGCCGTTTTGCCGCCGTCCCCTTGCTTCCCAAAGCTCAGCCACCCAGCAATTTGCCGTCGATATCCTGGTCCGTTGCCTCGCCACCGAGACAGGCCTTTGGATATATTTGCGAGTGTCGCCGCACTCCCCGCCAACTCAACCCGGTCCAACCTCCAACATGCTTGTCGACACCTCATCGCTGCTCGACTGGAAGCAACTCTCCTCGGCGCTCTCGCAGCAATCTCTGCTGTCGATCGCTGGCACCTCCTCGCTGGTCGCTGCTGCCTATTTTGGTGGCCGCCTCTTCTATCGCCAGTACCTTCGCTTCCACGACGAACCCCCTCTGATCTCTGGCTGGATGCCATTCATGGGCGCCGCCTTGACCTTCAGCACCCTCGGACCCGAGCTGCTCCAGACCCTCCGCAAGACCCACGGCGAGTGCTTCACGCTCTTTGTTGCCGGTCGCCGAATGACCTTTGTGCTGGACCCATTCACCCATCCGACCATCACCAAGAACACCACCGACTTGCGCTTCCGCGACGTTGTCGAAGAAATCGACGACAAGGCCTTCCTGACCCCGCCGCACGCCCTGATCCACATCCACGACGATGTCCACATCCAGTACAAAAAGTTGCTCCACGGCGCTGCACTCGACCAGATGATGGTGTCCTTCACTGACCAGCTCAAGGCCAAGCTGCAGGCCGTTCTCCAGGACCTGCCTCGAGCAACAGGTCCGGATGCGCAGTGGACGCAGCTGCCCGGCTTCTTTGAGTTCTGCCGCAAAATCTTCTTCCATGCCACCACCCGGGCCATCTTTGGTGAAGCCGTCGACCCCACCATCCTTTACGACGGATTTGCAGAGTTTGACCGCAACTTTGCTGCTCTGATGTTTGGCGGGCCCGAGATCTTTGTCCAGCATCTGCGTCGACTGCAGCACCAACTCGCCAGCGACCTCAGGAAGGCCTATGACTCGGAAGACAACACCAACATCAGCCAGATTGCCAAAGCTCGCCACGAGACCTTTTCCCGCTCGCTCTCAACCATCCAGCATGACCAACTGCAGTTTTCGCTGCTGTGGGCCGCTGCTTCGAATACCCTGCTCGCTGCTTCGTGGACTCTGGCGCTGATCGTCAGCAACCCCGAGTGGCACGCCGCCGTCAAGGCCGAGATTGCCGCCGTCCAGCTGAAGCAGTCCCAGAACGGCTCCAATTCCAAAGAGCCCTCGGCCAGCGCAGACGACGCCAAAGCCACCGAGGAGTCGCAGTCGGACTACCCCATTCTCATGGCATGCATCTCCGAGTCCCTGCGGCTCACTGCGATCGGCCTCTTCAACCGCATCGCTGCCAAAGACCAGATCCTGACCATCAAGTCGACCCAGCAGCAGTTCCGCATCCGCAAGGGCGACACCATTGCCTGTGTGCCCTATGCAACCCACAGAGACGCCGAGGTCTATCCCAACCCCAAGAATTTCGATCCCAGTCGCTTCCTAGCCTCCTCCGACACCAAGTTTGTCAAAGACGGCCGTCCCGTGCGCAACAACCTCACTCCCTTTGGTGGCGGCCCGTCCATGTGCCCTGGCCGAGTCTTTGCCCGCCGCGAGATCCAGCACTTTGTCATCCAGTCGCTGCTCCATGCCGACTTTGAGCTGCTGCAGCCCGTGCCCGAATTCGACACCCGTCCTGACTATGCCATCCTGCCGCCGCAGCATGATATTCCCTTCCAGCTCCGTGTGCTCTGAGCCAGTGCGCACAGCAGCTTCGGCCAATTCATAATCCTCATATGAGCTTGAATACACTCTGATGGCCGCAACATTGCCCAGCGATCGACTGTGTGGGCTTGTGAGTGATGATTTCGAGATGCACTTCGCCTCAGCGTCGTGGTCGTCACGATGTGTTGCTCGTATAGAATTAGTTTGGGTCGTATTTGCCCATACCACCCATGAGTTCGACCATTCATTCCTCCACCACCCCAGTTGGTCATGGCGATGATCAACATCTTGAATACTATCTCCAGTGCACTCCAGAAGTGGCTCAGTCGGGATGGGCGATACGAGCGATGCAGTCAATCGAGAAAGAAACGAGACAGGCCTTGGTGAGCAAGCCGTGTGATTGTTTCCTTCCTGGTTGGCAATCTCATTGGTTTCGTTGGCTTGGGGGTGCATGGTCTTGAATACACTCGGTCGATTCCCTGTGTCGATGTGGGAGTGCGGTGCATTCACTCGACTTCTTGACAGTTCCATGGTTTCTCGATATCAAGATACTCTGCGTTCGAGTCGCTTGAATCGCCGTGGCTGGCTGGTGTCTTTCGCTTGCGAGGCGCCATCTGAGCGAGAAAGAGGCGGCGATGGCTGGTTCTGCCCTTGGGCAAGAGTGCGAAAATCGAGTGTGGCGAACGGTCATGGTCAGTGCGCACGGGTGCTGAGAGACAAACATCAATCAATGCTCAATTCGGGTCTTGTTTTGTATTGGATCGTCTCTATGCTTACATAACGAGGATCGATTCGGATGTCGAGTTGTCGCTATCGGATCATCCAATACTTCTCTCGATCGATCAACATCAGCGATGGATATGGAGCAGCATTGTTGTATTGAATGGATTGAATTCCAAAACCACATCACTCGGCCAAAGTCGCTTCATTGGAATCACTCTGCAAGAGTATCGTTTGACATTCTGGTGTCAGGGATGGTGGTAGTATTGTGGTTTGCGTGGCTGCTCTGGCAACAGGTTCGCCGAGGATGGCATGGCTGTTTGGGATGTGGCACTCGAGTCCAATTCGGGGATCAAGGCCATCTGCCGAGACCGTTGAGGCTGTTGATGGCATCTTTGTTTCCTTGGTCGGCAGACTTGCGGTACCAGAAAATGGCGGTGTCGATGTCCTGGGGGACTCCTTCGCCATTCTTGTAGCAGTCGCCGAGCCAACATTGTCCGTACCGATTGCCTCGTTCGGCCGACTTGCGATACCACTCGACTGCCTGGGGTTTGTCCTCGGCGACCCCCGTTCCGTAGTAGAAGCAATAACCGACCCTCCACTGCCCATACGAGTTGCCTTGATCGGCCGACTTGCGGAACCATTCGAATGTCTTCTCTGGGTTCCATATTACTCCTCCGCCGCAACTGTAGCACTCTCCAATCCAGAGCTGGCTGTCGCTGTGACCGTCGATGGCGAGCTGTTCAAAAATGCCCGCCGCCTTCTTCCGGTTCATCGCGGTTCCGAATCCATGGAGCATACAGAGAGCCATCAGATGCTTGCACAGCCAGTCACGATCCGATCCCAGCTGGCACAACTTGAAGAATCTGTAGACTGCTCGTGAGTCGTACGATAGGTTGGTCCACCAAGCAACCAGGCACTCGCCCTCTCCCAGTCTGAACTCATCTGACTTGTTCTCGCAGATGATCTTGACACCCTTCTGTTGGTCGCGCACGGTTCCTCGGCCCAGATAGTGCATCCATCCGACCATGTGTGTGGCAATGGGTTTGATGATCGGGTCGGTGGATTGGGTGCTGACTTCCTGCCATTGGTTGAAGGCATCGATGTCACTTTGCTCGACACCCCGGCCGATGAACGAGAACCATGCTTGCAGGAACACGATGTGGAGACGACCGTCTTCACTGCCCTGATCCGCAGCATTGGAGTACCACCTGATGGCGGAGTCGTAGTCTTGTTCGGCACCTTCGCCACTCTCGTAGCAATCTCCAAGGGCAATTTGGGCCTCAGGAATGCCACCATCTGCAAGACTGCGGTACAATTCGATGGTCTTGGTGCGGTCTCGGTCGACTCCAATTCCGTTGCGATAACACTGGGCCAGGTGGAACTGTGCCATTGTGTGGTTTGTGTTGGCCGCTGATTCGAAGAGGCGGAAGATTTGTTGGTGGATGGCTTGCCGCTCGGACTTGTCAATGCGATCGCTATTGAGATCAATCTGGAGAGTCCGTGCCAGGAAGTACGATGCAAAGGCGTTTCCTTGCTCTGCTTGTTCGACGAGCCAGGATCGGTCGGCTGTGGCTTGTTCATCGCAATGGAGCGAGATGGCGATCTTGTCGCTCGGTGTGAGGCTGATCCACAACCGTCCATCGGGATGACAGAGTCCTGCATTCTGACACCAATTGTGAAAGCGAGGCAGCTTGGAGCTCAGGAGAGGACGGGCTCGCTTGCACACTCGCAGCAGGGTCTTGATGGTTATGATTGAGGGCAAGCTGGAAGCTGTCGTTGCAACAAATAATGGTGAAGATATCTGGGTTGTGTTCGAGTGAGTGCTGGGTGATATCGGGCATCGACGAATCTGTTCTGGCTTCAGCTTGGCTTTGGTGGGTAGGAGATGATGCTGTGGCTGGAGCAGACTCATTCATGCTGGCCATGTTGACAGGGGCAGAAGGCAGCGGGATTGGAGGCAGATGGTGATGGAGATGGACGAGAGTGTGAGAGACGAGTTGTGGCGAAGCAAGCCAACACTGGCAAGCCAAACACTGGCCATCGACAACACACACACACACAAGCCTGGCTCGATCCGATGGTTTGCTGGCTGGATTCGTTGGTGTATAAGCACTGCCACATGCACTGCCACAGACATCGAACATGGAATCGATCATGGAATCGAGCCCGCATTCTCACCGTCCAAGGCAGATGCATCTCACCCACAACACTCTCATATTGGCCATGTGTCTATTCGCAACCCACAGAACATGGCGATCCTGACTGGGAACGAAACCCGCGGCAGTGAAGAATCCATTCCAGACCATGGCCACACCGAGAGCACAGTCCCACGTCGCCCGAAGCAACCAATCCATCTGTCCCTGGGGTCAGTCCAACACTCCAGGAAACGACTTGGCCAGCTCGTTTGTGGCAGAGTATGATAAGATCCGATCACGGCGTGTTCTTCCCAAACGATACAGCGCCTCATTGTCGATTCAACGCACTGGTGATGTGGACCGGTATCCCGTTTGCTCATGTGCACCATATACCGACGGTATCATACCAGCACCGCCCCATTGCAAGTACATATATATATCACTCCTCGCCCAGGTGTCGCCCACTGCTCTGGCTCTCACCATCCCAGATCCTTTGCCATCACCCACTTCCCTCCCGTCACCCACAGTATGTCCAGTAGACCCGTCACCCGTTCCGCTCCCGATCGCCGATCCTGGTACATCTCGCCCAGCGACATCACCGACCGCTCTGCCAACCCCATCGGCCGCGGTGGCTTTGGCGAGGTCTTCACTGGCACATACTTTGGCTCCAAGGTCGCCATCAAGCAGCTCCTCGGCACCTGCAACAGCCGGGTGCTCGCTGACTACAACAACGAAATCGATATCTGGCAGAAGCTCAATCACCCACACATTCTCCCTCTGCTCGGTGCTTGCGACCAGGACGAGGATGGTAACCCGATTCCTCCCTTCATGGTATCGCCGTTCATGCCGAATGGCACACTTTGTGGCCACGTCTCTGATCCCGACGATCCTGTCTCCCTTGACGAGAAGCTCCGTCTGCTCTACCAGGTGGCCTCGGGGATGGCATATCTCCACGGCCGCCGCATCATCCATGGTGATCTCAAGGCCCTGAATATCCTCCTGGATGCCTCATTCAACGCCGTCGTCACCGACTTTGGCCTCTCCCGCACCAAACACACCTCTGCCTCGTTAAACCTGAACAAATCCAGTGGCCCGAACGGCGGAACAGACGGCTATATGGCTCCCGAGATGCTCGACGACGATAGCCCCAGCGGCACGACCATGAAGACCGACGTCTATGCCTTCGCCATCACGATATACGAAGTCCTCAACGATGCCAACCCCGTCTGGACCACGGCAAGCGGCCAGGCAATGAAACCCTTCCAGATCCTGTCGCAGCTGCTCCAGCACAAGCGTCCCAAGCGTCTCGGCGACATCCCCGATGACATCTGGGCCCTCATCGAGCGCTGCTGGGCCCACGATCCTGCCGATCGTCCCTCGTTTCCCGACATCCTTGCTGTCCTCCAGCCATACAACCGACCCGCTGCTCCATCCCAGCCCAACCGCCCCGCTGAGCTCCAGTTCGATGGCATCGACGATGTCGTCCACCTCCCTGCCTCTCTCGTCTCCCGCGCCAAGCAAGGCGATCCCGATGCATGCCTCGAAGTCGCCAAGCTCGTTTCACATGGTCTTCCCGCCCGCCACGAACACTGGAAGCTCGCCGTCCAGCTCTTCAAGGCTGCATCCGACGGCGGCAACCTCGAAGCATCGTTCCAGCTGGCCTGGCTCGCTCTCCTGGGCGAGGGAGTGCCCCAGAACGACCGCAGTGCACTCTGGCATTGGCAGGAAGTCAGCAACAAGTCCACCGACTCGATCATCAAGTCGATTGCCACGCACATGCTTGGATGGATGCACTATCTCGGCCGAGGAACCATGCGCGACGAACAGAAGGGTGTCAAGATCATCCGCGAGAACAAGTCAGATGAGTTCCTCCTTGGAGAGGGCGAGTGCCTGGTTGCTTGGTCGCTCACCTCCTCGGACTCGCCCGCAGCCCAGATGTTCTTTGATTTGTGCCGGCTGGGATCGGACCGAGACTGGCTGTGCAAGCATCTTGCGGCCATGTGTCTGATCCATGGATTCGGAACCATCCAAGACCAGACCAAAGCAGCGGGGATCTTCGAGTCGCTCGCTCGCGAAGGACACAGTCATAGCCAGAATTGGCTGGGTTGGTGCTGCTGGCGGGGATGGGGAGTGCCTGAAAACTATCCAAGTGCATTCGAATGGTTCACCAAGTCGGCCAACCAAGGCAACTCGTATGGGTATCTGGGAGTTGGCTGGTGCTGCTACTACGGAACGGGGGTCGCCGAGGACAAACCCCAGGCAGTCGAGTGGTATCGCAAGTCGGCCGAACGAGGCAATCGGTACGGACAATGTTGGCTCGGCGACCGCTACCAATATGGCCAAGGTGTTGCCAAGGATATCGTCACCGCCATCCTTTGGTATCGCAAGTCGGCGGACCAGGGCGACGAGCTGGCCATCAACGAACTCAAGAAGCTCGGCAGATGGCCTTGATCGACCAAGTTTGCGGCGATCTGGCGTTACATATGCAAGCAGACCGGGAAGGCAAGCAAGCTGGCCATCAACACCCCATTCCGAGCGATACTGAGCTTGGCAGTCGATACCCCCAATACAGTGTGATATCGATGTGATATCGGTTGCTGATTGGAAGCGAATGTCCTCGAAAGTGCATGCCTCGGGATACAATCAAGCGATCCAGGCCAGGTGATTGCCAGGGACGATCCATCCAGGAGAGCGGAGCAGCAGTTTGCCGGCTTTGGGGGGGGGATGAGGCGGGTGGATCACAGTGGATACCACTCGATGTTCCACTCCGGCCTTTTGGGGACACCGACATCGTTAGCTGATTGAAGGATAACTCCTGATGGGGAAACCTCTGGCGCACTCTTGCGCCGCTTCAAGTCCACTCGAGCTCATATGACCAGACAGGACTCGATCCCGTCGCGAACCCAGGGTATCAGGGTATCAGCGCGATCGAATGTCGTGATACAAGGTGCTGAAGCATCAGAGTGTCAGAGTGTCAGGGATCAGGACACCAGGACACCAGGGCACCAGGGTATCAGTGGGCACAAATTTGCTCATCACAGCATCGGCGGAGAGCCATGCCATGATCCGGTCCCTCCTGGTGACGATATAAACTGACCCCGGCCAGTCCAATCGCCGTTCACACCATCTCCACTCCGACGCCAAACACGCAGAGATCATCGCCTTCGAGGTTGGTCCTGGCGACTCTGGATTGAGTCTTTGCTTGTTTCGCGGATGATGGTTGAGCCTCGATCTTGGTGATCCGCCTGGCACCGGTAACTGGGCATTTGTGATACTCGCCAGCACGATTGCTGTGATGACACTGATCTGGATCGATATGACATCCAACGCAGCAGAATGAGAACAATCATCCTTGTCGGCAAGACGGGCCTGGGCAAGACAACTTTTGCCAACTATCTCGCTGGTTCTCAGCTCCAAACTGGCAGCGGCGTCACCAGTGTCACCGCAAACCCCCAACCCATTGTGTTCAAGCACAATGGTGTCCAGCATCGGGTGGTCGACATGCCCGGGTTTTCGGATGTGAGGATCAACAGCAAAGAAGCAATCACAGATGAAGTCATCCATCGATGGATCCTCCAAGAAGTCGTCAATAACGAAGTCGTTGGGATCGTCATGTTTCTGAGCCAGGAAGATGTCCTCGGCGCTCGACTGAGCAAGGAGTTTGTTGCGATATCAGAAATCATGATGACTCGCTTCTCCGGGTTTGAATCCATGTGTTTCTTTGCCATCTCGGGCAAGAATATGATTGGCGGCATGGGCGATTTCATCAAAGCAGCAATGACTGTGGTGACCACGGGAAAGTTGCGAATCATGGGACTGGGTCCCGACAACTGGGCTCGATGCAAGAAGAAAGACTTTGCCCGAGTCAAAGACTGGTGTTTGAAGCGCTTGCAGGCATCCGAGCCCCGCCTCGTCCCAAGAACCACGGTCGACCTCTGCAAGCGGTGCGGACTCAGAGCCGATCCTCTCTTGATCGACGGTCCCTGCCGATACCACCATGAGTCGGGGGAACTCGTCCATGGTGAGAAAACCCATCGTACTCATCCCCAATGCGTCTCCAACACTCATCGAGGCAATTGGAAGTCGACTATGCTCAACATGTGCAAAGGGCCTTGGTCCTGCTGCGGCTCCAAACAACAAGAGAGTGTGTGCACGAAAATGCACTTTCCTTGCTGTGGTCGGGATGAAAAGTCCCAGGGATGTCAAGAGATCTGCAACGATTGCGAAAAGCAAACGAATCAGGAAGGGTGTCAAGGGTCTTGCCAGAACTGCAATCAGTTCATGACCAAACCTGGCTGCGAATCCCATGATGAGCACGACTGGAAAGGCGACATTGTGCCCTTCAAACTTCCGATCGAACACGAAATCATCAACGTACCCGACCTGAGCGAGGATGAAGTTGACGCATTCGTCGATGAGCATCCAAAGTCTGACGATCAGGACTGGTATACATTCTCTGAAAAGATATTCGTTCATATGGCGATTTGGAGGAAGGGTCCAAAATCCCCGGTCGGATCCGAAGATGAAGGTGGAGACTCACAGCTCGTGCTGCATCGTTGATCATTTCCTGTTTCAGCACTTTCCATTCCCATGTTGATCCAGCAGTTGTCAGGGTCCCAAAGCCACTGACATCTCGCACTTGAGCCTGTTGATAGCTTTCCCGCAGTCTTCCAAAGCAGATCGAGACAGTTTGCTCGATCGAATATATTCAGTGCTCCATATTCAGATCCCATCGAGTCCAGCTACTGAGGCTTATCTTCTCGCCGATGGCCTTTTAGTCTCAAGCGCCATCGGGATATGCCCCCCTAGCACAATGACCTCTCTTGAAGAGCTCTCCCCATCCATCCCAGCTCCCCAACAAGCCCAGCTACCACCCCACAGACGCCTTCCACAGATTCCGGTATCTGCAGCCTCACCTAAGCAACACCCCGATCGACTCGTATTCCCGTGTGCTCGATTTCCCTGAGTTGGTCTTTCGTCGAGCTGTCCTTGGTGTTTATTGTCACAGCATGTTAATGCTTGCTGGATGTCGTGCTGCCTCTCGAGCAGACCATTCGAAATAGCACCACAAATGTCAATCTCTTGCCACGTGCTTGATCAAATATCCGAGGGATCAAGAACGATTTGTGCTCTCGCGAGCGTCTCTTTGGCAAGCCCATCCTGGATCTGCTCCAGAGCTTTGCTTGTTGGAACCTCGAAGGGCTCACTAGCGTCCCGGCAGAGGGTTAGAACACTTGCAATGCAACCGAATCTCTCATTCGCAGGAAAATAGCGCAACTGCGTGCTCTCGTTCTCACCTTTCGTCCGGAAAGTCGATGGATGAGACACAAAGTGCTCCTCGCGAAGTACCTGTGGCCAAGGCCAATTAGTACTGCAAGCCATCAGCAGGCCGGAGTCTGGCGTGTCGGCTGTGGACATGCAAAGTCTCGATCGATTCGACTGGGCACTTACTCGATATGAATGCACTCAACCACTCGTGGCGATCCCGGACGTTGGGAAACTCGTAGACCACCGGGATGCCGAGAGATGCACAGACACCTGTGATCATCTTGAGCACAGTGCCAGGAAGAACCGTTGTCAGGGGAGCGGTCTGGAGAACAATTGTGCCAGACGAGTCCTTCTTGAGCACGGCAAAGTTGGACGAGAGGCCCTCGTAGATGTTATTTTGTGAATCGATCAGGAGCACTTCGTGAACGCCAGGGGCTTTGCTGCTCTCGAGATGGGCACGGTCGCTGGAAAGGTCGTGCGGATGAGTGAGATTACTGCGGGCTAGCACCGGTCCGCCCCCTGCTTCAGCATGTACAATTGCAGTCGCATGCACTTACAGTACCCACTGAGAGTCCTTTACCGATGCCGTTTTCCTCGGCATGCCGTAAACGGCAACTCGACAGCTCGATAGCGAGAGCTGGGGAAGCTTCTCGCAATGCGACCTGATCTCGATCTTGCCGGCCTATGAAGCAGGTTGTGGCGGTGAACAATAGGATGAGTGGGACGAGTGTGTTGTGCTGAACTAAAGGACCCAAAGCCCATGCTGCCTTGGACAGGCAAACTGGGAGAAACTGACCGGGCTATAGGTGATTAGGGCAGTGATCTTGGCTTCGCCCAAGTTTGATTCTCCAGAGTCACGGACCAGTCGGTAGTAGTGAGCCATGGACTGCCGGATGACGGGAGCGATCCAAGTCGAGTTATGCTCAGGGTTTCGCATCAGCCCGAGCGTCTTGGATACGGGAGGTGTCGCCTCTGCCGGGGCTGCATCCGCGGACTCAAACGGGAGCTGCATTCCCTGCAGCGACGTCGCCAGACGGGCCAAGTGGGCAGAAAGATCCATGATGGCATATGAGTTGACCGATCGAGCGGTTGTGTAAACGCCTGCGGCAGCGGCATGAAAGCAACCGAGTGAGTCGGGACGGGCCGTTTGGTTCAAGTTGGCCAAGGCCAAGAGACTGACGAAGACGGACGGAAGGAATAGATGGATAAAGGGCTCGGCGCTCCTCTGGCCCAGCGGCTTACCCCTCGGGCTCTGCAGCAAAAAGTCCTTTGCATTGACAATCGAGGGTTTGCTGGATACGGCGGCTGGCTCGAAGGGACGAGCGACGACACTGTCGTCAAGAACCAGCCTGGACTCGGCTGGATCGATGCAGAGCCGAGGGACAGATCCATGGGCGAATGTTTAGCTTTGCCTCACGAAATCAAAGCGACCATCGACAAAGGATGGGGTCGCAGCGGGTGCAGGGCCTCGAAGTGGGCTCGGAGCAAACGGATCCAAGCAGCCTGGCAAACCTGCGATGAAGGTGGACATGGGTCTGTGTCGAGCGCCGAGTAGGACGAGCCGACAACGGGAGGATCCGAGGAAGCAATGAAGGGTCAGATGTGGGCAGAGAGGCGGGCTCATAGCAAGTCCATGAAGATGGCCGCTCGAAAGCGGATCAGGCAGGGCTTGGGCCGCCCATCGGCAAAACACAGCGCAAGACCGATCCCGACCAGGAGCAGCACCCTGGCGCATCCATTCGCGGATAAACAGGCAGTGCCAGCTGCCAGAGCACATCAGTCGAGCATGGCGGGCCAGCGGGAGGACCTGGATCGGTCAATCCAGAACCACAGCGAGAGCCAGTTGTGAAAGAGCGATGACCATTAAAAGTGTATTCGTCGTCGGACTACTGCTCAGCTGCTAACTCGGCAGCTTGGAGCACCAGGTGTGCCCGCCGAACGGCTTCGAGCTCCAGTTCCTGCTGGATCCGATGCAGGATACTGCATTCGCTGGGCAGATCAAACACTTGGCTGGAAGAGCGGGGGCGGAAAAATGCCACCAAGAAGCGTTAGTCGGACATCTGACAGCTGAATCGAGACCGGGGGACCAGCGGGGAGCAAGGGTACTTACTTGCTCGCTGGGTCAGCAATCCTGGATATCTTGAAGGCTCCACGGGTTGTGCCTGGACGAGTACATGGGTCAGTCGGTTGAGTGCGGTCGGCCACATTGCTGTCGAGGTAAATCGAGCTATGCAGCGACATGGGTTTGTGGCCAGGATGCCAAGATCCTGTGGATACATACTCGTAAGGAATGCCGCTAGCCACGACGCTCGCTCGCTTAGCTTGGGAAACTCAAAGAGAACTGGAACTCCCAGCATCGAACACACATGGATGACCATGCCCAGGACGGTCCCCGAAAGCACATGGGAGAGCGGTGCCGTCTGCAGTACGGCTTGGCCCGATGGGTCGCGCTTGATGACGCAAAAGTTGGATATCAGGCCCTCGTAGATCTGGCCGTGCGGATCGACCAGTAAGGCCTCGGTATTTCCCGACTGGATGGCTTTCTCCAGATGGCCTCGGTCGCTGGAGACATAATGTTGCGGCGTCGCAGTGAGAGACAGCCTAGCCAAGCACGAATCGATGCCACACACCCGATCGATGCCAAATCTGTGCGCAGAGTCGAATTGCTTGTACGAATCAAAGTCGCTCGAGAGTCAGGGGAGAGACGACCTACATGACCCATTTCGAGTCCTTGACCGATGGCGAACGCCGAGGCAGCCCAAGGACACAGACTTGACAGTCGCGGGTCTGAGGCTGAACGAGTCTGTCACAGTGAGCAGTAATCCGAACCGTACCATGCTGTGGTTGGAGACATTGGCGAGAGTTGTGAGAGACAGGACATGAGAAGTAGGGGGGCGAGTGCGCATCGCCCCGATATATGCCCAGGCCGATGTTCTCGGGCAACGTGGAGCCAAGGATCTTGGCATCATCCAGAGCTCGACTGAGACAAGGGCCCACGAACCTGGTCGCAGGTGATGAGGATGGTGACCTTGCAGTCTCCAAGGGCAGTTTGACCGTGCTCTGTGAGCATGCGGTAGTATTGCAGCATCGACTCCTTCCAGACTGGCAAAATGATCTCGGCACTCCGGGCGGGATCTCGAAGCAGCTCGAGCACCGGAATAGTCCGGACTCTCGGTTTGGAAAGGGCAGGCTCGGCAAGGGCATGGCAGATCCGTTGCTGGCTCTCGGAGGCCGCTTCATGCACTATCGATGTGCGTTGCCCCAGAACGAGCGTCGAGTCGGGAGAGTTCTGGCTTGATTCTGATGCTTCATAGTCGAATGTTGTGTTCTGGACAGCCAAAGTGAGCCTCTGGATGTGAGCTGGCAAGTCCATGATGGAAAAGGTGTTGACGGACCTTGCGGCGGTGTAGACTCCTGCAGGACAGAGGAGTGGACGTTCGAATACAATCAAAAGCCGAGACTAGGATTGTGGACGACATGGGTGGAGGAATCACCAAGCGCCAGCAGGGACGAACCGTCTCGACTCACCTCGAGTGTTATCGAGGAGGAATCCCTTTGCCGAAGCGTCACATCGCGAAACTCGGAATGCTGGCGAGGGACACGGCACCGGAATGGGATCGGCGACTCCAATATCAAGGGTCACGACGACTGGGTTGATAACGACAAGATGAGCATGTGGGCAGCACAGATGGATATGGCTCATATGCCTGCGAGTCGGCCGGACACATCACAGTTTCGCGCCATGGTGTATCGAGGGTTGCCATGGTGCGTTGCGTGGTGCTGTGCTATGTGCGAAGCGATACCTGCTTTCGGGGCGACGTTCATGGTGATGGATCGAGAGCAGCCGAAATCGTCTCGCCAGCTTGGGCCACAAGGCAGCAGGCAGAAGCCGGGCGGGATGCGCAGCACGCTAATGAATTCATTTGCGCCGTGGCAGCAGCAGCAGCACAGAAGCGCAAGCGCAAGCGCAGCCGCCCGAAGAAAAAACGCCGTGCGCTGGCTCGTTCGTCTCCCATCGATCCATCTGCGTCATCCCCCGCTCATCAAGCTGATCATCAAGCCGATCATCAAGCCGATCATCAAGCCGATCATTAATCCACCATCAATCCACCATCATGACTGGACGTGATACCACCCGCGATCCCTGCCCCTACTCGATCGTCAGTGACTTTGGCGTCGGATTCGCCCTCGGCGTCGTCCTGGCCGCTCCCTGGCACGCCTTCAAGGGATACCGCAACTCACCCCGCGGCGAGCGTTTCTCGGGTGCCCTCACAGCCATCAAGGCCCAGGTCCCCGTGCGAGGCGGCAACTTTGCGGCCTGGTCTGGCCTGTTCAACGCCTCAGACTGCACGCTGCAGTACATTCGCGGAAAGGAAGATCCCTGGAATGCCATCATGGCCGGCGCTGCCACCGGCGGCATGCTCGCCATCCGCAGCGGCCCCAAGGCCATCGCCATCAGCGCCACAATGGGCGGCATTATCCTGGCTGTCATGGAAGGCGTCGGCATCATGATGGGCAAGATGATGGGCGGCGACGACCAGTACAAGAACGTTGCCCCCATCGTTCCCACGGACGCCCAGGCCCCTCCTCCCGCCCAGTCGGCACCACAGCAGCCCCAGGCTCCCCAGCCCGATGCCTTCGCACCCGATGCCCCCTCTGCCGCCCCGCAGCCGCTACCCAAGAGCCGGTTTGGATTCGCCTAAGGGCTTTGACTGTCCCCGAGGATGGCCAGCCAAACACCTCCCCACATCTTACTCTGCACTTGCTCGGTCGCCTCTCCCTAATATGGCCACCATCGTCCCGCCCCCTCCCTCTCTTCCTCTGGCTGTCGATAGCCAGCTCTCTCGCGATGCTTCACTCTCTCTGGCTTACGTGGCCGCCTGGTCTCTGCGACCGCATCCATCATCGCCCTGCATTTATCGCCTCACTTTTCTCTTGCTGCGCCCTTGCTCATCCCAACCCGCAGGTGTGCTCTTTGCATGGCTCCCGATCCCGTATCGCACCACCACTCCTGCTCCGTCCTGCTATGGCATGCCAGACCATGCACTTGATATGCCGCACCACAGTGGATAGAATTATAGCACCCCCCCCCGGCTCACCGGACTGTACAGCTCTTCCAAGAATACCGGAAATGTTCCATCCTTTCTTTTGAGGCGATGTTCTGCCCCTGCTGGAGAGCGACGATGACACAGGCCACGGCATGGCGGGATTTGGTCACCATCCCATACCCCCAGGGTGCGCTCGTGTCGCTCCACCATGTCAGATTGCTTTTATTTTCCAAGCATGAACTCTATTTCGGGGCCACGACCTGTGCCGTTCCTGTCGGTGCCGGGGCCGGCACTCCAGTCAGCTCAGGGATGGGATACATCGAAGCAAACTGCTCTAGATGCTGGCGGTCGCCAGATGGCGCCGGATTGTACTTGTAGAGGAACTGCCGTGCGAGTCGATGTGGGCAGCGATCAGTAGCCAGCGGCGTCCAGCAGATTCGATGGGCCGCAGCATCCACGACACACAGGATCGACGGAAGCAGCATGGGAATCGAGCAGCCGGGTCAGTGACGCCGATTCCTTATCGGGCCTGGGGATGGACATGGGTGATGCAGCTCCACTTACCACTCCAAGCCACTGCAGCGGATCCAGCTCCTCGTCCAGCCCGCCGTCCTTCTTCTTGACGGTCTTGAGAAGCCTCTCGATGCCCTGGAAGAGCGTGGGAAACACATGGGTTTCGAGATAGGCAGCCGCATCTTCCTGATATTCATCGACGGGGTAGTTGGCCGAGGCCACCCCGGCGGTCGATCGCAGCAGGCCCGACTGGACACTCTGGCCCCCATTGTTGACGAGCAGCTTGGAGCCTGAGTGCCCTCGCGACTGGGATGCGCTCTGGCTTGAGCTTGACCGCCCTTGAGGGTCTTCCTGCTCAGCGTCCTGGGGCGCATCTTCATCTTCATCGTCATCGGGAGCAGCGGGACCGCTGTCGGCGAGTAGCCGCTGGCTTGTCGACTGGTTCGTGGATAGACGTGCTAATGCTAGTTCTGTCGGACAGCACAAACACGGCGATGGGGCGATGAGCATCGACGGGACAGGTTCATCGAGTCGATGCGCCCAACCATCCATCCAGCTCCTTCGCGTATCCACCGAGTCGATATGCGACGCACGCATCACACACATTGCACACATTGCCCTGAGCGCCAGAACCGAGGCTGACCTTCTTCGAGATAACGGTCGCGATCGATCTCCAAGTCGTTGATTTGATCGAGATCCATTCCAAAGCCGATGGCTGAACAAACGCGTGGGAAAGTTGTCGGGATTGAAGATTTGCCAAGGGGAGTGAAGCGAGCCAGAGGATCGACAATGACCGGAGCGGCGGGAAAGGCAAACGAGGGTATAGCGAGTAAATAGAATGACGTCGAGGAAGAGCAAGCCGGGGCGATGCTGGCGAGTGTCGGCTGGCCGCTTGGGATGACGACAACAGCAGTGACGACGACACCAACGACAGCAACGACGACCCCAATTAATCCGTCTTGTGCGCATGTCATGCAACTCCTCCCCTCGTCGGCGAGGATCCGCGGAGCGTTGGCCGTACCAATAGTCTCGGTTATCATCGATTGGTGCCTGCGTGGGGGCTCTGGAAACAGGCAAACCCTGCTGGCGGTATCCAGGAAATTGACCGCGACGGCAGGACAGATTATTCACTGGGAGAGGAGTGCCCTGGATATCGAGCAAAGCAGAAATTGGGTTGCATTCCAGCGATCTTGCCTCATTGGCCATCGTCAGTCCGGTGAGGCAAGTGGCGCCAAAAGTCGGCGCCTGTCACTTCTTAGGATGCATCGATTATTCGGGATGATGCTATGCCCACAAGAAACGAGCGCTTCCCGCCACCTCCAAGGCGACCTGGATCTGCCCAACGACACTGCAATATCTCTATTCCGCTCCAGAGCAAAAGTCCAGAGCGTTTGCAGATCGCAGACATTCCACAATACAGCTAGGACGCACTGTGGTGATGAATTGCAAAAACATGGCACTGGGAGAAGAGGAAATGATACGGAGGGTGGCAGCAGCACATGGATGCTTCATTGCGCAGACGGCACAGGATCCTCCAGCTTGGCGGTGACAAAATCCCTCACTTTGGGAAAGACCGCCTTTTCCTCGAGTTGGGTCTGCATGGAGCGAGAAGCCGGACGGCACAGGGGAGTCGGATGTCGATGTCGATGTCGATGTCGATGTTGGTGCAGACGCAGACCAAGGAACCAATGTGCGATAGATGTTAAAGGTGAGTCTCAGCGACAGCCTCACTCCACCAACAGACCCACTCCACCGACATCAAGCCCAGCTCCCATCCCGGTCGGCGGCAGACCCGGAGCGGCACCCCCACCTGAGCCCAAACTAGCATCTTCAGTAACGACGGGAGCTTGGGGTCCTTCTCTTGGCACTGGGCCGTGAGAATGGCCGAGTTCAGCTCGTTGGCGGTCCTTTGTCGCTGCGTATTGTCGAGCAGGTCGCCGACCGGCGATGAAGATGTGTCTTCAAAGGCAAAGAGGGCCATGGTCCGCTCGAGCTCCTCCAGAAACTCGGGCTGGGGCGAACGCAGCGCGCGGCAGTATGGAATTGAGCCAGGGGGCATAGTAAGAGAAACCATACAAAGAGCAAGGCCGTGTCAGCGTCCATCGTGAGCCGTCCGAAGCAGGGTCGATGGCGTTGCCCAGCGACTGCCGATGGAGCAAAGGGACTCCTGGGAAGTATTACGTTTTCCTCGCCGCGTGGGGCCAGTTCCTCCTGAGCAAACTCCAGGGCTTGCTCCGTGTTCCCAGAGCGGATCAGCTCGATGAACTTTTGCTGCTGGAGATGGAAAAATAGCTTTGGGTTGGAGTCCAGGATCTGGAAGCGATGAGAGGGCACAGAGAGCAGGTTTTGATAGCAAGCCGGGACAGCTTGCTGGTCAGTCCAGCGGGCTACTGCCTCTATCAATGACGTCGACAGACCGCATGCACATCTCGTCCAATCCTTTTGTCCAACACCATCACCACCACCACCACCAGAGCCCCGATTCACTCCGCCCCTGCATTCACACAGGCACACCTCTGGATCCAGGTCGTTGACACGTTCGATAGCCTCGTCAACGTTTCCGATATGAAGGGCGTTGCGGATATACATGCGGTCTTCGATCGACGACAGATCGACATTGGGCTCGATGCCCGTCTCGAAGTGAAACTTTTCGGCAGCGTCCTTGTACCCTTCGATGACCAGGTAGTTCATGATCAGCTTGTTGATGTCGCTGTCGCGAGATTGGCGAGGACACACACATTCCGGGTGTTATCGTCGGCGGTGCGTATTGGCGAGGCGATGGCCAAAGTTGTCGGTCGGCGCCAGCAGGATTGAGGAGCCGCACGACCCGGATCGGGCGTGAGCGAGTCGAGTGCAGGCGAATAGTCGTTGCGTCAGAGTGATTTCAACCAGAGCAAGATTGTTTGCACCAAGGCGGAGGTTTGGAGGGGAGCCATCAGTTAAACAACGATGTGCAGAGAGAGAGAGAGAGCAAGTCGAGTCATCCAAGTCTCTGAAGAGGACAGCGCCAGTTTCGCTTCCACCCTCCCGGCGATTGCAATCTTCCCGGCTCGACTGTCAGTGAGGGGTGACGGGCATTACGTTTTGTTGATCTGAACCTCGGACATTTTTCGCTCCCACTCATCCTTGGAGTAGAACTGCGGGAATCGAGTCCGCCAGAAAGCGGGCAAGAAAGAACCAGAGAAGAGCCCAAACGTAGATACCATCAGACCCAAGCACCATCGGAGATGCAGCAGGATGCGGGACGATGCGAAACTGGTCAAGACGAAACGACCACGACGCTTGACCAGACACGGATCGTATCATTTTGGACATTCTCCTCCCTCTCGCACAGCCGGCCCGTCGGACATGCGGGCGGCGGTATCGCCATAGCCCGAAAGGTGCCAGTGTCGGTCCATTCACAGTGCCGGAAGCTGGGATAGCAGACATGCTCCGCGGGACTGTTGGAGCGACGAGCACTCGTTGTGGGTGGGGGAGACTGACGAAACTCACCTTCTTGGCTTGTGGGGGCTGAGAGCCGGTGGATGCCTGTCGGTGCAGATAGAAATCGTTCGTGAAGAAGCGAGCATGGGAGCCGTTCCGCCGCGCACGAAGAGACCAGAGGACGCCCCGTTAGTATTCGACTGCGACTCATCCGAGCAGTCTTTCGCGGGAACAGACGGCCGGAATCGACCATGACGCCCATGCTGCGGGCCCCTTATCGCTGTCCCGGCCGAGGTGCACTCAACCGTACCATGATGATAATGACGACTGTGGTAGTGACGAGGGCTGGGTTCGAAGCAGATAGGTCGGGCGGCAGCGGCGGCAGATGGGGAGCAGGCGGCCGTCGTCGCGGAAGCAATCGTGAATGGGTAGCGGGTTTTATATATTGAGAACTCGGCGGACCGGAAGGAGCTGGAAACGGGCACCGGACGGAATGTAACGCAGAAGCCGCGAGGACAGGGCCGCCACGCAGACGGGATCGGCAGAGACGCAGAGAGAAGGCGATGGGAGGGAACCAGGAAAGGAGCAGGGCAAAGGCGACGGGGCCGGCACAAGAAGCGCTCTCGGCCAGGGAGGGCCCTGTCGGGCATGGCCCTGGCGGACTTTGAGGAACGGCCTCATCGGCCCAGCGGCTCGCCTCTGCTGCGGGCTGCGGGCTGCGGGCTGCTACATGCCTCCGGGGCCGTAGAAGACGACCGCTCGTTGGACTCGGCGGTCGGGACGCAGGGCCATAACCTCGGCAGCGACGGCACCGGTCTCGCGCTTGTAGACAACGGCGATCTGGCTGCATCCGTCCGGGGCCGTTCCGCTCAGCAGCACCTGGATCAGCTCCAGGCGCAGATTCGAGACATTTTTGAGGGCCAGGCCAAAGTATCGTCGCAGCGCATCGACGCCGATGAGGGTTCCGGAGGCATCGCCGTATTCGCCCTGGGTGGCCTGGTGGACCTGGGCGACCCGCGGCGAGCTGAACTCGATGGTTGCGGCGTAGTGGTCCATCAGGACGTCCAGTTGGCGGTCGTTGAAGGCCGAGATCCACTCCTCGGCCATAGCCAGGGCATCTTGGTAGTTGATCGACATGGTCGAAAGCAAGGTCCGGAAGGCGGGTAGAGGACTGGGACACCGCTGCGAGCAGGCCGCATTTATGCGCAGGGAATCGCCTATTCTCTGGCGGTTCTGGCTCAAGGGCGGCAAGGCCAACCGTATCCTGCCGTCCGGCCTGACCTGGGCTCAGAGCCCCACGCACCATTCACCCGAGACGAGGCAGATCATGCTGGAAGTGCGGATGCACCATGGGTTTGTGCTACGCTTGGATCCGCACATGGATCTATCTATCTGCACATGGATATGCGGTGCAGGGCTCTGGGCGAGATATGTGCGTTTCGGAACAGATCTGGCCACGGTATCTTGATCGAAGCAAGTTGTGTATTCTCGCATCTGGGACATCATCGCTGCGAGCAAAGCAGCACAGGAAACAAGCATCATCGAAGGAAGCGACACAGCACAGGTCGACGCACAGGCGAGTCGAAGCCCAATACGATAATAGAGGATGGAGTGAAATGATGCGGACATGCAAGGGGAGGGGAGTTGGCTGCAGATGGACAGACATGGCTCGGCTCGGCTCGGCTCGGCTCGGCTCGGCTCGGCTCGGCCCAGTCCGCTCAAGAGACCAGCTTGCGGTTGATGAGTTCGCCAAGCTTCTGGTTCATGAGCTTGTTGATCTGCGGCTGGAAATGCACATTGTCGTGGTCGTTGAACACGGCGCTGTTGTTGGCGTTGTAGAGGTCCATCAGCATCCGCCAGGTGGGCATCACAACGACCTTGCTGGATTTGAAGATCTCAAAGAGCGGATAGTCCTTATTTTCGGCATACTTGCCGTCCCGCGAGGGTGTCGTCTGCTTCCAGATCAAGAGCGAGTCGCTGTGGTTCGAGTGCTGGGCAAAGGCCGTCGCCCACTTGACGTAGCTCGAGTTGTGGATGCCCAGGTTCAGGACGATGACGCTCTGGCCGTAGGTCTGGTCGATGTGGTTCAGCAGCGCCGGGATGGTATAGCACCAGTCGAGCGGAGCGTCAAAGTACGGCGACTGTTCCTCGGGATGGAGCCGGCCCTTGGTGTGGCAGACGCCCGGATGGTCGTCGTACGCCTGGTAGAAGGCAATGTTGTGATAGGGCGTCGTGAAGTACCGGTTCTCGATGTACTCGACGGTCTTTCTCCAGTCCCAGGTTCCGTTGCGGTAGCAGTCGCAGACCTCGTTTCCCTTGAGGAGGGCATTGGTGCCGCGCATGAAGCGCTCCCAGTTACCCCACTCTCGATCGATGCGCTTGGTGGTTGCGTTGAAGCTGGGCTCCTCGAACTGCCAGTGGCCGTAGGTCAGGCGATAGGCCAGCGACAGGTACTGGAACCGGGTAACCGAGTCGCCGATGAAGATGAGCGGCCGCCTGGTGGTCCACTCGAGCTCCAGCTCAAAGACAGCCGAGCCCGAGACCTTCTTCCGGGGATTCATCATCCACAACGAAGTGAAGACGGCCGACAGCGCCAGAGCCACCAAGAAGTAGCGCACAGCCTCGGCGACTTTCGACTGATGTTGCTCGGAGCGAGCGGCATCGGTTTTGGCGAGCTTGAACTGCGGCAGAGAGGGATCGCTGCTCATGTCGGGGAAGGGATTGGAGGGAGATGACGATGGCGACGGCGACGGCGATCGAATGCGGCTGAGTCTGGGGCCAGCAGGAGAATGTGGACGATCAGCACAGGGCCGGCGGTCGGGCAGGATCCAGAGAGGAAACGGAGGAGCGGGGGCAGAGCTGGATGGAGCAGAGCCCGACGGAGCAGAGAAGCCAGATCAAGCGGCGATCGAGCAATCCAAACAGAGTGGCACTGAAAGCGAACAAGGACGTGTTGGAGCCGGCAAAGGGCGGGAACGAGCGGGGAGAAAAGACGCAAGTAGCGCCGTTGGCAAGCAAGCAAGCGACAGATCCGACGCACGGCGAGATCCAGACAGAGACGGGGGCGGCTGCAGAGTGTATTGCGGGGCGGCGATCAGGGCTGGGCCATCATGTCGAATGGCCGCTTCTGCGGCACGGCCGAGGTGCGGGAGAGGGTGTCGATGTCGCCGATGCCAGAGGGCTTTGTCGCGACAGTAATGGAGGCGGCGGAACGGATGTTGTGGGACGGCAGCAGCAAATAACAGCAGGATTAGTGTTTTGCAGGGGCACGAGCCAGATGCAGGATCGGCAGCAGCAGCAACACCGGCTGCGGTACCTTGACGTCGAACCAGCCCGAGGCCCTGTCGAGGAAAGGCGACTTGGCGACGGTGGCCATTCTGCAAGGCGAGGCAGCGAGGGTGTCAGGATAACCGAGAATGGCGGTCGTGGAAACGGACCAAGCAAAACACTCACCTCTGGCCGCCACGCCATGCAACGATGATCCGGTTGGTTACGAGATGCGTCCACGACTCTCCTGCACGACGGGAGTGTGCGAACGAATGCAGCCAGGAGAATCAGTCAGAAAGGACGGGCCAACATGGTCAGACACAATCGACCTGCCAACCTCATCAATCAGCAACAGCAGACCCACCCAGCGAGGGCACCAGCGTCGTTCGCTCTGGATCGTTCGGAGAAATGGCTGTGGTTACTTGGTTCATCGCAACGATCTGAGAACGAGCAAAAGCAAATCAGCAAGGCAGTCTCCGCCGCATCTCTCTTCCAACAGGAACAGGAACAGGAACAGGAACAGGAACAAACCGCGAGATGGTGCTTGTTGGCGGTCCGCATCATGCTCTGCGACATGAGATGCAGCATCCGTGACCGATGCCTTGTGTCCGTCGACCCCTGGCGGAAATGGTATGCCACGCTGTCAAGGACAACCAGAGAGACCTGACGAGGAGAAGTTGTTCCCTGGGTAAGTACTTCAGGAGCAATGTTCAAAGCAGGTGGTGGCAGCAGTTGAAGGAGAGGCGGTAGTAGTAGAGGTAGCATGATATCCAGCCGCAAGGCGCTCACATTGCGATCGGCGCAGAACTGGTCGAGGTGCTGGAGGATCTCGAGCTGCCGATCAGAGTCGTGGGCCCTAAAGATGTGTATCCCTGACAAGAAGGTCTGCAGAGACAGCCGATGCGCTGCAATCCAACGCAAGAACTGATGAGTCGACTGGGCTGCTTGCTTGCTTGCTTGCGTACTTGCTTACTTGCCATCGCTGGTGTGGTGCTCAGGGCAGCAGTGCCTTGCCCGGAATAGAGCTCCATCGTCGCTTACCCGGCAACGAGTACTGGCGTTGAAGCTGCTCAGTGGTGTGCAGAACCATGTCGGCGATGCGCTCAGGCGCAAAGCTTCCCTCCGTATCTGCGCGGTAGTTCGAAGGCCGACATTAATGCAGCATGATCCCGAAGGTCTTGCTGGCGACCACCAGAACGAGCGCTGGTCCAGGCACGAATACGGGCATTGGTGATCAAGCGCGATGGTCATCGCAGGCTGGATATCGTCGTCGCCATTACCTATGTAAACGGCCTCGCCTCCCGGGCCACCGCACTCGACAGGTATGCGGGCATTGACGCAAAGCTGCATGCTGCGAGACATGGCCGAGTCAGCATCGGTAGCAAGCAATGCTGAGTCCCAACGACTGTCCGGGCAAGCAAAGACAGATCCATCCGAGCCTGGGCGATGATGCTGCGCCAGACGAAGGAAGGAAGGGGGCAGAAAGGGATCTCGGATGCGACCAAGGCTTGCATTCAGCCATACCCGATCTGTGTCTTGCCGATGCCAAAGGAGCCGGATATCTCGGTCACTTGGCCGACTGGGATTCCGCCGCGGAGGATCCGGTCCAGATCGACAGACGATGTCGAAATGGCGGCGCGAGCGGATCGAGAAGCAAGGGAAGATGGCTGAATGCTCTTGGCGGCAGCATCGAGATCTTTTGGACGATGATGCGGTGCGAGGAAACCCGCAAGTGCCGGCAAAGGCGGCGAAGGCAGCGACAGAGGCATCAGCGGATGGATGTGCGATGCAGCAGAGGAACCAGCCCACAGACGCCCGGAGATGCGGCAACCCAGAAGTGCTGAAGCGTCATCCCACCGAAAGGCGGCTGCAGCCGCTGCAGGATCCGGGTCGACTCATCCAAGGATATCCCGGTTTCTAACGGATGCAGATCAGGGCCGTCGGATCAGAAGAAGGCGGTCGAGGCCGAGGCCGAGGCACCGATATCGACATTCGGGGATGGCAAAGTCAGCATGGCATCGCAACCCTCGCACCTTTGGCCAGCTGAGCGGCCGAGAGGGAAACCAGATGATGCTTGCTTCGAAATCCAGCCCGCAGCAGACGGGTGCGGACGGCGGCTGGGAGATCCAAGGTTGCGATCGATCGCTCGGGCATGGGTATAGCGAGACGCAGGCGAGACGGACGATCTGCAGATCAGAGTCGAGATCAGAGTCGAGATCAGAGTCGAGATCAGAGTCGAGACCAGAGCCGATCGGGGATCCAAATCAAGAGTTGAGGGGGCGGCAAGCCAAGAACATGGCGATCGACAGCGGGGCAGAGGGGCAGCGACATAGACATGGCATGACATCCACCATGGCATGATATCCACCATGGCAGTTGGTCCAATGGAGCGTTGGATACGGGGCGAGCCAGCGCCGAAGTAACCGCCAGGCATGCTGCTGTTCCTGTTCCTGTTCCCGGAGGCTCTGTTGCCTTGGGCGATACGAAGCGGGAAGCAAAGCAGTTCATATTCGGCTGACACAGGCTCATCACCGACTTTTGTGTATTTGCGGATCGTCTTCTACTGTGGCTCCGTATGCAGATGAGTGCGCATGAGGAGGGAGGGGAGACGCAAAGCAATCCGGGCTGCCGACGAGTCGCCGGCAGTCCCAGACGCCCCGGCGTATCCCGTTCCCCGAGAATTGATCGTTGCAACAAAATAAGGGGTGCGAGAGGCGGGGAAACAAGAGGGAGGAGGGGAACGAGGGAAGAAGGGCATACCGCATACATGGAAGAAGAATCATGAAGTTGAACAGCGTGCTGGAGGAGTCTACGGAAATTTTTTCAGATACATGGGGGCGGGGCCGAAGCACCTGCGGGGACTACTGCGGTTCCAGAGCACTTAGACGTCCAGAAGGAGGCGGCGGGGGTCCTCAATGGCCTCCTTGATCTTGACCAGGAAGGTAACGGCCTCTCTTCCGTCAACGAGACGGTGGTCGTAGGTCAGGGCAACGTACATCATAGGACGGGAAACGACCTGGACCAAGACAGCGGGATAGCAGTTAGAAAACTATTGCGCCAAGAGGGCACTGTTATGCTTGGGCACTGTGGCAGATCCGCGACCCACCTGTCCCTTGACGACAACGGCTCTCTCCTTGACAGCGTGCATGCCCAGGATGGCACTCTGGGGCTGGTTGATGATGGGGGTGCCGTAGAGCGAGCCAAAGACACCGCCGTTGGAGATAGTGAAGGTGCCGCCAGCGAGATCCTCGAGGGTGATGTTGTTCTCCTTGGCCTGCAGGGGAAGCGAGTACAAGTCGGGTCAGTTGTGAGTCACGACGCAGGGGGCCGCAGAGATATGGGGCAAGATCACAGCAGAGGATCGCATGGCATAGCACAACATAGCGCAGCATAGCACAGCATAACACAGCATGGCACAGCACAGCAGCTTTGGAGCGTCCAGGCTACCTTCTTGGCAAGGGCAGCCATGGCCTTCTCGACCTGCACCCAGCTCATAGACTCGACGTTTCGCAGCGCGGGGGTGACCAGACCCTTGGGGGTGGCAACAGCGACGCTGATGTCGGCGTAGTCGGCATAGACAATCTCGTCGCCCTCGATACGAGCGTTGACCTCGGGCACAGCTCGCAGAGCAGCGCTGGAGGCTTTCAGGAAGGCAGACATGAATCCGAGCTTAACACCGTGCTTTTCCAATACGAGGTCCTTGTACTTGTTGCGCATTTCAATCAGGTTGCTGGAAGGACGCAGATTGGGCGTGTGAACGGATCAGTCAGGGGGGATGCCAGTTGCGCGGATGCGGTCGAGCCTGGGCAGTCGACCGCAAAGTGGCCAAGCAAGTACAGTTGGCCGCGACTCGTCATCGAGGAAGCACAAACCTCATATCAATCTCGTTGAAGGTGGTGAGAGAGGCAGCGGTGTTCTGAGACTCCTTGAGGCGCTGCGAAATCTTCAGGCGCATGCGGTTCATCTTAACGCGGCGCTCGTCGCGGCTTCCAGGCAGAATACCGGCCTCATCGTCAGCAAAGACGACGGGGGCAGCGGGCTTGGGGGGCGAGGGAGCGGCTGGTAGCAACGATACAAGGGGACGATCAGCTGAGGGATCGATCTAATGCAGCAGATCCGAGGAATGGTCTCGACAGCATAGCTCGGTGGTGGCGCGCGGATGCCGCCAGACCAGAGCAGCGCTTGGCGGTGGAAGTGGACCTGGGCCTCGCAGCAAAAACGGTCTGCGCAACAAGAGCACGACACAGCATCATCCGGCGCCATCCGACTCACCAGGAGCAGCAGCCTTGGGGGCGGCAGCGGGAGCGGGAGCAGCCGCAGGCTTGGCAGCAGGCTTGGGAGGAGCAGCCGCAGGAGCGGCGGGTTTGGGGGCCTCGGCCTTGGGAGCCTCAGCGGGCTTTGGCGGGGCAGCACCGGCAGCGGGAGCAGTGCCGAGCTCGATTCTGTAGAGGTCATTGCCAACCTCGATGGTATCACCCTCGGCGGCAAACCACTCGAGAACGGTTCCGGACTCGCTGGCGTTGACAGTGATATCGACCTGCCGATAGAAGGAGGTTCAGCGATGGTCATCCGACCTGGACACACTGGCCGCATCTGCAGCAGCCACCGAAGGAGCTCCAGCGCAAACACGCCACTCGACTTGCTCGGAGAATGATCCTACCTTGTCGGTCTCAATGGTAGCGATGGGCTCGTCGCGAGCAACAAAGTCGCCGATCTCTGCAAGCACGGAGGGTATGTCCGAGTTGGCGACATGTCCGCAGCAGCCCGAGCACAGACACATCGCCAAGCCCAAAATGCGATCGGCAGTGGCAGGGCAAAGCGCTTACTCTTGTGGATCTTTGACAGAGTGCCTTCCGAGATAGACTCGGCCATCTGGGGGGTCTTGATGACCTTGTCCGCTGGCGGGGGTGGAATGGTGGGCAGCAATGCAGATGGGCGCGAGCACGCATGAGAAATCGAGATTTGCCGGAGCACAACAGCCGATGCGGCGCACGATGCGCATCGAGATCTGCGGCGTCTTCTGCAGCATCACCAGAGAACATGACTGCAGACATCACCACTCAGCGGCCTGTCGAGCTCGTCCAGCCCGAGAAGCGCGTCCCTTCGTCCCGTTGGCAAGCGCATCAGAGGGGCCTTGCATGGCAGATCGTGGACGGCAACCAGCCAGCCGGGCCAGCGACCGCCAGGTTCATGCTGGAGCCATCATCAGTCACCCACGCACAGCATCGCAGCATCACATCTTACCCATGAAGCGGACTTGATGGTATCGGAACGGAGACACAGATCCAGAGCTGGAGACGGCCGATGCATCGAGGGTCACAACAGAGTGTGGGTTAGATCCATCGAACGGACCGAATCGGACTGAGGGCGCCAGCATGGCCGAGACGGCAAGTACTTGAGGGCTTGGGTGGGTGGGGGTGGCTCCCAGTGCCAGCCATAAGCCAGGACCGCAATGGGATCGCGCTGCGGATCGGCCGAAAACGACGCAGAAACGACTGCACAAGATACGGTACCCAGTAGAGGCGGCGGGCGACGACAGGAAGATGCTGTGGGCAGCAGCAGCGCCGGCAAAGGTGCGGATGGCAGAAGTACCAAGCGAGCCGATGGTCGCCTGGGTCGCGGCGGCGCGCAGCGAGGAAGAGGCCAATGATCTTGATAATCGCAGCATGTCTGGGCGGGGCAGCCGGGACGAAGGGGTGTTAGTGCATGTGCAGATCCGCAGCAGACTCTGGAGACGAGCGGGTGCCAGGGACGACAAGATCCACCTGTTAAAAGCACCGATAAGGGAGAACGCAAGTCGGATGGACGGCAGAGGGGCAAGTGCTGGAAGTGACAAGATATCCGAAAAAAATCAAGACGGACGAGCGAGAGCCGGCGAGAGGCCCGCGGCGCTCTCGCTGAGAGCACTTCCTGTCGCAGGCGCTTGTCTCTGTGCGTCCGCCCCGCTGTACATCCCTCTCGCTGCGGATGCTTCTCGCTCCCGAGCGAGAGCCACCCTCCACTACAACTGCCGCCGCCCACAGTCTCTGTGGCCCGTCCTCGGCGGCGCCACTCGCCCACCCCTGCACACACACACACCGAGACGGGACGCACGCCGAGACACCGGCCAATGGCGCCGCGCGTCCACCAACCGCCGCCTGCGCTGCGCACGCCATGGCCAATCGCTGGCTGCCCTGCGTGGATCGATCCGAATCGGGCGGCCCGCTCGCCGCCCGCAGCCCTGCGCACCAAATAAGGCAGGCGCAGCACCCGCACGGACCAATCGCGCGCCGCCGCACGCGCGTGTGCTCGGAGCCGCGCTGCTACCTGACCGGCGCCGTGACTGCGGCTGTGGCGCAGGAGCCCTCGCGAGCCCTAGAAAGCCCTAGCGAGCCCTCACGACGCGTGACCAGGGTCGGACATGAATGGCAGCCGCCAGTCCGCCACCGCCGATGCCGATGCCGCAATGCCGATGCCGATGGCGGTGCAGACGATGCCAAGCGACCCTTGCCCAGGCATCAACCAGGCATCAACCAGGCATCAACCAGGCATCAACCAGGCATCAACCAGGCACCACCCGCTCCCCGCCATGCAGACCACCCACTGGCACGCCGATATCGTGGGCCAGCTGGCCGTCCTCGGTGATCGATACAGCCCCTCGCTCGCTGAGGTCTTTGCCTCGCACAATGAGCTCGCGAGGCAGTCCAAACGGATCACCCAGCGCAACCTGGAGCTCGAGAGACAGCTCGCGATACTGCGGATGGAGCACGCCGATCTGATCCGGTCCAGCACTGCCGCTGGCGACTTTAGGTACCATCCAGTGTCCCATGCTCCGTCGATGCTGTTCGTTCCAGGAGATGGCACAGAATAGATCCAAGAGCATGCTGGTTGCTGAGTCTGCAGCGCTAAATCATGCTCGTGGCCGCCTCCGCCAAGCTCACCAAATGTCCAGAAACGTATCCAGGAACTGGAGCAGCAGCTGTCTGAGATCAAGGACGAGCGAGCTGAGCTCTACAAGACCCAGGGTCAGAATGCCCAACGGCTGCTCGAACTTATGGACATCACCAAGAAGCAGGAAGAATCGATGAAGGTCTTGAATGAAGAGTAAGAGCCTCTTCAGCACCGCCTTTGCGTTCACGGTTCCGCAAACGTACCCAACCATCGGGCATGGCACATCGTCGATGGGATAGACGACGCCAAAGTCCCGCCTTGCATTGCCATCGAGGACTTGCCATGGCCATCATGACCAAACCGTCCTGCCCTGTGCCTCACACCCTTGCGTCTGCCATCACTTGCATTTTCAGAAACAAAAGGATCATTGCAGCCAACTCGAGTCTCACCACAAAGGCGAACGACCTGCAGGATAATTTGAGGGAAAAGGACAATGTGATCCAGGCAAGCACGACAGCCTCAGCCGGGCGCGAGCACTCGCAACTCAGTACCGCTTGCTGGTCTTGCCCCGCCCGCTGATCCAACTCGTGCCCCAGATCCTTCGCGACGAGCTCCAGGCATACCAGCTCGAATTGAGCCAGAGAGAAGAGCAACTCAAGACCGCTCAGGAGACGGTCAAGAAACTCGAGGTCGACAACAAGGAGTTGGTGGAGCGGCTGGTATCGCAAAAGGAGGATACCGCCAAGAAGATGAACGAAGCAAACGAGTATATTGAGAAGTGAGTCTGCAGTGTCGGCGGTTGATGTTGAAGCCGGTCCTGCTCCCCCCCCCTCTGCAGATGTAACGACCGCTGAATCTGGGTCGGCATGGTCACCGATGCCAACCTGACATTGGGCAATCCTTCGATGATAGCGCCCTGAAGACAAGAAAAAGCGTAGGATCACCAGTATCCGACGCTCTGCAGCCACCAGGGCCGACTGTGGGACCTTCGCAAAGCAGTGTTCCCGGAAACATCAGAGCGACGGCGACGGCAGCTGGATTCTTCTCGAGCATGCTGCGTCGTGTCTCTGGCGATGTTCCACAGACCGATGCCAGGTATGTGATGTCGTTCACTCCATCAGCATCGTCTGTGCCTGCAGAATGCACTGGTGTCCCCGCCAGAGACATGCAGCTGAAAGAGCGCGCAGACGAGGGGTGAGCTGTATTGAGATTCCTGATCGATGCGCCTGACGCTCTCGATATGGGCGACAATATAGATATCGAGAAGTGCCGCTGGTTCAATCCCTCCTCCCAATTTCAGCGGTCAAGGTCGTGGTAAGTAGCCATTTCTTGCGCAAAGACAAGACTGCACTGCTCGAGGGGCACTTGTCCAGCATCGGAACTTGACGCTGTCCACCACCAGTCTGCCCACGAAAGCGAAATCAACTGTATGCAAGTCACTCCGGACGGCTCGATGATTGCCTCTGGCGGAGGCGACAAGAAAATCATGCTCATGGACGCCAAGACAGGTCGGTGAAGTGGCCCGGCGCCTGGCTGTGGAGCAATCGCCCTGAATGTCCCCGGATATCGGATGGGATTGTCGCTAACAGTATGCACGGCTCTGAGCAGGTGTCCAGCGAGGACAGTTCACCGGCTCGTTGGCTGGGGTCATGTGCGTTGCCTTCAACAATACAGGCGACCTGATCTTGGGCACATCCAACGACAACTCGACCAAGATATGGAGCATCGCCACGGGACGACCAAAGGTGCGCTTCGCTGGAGCATATGCGATGGCTGGCAAGCGAATGAAGGGAGGCAGGTGCCCAAGGGCAATCGACTTCCTGTCTCGCATCTGAAACTGACAGCACTTGACTCCACCAGCACACCTTGACCGGACACATCGGCAAGGTGTACTCGGCAAAGTTTACGGAATCAAACAAGATCTTTTCGGGATCGTACGATCGAACGATCAAGCACTGGGACCTGGCCAAGGGATACTGTACGTCGGAGTCGATACGCGGCGCATCCGAGAGCAATGCACATGCGTGTTGCTGGCCAGTCTTGGCAGGGATATGATTGCGGATGATCCGGCGAGCAGGGACACTGACGCGATGGACCGGTCGATCTAGGCATCAAAACCATCTTTACGCTGTCGAGCTGCAACGATCTGGCACTTTTGGATCCCGAGGGGTGAGTACATCGATGCTCGAACCCTGCAGCCCTCCTCGTCCTCCAGTGGTGGCCACGGCCGTCCTCCATCGCAACGAGAGAGTGCACCAGAGTCCGCGGCGTGGATGTCTCACCTCTTCCTCCAACTCGTGACCGGGGCATCTCAGCAATCTCCTCGCCAGCGGACACATCGACAACAACCTGCGCATTTGGGATACGCGAAGTGGCAATCTCGTCCGGGAGCTCGCCGGCATCCACGGCGGACAGATAACCAGCGTGGAGGTTGTCCCGAGTAGGTGATGCCGCATTGATGGTGATGGCGATGGTGGCGATCATAGCGATGCCACTGCAAGAAGACGAGCTCTCGTTCCCAAGTCCGTCGCTGGAAATGCGCTGACCGAGGGCTGATTGGCTGTCGCAGACTCGAATCACGTCTTGACCACATCCAGGGACAACATGCTCCGCCTGATTGATCTGCGCACTTATGAGACGGTCCAGGCATATGCGTAAGTCGGACGCATGGCCCGATCATGCCGCTGCGCAAGAAATACCACAGGAGACCATAGTCGCGGGACTGACGACCCGGATTGCCCTCACATATCTCCACAGGAGCGAGGGATTCAAGGTCGGACTGAACTGGGCCCGGTCGTGCATAAGGTGAGCAGCCATCCGGCTCGATGCATCCCAAACCAAAAACCTGGCGCAGTTGTTTCAGTGGATGCGGATCATTGGATACGAAGTCGCCACAGAAGTCGGTGTATCAGACGATGAGACAGACCGTGTTGGTTTACTGACAATCAATATTAGCCCGGACGGCGCATACATCGCATCTGGTTCCATCGACGGGGCCGTCTTTATCTGGAACTTCAACACCACCAAGCTGGAGACAACGCTGAAAGCCCACACGTACGTCCGCTCCTGCCGCAGCTCCCGATCGACCGAAGCAACTCGCGACTGCGACACTAACGATCCTTGCTATGACTTTTGCCGGTTCCCCTTGCCATCGACACCAGCTCGGCAATCTGCAGCACGGTGTGGAATCCTCGTGGAGGAGCAGCGCTCTACAGTGCGGATAAGGACAAGAACATTGTGTTTTGGGGCATCTAGGCGGCATAGTCAGCCCAAACGGGAGTTGCATGTATTGTAGCTGATCATGGGGCACACAACAACGAAATTGTCGTTCAGACTGCAGCACGATCTGATCAGCGACCCGACGACCAGGCGATTGTCGCACCTGACATGGCGTTGGACCGACAAAATTGCAGATCCATGGCCAGGCGACTGGGCCGGCAAAAGTGAAAAAATACCACTGCGTGCCCCCACCGTGGATTGAACACGGGACCTTCAGTTTACAAGACTGACGCACTACCACTGTGCTATAAGGGCTGGATTCGAACTGCTGTCCCCGTGCTCGCGGCCCGCCGCACTGCCACTGCGCCACGACACGGTTTGCTGCCCTTTCGAATTTTGAATATTGGAAGGAGTCTCGGAACCTTTGGTCGGCCAGGGAATCCGGCCACGGCACCAGGCCCAGTCGCTGTGAAGGGTGCTCTGGGCTTCGTTTGGTGCACATGTGTTTATATTCAGGATCGAGGGAAGAGCAGGGAGACAGGGGGGGGAGACAGGAATCGACCGTCGGCAGAGATATGAGGCGCCTTGCTTCGAGTTTCAGACGGCTGTCTCTGCACTGCAGCTCCGGGGCAGCAGCAGGCCGGGGACGGAGGATCGACCAATGAACAAAAGCCCAGAACCCTTCCCCTCTGGTCAGTGTCCTATTCTCGGAGTCGCATATTTGGAGGGCGTGCGAGAAAGCAGTAGCAGCCGTGGTTGCAGGAGCGATTCGCGGACTCGGGATTCAGCAGGCAAGATGCAGAGTATCAGACGGGCATGTGGTATGTCTCTAGGTTTGGGAGACTCGCTTGGCTTGCCGAGGGGAATCGATTCGTGTTGGGCGAGCCGACTCTGTATGAATCCGGGCCACGGATCGTTCTGGCTTGCACGACAGGCCCGAGCCGAATCGGCGATTGCGGGAAGAAGACCCTCACGAGAAGAGAAAGATTGAACTTTTGGACATTGCGCGATCCCGCGGCCCGGGTATGCTTGGAGCCGGTGCTTGGAGCCGGTGCCTGTCCGCTGGCCGGCCGATCCCAAGACACACGGGAGCGGCAAGCAGCAAACGAAGAAAAATTTTGGGCACACCAAACCCACAGCCGCTTTCCCAGGCAGCAGGCATTCGAATCCACTCGATCCATTCTTGTGTCGCCTGCTGCTCTGTGTCGCACAAGTCCGGTCAGGTTGGCTCGGTGAATGGTATCCAGGCGTTGCACACATCCCCTCACCTGCTCGGTCCCGGTGCTTCATTTCGGAGCGTGGGTCCTCGGATGCCCATCTCGTGACAAAGGAGTTTGAAATTACCATCTCTCTTGATGGAAAAAAAGCCGTCGCATGATGCGGCATGAGGTCAAGGGCGTGAGGCGGCACAGTAACCGCGCCGGTTCATGACGCGTTCGGGACAGACTCCGATTCATTGTGATTTCTGATGTATCGCCTCGGATCGCATCAGCACTCTCAGTTTGATCGAGTGCTGCGGGTCTATTGGCCGAAACAGAACCGTGTTTTGGACAGGATGCCGCATTATCGATTTGCGAGGGAAAAGCGGAAAGAGAAAGAGAGAAAGCATATTGCACTCAACTCGCCTGCGTCGCAGCCCACCAAGGGCCATGGGACCCCGGGGTATCCGGGCACATTCGTCGATCCCATTGCAAATCCTCTCCATCAGCAGCGAGATAGCACGGCTTGATCCAGAATTGACAGACTGAGTCACACTGAGCATCGTTTGACGGCGAAGCGGTCACGCCGATACCCTCAAGTTTATCCGTAGCCGATTCGCCGAGGAGCATAAAACGCACCCCCCCAATCTCTCGTATCCTCTGCATTCCTTTCGGCAGTACAGCAAAGCACTTCACCATGGTGGTCTTGAGCATTTCGACTGTCGTTTCAGCCATCACATCCCTCAGTTACTCTCTTCCAAACACCCTGCAAGGTATCGCCAATGCTGCCTTGGTTGCCTACACCGCCGTCCAGCAAACCGAGGAGAACCAACAGTCCTGGACCTGCCTGGCCAATCGCTCGCATGGCATTTTGATCACCTTGTCACAGGCCCAGACACAGACTCCCGCATTCGCCCACCAGGCCAGGCGACTCGTCCAGTTCCATGATCAAATCTACCAATACTATACCCATGAGGTCCAGGTCCTCCACAAGGTCCAGAGAGTCTTCATGTCCAACAAGATCCGCCAGCGCATCGAACAGCTCTGTCGTGACCTCGATGTCCTCTGGCAGGGGGTGATGCTTGCCCTCGCTATCGACACCAACGACATGCTCAACGAGGCCGACCTCCGCCGAGCCATCCAGCAGGACGAGAACCAGAACGAGGTCTTCGTTGCTCAAATCAACTCTCTCCTCCGGCAGAACAATACCGCCGTCCTGGATCAGATGGATATTCGTCTGAACCAGCAAGAGTGGAAGATTCGCCAAGCCACCAATGCTCTCCAACAGCTTCTCCAAAACGGCGACGGCATCCAGCAGGTCGTCGACAGAGCTGCCACTTTGCTGCTCGGCATGCTGCAGGACCAGTCCAAGGTTGCACGCTCCTTGCAGCATAAGCCCTGGCGCATCCCCACCAGTTCAATCACCAACCGCTCGCCTGAACCGATCGCCTGCGGCGGCTTTGGCGAGGTCTACACTGCCACGTACTATGGCTCAAAAGTTGCCGTCAAACAGCTCCTGTGCAGCTACCGCGAAACCGAGATTGCCGAATTCCGTCGCGAGATCGAGGTGTGGCACATGTTGAATCACTCCAACATCCTCCCGCTCCGTGGTGCTTGCGATACCGCTGAGCGCCCCTTCATGGTCTCACCATTCATGGAGAACGGAACCCTCAAGCGATATATCTCGGATCCTTGGTGCCCCCGATCGCTCGAGGACCGCCTTCGCCTCATGTATGAGGTTGCTTGCGGCATGGCCTACCTCCACGGCAACCATGTTGTTCATGGAGATCTGAAAACAGACAATGTATTGCTGGACTCTGGATATCACGCTGTGATCTCCGACTTTGGCCTGTCCCGCACCAAACACACCTCTGCTGCTTCGATTGTCCGACCTGGCCAGTCGATCGGTGGAACACTCGGCTACATGGCCCCGGAGATGCTCGACGACGATAATCCCCGCGGATCCTCCAACACGACCGATATCTACGCCTTTGGCATCATGCTCTATGAAGTGCTCAAGAACGGCGACTACATTTGGGTCTCCATCGACGGCAAGCCTTTGACCCAGTGTACAGTCGAGCGCCTTGTGTGCAGCGGCAGGCGACCCAAACGATTTGAGGGCATTCCCGACAACATCTGGTCTCTCATCGAAACCTGCTGGCACCAAGATCCCACTGCACGCCCCACTTTCCAGAATATCGTCTCTGATCTTGGGCCATACGCGAATGGTGAGAACGTGTCGCCTCAGCCAGAAAAGCCCGATCAGCAACCCGAAGGGTCGACCGCAGTGGCTCCTAGCTCTCACTCGGGTGGGAGTTCAGTCCAGCCTGACTCTACCCCTCCCCACCCTTTGGGGATGTCTCGCCAGACATCTACTGTATCTCTTGCGATTGACAGCAATCCATTGCTGCACACACTGAAGGTCGACTATAACATTCCCCAGGCTACGATTATACGGATTTACTTTGGCGAAGTTGCCGTCCAACTCGCCACCGCTCGCCAGCTATCCGAGGGCAAGCCAGTCAAGCCAGCCAACGACCCCGTCTGGGCTACTGTTGCCGGGTTATATCAAGGCCTTGCCGATGGCAAGAACCTCGAGGCCGCCTTCGAGCTTGCTTGGTTGCACTTGACCGGAATTGGCGTGACTAAGAGCGACAGAGAAGCATTTGCTTATTGGGAATTGGTCCACGATTTCTCTGCCGACCCGGTCATGAAACCGATTGCCACCTTCATGATGGGCTGGTGCTGCTACCTCGGCCGCGGAACTCGCCAAGACAACACCAGGGCAACTCAGCTGCTACGAGAGAGCGACACGCCAGAGTTTGGATTTGGCGAAGAGTCGATCCAGGGCAGGGAAACCGCAAGCTCCTCCGCGACGGCCGCGATGTTCTTCCAGCGCTGTCAATTTGGATCAGAACGCGATTGGCTCTGTCGTCACCTCGTGGCTCGATGCTTGATTGGGGGCTTTGGAACAACACTGGATCCGGAATATGCCGTTGGAATTCTGCACGAACTGGCCAGTCAGGAATACAGTATCAGCCAGAGCGTGCTGGGCGACTGCTACCAACGGGGCTATGGTGTTCCGAGGAACAGCATCATGGCTGCCCAGTGGCACCAAAGGTCGACTGAAAGCGGCGACGCATCTGCAATCCATGGCATGGAAACGGATACCATCAACGGTGACGGCTTGATTGGGACGAGGGCGTGAGCAACCAGTCGTCCTCAAGTACCACTTACGAAGCTTTCGGGTGAATCCGCCCAACTCGCCCCTGCGCTCGGCGCTTTGTCGCCCCTCCGATTCTGAATACACCCATACGACACATTGTCTTTGCTGGCGATCCGGTGGGCTTGGTTGGCTTCTGGAGCATCGTCTTGAATCCGCTCGGTCAATCCTCCGTGCCGAGAATCGGCTGGCAGGGATGTCCTATTTCGATTTGGATGGGCTGTGGGATGGCTTGATTCTGAATGGTATCCACCTCTGCGTGCATCCTCTCTCGCCCGTCCCTGTCCCTCTGCGCAGCTCGGTGAATGCCATGGGTCGTTTGGCCGTTGACGACATGCGTGTTCCATCTGACGCCGGCACCGCGTTGTTGGTGTCGTCCTACGAATCACACCAGCACCGGGCAGCCGCGTCACGCCACCACTGGCTGGCAGTGGCGGCAAGCGAGAAAGCGGCGGTCTTGGCCGCATTTGGAAGCCCCATCAATTTTTCGTGGTTGGCCGCCGCGTTGTTGTAACAAAGGCCCTTCACAGCGATCCAGTGGCCGTGGCTTGGCGGTGGACCCCAAGCACACACACCAACCAGGACCCGTCAAGGCCACGTTCCATGTTGTCGTTGTCCTTCTGTCTGGGGTCGTGGAAGACACAAATAATCCCACGAGGGCCGTCGGTCGTTGGCTTTCGGTCCCGTCCAAGCATCTGCCTCACCACCTCTGCCTCACCACCTCCGCCTGGCACCCGAGACCCGCCATCTGCAGCCATGTTCCAAAACGCAATCAACCTTGCCCTCGCTGCCACCACCACACCCCCAGGGACCTCCGGTCTCAGTGGCCTGAGTGGCCTGTCGAGCACGTCGCCGGCTCTGCTGTGGGGTGGCTACATTGCTGCCGTCATCGGTGTTGCTGCATCTCTCTACTCGCTCTGGGCAACCTTCCTCATCCTCAACGACATTGGCAACAAGCGTACTAGCGGCGAGCTGACCGAGTTCTATTCCCGCAAGGTCTTCCAGCTCGTCACCTACCGTCTTCTCTTCTGGGTTGCTGCCGTTCTGGCAATCATCTCTTTGTTAATCTCGTTCTGGTCGCTGGCTGCCTTTGGTGCCCAGGACTGGACGACCTGGTGCTCCATCGCTAGCTCGATCTGCTCGATTGTCTTCCTCGTGCTGATGCGCGAAGGCTCCATCCCAAATCTCTCGGCTCTGACTGGCTCGACCCAGGCTCCCGTTGTTGTCCCCGTGGGTGCCCAGCCTCCCGGCTCAGCTCCCGTATATGTCCAGGCTCCAGTCGCTGCCTCCGAGTATCCTCAAGTTCCTGTTGCTGCCTCCGAGTATCCTCAGGCCCCAGCTCCTATCTCCGAGTATCCTCAAGCTCCTGCCCCTGCTCCCGAGTATTCTCAGATTCCCGCTCCTGCTCCCGAGTATGCTCAGGCCCAGGTTCCCGCTTCCGAGTATCCTCAGGCCCAGGTTCCTGCTCCAGTGGATGCCCAGGCTCCCGGTGGTCCCACGATTCAAGTCCTCACCGAAGTTGCTCCAGCCAACGGCCCCACTGATCGAGTCCAGAAGGGTGTTGACGGTCTCCTCCGCAAGGACCTCACCAAGACATTCGGCGTCAGTGAGAAGCTGTCCAAGGTGGCTCATGCCAGTAACGGCTGCTGTGGCTGTGGAAAGATCACCACCGGTGTTGCGGTGATCTCGATCATTGCTGTTTCAACCTTCAACGGCGTCGTCACCTCTGGCGTTGCCTCAAACAAGGTTCAGATGGCATCCGCCGGAATCACTTACAGCAGCGCCGGTGGCAACTGGTGTTCGCAGTACCAGGCCGTGTATGCCCAGTCGGGCTATACGCTCTCGAGCGGCTGTTGCAACGCACTTATGTCGGACCAGAACCAGCTGCTATCCTGCGACAACTCCCTCAGCAATATCGGCTCCACTGATCTGGCCCAGAACACCAACTTTGCGAACTGCGTTAATCAAGCGACAAGCATCATCGGAAACAGCGGAGTCAACAGCAACAGTTTGGATGTCGATCTCAAGTACTCTGGCGCAGTGTTCCAGTGCTATGGATTGGTTGGTTACAGCGATTGTGCTGCCTTTGGAACAGTGCTCTACAACGGCTGCTGAAGACCAGGGACGCACCAGCAATCCTCCGGCTCTGTCGAGTTTCATGAGCAGCCGGATCATGACACGCCCACCACCGCCTCTGCCATCCTTCGTCACCATGGCTTTCAACCTCGTTGGTTCTTTCTTTCTCTCCTCGGACTCTGTTTCTATCGCCCCTGAACATGGCTGTCTTTCAACTATTCTTTCGCCTTGGTTTCTTGCTGTCATTCGGTTATCTTCAGTCGTCAATACAATCCAACCATATTTTCTCTTATGAGCCGTCCACAGGCCCGATCTATTGCATAAACTGTGCCAGCCGATATGCCACACTTGACTCCAGCAACCCTCAGCCCGCCTCCCACAGTCGGATCGTCGTGCCTGCCCGCTCCAACCACTCGCGGCCGACCATCCGTTGTTTGGTCCCCTCGTCGCCCTTCCTCTTTCGCCAGCGCGTCGCCTTCTCCGGGTTTCGCTTGCCTGCCCATCATCCATCCGCCACCAGTCCGCCCAATCGACATGGCCGTCACCGAGCTCAAGAACCTGGCCTACGGCCCTCTGCCCCGCCAGTCGCTGGACCTGTACCTGCCCGCCTCGGCCGAGAGTGCCCCCAATACCATCGTCCGGCCTTGGCTCGTCTACATCCATGGAGGAGCCTGGCGTGGCGGCAACAAGTCCCAGTTTGAGTTCCTTGGGCGCTTCTTTGCGTCTCGCAACATCCCGACGGCATGCGTCACCTATCGCCTCAGCGTCAAAAACGACCCAGAGTCGCCTCGACACCCCGTCCATGTGGAGGATTGCGCCAAGGCAATCGCCTGGCTCTCGCAGCCCAACGCAGCGTTCGCCGCATTTGCCCCTCCAACCAAGCTGTACCTCTGCGGCCATTCGGCCGGTGGTCAGATCACCGGGCTCCTGCACCTCGATCCTCACTTTCTCGAGTCGCTGGGGGGCAAGGCCCTGTGGTCGTCGGTCAAGGGCATCATCGGCGTCGAAGGCATCTACGACATCCCGGCGCTGATCGCCCGCTGGCCGAGCTACATTGACTTTATCGACATGGCCTTCACCAGCGACGTCGAGGTCTGGAAGAAGGGATCGCCTCAGTTCTACACCCTGCCGTCCGAGGGCTATCCGCTCACAAAATACCTGGTTATCCACAGCACCGATGACGAGCTCGTCGATCTCGACCAGAGCATCGACTACCATCGCCACCTGCAGCGCATGGATCCTGATGCACAGTTAGACACGAGTCTGACGGGCACCCACGATGACATGCTCAAGACGGACCTGTTCCTGGAGAGGGTGCACAGATTCATCATCGAGTCCGAAGCCCAGTAGATCTCTGTGAGATCCACGCCAATGGGTCAAGTTGATTTGGGCTGGGTCGGATACGGATCGTTCTGGGTGTGGTGCGATGCGATGCGACGAAATATAGTCCTTGCACGAGGAAGAGAAATGGAGCAGCGTGCTTGTGTGATGCACCACGAGCGGGCTGTATCTGCCGAGTGTTCTGGGTCATCGTCATCATCTTTGGTGCAAGCGATGGATAGGCGTGTACATCATGGATGAACAAATCTCTGCCATGGCAGTATCGAATAACTGTATTCGCATTGCATATCTCGGCTCCCATGGGCCAAGGCGACGGGTCAAACCAGGGCTATAGCGACTTGCGCCGGGTCTCAATGCGCACAAACGATTGAATCACATCGCCGACTTGCAGATCCTCAAAGCCCTCAATTGCGATACCGCACTCCATTCCCTTGTTGGCCTCGGTGATGTCCTTCTTGTGGTGCTTGAGGGTCTTGATCTTGCCTGCAAAAAAAGAGGCATAATGGGACCACGGCGAACCCTGGGGTGAGCTATGATGACCGCTCGAGTGTGCACATCAAGAAGACAGTTGATCTATCTGCTCTCGCAGGACCATGCCAGCGACTGAGCTCAGACGGCGTTCGCTCTGCTCACTCATGCGTAATGTCGGACGAGACCAGGCGTACCTTCAAAGAGCGTTGTTCCCGCACGGACCACCCGGACAGCACACTCCTTCTCAAGCTTGCCCGTGGTGATACGCGATCCAGCGATTGTCTCGAACTGGTTCTTCTTGGTGTTGATCTTGAAGAGCTGCAGTACATCGGCTTCGCTCTTGACCTCGAACGCTACGTCTGGAGGCAGACGCTCCAGGAGGGTATCCTTGACGTGATCGAGCAGTTCGTAGATGATTTTGAACCCGTGGATGGGGATCGCCCGCGATTCGGCCATGCTCTGCATCGATCGGCTTGCGGGCAGGTTAAAGGTGATGATGGAGGCTGGTTGCATACAAGTAAATTGGTACATCGTTAGCTCAAAAATGGCCCTTGGACGAGTCTCGGCTGTCTGGCTTGCTCTGCCACTCCCCTTGGCTCGTCTGGGGGCATAGGATCGACCGCGACCGACATCCTGAGCGAGCAAATCGCCTCCAAGCATCCCGTGTCGCATGCACCTCCCACCGCCGTTCTAACCTTTAGCAACCTCGGCAAGGTCAATATCAGATTCGCTGATGTTGCCCACGCCCGAGCCAACAATCTTGAGCTCGATTTCATGGGAAGGGAAGCCAGCGAGTGCATCGGTGATGGCCTCCAGCGAGCCATCGACATCGGCTTCGAGTTCCATGAGACCATGCCAATAGGTTAATATCTAAGCCAACGGCACAGACGAACATCACAGCCCAATGGCACGAGCAAAGGGCTCAGGCCCGCTCACCCTTGAGAATGATGTTGACCGTCGGCTTGACAAATTCGGGGGTCTCGGGCTCGGTCTCTCCGCCTGTCTCCGCCTTGCTTCTCTCGAGCGCTCTTCGCTGTTGCTCGCGCTGGACATTGATTTTGTCGATCGACTCGAGCTGCTTCTGGCGCTCCAGACGAGTGATCCGGGTTTCCACAACGTCCTTAGCAAGGGCCTGGTCGGTCAGGGGAGGGGAGGAAACATGAGTCCAATCGGACAGATGGGTATACGGGGCTGTACCTATGGGTTCTCCTCATCGGCACGCAGCAATCGCCTTTGATATGTGCTGCCACTAGCAGCTGTACTGCGGCTGCATGCGTGTTCAGTCTTGTGAATGGCCCACCTCGCTTTCGGCGCCAATGACCTGGTCGCCTGCAGAAGGCAGCCCCTTCCAGCCGTTGATGCGAACGGGTATCGAGGGTCCGGCTTCCTTGACTTGACGGCCGTGTTCGTCTGTCATGGATCGAACTTTGCCCCAAGTGGTGCCGGCGACAATAACATCGCCAGGGCGAAGAGTGCCGCGCCGGACAAGGACCGTGGCGACGTTGCTGACGGATCGCGCACAGACGGATATTTGCACAGGTCAGCATCGATCCTTGGAAGCCGGGGCATGATCGCACTGCCCTCCAACCTCGCCCCAAGAGTAAAGGTGCAAAGCAAAAGCCGCGCACAGCTTACCCAAGGCCCATGGCAACATGCGACTCGATCACAAATGCCTCTGGGAGTCCGCTTGCATCACCGCGGATATCCATCATCTCTGCGACTGCCAGGATCGTCTCCTCGAGATTATCGAGACCCTGGCCCTGTTGAAAGCAGTGAGATCGAGAGGGTTGGGACGAGCGAGCGAAATTTAGGGTGTGCCCAGGTCCAACGCAAGATTTCCAAACACTCTCCGGTTCGGCAACTGACCGTCAAACCCGAGACCTCGACGGCAGGGACATCGCCGCCATAGTCCTCGACAACAACTTCGTATCGGGTAAGTTCCTCCTTGACTTTGCTCTGCGATTTTGGTCGGAATATGGGTTAGCCTCGATCCTGTGATGGATATGCTTCATCTGGCGGCGGGGTGGTATGTACCGGGTTGGCCTGTGGCTTGTCGCATTTGTTGATGGCGACGATGATGGGCGCTACACGCAAGAGCAAACGTGGCTGTGTCAGCATTCACAACACTCGCGGTGCCATGGATGCTCCAAGCATTCAACATGGGCAGAGCTATCACAGCATTGGTGTATTTGTCCAGATGCCGTCCCGCATGTGCAGACCCAGCCGAACGTGGTCAATCCAGGTTCGGTTCCACTTACCCCCGGCTTCCTTGGCGTGCTTGATCGCTTCCACGGTTTGGGGCATGATTCCGTCGTCGGCGGCAACCACAAGAACGACAATGTCGGTGGTCTTTGCACCACGTCGCCGCATGGCGGTGAAGGCGGCGTGTCCCGGTGTATCCAAGAACGTAATGTGCTTCATGGAGGGCAGCGTAACTGCAGCATTCAGGAGGAGCAAAGCGCCTGCCGTTAGCGGTGCTTTCACAACCCGGCCGCTGCTGTGATCGTCGTATCGGACAGCGGTCTTACCCGAGAACGCGCCAATGTGCTGGGTGATTCCGCCGGCTTCTCCGGCTGCAACAGATGTCTTCCGCAGAGAGTCGAGCAGGGTGGTTTTGCCGTGATCGACGTGGCCCATGATGGTCACGATCGGAGCTCTCAAAGGGAACTCGGACCAGGACTCAGGCTCGGGTCTGCGGTGGACCATGGTGGAGATTCTCGGTTAGCGCGGTCGAGCACAAGCAGCCGGGTACTCGGCAAGTGTCCGCATACCAAGGATTTGATATAAATCGAATCAACGACTCGACTCGCTGATTTGCAACCAAAATGATGCGCACCTGGGCTCCAGATCCACTGCGGTCGTGGTGAGCATGACGGGTATGACGTTGAGCTCCTGGGCAACCAGGCCAGCCATTTCCTGGTTCAAGACTGATAGACGCAGCAATCCATTCCGTTAGCATCAGGAAGGATACGGCCATGCTCTCTCCTGGTCCGAAGCCCACTCGCCAGACCAACGCAGATTGTGCTCAAGTATGCGACTCGACCGGGACTGAACATACGAAGGTCCGGTGTTACGGCATCGAAACCAAGGTTCTTCATTTTCTTGGACAGATGACCTGACGTCCATATGCCAGACATTTCATTTCGGGGGGAAGAAACAAGAGTGAGCGTCAGGCTTATCCATGCAGCCAGTCACATTTTAGGCAGTGGTATCCCTTCTGCCATCAGCGGTACCGCTTCTCTCAGCAGCGGATCCGTCGCTGACTGTGCAATTGGATCGTGAGTCGGCTCCATCGATGCCGCCGTCTTTAGCTGTTCAACATACCGACGGAAATTCCGACAAGGGATGCAAGATTCGCCACCGTGATGGCCTCGGGCACCTGGATCTCCTTTGGCTTCTGCTGCTCCTTTTTCTTCTTCTTTCGCTCCATAAACTCGTCGTCGTCATCAAAGTCATCGTCGTTGTCTTGCTGCCGCCGGGCGCCCTGGGTGGGCTTGCCTTTCTTGGGCTTGAGGTTGGGTGAGTCGACCTGGACTTCGATGCGGCCCTTTCCTTTCTTGTGTCGCTGTTGTTTGCCGCGATCGTCCACGCCGTCATCAAAGTCGCTGGCGTCGTCGATGGCCGCATTTTCGTCATAGAAGTTGGCGTCGCTGGCCTCCGCACCAGCCTTGGAGCCGCCCTTGAATGAGCCTCCAGCGGCCGGTCGGCCGAATCGCGATCCGGAGGAGCCTTCGGTCGACCGCTGGTCCGTCGGGCGGATCGAGTCCATGGGGCTGCGGCTGAACTTGCTGCTGGCCCCAGCCCGGTCAAATTTGTTACTGCCGCTGCTCCCGGTCCGATCGAACTTGGACTGTCCGGTGAACTTGGAGGCTCCATCGGATCGGGCAGTCCACTCTGGCTTTGGAGTGCCGTCGAATCGGCTGGGCTGCTGCGACGAGAATTTGGACGGCTGCGAGAACCCGCTTGACTTTGGGCGATCGGACCCAGAGGACGGATATGATCCCGAAGTACGGTTGATCCTGGAGAATAATTCGTTGGATCTCGAGAATGAACCACTTGATCCCGGTGTCCGCGGACTGCCTGAAGAGTCGCCGTCTCTGGACGAAGGACTGCTGTTGTTGGGAGTGGTGGTGTTGGATTGCGGCCGTTGGTAGCCTCCAAAGCGAGAGGGAGCACTATCCCGTTTCCAGCCATCCGGAGGTCGGGCCGATTTTGAAGCTGCCGGGCGTGCCGATTGCTGGCTCCGGTTGGAGTCGGTTGCCCGCTGTAGAATATCTTGCAGCGACGGCGGGGGCTTGTCGGAAATGTGTCGGCGACAGTGGCTGTCGAGCTGGATCGCGAATGGCTCAGACGCCGTCCTGGCCCGCCGGAACAGAATGTGCGAGCACGGGCGACGGCTTGCGGAACGAGAGCACCTCCACATTCCTTCAACAGTGGTGATGAATGGTGGTGTGTGGCAGATTCAGGGCACGAAGCTGGGCAGGTCGAAGGGGAGGTCCTGCTGAAGCCAGCGGCGGATCTGGTTTGAAGCGGGATCAAAAATTTTCGACGCGCAGTCACTCTGATTCCCAGGCAGATGCAACTTGGCTGGACGGTATGCATGGGATGGTGCATCCCGGTGCCCATCTGTGTCTGCACTGCAGCTCGACAAGTGGATATATTGAACCAAAAAGAAGAAATCGACAGTCGAATACACAAGACATGCTGCCAACAGTATCCTCATAACCAGTCGTGGATGTCGAGAAGTGGACGGCACCCGCCAACACTCAAACAATCATGAATAAACTGAAAGGCTTCTATCGAAGCGGCATTACAACAAGGGTGAGCACACACATTTGAATCGTGTCGAGCAACCGATGGATGTTGATTGTGGCGGTCTCCAGAGAGACCACGGCGCAACTATTGCTGGGCTTGCACTGGCACGGGCTCTAGTTGATCGCAATCTTCTTGGCCTCGGGAGGAGGCGGCAGTGCCTTCTTGCCAATCTTGAGCTCGAGGACACCGTCGGTCATCTTGCCCTGGATGCTCTGGGCGTCCACAGTCGGGGGAAGCCGGATCTTGCGCTGGAACTGGCCGTACGAGCACTCGACCATGTGGTAGGTGTCCTTCTTTTCCTCGTGCGAGGAGCGGCGTTCGCCCTCGATCGTGAGCACATCGTCGAGCAGCGACACATGGACGTCATCCTGTGGTGGGAACATGTGCGGTTGTGAGTCGGAGGTGCTGTTTCGGCTGCAACAAGCACGGACAGGTATGGACAGGTATGGACAGGCATGGACAAGATCCCCTGCTGCGGATGGACATGCAACTCGACGCCTACCTTCTTGAGTCCGGGGAGGTCGGCCTTGACAACAAACTCGGTTTCGTTCTCGATGACATCCAGGCGCGGGGTCTTGTAGAATCCCCAGCCGCTGGGAGCCGGGCGCGACACCGACTGGCCCTCCGACTGGCTGCCGGACTGGTTGTCCGAGGACTGTTCAGGCTGCTTCTCGCCCTCCTGTGCAGATGCAGCGAGGCGGTCGTCGGCAATCAGCCGGTTCATCAGATGGTTCATGCGGCCGAACACGCGGCGCTCGTACTCAAAGGGATCTTGGAAGAACGGGTCCGAGTTGAAGAGGAAGAGGCTCATGGCGATGTTGAGAGGGAAGTGCTGGGCTGAGTGAGTGGGCTGAGTGAGTGGGCTGAGTGGGCTGAGTGAGCTGAGAGACTTGCTTGCTTGAAGTTAGCGACGGACCTCCCTTGCCGAGGTGCCCGCGGCAATTTATATCTCGAGGGCCGTATGCCCCAAGGCACGCATCCGGTGCTGTGCGGAACGACTGCAAGTGGCAATATTTCTCGCACGCACGCACTCGCCCGAGGATCAACGCAGGTCCTCGAATGTGCTGGAAACGACGCGAACGCCGCCCAAGCCAGGATGGCTCTCCCCGTGATCCCATCGCCGCCAATCAGCGCTGCGATCCGGCCGCACAAGGAACGGCATCGAAACACGGCCCTGGATCAAACAGCAACGATACCAACCAGGATACCAACCGCGAAACCAGCCAGGATGCCGACGCGCAGAGGGTGCTGGAGCGAGCGGGAAGGATGCAGAGCCTGGATGACGCACGATGCATGCATGTGGAGCACTCTCTGTGGAAGAGATGGCCATGCACATTGCTGGTCGCCGTCGGCCTGCTGGGTGTCGGCGGGGGCTGCAAGCGAGCGACTGTTCCAGACCATGACCGCGGGATGCATCCAAGTCGACTTGGCATCCGCATGCTGCACCCATGGTCGCGAATGTCATCTGTCCATGCAGCACTTTGGCTCGGTGCTGAGGTATATCGGCTGTGCTGATGCCGCTCAGACAAATCGCCCCGTCCTGTTCCCCTGGCACACGGCGTCAAGTGCGATCTGGACTGTATTGCAAGTTGGCACCACAGTTGCCGCGATGGTGGTGCATTCAAGCGGATCAATTCAGTCCACAAAAGCTCAAAAGATTTGCAATGACTTCCAGTAACAAAGATCAGGGGCTGAAGAATGAGGTCGCCATGCAAATGCAGTTGCTTCCTTCGTGTCAGAGTCGATGACATGTAACTAGATTTTGTTGCGGCTTGGTATTTTCTGGTTTTGCTGAATGAAGATGCGAGTGCGGCAAATCAGACTCAGTGGAACAGCTTCTTGAGGAGGTCGTGGGGCTTCTTGGATGAGGTTTTGACGGACAGATGGAATCTGGACGTACGTCTGTCCTCTTCGACTGCCCTGGCCTCCTCGGCAATCCTTCTCGCCTCCTCAAGCTTTCTGGCTTCGTCGATCTGTCTTGTCTGATCCTCGAGGAACGCTGCTATCTCGGGACTCGCAAGGATGCTGGCACTTTGGGACTGGTGATTTGGATCGGGGGAGTCGGCAAGGTACTTGGCATATATGATACGGGTCTGCGGAGTGTTGAGGTATATCGGCTGTGGAGATGCCAAGGTCAGCATGTGTGCCATCGAGCCTGAGCAGCAGCAGGAGCAAGAGACATGATAGTCTAAACTTACCAAGATGCAGGTCGGCTGGTGTCTTGCCGCCGCGGTCCACACGACCGCAGTGAAGGGGCTGAACTCGCGACGGCCGGTGGTCTGGGGCACTTTGACGACAAAGCGGCCATGACGTATCCACTGAGGCGCACCAGGAATGTTGCTCCACTCCGAAGCGGACGAAGCCAAGGTCGTCGGAGCAGACTGGGTGGCGGAGACGCCAAAGTTACGAAGATGCTGGCCCGAGCGAACAAACTCGCCTCTCTGGCGGACCCAGACGATCTGGTGGTTTTCCCAGTCGTGCGACAGAATAGAGTTGCCGTCCGGAGCGATGGTCAGGCGGTCCACAAAGTGTGTGTGTCCGGCAAGCGTTTGCTTCAACTGGCCCGTGGGTACGTCCCACACCTTGAGGGTCTTGTCGTCCGAGCCAGACACAATCCATTGTCCGTCGGGCGAGATGCCAACCGAGTTCACCACGTCGGTGTGCTCGCTGAGAGTGTGTAGCAGCTGGCAGGCGACAGTGTCCCAGATCTTGATGATCCTTCCATTGGCCGAGCTAATTGTGACAATCAGCTTGCCATCGGGGGAGACGAACGCGGATCCCATATCGGCTTTATGACCGCTGAAGGTTCTCCTGAGCTGGCCGGTGCGGATATCTAGCTGCTTGATCGTAAAGTCACTTGCCACGACGATGATTGATCCTCCGTCGGGCGAAATGGTTGCGGCAGCGATGCCACTTGTGTGCTCCTCGGAGATCTTCTCCACTTTGCCCGTGGCGGCGTCCCACAGCTTAATGGTATGGTCGGATGAGTTCGAGACGATCCAGCGGCCGTCGGGCGAGATGGCAGTGGAGCGCACTTCGGCTGTACGCCCCGTGTCGCCGAACTCTTGGCTGTCCCAGTGGCGGTCGAGGCCAGTTGTGACCAGGAACGGGATCTTGTCCTCGAGCTGGGCAGCATACTTCTTGTAGAGCACAGTCTCCTTTGGCGTGAATGCAAATCCCGAATAATAGACCTGTGGGGCACTCGACATGATTGGATCCATAAACTCGCGGACGAATCGATATGTATCCGACACAAGTGCCTTGGTGGCGTCGTCGACGGCAGAGTTGGGCGCCTGGGCGAGCGTTCCTTGCAGCAGACCGAGTTGCTCCGTCAGCTTTGGGATCAGCCCGGTGAGGGACCCGCACTCGAGCCAGAAGAACACATGGCTCTCGAGGAGCTGAGCAAGCTGGTTCCCCAAGCCCGAGGCGCGGTACTGTTTCCAGATCTGCCGGTCAAAGGACTTGTCATGCAAGCACCACAGGTAGTGCGTGACCCAATGGATGGTGCTATATCGGAGCGAGGGGGAGATCTTGGCCTTGATCTTGCCTTCGAGATCGGGAATGTTGTCATGGAAGTCATAGATGTCGCAGATGTTGATAGCAGGCACGTTCGCGAGGATTGCCTGCAGACATTGCGAGGCAAAGGCCATGTGGAACCGCGCGGAAACGTGGAAAGGCTGGTCGGCAGATGCGTCTCCAAGGAGATAACTGACGACCAGCTGGTGCCCCTGGGCCTTGATATAGGCTTGGTCTTGGCTGCCCTCGCCGAGTTTGCCCGGGTCGAGGACAGGGGTTAGGTCCTTGACGCACCGGCGCACAACGCGGAGGTCGATCTCAAAGAGTCCAATAATGGTGCGGATCGTCAGGGGAGATCGCGATGTGGCGATTGCGGCAATCAGCACGGACAGTTCTTGCGGGTGGCGGGTCTGCTCGTAGATGCTGGCAAAGGCCTGCTGGTACAGCGTGTGGATGTCGCCTTCGGGAGGAGTGGTGGTGCTGCCCGCGATGGCGAACCAGAGTTCAAAGTCGTCGTCGTCATCGTCGTCGTCGGAGTCCAGGTCGACGTCAGCGCCAAAGTTGAGGAGCTGCAGCGTATCACTCAGACTCTGGGTGGGCCGTATCTTTGGCGCGAGCACTGACGAACGTATCGACTGCGGCGTGAGGGGGGCGGCCATGGAGGTCCGCGGGGCAGAATCGCGCTCAGCTGGCTGGAGCGACTGGGAAGGCAGAAGCGACTGGGAAGGCAGGAGCGACTGGGAAAGCTGGTGCGACTGGGAAAGCTGGTGCACCATGTGAACGGACGGCTCATGGTTCACGTCCTGCTGGCGGAGCTGATCGACGAGCTGGCGCAGACTTGCCAGGATATCAACAAACTTGGGCCGCTGGGCGGGATCCTGGTGCCAGCAGCGCTCGATCAGAGCCCGGATGTCGTTCGGAACGCCTTCGAATCGATTTGGTCGATTACCCTTCAGGACTTGGCGCTCAATTGCAGTCGGCCGCATCGGTTGGTCGTCGACGGTGACCCAGATGGGCTTGCCGTTGTTGAGCACCACGTACATGGTGATGCCAAAGGCATAGACATCGGTGGCTCTCGAGGAGCCGGTCGGTTGCTCGTCGTCGAGCATTTCGGGGGCCATGTAGTCGAGGGTGCCGCCGGTAGACTGGTCGCGGCGGGTGCGGTTGGCGGTGGCCGAAGTGTGCTTGGTGCGGGACATGCCAAAGTCAGTCACGACGGCATTGAAGGAGCCATCGAGCAGCACATTGAGGGACTTGAGGTCGCCGTGGACAATGTTCTTGCCGTGGAGATAGGTCATACCAGAGGCAACTTGATACAGGAGCCGGATCTTCTCGCCGAGCGGCCGGGGATTGGCGGTGCCAGAGATGTAGCTGTGCAGGGTGCCGTTGGGCATGAGTGGCGAGACCATGAAGGGCCTCACTGCAGTGTCGCAGGCGCCGAGGAGGGGAAGGACATGGGGGTGGTTGAGCTTGTGCCAGATGCCGATCTCACGGCCAAAGTCGACCAGCTCGCTCTGGTTGTAGCCGCAGAAGAGCTGCTTGACGGCGACAGGGGCGCCGTAATACGAGGCGGTGTAGACCTCGCCGAAGCCGCCGGTTGCAAGGGGGGTGGCGGACCAGTCGGTGATGGCGTCTTCGGGGATGTACCACGATTTTTCAGACATTTCAGCGGAGCGGAACGGAGCAGGGAGACAGACGGAGATGGAGATGGAAGCGACGATGGCGATGGGGACGGTGGGAAGCGGGCCCGCTATTTATACCGGCGAGGAGGGGTGGCCCAGCGGCACCAACGGCAGGGAACGCATGCGAAGTGGCTTGCTGTTTGACCCGCGACCTCGCCACCGACCCATTTGGCAGGTCGTGTGACGACACTGCGCAGCGTGTTCTGCCACAGGCCCGGTGGCGGTACACTCGTCGTCCGGCTCTCGCTGAGAGCACCGGCCATTGCGGTGCTTGCATCGCAAACAGGGTTCAGCGAGACGATCTGTTGCTCGGGCAGCGGTTGTGCCGGGCTGGGATGGGTTGCGCTGGGATGGGCTGCGCTGGGATGGAGCTGGGATGCTCGTGTCTGTCTTGCTGCCCCGACGCCGATGCAGATTCATCTCGCGAGCGATGGGACTCGCTGGGAGGAGAGATATTGCAGAGCAGCGCACGACAACGTCGCAGGACAATGTCGCAGGACAATGTCGCAGGACAGCGCAGCCGGTATCTGAGCTCCCTGATGGCACCCCTTGCGGCTCACCAGACCCGCGTCGGGTATCTGGCATGTCATTGAGGGTCGCCTCGTTCGGGCGGTATCAAGTCCGAAGAACCCACGTGCGTGATCCTTGGCGCCACTCCAGGCATTGCTTTCGTCGACCCACCCCATCCTTCATCCTCCATCCGCCAACTTCCATCTGCCCCATCAAGCAGCCGATAAGCATGGCCATCACCTGGTCTTCGTCGTATGCGCTGCCGCTTGCAATCGCCGGTGCAATCGCGGCGTACATGGTCCTTCGTCGGCCCCGCCATCTCCCAGATATTCCCGGCGACTACCAGTGGCCATTGGTCGGCAATCTGCCCTATCTCCTTCCGTGCGTGCCCTTGTCCATTGACTGCTTTGGATCACCTGTTGCTGCTGCATGCCATCGTATTTTGCGAGCTTCACTCCTTTGGTCAGCCTGTTCTTGTTCGCTCCCACAAGCTCGCTGACAATCCTGTCGCTCTGCTCCACACCATCCAGATTCAGCCGAAAGAGCAAGAGTCATCTCTATATGCGCCGGTGCATGCAGCTCTACGGCAAGGTTGACCAGGGATACATATTCGGCAACGTTTTCGTTAATTTCTCGGACGCCAATGTCGTTCGTGAACTCTTGCGTCAGGATGAAAACGGCGCTATTGTCCGAGGCGACATTGTTCAGAAAGCCTTCCGGTAAGCGATGCCAACTTGCATCGGAGTTGCGTGACGAGATGGATCGATGTCAATCACCCAACAGCATTCGGAGACTGCCGCTGAAAACTCCACATCCACATCCATATCACCCTCAACATCCACATCTATATCACCCTCAACATCCACATCCATATCACCGCCAACATCATGCTCATATACTCGCCGTATCATCTCTACTTCGATTCTCTCACACCAACAATGGCGCTCGTTTTCAGCGGTGTCGGGAACTGGATTCTCTTTTTGATGCCGATGGACCGCCACTGGAAGCGTCACCGCAAGATGATCCAGCCAGGCTTTGGGCCTGCCCAGCTGCGACGCACCGCCGTCTCAACCAACGAGTTTCTGGATACGCTGCTCGAGCACTGGATCAGCACCGACGCCTCTGTCGTCGACTTCCACACGATCGCCTCCGCCGTGATCATGGACATTCTGTGAGTATCATTGGACCATCTGCTGATATTGCTGGGAGCCGTGTGATCTGCGCATGCACAGGCTGCAGCGGCTTGCTGACCACGGTCGCTTTGATATTCTTGATCGCCTTCGCGGTGGTCGCTTGGGCCGCAGGGGCGACGTCGGCTTCTCGTACCGGTTCAACATGGTCAAACACCTCGACGACCCAGAGAAGCTCAACGAGATCTTCCAGCCCTTCGATCGCCTCTTCCGCATCAGCTTCGAGCGATCGCGCTATCCAGCCTTTTTGTGGGAATGGTTCAATCTCGGGGACGACCAAATCAAGCCGCACATCGGGGCTCTGCACACCCTCGTCCTTGCCGTCTTGAACGAGCGCCGCGCGGCCGAAGCCTCGGTACTGAAAGCAGAAGCCCGGGACATTGTGGGCCGCCTGATCTGTGTCGACGACGAGGGAAGCGAGCAATTCACGGACGAGGAGATATGCGACGAGCTCCTGGGCTTTTTCTTTGCCGGACACGAGTAAGCAGCTTCCTCGGTCCAGGCAAATCGTGCGCCGATCATTGGCTTCTTCGATCGCATCCGGAGTGCCGGCTAACGCCAGTTTGGTATCGGATTCCCGCCAGAACGACTGCCAACACCCTGACCTTTGTCGTGGCTGAGCTCGCCCAAAACCCTGCCGTCGCCGAGCGACTCTACAACGAAATCCACAGCATCCTCGGCAGCGATGGCATTCCCAGCCATGACCAGCTGAGTGACTTCAAGTAAGCTCTCCATCGCGCCAAATGGCACTTGATGGCGCAACTGCCATCGACTCGGCTATGCTGCGATGCCGACAGAGTCCTCTCCCACGACATCTGACTTGTCCTCGATCCAGGTACCTCGACAAGGTCCTTAAGGAGACTCAGCGGCTGCATTCGGTTGTTCCCATCATCTTGCGATTCGCTGTCCGGGACACAACAGTCGCGGGCTACAAGATCCCGAAGGGCGTAAGTGTGCTGTCATGGCATACGCTATCATGGCATACGCTGTCGTGGCATACTCTGTCGTGGCATACGCTGTGTGGCATACTCTGTCGTGGCATACGCAGTCGTGGCATACGCAGTCGAGAACACATTTGTTTCCCCCTATCGCTCACTTTCGTGCCTGTTTCAACCACAGGCTCACATCGGTATAAGCATCGACCATATCCACCACAACCCCGAGTACTGGAAGGACCCAGACGTTTTCAACCCCGATCGCTGGGACGAACCCATTGTTCCCGGGAGCTTCATTCCCTTTGGCGACGGTCCGATGAACTGCATCGGCCAGAAGATGGCCGTGATCGAGAGCAAGATCTTTGTGATCCGTCTGGTGCAAAAGTTCCGGCTCCACATCGTCAACCCAGATCAGCTCGACCCGATCTACTCGATCACACTCGGATACAAGAACGGACTCGACATCCGACTGGAGAGACGTTGAGGACATCCCGCACTGCATGGTCCTTGAGGAGCATTGTGGCAGCTCGCCATCAATAGAACAGAACTAGATGAGCCGATCCTGTTGTCGCTGCCCGAGCCAGAGAATCGGCCCGCATCAAGCACACCGCCCAAAAATAGTGCATGCGCAGCGATGTGCGTGCATTCCATTGGCCCGCTGGACCAACAAACGGCTGTTTTCGCCGAATGTTGTGCATCGAGCGTCCGGTTGGATGGTGTGTCGACCTGGCTCTGCCTCTGGATCTGCCTCTGGATCTGCATCTGGATGAACCGCTTGCTGCTGGGCCTCTGCTTCCAGCGCCGACCCCACCACAGCACCGCCCAGGCTCTCGCCCCTGGCCCACACCCCGAACTCGTCTCGGTGCTCTCAGCCCGGCTGTCGGCCATGATGACTCACTCTGCCATATCATACGAAAACAAGCTGATCCTGGCGCCGATGGTGCGGGTCGGCTCCACTCCGATGCGGCTGATGTCGCTCAAGTATGGTGCCGGTAAGCCGGTGGAGAGCGGATGGGATGGAAGCGACTGAGTCGTGCCTGGACGTTCGAGGGAGAGGCCAGAGCATCCCCGAGGGAGCCTCGATTGAGCTGGGTGTGCTATGGCATGGAATCGGCATCCAGCCCCGGATTCGGCAGCAGATGCCATTTGGCTCATGGTGCAGCATCGGTCCATGCGCTGCATGCGGATGTCGTCTCGGCACTGACATCCTGGTCCTCTCGGCACCGGCCGCATCATCCACAACCTGCGTCGTCTGCATCGGCCATGCCACTCCAAAGATCTCGTCTACAGCCCCGAGATTGTCGACAAGCGACTCATCCGAGCCACCCGCATCGTCAACGGTGAGAGCGCCAGAGCATACCCACGCTGTCGGGCACCGAAGACGGATCCGATGGATCCACATCAACCTGTGCTCGGCTCGGTCCCGCTGACCGACCCGCCTGCTTCTCCTCACCGCCATGCCACAGAGCTCCTCGGAACAGTTGACTTTGTCGACTCGATCGATCGGTCGCTGACGCTCCGGATCCACCACTCGGAGAAGGACAGGCTCGTTGTGCAGATGGGCACCGCTAACCCGGAGCTGGCGGTGCAGGCTGCGCTGAAAGTGTATGTTTCCGATGAGAGGAGTGTGCTGAGGGGGATGCATGCGAGTTGCAAGACGGAGCCGAATGCCAGAGAAGTGGATGGCGGCACCGACGGCCCCAGCTCAACCAGGAGGAGGACCAAGCAGATCGATCTTGCTGGAGAATACTCGTCAACGAGCCTGGACATGGTGCAAACATCGGAACCCGCATTGCTGCGATATCATTCTCTGGACTGGAATGGAATGGACTGGACTGGGCTGAGCTGACACATCGAATCTCATGGCAACCCCAGCGCCGGCGACTGTGCTGCAATCGATGTCAACTGCGGATGCCCCAAGCGGTTCTCGGTCATCTCCAACATGGGCGCTGCCCTGCTCACACAGCCCGAGCTCCTCTGCAGCGTAAGGCCCTGTCGCCAATGCGAGATGTGGGCACCGCAGCTATCGTCAACGAGAGTGTTGGATTTACCTCGCCGATGTGACTGAGCCGTGGTTGCCTCCGATGCTCAGATCTTGACGAACCTGGTCCAGAACGTGCCGCTGCCGATTACCTGCAAGATTCGGTGGGTGCACATGTCACATCGTGTGGATATTCCACATTGCGATGCTGGGCTGTTGCTCGTGCTGGGCACCTTGCCAGTCATGGTGGCTGCTGCAGCACAGGATGGGATATGGCTGTGGGCCAGGAAACTCACGGACATTGTCTGGACTGGACACATGCATCCGCACCAGGATGCTCCGGACACCGGAGGAGACGATCGAGTTGGCCAAGAGACTCGAGGCGACGGGGATCAAGGCCCTCGCCCTCCACTGCCGGACGAAGAAGATGACGGAGAAGGACAAGGGCCAGTGGTCGATCTTCAAGCCTGTGCGCGAAGCCCTGAGCATCCCGCTCATAGCGAATGGCGACTGCTTCAAGGCCGATGATGTTGACAAGCTGAAGCGGCTGACAGGTACCAGCAGCAATTCAGGGCCGGGGGTGTGCCGCAGCGACCCCAGACGGAGACATGGTGCAGTGGGGAGCATGGTGTTGCGGATGCACACTGGCACAGCTGGCCGGGTAACATGGGATGCCACTGACGGATGAGCCTGGCTGATGGGATGGGATGGGTGAGTCTCACTGGTGGGATGGGATGGGTGAGCCTGGCTGATCGACTGGCAATGCCGACCGTCTCCGCAGGTGTTTCGTCCGTCATGGTTGCCCGGGGTGCCCAGAAGAACATCTCCATCTTCCGAGGGCCAGGCAATCAACTCGACCCGTGGGATGTGATGGTCGACTACTGCAAGACAGCCATCGAACTCGACATGCCCTTCCACAATGCCAAGTACACCCTGCTGACGATGTGGTCCAACGTGCGCAAGTCTCGTGGCGAGTCGCCGCAGCGGATCTCACGGACTCGCAGCATGCGGCAGGTCTGGTAAGTGCCCTGGAACATTGGTTTCAGCCAGCAAGAACGAAAAGTGTTTATGAACCGGGGCGGGAAGGTTTCTCTGGCGGGTACTGTTGCTGACAGTGCCTCAACTGTGGTTGCGGATGCAGCGAGGTCCTCGGCATCGAAGAGTTCTACGACCAGCAACTCCAAGCCCGCCATGAACTGGCCGAGAAGCTGCAGCGGCTCGATCTGCTGGCGGAGGAGCAGACAGGAGAGCTTGGTGCAGGTGAGTGCTCGGGCTCGGGCTCGTGGGCGGACTTGTGCTTTGGCTTCGATGCGAGTGCACCGGCAGTGGCCGATGATTGCCGATATCGCCTGCTGATGCCGCCTGCTGATACCGCTTTCTGATACCACTTGCTGATACTGCTTGCTGATACCGCTTGCTGATGCCTCTCGCCGCCAACGACAGACTGTCCTTACATCCCCAACGAAGCATATGCCCCGAGCGAAGCCAGCGACGACGCGGGCGATGGCTGGTTCTCGGACGAGGAGGGAGGCTTTGGAATTGGGGCGCTGGGAGACTCGGACGCTGCCGAGCCCACGCCATAGCAGCCATGTCGATGTTGCCAGTCGGCGCCCGTGCATCGCATCCACTTGCTGTTGTCGCCGTCAGTTCATCACACAGATCTTGCTGCTGTCTCTTGCCTTTCCCAAAGTGCGCCGCTTTGCAGGACGGACAGCGGCCCCATGTTGCCGAATCCGCTCAGCCGCTGTCCTGGACGGCCAAACAGACCGCGCGCATTCCTGGACCCGGCACGTCTGTCCCTGCGTCGGCACGCCAATGCCCGGGCCCATGCCCAGACGGCTCCTCCGCCTGGAGGGCACATCCCCAGCTCGATATTGCGTTTCATCGATGCTCGGCGCCCGGGGCCTTGTCGAGATGACGATACTACTGCGGCAACGACTTCGTCGAGTCGCTTTGGCGCTGTCGTCGAGACATCATCCACCGTTACTGGTCGTTATGTATGGCCCTGTTGTGGACACCTCGCCGGCCCAACGACATTCAACTCTTGCTTGCGCTTCCGACAGACCGTTCGCCGTTGTCGGCGGTCCGGCTGGCCAGCTATGCCCCGCGGATGGCGGATCCTTGTGTTCGTCCGCAAGGAGATCAGGTTCCCTCCCTGGTCCATTCTCGTCCCGGCTCCCGCGCGTGCTCCCACGAAGACGACATTGTGCGCCGTGTTTCATACCCCGCCTCCGGCGATACTCTGGACCGACCGCTTCTCCTTCCGTTCTCTCGCCCGGTCGGCTGCTTTCCAGCATATCGCTCCATCGGTCCGGTCAACGTTCTTTCTCTGCTTGTCCTCAGCCTCACCCATCTCCTATGAGCCCCAAGCCAATCGAAGCTGCCTCCCAGGCCCAGCCGGATCAGTTGCTCGTCGATGCGGTATCCGTTTCGCCCAGCACGCTGACACCAGCACCTCAGGACGCATCGTCGGGGTCGTCCACGGCCATTGGCTTCATCGCCGGTCTGGGGATACTGACGACCGTCGTTCTAGTCGTCGTTGTTGTGCTCTTCTGTCGCTCTCGCCGCAGATGCACACACCGCCGATCGATCGCGCAGATCATGTCGGGCCGAGATGTTGCATATGCATCGGCTTTGGACTGCGTCGAATCCCACGCTCCCGAGGAGAGAAGCCCCCAGCCCCGGAGCACCTCCAAGGGGAGCCTCTCGTTCTGGCCTGCCCCGGCTCCAGCTCCCAAATCGTCGTCGTCTGAGAAGAAAGCCCTCGACTCGCCTGCCCATAACCCTTTGCCTCGCCAACCACCCGGCCTCATGCAGCGCCTCAAAGAGGCGCTCTTTTCTCCCCATCCGCACCGCTTCTCGCCAGCATTTGGCATCAGCGAGATTGCCACCAAGCTCCAGACACAACGATCGTCACAGCCGCAGCCGATTCCCTCGGTGCTTGTGAACCTTGGCCTGCCCGGTACCGACATCTCACCGCACAGCCGCCCCAGAGCCGCCGCCTCGTCGCTCACAGAGGCGGATCTCCGCAACCCTGTTCTCACAGCAATCGTCTCGCGCAGCCACCTGGCCGACGAGAAGGACGAGATCAGCCTGCAGATGGGCGACACCGTCCAGGTCTTCAAGCTCTTCGACGACGGGTGGTGCTATGGCGCCAGGATCCAGGCCGTCGGCCAGACATCGACGGCCGCACTGATCAAGCCGGGCATGTTTCCGGTGTCTTGCCTGGGTCAGTTGCGGCCCTGAGCTGCTTCTGTTGCTCCTGGTGCTCTGTGGCTCCTCGTCGCCATGATTCGTTCCCACGAGACTGTACCTCAACTTTTCTTGGTTTCATTCGTCTCTCTCTACTTGATTCACGCTGCACATTCGCTCCATCATAGGTTTCATTATGTCTCGCCCATTGTTCTTCCCCCTCAAGCCACCGGTGCATATCACTCATATTTGTGTCGCTCTCACGTTGCTCCAACGGATCCTATCTACATTCGGCGGCTCAAACGAGCGAGTTGCCATGCTACTTTACATCATCCGATTCATCATCCGATTCTTCTCCAGACTCTTCCAGCTCTATGGGCACCATTTCATTTTATTCCATTCCATCCAACTCCCTTTCACTCCATTCTATTCTATTCCATTCCAGTACATTGCATTCTATTCTATCCCGTGGCAGCGCTTTCGGGTACTGCCGCGCAACCAGCACTACCGCCGCACTCTGACTGTTCCGGCAGCGGGATGCAGTCTGTGTGAATAAAGTCCATTGGTTAAACCACCGGATCCCATCGCCGACCGTTTACGGGACGGTCAAAGCCATCGGACTGGCGGGGAAAGAGATCATGCATCCCTTTCTGGACAGTCGAGTCCTTCAGGAGATTTGAATGAGGCAAACTCTGGTCGAGCGGCGTATATTTCGAGCCCGAAGCACTGTTAGAATAAAGCGGATAAAGGATGGCGTAATACACTATATACAGAATAGAATAAGAGCGATTATGTACGGAAATACACTGCAGGAGCCAAGCACCTGCAGAGAGTGGCTGTGATTGTGACTGCGGGAGAGGGATTGCCCCATCAAGAGATGGGAGAGGTGTGGCAAGAGGAGGCGGAGGAGGCGGAGGAGAGAAGAGAGGTGCAGATGAACGATTTTTGAGTGCACGGGCCATGAAGAAATCAATACGAGGCTCGTAGAAGAGCAGTCGTGAATGGGGCCAGCAGCGTGCTGCATGTATGATATGGGATCATTGAGTCTTGATGGATGGCAGGTGGAAGGAAACAGAGGGAAGCTTGTGGCTCACAAACCAGCGCTGAGCTTCTGGATGGCAGCGTGCATCTTGGCGAGTTGGATGCGGATCTGCTGCCGGGGTGTCAGACTGACTCGCTGGTTGGTCATACTCGAGAGTCTGGGTGCATGGACGAGTGGATGAAGGGCGATGAAGGGCGATCGGTCAGCGCAAAGGAGCCAGTACGAAACGGCGAACGGTCGGAATGCGAAGATTGCTGGCGGACCGAGACGATCCCGCTGCCTGGCTTGGCTATCCCTCGAAGCCGGACAAAAGGTGGGCCCTTCTCGATCTTGATCGGGCCTGTCTATCGCTCAACCACCGATGGATCCTCGCTCCGTCGCTGTTGCATTGGCCGCCACGCACTCGGGCGACCGACGGACGCTTACCCTTGGCGATCCATAACGCGCTCGAAGGAGTCGGAACGAGCATGCCGCTTCTTGATCTCGGTCGCTCGTGTGGTAATGCCGCCGAGGGGATACTGATCATCGGCGTCCAAAAAGAATGTAGAGCCGTCGAGACCGGGCAGATCGCTGAAGAGGATCTCGTCATCCGTCTCGGATAGCGAGTCGGTGTCGACCGGTTCTTGGCGGTCGCCGCACTGGGGATGGGCGGCGGCATCGTAGAGGGCAAACCGGTGCAGGAGCGTCGAAAAGTGAATGTAGGGCTGGTCCGCGGGGTACATGCACACAGGCTCGCTCTCAAAGGCCGGGCTTGGGGCGGGCCGCTCCTGGGGCTCTGGACGGCGGTGTTCGGCAAGGTTGGGCATTGAGACGGATGGGTGGTTTGTGATGGAGATGGGGGCCTGGCGAGCGTGATGGTTGTGGAGGACCGGAAGTTGAGGACGGGCGGTCTGCATGGCTGGGCTGGGGTTGTTTCGACGAGGTGGATGGGAAGAAGGAGCAGCCGATCGACAGGAGGAAAGCGGGAGATCATTCGGGGTCAGACGGGCGGGAACAGGAGGGGGAGCAACGAGAACGGAGATGGGGCGGAAGAGACAAGCGGAGGAGCGATGCGGGTGGTGCTTGACAGGAACAGAGCGACAGTGTGATGATGGGGTGATGATGGAGTGATGATGGAGTGATAATGCAATGCTAATACAATACTAATGCAGTGCTAATGCAATACTAATGCAATGGACATACCAATACTCGACGATGGATGATCAGCGATCGACGGAATCCTCCGAGACCAAGGGCAGACGGCGAATGTGTGTCGACGGGAGTGCCGGTATAAATAAACCGCCAGGAAAAAAAAATTAGTTCGCATCTGAAAAGCGAGCACCGTGCGGGATTGCATTAGGTGGGGGGGGGAGGAGGGCCGTCACAGGCCACAGGCGATATCGTCGCTGTCGTTACTGCTGTCGTTGCTGCTGCCCTTGTGGGCTCGGTGTCTTGTTCAGCTTGCGGGCTTTGCCCTCGGCGCTGTGCATTGGCCTGTTTCGTCTTGCTCGACCCGACATCCATCACTGCCCTGCGAGGCGACGACGGGTGGTGAGCAAGCCTTGTGCGCCGGCCTCGTCGGCGGTGACTGATGATGTGTCGCTCGGCACAAGGGGCGTCTGTCGCCGCGGCCATGGCGCTTCGGGCTGGCCGAGCTGCTCCCGATCGCTGTCGCTGGCGATGATAGCTTGCTGGCGCTGCGATCCCGAGGGCGGCGGTGGTCGCCATGGTCGCCATGGTGGCCGTGGGGGGGGGGTGGATGGCGACGCTGACCAACAACGACAACGATGGCATCTGCGATGATATAACCACCGCGACGGCGAATGTCGACCGATGGCGGATATCGAGACACCTGCCAATCTTGGTGGCATGTGCCTGGTCATCGACAACAAGGCCCGCAGAGCCCTTTCTCTTTTGTGCCCGGCATCTCTCGCTCACTTTGGCTGTCTTTCACTCTCCTTCGCAAACGGAGCCAGCGGATCATCTGTCACCATGGAGGCTTGGCTCGTCCAGATTCAGGCTGTATTGACCCTCGACACAGCACGTTGGGCCACCTATGTCGCAACCAGACCCATTCTCGCTGCCCTTGCCTGCCCAGACCCGTCTCTCGTCGCCAGTTTGGCTCGGTCATCTGGTGCAAGCACAGGCCAGCCCAAAGTCCAGTCCAGCCCAGCCCAGCCCAGGCCACACCACCAGATTCGCAGCCTCAGTTGCCATTCGGTCGATCGGGCCCACCGTCCTGTTGTCTTCCAGCCATCGTTCAGTGCGCCAGGAGCGCCATTAGAATGCGTCCGAGTCCAGCATCGATCCTACACACTGGACAATGTTGTTGGTCATGGCCTTCTCCACTGTCTCTTCCAGATGTCGCTTGGGATCCTGCTTTCCGACGTGGCGGGTCTTGAGCTGCTCGGACGTCATGGTCATCTCCTCGATCACTGACTTGTTATAGGCTTCCGAGAGGTTCAGGATGGTCTGTCGACAGACTCGCATCGTCAGTTTCGTTGGTCGAGTCCAGCCGAGGGTCTGGGTCGAGAGCGAATGCTCCACGCAGCCATCTTTCGCCGCCCTGTCTGCACTGGCTCGAACACCACCTCCAATAACGGAATAGCCCCCCCCCGTCCACATCGATGGCTAGCAACTGGCAGGGGATCGGATCTGCCCATTGTTGAAATCGTCGTGCACAGATCTCATCCAACTGTGCCACGCACGGACTGCATGCCCTCACCTTAACCGAGCCCTCGTTATCGGCAGCGTGCTCCGTAAAGTCTTCGAGCTTCAGGCCGCTGGACCAAGTCTTCTTGTGCAGGTTCAGAAGCATCTTTTGCTCCAGCTCGTTTTTTCGGTAGTTGATGCCGATCGAGTAGTAGTGGCGGTTCAGCCCATGGACGAGCGCCTGCAACAAGGAAATGTCGCCGAACAAATCAGATCCGGCCGGGACTGCGCGGCTGTATGATTGCTGCTCCAGCGACATTCGATCGCCGCACGGGGTATCGTCTGTACCTGGATGCTGGGTTTGTTCAGATGGCCAACGTTCGATGTCGTCTGTCGGGGCTCCTGGCCGAGCATGACAGTCTGGGGGTTGATTAATCGGAAGGCATCGATAACCACCTTGCCCTTGACGGACTGGATCGGGTCGATAACGACGGCGACGGCGCGCTGGTTCAAGGCCTCGAAGCTCTGTGGAATCGGTCCCAAGGAGATAGGTCAGATGAACAGTGTTCCAGAGAGGCATATCCCGTGCGGGAACGTAGTGCTCACGTACCTGCTGTGTGTTGATATCGACGCTCGAAAGCCAGCAGCCGAATCCGGGATGCGAGTGGTACCAGCCAACGACCATCTCTGGTCTTCAATTCGCAGAACCGGCGCATCCAATCGCCAACGACACCACGGCGAGCAGGTTCGTCGAAAGCAGTTGCGGAATCAAGGGGGGGGGATCAATATCGCCGTCCCAATCGGCTTGAGTCTGCTCAGCGCCCGAGAATGTAGCCCAGACGAACAACTCGACCTCCATTTCACTGATATCGATCGATCCCTGGCCCCTACCTTCCGGTTTGCTTCAGCATGTCCAGCATCTTGGTCTGGAACACGGGATCGACGGCCTCGACGGATACACCCGTTCCGCTCTGAGGCATGGCAAACACATCGGTGACCCGCACGGTATAGTCATCGACGAATTCTCCGAGCATGAGGCCCATGACTTCCATCGGCACACCGGCGCGGCCTGGAGAACATGCAATCGTAGATCAGACTTGGAATCGTGTGTGATGGTCGCTTGATATGCTGTTCCTATAACATTGTGAAGATGCCACGCAACTTCTGGCCTGATCTCTGCAGGCCATTACACAACCACAAAGTCACATACCGTGCTTCAGCATCTGTGGATCAACGAAACCGTGCCGTATTAGCATCGCCGTCAACCGCCTCTCCGGCATAGCCCGTCACAGGCCTGTCACCACAGAGCTATTGCTGCAAGCTTTGAGTGCTGGCGTGGCCCAGGAATATGAACAACATCCCGACGCACCTTGAGCAGTGCAAGAGACGAGATGTAGACCATCTCGGCCGTGTCGACGGTGGGTGTATCGACGCCGGGCTGAGCTCGGCCCATGCCTCCGGCTCCAAGCAGACGTTGCAATCGCTGAGAAGGACCGATTGGAAGCAGCAGCAGCGATAGACAGCAAGAAACAGAACGAGAGAAGGCGTGAGCGACAGGAGCCACACGCTCGAGAGGACCCGCTGCTGGATCGACAATGGCTCGCTTTGACACGACACACTGGTGCATCACAACAGAGCCAGCGAGTCTGGGCGTGATCGTGGCTTGACTCCTTGATCTCTTGCTCAGGCCGCAGCCGCAAGCACGGCGCCCCTCAACCGCCCGAGTCCAGAAGGACGGAGGAGGGCTCCAAGTGCCGAAATGTCCGTTGGGGCGTCGTCGGAAGGAGGGCGATGCGCTACATACTTCCATGGTAGGGTTCTGACTCGGTGCGGCGGTTGAAAGAAGAGTGAACAGGAGAGTTTGGCGGCTTGCGCTGTCCGGATTACAGAGGCGAGGACAGTGGTTGGAGGCGATGGCAGATGGCAGGCAGATGGCAGACAGAAGACCAGGCAGAAGGCCAGACTGGATCTGCGCCGTCCAAGCAAAAGCTGGCAAGCGCATTGCCAGGGCCGCGTCACGTGCTTCGTGCCAGGGTCGGGGCTTTGAAGCATTGGAGGTGCCGAAGCCGGGGCATGCCGAAGCCAAGGCCATGCCGAACGAAGCAGGGACGGCAGCGAAGTGCGCCGAGTGCCGGGCTGCAGGGGAGGGACGTTGTCGGCAAGACGGACGGCAGCCGGATCGCCCTGCCATCGGCGTGCGCATCAGCCTGGGAGAGAGCAAGGCGCCCTCTGATGCAATGTGCGCTTTTTTTCTTTTTCGGAGGCGGCCTTGGTTTGTGTGATCGACACCGACCCACGACCAGCTGCTGGCTCTGGGATCTGGCTCTGGCTTGCATCGCTTTCGGGCCCAAGCATCTCCCTGCTGGACCAGCACATCCTTGCTGCCGAATATTCGAGCTGTTGACCGCCTGAATCTGAACCTGCCAGCGATGCATGCGGTGGGATCGGCGTGTGCAGTCAAAAGGGCCAACGAGACCGAAGGTACCAAGCCCATCTCCACAGCTCGATCGCCTGGGTCTGCGGTCCTGCGACGCTCTCCTATCTCCACATCGCTCCCCCATCGCTTGAAACCTCTTTCCATCGCTGCTTTATGCACCGCCAGTCCAGCATTAAGGATCTAACCGGACTCGCCGTCGAATCAATGGCGTCCATGTCTAGAGCACGCAGTCGTTCGGGATTGCCGGTTGATCGACGGCAGGATCGAATACTATGTACATTTTGTTGGAAGTAAGACTATGATCTGGGTTGTTGTCCTCGCTTCCTACCACCTGCCGATGGGCTGCCTCTTGAAGCCAAATCGCTCATACAGCCGTGTACATGCCCAGAGGATAAGCGCCTGGACCAGTGGGTGGACGAGTCTCAAGTGCGTCTGGTCGAGCCAAAGCCCGAGCCCGCCGTCGACAGCAGACTTGCGGCTGAAGGCCCAACCACAGGCCCGTCAAGGCCGATTCAATCGATAAGCACCAGGGCTTCGACCCATCCCCACATTGGTGCGAAAGTCCTGGCGGGGATCTTACCACCGATGCCAACGCCAACGGCCGAAGCATCCACAACAGAAGCTGCTGTCCCCGCCGATCGAACACTGACCCGCAACATGAAGCGAAAGCTGGAGTTGACTGAGGCTGCACCGGTCGGTAGGCAGTGCAGAGTCGAGGCGCTCAGGAGCGGGGAAGATGGGCAACATCCATGAAGTCCGGCTGCATTCCGGCTGCATTCCGGCACAGAGCTTCGACTGAAGCGTCCTGGCTGAGCTTTCGTTCTAATACTCTTCATGCCTGCTCCCGCCTGTCCAGGCCGACATCGTCAAGACACACGGCACGGCCAGCACAAGCACAAGCACCAGCGCCGCCAGCGCCGATAACGAGGAAGAGGTGGATCCCACCTCCAATTCGATCAAAAATATCCAGTCGATTGTCTTTGGCAACTTTAGGATTTCCACCTGGTACCATTCGCCGTATCCGGACGAGTACTTCTCGGTCGATACCCTCCATGTCTGCGAATGGTGTCTCAAGTACATGCGCTATGAAGCATCGATGGAGTCGCACCTGGTAAATGAGGGCCGTATCCTTTCGACGTTGACACTGATTGAACTGCCGCACTAACAACGAGCCCGTCTGCACTTGTTTGTGTATGTGGGGAGGGCATGCAGAAGAACTGCACCAAACGGAAGCCTCCTGGAACCATGGTGTATCGATCGCCCTCGATCAAGATCTTCGAGGTGGATGCCAAGGACAGTAAGGTATACTGCGGCAGCCTTACGCCTCGAGTTTATGACTGGTCCCTCTGCATCCGAACGATAACCACAAGGCGACACACCACTTTCACAACCAGCATCTTCATCACCCATATGGCTAATCGCATCGGTCTCGGACTCGTCTGGGCCCTGGCCGCCATCAGCTTTATTGCCAGAACCTGTGTCTGCTGGGCAAATGCTTCTTGGACCACAAGTCCATCTTCTACGACGTCGAGCCCTTCCGCTTCTACGTGCTCACCGAGACAGAGCGGGTGCGCGGCCAAGAGTTGGAGCGGTTTGTGGGCTTCTTTTCCAAGGTACGATATTCTTGTCTCTTTGCTGACCCTGACCAGACAGTAGCACCGGATCCTGAACGGTCGTTGGTCATTAAAGCTGCGTTACAGTGGACTGCGTTACAGTGGACTGCGTTACAGTGGACTGCGTTACAGTGGACTGCGGAGACATGTGTTGACAGCGTGTTGATGGGCACATTGCCTGCTCACGCTTCTCGCTTCCCACGTTAGGAAAAGGACTCGTACGAAAACTTCAATCTGGCGTGCATCATGATCCTGCCACCGTATCAAAAGAAAGGATACGGTCGGCTGCTGATCGAATTCAGTAAGACTCAGCTGCCGTCTCTGCATCCACTTGGACTGCTGCGGTCGACGATGTGTGCTACGGCTCAGCGGAGGGACCTACGGGCGATTGTCGATCTGCATCGGAGATGGCGACGAAGGAGCGTAGTCAGGCTTGGGCTGGAACCGAGCCGGAGTGGCTTTCTGGAGCTTGACCATCGGTGCTGCTTGCTGATACCGCCATTCGGCCACATAGGTTATGAGCTCTCCAAGCTGGACTGTCGAATTGGCTCGCCCGAGCGACCACTATCCGATCTCGGGCTTCGAGGCTATCTGTCATTCTGGGAAACCGTCCTCTACGATACGCTGGTGCACAACACAAATGTCGATATATCGGTGGAGGAGCTCAGTCTCATCACTGGAATCAAAGAGGACGACGTGATCCTGGCACTGGAGTCCATGCAGGTCCTGGACGGGTGGTCGGACCAGCAAGTAGCCATGTATGCATCGAACCACCGTCGGACCGTTGCTCCTGAGACTATACCACTTTGCTGCATTTTCTGATCGACTGTGGAGTGGCGACACATCTCCCTCCCTCGTCCGTGTTGCAAATATCGACTCACGCCGCTGCGCCCTCCTGTTCTCCGTCTTCCCTGCAGTGTGTCAATGACAAAGTTGCAAGACTATGCAAACCGACACCAAGCACGCCGTCTCCGCAAAATCGACCCCTCATGCATCACTTACACCCCTCATGCGCCCAACAAGCGCAAGAGCGGCTGGGAGGCGCGATACTGAGTCAATCTAAGCGCAGCCTCAGTCAGACAGTGGCGGTTATATTTCATGTCTATCATCGATACTAAACAACCATCCACAGCGATGTCCATCGGTCCAGTGCTTCAGCTGAGCTCACAGCTACACCAACAGCAGTTACAGTCGCAGCGTTTGATGGTCACGTCCTTTGGGAAATCGGAGTGGCGCTCATCACGCTCATCCTTTCGATGCTCGACGTAATCATGGCGATCCACTGTGAGGCCAGCTCCTCGTCGCCAGTCTCGACAAGGTAGGACTCTGCCAGCCAGGAGATCCGGAAGCACGATGGCTCCGCATTGGATGGGCCGATTGAAATCAGCGATAAGGGCGCCGATACTCCAGGTCTCTGCAGCGAACCAGCGTGGGTGAGAGATTCGGTGTATCAACATAGCGGTCCAGAAGCAGCAGCGGCACAGTTGGATAGCCGAATAGCGGTGGTCTATCAGCAGCCACAATGCTATCAGACTCCCCCCCCCTCTCTCGCAAGACTCACCATGGCGTTGGGCTCGATGAATATCAAATACGGCTCTCGCGCAGGGATATAGCTGATCTTGACTGTCACCCAGCGAGAAAATATGCCGGCTTCCCGCTTCCAGCAAAATGTCTGACTGGGATTATCGCTCTATAATAGACAACAATCAATCCATGTCATCGGTGCCACTCCACACTGGCCGTTTCGAGCTTATTGCATCAAAATTTGGTCGCCATAGCGTCCGGAGCACTTACACTCTTGGTCGACTCCGCTTGGGGCCAATCCCCACCGACTTGATCCAGGTTGCTAATGCTGAGGTTGATGATGTCGTCTAAGGGGCTCCCAAACTGGGCTGTCAGAAAGGCCATGATGGTTGTCACGACCGTCGATGCGTGAAAGACAGCGATTCCGATCAGCTGGATGACAAGTCGGCTGATGGCCTTGATCCGCATAAAGGCGGCGTTCCAGTAGATTTGGGCGATGATCAAGACGCTGCAGATCACGATGTTGTACAGGGCGATTTCGATGTTGAGAGAGTCGCCCTTACTGGGTGGGGAGGAATGAGTGGCAGCGCGTAGAGCAATATGGTCAGACACACAGCCATACAGAAATGCTGCAGTAAGGGCCAGCCTGGGTACTGCTCTGCAACGCGAATTCCGGCGAAACGAAAGCGAGAGCCTCAGAACACTTCCACGGCTGCCCCAACTGTAGCAAACACGTCCGCTGGCTTGATGGCACTTGGACGACAGCACGATCGCAGCTCGGCGACCGCACGGCTGTACTCACTGGGCCGGAATACTCTTTGCTTTGCGTGCCATGATTGCTGTCGCCAGAAACAGGATGCCGTTTGCAGCATAGAGCGAGCCCGAGCTTGTCCAAAACACCTCCGGAGACGATAAAAACGTGCATTGTGCGTACTCGGTCTGCAAAGTGAACACTGTCGTGACGGAGACTGGGTTGGCGAAGGTCCAGCCCACGAGCAGGATCTACGGGCGATAGGGAAACAAAGCAGTTTCAGCGACAGGATATCTGTGACACGGCGAGATCATGAGCGGGCTGGCCATGTGTGTTTGGGAGATTGATTTCCACGCACCGACATGGCCGACGCTATGCCTAAGGTAACGCTCAGCAGCAACAGGTTCGGGATGAGATGGGCTTCAAGCTTCTTGTTGTCTGGAGGCCGGGCGAGCAAGCTGTCAGATAACGTTGGAGCCAACAGCGCCATGCCAAGCGAGTCACCCATCTTCACCTGATATCGTCCATACTCGATACGTTTTCACCAGAATGCCTGACTATAATCAACGGCAAAACATGAATGGTTAGGACGGCTGCAGCAATGTCTGATGCATTTTGACACTCGCCCGAATGTTGGCTTAAAAACTGCTCGGTCAGACATGGGGCAGCTGCAAAGAGATCACATAGTCGTGATGGAGATGTTTACCAACATCGCGCTGTGCCCGAGACTCAGGAACCACGGTTGGGAGATGCCTATGAGATCAAATGATGATGGCGAGCGAGTCAAGAATCAGATGCAATGGTACCGATTGTCATCGGATGGATTTCCGCCACGATTCGAGTGGTGGCCGGCAACCTACAAGTCCACGGAGACGGCTCCAGCATGTATATAAGACCAGAAACCAGAACCAGAACTTCGCCAAACTGCCAGAGACATTTCCGTCAGTAATCGCAGCCAGGGAGAGGGGGGAAGGATTGACATTGGAGGCGCGATGCTGCAATCCGCCGAATCTTGCAAGCACTTGCATAAGCGCACCATCAAAATCGCATTCAGCAGTGGACTCTTCGACTTCATTAATGGCTTGTTTCGGTACACAAGGATGATGCCCATCGAGACCACAATCATGGTAAGAATGACGGCGTGTGTGACGAGAATGAATGTGGCCACTGGGTCGCCGTACAGTAGCTGGTCCTCGATATATGTTGGCATATCACTGGGGATGACTCCGTTGTAGAAGAGCGAGTTGATCAAATATTGTCCGGAGGATGACATGCTCAAATTTATGCTCGTTTGATTATATGTTCCGTAGACTATGTCTCCGAATTCCGTGTACCCGTAGAGCGTTCCGATCCTAAGAATAGCATATCATCAAGTTAGCGAGCTGAAGGTGTGGTCAGTGCAAGGTGTGTCTTGAGACGCTTCCGGCGTACGTGATAATATTGTGGTTGCTGTCGAAGCTGCAAAGCCAAAGTGGGAGCGCATGAGTGGCGTGCATGTCATGGGTTGGGCTACATGCACGATGCAGTATACCCACGCAATTGTACCACTGCATCCCGTGTACTGTGTCGCTGATATGTTTTGCGGAGTGCACTGTCCCGTTAGCGAGCCATTGTAAATTGCATTGGCTTCGAATCCGGTCTCGTTCACAATCTAGGGCATTGCCAAGACACGGATGAGATGGACAGAGCGAATTGGGGCAGATCGACTGAGCTGAGCAACACATTCGTCGCTTGGCAAGGGTCCCATGCCAGAGAAACGAGTCAAAAGCAGGCATACCCGGTCCCATGTCAATAGAACCGCCATTGTAGCGTCGAAAGCATCAGATCCGCTACTATAAGGGTAGTTTATCAAATATTCACGTTGATCATTTGGGAGCTCGGCACTATCGCAGACATAAGGACAGATTGCGAGGGATTGAGTGTGAATGGGATATAGGTATAGCAGAGGGACTTGCGCTCGGTCTTTAGCAGTACAACGGATCAGACACCCGACTTTCGAGCTGCTGTTGCGACAAAGTCTTACCCCAATCGATTTTGTATGTAGTAATCATCGTGACTATGGTATTCGAGACACTCTGTTGTGCTTTCGCCCGACTCCTGCGATGCGCGGTTCATGTTGCGTTTTATAAGAAAGACTTTGTGATCCATCGATGCGCCTTCCCAAGAGCCTAGCAGTTCCTGATACTGGCCAACCTACCACGCTGTAAGATGCGCGAATGAAGTTATGATATTGGGACTGAAACGCCTGTCGTCCGTACTTTTGGATGGCTGTATCATTTGACAGATTTCCAAGTGGATTGAAGCTGATCCAGGCCTATAGGTACCGAGACTCGCGTTTAATGCAAAGTACGCAGCATCATGGCGCAACACGATGCTGGGCGAGTCGATTCAATGCCACACACATAGTCGGGGCCGGCAAGCCCATAGGCGCTGATTCGAGAACAAAGAGACGGGTGGTTCGCAAGATTAGTGATGAGAGCATGCATTGGATCGTGGCCGATCGAGCAACGACCCACTTACGCTGCGCTGAAGTAGATATCGTCATTTAATACCGAGTCCGCTCTGTACCCATGATCAACATGCGATAACAGGGACTTGCATTAGTCATATTGGACATACGTCAAGTGACCAATGGCGATAGCGAAGGCGATGGTCGATAGAGAAGGCGATGGTCGATAGAGATGGCGATGGTCGATACCATGATTCGCAGCGCCAGCATGTCTTGCACCCACAGTCACTGCAGTCCTCCTTCGGACACAAAGCTCAAAGCGATCGCTTACATCAAAACGATGATCCGGGTTTCCAAGTTCCTCAGGATATCATACACAGGGGAGAGGGCGGCCATCACAGCGCTGCCGCTGGATGTATTGACGGAAGGAGCAAACTGGATTGCTGGGGGGGGGAGCAGTGGATCGTGAGTGACTGATGGTATTTGCACCGACAGTATCGTACAGCAAACCAACACATCCGATTCATACTACGCTCCCCGGTCGATTTATTGGCGCATGCGATGACCCACCTACCTTGGGTTGTCAATATGGTCATGTTGTATAGAACTGCTGCTTCAAGGGCCAGATTGAGCGACGACAGCGACATCGAGTCCATGGTATACAGAATCGAGATCCTTTTCCATCCAAGGCCATTGGCTATCGTCATCAATCCACTTGATACACCCCTTTACGATGTCAGGCGAGAGTCAGCGAGATACCGTCAGCCACGAATCCCTCTATCCATGATCGCCGAGTGATGGTGCGCGTGAGATACCGACATGAACACCATCCTCAGGAAGGTGCTGTAATGAACTGGATCCGAGAGCGAGGCGTCGCCGCATGAGAGGCAGAGATGCGGAATCTGGTGGTGCGAGAGGTGGTATGCCCAGTTGCTTAGCGGGCTTGTGCAGATGGTCCTCACAGGTACTTTGCCGACTCGCCTCAGGCGCTATGGTGTCCGTTGCAGTATTTGACCAGATGCTGTTTGGCACTCACGCCGTAGTATGAGCTGACGGCAGCGGAATGAATGTTCATCGGGCTGACCACGTCCCCGATCACCATGGCCAAGTTGCCCATCTCGTGGAGATCGTTGACGGCGATCGCCTTAACAGAGAGGGAGGGTCAATATTGTGGCCGAGGCTCACGCTTGGCCATGAGCAAGCCGCAGCCCGCTCGTCTGGCCGTTGCGACATTCCGGCTCGCTGCCCGGGATCCATTGTCGTCGTCGCTCGGTTTGACAACACGCGATTCGCAGGATTCGCACCGCTTTCCCCCAGTTCGCAGAGGCATTTTGCACGACCAGATGGATGGTTGCATCGCGCATTAGCGATGAGCTGTTGTTGATATGGTCGACGGCAATCATGGCCCCGAGCTGGGCCATATATGCATATTCCAGAAGCATCCAGTTCGGCCATGGACTCAATATAAAGCCGACAGTGAGCTGCAGAGGCAAGTCCGTCAGTTAGCGCTGCAATGCCCAGACAAAGGACTCAGACTGCGAGAGGCCGACTCGGTCATAGGGCGGAGTCGAAAGCGTGAACGCTCGATGGACACACGTTATACTTGGTCTTGTCATAGGAGCGCATCGTGGCAATTGATCCGTGGCCGCCGTCGAGAGCCTATGGCCGGGCGTGGCGAGACGAACGGCTGCTCTGGGATGCCGCGCGAGGCGAAGACATCCTCAGGTTCGCAAGTACCGCCGCACGGAAGCCGCACTGCAGAGGAGCCGGCGGATCTGGCGGCCCAGAGGCCAATCATGCTGCCCCGACGGCCCTCGATCGAATCCGCTCGATCGAATCCGCTCGATCGGTTTCGCAGTCCAGGGCCGCCAGAATCCATGGCCGCTCACGTGCGAACTCGGCAAACACCAGCAATCCCTGGTCGCCGACTTTTGCCCGGCCTTGTCTGCAGATCTCGCTAGACAAGTAGTTTTCGCCTCGTCTTCCATCAAACCATGTCGAGCTGGGCCATCGTGATCGGAGCCGGACCTGGTCTGGGTGCGGCTCTTGCCAAGCGCTTTGCCCGAGAGGGATGCCATGTCGCCCTGCTCGCCAGAAACGCTGGTATGATGATGCCGAGCTCCGACTCTCACCGACCGTCACAGACGTCCGTCTGCCCCCTATCGCCTGTGCAGAGATGGCGCATTTCTTGTCTCGGATTGCTGATGGCCTCTCTTGCGGCACTGATCCAGAGCGACTCACGTCCCTCCAGAAGCAAATTGTATCTGCCGGCGGCCAGGTGAGGCAGAAATATGCTCCTCGGACACACAACACTCCCGCAGATGCTAACCATGATGCGGGGCAACCAGGCCACGCCCTTTGCGTGTGATGTGACCAGCAAGGAGGACGTCGACCGAGCTTTTGGGCTGATGAAGGAGCAGTTCCAGCAAAACCGTCTCGAGGTGGCCGTCTACAGTAAGCATCGCAATCCCGCTGGCGATGCCCTTGGCCAAAACCCATGGACTCTTTGCCCATCCATGGAGCCACACTTGCAAGCACTCACAAGCACCCACAAACGCTAACATATGCTCCTCATCCACACAGACACTGCGGCGTTCTCAATGTCCCCGTTCTTGTCGATTTCTCCCGAAAAATTCGGTAGGACAACGCGTTCAGCCAACGTCAGCACCCTATTGCCAGCGCTGCTCTTGCTCAAGCAGCGAGCTTTCGGACAATGATGCTGATGGTGGTGGTGGCTTGCGACGGAGCGCCAATGCAACCAAGCCCTGATTCGGTATTTGTGCGGCTGGCGCCTTGATCAGAGAGCGACTGGAAAACCATGACACTGGGAGCGTTCCTGTGCTCACAGAAGATTGTCGATCTGATGGCCAAGCAGAACCACGGGACGGTAAGCGGGGATACCGCACTCTTGCATCTGCTGCATCTGCTGCATCTGCTGCACGGTGTCCTCACTCTGATAGGTCCAGCGCGAGTTCGGATCCTGGCAAGCAGCCCTACACTCGGCTTGCTAACTGCGTTGACTTGATCGCACCCAGCTCATCTTCACCGGAGCTACGGCCTCGGTTCGTGGAAGTTCGGGATTCGCCAGCATGGCTTCCGCCAAGTTCGGGCTGCGAGCGCTGTCGCAAAGCCTCAGCCGCGAGTTTCATCCGCAAGGCATTCATGTTGCGCATGTGGTATGGACGGGCTCTGAGATGGCCCAGCACCGGTCCAGCAGCGATCCCTTGATCGGGTCATGTTGTGTGATGCTTGTTGGATGGTACTTGACAGCTCGCTGGCTCCGGATGAGTCTCGTTACTGACGGTATGCTCTGTTGTGTAGATCATCGACGGCTACATTGACACCGAGCAGTGAGTACCGCATGTTCGATGGGCGGCTTATGAGCGGTGATGCAGCGATGCGGTGACTGTGATTGATGTTCGCTGAAACAAACCACGCATCCATCGGCAGACTCAACAAGACCTTTGGTCCCGGCGAGCCCGGCACTCGATTGGACACCGACGCCATCGCCAACGAGTTCTGGAGTAAGCCTCGTCCATTTGCATGCATGTTTCCATGACAGCGACCCCGCCATCATGCCGTGGATCTGCCATCTCATATCGTCTCAATTGCCATAACGGCCGCTATCACAGATCTTCACAGCCAGGACCGCTCGACCTGGACCCAAGAGCTGGACCTCAGACCGTTCTCTGAGAGCTTCTGACCAAACTGGCCTCAGTCCGAGTAAGAGCGCCGCAAACAGCATCGGGCCGTCGACTGGCTCTATCTCAATATGAGCGTATTCAACGGCAGGCTTGGAAGAACACAGTCCAACCCTGGAGCCGGAGCGATGGCCTTGAGCAAAGATGGGGGTGGTGAGAATGGACCTGACATGCACCGGGCGCAATCCATATTGCGCAAACGGTGCGGCCAGTAGGGGAACAGGAACAGTGGGCCCATGAAATCGCTGAAGGGACTCTATAGTGATCCAAAACCAACTGGGACATGAGTGGCCACACGTGCCGGAGGAAGAGGCTCGAGGGGGCCGCCGCCAAAGCACCGCTATTCTGAACCGGTGCTATCAGCGACGATGTTGCCAGCGGCCGCGGATTGGCGCACCCAGTAGGCGCGCAGAACGAGGATGAGGACGGCGACCAGGAGGAAGTAAATGATGGCGCGCTTGATGGTGAAATGGCGGACGTTGGATAGGTCCCTGTGGTTCAGCAAGGGCAGCCTGGTGAGTCCTTGCTGAGACGGAGAGCCGCCACAGGCAGTGACAGCCAAGCAAGGGCAATGATGGCGACGGCAACGAGCTCGGTTCGTCAACTACCCACCAGTCCTGAAGGCCGAGAGAGGCCAGGAGACCCTGTGACTTTGTTCCGTACTTGTCATCATCGCCATCGCTGATGTGCGACAGAGAGAGCCTCGTAAGTGGTTGGCACAAATTCAGCGCATTGACTGCAAACCTGAGACACCGCAGTGAGTCACCTACCGCAGCCGGTTCCGCGAGGGTTTCTTGGCAAGAGGCTGGACACCTGCAAGTTCGTTCGGTATCAGTCCATTGGCAATGGCACTATGCAGATGCTGTCGGCGGCAGCCAGAGCTGGGGAGGGGGAGCATCCGCCCTACCTGTGGTAATAAAGGTCGATACTCCATCGCTAAACGTCGAGCTTTGCGGGGCGCTGGGGACGCTCGCAGGCGGGTAGGTCTGTGGAGCCGGGGTCGTAGCCGGGGTTGAGGGCAAGGTCCCGGTCGGGCCAGCACTCTTGGGTGCGCTGCTAGATGAGGTAACTTCCTTGGGGAACTCGGTCATCACATAGGGCTGGGCATGGTTGGCAAATCGGTGAGTCGGCAGCCTAGCACGTCCGTCCTGGAAGGTCGGCGCTCCACGAATACACATACACGGACGGCCAAGCAACGATCCTACGATCTGGATACTCACAACTCGCTTCGGAGCAACATGCTCGGCCCATTTGCAGCTGGCAAACGTGGCGCGGACATCGTTGGCGATCTGGCCGGTCATGTTCTCGGCGGGGATGATGGGAGCCTGTCGACAGGGTGCGGCAGACATCGCATAAATGTCGGTTACAGCGACTCGCCCAGAGAGACGCTCGGGTTGGAGACGTCTCCGGCAGGAACCTGCACAGAGACTCGTGGGGATTGCCAGAGTCTGCTGATGCGGCCACATCCACAATCCGGCACAGATCGACTGCGGCATCGCAACCACGCTGATCAGCATCTTGATGCGGAGAAGGCGCTTACATGGCAGGCTGGGCAGGCGTATCCAGCGGCAGCCGTGTGCTCGGGGAGCTTATCGCACATAGTCTTGATGCAGTCCACATGGAAGAGGTCTTTGACGACGCAGCCCATCTATCAGCTGTCAAGCTTGGCTCCAAAGCGATGCCTTCGATCCACGGACAGTCGGCCCCCAAGCGACAGGCGATCAACTCACCCAGGCACGTTAGCCGAACCAACTCTCCTTGATCCAGAGCCCCCGAGCAGATGGCACAGACAGGGTCATAGTCGCTATCTTGCAGCCATTGAAGATACGACCGGACTAGCCCATTCCAGGACGCGATGGAGGAAACACCAGCGGGTTGGATTAGCGCTGATGACCTGGTGTGGGTGCTCGAGCAGGACCACAGGATACTCCCGGCGCTCGCAAGAAGCAGCCCCATCTTCATCCTGTTCGATATGCCAAGGCCGGCAAGGACAGACTTCCACCACATACCAACACACTTTGAGCCGATATCCGGCAAGGCAGACCGATAGATCGGATCAAAGGACCAAAGGCGTTGTTCGCACGAGAGGTAGTCCACAGGCCAGATCGTTAGAAGGAAGGATATATGCCCGGCGCTCGCTCGATAGCCTCCAGATGGCAAGAGTCACTGGTGGTGTGCTGGCGCTGATGCGTCACCGACGCTGCTAGAGGACAGCGGCTGTACCTTTGGATGATCCGTGACGATGCATTTTTCGCAGACATTCTTCCTGTGCTCAAAGCAGACTGGACGGGCGACGGAGCCAAATGTCCGTCAGTGCATCGAGCAGAAGCATTGATCAGCGTAGCGAGCGCGACGGGAGACCAGAACAGCCGCTTCGAAGCACCTACATAGATTGGTTACGGTTCTGCACTTGCACAGGCCCATGGTGACTCGGACGGCTGACGGATCAAGCGAGATCAAGGAAAAGGGGGGGGGCGCTGGTCGCAGATGGACAGGCCGATGCAAGCGAGCCGGCACAGGGGATGCGGGCGACGGAGATGCGGGCAAGGAGAGAGGCACGGCCAAAGGGCTGCTGGGCGGCGGCGCCTCTCATCGGCTCGCTGTCCACACGGGCGATCGCATTGGACTTGCATCTCGCCGCCTGCGATTCACATCCGATTTCGCTGCCCGAGCTTTGCAGGCTGGACAGAGCAGTCCGGGCCCGACGACCTCAGCGACAGACTTTGGACGGCGCCGCCTCAACGACACCGCCTGAGCACACACCCTGAACGACACAATCAACCGGCGTCAGCATCTGGCTCTGTTCCAGCCCGAGACTGCATCCACGTCAGCACCACATCTGCATCTGCATCTGCATCTGCATCTGCATCTGCACCACCACACCGCTCCATCCGCTCTCATCGCAGCCCCAAGCCTGCAGCCATGTCGCGGACGAGGACAATCGCCTTGCTCTTGACGGTCTTTGCCATTCTGTTCTTCCTCGATCCGTCGGGCAAGAGAGATGTCATCCCGACGAAAACCCTTCTCGAGCGCCATCGAAACCAGTCCGTGCTTCTCGACGGACTGCATTTCAATACAACGGTACGGGCCGCTCCACACAATCCACTGGCCCTGCATGCGATGGGGCCACAGCTCTAATCGTTCTCGCTTGGCTTTGCATTCCAGTCCAATTTCAGGGAAATCGAGGATGAGCTGAGTCGGCTCTTCAATCTCTCGACACACGAGTTGCCTCATGCGTTTTACAAGAATGTCACCGGCTTCTTCAAAGGTGGGTCTCATTCGCTGTTGCACAGCCATGTCCTATTTCCATCTCGTTCTGCGCATCGGCTTGATGCTCTCGATGGCCGCATATTCTCGATGGCCACATACTTTCCATTCGCCGGCCGCATGGATAGAGCCTCATCCCATGCTCGTTCTGGCTTTGGCTTCGTTGTGCTGGCAACGAATGGCTGTGGATCGACAGGCCGCTGGGAAGTCGCAGCCTTGAATGAGACTCTGCGGAGCCCGGACTTCAACCAAACGCTTGCCACACAGCGCCGCGGCGACTTCAATTTCAACGACGTCGGAATGCTCACCTACCATCTGCGGGCCAACGAAACCACCGTGCCCTCGATTCGGATGCTGGAGGGAAATCTTTGGCTTGAAAATGGACGCACGAGCGGAGGCGGCCTGGAGATTTTCGTCTATGGTCTCCATTTCATCAACGAAGGAGCCGTTTACCTGACTGGGGCCGCCGACGGGTAGGCTTGCTCGAAGCCGGGCCGCGCTGAGCAGCGATAGGATGTGGGCTGCTGTGACGATTGATCGCAGGACAGGCCGGAAGCGCATCCTAACTGTTTCTGACCCACCAGGGCGATGCCTCCGTTGATCGAGCTGCCCCGGATGATGCAAACCAACGCAAGCTTTGCTGCAGCCCTGAATGCAACCATTGGGATCAACAACTACTACATTGGCGTTCTGGAAAACGAGCTGCTCGAGAATGAGAAAGATGAACAAGAAGGTAGACCGAGGGCGCTTTGATGTGCTCTATCCAGTGCACACGCTCAGGAGAGGCATCCTGGCGCCGTGGTGATGCAGTGAACTAACGGCATCGGCAGTGGAGCGATCGTCGTCTTCCACCAAGTGCCAGTTCAGCGTCTTTATGCAGATCCGGCCTGTACCGCACATCGTCAACCAGAGCGACATCGATGCCCTCGAGCAAGGTGAGTGAACCGGCAGACTCGATGCAATCGGATGACCCCTGCTTTCCCGTCCTTGGACACATTTCTGTCTATGTGCATGTGTCCTGGAGCGACAGCCTTGACCACAGGCAGCACCTTGCCCTGGATGTATGCTCACCATCGCCCATGGCTGTGTCTTGAACCAGAGCTGTGGAACCCTGAGGGCATATCGACCATCCGCCCTCCAGCACTTATATCAAAGTCGCTGGTCTATAGCCCCGACTGTGGGATCCTGCTGAGTGCATCCAAGTCCAAGGGCGTCAAGATCGAAGTATATCATAGAAAGGCTGTCAACTACACGATATTTGCCACAATCGTGGTTCTCGCCGAGTTGTATCTGACCATCAAGCAGATGGACTACACAAGCTCGCAGTCTGTGAGTATTCCACCGATACACTGCAGCTCCCGTCAGATGGATACCTGCGGTTCAGAATCAGCAGCGTGGGTGCGTCGGCTCCGCAACGACCATCTATCTGACTCTGTCACTGCATCAATCTCCAGGCGCTCTCGAAGGTCTCCTTGATCTCGATTGGAATGCAGTCGGTCATCGACGCGTACTTTTGTCTCATCCATTTGTTCACGGCGATATTGATTCGTAAGCACTCCGATCCGTCGTCGATGTCGGTCGCATTGCCAATGTCTAGCAACCCACCATGGCAGTTGGAGCATGGCTTGTTGTCGTTGCGGGACATTGGTGCAGTGACTGAGCCTCTGTTATTTGCCACTTTCAGCCCAGCTCTTCTTGCCCTTTGCTACCGTCGGATTTCTCAAATTTGCGCTGTTTTCGCTGTTTGAGATGCGATATCTGCTCATCATTTCTCGCGCTCAGCGGCGCGAGAATGACGACTCTATACTGGGTATCCTGTACTCTCAGTTTTGTAAGCCAAACCTTAAACACCCCCTACGATCGGATGCAAGCATGTTTCGGCACACGTGTATCCGTCGCAGGCCTCTCCTGAGTCGTACTGGTTCTAACGCTCGCCTCTTCCGTCTGCTGTAGCGATATACATGTTTTTGGGGCTCTTCGTGGTGTACCAGTTTACCTCCAAGTTTCCAATCCTGATCGCCGTCCTTGGTTTCTTTTCGTACTCGTTTTGGATCCCGCAGATCGTCCTGTAAGATCCTCACCGCCGAGAATCCCCTGTCGACCTCGTCCGCCGCCGACGCATCAGACTCTTGGACTCGCACACTCACCCTATGCGCTTCCATTTCTGTTTCCCTGACCTTGGCCAATCGGCTCACCTCGTCGGCCGATCGATATGGAACCGATAGCAACATCATGCGCAACTCCAGACGACCGTATCTCACAGAGTACATCGTTGGGGTATCCCTCTTGCGTCTGGCAATACCGCTATACGCTTTTGGCTGTTCTCGGAGCATTGTTAGCTATACGGAAACGTACTGGTGGACACTACTGTTCTTTGCTGGCTACGTATCCGTCCAAGTCGCCGTCTTGGTTGCTCAGGATCGATTTGGGCCTCGCTCGTTCTTCCCCGAACATGTAAGTAGCTCATCCGGGAAATCTGGCTTGGCGCAAAAGTCGCAGGTCGGCCGTGGTTGTGTGTGAGCAAGTATGCCCAAGGTCGCAAGGGCAGGAGGAGCCGTGCTGGAGCAGAGGATGGGTGCTTGCAGCTCAGCTTGACTTTGGCAGAGTGCGCTCGACACGGTGCGTGGGAGAATACAGCCGGGATATCGGCTAGCTGGGTCTTGGCAGGGGGACTAATGAAAATGGCTGTGCGTCGGCGGTATCGATCTAGTGGCTGCCGCGTAGCTACGACTATCATCCGGTTCTTGCCTCTCCTGAAGCTGGACAGGATGTCGCCGACAATACCCACGATCCGCCTCTGGAGTCGGTTGAAGGCGCTGCAGGAGAGTCACACTTGGCGCCGCCAGTGGCAAGTGCCAGCGGGAGTGCCGGCAGCAGCTCAGGTTCAGCGAGCACAAGCTTTCGATACGATCCTAAAGGCAAAGGGAAGCAGAGAATGCGAGACGAAGGCCACGGCCATCCGGTTCTCAAGAATGGCGATTGTGCCATTTGCTTCCGTAAGTAGCAGCATTGGGCTCAGCCGCATCAACGCACTACCCTGCCCGATCCGATGGAGCGGCGGCTCGCTCTGCACACTGGTCACTGCTAGGACAGTCTGAAGATTCCAAACTGATCCCTTGGATCCTCGTAATAGTCCCGGTGGACTACACGTCTTCTCCCGGCAAGCCTCTGTCGACACGGATGACCACGCGCCTCAACTACATGCTCACGCCATGCCATCACATTTACCACACGGACTGTCTCGAGCGATGGATGGAAGTCAAGCTGGAGGTAGGTCTTGCGGCAGATGAATGGGGACATCGATGTGGTTGCACTGATTCGCTCGTTGCGGCATCCTTGCATTTCACAAGGTGAGAGGAAGGGATTTCATGCGGACTAAGCACTATTTCCCGCTCCGATGCAGTGCCCGGTGTGCAGAACTCCCCTTCCGCCGATTTGAGTCATTCAGCGCAGCCTTGGGCTCGGCTGAGACAGCCGCCCGAGCCGCGGGAACAGGCTCGACTCTCAGCATGGACTCATGATACCACTCGACTCTGCTATCGACACGACTGGCCGACATGGCACTCCCCGACAAAGACAGCAGCGTCATTCTGGGACATCGCAGGCCGGCAGCCCGGAGACAGATCACCAGCGGCGATCCGCGACACACCCAGTATCCGAGCAGCCACAAGGGTGTGGAGATCAACGGGAGATCGAGACCGCTGTCCCGTGGCAGCGAGTGTGCAGCGTATGGACAGCATCTCAACGATGCCCTGGACATTCCGTGGACAGCATCACGTCGAGTTCTCCGCACAGGCCAAATACATGAGCATCGTCGGCTGGTCGACTGAGCATGGTATCGTGTCCACAGTCTTTCCAGAGATGGCCGGCCAGTGAGTGGACACAGCCCAGGGTCATGGGTCCAGGCGCTCGCACATGGAAGGGCGGGTTTTTCCTGAAGCCCGGGTTCGTTTGGGGGGAGGCCGTGCTGGACTGATTCGCCGCCCAGGCTTTCGCAGGCTGATCGAGCTGCCTCTCCAAGATCTGCATCGCTCGCGCCCCATCCGATCCAAGCAGCATCTTCCGTATCCTCTCCTTCGACAGCCATGACCACATCCATCTTTCAGGTACGATGCATCGGTACAACACTCGCTGTCCTGGCACACCCATAGCGATTTTTGTGGGGGAGGGGGTTTGACTCGGATCCGATCCCTGACTCCCCGACGACAGAACGACATATTCAAGGGCAAGGTTGCTTTTGTGACCGGCGGCGGCTCCGGGATTTGCAAGGGCATGACTGAAGCCCTGATGAGGTGAGGCCAGCGTTGTTCAGTGCTGGCCGCATGAGCATTTTCCGGGATGAAAACGACCGTCGTCCTTTACCCACGCTTCTCGAACCCGTCCGGTTCCTTCTCAGACACGGCGCAGACTCGGTCATTGTCAGCCGAACCCTCTCCAAGCTCGAGGTCGCTGCGAAAGAGCTCGCGGAGAGAACAGGTGAGCAGCCCAGCCCCAGAGTGTGGTCCAAAGAGCTATTTCTCAAGCAAGCCTGGAGCTGATGGGAGGGTTCGGCGTGTCGCCCGCATTCCCAAATCCCAGGCCGCCGCTGCCTTCCCTTGGCATGCGATGTACGCAACTACGCCGATCTCGAGACGGCCTTCCGAAAGGCCCAGGAGCATTATGGACGGATCGACATTGTGATTTGCGGCGCGGCTGGCAACTTCCTTGCCTCGGCCGAGCGACTCTCGGCAAACGGATTCAAGGTCGGTATCGGGTATCGGTCGAGACGTTGAAGTCAATCGTGCTGGGTGCTGGGGAGGGTGATTGGAACTAGCACTCAGCAGGCCACATGGGACTTGCTCGACGAGTTTGCAGACAGCTGTGTGTGCTTACTGATCTTCTCGCCGCATACTCGTGCGATCGGCTGCTGCCGCCATCAGACTGTCATGGAGATCGACACCATCGGCACATTCAACACTTGCAAGGCTGCGCTGCCGCATCTGAAGCAGACCAAGGGATGCATCATCAGCGTCAGCGCCACCTTTCACTACGTCGGCTCCCCTTTGCAGGCAAGTTGGAGGACGGCCTATTGGAGCATGTTTGGTGTTGGACGGGGCCCCACGGATGTGAGTCGAGGGATGCCGAGGTAATGACGATTCCGCCTTTTATTCACACTGGGCAGATCCACGCCGCCGCTGCAAAAGCTGGTGTCGATGCCATGACCAGGTGAGTCGAGCTGGTCTTCATTTGGTGGGGATGGAGCTGTTTCGAAACTGGACCATGATGCCCAGTTCGAATCAAGTTCAGATCACTCCGTTCAAGTGGGACCGGCTGCAATCAGCTCGCCGATCGGTGGATTAAGCTTCGGTTGTGCCGATATTTGACGCTCCTGATGCTCCTGCGGTGGTCTCCCAGAACACTGGCTGCCGAGTGGGGCGCCTATGGTATCCGGATCAATACCATCACGCCCGGTGTAAGTATCCCAACAAGCAGGCCTGTTGGCAGCGCTCCGATGTTGCCGACTTTTTGGTCTTGCAACCGAGGCGATTGCCAGCGGTTTGCTTCATGGCTGCCCTCACCAGCAAGCCATCCCGCTCCGCTCTGCTTCTCGACCACGCCGACTCACTACTCTGTCCGATCACTTGGTGTTTCTTATGGCGGCGGCGATGGGTCCATGGATACTCACCGTTTGGACGCTACCGTCGCTTGGGACTCGTTGGGAACGCAAGCCCATCGCCGGCACCACTGGCATGGAGAAGCTGACGACCAAGGACACTGTCGACTTGGTCGAGTCCGTAGTGCCCTTGAAGACCTGGGGCCAGATCAGAGACATTGAGTACGCCACGCTCTTCCTGGCCCATCCCGAGAGCGCCCGGTTCATCAGCGGTGCCGTTCTGGTTGTCGACGGTGGCCAGTGGCTCGTGAGCGGTGGCGGGATTGTGCCCGAGTCGCAGTGGAGAGGCAAGTTGTAGCCGACTTTCCACCCGCCCCAACTTGGCGGAGTTGGAGAAATGGGGCATGGTCCTGCTTGGTGCACCATGAACTTGCGGAGATTGCCGGTGCACTCGACCAACGACGGTCTATAAACGCTTGGTTGTCCATCCAATCCGCTTTGTCTGCAATCAACTCGCACACCGGAGTGACGGACACCGACGAAGGGGAATATGAAGGAGTCGAGAACGCGAGCGCCCCCTGAGACTTTATTTCGCTTTTTTTTTTTTTTGGTTCTTCGGGTTTCATGATGGAGAAATGAGTATGAAGTGTAACTAGAGGGAAAGGGCGGGGACTGGGTGGCTGTTTCTCCGCAGCAGACGCGATTTTTACTTCTCGAGGAGACCGACGATCATTCGGTACAGATCTGAGGGAGCGAGACGGAGCATGTGGTTGTTGAGCGGTGTCGTCAGTACGAGCAGCATTGTTTGGATGAGCAGCATCGTTCGAAAGAGTGGGTCGTTCATTCGGATGCCATCATCGGTTTGATTGTCGAAATGGCGAGAATGCAGGCGACGGCGCAATTTGCATGCTGTTAGGGTGGCCACCACGGATGCTGGCGACACGATGACCGCTGAGGGTGACAGTCGGTGCATGCTCTTGGCAAGGCACTGGCCGCTACAAGACAAGAAGAGCCAGACAGGCAGCACTCACAGTAGAAGAAGCAAATCAGGTAGAATCCCAGCTTGATGAAGCACTCCTTCTTATGAGATCCGAGGGTTCTGAAGATTTCGGTGGCATCGTACATGTGCTTATTATCCATGATCCTTTGGGAAAGCAGGGTGGCAAAGCCACAGAGAATGTTAGTCATGCACTTGTGACGGGGCATATGCTCGTGATGGACATGCGCTTGCGATGGATCCACGACTGCTGCGGCTTGCACTAGAGATCCCGATCAGATCCTCAACAGCCCGGTATTTGGTCGTCCCGACATAATAGAGAGACCGTGGGCGATCGGGACTGACGACCGCCAGGGACTGATGCGATTCGACATACTTTTTGATGTGCCAGCCTAGCAGGGGGGCGTTGATGATCAGCGCAACAAAGCTCAGGTTGAGAAGGAACATGAGACACAAGAATCCGTGGGCGAGCATTTCGGGCAGGACGAACTAAAGAAGGAGCCGGTTGGATGGATGAGTGCAGCTGTCGCGATCGACTCTGGTGCGTGGACATGTGCAGCCAGATGGATCGAAGATAGTACCTGGTTGAGCTTGTTGCAAAGGTCTATCGGGTTGATGTAATCGACTTCGAGATCAGAGAACATGATGATCTGGGAGAGAAGAGACGGTCAGGAGAGATGACGCAGCCGATGTCAGAAGGCCGGGCCGGTCTGCGCCGTACGAATCGATTGCAGCAGAGGCAATATGGAACCAAGTAGCTGCCACAGAGACAGAGAGGCAGTCCAGCCAGCCAGCCAGAGACTGAGGGGCTGGCTACAGGCAGGAGGGGGGGGGACGATTTGCGGGGTCTTGGCGCAAGACTCGGGGGCGATCGATCGGCTGCTCCTTCGACCGAATCCACTTACAAAGAAGACCATAGAGAACAAGAGGACGGCTGCCATGACGACAGCAAACAGGAAAAGAAACTGGGTAGCCACAGGTTACGATGCGGTACGATGAGCCACCGGAAGCAGATGGGTTAGTGTCGACGACAGGGGTGGGGTGGATCGACTGTGCCGGCTCTGAGAAGGGGAAGGCGGGATCCTCCAAGTGATGGTCCTGGTTTCAGAGTCGATGCCAGCCGAGGATCGCAGAGGGCCATGCTTTGAAGCATTCATTCGCACTCGACATCGACGGATGGAGAGCAAGGTGAACAGGGGGGCGATTACGCAGGCCCTCAGTGAGGGGGGTGTGTCTCAACATACCGCTTCGCCGTTCATGATTGTGGAGATGGACGATGGCGAGGGAGACGGACGATGGGACGGCGCAACCAGCGAGGGGGTATTGACAACTGCGGCTTTGATGAGATTCGAGAGATGGTCCAGGCGGAGACGGTGGCGGTCTGCAGGCCTGCAAATGCACACAGGGGATGTCGGGCAGCCGGCGATGGACAGATGGGGGACGAGAGAGCAAGGCCAGAAGATCGCTTTTTGGGCCACCCAAGCCGACGCGAGGGGCGAGGATGATGTGGAGCGAGGAGGCAACGGGGAGGCGAGGAGGGGAGAGAGAGATGGGATGTGAGCGTCTGAGCCGTGCGAGATGCGGCCGAGATGCAGCCGAGATGCCGCGGGGACGGGGCGAGGACCGGGCGAGAACTGACACGTTCGTTTGCAAGGGGGGCTCTGTCGAGCGGCAAACGAGCACACTGGGCTGCCGCCTGGGGGCATTGGGCGAAGCGCAGGACGAGGTTGAGGCCGACAAGAGAGTAAAGTCGGCGGAAAGGAGCACAAAGGGCTGGGACGCATTGTGCACGGATCCGCCGAGACGCAATGGCTGGGCTTCATGGGTCCGCACACAACCAGGAGGATCCATAGGCCGCACGCATCGAGCAAGCAACTACCTTGGATGCAGCAACAGCAGCTGGGTGTGGATATCGAGTAGTTACGATGACAGCCCGGCCGTGCAGGCGAGTTGATGGGGAGTCGAAAGATGAGATGCCGCAGATGGCAAGAATGTTTTGCCAAGACAAACGGGTCAAGCCGAGGGCGAGGCCGTGCTCGGTCGCCTCACAGCATCGGCTCTGCAAGAAGGCACAATACGGCTGCGTTCTCGGGTGGGGTTCGCAGCAGATGACGGAAGAGCGCCATGTCCAACCGATGGACGTCACCACGCTCTGACGCTCGCTGTGTTTGTCTGCCGTCCATCGATACAGATCGAGGTGCTGATTGGGAAAGGGAAAGAGCAAGGACGCAAGATGCAGCAACATATCTGATTGCATGGCCAACACACAGCAGACGCAGTCGTTATTGAATCGGGGGAGGAGGCTGCAAATGTCCCACTGGCCGCGGTCATATCGCATTCAGTGGTTGTTCAGATCGGCCAGCTTCTCGATGTAATAGTCAGGTTGGATGGCCGACTTTTCGAGCTGGTCGTGAGAAGTCACTCCTGCGGAAGTGTAATCGGCAGATTGGCAGATCAGTCAGAGCCACAGTCTCCTCTCGGCGCTGTGCATCCCTCCGGACGAATCGGATAGCCGTACCCGTCATGACCAGGAGGGTCTTGAGATTGCCGGACTGCCCAAAGAGGATGTCGGTGTCCAATCTGTCGATGCAAGCCGAAAGGTTAGTTCCAGAGTGCAACAACAGCAGCAGCAACAGCAATCCATCAGCAATCCAGCAGCAATCCAGCAGCAATCCAGCAGCAATCCATCAGCAACGGCAAGGCATCTGCTTGTATCATGCATCCACATCACCGACCTGTCGCCGACCATGCATGTTCGGTCTCGGTCGAGGTGGTATTTGGCCACGATCACATCCAGCATAGTCTTCTCGGGCTTGCCGAGCACCGTCGGCTTGCGCTGGAGTGGGGCCGAGAGAGCCGAGAGCAAAGCGCCCGTTCCTGTGGCATGATGGGATGGACCAAATTCCCAAACACAACCAGACAATAGCGTCAGCTGCGGCTCCATCGAGCAAGCGAGTTTGGCTTGATTTCGCCCTCTTGAGAATCGATGGTCGGCATGGGCTCTTCTCCCGCAATGCAATCGCACACAAGCAATCGCACATGCATCCCACACATGCAGTTGCACGCCGTCCTCACCAGGGTAGACCGTTCCGCCAGCAGGGAAGGTCAGATCGCTGTTGGTGGCCAGGAAGTGGCACTCGGGGTTGTGGTGCAGATAGGTGAAGGCCTTGGCCAGCTTCTTGTAGTTGATGTTCAGATCAAAACCAAAGAGCACAGCGCCGACGTCGGGATCGTTCTTGACGGTGCCCATCTCGCTCATTTCCTTGAGGTTATCGTTATCCTCCTGGTTCCCAGAATGCATCCACACGGGGCAAATCGCATCCGATCGTATCCGTACGAATGAACCGGGTGAGAAATCGGTCATTGCTGGACAAGATCAGCTTGATCTCTATGGCCGAGAGGACGATCTACCATCGCCTCGGCTCTCCCAGCTCCAGTCAGCACCAGTCCATGACAGTGGCCAACGTACATCGACGCCGCAGTAGTTGATGCCTTCGGAAGCCAGCTCCTCCGCGATGCCGCTCATGCCGCAGACATAGACCTTCTTGTCCTTGGGGAACTTGAGGATCTGCGAAACGTAGCAAGCGGCAGCGTAGGCCGACCCAAAGATTTCGTCCTGGCAGCCAGAGTCCATTCATCGCGACGGCAGCCGTCAGCGTCAGCGCCAAGGGCGAAAGGAAGAATACAGCACCCAAGACGGGATCGGCCCGGTCCGGCGTAGATGGATCCGCAGAGGACTGTGCCCTACCTCGGAGGCCTCGATTCCGAGCTTGGTGAACTTTTTGAGATACGACTTTCTCGAGTTGGTGGAGTTGTTGGTGACGAAGAGCAGTCGCTTGCCCTTGGATCGGAGGAGAGCAAGCAGCTCTCTGATGCCGTCGAGAACATGGGTGCCGTGCCAGATGACACCTACAAGAGAGGAGCGAGGCACTGATGAGCCCCGGCGGCTGCATTGGGCAGGGATGCATGCGGGTTGCTGCTCGCTGCCACAGGTATCGGTCCCCAGACCGTTCTGGGAGGAGCAACAGATCAAATCGAGGCGCCGCGAGGCCCAGACGACAATGGCACCAAGCGCTCCGCACCGTCGCAATCCAAAAGGAAGGTGTCGATCGAATCGATGAACTGGGCGTAGTTCTCTTGCTCCAGGAACGGCATGGCGACGAGGACGGAAGATAGAGAGAACGAGGCTTGGGATCTGCCCTGTCGCAGTCAACGCCGATGGCCGTGGCGATGGTCGTGGCGCTGCGATTGCTGCGGGTCGGCGCCTGGCAACAAGCAGTTGAGGCTTGCGGCCCGGGCGGCCTGCCATCTCATCCAAGTGATCTCACCCAAGTGTCTCGCTCATGCAAAGGAACTGGAAAGGAGATGGACAGATGTATTGATTCAACAGACAAAGCGACAAGAACAGTGATGGGGGATATGGCACAAGGAGAGCATGGAGATCTACCGATAGAACGACAGACAAGATAGCGATTGGACAGATACACAAGATAGAAGATACAAAGAGACAGCGACGAATGTCATCCAACGGGGCGGACGCATCGACGGGCGTATGGGTGGATGGGATGGATGGATGAATGAATGAAGGATGGATGCGGAGAATGGGATGAAACAACTGGCTGGGCGGGCTCAATAGAGCTGGAGATGCGAGAGCACGTTGAGGGCATGCTGATCCAGGTTGAACCACAGGCAGACGACACACAGGATCGGGTAGTACCACGAGCCCGATGTCTCCAGGGTCGAGGCAAAGTGCTGGATGTACAGCAGCGATGCCGAAAAGATGAGCATGACCTTCAGGCCGTAGATGTAGAAGGTGAATAGGGCGCCGTTGAAGACGATCAGCTGGCGCTTGGAGAGGGTCAGGATCAGCTTGTCGAGGGAGCCAAGTTGGTGCTGGTGGTGGAGCGTCTTTGTGGATGGCGAATCGGCATGCTTTTCAGCAGTGCTCGAGTCCAGGGAGACGCCTTCGTCCAGGTTGTATCGGTGAAAGTCAACCCAGAGATGCGACGTCAGGACCCAGAGCTGGGCCAGGCGATCGAGGGCCAGCTGGGTAATGACGATGGCCAGGATTCCCGAACCGATGGACGAGCCAGGGAACCATTCGAGGGCGACGAGGGAGACAACCGACTCGACGGCAAAGTGCAGCGACGGGGCGCTGAAGACCGACTGTGGGAGGGCTGTCCAGACAATGTCAGGGACCAGATCGGTGACCCAGAGCGACTGGAAGACCAGCTGCAGGAGCGATCGGTGCTGCTGGACAAAAGCTGGCCCGTGCAGGAAAACGCCTGTAGAGACGACTCCAGCAGCGACAAGGTAGAAGAAGCCCCAGTGGAAGTGGGTGAGAAGGCGGGCCGGATGGGGCCCGGCGGATGGCTGCTTGCGCTGGATGAGTCGCGAGTGCTTGACGAGCAGAGACTGGTTCCATAGCTCGAGGAGCGAATGCACGCCAAGCGCCGCGGCGAGGAACGAGGTGTGGTGGGTCTGGATGAACGAATCGGGGATATGGAGCAAGCCGGCGAGGGCAAGACTGGCCAGAGAGACGGCAGGCACGGCGCAGTCCAGGAACAGCGACATTGTGGATATGTAATGCGACAGTTGAGCAGCGATTGATGCGACCGGGAGGCAGACGGAGCGATTCAGCGAGTCTGAGGAGGCGAGCGACGAAAGGGAATATATATGGATGAGGTCTCGCAAGAGCGAATTTGAAATGGTCGATGCGCAGGACACGGCGATGCTGCGGACTCTGGGGCCAACAAGCTCGCAGCCTGGGTATTGATAATGAGTCAGGACTGCCGGGGGGGGGAGCCAAGCAGTTCAAAGAAACGAGGCCAAGCAGTGCAAAGAAACGAGGCCGGGCAGTGCAAAGAAACGAGCCAAGAAGCCCGGGCGGCGTGCATGGTGGGGGTCAAAGCCTGCCAGGCGTGGGCAGAATGGGAGCATCGGGACCATCGGGACCATCGGCGCAAACAGGGATCACGCTCTTCCGGCCAGCATTGTTTTGGTTCTCTGGAGATGGTTCGGTGGCTGCGGCCGTGAGGGGGCGATCTGGTGAGGACAGTGGACATGCGCCATTGATGTGTCGAAGTGTTGAAGTGTTGATGTTTTGAAGTGTTGATGTGTTGATGTTTTGATGTGTTGATGTGTCGATATGAAATGAGCGTGAATCGAATATGCGCAATCGATCTCAACGACGCTCCCACATGGCTCGACGACGACTCTCGTTCTCCGACAACCCTCCCACAGTACCCAATCCCACTCCTCCCACTCCATCGCGGCATTCTTGGCCTCTCTTGGCCTCTCTTGGCTTTGACGTGGCCAAGAAACAGCCGCATCTGGTGTCGATGTGTCTTGTGCTGACTGGCCAGGGCGGTGCATGCCAAGACCAGCACCACGAATACCGTCGCCGGGTGGGATTGCTGCCATCCAGGTGCAATCAGCCATCCAACGGACATCCAACGGACACCCAACGGACATCCGGCGCTGGCCTGATTGACCCTCAGAGTGCGTCTCTGATTCAACCCTCAGCGATGCGAATTGCATCTCCCCTCCCTCCCTTCGCACTCCCTCCGTCTTCCTGTCCCTTTGCACTTGAGAATCTCCTCTTGACCAACCAACTTCCGGACCCAAGTTTCGGCATCCCATCGGGCGGCTAAGACAGCAGCCACGGTCCGCACGGCGATCCCAAACGTCTCGCTTCAGCCTCTGTAGTGTCTCTGGCCATTTGTAAGTTGGCCCGAAATCCTCCGAGTGCTGCCACCGGCGACGATGGCAATGATGGCGATGATGGCGATGATGGCGATGATGGCGATGATGGCGATGATGGCGACGAAGAATGGCGAGGGTGCTGAGCAGAACCACGCTGCTCTCGCCTGCTTGATGCTGCACCAGTCGCCGCAGTCCTTGATTTGCAATTCGGCTTCTTGGTCGTGGTTTCTATCTGGGTTGGGTTGCCACAGCGGCATTCCCACGACTCGTTGCCGCTTGTGCTTGTCGTCGCCTCTGCTCGGACTGCCGTTGCCTGCGTTGGTCGGAGATGGATACACTCTTCGGCAATATCGGTATCGTCGGCTCAACCCATTCGTTGGATCTCCCAGGCTCGCCGCTATCATCGCGCAAGTACCCCCTATCCATAGGCAGTCCTTCAGCGATCTCGAAGCGAGTCCAGGCCATCAGCTCTCCAAGCATACTGGAGACAGGGTTGCTGCACTCCACTCCCCCCGGTATTCCTTGGCTGACCATCACCTCATCCAGCAGCACTTGATCGACAGCACAGATGGGTCGGCAGGGTGTCCTCCTCGGTGCGGACACACAGCGGCTGCCGGTCCAGCCCATTCTCGAAATCATCCCTCGTCCTCCGACTGCACCCAAGCCATCGACCGCCCCGCATTCGCACACCTTCCCCGTCTATACCGGGATCCTCCCGGCCTCGGCTGTTCCTCCCCGGATCTCGGGACAGGCGCGACAGGGCTCATGGGCCCTGGTCTCGAGTGCGGTTCTTGCCCGCGACCCAAACGCACTCAAGGAGATCCGGCCGAATCTCGAAAGCGCCTTGGCTCGGTCCGGCACCATCTATGAGTCGGCCTTCTCGAGCGAGTCCGTCAACCAGATCGCGGACAACCGGGCCTCCCAGGCCGAAAAGGGCCGCTCGATGTCGACCATGCAAGATCCCGGTGCCGGGAGCTCTGAGGCCCGGTACTCGGCTGTCAAGAGCTTGCTCTCACAAGAGTCGGCACCGCTCCTGACCTCGGATGATGACACCAGCAGCGACCTGCCTCCCGACCCGGCGCTGGCCGAGAAGGAAAACATCCGGCGGCTCTGTGAGTCGCGATACATCATGCCCAACCTCCTCGAGAGCAAGCTGCGACGAGAGGCGCTCCTGGAGCGTGAGAAGCGACATCCCGATGGACTGCACACCCGCATCCTCTATGCCAACTATATCAACACACCGATCCGGCGGCCCAAGCGCGGGTCCGTTCCCACTCTCGCCCTCGAGGACAAGAACAGCAAGGAAGAGTCGGTCAAGAAGAACGACGGCAAGAAGCGGCGCCAGTACAAGAAGCTGCAGCTCGGGCCGATGCGGTTTGCCAATAAGCCTAAGGAGAGCGGGCCGGTGCATGATCCGTCTCCGTCCATCTCGGATCGCAGCTTCGACAGCACTGGCGATGTCAGCGGTGCCGTGCCCGGATCCAAGGCAAGCCATGCCGGTATCGGGCGACGCAGCAACGCTCCAAAGTCCCTCAAGTCCAACGTCAACCTGATCCGCCTCAGTCTCAAGATGCGGCGTGCGCCAGGAAGCACCCTCCAAGAGTCGACCTCGACCCAGGAGCCGATTGCCGAGGAAAGACAGCGGCGAACCGGCTCGCGGCCTGTGTCTAGCAAAATCATGCGGCCGCCGTTCGTCGCAGCTGCAACCGAGGAGGCAGGGCGGTCGAGCCGGTCTGGATCGGCCCGAACCAGCATCCTCGCGCACGATATCCGCCAGCGGATCCGCAATTCGTCCTTCAAGAGCAGCATGTCGGCCTCGAGCAGCTACAACGGCGCCAACGGCGCAGCGGTTGCTCCTCGACACCGGGCTGGTTCCAGCATGGCCGATACGATCACGCTGGCGATGCTGACCAAACGAGTCAGCTCGGCCGAAGGCACCCGCAAGCGCCGACGCAACGCCGTGAAGGGCCATGCGGCAGACACCGAGATGCGCAAGTACCAGCTCGAGGAGGTTGACCGCATCGTCGAGGCCTTCCACCGACAGGGCATGTCGATCAGCCGGCGGGTGGTCGAGCGAGCCATCCTCGTGCCCGAGGAGATCCTGCATGCGGCGCCCAAGGCCGTCAAGGTCGTCAAGGCCAAGCCCAAGCGCATCCCAATGCATCTGCGGCAGCGGGTGATGGAGAGCAGCGACAGCGACAGCGACGAGGCCGACCGCTACCCGACCAAGGTGCACGAGCCCTTGAGCCTCAATTCGATTGTGGTGAGGCCGCGGCTGCGGAAGGTCGACTCGGAGTCGCGGCTGGTGACGAACCGGGGACGCACCAACAACTGGTGGACGGTCGACGAATACAAGGTGCTGAAGAAGGGCTGGGAGAAGCTCACCGAGGAACACCGGCGCGAGCGGGTCAACCGGGCCTTCCGCCGCAAGTACATGATCATGCCCTTCAACTCGTACATCCGCAGCCGGCCCTCGACCGCCGATGCAGCCGTGCGTGGCTCCAAGTACAAGCGGCCGGCTGCAGACAGCCTCGACTCGCTGGCACACAAGCCGCAGGACCGCAAGGACTATGGCCGAAGCATCCACAAGCTGATCCACGGACGCATGCAGGATGGTCAGGGCAACTGGTTCCCGTCGCTGACTCGCGGCCGGCCGCTTCCACAGATCACGACCGAGAACCGAGCATCGAGCCCGGGAGGCGGAGGCGACGCTCGGTCAATCTTTCGGTCGGCATCGGCGGCGACGGCACCGCGCTCGCAATGCTCGTCAGGCGGTGGACGATACAGCAAGCTACCGGACGTGCAGGTGTATGGCCAGGATCCGGCGCTGAATGCGGACTTGCTTGTGGGCGAACATACCCGGCGGTCCACATCGGCGTCGTCGATGTATACCCAGAGCGCATTCTCCAAGTACCGACCCAACGTGCTCGCACCGACGCCTGTTCCGCCCGACGACTGATGCCGAGGGTCAAATACAGAGGTGGACTGCGTGCGTGCAAGAGACGCTGGAGCTGCGAACCGCGCGGACGATGCCAGGGTCATGAGTCTTGCGTCCGTGCCGGGGTCGCGATGCTCACGGGAGATTCGATACCTGGCGGGAGCTGTGCCGATGCTGTGCCGATGCTGTGTCGGTGCTGTGTCGGTGCTGTGTCGGGGCTGTGCGACTGGGGACCGAATTTGGCGATGTGGCGATGCTGGCACTTCCATTTACGGAACACGGGCGACGCGCAGGGCCACGCCGAGAAGGCGGGCTGGGCACAGGGCCGCCGCCCAACAGGATGCTGCTGGCAGTGTTGTTGTTGTTTGGATACTGTTGTTGTTGATGTTGTTGTTGCTGGCTTTGTTGTGCTCCGTGTCGCTGGCTGTTGGCTGCCATTGGCCCGCTGGGCGCCGCTGTCGCTGTGCTGTGTTTGGTGGCTGTCGCGCCGCCGTGTGACGTCTGTGTGACACCATAGCACGCAGCCAATCGCCGTCCGCCAAACGGTGCGCAGCACCACACACACACACATACGCACACACACACACGCACACCCAGCCTCGCCGTTGACTCAACGACCACCATAAAACCCGCGGATTGCCAGCCCCTTTCCTCGTGGCCGTCTTCCTCGCCTCTCGCTTCCATCGCCAACACCCTCGCCTCGCCCATCATGGTCAAGATCTGCTGTATTGGTGCCGGCTACGTCGGTGCGTCTTGCTTGCTGTGTTGCTTTGTCACGGCCGGCCCTCTGGGCGATTGACCAGGCTGCCTCCGCGGCGCCTTGGTCTCCTGGCATCGCTGGTTACTCGGCCTCGGCTTCCTCCCCCACCTCCAGCCGTCAGCAGCTGGCTGCCGCCCAGCACTGCAACGGCAGCTGCAGCACTGTCGGTGCTGCATCCGTCTCACCTTAGTCGGAGCAAAGCGAACGCACGACATGTTTCGGATCAAGAGCCCACACTGCCGGCACACCTGCTTACTCCCCCCCTCTCGCACCTGTTCCCGCACCCTCCTGTTCCCTCTGCCAGGTGGCCCCACTTGCGCCGTCATCGCCTACAAGTGCCCCGAAGTCAAGGTCACCATTGTTGACATCAACCAGAACAGAATCGACCAGTGGAACTCGGACATCCTCCCGATCTACGAGCCCGGACTGGATGAGATCGTCAAGGCCACCCGCGGCCGCAACCTGTTCTTCAGCACCGCTGTCGACGAGGCCATCATCGAGGCCGATCTCATCTTTGTCTCTGTCAACACCCCCACCAAGAAGACCGGCATGGGTGCTGGCTTTGCCGCTGACCTGGCGTAAGCACTCTGATCATGATTTTGCCGCTGTTCCTGATCCGCTCCGGCTCTCTTGACGAGCCCTGTACTTCCCCACCCCCTGTTTCGACTCTCATCTCGGCGCTCGCTCCTTGCAGCCGATAGTCTCGTCTGTCTGCGATCCTCGTGTGTGCTCGAATCCCATCCCGGCCCCGTGATCCGGCCATCCTGGGACCCGACCCACCCTGACCTCGCGATCATCCAACGCTTCTTTCTTTGCCCACAGCTACATCGAGGCCGCCACTCGCCGCATCGCCAAGGTCGCCACCTCCTCCAAGATCGTCATCGAAAAGTCCACTGTCCCTTGCCGCACTGCCGAGAGCATGCGCAAGATCCTGGACGCCAACAGCCGTGCCGACATCAACTTCCAGATCCTGTCCAACCCCGAGTTCCTCGCCGAGGGCACCGCCATCGAGGATCTCTTCAGCCCCGATCGTGTCCTCATTGGCTGCCTCGATACCCCCGAGGGCCACAAGGCTCAGCAGACCCTTGCTGATGTCTACGCTCACTGGGTTCCCCGCGAGCGTATCATCGGCATGAACCTCTGGTCCTCTGAGCTCTCCAAGCTGGTATGTTGCCGTCTGTCCGTTGCTTTTCTGGCGTTGCCGTTGGAAAACCAGGACACTCCCAGATTGGTGCTCTCGGTCGTGGGCTTTGATGAAACAACCGCGCTGACCCGCCCCTTCGTGTTTGGCAATGTCGCTTTGTCGCTTGGCCACCGTTGTTGATTGCGCCGCATTCTAGGCTGCCAACGCCATCCTCGCTCAGCGCATCTCGAGCATCAACGCCCTCAGCGCCATTTGCGAGGCCACTGGCGCTGATGTCGATGAGGTCGGCTTTGCCTGCGGTCTCGACAGCCGCATCGGCCCCAAGTTCCTGAAGGCCAGTGTTGGCTTTGGTGGCAGCTGCTTCCAGAAGGATATCCTCAACCTCGTCTATCTGAGTGAGAGCCTGAACCTCCCCGAGGTCGCCGCCTACTGGCAGCAGGTGAGATTATGGGTCGATGCACAGTGTCCTGGGTGTCTGTTGATCCGCAAATAGTGCGCCGCTCGCTGACCCTTCCCGCTCTCGCTCCAGGTTGTCATCATGAACGAGTACCAGAAGAGCCGCTTCGCTGCTCGCGTCGTCAAGAAGCTCTTCAACACCATCACCAACAAGAAGATTGCTGTCCTTGGCTTTGCCTTCAAGAAGAACACTGGCGACACCCGCGAGTCTGCCGCCATCAGCCTGATCAAGTACTTCATCCAGGAGAACGCCAACATCCACATCTACGATCCCAAGGTGAGGGATCGTCCGCCCGTCTATCGCGGATGTGTCTGAGATTTGCGCTGGTTCGGACTGATTGCTCCAATCAACTGACACGACGCCGTCGTCCATGCTCCTCCTGCAGGTCAGCGTCGAGCAGATCGAGGAAGATCTCATTTACCCCGGCATCGCCACTCCCGAGCAGTGTAAGTTCCTCGCCACAGCAAAGTTGCCCGGCCCCTCGTCTCGCACCGATCGCTCGCTCACAGACATTTGCTTCTATAGATGCCAAGCGCATCAACATCCACCAGGATGCCTACAGCGCTGCCCAGGATGCCGACGCCGTTATCATTGTCACCGAGTGGGACGAGTTCAAGACCCTTGACTACAGCCGTGTCTACGAGAACATGAACAAGCCCGCCTTCATCTTTGACGGTCGACTGATCCTGAACCACAAGGAGCTGAAGGCCATCGGCTTCGAGGTATGTGCGGCTCCGCTCCCCAGCCTGACTAGAGTAACCTGTGCACCCTGCGTGCTCTAGCAAAGACGACACTGCCTGATGGCTGATGTTTCGACGGGCCCATCTTCCCGACACAGGTCGAGGTTATCGGCAAGGTTATCCAGTAAACAAAATCACTCCGTGGCCCGATTCCCGCCTGTTTCTCCTGCGCACTTTGCTGCGCCTCGATTGTCTGGACAGCGCCCCACCCCACTCCGACACCGAGCCCTCTCGATCGCAGACTCTTCCTGTGTTGAGCAAACCTCTTTTTATTCTTCCCTCTGTGCGTTCAAATCTCTTTGCGTTCAAATATATCTGGTACAGTCTACCCAGAAAGAAGCGGGACAGTCACTTTCTGGCATCGGCGACACGAGTCTGCTGATCTGTTGGCTCCAGCGGGCAAGCTGTGCGATTGTTTCCTGTCCTGGTTGGCAATCCTATTGATGTGTCGATGTGCGAGCGTGATGCCTCCACTCCATGTGGGAGTGTGGTGCATTCACTCGACTCTCTGGACTGTTTCATGGTGTATCGATATCAAGATACTCGACCTTGAGTCGCCCAGCCTCCCAGTCTCCTTGGACACACCGTTTGTGATCATGGCGAGAGTGTATTCAGGACCCAGAACACAAGAGGGTGTCCTGTTTTTGTTTTGGGATCGCTGTATATGCACATTTGTTTGGCTAGAGCGGATATGTAGAGTAAATATGGCTCTCCGTTCATATTGCGGACTCCTCAGGGTGGAGGTGGGGGGAAGGTAATGGAAGAGCGGAGCATGCGTGTATGTGTGCGAGGCAAGACGAGCAGAACACAAAAGCAGGGCTGGATCGGCGGTGCTTCTTTCTACTCGGCAACAGTCGAAAAATCGCGCTGTTTGAAGAGTGAAGGAGGGGGGGGGTTTAAGCCCACAGCGCCAGGTTAGTGAACAGCGACAGACTTTGGGAACCGGCCGAGAGTAGCCATGTCATTCATGCAAGGACGGTGCCAGCCACATATGCCGGGTTGGCCACTGCTGTATCTCCAACATGGGCACGGTGGTCCGGGATTGCAGATACTTACGACAGCCTCGAGGAAGTTTCGCAGGTGCTCGGGGTCCATGTCTAGCAGTGCGGGAAAGGGGACAGGAGAATGATTAGTCTGCAAGATCAACTCGGGAGTCAAGGCAGTGACTGCAGCAGTATCCCTCCGCGGCGTTCGACGTTTACAGAGATCGCCAGCTTGCATTTACACAGGCACACCGCCGGTAGGCCTCTGCTGCAGCGGACGGCATCAGTCTCATCCATCTAATACATCTCAGGGAAGCAGAGCTCCGTACCAGGGTAGATGCCGTGGCCGAGGTTGGCAACGTGCTTGCCGCCCTTGCCAAAGGCCTCGATCATCTCCTTGACCTGGGCACGGATGGTCTCGCGGTCGCCGTAGAGGACGCAGGGGTCAGCGTTGCCCTGCAGGACAACCTTGCCCTGGGTCTCGCGCTGGGCCTTCTCGATATCGATGGTCCAGTCGAGCGAAACGACCTCGTACTCAAGCTCCGAGAGCTCGGCCAGGGCAAAGTGGGCGCCCTTGGCAAAGACAGTCATGGGGACGGGCTCGATGCCCTCCTCACGCAGCTGGGCCTTGACCCGGGTGGCGATCTGGGCGAGGTAGGGCAGCGAGAAGGTCTTGAAGGTCGAGGGCGAGAGCTCGCCGGCCCAAGAGTCAAAGACTTGGAGCATCTGTGGCGAGCCCACCGACAGGGACGCATGTATGAAGCAGGGACATAGGAGCATGGTGTCATCAAGGAGAAGATGATACGGATGTCAGACAACACGTTTGCTCAGGGGCGATGATTGAGCAGCGGCCGGGCCCGTCTCGACTCGACGCCGGCAAGCAGACACACATATGGCAGGCTTTACCTGAGCGCCAGCCTTGACCTGGCCGACCAGGAAGGGGACGATGGCGTCGGTGATGATCTGCATGAAGCGATGCGACTCCTCGGGGTGGACATACAGCCAGCTCTTGGCCTTGCTGAGGGTCTTGCTGCCGCCGCCCTCGATCGAGTAGGCCATGAGGGTCCAGGGGGCGCCGACAAAGCCAAAGAGGGGCACTCGGCCGTCCAGGCGGGTGCGGGTCAGGGTGATGGCGTCGTAGACGTACTTGAGCTTCTCGTGGACGTTGACGTTGGCGTCGACTCGGACGAGGTCAGCGGGGGTGACGATCGGGTTGGGGAAGTGGGGGCCCTTGCCAGGGACCATGATGACCTCGAGGCCAAGGGCCTGCGGGATCACCAGGATGTCGGAAAAGATGATGGAGGCATCGAGCAGGCCGGGGTATCGGTCGATGGGCTGCAGGGTCACCTTGCAAGCGAGCTCGGGGTCCTGGCAGACGGCGAAAAAGTCGTGCTCGACCTTGACGGCTCGGAACTCTGTGGCAAGAGATGGGGTATATCGAGGGAGGACGCCAATCAGCAAAGGGCCAGCCTGGAGTGGGAGGAGGAAGGAAGCGGCGGCGCCAGCCCGGTGTGGTTCACCACCGATCCATTGATCCATCGGTTCGTCCGTCCATCGGTTCGTCAATTCCGCTGCCAGCCCGACAGATCCCTCGAGATCGTGGAAGCAACGACACGGGAGCTTACCAGGGAGGTATCGGCCAGCCTGTCTCATAATCCAGACAGGTGTGCGCTCAACCTGCTCGCCGCGAGAAACTCGCAGGATGAGATCGTTCTTGAGGGGCGGGAAGTTGGTCTGGAGGGTGGCCATGGTTCCGGAGGATGGACAGAGACTTGGGCTGATGGCGAGCACGCCGATCCAGGGCCGGTGGTGGTGCAGCCGGCATGAGGATCCAGTTTGACAGAGCCAACGATGATGCAGGGATCAGTGCGTGAGGGGTTGCAGGTTGGTGGTGGTGGTGGTTGTGGTTGAGGGGGTTGCGGTTTGGTATCAGGATAGCAGTTACGGTTGGTGGATAGAGATAAAGCAGCCAGTGTCAGTTGCGATCAAGAGCCAGGTCGCCGAGCAGATTTATGCGAGGCAGATGCTCTCGGGGCTGAACCTGGTGCGGGATTGCGGATCGGCACAGAGCAGACGAGAAGCAAGCAGGACGCAGAAAAGGCGCAGGCGGCAGATGCAGGCGAGAGAAGCAGGAGCAAGAGGCCAGAGCAAGGGCTTGTCCTCACACCCCCACAAGCATGTCGTATCTGCGATTCGCACGGCCAAGCACCCGCACCCGCCTTGCACACCACAGATGCTTCAGACAAACGAGCCACAGCAGCCGTGACCATACCAGAGAGAGCGAGGATCAACTGAGAGCGAGACGGCAGCGACCGGGGGCAGCCAGGAAGGAGGAGGAGGAGAGCCGCACCTCTTATAGGCAGGAGTCGGCCGGGGTGGCTGGGCAAGCGAAAATTTTTCAACCGGACCGGTGGGTGGTTGTGTGCTCCGGTCGTCCCCCTTGGCGCAAGGAGCGGCATTCTCCATATCAACGCCGGCTGTTGAGCCGAAGCGTTGACCAGACGGCGGCCGTGACAGAGCTGCGACGACGGCAGCGACAATTCGTGGGATGGCAATGTACAGGCCGTAACAACACAGCGCGGCGACGATGTTGACTGCGATGGTCATGGCTATTGCGATTGCGATTGCGGTTGCGGTTGCGGTTGCGGTTGCGGTTGCGGTTGCGATGGCGACTGGCCGAGGAGATGCTGGCTGGGATTGCTCGCAATCTCCTGCTCAAAAGCGATGCCGGAAGAAGGTGGGGAGGGCGGCACAGACAACAAGAAAGACGGCATGGCGGAGGTGGGTTCTGGGGGTTGTGTTCAAGGAGATTGTTACCAAGTCCTCTTTCGGGGGGAGGTGGCTGCGGTCTGTGCTCCGATACGACTGCATTGTGAGTGCGAGGAGGAGGAGGAAGGGGGAGGCGGCGAGGGGATGGGTCGCAACTCTGTCGTGGGTGCTGCTCTCGATCAACAGCGCATATCGCACTGCCGAGTGTCTACAACTCTCTATTGACTGCGTACATCTCTATCGGCTGCCCGCTGGTGTGTCTCGCTGTCCTGCTGGCCCTGTGGAGCCCCCGTCCAGGCAGCACCGGCTCACTGGTCCAGCGCGGCTGGCAGCAAGCAAGGAGGTCTTATATTGCCTCGGCGGGCATTGCGCTTTCTGGTTGCTATACGGCAGGCATATTTGCGGAATCAAAGGAGGGGGGAAGGAAGAGAGGGCTGATTCGGAGAGCGTCTCTGAAGTAACGGGCTCGCTTCGCATCCTGCATCCGGTTGATATCATAATCGGTTGAGAGGGCTTGCGTCTGTATCGCAAGTCGCCCTGGCACTTTTGCTTTCTTTCCTTTTTCTTCTGCTGCTCTCCTGAATCGCAGGAGACAACAAGCCGGCTGAGCAAGACGCAGCAACAAGGGGGAGGCTCTCGGTATCCGACCATGGGCTGAAGCCGGGGCCGAAGCGAGGCTGTCGTCATGGGCCCGTTTGCGTTGCTGGCGGAGGCGCTGGGCCAGAAGCCGTTGCATCGACGACATCCAACAGAATCCCAACAGAATCCAACAGAATCCAACAGAATCCAACAGAATCCAACGGAATGCATCGCTGCATTGCTACGTCGCTGTGTATTCGTCTCCGATTTCACGCAACAGGCGCTCGTCTCCCATCCAACCTCCGCTTTCGTGAATCGATCGGATCGCGGGAGGAAGCGTCTCCAGATCTGTGAGCATTCTCGAAAGCCTGATTTCCTTGAGACTGGGCATCTCGGGCAGCTCCGAGAGCACAGTGATTCCGTCGCACCTGGACATGTCGAGCGACACGAGCGATTGCAGGACCCCTGGCATTCCTTGGGTGCTCTCGAGACCGCGAGGAAGCTTCAGCTTCCGGATCTTGCTCATGGCCGGCATTCCACGGAGCGACTTGAGGCCCGCGCACTGGACGATGTGGAAGTGTTCTGTATTATCCAGCGAGGGCGGCAGGCCCTCCAGGGTCTCGAGAGTCTCGGGGAACTTGATGCTCCTGAGATCAGGAAGGGTCGGAAACCCCCGAAGCGTCGCGAGCCGATTGCATCCAGACATATCGAGCCTTGTCAGCGACGGAAGGGTCTCGTCCAGTCCTTCGAGGCTCTCGAGGGAGATAGGAAGCCGGACTTCCTGGACGGTCGGCAGACGAGGCAAGCCGGCGAGCGAGGCAAGACGGCTGCATCGGGACATGTCGAGGGTCAGCAGCATGGGAAGGACCCGAGGCAGGCCGCTCAGATCCACAGCTTGCGCCGGAAGCCTGAGTACCTGGACGTTGGGCAGCTCAGGAAACCCGGCGAGTCGGATGGCATCTCCATCCGGGGTGCAGCTCTGCAGATCCAGCTCGACCACCCCATCGAGCGAGCGCGGCCATCCAGAGATCGACAAGAAGGTGCAGTTGATCAGCCGAAGCCTCTTCTCGTCTGCGCGCTGGAGGATCCAGCGCTCATGCAGGAGCAGCTGGGACCACTGCTCATCTGTGTGGAGTGGATGGCTCGGCAGGCGGACGACAGCCAAGGATTCAGGTGCGTATCGGCACCATCGGCATCGGCGCTGATATGCAATATTGGACGCATCGACGAAACTGAACTGCTGCTTCGGCCCGAGGCTGGCGACGTTGTCCAGCGATATCTTTTCGACCTTGCACACGCACAGCCAATCCATGCTCCCGAAGGGGTCGTGGACGAACTTACGGACGTTGGCCCGAAGGATTTCGGACTGAACCACGGCCTCCCAGAAGGCAGACTCCTTCTGGTGGGCTACGATGCTACGGGGGTATCCGCGCTTGCGGGTGCAAAAGTGGACCAGGCCCTGGAGGACCTCCAATCGACGGAAGGTGCCCTCGACGTTTTCGAACACATCGTCCCAGATATGCAAGTCCCTGGCTGTGCATCGCTTGAGGTGGTCGAAGGGGACGAGCGCCAAGAGGTTGCGGTGTCTGCGGGCGAGGCTGGAGAGTTTGAAGAGCGTCGGCAAATCGGTGTGGTCGAGGAACGACGGGTTGCAGATCAGGACGACGACGAGATCGTGGTGGGCGAGGGTTTGGATGTGAGAGGGCGAAAGCACATCTGCTGTCGTCTGGGAGCTGTCCTGCTTTCTGCTGGGCGGGAGCCGGACGGAGCCGTTTGGGGCAAAATCCGAAGCGTCGAGATCCAGGCCAACGAGTGGGGCCCATTCAGGATCTGTGTCGAGACAGGAGAGCTCGCTTGCGGTCATGGCCGGTCAACGAAAGAGAGCGAGAGGGAGCCTTAAGCACGATGAATTCGAGATCAAGACCAAAGTTGGCCGTGGTGCGTGAGGGGTCGGGTCGAGACAACGACGTGGGGCAGCACGGACCTGTCGAGTGGTGTGGTGGGCGGCAATGCCCGTACACTTTACACATAGCAAACGGGACAACACAGCCGTTTCCATGAACATGTAGTACGTGATGGCATGCGTCTAACTATGCCATAAGAAATATAACAGATCACTTTGGCAGCCTCCGAGTGAACACCACCGCTCGCTCTCCGGTCTCCACAATCGACCTGCATACTGTGATCATGTTGCGCGCCGCATTGACGTCGCGATTCCACACCGTCTGGCGAATGGTCATGGCCAGCGCGCGATAACATTGGGTAACAAAATATTTGAGCAATGGTCAAAACCCCGGGTGTCCCGTTTTTAATTGGATTGGCTGTAATAGTGTATTCAACTTGAACCAGTGCCTGCCCGCTCTCCGGGCTCTCTCTCTCTCTCTCTCAAAAAATAAAAATAGTAATCACAGATCAGCTGTGAGCAAAGCGATAAACGAATTGGAGTGGCACGATGGATACATGAATGTATAGGTGGATAGATAGACTGATAGATAGTTAGCTATGTATGGTGTTTTATGCAGTCAAGCGGGCCGGAGGGTGCCATCCGGACCAGCACGGACGCTCGAGGGGTGCGAGCAGTGCCCTAGTCCATAGCTGTGAGAACGTCGTATCCCCCTGGGCCCGAGTAGGATCCGCGCGGATATCGGCCGCCGCCGCTGCTGGGTGCATCGCTGCTGCCGTGGGCATTGGCGGCCGGAGCTGGTGCAGCGGCTGCCCTGCTTGCAGTCTCAAAGAGCGAAGGGTTCCGCGATTCTTCATCAATCATGGCGCTCGAGTGCGCCTCCCTGGTCGGCAGGGCGTCGCGTTCTCGCTGTGGGAAAGGCAGGCCGGCATACGACACCCGGCCGCCAAAGTCCTCCCGAGATTCGTCGTCTGCTGACCTGCTGCGGGTGCTGGAGACGTCCAGATCGCCGCTACCCCTTCGGAGGACACCGCGGTAGGATTCATCCGAGCGGCTCGGCTCGGCCGAAGCAAAGGTGTCCTCGAGATGCTCATCTTCGCAGATCTTGGATCGGTCGTCCCTGAACACGGCCTCGTCGCCATATTCGCGCCGACAGTTGCCAAGGAAACTCTTGGCTTGGCCGTGGTGCCGGCTGGATCCAACGACAAAGCCTGATTCGTCTGGGCCGCGCGAGCGGTGGTCATAGGTCTCCGAGACACGGCGAATGGGAATCGGCCTCGACAGAGCCATGCTGTGGCCTTCGGACTGGCCCCGCATCGGGTGGCCCGGATGAGTCGATTCCCAGAGAGTCTCGTCCTTTGCAGGGAATACGTTCAGCGGTGGCTGGATGCGGCCGGTCATGGTGGGGGTGTGTTCCATGTGCGAGTGGGGCGACACGCTCATGGACGGAGACCGTGGTGGCGAGCAAAACTGCATCGGGGTGCTAGCATCGTAACCCTGCGGCTGTGTTTGGTTTGGGGTCTTGAAAAATCCCTGCGGGGTCGGAGCGGCGGCGTGGGGAGCAACAGCGGGTCCAGTCTCGACCGAAGACACCAGCGGCAAGGGGTAAGATGCGTTGGGCATCGACGAGGACTGGGCAAACATGGGCTGTGGCGAGGTGCTGGAACGCTGGTGCTGGCTCTGGCTCTGGCTCTGGCTCTGGTGCGACGAGATCCGCGAATGCATCGCCGAGTATGTCGAGGAATACGGATGGATCCGCCGGCAGTTGCTGTGATGCGAGTGCGAGGAGTGGTGCCGGAGGAGCGGGCCGTCGGACTGGAGCTCGTTCCAGGAATGGGTGAGCGTCGACGATGGGGACGGGCCACTGGCGTAGTGGACATGGCCCTTGAGTGTGCCGTAGTGCCCAAGCGACGGCGCTGGCGGGTGAGCAGCTGAAGCAACGAGCCCACCGTAGACGGCAGCAACGGCGTTCCCCGAGGCGAGAACAGGCATCGATTCGACAGTGGTGTACTGTGAGTGCGGCGAAGGGGTCGAGACGGCGATGCTCTGAGGCGTAGTGGTCATGGCCGGCATGGTCGCGGTGTTGGAGGGGAAGAATGATGAGTCGGCCGCAGGTTTTGAGAAAGTGGCCGCATCGGAGGGATCGTATGGGCTGGGGTCGTAAAAAACCTCGTCGCCTATCCGCTTTGGTGACTGTGTCGGACTAGTGGCATGGCTGGAGATGGCGTCAAAGACTGAGCGGGCGGTACCGTACTCAGACGTTGGTGCCTCGGACAGAACCGAAGCAGGCCGTGACGGCGGCTTGGGGTCGAAAAAGCGGGCAGCATTATTGAAAGCGTCGGCGACGGAGTGATGGGACACGAGGGGTTTGGCGGCCGGGCCCGGGACAGGAAACCTCTGGGGCTGAGAGGGGTCTTGGGCTGAGCCGGGAGCGGGTGCCGCCGTTGGGAATCGGAAGGACGATGCAAAGGGGGTGTTGCTTGTATCAGATGCAGATTGGGTGGTGGTGGCCGTGTTGGTGTCGCTGTTGCCGCTGGTATTAGCAATGTCGCTTGCGGAATTGCTGCTGGCGATATTGCCGCTGTTGCCGGTACTGCTGTGGATGGATGGTTGGTCGGTCATGGCGGCAGGATCGCCCGCGGAGATGCCTGGGTTGCCCCCGGTCGGTGCTGCAGAAGAATTGGAGGCAAATTGAGCATAGTTGGATGACGCGGAAGAGTCTTGATCGGGGTGCGAAGGGGGAGAATGAACGCCAGCCGGTCCTGGCGCAGCGGGTTGGATGGCAACGTGAGCCTCTGATTCGCTGGGCTGAGCATCGGCCATGTCGGCGGAAGGCGGGTCCGACTCGTGCTGCGGACTCTGGGCCACAGCGGCAGCGGTTTCGGCGGATGTCTGGAGCTCGGGCTGGGGAACAGGGGTAGAGACATGGAGGCTGTCACGCATGGACTCGTTCATGGTCTGGATGGACATGTTTCCGTTCATGAGCCTGTTGCCGACCCTCTGCAGCTCCTCAACCTCGACGGTGAGATTGAAGTCGTTGAGGAGAAGAAACTCAATCTCGAGCTGATTGAGTTCGTTGACGGGGAGGCCGCCGACGCCTGTGTCACGCAGAGGAAAGACGAGGGAGATTGAGCGGTCAGTGCGGGTGTGGGAAGGCAGGATGGGAGTCGATGGCGACAGGGGCGACAGGGGCGACAGAGATGCGTGCGGCTGCGAGGGGTGATGTGCGATGGCGGAGATGCATGAATGGGCAGCTGTGCCGGCGGGCACTGCATGACCCAGATACAATGGCGCAGACAGGGGGGAATGCCGGCACATCCAGGGCTGCTGGGCACCGGACATCGGGCACAGACGAGCAGACAACGGCGCAGCAACGGTCGGACGATTCGGGGAATCACAGGAAGCACAGTGTGTCCGCACACGCCGCCGCAGACAAAACACAGGAGCGGCGCCAGGACAGACGGGGGTTACTTACGAGCAATGTGCGAGTTGGTGTAGAAAATGTCGCTCAGGAACTTGACGGCAACCATGATGCCACAGATTAGCAGGCGGTGGATGTTGTAGGAGTTGATGACGATGGGAAGACGCTTGCCGGAGCCCGAGGGATCGCGGGCGTCGCGGAGCGAGATGATGGTGGAGGTGGCAAACTGGGGCGTGGAGAGGTAGGTGTCGGGGTTGGACATGCGATCGAGATAGACGAGGACGGCGAGGAAGGCCTCGTTGCCACAGGGGGCATAGCGCAGAATCCGGGTGAGGTAACCATGGATGTCGATGGCAGGGATGGTGCGGGCGTGGAAGCGGGTCAGATGCACGGTGGGGAGATTGTCGTTCTGCTTGGTGAGGTTGGAGAGAAAATCGGCCACGAGCTGGACGGTTTCCTGGGTGGGGGTGCTGACCAGATCGTACTCCATGGCAGGCTGAGGCGGATGCGAGTCCGAGGTGAGCTGGCGATGGTGATGTCGGCGAGCGGCGAGGCGTCGACGGCGAAACACAGGCGGCGATGCGGTGGGTGCTGTTGCGATGACTCCGAGCCGATGGGGAGCGAGGCTTCTGGACCGATGGAAGACGTGAGTCTCGGGGTGATGGGAGGTGAGAGGTCCGGCACTGGGAAAGCAGGCGGACTCGACCGACAGCTGGCGGGAAATGTGGGAAACGTCCGCGGAAGCAGCACCGATGGACGAGCAAGAGACACGACAGCGAGCCCGGAAGGATATCGGCGTGGCAGAGACGACACAGGCGTCGGAGCGGGGGGGGCAGTAGCGAGACGGCCTCGGAGGCAAGCAACGGGGCCAGGGCCGAGGGCAGCGATGGCGGGGAGATGAGTGGAAAGAAGGACTCGGCCGGCCAAAGGACGGAGCAATCCCAGGACGATCCTCGAAAAAGCCAAAGCGGCGTGCGGATGGTTGCAACCGGCGGCCGCGTGGCTGGAGCCAGGACGCGCCGTTGTCTGTGTGGGCGCTGTGGCCAGGCGAGCCACAGCTGCGCCCGCCCCACAGACACTGCCCGACCCCACAGAAACGTGCGCGCCGCCCGCGCGCACGCAGCAGGCGCTGTGCGACGGACGCACCCGCCTCCAGGCGCGTGGCTTGCTGCCGCTGCTGCCACAGCGCGGCGTGCACAGAACACTGCACAGCCACCCGGGTCTCTCCTCGCCGTCTCTCGCCGTCTCTCTCGTCCGGGAGAGAGCCCCTGCCATATACGGCAGGTCCCAGGCCGCACACACACACACACACTCGCTGCTCTTCTCGCTGTCCCCTCTCGCTGTCCTCTCGCGCGCTCTCGCTCCTCGTCGGTGGCGGTCGCGCTTTTTTGCCTCGCTCTGTGGTTTGCCTTTCATCGCCCTGGCCCTGGCCGTGTCCACTTCTGTCCCGATCGCCGTCGCCGACTTTCCGATATCTGGCCGGTGAGCCTGGTGTGCATCTCTGTCGGCCTGCTCGCTCGCGTCGTTTACCCTCCCCTCGTTGTTTCGGCCCGTTCTAGATCCGGCTGTCGGCCGAGATTCGGGCCGGCACCTGTCCAGACACAGCCGCGCAGATTCCGTCCAGCCAACTTCGCTCACCATCTTGCTCCACTGGATTCATCCTGTGCCGTTATCCGCTGTGCATGCAGATTCTCTTTGCTCTAGACCACATCTCCGATTGGTCTTCCCTTCCCCATTGCTGCACTTCACATCGTGGTCTCTCGAATCCAAGCGGCGATAATAGCCACAGAGCCTCCAACAATCCTCCAACACCCACAACAGTCCGATCCCGTATCTGTTCTTCTCATCTCGCCATCATGAGCGGCGGAAGCAGCGGCTTAATCGAAAGCCTGAGACGAGCCGATCTGGGTGCGTCCATCGAACCATTGGTGCCCACACTCTCCCATTGACCGCCATCGTCACAATGTGCTATTTTGCAAACCGATGCCATCCATATCGTCTCTGCATGATCGCAGCAAGCGAGGGACTAGCACTGGCACTGGCACTGGCACTGGCATTGGCACTGGCACCACTCGCTCGCAGCTTCCTCGCCCATTCCCGCAGAGTCTTTCATGATTCATGACATCTGCCCTCGTTTCTCCACCAATGCCCTTGTAGAGCAATACTACGGCAACCTGGCCGCTTTCGGTGTGACCTCGATCGACACCCTCACCCAGCTGACCATGCAAGACTATGCCATGGTCGGGGTCCACAGCATGGAAGACCGCAAAAGTACGTCACTGCTGCTGCCACGTCTGTGTCGATTACGCAGTCGCATCGCTGCTTCGATCGCCTTTATCCAACTCATGATCCATCATCTGTCCCTCCGCCGGCTCAATCGGCCTCTCGACGGATTCGCTGGGCTCACTGCCAATGCAACCAACCCGCATTTCTCGGCTTGGACACTTCCACCGCAACTGTATTCTTGGCCGATATCCGATTACTCTCAACATAAACATAACCGCTTGTTGCGATCCCTCAGAGCTGTAAGCATCGATTTTCATCGCCCGCGGCCCTTACCCTGCTGTCACTCCCCCTTCCTCGGTGCGCCTTTGGATGGAGTGTTGCTCATTCCCGCGGTCCGTTTACAACAGGTTTCAGCTCATTCAAACACTGAAAGGTTGGTATCAGATTCATGGCGCTGTCACCAGAAACCCGTATGACATCACGCGACCCCACCAGCCCATGTCCTCGCTCGTTGATCACCTGGCCAGACTTGCCTCCGTCGTTTGATCAATGGTCTGCGATGCCTCGTTCAACGTTTGCAGCTGCAGCAACGACCGTTTGCTCACATCCATGCAATGTGTATCTCTCCAGCCGAGAACCCCGCCTTCTCGGATAGCCTTCTGGGGGGCTCCTATACCTCTTCAAGCAAGCAAGACTCCAAGATTCCCGCTCCCGGCCAGTCGATGCTCCCTCGTCCTCCCGGATCGCAGGCAGTCGCACAGCCCGTCTCTGCCGCCCCTGCATACACGAGCCTGCTTCAGCAACATTTGTACCAACAGCAACAGCAGCAGCAGCAACAGCAATCTCAGCAACAGCAATCTCAGCAACAGCCACTGAGCGGCGGATACCACGCCCGTCCCACGCCACCGCAGTCACCCTATGTCTCTGGCGGTACCGCTGCATACCAGGTGCCACTCCAGAGCAACGGACAGAGCACGGGCTCGTTCGGTGTCAAGCTTCGTCGCTCAGGATCCCGAGGGGCGACGGGCATGTCTGCTCTGAGCAGCTCTGTTCCCGATAACTCTGGTGGCGCATACATGCCCACTTCCTCGCTGCCCTCAGCCACCGCGGGCTCAAGCATACCGATCCAGCCGCCGTCCGATTCCAACCCATACGCTTCGACAGTCGGCAGCAACCCGAGCTCATTCTCGGAATCGTACAAGGTGCCTCTTACGACACAGCCGCAGCAGCAGCAGCAGCAACCGCTCCAGTCGGACGACTATGACGACCCGAATGATCCCCAGGCTGGCTCCAAGACGCCAAAGCCGCTGAGCAGAAAGGGCAGCATCAACACCATGAACGCGATCAAAAAGTCGGCCGTCGCCCCCTTGCTCAATGCCTATGGTGTGCCCATTGACCCATCGTCGGCCAGCGCCATCAAGCGCAGCGGCTCCAGCAACGTGCCGCCGTCGGACCTGAACGCTCGAATCCGTGTGTGTGTGCGCAAGCGCCCGCTCAACAAGAAGGAAAAGGCCAGGAACGAGATTGACATTGCCACGCTCAAGAGCAGCCGCATCATTGTCATCAATGAGCCCAAGTCAGTATCGCACTCGATGCTGCAATCCACGATGTGCTCCTGGTCGGGCTGTCTCCCGATTTCTGTTCGACTGGCTGTGCCATCTGCCGGTTGACAGTGGTGTCGGTCGGCTCACCATCCCATGCTCATGCTGAATGCGTTTGTTGCAGGGTCAAGGTCGATCTCACCAAATACGTCGAGCAGCACAACTTTATGTTTGATGAAGTATTCGACGTCGATTCCACGAACGACGAAGTATGCCACGATATGCTCGATGTGATATGCGAGCGCTATCAATGGGGGCAATGTGGTCGCCCTGGCTCGCAGCAATTGACGATGCGCTGATTGCTTCGGTCGCTGCTTGGAATGTACCAGGTCTATCGACGGACGGCGGCTCCCTTGGTTGAGTATATTTTCGAAGGCGGCAAGGCCACATGCTTCGCCTAGTATGTATTCGATGGGTGTGGAAGGCTCCATGAGCACCAGCCGATCTGGGTCCTCCTTGGCATATCGTTCGGGATATGGCGCCAAGAACATGGTGTTTCCTATGGCGAACCCCCGAGGTTTGGTGCATCGTCATTTAGCATGCTGACTTTATTTTCGCTGTCGCACGCCCTAATCAGTGGCCAGACCGGAAGTGGCAAGACCTACACCATGCTGGACGAGCAAAACGGTGAGCGTTTCTTCATCCGATAACCGCGGCCATGGTGATAAGGATCGTCACGCTAATGAAAGCTGTTTGCCGCGACCGGACCCAACGCGGACACAGGTCTCTATGTCCTGGCCGGCCGTGATATCTTCAACATGCTGAAACAGCCTGAGCACCTCGACAAGACCGCATACGTCAGCTTCTACGAGATCTACCAGGGCCAGCTCTACGACCTGCTCAACTCGCGCAAGAAGCTCTTTGCACGCGAGGATGGCAAACAGCAAGTCTGCATTTCCGGCCTGGAGGAGCACGCGGTCGACACTGTCGAGCGTCTGATGCAGATCTTTGAGCGCGGCAGCAACACCCGCAGCACAGGTCGGTGGAGATACGTGGCTGCGTTCGCCCCACAGAATCGTGGGCGATCGTGAGCGCTTTGTCGGTTGCGCTCCGCCGCTGCCATGCAGTTCCGGCTCGCTCTGACCCCTGACTCTCTGATACTGTGGCAGGTGCGACGGGTGCCAACGCCGACTCGTCGCGATCCCATGCCATTTTGCAAATCGTGCTCAAGACCAATCGCGGCAAGCGCCAGCAGATTGTGGGTCAGTTTCGGTCCCAAGTCAGCGCCATCTGTCGTGCTCGTTTCTGCCAGCATCGCTTTCGGGTGACGCGGCAGCATTTCGTTTCGTTGGTGGAGTTGGGACTGCCAACTGGGCCGCAGCCCCTCCCTGTGAGACATGATCCGGTGGATGGACATCAGAATCTCCCACCCCGACACGTGTGATTTGCTGGTTCTGACAAACACTGTCGCTGCGCGTGCCTACCAGGCAAGTTCAGCTTTATCGATCTCGCTGGCAGCGAACGAGGCGCCGATCGGGGCGATGCCGACAAGCAAACAAGGTAACATGCTCGTGCGAGGCGGGATGATGTGCAAGACGCTTTGGCTGTGGTGCACCTGTCGCTTTGACTGTGGTGCACCTGTCACTGACGGGACTCATTGCTCCAACGTCGTGTCGGATCAAACCTAATGCCGTGTTGTCTATCGCGGCATCCAGAATGGAGGGTTCGGAGATCAACAAGAGCCTGCTGGCCCTCAAGGAATGCATCCGTGCCCTGGATCAGGATTCAAGGCACACGCCCTTCCGCCAATCCAAGCTTACCCAGGTGCTCAAAGACTCATTCATTGGGTGGGTTCCACGGTAGAGCGAGCTGCATCTCGATCGATGCACCGAGTGACGCACTATTTCGACGGCGGCGACGCATGCTTTCCTCGGCATCGAACAACGGGACTGGGCATTGTGATACGCTCGCCAACGTCGTATGCATGTCCGGATGAATCGGCACTGCTGCATATGAGCACCGTTGTACTTTCAGGCACTCACCGCCGTCATCGACACTGCTCTCTGTCATCTTGGCTGTCCGACCATCAGCAACTCGCGAACCTGTATGATTGCCACGGTCTCGCCCAACATCTCCAACAGCGAGCACAGCCTGAACACGCTCCGCTACGCCGACCGAGTCAAGGAGCTCAAGGGCGACAGCAAGATGCAGTCCATGACAGTTTCGCGCCTCGAGGGCGAGGACCACGAGCTGATCATGGAGGAGATTCACAACTTCGAGCCCGACTCGCTCCATGACAACGACGAGGACTTTTTGCTGGACGAGGAGATTCCCGACAACCTTCTGCTGAGCGACGACGACCAGCGGAGCTATGACTACGACCAAGACGAGTTTATTGACGACGACCGCGACGACGAGCTTGACGGAGGAGAGGTGAGTTCCAGTTGCTTGCTGGCCGACTCTATGGCGTCCTCCTCTGCCCAGTGCTGTGTCCATCTCTGTGCGAGATTATGCTATGCTGATCGGTGCTGTGTTTCGGCCATTCTGTCACTGCAGTCACAGACACTCAACTCGGTCGCTGACCAGGAGCTCTCCCAACGGGTCCAGCAGCTGAGCATGAACTCCAACGCCCGGCCGACTGCTGCGGCTTCACAGCTGCCATACCCGCAGCAGCCGCTTCGATCCTCGCAGAACCAAGTGCGGGCTGCCGCCGCGCCATCAGCCGGATATTATTCGTCCCTGCCGACCAGCGTCCCCACCAAGATCCAGCCACCATCCGTCTCTTTGGGCACGAACGCCGGTTCTCACTCCGCACTGGCTCATGCTGCAGCGTCCGGACCGGCCCCAGAGCCTGCGATGCGAGAGAGCGAGCAACTGCCCACGGGCATGACATCGGCCGCGCCGCTCAAGATGGACCCAGCCAAGACAAGCTCGTTTGTCAACGACCACGAGGAGATGCTCGCCGCCGCCGATGCCGCCAACCTGGCTGTGGTTGCTGCCGTGTCCAACTCGGATCCCGAAGCCGAGGCCGAGCTGATCGAGGATGTGATCCGGACCAGCCGCCGACAGATCCGCGACTTTACCGAGCTGACCAAGCGCGAGAGCAAGCTCATTGTCGACTTTACCATGACCAAGGGCAAGATGCAGCTCGGCAACCACGGCGATGCCAGCCAGAGCGTCTCGGCTTCGTTTGATGGCTTTGTTCTTGAGATGGATGCCCTGCTGGAAGAGAAGGCGCGGCTGCTGATGGAGCTGCGGGGCAAGCTCAGGCAGATCGTGATGAACCGACCCTCGATGGGATACCGTCAGTAGATTGCGGGACGGCATGTGTACGAGGGTTGGCTAGCGTCTCTCGTTGCGCTGGCATTTGTCCTCGACTCTGATGCCCTGCCTTTTAGTTGCGTTGTTGTGTCTGTCTGTCGGTCTGCGATCTGGGTGTACACCTGTATTGCAGCATGCGGGAGAGAAATGAAACCCTTTCACGACGATCCAGCGTCCACCATCGCTGTACGGGACTGCCGAATGTGCGGCTGGTGGTTCACGTTTCGCATCGGCGCCCAGATCCAAAGCCGGATCAGGCAAGCGACTTTGCAGCAGCCCTTTGCCCTGCATCTCTCGGCCCATGTCGACCAACCGCCCACACCCATACAGCCGGGGCAGAGCAGGCTCCTCCAGCGGCCGAGGACACTGGCGAGGCGGTCGTGGCCAGCGCTATACCCGTGGCGGATCGTCGGCCCGGCAGCGGGGCAGTCAACTGGACGATGATCTGTTTTCCGGCCAGGATCCGGCCGTTTCCGATGATGCCATGGTTGACGCCATGGACGACGGCGAGGACGACGAGACGGTGCTTGACTCACAGGAGGGCGAGCCGCTGCATCTCCTATCGGCCCCATCGCTGCCGGCCACGGCTGCTCAGGCTATCGCTGGCAGTGCTGCCCATGTCCGTGCTGCGAATGCTGCGATCATCCACAACTCACCCTTTGCAAAGCCCGGGACGAGCCGTGCTCGGCCGGCAAGCCCGTATCGGTTCTGGTACGATCACTTTCCGGACGAGCCGTACCAGTCCACCAACGAGGTGGTTCCCTGGATCGAGGCTTTCGTCAAGTATTTTGATCGGGTCATCAAGGAATCGGTGGTAGGTGCAGCACGGCCGGCCCGGATGGCTGATCAAACGATCGTCCCGGATGGATGGGGGGGGGCGACCAGCAAAGCAACAGAGTGGAGTGAGCCAGCTTTGGTTGTTCCTCAGAGCCAGCGCTGGCAATGGTTTTGAACGGTCCCCGGCCATAGGACGAGTCCGAGCTCATGGCCTTTATCGAGAAGACCTGCATCAATGCCGACTTTCAGCACCTCAAGCTGCATGCAGGCGTCCACGATCTGCAAAACAAGCTCATGACCCAGCCAGTCCAGATGCTTTCGGCTCTCGGGCTTGCTGCATCCGAGGTGAGGAATGGTCCGAACGATGGTTGCGATGAGTCAGGCAATAGTATGGCATCGACTCATGGCTGCCGTTGCGTCCAGGTTCTCGGCACCATGCTTTCCAGGATCGACCCGACCTGCTCGCCGCACATCATCAAGAAAGTCGTCCGGCTCAGTCACTATGAGCCCATCACGCCGCTCAAGGAGCTCAAGGCCAACCTGATGGGTCTGTATCTGGAGAGCCGATCGCACCCTCCGACGACTCAGCAATGATGGCATGTTGTATCATAGCCGGGGTCGTTCATGGCGCTGACACATCAGTCCGTCTCGTCCACTTTGACTATACCGAACTTTCCATGTCGCCGCTGCTTTCCCAGGTCGCTTCATTTCGATCCGCGGGACAGTTGTTCGGGTGTCGTCGGTCAAGCCCATCGTCCTGCAGATGTCGTTTGTGTGCAACAACTGCAACGAGTCTCAGACACTGGCCATATCCGACGGCAAGTATGTTGTCCCAACCAAATGTGTCAAGTACGGATGCAAGAGCCGGTCGTTTACTCCCAGCCGAGGTGCAAACAGCGAGACCAGGACCGCGGACTGGCAAAAGATCAGGTGGGCTGGGACGATCCGCATCGGGCAGAGTTAAGGTGGATCAAATCGACAGATGCTATCAGCGAGAGACACGAAAGTATTAATCTGACAATGCTTGTTGTGACGGCTCGAGTCCAGAATCCAAGAAAAACTGCCTGACGAGCAGGTCGATTCGGGTCGTATTCCGCGCACGGTCGAATGCGAGGTGACCGACGATCTTGTCGACGTTGTAACGCCGGGGGATGTTGTTTCCCTTGCTGGCACGGTGAAGGTGCTGTCCACAGAAGAAGGTGGGTTGCAGGTCAATCTCAACACTGCACATCTGTGATGGGGACGCATTGACATGTACTTTAGCTAACGACGGTCTCTGTCCTCGGACAGGCAAGCGAGCCACAACTCAGATGTACTATCTCTACATTGACGTCAACTCGATGGTCAAGGCAGCCTCGGGATCTATTGACGATATCGCGGACCAGGGCGACGGAAACGACCCTGGCTTCACCAAGGACTTTGTCCAGTTCTCAAAAAAGGACCTTTACGGCATCCAGGAAGTGCACGAGCAGGGAAACGGCATCTTCAGGCTCGTCGTCAACTCACTGTGCCCAGCGATCTTTGGCCACGAGCTTGTCAAGGGTATGTGAGCTTTGTTTCGCTCCGAACAGGCTCTCTGACAACAGCAACGATGCGGTTGTATTTGTTCTTGGAGACGCTTTGAGAATATCAGACTGACACTTTCCCATGACTCTATACCAGCTGGCCTCGTGCTCGCTCTGTTTGGCGGACGCCGTCGAGCACAGGAGACCATCCGGGACATTGTGATGCGAAGCGATCCACATGTCCTAGTAGTAGGTGCGAGCGCCGTGCATCTTGATATCCGAATGAGTCGCGGTGCATCAGGGGTGCCGCGCCGATGGGGCTTTCAGTTTGCAAATGATGCTCTGTCACTGAATACCAGACTACATGAATCCCAGGCGACCCGGGTCTCGGCAAGTCACAGATGCTGACAGCGGCATGCAAGGTGGCCCCCAGAGGCGTCTATGTTTGCGGCAATGCCACGACGACCAGTGGTCTGACCGTTACGATGTGCAAGGACTCGGATTCTGGCGACACGGCCCTCGAAGCCGGCGCACTGGTGCTGGGAGACCAGGGCATATGTTGCATCGACGAGTTTGACAAGATCACCGAGTACCAGGCGCTGCTCGAGGCTATGGAACAGCAATCCATCAGCATCGCCAAGGCTGGGATTGTGTGCAATCTGCCTGCACGCACCAGCATCCTTGCAGCCGCCAACCCGGTCGGAGGACACTACAAGTGAGTGCAAGTGCATGCGACGATGGGTGGGTGGGATGGATCCAAGCACGACAAGGCGACAGACTGAATCGTTGATCATTCTTGAAATCTCCACCCACTGCACCGCCTCTACCCACCACATCAGCAAGTCCAAGACTGTCTCGGAGAACCTCAGGATGAATGGTGCACTCCTTTCCCGCTTCGATCTGGTGTTTATTCTGCTCGATCGTCCAGACGAGGCGATGGACATGTTCCTTTCGGAGCATATCATGAAGGTGAGAGCCTGGATTGAGAGGAGCCCGAGCCAAGCATGGATACGACACGCGGCTTTCTTGCCACTCGACGATCCCCTGCAGGAACATGGACATGGCTGACCTGAGCACGGTGGCGCCACAATTCATCATGCCAGCTCCACTCCGGAAAGCACGCCGTATCCAAGATATCGGGAGCACGACCCGGTGGAGCCATGGGCACCGGAAGCGTCGCCAGCGTCGCCGACGTTGGAACGCTGCTTGACCGTTTGCGGGTTGGTGTCGACGAGGAGCTGGATCCGATACCGCCATCGCTCCTGCGCAAGTATATTGCATATGCCAAGAAATACGTCCACCCGCGGTAGGAATCGCGACAGTGATCATGAATGGGCGACGGGCTGGGCTGTTCAGGGCCTGGACACAAGCTAACATCTATGTCTGCGGCAGGATGAGTGAGGGCGCAGCCGGGGTGCTTCAAGAATTCTATCTGACTCTGCGAAGGCAAGTAGAGGCAACGATGCAGACGTGGATCGATGGCTCCGCGGACCATGAGAATGGTGTTTGTTCGATGTCTGATTGTCGTTCTTCACAGAAAGCATCGCAGTATCGATTCGACGCCGATCACCACACGCCAGCTCGAGTCCATGATTCGGCTTGCCGAAGCCAGGGCTCGCGCGGAGCTGCGCGAGCAGGTGACCGAGGATGACGCGCGAGATGTCATAGAGCTGATGAAGTTCAGTCTGTGGGAGACATATGAAGACGAAATCGGGCAGATGGACTTTGCGCGGTCGCAACATGGCACCGGGATGAGCAAGCAGGCCGAGCCCAAGCGGTATGACTAGCGATCATTGTGATGGATGGCACGGGTATGGCGTGCGAGGATCCAGGCTGGGTTTCTGACTGCTTTGCTTTCTCCAGATTTGTGGCCGAGCTCAGCCAGGCGGCGCGGATTCGAGGAACAAACAGGTTCAGTTACGACGACCTGTACCAAATCGCAAAGGGTATGCCTGTCGGTGCCGCAGGCGTGGTTGGTTGGGCAACGGCAGCGAGCTCATGGACTGCCTCGGTCAACAGATATCGGTCTCAAGTTTGATCGGTTCGGCGACATGATCCAATCCCTGAACAACCACGGATATCTGCTCAAGAAGGGGCCACGGTAGGTGGGAGTGTTGCAGACATGTGCTGGTTGCCTCGTGTCGCCATCAACCTCTGCTAACACACTGCACCGCATGTCATCCCACACAGAATGTATCAGCTCAGCACGGTCTCGTGAATGCAGTGACACCTTTAAATATGTATTGCTGTGTTTCGGGGGGGGGCGTCGGTATCGAGAGACACCACTTGGCTGGATCAGCGTGCGAACAATGTACAGGATCAAAAATGGGAGAGGGCGTGGGGACGGCGGGCGAGTGGAACTGGGGAATTTACTTGGAGGACTGGTACTTGGTGACGGCCTTGGTGCCCTCAGAGACGGCGTGCTTGGCGAGCTCGCCGGGGAGGATCAGGCGGACGGCGGTCTGGATCTCGCGCGAGGAGATGGTCGAGCGCTTGTTGTACGAGGCGAGCTTGGAGGACTCGGCAGCGATGCGCTCAAAGATGTCGTGGACGAACGAGTTCATGATGGACATGGCCTTGTTGGAGATGCCGGTGTCGGGGTGGACCTGCTTGAGGACCTTGTAGATGTAGGTCGAGTAGGTCTCCTTGCGGGTGATCTTGCGAACACCGCCCTTGGCGGCAGCGCCGGCCTTCTTGTCAGCGGTCTTGGCGGGGGCCTTTCCGGCGGGCTTCTTGCCGGCGGGAGCAGCAGCGGGAGCTTCCTTGGGGGCCATGGCGAGATGCAGATGCGAGATTCTGGCTGGGGTGGGCGAGTCGGATCGGATGGGATGCCTGGCAATCGGGCGGGCGGCAGCCCGGGTCTTTTATACGGGCACGGCGCGTGGCGCAGCGGCGGGACGGGGCGGCGACGGGCGCGGAGGTGAAGGTGCGCGCTGATTGGCGGGTGCGCGGTGACACACGCCTGGGCGGCCCTTTGTCGCTGGCTGGCGCTGGGCTGTTCGCGCGGCAGCTAAAAAGGCGAGGCTGCCGCGGGGGCTTTCGGCGGCCCATCGGCACCCTCGCTTGCATCTTCGTTTGCATCTTCGTCCACCCGCCCCCTCAACAACCAGATATCATCGCAATGGCTCTCGGAAAGGGAAAGTCTGCTTCTGCCGATAAGGCCAAGGTTGGTCTTTGCGCTGCCCTCGCACCTCCCACACAGCCGGACGTTCGACTGATCAGCACGCATCCGATCTGCTGTCGCTGACATTCTCGATCTCTGTCCGCCCATCCATCCATGCAGACCTCTGCCAAGTCTCGCTCGGCCCGCGCTGGTCTCCAGTTCCCCGTCGGCCGTGTTCACCGTCTTCTGCGCAAGGGCAACTACGCCCAGCGTGTCGGTGCCGGTGCCCCCGTCTACCTCGCTGCCGTCCTCGAGTACCTCGCTGCTGAAATCCTCGAACTCGCTGGCAACGCCGCCCGCGACAACAAGAAGACCCGTATCATCCCCCGTCACCTGCAGCTCGCCATCCGCAACGACGAGGAGCTGAACAAGCTGCTCGGCAACGTGACCATCGCCCAGGGCGGTGTCCTCCCCAACATCCACACCACCCTCCTGCCCAAGAAGTCCAAGACCGACAAGGTCCCTGGATCCAAGGCCTCGCAGGAGGCTTAAGCACCACGCCTGTGTCAACCGTTTCATGGTTTCTGATCATGAGCCCTCCCCCTCCGCTTGCTTTCCCTCACTCGACTCCCCCCCCTCACTGCATTTCTGTGTGAGCCATCGCCACTGATTCTCGCAGACACATCCTTCACTGCTCTGTCGACGCTCTCTTTTTTGACTTTCTCTGCGCAAGACCAAAACTTGTACATATTTAATATATACATCAATCGAAACTCTGTCTGTGAACCCTGGATATGGCGGCCGTGGGAAGCGACTGCGTCCGCCGCGGATTCAGGAGAGTGTTCCTGTCTGATCGGTGACTATGTAGATGACCGATCGGCATGATCCTGTTCCCGGAAGCGAGGGACTCGACGCATCTCCACGCTCGTATTACTCTCGAGGACGAACCGGACGAGCTGGAGAATCTCAACGCCATCCCAAAGAATGAGCAGAAGCAGCTCACAGCTCGCACGACATTGCAGGGGAACCGCCCGCAATGGTGACAGTCCACATCCAATGCCGGGCAAGATGCGACGATATTGCCGCCCACAATGATAGAATGGAGGGATGGCCAACTGGAAACGAGTAACCCATCGTAGGACAGACTTTCGTCGGCCTGTGGACTGAACTGGTGTGGAGACTGGCTGGATGGCAAGCTCTGGGAGTGCGAGATACATGCGAGAAGAGAAACACGATCGTTTGAGACACGCAAATTTGAAATTGCACGTAGAGTTAACAATCGAGAATGAGCAAGGTCACTTGTCATAGCAAACAAGGCAGGATGACTGAGCGGAATGGCTCGCTCAAAATGGAAATTGTCGTGGCTCTGTGGATATTTGGTGCCTCCTCGGTGGATGGGCATTACAATCCTCAACTTCTATTTAAGCAGGCAGTTCCCCTCGGTTTGCCTGGCGAACTCCTCTCTCCTCATTTTCCTGCTCGACAATCGCCAACCATGCTGACCACAACCAGCAACCAGCTCTATTCCTGCCCTGCCCACGGCACCGACCACGACCTGTTCCTCTCATACCGTGCCCAGACTGATGCCGACACTGTCCAGGCTTTGAAGGAGGTGCTCACCTCGGTCGCCCTCCGTCGATATGGCAAACCCCTTTCCGTCTTTCACGATGTCGACTGCCTCAACAATCCCAGCGACCCTCATGCCAACTCTATCAGTGCCCTCCCCACCAGCAAGGCCGTCTTCCTGCTCCTCAGTTGGGCATCGTTCGAACCTATGATTGAGAACACCCTTGCCGGTCAGGAGGACAGTGTTCTGCTTGAGATCAAGACCGCCCTCGATCTCAAGGATGCCAAACGCTCCCTCCCTGTCCTTCCCCTCGGAATCGCCACCAAGGAAACCAAGGATGGTGTCGATGTCTTCACTCCCTTCCTGCCGAACATGTTGTCCCTACCCGACGACCCTGCCTTTGCCCCCCTCAAGCAGATCCTCGACAGAATCAAACGCATCCAGTCCTTTGGCTTCCGTCCCGACCAGATGCACAAGCGAGTCTACCGCCTCCTCAACCTCGTCCATCCCATCCCACCCAACATGGATCTCATTACGTCCATCCATCGTAAATACTTTTGCGACTCCAAGTTCCGATTCGATCCCGCCCACCTCGACACCCTGCTCAAGCAGCTCACCCTGACTGGCCGTGCCGTCATCTCTGGCATGGGTGGCATGGGTAAGTCCGTCCTCGCCGTCCAGATCCTGTTCTTCATGATGGGCATTATGAATGCGAGCAACAAGGAAGACCTCCTCGCCATCAAGGCCGAGACCATCGGCATCAAGCCACAGTACCGCCAGGTCTTCTGGATCAACTGCTCGACTGAGTCGACTGCCCTCGATGGACTCATCGAGATGTTCCCTGGCATCAAGCCCGATGAGATCAAGGAACATGCCTCGAGGTTCCTCGCCAACACACACGGCTATCTCCTGGTGCTCGACAATGTCGATGACATCGGCGTGGTCGACTCTGTGTTTGAGCACTCCAAGTCGGTCGGGTTCGGCGGCGATGTGGTGGTGACGACCCGGCTGACCTCGCTGCCTCCTGGTGCATTCGCCAGTGCTCTTGAGACAAGATCCCTGGATACAAACATGACCCACTCCGTCTCAGCAACTGGGACGACAAAACCACGCTCGACTACATCATGTCGTCGTCGCCAATGATTGTCCAGCGACTTGTGTCAGACGAGGCCAAGAAGTCCCTCGACAGCATCGCGGCCAAGATCAGCGGATATCCACTCGTCATCCAGACATTCATGACGTTTGCCGAGAACTACGACACTCCCCTGTCGGTGCTCGAGGCCACGTTTGCAGGAGCATTGGCGCTGCAGGATGGCGAGGACGACACGCGGTCGTCGCTCAAGGTGATTGTGGATCTGTCGCTGGACTCGCTGATGAAGCGAGGAGATGAGGGCACCGAACAGCCTGGCTGCCTCGATGCCCTCAGTCTGGTGGCGCCGACCAACATCCAGTTCGAGTTGATCAAGGAGATTGCACAGAAGATGGAATTCAAGACTGAAGGTGAGTTGCGAGTGGATCGAAGTGCAGTTGATGGTGTTTATGCATGGAATTGATCAGTTTCCTGTCCGCAGTGGCCGATCTGATCAAGATGATGGTCCAGAGTGGTCTCCTCCGAAGTGGAACCGAGGGACAGTACTCGACCCACTCGCTCACTCAGCAAGTGGCCCGAGAGTATGTCCAAGCACACAGTGAACTGAGTGCCGAAGGTATCGAAGATGCCACGGGCACAGTTTTACTCAAGCTCACCGAAACTCTGTTGGTGGATGCATATCAGTATACGGAACATCTTGACAGGCACATATCTGTGGTCACCGAAGATAAATATACCAAGAACACCCACCAGGCCATTGGGGCTCGCATTGTGCAGACTGCACTGACACGCGGACATTTTGAAAAGGCAAAATATGGATGTGAGCGACACCTGATCAAAACTCTCAAATTCTATCGCACACGGGAACATCCGAAGGTTGCCAACGCTTTCAACTACATGGGTGAATTGGCTAGATCCGAAGGTAAAAACGAAGTTGCCTTGAAGTACTACCAAGAGGCGCTGAGCATCCAAATCATCGTGTATGGAACACGCAAGCACCTGTCGATCGCCACCACAATCAATAGCATGGGCCATGTCGCCAACTCAAAAGGTGACTACCGGACGGCGCTCATGCACTATGAAGAGGCACTTAGTATCACAATCAATAATCATTGCACACGAGAACACTCCGATGTTGCCTCAAGCATTGCCAATATGGGCGATATCGCTAGCTCACTTGGCAACTATGAAGCTGCTCTCAAGCACTACCAGGAGGCACTCGACATTAAGACCAAGATATATGGCACACGAGAACATCCCTCAGTCGCCACTCTTATCAACAACATAGGCGATATCGCCAACTCGCTTGGTGACTACCATGCTGCTCTCAAGTATTACCAGGAAGCCATTGATATCAGAACCAAGGTATTCGGTACAAGATATCGGGCCGATGTTGCCATCGCGATCAGCGACATGGGTAAAGTCTATAGTTCCCTTGGTGAGGACAAGACCGCTCTCAAATATTACCAAGAGTCACTTGATATTAGGATCAAAGTCTATGGCACGCGAGAACATCCTGATGTTGCCATCGCAATCAACAATATGGGCAAAGCCTACAGCTCACTTCGTAACTACGAAGCTGCTCTCAAATATTACCAAGAGTCACTTGATATCAGTATCAAGGTCTATGGCACACGAGAGCATCCCGAAGTAGCCAGTACCCTCATCAACATGGGAACCATCGCCAATTCACAGAAAAACTATCAAAGCGCCGTCCAATACTTCCAAGATTCCCTTGATATCTATATCAGGTTCTATGGTACTAGGGAGCACCTCCACATGGCGGAAGCACTGTTTAGGCTTGGTCATCTGGCCAGTAGACAATTCAAGTTCGACGACGCCTTGAAGTACTTCCAGGAAGCACTAGAGATTAGAACGAAGATATATGGCACGCGAAATCACCCTGAAATCGCCACCATCATCAGTGGCATTGCCACAATACTAAACTTCCAAGGTAACAAAGGAGCCGCTCTGAAGCACCACCAGGAGGCACTTGAAATCAGGGTCAAGGTGTATGGTACGCGAGATCACTACGAAATCGCCAAAACGATTATCGACATGGGCATAATCTCCAGTATACTCCGTGAATATCAAGCCGCACGCCAGTACTACCAGGAGTCACTTGATATCAAGGTCAAGCTCTATGGAACACGAGAGCACCCCGAAATTGCCGCCATCATCCACTATCTGGGCAACATGGCCAGGGAACTATATGACTACAATGGTGCCCTGAAATACTATCAAGAAGCGCTCAAGATCCAGATCAAGGTGTATGGCACAAAGAATCACTTCATGGTCGCTACCACGTTTGAATCTCTGGGCGATCTTGCCAATGTCCAGTACAACTACGAGGATACTCTCAAGTATTACCAAGAGGTGGTCGAGATCAAGACCAAAATCTACGGCTCCCGTGAATATCCAGATATCGTCGCCATGATTCAACAGATGGGTAACATTGCTGAGTGGAAGGGTTACTATGGAATCGCTATCAAATTTTATGAAGAAACGCTTGCCCTCCAGACCAAACTATATGGCACTAGGCAACATTTCTCAGTCGTCCCCACGATCGGATCTCTGGGCAATGTCACAGAATTTCAGGGTGACACCGATGGCGCTCTCAAGTACTTGCAAGAAGCCCTCGACATTGGTGTAAAAATCTATGGCACACGAGAACACGGATTCGTTGCCACCATCATCCACTGCCTGGGCAACGTCGCCAGTTTCCAAGATGACTTGGAGGTCGCATCCAAGCACTACCAGGAGTCGCTGGACATCAAAATCAAGATCTATGGCACTCGGGAACATGTCGACGTCGCCGTCACTCTGCGCCGCTTGGGCACTGTTGCTCGCATACGCGGCGAATATGAGCTTGCCGAGAAGCTGTACCTCGAGGCCCTTGATATCTATCTCAAGACCCTCAAAACTCGAGCCCATGTCCAGGTTGCCTTGACCCTTGACGCCTATGGAGTACTCAAGTGTCTCCAGGACAAACTCTCCGAGTCGCGACGCATGCTTCAGGAAGCCGTGGACATTCTCACCGAGTATTACAAAACACGAAGACATCCCGACATTGCAAAGGTCCTCAAAAACCTGGGTGATGTTGCATGTGCTGAACGCGAATACGTCAACGCCCTTGACTTGTACCGAGAGGTGCTGGAGATCTGGACCGAAACCATCAATAATCCCGGCCACAAGGATATCAAACAAGTCGCGTCCAACATTGCTGAAGCCAAACACAAGATTCAGGAATCCCAATCTACCTCATCCGTCCCATATCGCATGCACTCAGACGATGAAAGTAGCAAGAAATAAGAGAATGCCTCCTCATGTAAAAGCGGATTCCACATCACATTTCGGGCTTGGTGGAGGAACGTCGAATAAATTGTAGTATTCCATTGACGATAGTTGCGCCGCCTCTTTGGGTCCAGAACAGGTACCGCTTTTGCCATCCTATTGTCGGTCCATCGATGCTGATCAGGGCACCCTGCCTGGTGTCGGATCGAGGGAGGATGGTCTTGGTGCCGGGGAGGATGGTCTTAGTGCCTGCTTTCTCTGGTACCATGTGGCGAGGGATTGTCTGGATCGTGCAGATTCATTCCACCATCCACGGTTGCAAAATGAGTATCGATTGTGAATGTCGGGTTGTCGTTGTCAAGTCATTCGATGCTCTCTCGGTCGATCAACATCAGCGATTGTTATGGGACAGCACTATTTGTATATTGGATGTATTGAATGTCAAATACAACACCACTTAGCGATTGCTGCTCTATCGGAGCCATTTTGCAAGTCCACTTTGGTGTTATGGTGCCTTGGATGTGTGTGGGTGGTGCGGTTGTTTGGTTGCACAGGCAACAGGTTCGGTGGTTTGGAGGTGGAGTTTGGAGGAACTCGGACATCAGGGCCACTTGCCAAGGAAATTGAGGTCGTTGATGGCATCTTCTTGGCCCTGCTCGGCGGACTTGAGCCACCAGGAGATAGCGGTGTCGATATCTTGAGGCACACCATAGGCATTATGGAAGCAGTCGCCGAGCCACCATTGTCCGTATCGATTGCCCTGCTCGGCCGACTTTTGAAACCACTTGAATCCCTTAGCGTTGTCCTCGGCGACTCCGTGTCCATTGTAGTAGCAATAACCAACCTTCCACTGTCCATATGAGTTGCCTTGGTTGGCCGACTTGATGAACCACTCGAATGCCTTCTTGTAGTCAAGCGATACTCCCAGGGCATGATAGTAGCAATCTCCAATCCAGAACTGGCTGTCGCTGTAGCCTTCGTTGGCGAGTTGCTCAAAGATACCAACTGCCTTGGTCTGGTTCTTCATGGTTCCGAATCCATAGAACACACAAATAGCCATGAGATGCCTGCACAGCCAGTCTCGATCCGATCCCAGCTGGCACAACTCGAAGAACTTGCATGCTGCGGCTGAGTCGGATTTGATGTCGTCCCACCAAGATGCCAGACACTCGTCCTCTCCGAGCTTGAACCCATCTGATTGGTTATCGCGGATGATCTTGACACCTTTCTGTTCGTCTCGCACGGTGCCCCGGCCGAGATAGTGCATCCACCCGACCATGTGGGTGGCGATGGACTTGATAATCGGATCGGTGGACAGGTTGCTGACTTCATGCCAGTGATTGAAAGCATCAGCGTCGTTCTGTTCGACACCATGGCCGATGAATGAGAACCATCCACGGAGAAACTCGATATGGAGCCGGCCGTCTTCACTGCCTTGGTCGGCAGCCTTGGAATACCACTCGATGGCAGTGTCATAGGCTTGATCGACACCTTTGCCAATCTCGTAGCATTGACCGAGAGCGATTTGGGCTTGTGCCATTCCACATTCCGCAAGCTTGCGATACATATCGACAGCTTTGGTGTGGTCTTGGCCGACTCCAAGACCATTGCGATAGCATCCAGCCAAGTGGAACTGTGACATCGTGTGATTTGCGTTGGCAGCCTTCTCCAGAGAGCGGAACATTCGCTGGTTGATCCGGCTCAGCCTGTACTTGTTTGTAGAGGGTTGACGAGCCAAATCAGCCTGCAGCAATCGAGCCAGGAAGTAGGAGGCCACAGCTTTGCCCTGCTCTGCTTGGGAAACGAGCCAAGATCGGTCGGCTGTGACCGGATCGTCGCAATGCAGCGATATGGCAATCAAGTCGCTGGGGGTGAGACCGATCCGCAGCTGTCCATCTGGATGACACAGTCCTGCATTCTGGCACCATTTATTGAAGCGAGCCACCTTGGAGCTCAGGAGTGGCCAGGCTCGTTGGCACACTCGGAGCAGGGTCTTGATGGTGCTGTGATCGAGGGCAAGCTGGAAGCTGTCGTTGCAGCAGATGATGGTGAAGATGTCTGGGTTGTGTTCGAATGAGTGCTGGTTGATATCGGGGATCGACGATGGTATTCTGGCTTCAGCTTGGGATTGGTGGGTGGCTGATGATGCTTTGGTTGAAGCAGGCTCGTCCATGCTGGCCATGTTGACGGAGACAGGAAGGTGGCAAGTGGTGACGGAGCTGGACAGGAGACAGTGAGGGAATTTGGGTCGAAGCAAACCAAACACTGGCCATCGAACACACACACACAAGCCTGGCTCGATCCGATGGTTTGCTGGCTGGAGTCGTTGTTGTATAAGTACTGCCACATACACTGCCACATACATGAAATCGATCATGGAATCGAACATCGTGTCGAGTCCTGCATTCTCGCCAAGGCAAGATGTAACAGCCATTCCATCCAGTTCCACATCGACTGTGACGCCCTGGCTCCAGCTTGCTGCACCGAGCACCACCAGTTCGCCTCCAAGCCTTCATTTCCTCATCGCAACATGCTGACCGTGAGAATCAAGCAGGGCCCTCAGCGAAGATATCTGCCTCTCCCAACGAATGTCACTTCCCACCCATTGCTTCCGCATACCTGCCGCTTCAGCGGACTGGTATCAGCAACAAAAGTAGCACAGGCAATCGTATTGCATCACAAGGATTGTAATCGTCTCCAAATGGGTGTTTACCAGGGTACACCATGTTCCTACCAAGCATCTCCTCGGTGCTTACTCTTCGACAGACTCTATGGTCCCAGATGACCGAGGCGTACACTCCCTACCTGGACGCTCTCAAGCTGGCCCATCCCGGTCTATCCAAGTCTGACAAGGACCAGTGGAAAGCCTTGGTCGACGCCATTCCGGTCCCGCATCCTGGCAAGTGCCTCTCCTTCTGCCACATGGTCCTGACCCAGCTCCGTCAGCGCTATGTCAATGCCGGCACCCGGGTCTTCTCCGACAAGCACTGAATCACCACCGAGAAGTACGCCTACGACTTCCTCGACGGAATCATCAACGAGTTTGTCGAGAGCCTGGCCTCCAATCTCGCCAAGTGCGCGGCCATGAAGGCCCGTGGCGAGGAGGTCAAGCACTTCCGCCTCCGCTATCTCAGCAAGAAGCGATCCACCTCCGAGTCCTGCTACATGAGGAAGCGACTCTGGGCCCCACTCAGTCCACCTCCAGCTTCTGGAACCGAGTCAACATCCGTGAGTTCCTCGGTGTCGCTCCTCCTGGTGCACAAGACACTCCTGTGCAGCTTCTGCGTCCGCCCCTTCCACAGCCTGTGGATGCTGATGGCGACCCCATGCTGTCCAGAAGCATGAAGAGTGCCACGAGGCCACTCAAGCACAGTCGGATGGAGAGGAGCTTCCTTCCCCGCCTCCGTGCCGACGGGACCATCGAGGATCGCCGACTGCAGCTTCCCTTCCTCTGCGAGACTCGCATCATGCGGACCAAGACCGGCAAGTTTTACATTGTGGTCCCGGAGCCACTTGTCCGTCCGGGCGAAAGCCAAGCCCAGGACACGGGACGAGTACACGAGCAAGACATGCACTCGGTACGGGTACATCAACTGGGACTTGGGAGCAGCCAAGGCGTATCATTGCAGGGAGTGTGGGTTGTTGATAGATCGCGACATCAATGGGGCTCGTAACATTCTGTTGAAGAATGCGAGCACAGAGGACATCCTTGGCGAGGGCATGGTGTAGCCTCGCAAACACCCCTTTGAAGCCTATTTCCATTGTTGTGATGCGTATCGGTGAGCTGCCTGACTTTGTCTCTATAACCAGTGCGCTGGGGATGCGGGTATGGATGTTGTTATCATGAATTCAAACAGGCGTGACTTCGGTTCCAATCTTTGGAGTGTTGAGGTGAATTGGCTGTTCAAGTAGGTGGGTTAGATGAGCCGAATAAAGGGATTTCGATTGATAGTTAGACCCACCAGAATTATACATGGCCAAGAGTTGATCATAATGGCTCCTTCAGCTTTGGTGAATAAAGTTTTGTTCAAATTACGGAATAGGGAGAATGGAATTTTGACAGGATGAATGCCATGGCGGATCCACTGGGATTCGCTTCCAATATCAATTTGGATCCAGCCGACTGAAAACAGGGGGCTTGATACCGCCGAGCATTTGGCTGGGATATCGTCGGTCCGAATATACTGCCCTTCACGATAAATCCAGAGATATCGAATACCCTTCTCATCCCGAGACAAAATTGAATTACCCTCAGGCGGTATTTCCACAGATACGACGATCCTTTTGTGTCCCTTGAGTGTGTAATGTTCTTCGCCCGTGGTCGCATCCCACACCTTGATGGTCTTGTCGATTGAGCCAGAAGCAATCAACCTTCCATCGGATGAGATTGCAACGGAGTTTACTGTCCCTTTGTGCCCTTCGAGGGTGTGTTTCAGCTGGCCCGTAATGGTATCCCATACCTTGATGGTCTTGTCCCATGAACCAGAGATAATCCACTGGCCATCGTGTGAGATCGCCACGGAGTTCACATCATCTGTGTGCCCTTTGAGGGGGCGATTGACTCGCTCCATGATGAAATTCCATACCTTGATGGTCTTGTCGCTCGAGCCAGAGACGATCCACTTGCCATCAGGCGAGAACACAACCGAGCGTACAGCATCTTTGTGACCCTCGAGAGTGTGGCATAATTCGCCAGTGGTGGCATCGCACACTCTGATGGTTTTGTCCCAAGAGCCAGAGGCAATCCACTTGCCATCGGACGAGATTGCAACGGAGTTCACAAAATCTTGGTGCTCCGTGATACTGCGCATGAGCTCGCCAGTGAGGATATCCCATATTCTGATGGTCAGATCATTAGAGCCAGAGACAATCCACTTGCCATCGGACGAGATGGATATCGAGCGAACTTCTCGTTGGAGACCTTCAATGGAGTGCTTCAGTTGTCCCGAAATGGTATCCCATACTTTGATCGATACATCGTGAGAGGCAGAGACAATCCATTGACAATTCGGTGAGATCGCCACGGAAGTCACTCCGAATTGCGCGTTATAAGTATACTTCACCTGGCCTGTGGCGGCATCCCACACCTTGATGGTGTAGTCCATGGAGCCAGAGACAATCCACTTGCTATCGGATGAGATTGCCACGGAGTTCACGCTGCCCGTGTGTCCTTCGAGGGTGTGCATCATTTGCCCAGTAGTGGAATCCCATAACTTGATGGTCTTGTCCCATGAACCAGAGACAATCAACTTGCCATCGGGTGAGATTGCCAGAGTTCACATGGCTCGAGTGACCAGTGAGTGTCATCACACACGGATCCCAGGTCGGTGCTGGACCGCAAGTGACCAGGAACGGGATCTTGTCCTCGAGTTGGTCGGCATATGTCTTGTAGATCGCCGTCTCCTTCGGTGTGAATGCATACCCCGAGTTGTACACCTGTGGTGCACTCTTGATGATCGGATCGGCAAACTCGCGGATGAATCGATACGTGTCCTTGACCAGTTCCTTCGTGGTGTCGTCGATGATGGTGCTGGGTGCCATGTTGGTCACTCCTCGCAGCACAGCCAGTTGCTCGATGATCGGCTTGACCACATGTGTGAGCGACCCACACTCGAGCCAGAAGAACACATGCGTCTTGACGAACCGAGTGAGCACCGCTGCCACATCGACCATCTCGGTCGACTGCCACACCGGACTCGACTCGGCCACTCCTTCCACACACCACACAAAGTGTGTGATCCAGTGTGCGACGCTGTATCGCAGCGACGGTGTGATCTTGGCTGCGACCCTCTCCTCGAGGTCAGCGATCTTGTCGTGAAAGTCGTAGATATCGCAGATGTTGATCACTGGCTCGTGCGAGAGGATCACGCCGAGACATCCCTGGGCAAACACCGTGTGGAACGAGCTCGACACATGCCACGGGTGGCCAGCCGATGCATCGCCGAGGAGATAGTCCGCCACCGACTTGTGGTTGAACTTGACTTCGGTGTTGGTGGACTGGCTGTCTCGGGGGCCCAATCCATTGGCGCCAGGATCGAGGACCAGACTGAGGCTCTTGAGACACTCGCGAACGACGCCGATCTCGAGTCCAAACACATCGGCGATGATCTGTGGGGTCAGGATCGACTGGGCCGTGGCGATCGCCGACACCACCGTGACCAAGTCGGCCGGGTGGCTCGACTGCGAGTGGATCTTGGCAAATGTCTTGTGGTACAGTCCCTTGAGATCCACCGACGAGTCGTTGATTTCTCGGATCATCTCGAGGGTCAGTGTCCGTGGCTCGTGTGCTGCGTCGCTCTCCTCGCACGGCGTCGATCCAGGCTCGGGAGTCTCCAGCTCGTGCTCGACGGTGTTGAGGATCAGGTTGATCCACACGAATGTCTTGGACTGGTCCAGCAGCACCGAGATCGCCTGGGTGCGGTCCGACTCACTGAGGCTGGGATGGTCCCTGAGACGATGGTCGATGAACACCCGGAGGTCGCGGATGTTGTCTTCGCTCGACGGCTCGATCGTCGTGGTCGGCACTCCTCGGAAGGCAGCCTTGATGTCGGCCTCGGGGCGGGACGTCAGCAGCAGCTTGATCCGGGACTCGTCCTTCAGCTGCGTGAGTCGCCAGGCCAGGAGCGACAGGATCTCGTCGCGCGGATGGCACTCGTCCAGTCCATCGACCATCACCACGACGGCTCCCTTGGGCCGGTACTGGCCAAGTGCCTCGAGTGGATCCTCAATCACGGCCTTGAACAGGTCCGGGATGCTCATCTTGTCGAGGTCGTCCTTGGTGTGGCCAGCGTCGAGGAGCCGACGGCCGATCGGTGCGTACCAGCGACACAGTCCATATGCGATCGTGGTCAGCAGGATGCGGGGGTTGTTCTTGCGGGTGTCGTTGTACTTGAGGAACAGCGATGTCGCCAGCTGGTCCCGGCCAAGCAGGATGTTGGCGATCTGGGCAGCAGCGACGGACTTGCCGACACCGGCGACGGCATTGACCCACAGGACCAGGTCGGCGTTGTCGTCGTCGTCGACCCAGGCAGTGACATGGTCAAACAGCCACTGGCGGGTTCCCTCGACATACAGATCCTCGAGCGCCTTCCTGTCGGGGTCAAAGTCGATGGGATCGAGCAGGACGCGGAGCTGCGAGTCTTCGTCGGCAGCGAGGACGATGGGTCGGCTCTGGTGGTAGAGGATGCCCTCGGCGATGGCCCTCTCGGTCTTGGCCACAAGCACTCGGATGTACGGAGAGAGCCTGAGTTTGGTGGCGGGGGATGGACGAGTGCGAAAGGGAATGGAGTCAGTTGGATGTGGTCAGATGGATGTGCAGCAAGGTGATGCGATGTACATGGTGTCGTGTGGTGTTGTGAGAGGAGTCTGATGCAGCATGGTGCGCATGGCATTGATGGTGTGCATGACATGGATGGTGTGCATGGCGTGCAGGATGTTGCGATCACGCATGACAGCAATGCAGCAGAAATGGCTTGCCATCGATGGGCTGACAGCAGCCACCCACCTCATCACCGCCGTCCCATCGGCTGCATTGAACTGCTGGAGAGCCAGGACATCTCGGATGGTCTGGCGGATCGATACGGGCTTGCCGTCGACGAGGGGACTCAGATCGTGGCAGGGCGGCTCGTCGGGAAAGTCGTCGGGGTTGGGGAAGTACTTGGAAGCATAGGTCTGGTTGTTGATGATGCGGGTCGACCACATGTAGACGGGCTGGACGGTCACCGGGCGGCCGGTGGTGGCCGACTCTCGCATCCGACGCAGGGCATGCTGGACCTGAGTGTGAGTGTGAGTGTGAGTGTGAGTGTGAGTGTGAGTGTGAGTGTGAGTGTGAGTGTGAGTGTGAGTGTGAGTGTGAGTGTGAGTGTGAGTGTGAGTGTGAGTGTGAGTGTGAGTGTGAGTGTGAGTGTGAGTGTGAGTGTGAGTGTGAGTGTGAGTGTGGGGACTATTGAGTGCAAGTGCATCGACATGGATGGCTTGGCCAACCGCTCGCTTGCTCA